AAAAAAATAATAAGTGAAGAGATCGAACGAACGCAAAAGGAGAAGAGTAAAGCTCTTACATGTACATATGTGCATCTAGTTATTTTCGGCTCAGGCAATCATTTATTCTTTCTGTTTGACTTGACCGAAAAAAAAACTCGATTGTGCATGTATTTGTAAAAGAGAGAAAAGATGTGGACGAGTGCGATGAAGAAGAAAAAAAAAGCGAATAGTAGATCACGAGTACTTTTGTCTCCCTTCACCCGAATGTATTTATCTATCTAGATATGTATACATACAAATGGATTATCTTTTGCTGGTTTGTATGAAGTATCTCTGCATAGGTTTTGTTTCTTTTCCTGTCTGTATTTTATTTCGACGCAAATCAATTTGTTTGTGTAACTATTCATATCAGTAACATTCTTGAAAAAGAGAAGCAAAACACGAATATTTCGCTTTTCTTTTCCTTTCGCAACGTGATATTTTCTGACAGGCATAGATAGCAGAAAGTTTGTTTATAACTTAATGGACAAGAAGTATGTGCGGTTTTGTTTGAATACATTTGTTGAATTTGATAAAATGAAACATACCATCTTCCTACACAGACATACTCATGCGCTTAGCTTGTTCTTTTTGATTCGTCATCCCACCTCCGTCCGCCTCGTTTTATACTCACAGATATGAATCATTAAATAGAAATGTTAATAGCGTTGAAAATAAAAAAAAGCGAAGCATACCATTTACTTTTTGTCTTGCATAGTCAAGATAACAGCATTTTCTCTAGTCTCTATAAAATGATTGTTACTTCTGTAGTTTATTAACACTTTACAAACATACACATACACAACATTAAGTTTTCAATATGGATAAGTAAGTGGAAAAGTTTTTTTTATATTCATATTTCATAACACTAAAGATCTGTCATCCCAATGATGAGTGTATGTCACAAGGTCTCAATTATTTATGATTATAATATATATATACACACATATATATATAAATGTGTGTGTGTATATATATATATATACATATACGTCTGTGGTAGTTCGAAAGATTATATAATCGAAGAAACGTATTTCTTTTTTTTTTCTCTTTTCCCTTCTCTCGCTGAACACATCGCGACCGGGGCATATATACACGTACGATATTGCACCTCGTCTACTCATCGGCTGAACTGTTTTCTTTTGCCTCTATACATTCGTACATACATGCATACAATCGATGAGAATACATATACATACGCGCATCATTCTTCTTTTTTCCTCTTCATTTCTTCGTTTTTTCGTTCTAGATTCGAAGAAATGCCTACACCGGCAACTAATAAATCAGGTGGTGCGATGGATAATGGTCATGAACCAGCTGAAATGAAATATTTACGTTCAATAGATATGAATTCCAAAGATAGTATTACCGATGCAACAACAGCTAATGAATGGGCAGCGAAGAAATTCGTCTGGGTGCCTGATGAACATGAAGGTTTCATTCGTGGCCAAGTTCGCCAAGAACAAATGGACGGACAGTTACTAGTGGATTTAGAAAATGGAAAACGTGTGACTATACATAAAGATGATACACAACGCGTCAATCCACCGAAATTCAGTAAAATAGAAGATATGTCCGAGTTAACATGCTTGAATGATGCTTCGGTATTATATAATTTAAAAGAACGTTATTATTCGGGATTGATCTATACATATTCGGGTTTATTTTGTGTTGTTGTCAATCCGTACAAACGCTTGCCAATCTATTCGGAAAATGTTATCGAAATGTACAAAGGAAAGAAGCGTGAACAGATGCCNACGCTCAACATCCCAAATTCGGTATGACACAAATATTTATTTACGTTTCGAATGTCCAAATAAATGCGTTGTAGGAAAACCAAATTACAAAGCACCAGCTGATTTTAGCATCATTCATTATGCTGGTAAAGTCGAATATTCAGCTGAGCAATGGTTAATGAAAAACATGGATCCATTGAATGACAACGTCGTAGCCCTTTTACAAACGGCAAGCGATCCATTCACACGTGAAATCTGGAAGGATGGTAAGTACGCGACTAACGATTTGTTTAACGAAATATAAATTGTAATATTCAGCGCCGCTTTGGGGAATGAGACCTAGTCTCGTTCGTCCGAATATAGCGATAGTACCTGATTACAGTGAGTGATTGGAGTTTTTCCGAGCATGAGATTTGCAGTGCAGTGTGCATGTTTTGATTTTTGTTGAACATACCATTCAAAATTTGTTTTCGTTTTGTAGCCGAAATTGTCGGTCTCTCTGCCGCTGATCCAAATGATGCTACATCGAGTTTGAAAGTAAATATCAAGAAGGGCATGTTCCGAACTGTTGGCCAACTTTACAAAGAACAATTAACGAAATTGATGAGCACATTGAAGAATACCAATCCAAACTTCGTTCGTTGTATTTTACCGAATCAACAAAAGAAGGTAAATTAATCGCAGAAGATAACATGAATGATTATGTTCGAATTATTGCTAGGCGGGTGTTATCCACTCACCACTTGTACTTGAACAATTACGATGTAATGGTGTTTTGGAAGGCATTCGTATTTGCAGAAATGGCTTTCCAAATCGAATTCTATTTCAAGAATTTCGTCAACGGTAAGAAGTTTACTTTGATTTCTTTCGATCAGCTAAAACAGAGCACTATTCTAATGTCCAGAACGCGACGAGACAATCTTGAATCTAGGAAGATAAAAATAACCGACTCCATCATTTGCAAGAGATTAACATTTTGATAAAATCTAATCAAGTAATTTCAACCTTGGTTCGATGCAAGTCGAGTCACGATTGACGTCATGAGTATGAACGTACCATCAGATATAGATGATTAAAAACTGATGACATTCTTTTTTTCTTATGTCAAGCGAATTTCTCCTTATCTACGATCGAAATTTTTCAAAAGAAATGGTGAACAAATAGGTTCAAGTTCATCAGTCCGATTTAATTCAATATTGTCCTAGACCTTTTCTCTTGTGCCCATCAACTTTTTTTCTTCTGGTAATTTACGAATCTCTTACCTATTGAACAACGTCAGTCACGGTCGATTATAGAACATTGATCGAACGTCTGTTACGCTGCGTCATGGTCTATAGATATGTGGACAGTAAATTACGGCGTGCACACGTTCGTACTCCTCTTTAGTTTATGTGTTTGAACTACAAACACATAATAGAAGAATCAGGCCACCGAACATTTGTAAACATGTCAGCCAAATTGCGTCGTACCATTTTAGGAGGACACAAAGTTTATATCAGTACTCCGTTAGTGATACCGTCGTGTGTCTTTGTTTCCTAACATCTCATGTGATTCTCTTTCTTATAGCTACGAAATTCTTTGTCCAAATGTCATTCCAAAAGGATTTATGGATGGCAAAGCAGCATCCCAAAAGATGGTAAGTGTTTGGAATGAACATTTCGCTTTTCAATAAATTAACTTGTGTCTTTAGATCAAAGAACTTGAACTCGATGAAAATCTCTACCGAATTGGTCTTACGAAAATCTTCTTCCGTTCAGGTGTTCTCGGTCATTTAGAAGAAGAACGCGATTTGAAACTAACAGATATTATAACACAACTGCAAGCTTTATGTCGCGGTGTTCTTGCTCGAAAGTAAGTTTTATCAAGTATTTCTTTTCACAATCGAGCTGCCTTTGCATAGGAATTATCAACGACGTATTCAACAATTGAATGCCATTCGTGTTATTCAACGTAATGGTCGTGCTTTAATGAAAATTCGCAACTGGAAATGGTGGCGTTTGTTTACCAAGATAAAACCATTGTTACAAGTCACTCGACAAGATGAAGAATTAACTCAGAAACAAGAAGAGATACGTCGAATGAAAGCTGAAATGGAATCTCGCAATTCACAAGTTCAAGAGATTGAACAACAATTGCAAATGGTTCAAACAGAACGAAATGTTGTAAACGAACGTCTCATTCATCTAACCGAAGCTTTAGTTGAATCCGATGAAGTAAGATCGAGATAACTTCAATGTGCTTCTATGTCACATCCACTATTTGTAGAACTTACGACGAGTACAAACACGTAAAATGGAACTCGAAAATATGGTACAAGAAATCGAACAACGTTTAGAAGAAGAAATGGAACGAAGCAATGGTTGGACAAATGAACGAAAGCAATTGGAACAGAAATTACAAGATGTTACCGAACAACTTGAAGAAGAAGAGCACGGTCGACAAAAACTACAGATCGAACGTGTACAATTCGAAGGCAAAATAAAAAATTTCGAAGATATCGTTGCCAGTCAACAGAATGAACTTAGCAAAGTATGCATGCAAACATTTAGTGTTTCCAATGAGTCATTTTTCAATCATTTTCGTCTTTTAGTTGCAAAAAGAACGCAAATTTCTTGAAGATAAACTTCAAGAGGTTGCTCACCAACAACAAGATGAAGGTGAAAAACTGAAAAATCTTCTTCGATTGAAGACCAAACAAGAAAGTCAATGTGCAGATTTAGAAGAGCGATTAAAACGCGAAATCGAAGTAAGAGAAGTCGATCCTCAATCGATCGAATGACGAATTCAAACATTTTCTTTGATTTAGCTTCGTCAAAAACTAGAACGTGATATTCGTCGTCTCGAAGGCGAAGTTCAAGAGCTTCGCGAACAACTTCAAGATCGTATTCAACAAATTCATGATTTACAAGTTCATTTGGCGCGTCGCGAAGAAGAACTAACCCAAGCTGTCACGAATATCGAAACCGAAGCAGCAACGAAAGTTACCTTTCAGCGTCAAATCCGCGAATTTCAAACAAGTATTCAAGATCTTCAAGACGATATGGAAAGTGAAAAGGAATCACGCAAACGTTTGGAACGGGAAAAACGCGAATTGATGGAAGAAAACGAATCCTTACGTAATGAATTACTTGATCGCAAAGATATCAATCAAGTTATGCTTGAACGCGAGAAGAAACGAGAAGAAGAAGCCGTCACATTGAAACGTGCATTGGAACAAGCGCATGGTGATCGAGAATCAGTCATCGCTGAACTACGTCTTAAATACACCAAGCAAATCGAAGAGCTCTCCGGTCAATTTGAAAATGCGAAAAAGCAATTACAAACCTTTACCAAAGATCGTCAACAACAGCAAACTGATTTGATCGATCGTGATAACGAAATCAAGAATCTCAATGCACAAAAACAAGATATTGAAAGAAAACGTCGACAATTAGAAACATACGTTCAAGAACTTCAGCATAAATTCAATGACAGCGAAAGAATAAAAAATGAAGCTACAGATAAATTACAACGATACCAACAAGATATTGAAAGTATCAACGCCGCTTTCATCGAAATGGAACAACGTTCACAAAATAATGAACGTGCTGTTGCTATGTTAAATCAAGACATTCAAGAATTACAAGAAAATCTTCAAGAAGAAAATCGTCAGAAAATGAATGCTTTAACCAAACTCCGTCAAACGGAAGATCTACTCGCTGAATTGAAAGACCAGGCTGAAGATAAAGAAGAAGAACGCGTTAAAGCCGAAACGAAGATCATTCAATTGACTCAACAAAATGCCGAATTGCGTCGTCAAGCGGAACAAGTTAATGTCGAACAAATGGAAGAATTACGTCGACAATTACAACGTGAAAAAGAAGCCGTTTTGAAACAACTCGACGAAGAGAAACTATTGAATACGAAATTAGTCAAATCCAATCAGAAATTTTCTAATGATATTGCTGATGTCACTGTGGAATTGGAACGTTATCGTACTATTGTTCAAAACGTTGAAAAACAACAACGTTCATTCGATAAACGCATTCAAGATGAGAAGATTTTACAGGACAAACTACGACTAGAACGCGATCAAAACGAACGAGAAATCCGCGAAAAAGAAACACAACGCTTGAATCTATTGAGAGATCTTGAAGAGAAGAACCTGGCATATGAAGATTTAGAAAAACGTTTCAGACAATTACGAGCTGAACTCGACGATATGCTATCGAGAAAAGATGATATCGGAAAGAACATTCACGAATTGGAAAGAATCAAACGCGCATTAGAAGCAACTGTCGACGAACAAAAACAACAAATTATTGAGTTGGAAGATGAATTACAAACAGCCGAAGACGCCCGTTTACGTTGCGAAGTCAATATTGGTGCACTTAAACAACAAATGGAAAAACATGCACATGAAAATAATGAACAAATTGAAGATCGTATGCGGTCATTGAATAAACAGTTGAAAGAATACGAAAACGAACTTGACGAAGAAAGAAAATCGAAACAACAGATTCTTCAACAACGAAAGAAAATTGAAGTTGATCTTCAAGATGCTCGTCAACTGGCCGAAGAAGCAAATAAACAAAAAGAAGAAGCTCTACGTAACTCACGTCGATTACAAGTAAGATCATATCCAAATTGTATTTCTTTCGCATTCATGTTTTCTTCTTTCTTAAGAATCAAATTCGTGAAGTAACACGTGAAATGGAAGAAATCAAAGTTGTTCGTAATGAAGCAATTGTCAATGCTAAAGAATGGCAAACTAAAATCAAAACATTGGAACAAAATGTTCAACAGCTTATGGATGAAAAAGATCTTGTCGATCGTCAACGACGTCAAGCACAAGCTGAACGGGACGAATTACAGCAAGAATTAGCCGCTATTGGTAGTGGAAAGTAAGTAAACGCAGGAGACGAGATCTCGGCTATTTCACTGTCTCGTGTAGGGGTGCATTTATTGATGAAAAACGTCGACTTGAAGCACGTATTGCTCAACTTGAAGAAGAATTAGAAGAAGAACAAACAAATACAGAATTAACTGGTGATAAACACAAGAAATTGGCAATGACTGTTGAACAATTAATGCTTGATCTTGCTGCTGAGAAAGCCAATAATCAAAAAGCAGAAGTATATTTGCAAATATTTGCGTTATCGAAAGAATTATAATCGGAAATTCTTCTGTAGGCTGTACGTAGTAATCTTGAACGACAAAATCGAGAATTACGTGAGAAATTGGAAGAAAATGAAGAATTTGGCAAAGGCAAATCACGTGCAATGCTCGGAGCACTCGAAGCTAAAGTTCATGCACTTGAAGAGCAACTTGATAATGAAGTTCGGTATGTCGAAATGCGTCATCCATTCTGATGAAAATAATCTCTAATTGTAATTTTTCTAGAGAGAAACAAAAGATTAGTCGAACTGTCCGTACACTTGAAAAACGTCTTCGTGATTCAACTGGTCTTGCCGATGAATCTCGAAAACAAGCGGATGCATACAAAGAACAAGTAATGCTGATGACGATAGAAAAAAGACAATGAACTTGTTGTATTCGATGTTTTCCTTTCAGGCGGAAAAGGCCAGTGTCCGAGTGCGAAATATGAAACGAAGAGAAGAAGAATTAGAAGAAGAAGTCACTCAAATGAAACAACGTTTACGTAAAGCTTTACGAGAAAAAGATGAAATCGAAGAGAATCCAGCCTATCAACGAACTCGGTAAGCTTCGAAAATCGACTTCACATTGAGATTTCTCGTTTCTCCTCAACATGAGAAAATTTGTTCTAACATCTATTTTTGCTAATCTAAAACCAGAGAAGGCTCGGTTATGTTCGATCTGATGTCGTACCGACCACTCAGATCTACCGACGACAAACCGAATGAGGTATTCGAAATCATTAGTTGATCTCCTTTGCTTTACTCAATGCTTCGCCTTCTTCCTTCCCATCTTACACTCTTGCATAAAAAAAAGAAACGAAATCAAGCAATCATTCGCGTCTTTCATTATAGTCAAACGCTTAACTCACCGCCTAGCAGGTAAAAATCCGATATTCTATCTACCGACATCAATCATACAAATATATAATCGACGAAATCTATCATACAGCATGTAACTTTTTTCTAGACAAAATTCTTATGACTTCCGGTGATCTTTTTTTCCTCAAGGTTCGATTGATGTTGTATTGTTCTGCTGTATATTTAAATTTAGCTTTATATTTTCAGCGTTCTGTTTGGAATTTATGTTTATTGACGTATGTTATCTATTTTAGTCCTTCAACAGCTCATAGTTCATCAACATCCTACGTACGAACACTTGTCACTTCAACAAAATATTACTCCGAATTATCCGATGATGATTTACAATCTGAAGCAACAAATGCTAGCGTATCTGAGACACTCAATGGTGGCAATTCAACTATACGAAACAGTTCCGTGGGTGAATTTAACAATGGCAATCATTAAATCTAAACGAAGCCAAGCATATTATTCTTGTGTAATCTCTCATTTTCCTCCTCGTTGTCTTGTCGCATCCACAGTGAGCTATGCTCCATTTCCTTCTATCTCATTTTGCGCGCGCGTTTGTATGTGTTTGTGTGTGTGTAATTTCATTTTTTCTTTCGTTTTCTTGCTTCATATACATGCTTACTTATTTTTCCAAACGTGAACATAGCCTTGCTCAGGGTTAGAGCTCTTTGTTCGTTTCTCTTTTCATTCTTTGTTCTCCATTTTATCTCTTCTACCTCTGTTAGACATTCAAAGTCTTTAAACAAATCACAAATCAGCCAGAACAACATCGAAATGATGAACATTCCATTATTTAATACAAAGGTATCGAGCCGCCCATTCAAAGTAAAACAAAAATCATTTCTTTATACATATATATATACATATCTATCTACGCTGCTGCCTTGATGTATCAGTATTTGGCGTTCGTCTTTTTTGTTCTATGCGTTTCTTTTTTATACTTTCGTTCTCTGCAAAACATAAAATATATACATATATATATATATATAAACAAAAAAAAGAGAATTCCAAGGCTCGCTTTGCTTTTGAGTGACCTACTAATGCAGAGATGATTTTATGTGTTTCAATTTGTGAAATCATTTTAATTGACTAGGATCCTATTGATTACAACAACAGTAGCAAATCAACAGAACGATAAATATCAGAATTAAAACGATGGCATTGATATAGAAGAGAAAGGCTTGGCAAAGATGCAGCGCACATGAATAGGCGATTAGTCGGCCGAGATAACGAAAAGTCAAGGATTGGGCAAACGCTGATGACGAGGAGAACTTTCTTGAATGACACATCGAATCTAAAGAAAAATATCGTTTAGTAGACGGTGCAATTGAATGAAACCTACGAATGAAAATGGTTGACCACAAACCGAAAACAAAGCCATAACATAGAAATAGAAGATATCTTAGTATCATTGGTTGAAGGTTATAAATCGCAATATGTTCTCGAATGAAGAAGAGAAGAACGATGGTCATCGAATGAAGCAGAACTGTGAACGTAATTGACGTCTAAATTATTCAATGAAAAGATTATTGAGAGAATTCGTCTAGATATACAATTTGTCAAATACCATCAATGTCACACGTCGAATAATCAACGCTGCCAATATACTCGATATTGTCGCAGTAAATCCGTAGATAATCAACATTTCAACAGCATGTCGAATACCATAAAGACATGTAACATCAAACTACAATAAACGAATACGTTAATTTCCATGAAAAATCTGATCTTCATTAAGAACCTACTTTGACAAGACTTCCAAATAAATATCCTTCTTGAAAACCCATAAATATTGCTATTAAATAGTGTTTGTATTTTGTTAATTTCGATATTTCATTCAATGTATCGTCATTGGCATATTGTATAATCGACAAGCGTTTGTTCATACCCATGATTGATGTCGACCATTTCGTATTTGCTTGTACGCAAACACCGATGATGGTTAACAGTCCGAGAACGAGAAGATACAAGTACCGCATGGAATCATTAATCCAGACTAAACGAAGAGAAAAAGATAATTGAATTCAAAGTTAGCGACATAGACATACTCTGTTTGTTCTCGGCGAAATACACGGATAAGTCAATCGAGACAGTTTCAGGTAGTAGTCTAAAGAGTTCATCATTAGTTTTCTGTTGCTTAATCAATTGTGCGCAAGGAATCGATAGACATGTTGGAGAACCGATCAGTATGTACTCATTTCTCCATTGTTTAAAAATGATAATGGTCAGAAAACAAATACCACCGATTACTAATGCTAAGTGACAGATACAGTTATAAATAAACATAAATATGTTGAAACGAATTGTTAAAATCTTCATATTTTCCATTAGTAGCGATGTAGATAATTGCAGTAGATGATCGTATGTTTTTATGATCATACAACTTAGACTAATTCCTGATGTACATGCACCAACGATTGACAGATAATAGAATGAATAAAAATATTGAAGAACGAGCCATGTAGAAGTCAGCAAGGTTGAACAAATGAGTAAAATCTGGGAAAAACGATCGTATGCGAGTACATTGGAAATTTTCCAACGATAATGAGTCGATTGAATGTGTGAAACATGAGCAGCGAATAACAATGCTGCAATGGATGAGCTTAAATGAAATGCGATCAACGATGGAAAACTATACTCATGTGGGTAGATCGATGTTTGTAGAACTTCGGTAGTAAATAAACCTGCCAGAACAAACATCGATGCAAATGATCGTAGAAAGACAATACGATAGATTGCAGCAATGGAAACAATTGATGCATTGGACGACGATTCATTCACATCGGTAATAGCTTCATTAACAGTGATTGAACTTCTCGTCGAGAGTGGTTTAGACAATGGTACTTGTGTTGATGGCGGTGGCAATGTTGCACGAGATCGGTGATGAGCAGGACGAAGGGCAAAAACGGGTGAATCCAGGATAAATGTAGCATTTTCCAAAAGGACATCGTTATCGGGTAATCGAACAGCTGGTTGACTAATACTCCGTTGAATATGATCATTGATACAATGCGAACAGCCGCGATGTAGCGTGTAAAGCGATTGAGTTGTGTTAATATGATTATGCACTGATAATGCTGAAGACGACGACGATGAGGATGAAGTTGTATAGAGGAATTGTAAATGGTCATGTTTAGATGTGTGAATAGCCATCTTATAACTGTCACGACGTGCTGGTTGATCATAAAAGATTGTCGAATAATAACGATGATGGAATGGTGATTTGGTCAACGTTTCAATGAAATAATTTTGTTGCTGACTGTTCATGGTTTTACCAGAAAAATCTTCGCAATATTGAATAGATCATAATGACTGAAGAGCACAATCATCGTTTTCTTTTGAAATACAGAGAGAATCCTTGAGAAAGCTGACAATAGGAAAAGAAATAATAAAAACTTGTCATACGCACCAGTGAATCGTAATATCCGTTAGTTCAATATCTCGTTTATTTACTGTTTTTTTTTCTTACTCAATGACTTGCATGCACATTCATGTGTTCGATTTACCTTTCGTTTTGAATGAGTCGATTGCTGAGTAGTTGTCCGGCTGTGTCGTCGTATGTATATGTTTAGGAAACGATGAAACTCCTTTAGTCGTCGTCTTTCCGTTTTATTAGCACCACGATATAATCGTTGTCCTCGTTCTGATCAAATAATCAAAGCAATCATAACACTAGAGTAATTCTACGACGTTCTCTCTGTCTCTCTTCGATTATGGTCGTTGTTGACATCGAACTCTGTATTCAACGATTTCTCTCTTTTTCCATGTTGATATGATTACTTCTTGTGATCGAAATGAAATAGCTCACTTATTCGAGATTTGTCTTTCTCTGAATGTGCGAAGTCGAAAGAAAAAAAGAGAGAAAGAAAGAAAGAAAGAAAGAAAGAAGAAAGCTGATTGAAAGGAAATCTTATCAATCAGTAAGTCTGATTGAAACAAAAGAATCAATGGATTAGTGATGATGAGCAAACGTTTTTTAACTGAAGTCGTCATTAATTTGATTAATTCATTTCTTTCCGAACAATTCCACTCAGAACATTTCATGTCACTTCTATCTTCGCTCCCTTAGTTTTCGCTTAGCCAAAAAGTTCAACAGAGAGAAATTGTTATCGTCTTCTATGGTTTTGGAAGGTGAATAGATTTCACATCATTGTTTTCTTTCAAACACATGAACTGGGAGGAGAAGACAGGCAGCTGGACGTTGACGAATATATCATACGACTCGGTCTTGAGCTTTTTCATCATTGTTTCAATTGGTACGAGATTTCAATGTCACATCAGAAATGTAACACCCAATGTAAAATCCCAGAACGGAAAAGAAAGGCGTTCTGGCAGGCACGCGAAACAAATCAGCTGAATTAGTGCATTATAGATCGAAATAACACAGAACATATCATTTAGAATTAAGATGAGTCTGAACAATGTTTCAAAGCCTGACAGAAAACTACTGGCGTCTGCCACGGCTCGACTGATTTGCTGTGAATTGATAGAAGGATATTACCGTTTGAAATATGGATCCACTGACGAAACGAAAATCATCATCGTATAGTCCGAGTGAATCATTGAGATTTAACAAATATACTCCGTCTTATTTGATGGAAATGAGCTTGAATTGTGGTGAATGCCTCTAGACGAATAGAAATAATGAATCGTTTTTGTTATTGGAATATGTGATAATGTAGAAGATTTTGATCCATCCTCCAATGAAACTGAAAATTGTTATCAGAATAAGTGAAAATAAATTCTGCTTTATCAATATATATGTGCACATATCCATTCGACATTGTTCATAAAATGAATGATGCAAGGCGGAAAGATCCCAGCGATTGAAAACTATCAATATGCATCGCATTTAACCAATATATCATTCGGTATAAACACGATTGATCAAATATAAAAACAAAAAAAGGTCAGTCATTAGCGAAAGTATGATTATGAACATGAAATACTAGAAACTCGATCATCCACGTTTTCGACGACCTCGTGAATATTAATATACATATGTTTCTACAAGATGCAAGATATCTTTCACTATTTCTTGGTTGAAGATCGATGCACAACACTGATCTAATCTTTTCTTCTAACCTCGCCAAGGATTCATGCTCAAATGAAGAAAACTCCGAAGATAGTCGATAATTATCGCCCCCTCTCTTTGCATTATCATTCTTCCCATACCGAAATCGTTATAAAATGTTTCAAATAAAATTTATTTCTTATTAATTTTGTACATAGTAACATATTTTCCTTTGCTCTCTTATCTAAGGAATTCACTTCGAAACCACGCATATTTCGCTTTGACATGTTGTCTATTATTTGTTTGTGTTATGCATCATCGTATGAAAAATACATTATCGATGCCATTATCTGTATACATACATAGAAGTCATAAGAAAAAAAAGAAGAGCATGATTGCTTTTGACATGTTTCGTTTTGCAGATTTTACGTATTAAATGGACAATCTACGGTTTCGTTCTTTTCTATTGAAGCTTCAAGATCGTTTAAGTGACAATGATCGTCAACGTTTACACTTCTTCCTCGGAAATGATATTCCACGACGAATACGTGATAATCCAACATTACAGGGCACATTAAACTTATTGGAGTGCCTTTTCGATCAAGATAAGATCAGTGAACAAGACTTTACATTCCTCATCGATGCTTTCAAAGAAATACAATGTATAGATGCGGTCAAACTACTCCGAGGTAATTCTTGTCATTGGCAGAAATGCAACTAACTAACCAACATGTACTATATATATAATTTGACATGAAAAAAAGCTATCGCGTACGTTTGTTTACGTATCATCATCAATCATATTATCACAACAGAACTATATTAACCGGAAGATGTTGTGTCGTGTGAGATAGATAACCACTATCTATTTTTTGCTTCGAAGAATGAATCAGCCTTCGGACATCCCAATTATTGACTGTTTTTTTATTTAGATTACAAACAGAAAATGCAGACTAATTGTTGTAATCAGTCAACTTTAACGTCAATAATGCCTCCGTTGAACGAAGAAGTTATTCAAGATCAGGAAGACGATAACAGTGCAGCATATAATCGTAAGTCAATCAATAGAATTATACCAATATTCGATGATTCTTTTTTCACATCAGTTTTACAACAAATTAATGCTTATGGTAGCTTTAATAAGATAATCAATAGTAGTAATACGAACATCAATCCGGTTACCATCACTGTCGACGATCAGAAGATTGTATCGATAAAATCAGGGAAAACCCGTTCGTTAAATTTATCATTGAAAGCGAATAAATACTTGTATTTTATTCTTTTGTTACTGATGATTATACTTGGTTTATCACTGATCATCGCTTATGTTCTCAGAATCAAGAAGAATGATTCGTTAGATTTTCGAGAAGAATATGAAAAGTTGTTAGAAGAACAAAAAACTAAGAATGAAATGATTCGAATTAATGAGAGAAGTAAGCAAGAATCATCGTTTTAGAATGCTGTGAATCTGTTTTCGTTATTCGTTTAGAAAACTCAGTGGTTTTTCCTGGTCAAATATTTGGTTATTCAATTGAAAGAGCTTTTGATGATTCTTCTCGTTCGGATTTTATGTCTTTACCTTATTTAAATGGACTTTATGTACGAGATAATCAAGATGGTCTAGAATCGTACCAATTTTTCTACCTATCGTCGCATGATCAAGAAAATGTGATTGAATCCGAGGTTGATGGAAATCAAACAGAGAATTTCAAAAGGAAATTTTTCTTTACGAAGAATGAAAGAATTATCCGGGTCCAGGGAAGGTTGGTGAAAAAGAATCTGGTTTCGCAAAATGGAACGAGCAGATCCATAAGTATAATTACCGGACTTGAATTCGTTTCTCGCAAACATCGAATGAGCCCGTCATATGGTGGTGAACTGGGCGAAGTGTTCAGTGAAGAATACGATGGATATATGCTAGGATATATCAGAGGCCGATCTGCGCAATACGTTGAACAAGTCCAATTCGTTTGGTATCGGACAGTAGAATTAGACTCCGATTGAGATCAACTTTCTAAGCTATTTTTGTACTATTTCAGTTCTGTTAACAAGAACTAATAAACATACACGTGGTCAGGTTGTTTTTCAATAAATGCCATATTTCTCCTCAAATGAACTTACATATCCTATTTTGTGAAACCCGTTCGGATCGGATATCTTTTTCCTATATGTTCGGACATACTATTTTTCTTTGTAGATCTACTATCTAATGCACTACTATCACGAGGTATGTATGCAATTGCTATTTTCTACCTATTGTATTATACATATATCGTTGTTTTCCTTCCTTTTATTTCATTGAATGACTCATTTCCTGAGTGTATCATGAAGGGTCGGTCAATCTAGAAGTTTACTGTTACGCATGGGGAGAAAATCATAGAAGAAAGTATACTGAAGTTTCGCATTTCGTATCACTCGATGTTTTCTTGGATATTTCACAAGTCTGGTAATTCTAAGATAGTAAGGAGTAAATCCATTTGGGGTATTACTAATTTATGCTAACATCACAAACACCCAACTTTTCGAGATGGTGTGTTGGTCACTCCTACTAACACCCACAACTGGATGAGTTAAGACCACAAACACCCACTAACACCCATTTTCTTTACATTTTAAGAGAGATAAACCCCTGAGAAACTCGAGGAGATCACCTTCTTCAACACTAACACCCAATAACTCTCTTATTACCCACACTAACAGCCAAACTGGTCTACACTAACACCCAGAGAATTGCAAAATCTACATTTTTGAAAGCACAAATGGTGCCCTCCCATTGAGTATTAGAGCCCTAGGCGAACATCTGGGTGGGCCTTATAAAGATCTAAAACCACTGTACCAAAGCAGACAAGAACTTTTGTATTCGCTTGTATTACTTACACAATCACTCATGAGATTGAAAGAGTACAAAGCTGATGAGAACGAGTGATGATATGCGTCTGTGTGACTATGTGAGTGAGGGTGAGGGTGTGGGTGAAAATAGGGACGGACACATTTATATCAAGCAGAGAGTGAGTTTGGCAGCTAGTAAGGGGTAATGCATTTTGTGACAGAATACAGGCGAATACAAAAGTTCTTGTCTGCTTTGGTGCAGTGGTTTTAGATCTTTATAAGGCCCACCCAGATGTTCGCCTAGGGCTCTAATACTCAATGGGAGGGCACCATTTGCGCTTTCAAAAATGTAGATTTTGCAATTCTCTGGGTGTTAGTGTAGACCAGTTTGGCTGTTAGTGTGGGTAATAAGAGAGTTATTGGGTGTTAGTGTTGAAGAAGGTGATCTCCTCGAGTTTCTCAGGGGTTTATCTCTCTTAAAATGTAAAGAAAATGGGTGTTAGTGGGTGTTTGTGGTCTTAACTCATCCAGTTGTGGGTGTTAGTAGGAGTGACCAACACGCCATCTCGAAAAGTTGGGTGTTTGTGGTGTTAGCATAAATTAGTAATACCCATCCATTTGTGTGTAATAACCGATGGGAAAAGTAATATAAATATCGGTATGCTGCTACCAGAATTACAATCACAAAATCAAGCACTCCTGTATTTGATAGAATCTACACGATCAAGATGAGCTGACGTTACAAAGCCGTTATTCTACTTCTTTTCATATGTTTGATGTCTGCTTATAGTAACCTATTAGCATGTACTGCTTGTGCTACTGCAACTGTGGCATCTACTGGTCCTATGGCTGTGTTGGCAATACCCTCGTGTCTGGCACTTCGTTTATCAACGCTCAACTGTATTTTCATCGAGATATTTTGAATACTTCCGTTTTTTTCACTCTTTTTTTCCGATTCTGCATCAGTTCTGTTAATCTATTCTGTATGTAGAAACGAGAGGACATTTGAAATAAATGTTGACAATTTTGCTATCGACCTCGTTGCATATAACTCATCACGTATTGACAGATGTAGTGTAGAGGGTGAGGAGTATTCATCAAAACGAATCAGCGTTTCCCTATTCGAATAGAACATTCTAATGGAAAAATCATCGCCTGATTCGAAACAATAGCAATTTTATTCAAGACTAATGAACACATTGTTTCACAGAAAATGAAAAAACAGAAAAATCTGTAGCTAATTACGAAACAGTATAGCGTTCTGGTGCCATCACAATAAAATCGTCAACTATTTCAGGAATAGGATACTGTGCTAGTTCATCAATCGTTGGTTGAGATATTGGGAAGCCCCAAAATTTGAATAGTGGAACTAAATTTTGGCCTACTTGTTTAGAAAATGTCGTTATCCAATAATCCATTTTCTCCTGGTCAGAAGAAAGATTTGGTTGAATTTGTTCATATTTACGAAATACACATTTATAAGATTCCCATCCATATTCACGAATCAATTGAGCATAGATAAATAAACCTACACCACAATTTTCTTTCCATTTATTGAACTGTGAACCGTTGTTGATGTACTCTTTCGTTCCAGAAATTTGATCTTTTAACCAATCATGTATCCATGGTTGAATGTGGCAAATTTTATCCATAGCGTGTAAAGTAAATATATTTACTGTTATTTCAGTAGTACCAGCAAACGCTAAAAATAGGAAACCATATTTCATTTGTTCGTTTGACAAAGAAGATTAAATACGTACTCCACCATGCTCGTTGTAGATTATGACCAATTTCATGGAATATACCCCATTCTCCTTTTTTCTTACGCGTTTCAATATTGAGTAGAAAACCATCCTGTGTATGATTACTCACATCCATATGTGTGACAATCGGATATCCACTGTCTAAAACATAGTCATTCATTGTTTCTATAAGAAAAACAATGGAAACGATTAGTTTCAATCTACTTACGCATATAACCAATGGATGGTTGTTCATCGCAAACAATTCGTTCACGACGATCGGGCTCTGTTCCACGTAAATCATGATGTGCTAGAACGACACTGTCCCAAAATTCTAAAGCACGATCGAGTTGAGAGGCCGTAAGATGTAAAACACTTTTCGAAGGTAGATTAAAGACAATAAATCGTCCAGCAATGTCAGCCCATAGACCTTCTGCTTCTGAACGTTTACTATCCCAGGTTATAAGACGATTGGCATCAGTTAAATCATACGTTGGTGTTAATACAACGTGATGCAGATTAACGGTGATGGAATTGGAATTACCCTCAGGACTTTGAAGAAAAAGTAAGCCACCGAATGCAGAACTCATTCGAATGGCTCCAGAAGATAGTGATTTACATATGGAAATGCAAGGCCAACGACGAAGCTGATCGCATCGCTATTTAATCAACAAAATTTCTATTTTAGATCATAAACGAGAAAATCATCGATGGGCCTCACTCCAAGATTGTCACTATGACAACCAATTCGTGCAGACCATTTATCAGATCCTTTTAAGTCTATAACATCGATCTCGATTGGAATACCAGCAGCCACATAGTATCCTAATAGAAAGTAGAACTTCTTTTAAATTTCACCTATGTTCTTCATGACTAATTTTACCAGTACAATGCCATTCAACCGTACTCGACTCAACAGTATATTGTACACCGGTCAAAATATGCGGTGGTCGATCGAAATCGCCCGGAAAATGTTGAATCCCTAAGATTCATATGAAGAAACTTTCTTATATCAATTAAATATGTATACCTATGTTTACCTGGCGCTTTAATGCCTGGTAAACCATACATAATTCCACAGATGCCTGTCGCTTTTTGTCGACAGTTTTCATTTTTAATTGGACATGTATTTACTGGGATGACATCGTTACCAGCACTCACAACAATGCAATGTAATGTTTCTGCTGGGACTCCAGGTAATGTATCACCTAATTCTTTGATAACTGACCCGATAATAGCTAACTTTTGTGGATCGTCTGGATGATGTGCGAGATCTTTAACAACATGATGAATACTTTTAAATTGTACCAAATCTGCTCGAAATTCAATTGAATTCGAACATCTCGAATAATTATCAGTCAATTTCACGCCAATATAATCGCAGAAACGAGTAAATGGAAAATCTGCTAAGGTTTTCTTACTATTGATTTGTAACCAGCCCCATGCGACTGATGCACATATTAAACCGCCACCGTTTTGAAGAAAATCACACTGAAATGACAAAGAAGGAAATATGCTAGTTTGATGAAGATCGTTCGAATATCTTTCGTTTGTCCTACCAAATCATTCATGAACACATCCGACTTTTCCCGATGTGCATTCCAAACAAGAATTTTGTTGTTTGTATTGATCTCATCCATCGACTGAACATTATCAATCGATAAAAACTCAACATCATGTCCGTTTGCGAGCCATTGTCGACAGTTTTCCACAAAGCGTTTGTTGTTTTCATTCACATTTAAGAAGAAGCCTGAATAGTCGCAGTGTGCAAATACTAAACAACGTCCACGACCAAATCGTGTCGCGACAATAATGGTATCATTGGAATCGGCTCCACATAGTACTGCACGAGTATCATTCGTCAATGGAATTAATGTTCCAGGACAGCCACGTTTCTCCAATGCGCATACTCCATTGAAAATAATGTTTGGAACTCGATCAAACTCCTTGTCATCCATGTTGCTGTCTTCTCTTTGAAATCAACTGAAATATATTTAAACAGGTTAGACGTCTTTTGACACAATGAATCACTCATGACGTCGTATCCACAAGTTACATTGTGGAGAAAGGGAAAAAGTAGGGCTAAAAATCCACATACATAAATGTTATTTTCTCCCATTTCCCATTAGTTTTTTCTCTCATAACTTAGTAGTCGATGTGTAATCCTCGTGTTTTTATGTAATCGAATTATAGATCAAATCCGTTTGATTAACCATTGTACGTTGTTCGAGAGTAAATGTCGAATTCAAATATAAATGAAGTTTTCAAAAACGGTTCTTAACATAAAGCTATTTGTCAAAGAATGCATGGTTTCAGTTTTACATGTTTTCATTTTCGCAGGAAAGCACTAAAATGCATCAGATTAAAATTACAGCTAGCCCTAGTTTATTTTCAAGTTTTAATCGGCCCGTGGCCAGAAACACGTTCTTAAAACAAAAAATGTCACATTCACTCTTATCTTATTCACGTAGTCTTCAGATTATGGTTACAATAAAACTGTTCACTTGAGGTACTTGTAAGAATGGATGCGATTCATTCGTTTTTTTTTCATGACTGAAGTCGTACAATACAATGAGAAGTGCATTCTCCGGTAATGGAAAGGAAGAAAGCGACATTCACGATTCACAAAATGTGATTGGTTCTTTTTACGTGCCAGTTCTATCGATTGTATTTATTTTACTTTATTTTTTATGATATCAACATTATTCACTCATTAAACGTCGAAAAATGGACGCCCAAGGTAGAAAAGTAATTGTCTGCGATAATGGTACCGGCGTAAGTGCACATTTTATTGAAAACTATGCCTATAATCGATCTGTTAATTTGTCTTAGTATATCAAATGTGGCTATTGTACGTCAAACTTTCCTGATTTTGTATTTCCATGTATGGTTGGTCGACCGTTGATTCGATCACGTGCTAAAGTTAATAACATTGAAGTTCAAGATATTATGGTTTGTGATGAAGGTAAGAATGACATAAAACATTTGTTTCATTCTATAGTTGTTTTGTTTTGCAGCACAAAAAGTTCGACAAATGCTCGATATTAATTATCCTGTTGAGAATGGTATTGTAACTAATTGGGAAGATATGAAACATATTTACACATATTTGTTCGGTCCAAAAAAAATGAATATTGAGCCAGATAAAGCAAAAATTCTTTTAACAGAAGCGCCATTGAATCCAATCAAAAATCGTGCGAAAATGTTAGAAGTCATGCTGGACGGATTTGGATTTCACGAATGTTCATTAGCCTATCAAGCAATTCTGACTTTGTACGCTCAAGGAATTTTAACTGGTGTAGTTGTTGATATCGGTGATGGTGTTACACATGTTTGTCCGGTTATTGATGGTTTTTGTTTACAAAATTCCATTGCACGTCTTAATATTGCTGGAAGAGATATAACAAGATATCTGATTCGTTTATTACTTCTTCGCGGGGTAAGAGTTATCCTATGAATCGATTGAGATTTCATCTGGATATCGTTTTGTCTTTAGTATGTATTTAACCAAACGGCTGATTTTGACACGGTTCAGCAGATCAAAGAAAAACTTTGCTATGTTGCACATGATCTTGATCAAGAACGACATTTAGCGTTAGATACAACTGTTCTTGTTGAAAGTTATACATTACCCGATGGGCGAACAATAAAACTGTCTGGTGAACGATTCGAAGCGCCCGAAGTGCTCTTTCGTCCATCGTTATTAGGCATGGAAGTTAGCGGTGTTGCTGAACAAGTTTTTAAAGTTATCAATAGTGCACCCATGGACGACCGAAGAAAACTCTACAAACAAATTGTACTCAGTGGAGGAACAACGATGTATCCAGGGTTTGGCACACGCCTTGAACGAGAATTAGAAAAACTTTACGAAGAACGGGTTCTTAAAGGACAAACAGATAAATCAGCGAAGAATGTCATCTGTATTGAAGCTCCGCCACGTCGTAAAAATATGGTCTTCTTAGGTGGCGCTGTTTATGCTAATTTAGTCAAAGATACGCCATCACAATGGATCTCACGACGTGATTATCAGGAACAAGGCATCGAACGATGTGTACAACGCTTGAATCAAATATGTCCACGGTAGAAGATCTGCAACGACAAAGAAACAAAGACATTGTTCATTTCATCCCGATAATTTCCATTTTTTTAATCCCGTCCGCTTTCTCTTGCTACGCTCATCTTTGCTAGTACAATTTGTTTTTCTCTCTCTATCTCTCTTGTTTATCTCATTTATCTTCTCTTATTGGGTTTATTTTTCTAGCACGAAATATTGCGTCTGTGTACAACTCTCATTCTTTTTATTATTACTATTATTTAACATGAAATGTATGACTACACTTGTAGATTGCAAATATTATGGTCGAACGAATACGCTGTGCATCGCTGGTACTATCCGTATTGAGCGTTGGTTTTCTTGTTAGCGGCATTCTTCTACTCACGTTTTCGGATGTCATCATTAAGAAGGCGGTGAAGAAGGTAGAAACATATTCTTGATGATTGTACAACTTTCTGTGATTTGAAAAGGAATCTCAATTGAAACAAGGTACAGTCGTGTACAAGTTATGGCGCGATTCGCCTGTGCCTTATTATATCTCAATTTATATCTTTGATCTGATAAATGAAGTTGACTTTCTCAACGGAGCGAAACCACAGTTGATCGAACGTGGTCCATTCGTTTACAAGTAAACTCATCGATCGATTTCTTTTACTTTCGTTCACTTATAAATATTTTCTCCAGAGAACAACGAACAAAGACTGATATCAAATTCTATCCAAATGGAACTATTTCCTATCGTGAATTACGTAATTACACATTTGACCGATCGAAATCAAGTGATGACGAAACATACAATATTACCACAGTGAATGTGGTTTATATGGTACGTGAAAAATAGACATTCAAAAGGTTCAATTAGAAGTCTTTGTCATTTTAGACATTGGTGAATTATCTTCTAACACAGAATGTTCTCAGTCCTGTGCGCAGTTTAATTGGTTTACTCTTATCAACTGTAGAAAAGCCTATCATGAAGCGAACGGTCAAAGAATATCTTTGGGGTTATCGCGATCCAATATTAGGCATGTTGAAAGATAAATTTCCATCGTTGGTCACCAATGATCAAGTATCCGTATTTGCTTCAGCGGTAATAACGCCTTCTTTCTCACGAAAGACAAGAATTCTATTGATATTTGTTAATGTAGGTCGATGAAGCTCAATATGAAACATATCTCATCAATAGTGGTGTTGGTTTCGATGCGAATCATACTGAACGTATCCGTGATCTTGGTAGAATCGAACGATTCAACTTCTCGACTAGTTTATCCATATGGTCGAATCAATATGCTAATATGATCAATGGTACTGATAGTACTATTTGGCATCCCGACGTTTCGAAAGATGAATTGATTTACTCATTTATGAACGATATCTGCCGGTCAGTTCATCTCAGATTTAATCAGACGCGTCAAAATATATTTAATATCGATATTTATCGATTTGCCTTACCCGATGATATTTTTGCTAATTCAAGTGATAACGAAGGATTCTGTACGAATATTTCGACCAGTGATAAAATAAAACCATTAAAATGTTTACCCAGTGGACTATTTTCGCTTACTCCATGTCTTCATTGTGAGTAAATACTTATCCTTTGGAAAGTGTGTTGAATAATTTCGTGAATTATAGTGAGTGGTAGCGCTGTGTCAATTCCATTGCCAATCATCGGATCGAATCCACATTTTCTCGCAACGGATCAAACAGTTCAAGATGCGATTATTGGTTTAAAACCAGATGACACGCGACATCGAAGTTACATGGAGATCGAACCCATAACTGGCAGTAAGCGATTGTCAAAGAAGAAGAATTCATGTAACGAAATCATGTTTTTTCCATACTAGTTGTAATGAATGGTTCGCGTCGAATGCAGTTCAATATCAATGTTGTCAATGATTCAAAGATAGGGTACATGATTTGAAGTCTAGACATTGCAAAATTGTGAATTTTTCTTGATTTGTTTTGAAGAGCAATTGCTCGTATTCAACCAGTAGTCTATCCAATGATTTGGGTCAACGAAGTATGTACAGATCATATAGTTTAGATTCGATCAGGATGATTTTGAATTTAGCATGCAGAAATTGATCAACCCAATGCAAATATGTTTCATAAGAAAGTAGCTGTCCCATTAGCAGTACTTGCTGTTCTTAAATACAGCTTTTTCACTATGGGCGTGACTCTTCTCTTGACAGTAATCGGCTTGGTTATCTACAGTCAATATAAAGTGAGTTTGATCTTCATTCCATCACTTTGTTTATGTTGTTGTTTTTTTGTCCATAGAAAAATCGTGCACTTGTACTTGTTGTCGATGAACCAGCAACCGCTGCTGTTGTTGATGATGAGCGCACACCATTACTCCAGTAATAATGAATTTCATGCAACGACATTCTATTTTCCTATCGCATTTTCGCCTCTTGTGAACTGATCTGTGCTTATGTTTTCAATATTTTCTCGTCTCATATTACAAATTCTACTAATCTGATCAAAATATATTCAGCTTTACTCATCACAATGTAAAATTTTAATTTATTTTATGAATTCTCAATAAATAAAACTGCTCACAGCGTTTCGTTGTTGATTCGTTTTTCACTGTAAGTTACTGGGAAATAAAGACGAAGAACAACGTGTATATACAAACAAGATTCTCTTTCACAATGTAAATTCTTCAATTTCTTCAACAACTGTTCTATTGGGCACGGATTTAGGAGCATTGGTCACTACTCTTGGTCGCTGAAGTCGATCGAGCGAGGTCGGAATTTTCGAATTTGGTTTTCCAGCTGTTGTCGATGATGATGATGCTGTTATTAAACCATTGTCAACTGTTGGAAGTGCAAAACGTGATTCGACGGTATTCGATTTTCCTAATGTTTTCGTAAAACTGTTATCGCGAGCAAGTAAACGATTGGTTAGCTTGTTGTCCGTATGATCAGAAGAATCACTCAGGCCAGTTGCCTTTTTACTTGTTGATGATTGAGCAGTGACGGGCTTACCATCGTGTAAATTGAGTACTGCTTGTTCGAAATCATAAACGCTTGTGACAACTCGCGGTGGTGGTTTCTTCTGTGTAGTATTTGTCGACAAAGTAGCAGGCTCAAAGGTAAACATTGATGTTCGAGGTTGTTTGTCTTTGGACTCTTCAGCAGTTAATTTTGATAGAAGATCATCTTTTTTCGATTCTTCTTTTTTATCATTACTAAAAACATTCATCCATTTATCATCGAAATTACGTGCAAGCGACGGTTTAGGTTGAGGCGGTGGTGAAGGTGAGCGCGGTTTTGGTGGTGGAAGAATGATTCTTGGCTGTGGTGGTGGTGAGCGTTTGGGTGAACGTGGCTTTCTATAGACAGCAGGCTCAATAACAATATCTTCTTCAAATTCACTCGTGTCGTCATCGTAACTTTCAGGTGTTGGCAAACGGTGAATGGGTGATTTGACTCGAACTATTCGAGTAGAGAAGAGCAGATTGATAATGTGCAGAGAATGGATAGCAGTGCAAAAGCTTACCTGGCTGAATGATCGGCGGTGTTTCTTCGCGTTTAATCGGAGGTGGTGAGGGTGATTTTGGTTTTACTTCTACTTTTGGTTTTGTTTTCGATTTCGATTTCAAATCAATCGAAGGCACATATTTCTTTCGCGGGGGCTTAGGTGGCGGTGTTAATGGCAATGGGGGTGGTTTGGGTTTATCTTTATCCAACTCACGACGTTTTCGATCATATTCCAACATTTTCTCTCGAAATTGTGGTGACGTGTCTGGAAGTTCTTGATATGAATGAGATTTTCTAAGGTTCTCAAATGATGAGTCCGATGGACGACGGCCGCCACGTTGAATGTGGATATGCATTGTATCAACTTGTCGTGTTTTTTCTTCAAGTTTAAGAAACAGTTCGTTACATTTCTTTGACTGATCATCTAAGTCATGTTTAAGCTCGCGTCGTTTGCTTAGATGTTGAGCCATTTCTTGACGGTGGTTTTGTTCGATATTTTGGATTTGTTTTTCCTGAAACAAAGACATAATCATGAATTGTTAGAGAAAAATAAAACCGAATTACTTGTTTAGTGATCTTGTCTTGAACTTTTTTCAATTGTTTGTCCATTTCTTTCAATCTATCGCGTAAATCCTCGTACTCTTCATATTCATCTTCGTGTGCGATTAATTTCTCATAGAATTTCATTTTTTTCGATTGATCACGATATTGTTCATCTTGTTCATCGACTTCTTTCTGAAGTTTCGCTTTTTCTTCCTTCTCACCACCGATTTGCCTTTTCACTTGATCAATTTCGTACTTGAACTCTTGTGCAACTCTTTGAGCATCATATTCGCGATCTTCGAATGTTCGAAGCGATTTTTCTTCACGTCTTTGAATTATTCTCAGAGTTTTATTTTCCGAGCGTTCTTGTTCCAATTGGCGTTGCAACAGAGACATGTGAGAACGAAGTTCATTCAATTTCTCATTCTGAGCAGATGATAAACGCTGCTCAGAATTGGTTTTCTTCGCTTGATTCGATGATGTCCGTTGTGCAGCACCTTTCTGTCGATTTTTTGGACGAAGATACGGTAGAAACTGTTCTTTGCGTGGTGTGCTACCATTAGTAACACTAAAAGATTCTTTCATTTCTGAATCACTACCGCGACGAGACGTGTCATACTGCCGTTGCTTCGATGTTGGTAACGAACTCTGCTTTTTTTTCTCGTCTCTATTTGTGTCATCATCGTACTCTAAATCAAATGAAGGCGATCAATATGAATACTTTCTAAAAGATTTGTAACGAACCTGATTCAACAGTATTGGCTTTTGATGGTTGTGAAGTTGGCGCATTCTTATCGTTTGTTGTCATGGATGTCGTTTTACTATTGACGTTAGCTGGAGTAATCAATATTTAGAGATGTCAGAGAAAAAGTGGTGAAATATTATGAAAACTGAATCTTACGTTTGGTTTCTGCAGGTGCTTGTCGAGGTGGTGGTCTAACCAAAGCCGCTATGCCTTTTGCTGTAGATGGATCAGCTTGATTTGTTTTGTTCTTATCATAATCGCTGTTTGACTTTGTTCCCGAGAAAAATTCATCAATATCCGAAGATGATCCATTACGTTTCGGCATGGTTTTGAATGACCAGAAGATTTATCTATTGTTGAGAAAAGAACAACGACAGAGGAAAAGAAGAAAGTAAAAAGAATTCTATGTCATATATTGACGCAAAACGAATCATTGCTGCTGCTACTATGCGAAGAAATCATCGTGCAGAGAAGAGTAAGCAGAACACATCAAAGAAACCAAGGTAACATTGTCGTCTTTGTATGTTTATGTTCATTTTACTCCTATACGAACAAAAATATACGCCAATAGTCATTGAAAAAAAAAGTAAAATCTGTCAACAGTTTAACTATTGCTTTCTCCGCTTTCGATCGAGGATTTTTTGGCTTCGTTCATTGTTTTTCTTAATGACAAAACTTTCAATAATTTATTCGTGCCAATCGAAATCATGTTCACGGAAGAAAGAACAAACTTGTTATGTGAGAGAAGAAATGTACATCAAACGTAACCAACATCTCGAAATCGGTTCGATAAGAACGAAAGCAAAATACTTCATTTAGCTATTATGTAATAACATATTTTTTTTTCTATGAAAAGCAAACAAATGGATCTCTCGAGTTCAGTACCAGATAGACATATCTTTTGTGCACGTATTGATCACTGATAAGTAGCTTTGATTTATTGTTTTCAATTTGTCAGTCCTATCAAAAAGAGCAAGAAAGAACAACGGTATTATCACGCGTTGATGATAGTCAACAAACAAGCGAAAAATATCTGATTGAGATAAGAAGAAGAAAAATATTATTCAAAACGATGAAACAATAGTCCCAAGAAGACCATCGATGATATCCAGTGAATCTGTCAGAGTGTAGAACAGTTGCGAACGATTTTCATTTAAATATTCCAAATAAGCTGGATAATCATTACATTCATTTAAGTGTTCGAGGTATTGAATATGTTGATCGAAGGATGAAGATGTTTTCATGTGAGAGTAGTTGATCGATGTCGACGATGTTTTCTTGAAATTGTCGAGAAGGCTACGCGCCCATGTACGTGAGTCTTTTTCAAAAGCTACTGGTCGATTATAAAGAGATTGACGTGTTAAGTAATCACTTGGCGAGAGTTGTTTGGAATCTAAAAATGATGATAAAATTAGATGAGAAGAGAAGGAGAATCGAATTGAATTACCATATTTTAAACGATTTTGTTCAATCTGCCATTGAATGTCTTGATCGTGTTTTAAGGTTTGAGCACGTAGATAATCCACAACACACAGACTTGGCGAACTGGTTGATATAGGTTGAAGTTTTTCGAACCAATCACATATTTCCTGGCGTTCATCGAGTGATGGTGAGCCAAGCAATTCCGTTATATCGAACATTTTCTTTGAGTTTGTGTGACTTATCAACTCTGTCGATGACAAATCGTTGAGAAGTGATGTGTCTGTTGGCGCTACGAACGAATGGTAATCACTTGTCGATAAATCGGACTTGGCTGGTATTGAACATTCATCTTCTTGCTCAAGTGTATTCAAAGGATCTGAAAAATGTGCATATGATTACGAAGAAAACGGAAGGCCCACATACCCATAGTGAACATCATGAGATCATCGTCTAAATCATGATGACGAGTTGAAGTCATGAATTCGTTCGTATTCACGAGCGCTTATACAATCTAGAAACAAAAAAACGCATCAAAGACATCTATTCTTCACCCGTTAAAAGTTTCTTACTGCTGCAATGTTTCAGTGAATACTGCTCTGTTTAACCTTCATCGTAATCATGTCAATGAAAACTTACTCGTTCATGTGTACTGCCGTCATTCAATGCTGCCGGCAGCTACGACTCGACCGTGCAACCTCAGCTGACTGTTGTATTGAATCAGTCGAATTAAACTCAGAAACTTTCTTTTGCCATTCAATGACATTCTCAACCAAGAACTATGTTGCTGATTATTTTATTGAAAATCAGATTTTCACTTATCTGACGAGACGATCAAACGAACTGGCAGAAAAACCGATTTCTTGAATGTGAGGTCACTCACGATTGAACTGATTACCTAATTAAATCAAACCTTACGTTCTATTCAACTCGAGAGCTAACGATTATACAAGCACTTTTCATATAATATCATTTAGACAGTAAAGCAAAGGACAAAGACAAGTGTAAGTTGCACGAGAAGTATGTGTACATGTTGCTGCCATGGACTTTCCTCTTGTATCTCCAATTTTTTTCGTCGATAGATGTCGCGTCGGGCTTTTCTTCAAAAATGAACGGAGGCAGTGGAAAGCATGTAAAGGTTCTTACGTGGCTTATTTTTTCTACCGACTACGACTACGTTCCACCTCCACACACGTGTTTCTTTTTCGATCGATTCTTATTTCCAAAACACTCGAGTATCTTCGAAAGTAAGAGACGCAAAAAGATAAGAGCAACGTTTTCTTAGTTCACGTTTCAATTCAGAAATCCAATTATGCCGGCTAATCACTCAAAACGGAAACGAGCTAATGAAGTACATAGCAGTAAAATAACACAACGTGGTAATGTACCAAAAACAAACAAACCATCGGAATCGAAAACACCTGTAGGCCCATGGCTTTTGGCATTATTTGTTTTTGTTGTTGTTGGCTCGGCTGTCTTCCAAATCATCCAAAGCATTCGAATGGCATAAATGATGAACGTTTTTTCTTATTAGTTCTCTTTCGTTCTTGTTTTTCTTTTCAAATGCTCCTTTTGTTTTGTTTTGTTTTTACCGAAGAATGATTGTACGAAAAACTGTTCATTAGGATGATAGAAGCAGTTCACTATCATCTTCATTTCTCTTATCATCGTTGTTCTCTCTCTTCTTATTTGTACTTCATTTATCAACAGAGATTTGCAGACATATATACATCGACGTACACACACGCCGTTTTCTTTTGCCTTTTGAGACATACCAGAGCTATTCTAGCTATGCAAGGCAATTCGAAAGTGCAGCAATCTTTTCAACTTCACATGTTTTTGTTTTCTTTTTTTGGTTATTTGGGTGCACTCATCTAGTTATGAGCACGAAATAAAACGAATGAAGAGAGATGCATCTATACACTGAAGTCTCATTCGAAACAACTGATTTAGCCGCTTTCTTTCCTTTGATAGTGAGTAAGATGATAACAACTGAGTAATAGAAAAGACAAAGATAAATTAGGCAAGCCACCAAAAAACTACTCCTTTTCCTCTTTGCAGATTTGTAATCGAATGGCTGATGTGAACAGTTTGAGACAGCGGTTGTCACTACTCGTCGATGAGATTACACGTGATATTCAAGTAATTGAAACAAGTAAGAATTTTTCTTATTTCAAAGTACGTCAATAACTTCTGTTTGTTTTCTACAGCACGGAATTTAAATTCAAAACATCGTGTGGAATTATCTATTAATGAAGCAACACGACTGGTAAGTTGAAATTCATAACGATCGATAAGCTATCGAATAGCATTTCAGGCACGCGATCTTGAACGTCTCGATTCAAGTTATGGACGTGAATATAAGCAACGTATCGATGCTATTCGTCAACGTTTAGTATGTTGAAATATGTATCTTATTTCGATGTTGATTTCAAATGATTTTTCTCTGCAGGAAAATGTCAGTCGAATTCCTGTTCACGGAGCTTGGAATTCTGGATTTGATCCTGAAGTTGATGTGAGTCGAATAGATTTATATTGAACACCATATCCTCTAGTTGATTTCAGAGACTTGGACAGCAACAGCGTGATGCTCTCCTACGTGGTCACGCTTCCTTAGTACGTACTGGTGAAGCATTAAATATCTCTCGACAAACAGCACATGAAACTGAGCAACTCGGAAATGAAATCATGGCAGATTTAACTACACAACGTGAAACACTTCTACGTACACAAGACAGAGTAAGACGATTTCGTTATTATCAACATCGCCATCGCATCACGTGAATATTTGTAGTTGAATGAAGGAAATGAGCATTTGAAAGCTGGTAGCAAAACACTTCGATTAATGTATAGCAGGTAGGAATTGATCATCACGTATTGTTTACATGTTTTCATCTGTTTTTTCTTTCGTTGAAGAGTTATCATGAACAAAGTACTCCTAATCACAATCATTCTCGTCGAACTTGGTGTTTTAGGTGGTGTTATCTATTGGAAATTCTTTTCAAAATGAACACAGAAACAAAATTCGAATGTAAAAAAAAGAAACATTTCATCAGCTTTACACATATGTTTTCTCTTTCTTTTTGTTACCAGTTGATTCATTTCTCTTTTATTCATTTCACATGTGATTTTTCCTTTTCATTCGATGAATATAATGTGTTATTTATTCAATGTTCTAGATTTATCTCTTGTCGTAGCAGTTTCTCCTCTCAAATGAATAGTAATCTATCATTACAATGGGAAAAATTGTCACGACCTGGCATCTGTACTGTAAGAAGTCCATTTCTAAGTACAAATCAACCATTAAACACTCGTTACTTTCTTCTCTAGCTCTTCTATCGAGAATATCCATTAATGGAATTACGCGATGATGCTTGTCAACGAATACAGGAGTTTCTCTATAAAATCCTTCGTTTCCTCCTGCGACAATATCCACATCGAGCAGAATTGGAACAATGGTGAGAGAAAACCGCATGTGTATTTCATAGATCGTCTCTTCATTAAAGTATCAGCTGGTCATGACTAGTGCAATTTGATTTAAAATGCTTCAATTCATAACAGATTGTTTCTGAAGCAAGAGAATATGTACTCAGGATGTTGAAATCGAGTTCTTAACATTGACATATGTTTCCCTTGCACAATTTTGGGAAAGATTAATCAAATAAATGATTATCTCTAATAAATACGATACCAGTTTAAAATATCGGTATTTAGACAACAAACATAAACAGAATTTATCGGAAATACATAAATATGAAAGATGATTAACGTAATTCTTGTCAAATTATCATATTATACAAATTGATACAGATGTTAGCGAGAAGAAAAAGAAAAGGTGTTTTAATCATTAACAGATTGATCTATTTGAATAGTAATAAGAGAAAGACAAACGATTAAAGACTCAATTTCTCTTTTTCTATTCATATCAAAATCCTTCTTTCAACATAAAGGTCAGAAAACATCGGAATGATACATCATCAATCGATAGATCGTTTCTTTCTTGTTATTATTCTTACTTCGTCGTCTCTAACTATAAACATACGTTGTGTCGATATCATCTTTCGATTGTTATTTTCTCGAGAAAATAATTATCTCTCGATGCATACAAAAGAAAAAGGCAATGTCTACATCAGATTGTCTGCTTTTAGGTTATATATTAATTATCCAGAAGCACAATATGCATTAAATCGGAATAGTCGAAAACGAATCTTCTCAATCGATCAACTACAAACATTAATTCATAAAGTTCGAACAAATCGATTGTATCTTTATCTTCGAATATTCTATTTGTTCTTCTAGGAATTTGGATCACATAATGAAATGGATATTAGCTATTTAGCAACCACCTTGGAGCATTGTACCAAAGATTTATTGAAGGTTTGTTGATAGAATTTCATAAATATCGCCATTTATCTTGATTGATTCTAGCTCGCTCATGATTATGTTAATCGATTGGGAAAAAACGAAATTGTAGCGAATGATATCGATCTGATAATGAATGCTGATACGGTAACGCGACTTGTGCTTATGCAACAATCACGCATTCGTTTGCTTGAACTAGATTTTTGTTGAAATACTTCGTTCTGATTTGAATCATACATCGAACACTTCCTCGACATCGACTTACACCATAGACACTTCCATCGCGACGATGTCTTACAACGAATTAATTCGACACTTTATCATCACTGAAACGCAATATAAAGACGATTTAGAGTTGTTGATTAAACTATTTCGAAATCCTATTCGGAAATTCTTTGAAGATCAACCGGAGGTGAGAGCACATTTGCTCGACTCATCGATTTCCCGCAATTGTGCGAATTGTTTCTTTTAGATAATTGATGATATTTTTGGTTGTTTGGATGATATTTATGAACTAACAACGAAATTCCTCTCCGATTTAGAAGATGCGAAAGAAATGCGTGATGATAATACGAAGAACATCTCGTTATACGAGCCATTTCAAAACTTTATTGAAGTAAGTATGCAAGATCAACGTGATAAATGACATATTTGCATGGTAAAAAGTCAAATCCGTTTTCCGTGATAAGATTTTGTCAGGAATAATGGATCGATGCTTTTGTTTTTCAGGGCAACGAGTTTGAATGTTATACAAAATATACTCATACCATACTTGCCACAGATCATAACGATCAATTGAAAAAGCTGTTTGATCATAAACATGTCAAAGAATATTTGGAAGTATGTATGTTCTAATGTTGAAGTCTCGTTTTTTCTCATAATCTTAATAATCTAGGCAAAAGCAGACCAAATGAAGGAGACGTACCGCTATTTACTACCGACGTTGTTGCATACGCCTATCCATCATTTCCAGCAATATCTCATTTATCTTGAAGTGTGTAGAGTTGTTGCTTAACTTTAGTCAACAGTTGGATCTCTTTTTTCTCTTCGAAGAAATTGGCGTTATTTCCTGAATCGGAATCAGCACAATTAACGGATGTTTTGAGTGTTCTTCGACAGAATAGTTATCACATGAAGCGATCAAAACTGAATATGTATGTCAAAACGTCGTCGTATAAAGAACCACTGTTTGTCTTTCGTAGAAATTTGAGCATTCATTCGTTTACCATGCCGAAGTTAAGCGAAAATAAAACGAACAATTGGAAGAATATCATCGAAAATTGGGATCTGAAAGAGTCAACCTCATTAATCGACAGTCATTTAAAACATATTGTTATACAAAATTCGAACATTGTTACCAGTGTCGATCGACGTGCAATCCTATTTTCAACTGTGCTGTGCTTATGCAAAGCCGTGTCCAATGACAAATGGAAATTCAAAGAGAAAATTTGGCTGAGAAAATTCAATATCAACAATGAGATCACCCTTGCTGGTAGAATGAAGTCATCCATTGATACTGTCTATCACAGTTTTTCTTGTTTTTAGATCATCCTCATATATTTGAAATACAATGTGATGACAAGAATTATATTTTACAGGCTCGATCGGAGCAAGACAAAGTTCAATGGTTATGTTTATTGATGTATATACGAAACAAAAGGTTGGTATGAGCTTATTCTATCAGATTCGATCATGTTTCGATGATTTTAGTGTTTTGCAACGTGAATTGTACAATATTCTTGTCAATGAAGATGCTCAACAGGTTCTATTGACACCTGATCCATCTCAATACAAGTAAATTTCTCTGCACACTTTTGAGGCAACTATTGTCATGTATGTAATGATTAGATTTTGTACTCCAAACTCGCCGACGAACATATTAATCGATTATCATACAAATGATAAATCGTCCTCGTCGCCATCATTCACAATTCGTGGCGCAACGATCGAAAAGCTCATTGAACATTTGACACATCATCAATTATTGCATCCACGTTTTGTCAAATCATTTCTTATGACTTACAAGTCATACTGTTCGCCATTGGAATTGTTAAATCTACTCATTGAACGATACAACATTCCTGAGCCAGCATCTTCACATTTGTACACAGAACAGCAACTGAAAAAGTTCCGCAAAGAATATGTACAACCTGTGAAACTAAGGTAAGATAGATTTTCTCACAAGAACATTTCCGTACAACATTTGTTACTTTCAGAGTGTTGAATGTAATTCGGCAATGGGTCGATAAATATTTCAGTGACCTTGTTGAGTCGAATGACTATCTACTTGATCAATTACGAAATTTTCTACAATCAGTTTCGAATACAGGTGGATTGTATCAATTTAAAACGAGTATTTTAAAATTGATTGATAAACAGGTTTGATTCGTTTGTCTGGGAAACGATTTGTTTATCATTATCTCGAATAGACTGTCGATTATGAGAATTCGTCGAAGAAAAATCAACAGCAAGATTTAATTAACAACGAACGGGATCAAATTGAGGATTTAGATGTTTTTCTCGTAAGTTCATTATTTCCATAGATTTCAGTTCTATTTATTTCATTTTAGTTCGATATGAAAGAACTATCTGATCAAATCACATTGATTTGTTCAAATTATTTTCGTGCTATCACTTCGCAAGAGCTACTCTATCGTTTACCAAACTTATACAATCTACAAAACTACATGAAATTTCTCGATAAAGTGGTAAGTTTGTTAAGCGTTGACCAATCACCTAGCAAACAACAAACGATTTTTCTCAGCTTGGTTTTTGGTGTAAACGTTCGATTTTGGAAACATCGAATTTAGAAGAGCGTGTGGCAGTTACCGAACGTTTCATTCAAATCGCCATTCGAACTTACGAAAGGAAGAATTTCGCCGCTGTCTTCGCTCTGATCTTCGGAGGAATCATCGATTTAGAAAAGTCACTACCACATACGTGGGACGTAAGTGAACTATTTGTCATTGAAACTGGAAAATGATGAAAACTTATTCTCTAGCGATTAAGCAAACAAAGTCGAACGTTTGTAACACTAGTCGATGACATGCTCGGTGAGGATTCACATTTTAAATTATATTTCGAGAAACTACGACAGAGTCCTCTACCTGTTGTACCATTTATCGGTAAGAGAAACATTTTCTGTATGTGATTGTTGAACTGTCTATTCTGTTTGTTAAAGCAAATAATCAAACACGTATTGCGCAAATGAAAGAAAAACACAATATGATTATTTTGCCAACAGGCGAAATCTTGATAAATTTCCGAAAATTCCAACAAATCGGTGAACATCTCTCGGAAATTCAACAATATCAAAACATGCCGTACGATATTCAACCAAATTATGATATTCAAAGAGAATTGAAACGATTGAATCCAATGAGAAATTTTCCAGATGAGAATACTTTTCAAAACTATTTAGTAACACTCAAAGAACAAATTGAACCGGCTGATCAGCCTCCAAAAGTATTTGTAAGTTGCAAAACACTGTCCGCCGTTTCATCGAATCCATGTTTTCTATTAGCCAACACGTCGACCAACAAGTACATGGCGTTCACATTCACGTGTCTCTCGTCTGTTTATGATCCCCTCGCATCCACGAACATCGAGTCAATGCGATGAGCAACATCGGAAATCGACGTCAGATATCTCTTCTCGTAAAGACACTCTTGGCGTTCCAAGACAAGACAATCCAAATACCTTTCTAGGCCGACAGGCAAGTTTGGATATCAATACACTAACTTCGACAGATACGTTTGCTTTTGACAATTCTCTTTGTGAATCAACGGATGAACTACAATCAACGACAAATAAAGTACTACAACCTCCACCTGTACCTCCCCGACTGCCTCGTCTCGGAAATGGAAATAATAATAAAAGTTCATCTCCTAGTTAAACAACGAACTCATCGTCTATCAGATGTTTTTGTTATATATAAATATATATGTTTATTGAGCGCGTGTCTTTCATAAATTATTAATGCTGTAGATAATAAATTATAGAAAAAATCAGATCTGAGTCATTTTGATATTCTCCTAGAATTGAATTTATTTACAATAAAAAAGAAATCTATTTCAATCTTGTTTCTCTTCTTCGTCTTCTCCGATCATTCTCTGTTCGTACAGAGTTCGAATATTTTCATCTGCGATTAATGTTGTCAACTGTTTCAAAGTCAATAGATTATCAACGATATTTATAGTAACGTGTCGACAATTCTTAATATCTAGGATATTCAGTCGTTTTAGTTTACGACAGAGAGAATGGATTGTGTCATCATTGATCCGAGTCCCACCGAGATAAAGTCGACGAAGTGTCTTACTGTAGAAAAGAAGTGTATCAATTAACATCGGTGTCGCTATGATACGAAAACAACCATTAAGATTAAGTTCAACTAATTTCGGACAAAGGCCAGGTAGATAACTAATCGATTTTGCACCAAGACAAGCAGAGTTTTCGAAAGATAGAATTTCTAACTGTCGAAACGCCAGGCTTGCCGGTTTGTTTGATGATTGAAGGAATGCTGATGATCCACTCATATCTGTCGCCAGCATCTCACATTTAGTTAGATAAAGACCTTGCAGATTGGGTGGTAAGTCAGTTATGTTATCGATGACTCTTGGATTGGTATGAAAATCATAACGCGATAAATGTAGATAGCGTAGATTTGGATAGGACGTGTGAATTAATGAGTTGAGTTGTTCAGTGAATGGTGGCGGCTTGCCAGTATTAATATGAGTTGAACCTCCGGACAGTTTCAGAACTTCTGTACATTGGCGAGGAAAACGATGCAGAAATTTCATCACCTCTCGATTGGAATACGATTTAGTAGTTAAATCAATAGTTGTCCAAAACTCTGAATCGTATGCGATAGTTCGAAACCAGTGGCAAATTCTATTCGAAAGTAAAAATATTCCACATCAATGAAGTATTCATACATACCCTGCCGCAGTAATCAGTTCAGCAGTGGTGAAATATTTAAATATTTTCAACAATGTTTCATCAGGTAATTGAAATATAAATCCATCTTGCAAAACACGTTCTTCTCGAAGTTCTCTTTTTCGTTTATTACGAGTATTCAGAGACATTGAAAATAGTCTTGACAAAAAAAGGTTGTCAAATATATATTTATATTTTGCAAAATGTAAATGCTAAAACAACATGCTGTCAGTCATTGCACAATTGATATGTAATTTCAACGAATGATCCAATGAAGTGAGAGAACAAACCTCTGTATCATGGTATATAATGATACTACCATCTATTGATCCATTGAAAAAAGAAGCTCTACCATATCGTGTGATACGTAAGCAAAGCAGTGTAGAACATCTTTTAAGTTTAATGTTTACCAATGAAAAAGAGCATATTCTGGTGTGTTTTTCTTGAAAGTTTCGATTCGTGCACGATAGTGTATTATTTACGATGCAATGATTCTATTCTAAGGCTATAGCGTCTGCTGTCTGCGCCCTCATTGATCTCGCATAAAGATATGAGAAAATATTTTATGATGCACTTTGTATTTGACATTATTGCGCATTCGATGCGCTGTGTTCTTTAGTTCATTATCATGCAAAGTAACTAGTTGATTGAAGATAATTTCGGAGTCGAACTTTTCAAGCTGAATTATTTTGTGATCGTGTCTTGTATGAAACTCTGAAATTTTATTGTTAGTTAGTAATCAATTAACGCATCACTAGAACTCAATTAATTGTCAATGTATAAATACTGAAACCAGCGGTGTGAAAATGATCGTCCATCCTTTGACATGATTATATTGGTTTCAATACACAGTGATTTTTGAAAAATTGTTGCTCACTTCCTAGGAGCTTGTATGCAATGGTTCGAAATCGTTGAGAAACTCTATTCAAAAGTAAAATATCCCACATCAATAAAGTATTCATACATACCCTGCCGCAGTGATCAGTTCAGCAGTGGTCAAATATTTAAATATTTTCAACAATGTTTCATCACGTAATTGAAATATAAATCCATCTTGCAAAACACGTTCTTCTCGAAGTTCTCTTCTTCGTTTATTACGAGTATTCAGAGACATTAGAAGTTGTCTGAACGAAATAGTAGGCAGATATACTAATATTTCATGAATCGGAATGTTGGTAGAATAAGCAGTCAGTTATCATCTAACTGATATGAAATCTTACTGAATGATTCAATGAAACACAAAAGCAAAAACAAACTTCTGTGTCATGGTGTATGTAATGACATTACCTTCTTTTGGTCAACTCAAACAAGGTTTGGTATATCTTGTTATAGATATGTAAACATAGAACATCATTTGACATTGATATTTAATGCTGAAAAAGACTACATGAGTTTGAGAGAAAAGATCTACTGGACTAAAAAAAGCATTGATAGCTGAATACATAGTAATAGATAACCAATCGAACGAAAAAAAAAAGAAACGTCCATCAAATATGTATGCTTGCATAACTTATTTTTTCACATCCGTGCCTTGCATATTGGCAGATTGATAATCAGCTGTTGCTCGTTTGTAATGTTCATTATTTATCAAATCATTTTTGTCCTGATTGCGACGATTGTTCATCATTTTGTAACAAAGATCTGAATAGAAATCGATAAAGAAATTATCAATACACTAGTTAATCTCGCCTTACAAGCAGTAACTGCAAGAACAACAATTGTACCGTATTGCACAAATGGTGAATCCAAAGATGTTTTATTGTCAGAATCACTAAACAGAGCCATTATATGTTACTACTCAGAAAGGCATTTTCAGGATTACTTTGATGATGAAGACGATGTCTTGGGAGGCTTGCTTGAGCTTGACGAAGTTGACTTAGAAGTTTGTTTATTCTTTAAATCAACATTGTCATGATCTAGAGGTGGCGCATCGGAACTCGTCTTAGTCGGATTTGTATGATCGGAAGAGGTTGAACTTTTTGGTAGAACTGAAGAATCTCCTTTTTTTGTCCCGCCTGTTTGTGAAACAGTCTTTGTTGTGCTACCTGATAATGGTACACCCTAAAGACCAACGGTTTTATTAGTGATAAACGTTACTCAAAACGATTACATACCGAGGGGAAACAGCTGATCATCAGATTCCACGATTCTAAAGAAATCTAGTGATCCTTAGCGATTCTGAGACATTCGAAGGCTACAGAACCAGCTGTTCCCCCCTCCTCTTTCTTACGTACAGAGCCTGGTGTAGGAGGAACGTTTTGGCTGGCTTGTGCACGAGCAATTAATGCCGGTACATAGCGAGGCAATTGAAATAATGCTTGGGTTCGGCTAAGAAAGGAAGCCATAAATACGCAAAGAAGAACGATCTGAAAAAAAGAGAAAAATCGGAAATCCTAATTCGCTATATAGTTGTTTTTAATTTCAAGAGCAAGGATAGAGAAAAACCAGAAATGTTTGTTGTCTCTTTTCTATGGAAAAAGTCAAGTTCATGAATTCGGCTAAGATAGAGCTTAATGTGCCTTGGTATTGGTTGACGGATTGACTGCTTCTCGGGGTTTCTTCGCATGGTGTTCTTCGGCAAGTTTAGCATGAACATCGGATTGACCTTGAAGATCAGGTCTCGTTACACGTGCTTGTTTATCGCGAAAGTTGGCTTTTTGATCAGGTGAATTGCCCGCCAACATCTTATAGGCAGCATCTATGAAACGCAATATTAAACAATGAGTCGTTGGCTCTCGCATAAAAATCATATTTACAGATGGATAAAACAGCAACGGCTACCATACCAAATTGACCAACTGGACTCTTCAATAGTGATTGATGTCTATAGAAGTACAAAGAAAACTCACTGGAACTGTATCATCTTGTGGGAACTCACGATTTATCTGAACCACCTTGTGCCTGATGATGGGACTGTTTAGCATCACCAGTTGTTTTTGTTGGGTTGGTATGATCGTCAGCTGTTTGAGCGCCTGGTAACATGCTCGCACTGCTGCCACCACCGATACCACTTCTTTTCGAACCTGATGGACCATCAGTAGCAATGAATTGGCCTGAGCCAGATACGATATGATGGCCACTTTTAGCTTCGGGTACTTTGACTGTTGAACCTGGTGGTAAATTATGTGCATTCATACGTGAAACATAGAGAATGTTCGATGCTGCACGTGGTACAAGACGGCAAAGGTGCGACATTTTGTACTTATAATAGTAAATATCTGAAAAAATAAACATTCATGTCGTTTTGTATTAAATAACCGAATATTTATCATATGAATACGATCTTTAATCGTAAAAGCGTGTTTGAAACTGAAAAGTTTGGCATTTGCTTTCGCAGCCCTATTCTCATAGTGTCAACAGATTTAGGTACTTTTCTCTCAATGGATTCTTCGCACGTTTCATAAAAAGCACGTGCTCTTGACTGATGTATACTATTGACCACTTATGACACGCAATGGTTAAACAAAAGATTTTAACAGAACACAAACCACGAGAATATTGGGTACTAAGTCGATGGTAAGAAAATAAGAAGAAAAATAAGTAATGAATTTTCAACGAATTCCTATTGGTCGATCCACACCATTACACTCATCTCTCGAATCTCTTTTATAAAAACTTTTTCGACAAACAATTCATCAAACAACGACTTTCTTATCGTAACTTACGATAAACTTCATCAAGAAAATAAGAAAATAAACAAAAAATACCGTCTTCAAAATCGATCGCATGGACACTAGCGACACACGATGGCGCATATATCTAATCCTCGCATGGACATGTAAAGCTATCGGAGCATGAGTGCTAATTTCTATGGTAATAATAATTACGAACTCTTTTGACTTGCATACATATGATGTCAATCGTTTTGCATTTCTAGCGCAACTTAAACAATGTACTTGTGTGTAAAATCTTTCCTTGTTCTTGATCACCTAGATATTAATGAAATGGCTCAGTAAATTGTTTCCTGGAATAAAATAGTATCTTTTAATAGTTTCCAACTATTACATTTTTCATTTGCCAGCTACGATTATCTCTTGTTCAGCGCACATAAACAATGTGTTTTCTATATTTGTAAATGTGCACAAAAAAATAAAAAAATACAATAGACGACAGTCAATGTATCGTTTGTTTCTGTTTCGCTAGAGCATTATGTCTTCACCTTGATTCGAATTGGAATTTAAACTATCTTCATCATCGAACGCATATTTTTTAAAACTTGACTTTTGTTTGTCATTACTCGACCGGCAATTACTATTATCACGCGTAGAACTAACAGATGGTAGTTTCGCTTTCGGTTTAACATTGTTTTGTCCTAATTGAAATGACACGCTTTTGTTGACAATGAAGGGTTGTACTACATCTTCAGTATCATTGTTGACGACTGATTTCGATGCGCCATCGTCGATTATTGCTTCCTGGACAGGGAAATTTGTAGACATTGGTATATGAGAGGTGAATTTAAAACTATTAACTTGGGCTTTTAATTGATTCGTTAAACGCATGTTTTTCTCGGGATGAATAAGAATGATGTAAACTTTGGGTGAGAATAGGCAGAACAATGCCACTGTTGCGCATAGTGATATGGTTACACAAAGAGTTGTGATGTGCACCTTGAAAAAAGAACAGAGGAAAAATGAATTAATGAAAATCGTCGTCAATCTCATAAACGGTTTTACTTGATGACGACTCGTCTCATCTGCTGTGAAGTAGATTGGAAGGAATGCTAACCTATGAAAGATGAACAAAAAAAAAAGTTCAGGGAGATGAGTTAGTTGCCTAGCAAAGCTCAACAAACCATATTATGCATGTTGTATAGCATGTGAAGCCAATAAATTTCGTTTCGTTGAAATTTTCTGGCACTTTTCGAGTACGTATTGCATACATAGTACATATAAGTACCAGAAGAACGTTATAAGTTAATGAAAATAGAAATGAATGTTTATTCATGTGACATTTGAGTATAATGAATCGATTGTGAGTGATGGATTCAACATATGGATGTTCATACGCTAACCAGAGAAGAGAAAGTAATAGCTGAACGGTAATCAAGCATGAACAAATAGCAACTTGAGAGTTCGGCGAAATATATTGAGGACGTAATCGACCTAAAAACAAGCATTTTGTAATGACATTCTCTCGGAGAAGATTTTCTATTACCTTGTTTCTTCGCACTAGTAAATATTCTTGCGATACGATTCGTTTTCGTTAACAATGCAGCATACATCATAGAAAATCCTAGACCGATGCCTAATCGTTGTATAATACAGGTAATTATGTGCGGTTTGAGTAGAAATGGAAATGTCATTGTATAGCAGAGATGAATACCACCTAACATAATGAAGCAAAGTTCCTTTCCGCTGGCTTTCACAATTGGTGTTTCTCGTTTTTGATAAAATAGGATGACTACAAATAGAGTGAGAATATTTCCGGCGAGTGATAAGCCAATGGGAAGAAGTGCTTGCATAGAAAGAATTTCAATATAGGTTTCTTCGAGTTGGTAGCATGATGTTCGGTTTGCCGTTGGCCAATATTTATCCTGACATGGTTCGCAACGTTCGTTTTCATCGGTGCCCGTGACAATCGATGTTTCATTACATGCCGTACATACCCAACAGCATGAATCTCCTTGAAACTGTTTCACTTCTCCGACACGACATGGTTCAGAACATCGTGATATCGGAATTATTGACGACGAAGATGTGTTATAAACGCTCGAGCCGGGCCAAACAATGGCACCTATATCTAAATTTAACTGTCCACGTTCGTTGCGGCCAACTTTCCATTCGCCTACGGATACGTATTCGTATGGTAACACATTTGTATCAGCGGATGTGACGTTTGAACGACGATAATTATATATCCGATAATGTCCAGGAACAAAGCGTTCCGAATTAAACTGGATTTGTCGAAAATCAGGCACTAGACAAAAAAAGGAAATAGAAAGCTGCTGAATTCTTTCTGGAATAATGAAAATTTCATAGATTCTATTCTGAAATTGCTTTGACAGATGTATATGCAAGTACCAAACCTACTTGAAAATGGTTGTTCGAGAATTAGTCGAAATAATTTCGTTCCATTGATTCCGTTTAACGATGCGTTTGTACAGGATGATGTTGAACAGTTAAAGTACATATGTAATGCTTGAGCAAAGACATATGTGGCATCGACAATGAATTGCAGTTTACTATCCCAGTTCGTTTCGTTCAACCGTTGATTTCGACATTCGATTGAAGTTTTCAAACTACAACCGAACCGAAGTTCCCAAAATTCGTTGAACCAAGGATTTCTCGATGCAATTGTTTTCGGCTTTTGATTGTCTTCATTTTCGCCATCACTTATCTGTGTCAAATCAGGTTTAAGTGCATTAAAGTATCGATCATAGTTGACAGGTTGCATCGATATCAATTCTAATGTCAATGCTCCAACAGCAATCTCATCCGTTTCGCCATGTATAACAACGGATGATTCTTTTCCCTAGAAGGTATACTTGAAAATGTAAAATCGAATAAAGATTCGTTTTCCTGTTACCCAAGCATCGCTGGCAATGAGGACAGGTCGATGTGTAACATTGATCAATTTCACCGCTTGCAATAACTTTCTGGCGTCTTCTTTCGTGACAAATAAAACATAGACGCGTACTTGAACATCGGACTTCACTCGGTCGATCATTGTTTGTAAAATAGTCCGAATTTCTTGAATCGATGCATCGCGTTTCAAACGCTGCTCATCGGCAATGCAAATTCGCCGTTGCTTCTTCTTATGTACGTGAAGATGATTATCATCTTCGTCGACCGTTGCCACTTTTAGTAAACGTTTAAATTCTCGAAAGCCACCTTCGCCATAATCACCATGCGAATAAATTGTATTTACATAAGTAAAATTTAAATGTCGAAGAATATCCACAATCGCACGCGCCTGATTTGAATCGGACGGGACAGTTCGTGCAAAGTAATCGAATGATGCTTCGCTTAACTTAGGTGTTGTTGATGCATAAGATATCTGTGGTAATTGAAATAAACGTAATAAATTCGCAACATGTACACTAACTGAACTTAGTGTTGCGCCCACAACACCAAACACATTGTCATTATGAAACGAGTCCGATGTTGATGTATTGACACATGTGCATGTACCCGATGCTAGACGGCTGCGAACGAATCGTAATGATTGCTCTAACGCATAGTTATCATCTGAGCATGTATCTAAGATTAATGCACCTAATGTAATACCTGGCAAGAGATGTATATCGTTATTAATCTGTTCGATGGCAAATAACATTGCTTCTAAACGTTGAATTCCGCGAAATTCACTTATAGCTCCGCACGTTTCTCGTGAATTGCCGTATTCGTGTACCGGAAATAGGCCACCCAGTATAACGTCACCTGCACGATGTCCGTAGCGTTCAGTTGAGATGAGTGATGGGTAGGAGAATGTTAGAAAAAGAATGAGGGTCAAAGGTTTTAAATTACAATCAAACATAATGTAGTCTATTCGAATCTAGAAGAAAAGAAAACTAGAATGAAATTAAATGAAACATGATCAGGGAAGACAAGATGCGCACGTTGTTGTTGATGGGTAACGAGTTTTTTTTTTATTATTATTTTATTTCCATAAGTTCCTTCTCGATATCTTCCTTACAAGCTTTGTAATTTAATCTATTTGATAAAAACAACAAAAAGGAAGAGAGAAAGTTTTCTTCGTCGCTTCTCTTCCTAACATGACTACAGTCTTCTCGACTTCTACTCTCTCTCTCTCTTGCTCGATTCCAGTCATCTCCTCCTTTCCCTTTGGTAATTACCAGTTTTTCTCTATCCCTCTTTCTCTCTTTCTCTCTCTTGTGACATCTTTTCTTGATTATGTCAGACGATTCATTAAATTTCGGCGGATTTTTCCTTGAAAGTTTTTCTTGAGATACCAGCTATATAATTATCTGTTGCTTAGCTTGCTTGACTGAACTCTCGTTGAAAATCACTGTTGATAAAGAATACAATTGACATGTTATTTGTTCACTAAACGCATTGTCAAACATATTAGAGGGAAAAAAAACATGGACACAAAGTTCTTCATTTCATCGTATTCATCCATTCAGTGCTCATCGTTTTTTCATTATTGCAAAACTAGGAAAAAAGCAAATTTCGTTAGTGCCTATCATAAACAGAGCGAACAACAGGCCCGTCTCGTTCTTCATATCCCTATAACGTCTTCGAGTATCGGCTTTTACTTGTCATCGTATTTACTCAAAGAGATTTTCTATCACACTAACAAAAAAAAAAAGAAAAAGAAAATCGAGATCGAAGAAAAGAAAAATTAGTAATCATCTTTATTGATTCTGATTAGAAATGATGGCAAGAAACTCAATGAGTTATTGACAGTTAATAATTATGCCTCTATGCTTTACCCACAGTATCGTTATAAGTGGTTAATGAACTTTCTAAATATATAATTATTTGGCATACTAACTCATTAGATGTGTCGGATGCGGGTTAGTTTGTCATTTTTCAACAGAGAAAAACTTGTAACTAACGTTTTTCCTCTTCCGCTGGTCTTCTTTTTTTTTCATACTGATATGGATAAGAACAATAATCTACGTTATAACGACGATGAGAAGAAGAAAAAGAACAAAAAAAGGAAAGGAAGTTACAAATTTATTCATCTGTCTATATAAAGAAATTTCATTCTGCCCTTTGTCTTCCGATGAAAGATATCAATTTATATATAAACAATGAATATTCATTTTCCAATTCGATGTCTTTTGCATGTTGTCAAGTTCCTGTCCGATGTCATAGTATCTAAGAATTGACAGATGAAGACGAACATGTATTCGTGCGCAAAGTGCTGCTATATATATACTCTATTTCATGTATTGGAGTTGATTTTTGTTTAAAATTAACTTAGATGTTTAGAAGATTCTTCTTTGATATTGTTTACGAAGCGTAGTCTGTAATTTAAATCGTGCGGAACAAAATATTAATTAGCAACGCCCTGCCGGTTAAATGTCCAAGAGCGAACGAGTTAGTGCACTTTTCGAGTTTGTTTTGTTGGTGTGAACTGATCGATTTGACGAATGTCGAGCATCGAGCGTATCCGACTGGATGATTTTTGGTACAGATCGAGAAGATCAGCTCGGATTGCGTGCGGTCGTAAACGTTTTTCTTCAAAGATGTGATCAATCTCGTTGGTTTTCAATTTCGCTTTTCGCTGATGTTTTGTTTGCCGATCGATCAACGTTGGTCGACGAAGTTTTCGCTCTTCTCGCGTTTGTTTGATTGCCAATAGAAATAACTGATGAGCTATATCACTGACCAAGGGTTCATTGGGATCGATCGACAGCTTTGTATCATTGTCAGAATCAGAATCATGGATTTGTCTGATTTTCTCTTTCGTTTTTAACTTTAATGAACTAGATGAGCGTAATTTTGTGTGACGCTTTTCCATTCATTCGATGAAAAGTAAAAAATATTTTCTCGACTTTTTTTTTTCTTTCAAAGTCAATATTTCAAACGAAAGAATACGATTCCGGCGCCAATTACTTCCGCTTTTTATCGTTCATGCCATTGAAAGTTCAATATTATTTATTGATACACAGTCAAATTTGCCATTTTCTGTTATGCTCAAGTAGCATTGTTACTATTCATGTAGATTTCTATTAAATGCATCAATTAAATTAAAAAGCCATGTCACGTTAGGATGAGACGTGTTTCTTTGTAGTTTTATCTTGCATTCATAATTAAATCACTGAACAATTCATCAGTCAACTGCGACCGGACGTTTTTCTACCATTCTAGAACGTTCTTTTTATTATTTCGCATTACAAAAACAAAACAAAAAGGTACAATCGAGAATTTTCTCATCTTAAAACGATGCTTGATACGGCATTTGTCGGTAAAATGTGGGTAAGGGCGATGGTCGAGCAAAAAAGACGATACAAAGAATCAAGAAGACAATGTCACTGGCTGTAAATATCAACGTTATAATAGTCATAATCAATTCAGCACGAATAACAAATAATTGCCAGAGAACGAAGTATAAATATCCAAAGAAGACGGCAACTGTAAGAACGATCGTAATTGCCGTGAGAAGAATGCTCTCTGTCCGATTGGATATCGATCCCAATAGTATACGAAAGAGATCGAAGAAGAAAACACTGAGCATAAGAATAATTTCTCCAGCTATATGGCCTTGAGTAGGATAGAGAATGGTGGCATTTTTATAAACAAAACTGAGAGATTCGATTAATAGCCACAGTAAAACTGCCCAACGATTGATAGTTAAAAAGATTTCAAAGACGATCGATGAGCGAACGTTCGTTAATTCGCTAGAAGCAACAACCATTTCTTTTCAAGAAACGAACAAAACTGATTTCATCGATCCATAATCATCACAGAAATGTATATGTCACCATGGATACTCCGGTGGCATGAGAAAAGAAACAAAAAAAGTTCATAGATGTCACTTCGTCCAAACTAGAAAATCAACGGTATCAATGCACATCGTTTTGCCGGATACAATGCACCGTAATGTTGCCGATACCATCGATGGGCTAACAACGCAGACAAACATTGATTGACGATAACCCATATGGTCAGCGATATGAAGCACAATGTGTGATAACTGAGAAGATAAAATGAAATGTAAATAAATATCTCCGCAATGTAATTTGGACACGAGAAATATTCGAATAGCCAGAAACCATTTGGTATTGGATACGTTTCAGTCTTGGTGCGATGAGCATTTGCTAGTGTTGAATGCACACGATATTGAACGAAACTGGCATTTAAAAATATGAATAAAGCTAAACAGGTTGATCCGAAAGAGATGTGTTTATGACCATAGTAATGATCGACGATAATAGTTAAACCAACAGTTGGATAATGAACAATTCCAATAAGATAATGAATAAAACTCATAGTAGAATTCGAGCCGTAACGATGAATGTAGAAACATTCGTATAATCGTCGGAGCATGTGACAAATGAATAGAATATAGACAGCGAACGAGGATCGATAGAAAAGAAATAGCGGAACGTTAATTAGCAGACCAACAAGATAAAAATGAAGAAAATAAGATTTTGAGACATCGCCAAGAACATTTCTTTTATCTTTCGTTGCATTCTTTAATTTACCAAACAAATAAAATCGCTGAAGAACGATGTTAACGATACTTATATTTGTTTGTCCATCAAACAATAACCACAAACCGGGTACGAGTACTCCGATTGATATTGCAAACCAAAATAAACTTAACAATAAATTGACATCGATCTCAAACATTCTATTGAATCTAAAATACCACCAGGCAACAATTGATTTCATTGTCGTCGAAGACACAATCATTTGCTATAGATTGCTTTTCATTCTCGAATTTATTTATTTCAACCAACTCTCATTTAAACTATTATCTTCTTGACACAAAAAAAAACAACAAAATATATAATATATAGACGCACATTTTCTCGTACAACCGGAAGAAAAAAAATTACAAAGATGTGTTGTCATCAATGTATGGTACCGACTGTTCTTTGCCACTAAACATTGTAAAATCGAGCTCCATAAACTGAGGCAGATCTGATATATTCATTTGTAAATCATTATAAATTGACTCGGAAGTTGTTAAATTGTGAAGACATGAGTATTCGATCACTTGTCGTTCGAGTTCATAGCGATGAAAACGTCGACGAGCGTTATAAAGACGAAATATCATCGGAAGGATGCCGCATAAGATTACGGATGAAATTATCATAATGTACGCGAAGATAAGCCATTGGTCGGTTGGCATCGTGAAAATAATTCGAATAAAGATCAACTCCTAGCACCATCGAGACAGAATCTAGAACAGAAATGAAATGATATGCAAATGGATTGTACTGAAAACTGCGGAATAGAGTGTTATTCAGTCGTTTCGGAAGAAACACATTCTAAAGTTCGAACCGTCAACAGCACGAGATGTAGAAGAAAGGAGAACAGAACAAAATGATGATTTTATTCTTCGCGATTCGAAAAAAAAAGAGCAACATTCTTCTGTAAGTGCAACGATGCAATGATCATTTATCTGATATGTCTAGCGATAGATTTAATATCACAAAGCACATCAGTCACATTGTTTGCTAGTGTTTGAGAATTACTTGATCCAGCCATCGGATAGACATTTCTCGATTCCAATGCATTGCAACGCTGATAAAATATAATCATCAAGATATGCCCATACCATTAATTGAGTAGCTCGAGCACGTTCTATAGCATAGTCGTGGATTTTACAAAACATTCCGTGTAATTCTGTTTGATAGAAAATATCTTTCGCCCATCGCTTACTGTACTCTCGGATCCTGGTAGTGTATCGTTCGCTGATATAGTTTTGTCCAGTGGATAATAGTGATGGAAAAACATTTTCTTGATATTTCTCAGTAATGAAATACACGATTAGTTCTTGCCAGATCGATGACGGTACGAGAGGTTTGGACTCTGTTTCTATGCATTCATCTCCGAAGATCTTTTGCTTGATTAGCCAGTCATTTAAAATTTCAATACAACATACATTCAATAGTGAAACTTCATGTTTAGTTTCGTTGGAAGCTGCAAGTATTGTAGAGAATGTTCGTGGTGCTACTTGTTTTTTTCCATAATGAAAAATAACGGAATCGGTATCGGTCAAATCATTTGGAACGAAGACTTTGAATTCTGGTACAAGTTTTTCCGTGTATAGTGCCAGTGCGTTGGCAATGATGAAATTTGGACGATCATCAACATCCTTTGGACGATTTTCCCATTTCAAGCGAATCAAATATTCCGAGAAAAGCCAAGGAAAACTTAGGACACGTCGATTAGATTTTGGTGGTAAGCGTCGACTTCTTTCATAGCTATATATATAAGCACACGCAGCTTTAGCTTTTTTGTCTTCACTACAACGTTCACAATTGTGGATCTTGAGTCGTTTACCAACAGAATGTTCTTCGCAGCATCTTTTTTTCTTGCGTCGTTCATCGAATTCAGCGTAAAATTCCTGTCTAATCCTTTGAACTAAATTTTTCACTTCCATTGCAGCTGAATCTTCCAAACCACCTTTTTTCCCACCGGCAGATGCATCCATGGACTCACATCGACACAGAAGATCGATTTCATCCTGAAAACGATATAAACTAATAATTTCAAGTAGTTCATATCTGTAGTCGCCATATAAACGTTTGATTGGTTCTAAATACTTTTCATAGTTTTTGTGATATATGTATTTATCCAATGGTTGGAAAGAATTCGATCGAATTTCTGCATCTCTTATCTCTTCATTTGGATTTGTAGAAGTAGAATCCAGTTCTGTTACTAAAGTTTGATACCGTGGATTGCCATGCTGACGAATTGCTCGACTCCAACCATGAGCAGCACGTTCCGCTGAACGATACAACTTTCCTGCATATGAAATCGTTCTTGTTTAGTCCTTCATGCAATGAAAAGATTGATACTACTCACCGAGAATACGTTTTGACCGATAATATTTCCTGGAACCACGCGTTTTCATAAAATCAGGCCATTCGTTACCTAAGTCTTCTTTGTATCGGTATAGGTCCTCGGACGATACAGGATGATGGCCTGTTTTAGCTGCATCGACTTCTTCGGAAATCCATCCAGCTAGTTTCTTACAGAAGTCAGACTTGACACCTTCTCTATCAGCATAAGCTAAATGAATGTTTGATAAACTTCCTAAACAGTCTTGTTCACTAATCTCCATGACAACATCAATGATATCTTTGCGTTCGATAGGTCGCTCCATTTTTTTTGGTTCGTCCTGTCCATCATAATTATACGCTTCTTCATTTTCTGTAGTTGGTATCAAATATTCATGCCATATGACAACATATTCATCACCTAAAGTTTCAGAGATTAATCCGGAGAAAGTCAACTCTCGCTTTTTACAAACCATCTAAGTCAGAGCCAGAGATTTCGTTCGGATGTGGTCGACGACCTTTCTGTGGAAAGACGACGCAATCAACTAGATGGTGCAACTCTTTTCGATTGACAGCTTTAAATACTCTCAAATCACCCGGATGATGGCACGGATTTTTGGTGATCACGACATTTCCTTCGAGTATTACGCGTTCGTCTCCCGTTCTTTCCGTGCGTTCTAGCGTATGCTCATGTAATCTGGTATATTGAACGAAAACCTCACCTTCTTCCAAAACAGCATATTCATCCACAATACCAAACATATTTCTAGCTTTGTCAGACGATACGTATACTCTTGTGCGGTCTAACAATTCACGTATGACATTATATATACAGGTAACGAGTAATTTGATAAAAAATTGCTCTTCCACCACGTTAAAGTTTCGTATTATTTTGTCCAATTTGAACACCGGCAAAAGTTTGTTGCTCAGTAATTCGTGCGAATCATTTGGGTTTAGTAAAGCTTTAATTAACTTAAAATGATATTCGTTCTGAAAGGCCAAGAAGTTCGTATGAGGCACATCACGGCTTTCAAGTAAGATGATATCTTGTCGATTGAGATATAACGTACCTAAAGAATCACGTTATTGATCATAGTCAGTCGCTGTCTTGTCCATGTCAGTACTTACGTGGTGCAGATAGTTTGCATACTTCAAGTTTGTCGTGGTCTGAAATGAATTTGTTCATAGAATCCCGCATGATTAGTTGATATTTTTTATCGTCAAGTTGAGGAACAACCGAAACCGTGCCCTTACAACCACCATATCGAATTTGTAGAACACTAAAAGAACGACGCCGATCTAATGGATCTATGAAATGTTTGATCTATAACAATGGGATTCAGCAATAGACATCTGTAGAAATCGACCTACTTACTTTATCTCGAAGTGCAGCTGATATTTGGCCAACACCATCAGAAAATGTGTAATCTCCCGTTGAATCTTTGATATCGCGCTCATATTTGACTGTTTCTGCCGGTATCTAAATCGTGTAATAATTACAAAGCAATCGGATTCGAAATAGTTCATGTCTTACCCGAATCGTTTCATCTGAACTTGTGAAACACAATGCGATACGTGCTGTATGTTTCGATACTACACGTTCTTTGTCAAAGTTTCCCATCCAAATGTAAGCATCATTGTGCGAAAGATTTGTCTCATCGTGATGATAGAACCAGAATTGCTTTGCCTTTACCTGACTTTGCGAATGATGGAGATAAGTATACATTAGCTTAGGTGTTAGCTCAAAGCCGTTTGTTAGGTAATTTAAAATCTGATCTCTCAACGCTCGAAATTCATTTGGGAACAGCATACGTTGTGCTTCATCACGCAACTCGACTAGACAGAAATGGGTAACCCTTCCGAATCTTTTCTCACGTAAGATGCGATTTAGTTTGCATAACTTTAATGGACGAATTTTGATAGTCGTCGGAGTTAAGACAACAGATGGAATGTAGGCCGTTGATTGATCATTTTCATTAAATCGATGCATCCAGTAACCCTTTGCTCGTGCTTGGTCGTATTGTGCTTTGTATCGATTTATACCGTTCTTAATTTCCTCGTCGAGATCGAGAAAGAAGTATTCTGATGTTCGTCGATGTAGATACAAACACAAACGATAGAAACGATCATCCGCTTCCCAATCTGTCTCCTTGTCATAGCGTAAGGTAGAGTAATCTTTCAGTTGTCGCACAAATTCTTTGCAAGTGTACAGTTGAACTAGGACACGAAAGCCAATATTATGTAACATGGTCCAAGAATAAGATTTGATAAATGTTGGAAATACGTGATAACGGATCGATAATACCTGATTTAAATTCATCGCTTTTGATGTAATCGAGCCAAAACTGACGTGAATATGGTTTTTGTCAAAGAATTCGAGGAACTTTGTAAATAAATATTTTATTTGGAGAATTCCTTCGTCGATGATGTTTTTTAAGTAATCATCTATATTATTCGCTGGCGTCTTTCCGTTTTGCTGATCCTTTTCGAAATATTCTGCTAGGCGGCCTTCCTCTTTCAATCTTATACGGAGTCGAATAGTAGAGAAGAGTGGTATTGGTTTATCATCTCGATTTCCTTGTCGTACAAAGAAGTCGCTTGATGAAGAACTTTTGTTACGCTTTAAAAAGTGAACATTTCCTTTCATATTTAGAAACAAGGTGAATCCATCATTCCATAGTTGAATAACAGCTACGCGATCAATAATGTCCAGAGGAAACCTATATTTTACCTGAGTAATATCCCATCCAGAGTCATCAGACAACCTTTCGGATTGATTAGCAAAAATTTCGAAGCGTTCGTCGAAGAAGTTGAATGACCATCTAGTCTTTTTGCGAAAGATAAAATCTGGATCAAAAGCAAACCGTCTGATTGATGTCAATGCACCGTAGGCTAAATCAGCATAGATCGAACGATCGATCAAGTAGTCCGGAAAGTTTTGTTTTTCAGGATATCTGACTTTTAATTTGGGTAAATTCCAATTTGAAAACGTTGGCACCGGCTTAAACGTAAACCAATATGGATGATGGGATTCATTATCGAACTTTTCGGGTATGAGTTTGTGAATATTCATCGGAATAGATTGTGGTAAGTTAACGTGAAAGTTGTGTAAACCAAAACTCCAAATATCATAATTCGGTTCTTTGGGTAAATCGAACTTGTTACTGTCAGGTAAGAGATCTTTAAATCGTGCACAGGCGTGAGAATAACCTTGATCTCCTAATCCAACCTTGTCGACGATGAATGATATCTGTTTGAATTCAACTTGAAAATCAATTAACGCTGTTTCACGATGTTCAATTCGATGAATATTCTACAAACACGAGAAAACATGATCGATTATTTCACGTTTTCGATGTACTACACATACATACCATTGGGAATTGGCCCGATCTTTTCTGATAATAAGAAGCCTGATATAAATAGAAAAAAATTCTTCAGTTTACACATTAGAGCTGCTTGGAGGCCTGCCTGTCTGCCAGATCATGTCAAGTTTCGTAGCGAACGGAGTAGCTCGATTCTGTTGTTCTGATTCGAACTTTTCTTGCCTGAGAAATACTTTCATACGAGAAAAAGATGTTCCTACAGCTACGCAAAAAAATGAATTGGATCGCAAGCTTTGGCCGAACTTAGTCTCTGGTTCTAGCTCGAACACTCCAAACAATATGAGAATAACAAAACTGAATATGACCTAGACGGCAGACCTGTCAGCAGCTCTGTTACATAGTTGAGTAAAACTACATAATTTAGCTAGACTATTACTGGTAAATGTATTTTTCTTCCAGGTTTTGAATAAAAACCATCTTCAGAAACATCACGAATCTTAGGTGGCGGCAATGGTCTATCATTTTCATCGGTAGCTGTTTTTCCTTGCCGACCACGACCAATCTATAATTTAAGATGCAAAATTATACAAAAATGAATCAAGTGAATTCTTACTGGAACATTTGGAATGCTGATCTCAGGTGGATTGTTCGGTTCGTTTGATCCTAGAGAACCAGTTTCATCGTCGATTCCACTGTCACTCAATGCTTCGTCAATGTCATCTTGAAATTGAAGAGTTTCTTCTGGTTCACTTGCAATCTGCTGTGGCTGTTCGATTTCACGATTTAACACAGCAGAAAAAATGACATTTTCTTCGGGATCTTCAACGCGAACTTCGTTTGGATCAGCATCTTCCTGTGGATCATCGGAATCAATCGCTGTAAAACCTTCATATGTTACGTAGTTGTCATCATCGTTAAAATCCGCCATATCTTAAATATACGTAGATATGCGTCAAAGTGTCGTTAGTAATAACATTTTGCTCTATTTGAGGTACAATTTTATGTTGATTATCTTGGACATTTTCCCACTGGAAGTTTTTTCGCATTCCGGCATCGCTTACTGTAGCGATGAAGAAATTTTAAGTTTTTGTATTATATGCAGAGCCGAACACACCAATCTACGACCAGCTAACATGTACTCGAATATAGATGGCGTACTTACATTAGTCGATTTTAACACAAGCGAACTGAGGAATTTTTCAACTTAAAAACATTGATTCAAAAGCTCAAACGAGAAATGCTGACTTAGAAAATAGATGCAAAATATGTACTCCCATAACCATGTCGAAAAAAAAGCTAAGTGAAGAAAAACTCGCAATTTCCCACTTATGCTTACACAATAACATTTTGTTTTCGTATTGACACAAAAAAGGCAGTAGTTTCCTTTCGCTCAACACCTACATCGCGCACATGGTGAATCAACAATCTTTCTTTACTAATGTACGCTAATCATCTAAATCAAAATATCTATTATATCTTCATTTTAACACACAAACATGTTGAATTAACTATAAAAATCAAGGTCATTATCATCGAAGTTTTTATTTGTTCTGGGCGTAGAACTTGATGACTTGACATTCTTCTTTGTTACAGTTGAGGTTGTTGATGTGTCGTCATCGTCGTCCTCGTGAAGTCCACCACCAGCTACTAATTTGTTTAACCACGGTGTCGATGATGTGGTAGTTGTTTTAATCATAGGCTCTACTGGTTGTTTTCTTTCGGATGATGTATCACTTTCTGAAGTTGATGATTGTGTCCCAACAAGTTTTTCTAGAATATGTTTGAGAAGACTCTTCGCTTTGTCGTGAAGGTATAAAGCATTGTTCGGCGATAAAAATGTGGCAAATTTATTTGCTGCAATTTGAGAATTCATGATATGAAATTTCACTAATTGCGTAAAATGATCAATCAATCGTGTCCAAAGATTTCGGTCCTTTTCCGGTAAAATTTTTGTGATGGCATCTTTATCTAAGTCAATCACATTCAAGGAAAGTATATCTTCAGTTAATAAGCATTGATGAACCGTTGTGCGACGTATGGTGGAAGGCAGCTGATCGAGTATGACCATCGATACTGTTGCTGGATCGAGATCTTTCAATGCTGATTGTTGCTGACCATTGGCAACATCTAATACAGTACGACTCTGCGTGATTGTCGGTGGATCGTGATGATAGAATTTCTTTTTGTCGATAGTATTGTGCAATTCTTGTTCGATGTAATCAAGTAGGAAAAAAAGACCTGAGCGACTTAATTCCATTCGAAGCGAACCCGGACGTTTCGAACGTGAAAGTGTGTTTGATGTAGATTCTGATAAGGATTGATCGTCTGCATGCTGAGTATTCGATACTGAGGATGTTGAATACTCAATACGTTGTTGTAACGTCGAAGAAAGAGTCGGTGGATATGCTGTGGGGAGCCCTAAATTGTATTTTTCACTAGTTTGAGTAGTATTCGATCGACCAAAATCGTAGACATCTTTATTAACAATTGCACTGATCGTTGATTGAGATTTTTGCCAATTAGGATAATTTGATTCAAGATATTGTGCGTAATCATGTTTCAATCGTATCAAGCGTTCAGAATCTTGTCGCAATTGATCCAAATGTTGTTCAGCCTGATGAATATCGTTCAATAATTGCAAATTTCGTTGTCTCGCTCGTTCTGATTCTTGATTGAAGTTATTAAAGTAGGAATGAATATCATCCACTTGTTGACGTTGTTTTAACCGTGAATCAATCGTGAATAATGAATTTAATCTTTGATCCAATAGAACACGTTGCTCTTCACTTTTTAATATTTCCGAAGATAGACGCGCACTTCGTTTATGATAATCAGCTATGGTTGACGACAATGTCGATGACTTCATTTTAAAGCAGACAAATGAACTGATTTCTAGTGCTACAAGATAAAAACGCAGAACAAAATTCTTACATATGCGTACGTTTTCTCTACCATCTTTGTTTTCTTTTACTTTCCTGTCAAGTTGTCAAGAGTTACGTTGTTGCGCAGCTCACCGTCGCTCATGCCGATTAAATATGCCAGAGACAAAGAAAGAACAAATAAAATGTGACTCTTGCTCTACAATTGATTCCGATAAGCAAAACGAATTGTGAACTATTTTTCTTGCCGTATGACATTTGTGCATTATACGAGTAATTGTGAAATATTCTAGTGCCATGATACATGTCTTTTCAATGGAAAATTCCACTTCTATGAAATACTGTTCAGTCTATTTGATCTTTTGAATGTGAAGTGCATCGCATCAAGTATTGCATAAACACCCTCTCCCTCCCTCGAAATATGTTATTATTGATCTAAAATGTCGGACACTTCAAGAATTAGTATCGAATTCGTTTACAAAGAAATACGACCATTTCTAAATAAATTCAGACTCCCTGAATACCTTTCGAAGTAAACGACGTTCAACTATAGATTCTTAGCGATAATGATCTTCTATTCTGTAAAATTATGGCTGAATAGTCTTGTTCGAAGATAGATTATCATTGTGCCAAAATATATACCCTCCTCCAACGATTTAACATACATCATCCAGAGGTCAAATACTAACATATACATCAAAATATTTACAGGTAGAAATACAATATTCATCAGTAAACTCCTTGAGTGAATCGATCGTATTATTCATCCCGTTTAACTAAGAAATCAATTATGGTAAGAGGATGGCGGAGGAGAAGTCGGATTTCAAAATCAATATTATGAATCGAATATGACGAAGTCAAAAGTCAAGCATAGTCAGAACAGATTTGTAAATTTTCGCTAGCAGGTGGCACGCACATCAAACTCAGCTGTTGGAGAAGTGTATATCGGATCTTTCTTTGCTGAATCTATCGGATCGTCCATTTCTTCAGGTCTCTGAATAATGTTCGCTATGTCTAGGTATATGAAACATACTAATTCAAATTCTAGAATCCTTTTATATATTTTTCAGTTCGATGTGGTCAACTTGGTTGGTATTCTTCTGCTGGTGTGCTATAATTCAAATAGAAGGCAAAAGATGGATGTTAGTTGATTCGATATCTTCAAAGGAAGATTCACTGGCGAATACTAGAAGTGCTGGTAAGCGGTTCTTGTCACTGACTCTCCAGAACTTGATAAAATCAGCGAATGAATCGCTACTATATTTAGAACCGCACTGCATGGATGGAGTGAGAAGTCAAGATGAGAGCGATGTTGACTGCGGTGGAGAAACATGTCCAAAATGTAAAATTGGAAAGCATTGTAACGAAGATTGTGATTGCTCCACCAATACTTGTAACAACGGAAAGTGTGCTGGTGAGTTGTCGATAGATACCTTTTTGTTGCATTGCATTGAATTGTCGAACACTTTAGCATTCGAATCGTGCGATGACAACATCAAGAATCAGGATGAGACAGACATAGATTGCGGCGGTTCAAAATGTCCGGCATGTGAAGATTCAAAAACGTGTAAAGAACATAAGGATTGCAACAGTGGCCTTTGCAAAAAGAAGAAATGCGTTGGTAAGTGTGCGATCGCGTATGGCCAATGAGAAAATAACGATTTCATGTTCTAGCTGTTGAATCGTGCGATGATAATATAAAAAATCAGGATGAGAGCGATGTTGACTGTGGCGGTATCAAATGCCCACGGTGTGACCATTGGAAGAAATGTAAAGCCGATTGTGATTGTATTAGCGATTCATGCAAGAACAAAACATGTGTCGGTAAGTTGGTAGACTTTTCTCGAATAACGAATATCAAGATAGATTATTAATATTTAGGAGCGGAGTCGTGTGTAGATGGTATAAAAAACCAGGATGAAACTGATGTAGATTGTGGAGGCGACAAATGTCCAAAATGTGAAATCACGAAATATTGCGACGATGACTGTGATTGTCATAATGCTATCTGTAGAAATCATACTTGTGTTCGTAAGTATTGCTTTGATATTCTTTGGTTGATGTGAATAAGTCAGATGCTCTCGAAACGGACAAACCTTATGTATTATTGTAGCTCATTGTGTTCCTGAATGTCAGAATAATGGTGTTTGTACTATTCATAAAACTTGTATCTGTCCAGAAGGTTTTACTGGTGTCAGTTGTGAAGTTCGTACGTATTGTAACCGTATACATATCTTCCTCTACTTTATCTATCTAACTACTTTAAGAGTCGGTTGGTTTGTGCCATGATAACGACACATTCGGTGTGGAACCGATACTCTCCATCACATTTGCTAGTGGTCGACCACAGTATTCTCGATCTAAACCGTCTGAATTCAACTTTACAACAACATACAAACAACGATTTGAACCGGTGACCAACGACGGCATGTTCAGCTTCATCAATTCCATTCACAACGATTTTCATGGCGCGTGGCACACAGGTGCAATCGATCACACTGAAGACGAAGGTGGATACATGCTTTTAGTCAATGCTGATTATCGACCAGGCGAATTCTATAAAGGACAAGTTGATAATCTATGTATCGGCTTGCGTTATGAATTCTCGGTATACTTAGCTAATCTTTGTATACCACTTGATCGAATCAAACCCAATGTTCGATTTGAAGTTCGCAGTCCATCGACAGGAAATCAGCTATTGGCTCAATTGCGCTCCGGCCCAATACCAGTTCAGAGGCAATTAACCTGGAACAAGTATGGTCTTTCGTTCGTAGCACCAAGCAGTTCCGTTGTTCTCTTGATGATTTCCGATGCACCTGGTGGAATGGGAAATGATATCGTCATCGATGATATTGCGCTACGTGTTTGTTCACATGAAGGCACTGGCTTCTGTCCACCAGAACAATAAAAGATTATGCATGGTAGAGGCTTTTTTTTTTTGAACGCTCATCTGCAAATGATGAAAGGGTTTGCTTTTTCAGCTCTATGTTTGTGTATTTCAAATAAATAAAGTATCATACATGATTTCCCCCTCTTTTCATTACAATGAATATTCAGACAATGAGATCTCTGCTTAGCGAGCTGCGATAGACAACTATAGGAGTAATGTGGTTATTACATCATTTTTATCACGAATTTCACATTGTAGATGTACAAAAAACTGAAAACATAGTTAATAAGCTTATTAGTCGCATTTCATATGTCAGCACTAACGCTGCCGAAGGTTTTGGTGGACGATAGATGAAATCATGAATGATAACTTCAACTGGTTTACCATCGCTTGGAAAGCAATCGCTGTTGCTCGAGTGGAAGATACGTAGATTCATGTGAACGGCTGCTGATTCTTGCGGTACAGCTGTCGAAAAATCCGAGGATGACTGCCATGATTGAACTGAATCAGCATCATCATTCCGAAATCCAGAGATTGATTTGAATGCAACTGATTCATATGACCAGATAAAACGTTGAGTCGTATAAATATTTTTATGGTTGTAAAAGAATGAACTTCCAGTTTTGCTTTCATTATTTTTCGCTGGCCAGACGTTATAAAATAAGTTCGGTGACACTAATGGGTTCAACCCCCATCTAGTGAATTCGATGTTGACTTCATTTGTTCGCATTGTATCAACAGTCAACGAGATAGATGTGTACAAACTTAAAACTACTTTCGGATCCAATGCATTCAGAGATCCTTCAATTTGCCATTGAAAAGTGCCAAAAGTAAAACGATCCGTCGTGTATAAGGCAGCACTTGACCAGATATTAGATGTGTTGGATATTCGAAGATGTAATAAACCTTTATGATCAATCCACACATTATCAGTCTTGTATTCGTTTGAACCTATGTAGGAATAACTGTGTGAATATTTGAATTCAAAAGACAGCGCAGGATAATAACCTGATCCACTGCTCACATCGTCACGAAGGCACCACGTATACCCTTTCCATACGATTGATTTCGATATGCATGTACCATTTAATAAGACTATAGCAACACTCAAATTTGAAGTGTGTGACATAAACTTGCATCCAATCTCATACCTGCACTAGGCGTTGTTGTTGTTGTTGTTGTTGTTATTGTTATTGCTGACGCTGAAGTTCTATTTAGTGGGATACCGGTCCCATTTGTTGAGATAATGGACGTATTTATTGAAGTAGTCATCCATGTCGATGTTGTTGTTGTACTCTCGCGTGATAAAGTCGTTGTCCAATCAGTTGAATCAGTAGATACTGAATCTACGGTTGTCACTGTACTGGATTCAGCTGAAGTTTCATTTCCCTGGAATGATGCTATAAAACATTTAACATATCTGTCATGTTAGATTTGTATTCTATTCGGAATATTCTATCCTGACAAAATCATACGTACAAGCACACTGATTGTTTTCGCATAAGCCACTAATACAATCGCAGTCGTTGTTACATTTTTTCAAGTCTTCACATTTTGCACATCGATCACCCCCACAGTCGATGTCTGTCTCCTCCTGATTTTTTATACCATCCAGACACGATTCTGCCACTACGTCAGCGAAAAGACAAAAACATCTAATAACAGAAGTACTTAGTCACTTACCAACACATGTCTTATTCTTACAAGAATCACTGATACAGTCACATTCGGCTTTACATTTCCTTCCAAGTGCACATCGTGGACATTTCACCCCACCACAATCAACATCACTCTCATCCTGATTTTTTACATGGTCCTCACACGATTCAACAACTAAATAAGAGAGCCAATTAACTTTTTGTAAGCAATGCAAAACGACTACTGACTTGAACATCTTTTTCTTTCGCACAGAGCACTGTTACAATCACGATGCTCCTTACACATCTTCAAGTCTGTACACGCTGGGCATTTTAACCCACCACAGTCTATATCTGTCTCATCCTGATTCTTGATGTTGTCAGCGCACGATTCGAACGCTAGAGCGATATGATTCATTTGTCAGAAAACACCGAAAGACTAATGCACTTACGAACGCACTTCTTCTTTCTACATGTATTGGTCAGACAGTCTCTGTCGTCATCGCAAGCATTTCCGTTCTCACATTTTGGACAGGTTTCTCCACCACAATCAATATCAGATTCGTCTTGATTCTGCAGACGATCGACACAATGAGATCCTGAAACAAGAGCAATTTCTCGCTCTTACGAAAACGTGGTGCATAAGTAGTGAATAATATACTTTTGGCTTTCGATGATAGAGATTCTAGTGACACTACACCACTGACTGACAGCTTGCTTTCGCTTTCGATTTGAATAGCAAGATATAAACAGAAAAGCACTATCCACATACAACTAGAGAATAGACGGTAGTGCGTTTGTTGAATATGCTCACATATCCTTTGATCTTACCTGGATGACGTGAGCATTGCTCGAAATCGAAGTTAATTGCCAGAAACCTTAGATTTCAGCTTAAATCTAAACAGAAAATGTTTTGCTACGTAGTATATCACAGATGAGCGAAATGGCAAATCTGTCCTGACTATGCTTGACTTTTGACTTCTTCATATTCGATTCATAATATTGATTTTGAAATCCGACTTTGTGTCCTCCATCCTCTTACCCTAATTGATTTCTTAGTTAAACGGGATGAATAATACGATCGATTCACTCAAGGAGTTTACTGATGAATATTGTATTTCTACCTGTAAATATTTTGATGTATATGTTATATATAGACTTGTGAACAATCAAGGATCATCCTGAAAGGCTGTGACTATGAGAAGGAGATTTAGTAATCTATCTGTGTTATCAAGATTAATCAGTATCTCTTCGTGCATAATTTGGCTTCGAATAGTTTGAGGAATTGTTGAAACAGTGCACTTTGTATTATGCAAATTCATTGGTGTTAGTGTACATGGGTACTTTTTCGAGCAAAAAAAACATGTTTAAAGTAAAAAGTTATTTATTCTTCCGAAAGAAGAAACTCTATTACAACGATGATTCAACACTTAAAAATGCATCTGATTGCTCTTCAAGGTGATCATGAAATTCTTTTTTTTTGTTTTTCAAAATATCTGTCCAATACTGACGCTATCGCTGATGTGAATATCAATCAAAGTTCTTGTCCTCTAGTAACAATAACAGTAACGACAAAAAAAGTGAAAGAAACAGTTCACTTCCACATTGTTCTATCATAACGAATAAAATAACTGCTCACGTACACATATTCTTGTCTTTCTCTTCCATTTTTTTTTCTTTTTCTTTTCTTCGCGGTTGCCACGAGCAACCGTTGTGCTACAGTATGTCGCTCATGCTGCTTTAATCTGACAGTCGAGAAGAAAAATGTCTTTAGTTTAAACAAATTCAAAAGAGAGAAAAAAATACATAAACAAGTGATTAACAAAGCAGCATTTACTTTATTGAAGACGTACGAGCAACAATTCATTTTTCAGTTCCCTTTGCATGTAAATATGAACTGATCTTCGTCATTATTTTCATTTGTAAACCATTGATTGTTGTTGTTGTTTTTTTAGAATCATTGTCATATGGCTAAATTTCTCTCGCGTTTATTTCGGAGTAATTCCTTATCGAAAAACGAGTCTTTTAGAAACTCGCAAGGCTCACTGAATGATAATTCAAATCGCGCTCGATCATCGAGTAATATTCGAACGACAGCATCATTAGAGAACTTCTCGTCTTATCACGTGACACCCAAAGAATTAGAAAAGAATAAATTACACAAAGCATCATGGGAAGGAAATCTCAATAAAGTCATGCGTCTTGCTCAACCAGGACAAATCAATGTGAAAGATCAACAGCAGCGCGTATGAATATTCTTTGAAATTTAAGATATTTCGTGGAAAAATTCTCTTTTTATTTATAGACTCCGTTGCATTTAGCTGTTGTCAAAGGACATCTAGAAATTGTCAAGCATCTTGTTCAAAGAGGTGCCAAACTCAATGTTGTTGATAGTGACCAACGAACACCACTGATTAAAGCTGTCCTTAGCGGCAGCCAAAATCCTCAATTGAACTATCAGATTTGTCAAGTTTTAATTAACGGTGATAATGATGCTGGTAAGGAATGAAATTGTTTCTTTTTTGTAGAAGATTATTCGAAGATTACCTTATTTGATAGCTATCAATCATCTGGATAAACTTGGGCGAAGTGCACTGCATTATGCAATCGATTATGGCAACGAAGACCTTGTGAACCTTCTACTTTCGAATGAAAATTGTGATCCAAATTTGAGAGATCAAGAACAGAGAACACCATTGCATTTAGCCGTCAAACGAAATAACGTGCTAATAGTTCGCGCATTGTTATCTAATGATCACAAGCAACAGGCTGATCTAAATCAAGTTGATCGCAACGGACAAACCCCATTACATGTTGCTGCTAGTGTTGGTTATGCTGACATCGTTCGACTTCTATTACTTTCTGATCTTGAAGAACCGTGTGATCCATCTATTGTCGATTCTCAACAGTTGACCGCCCTTCATCTCGCAAAAGCAAACCATCAAGAGGCATGCGCAAAGCTAATAGAAGAGTACCTTGAAAGATGGTACAAAAAGTCACCACGGCGACCAGCGACAGCATCGATTCCTGATCAAATATCAGTCAGAGGCGCCACCGCGATGTCTATGCATCCAGCGCCAAATCTTCAAGGTCCAAGTGACGATACAAGCGATGATTCATCATCAGTGTCGACAAGAAAGCCACCAAAGATATCATCCCAACATCTTACACAACGACCAAGTGACCAATGGTCGGATGATAATGGTGGAAGTGCAAGCATAGCTAAACCAGAATCTCACGGCTTGACAAATCTGCTCAAGAGTAATCCACTACAAACAGAACGATTAAAAACTACTGATACTGGTGCAACGGCAAGCGTAGCTAAGCCGGAATCTCATGGTATAGCAAATCTGCTCAGGAGCAATCCACTGCAAACAGAACGAGTGAAAACAGATGACAGTTCAATACTGAGCAATCTCGTGACGAGTAATCCACTACAAACTGATACAAAGAAACTAACATCAACTAGTAAAAAGTCCTATGATTGAAACTTCTAAATTAATCATAAATTCGTTTTCTACTCTCATTAGCTCAACCGAAACAGCCAACATCGTCTTTCTTCGGCATCGGACCAGTGGTTGAGCGAGTAGGCAGTGACAATACATCAACTAGTATATCTATCGATCAATCAGTTATACCGGCAACACAAATAAAACCCTCCACGACGACTATGAATACGACAGTTCTTCACCGAACGGTATCAAATACAAGATCTTGGTCAGATGATACGATCACAGCGCCAGTAGTGCCTCCACTGACAAAATCAACAGCACTAAAGAAGCTGATATCTCCTAATGATTCATGGAGTTCACTACAATCAGATGATGAAGAAAGTGTATCAAAACCTAAATCGGCTATATCCGCGTTACAAAAAACATTGCCATTTTCACCCACGACCAATTATAGAGCACACTCGGACAGTGAGGAAGATTCTGTTGAAACAGAAATTCGAAAACTAGATTTGCAGAAACCATCAGCAAATGGTTCAACAGTACAAACACTAGTGAATAAATCCATTGGAAATGGTTATAAAGTGATTGGTCCATCCGAAGTTCACTCAGCATTGAGTGATGATTCTTCATGGACGCCTTCACCTGCACCTATCACCAAAGAACCGACGACCAAAGGAGTTGCAAGTTTAGTACAGAAAATAGACGATTCAACATGGGATGATTCTCGCCCATTGAGTGTCGAACCAATTGAAAAATCCGTTGGTAAAAGTATTACAAATCTTGTAAGTAATAAACCAGATCTATCTGAGCCAAAATCGACAGGAGTAGAAAATCTAACTAAAATGATGGCATCGATTATGCATCCAATTAAACTGCCGTAAGATCAACAAGCAAAGTATTGTTGAGATTTTAAATTCACTCTCTCGGATTTTTTAAGGTCAACTTCACCGCAAGTGATTGGGAAATTAATCGTTTCTCCAATGGTTGGTCGCACAGATTCGGCTCTATCCGAAAACACTTTGCATGGAATTGACTACGACGACGACGACGATGATGATGATGGTGATGATGACTATGAAAGTATGTACGAATCGATTGTCGTCATCCCAACTATCACTTCTATCATAGGTAGTTATGTGAAGAGAAACGAAGAACTATTGGCTCCAGCACCGATGGGCCAAGACTTCAAAACTTTACAACACTTAGCACGAACAACATTGCCTGCTGATCGAACTAGTTTACGAGATTCAATCTCCTCAACGAAATCATCGATACATGACGTAAGTGAACAGCATTGATCAAATACAAACGAATTTCTTTGTTCATAGGTCAACGAGTTGAAAGAGAATATTAGACGGCTCGAACGTCAACAGGAAGATGCTCAGGAATTAAAACGACAATTGAAAGAAATGGAAAACAAAAAGAACGCTTACGAAAAACGATGCCAAGAAAATGATCAATTGCTACGTGATATCGAAGTTAAACTACAATTAGAAAAGACTGAAAAACAGCGTTTAGAATCGACAACTAAGGATTTAAATATTGAATTACGAAATATCAAACAACAATTCCAACACTTAGAAGACGAAAAAGACTCACTGAATCAACGTTTCATAAGCTTACAAGAAGAACGCGACAATCACAGTAAGTATCGATTTGATATCTACAATCTCATCAAATGGAATCTCTAGATAAGAAAGTGCGTCTGTTTCAAGCAAAGAATTCACGTTCGACGTCATCCAGTTCAACACCTGACGATGATAATGATGTGGTCGTATCTCGGCGTCACGAAGAAATGAAATCATTATCGGCAGCAAGCGATGATCTCCACCATCGTGCAAAACAATTTCAAGCTGATGTACAACTACATAAAGAATCGGTTGATCTAACCAAACGATATCAAATAGACTTAGAAAAGGCTCTAGAAGAGAAGCTCTTCTTTCAAGAAGAGCTCGATCGTCTGAAACGCGAGAAAAGCCTTGTTGAACAAGAACGACTTGAATACAAAAGTAAATACAACAGTTTACAAGAAGAGATACGTTTACTTCTGTCCGATCGTGCGAAACTCGAACAAACTCTGACGGGAGAATTGCAAGAGCACATTCAAGAAAAACAACGATCGACTGATGACATTAAAAAATATCGACAAAAGATCGACGAACTCAACATGAAACTAGGTGATGCGGAATCACGCCTAATGGCTTTACAAGCACAAAACGAAACATTGTTAACCTCAAAAGATCGACAAATCAAAGATGACTACGAATCATTAGCTCAACGTTTGAACAAAACAGAATCCGAGCAAATCCATGCTACACAACGTTATCATAATCAACACAACGAATTAACAAATAAACAACGCACAGTCAACGGCACAATATCAGCAATAACATCAACGCCTATTGCAAGTAAACCACCGATAGTTCATCAATCTATTTCCACTCTGGCAGCAACAACGCCACTAACTCCTAAAAATGCACATCAACACACAGCGTAGGAAAGATGTTTTACTTGTCAAGATGATACATTTCTTGTTTAGATCGCTTTCATGTACGAACTGTCACACATTACAACGAAGTTATGAACAAGAACGTGAATCTCGTCTACACACTGAACAAGACAATCAATATTTACGCGAAACTCTTTCTCGGCATGGTTCTTATCAACATTTAAATCGAACATATGCTCCCGAGCAACCGAACGAGAATTATTTATTACAAAATTCTCGTCAAATTCGTTCCGATACTGAACGTGTCAAATCCGAACTTGATCGTTTACGTCAAGATTTCGACAAATTAGTGGCCAACTACGAACCAACAAATTCGTTGCAACATCAAGCACAATTACATTCGCAAATCGATACATTTCGTCAATTCTACGAACAAGAATTCCGACAACGACAAGCAACAATGGCCAAAATAACAGCTGGAGTTACACCGGCTCGAACGATTGTGTATCATCGAAGTTCTCCGGCGACACATTACGATCATGCACATGTTAGTGGTGCACCTTGTTCAGCATGTATCAACAATCGTGTACTCAAAGAACGACTCGAAACAGCGATTGATTCCAGTTTAGCTGAACAACGCTTACAAACAATAAAGCAAACGGTTCCTTTGCCACGACAAGCATCCGCGTTATTAACAATTAATACTACACATCACGGTTTAAAGTCATCCGTTGAAATTCTTCGTTCACCTGATGATATCTAAATTTCCAGAACAGTGATTTCCATTTTCTTTTCTGTCTTTTTTAGGTGATAGAATTTTACTATCTCTTTGAATTTACTAAGGTGCTCTGTTTTGCTTTGGTTTTTTTTTCTATTGAAAAACAAATATATATGTATACGAATATTCTTTCAGATGGATGGTGCTGGCAATATTACATTTTGGGGTTATAGTCCTAGTCTTTGTCTAACGAAATATGTCGACAATCAATCTAATGATCAACCAATTCGTCTTCTATTGCTTGGCAGTGGTGATATTCGTCATGTACTTCATACATTAGCATTCACAACATCACCAATACATATTTACATGCTTGAGTCTCAATTAGAAGTTTACGCACGTCATTTACTCTTCCTTCAACTGGTGTTTACTTCCATTGATCAAATAGGTTTACAAGAAAAATGTGAACACTACTTAGAATTATTTGCTAACTTACATATCAACACGCACACTGAACAATATCTAAAAGAAGCTGCAACACAACTTATTCAACATGTTACAAACATCAATGGACAGTTTCAATTAGCATCCAATGTTACAATTGACGTGTCCTTGTTGAAATATAAGGAGAAAGACTTTCTTGAAGGTATCTTCCAATTCTGGCGTGCACCACCGGCGAAACAACCTTTCCCAGCGGAACTAGCTTGGGATGGTCGTGTTCGCCAGTATTTAGGTAAGATAAAACATTCACTGCTCGTTGATGAGTTTCGATTTGCTGTAATCAAGGAGCTCGATACGATACTCGTCGCAATGCATTCGATTGGGATTTACATATGAAATTGGCTGAACGTGGTTTCAAACGATTGAATGCGCAAGAATATGGCGATTGGCGGGAGAAAGGTCTTGCTTTCCATTTAAATCGACAAGATTACACCCAACCGAATCGAACACTAGCATCTGCCCATGTTTTTCAAAGTACTGATGGAACAAAGCAGGCCCGTCGCGGATATTGGGGTGATATTCTTACAGGCCCATTTGTTGCTCATGGCCTCGAACCTATCGATAATGACGATCCGCAAATGCAATCGAAAGCAAATGATAAATTCGTTAAGACAGCTACAGATGTGTCTGAATACAATGTGTTGAAGCTAATCGACCAAGTTCAACTGCAAAATAATCAGATAAAGATCATCTTTCTACCGCTGAATAGCATCGCAGATTTGTGTACAGCCAGTACGCAACGATATCAGAACTTGCAATTTGATTTAATCTATGTTGGTTGTGGCTTAACACATTATTTAAACGAACAAGGTGAACATTTTTCATCATCAATTATGTCAAGAGGATCAACGCTTTTGTTAGAACTACCAACATTTCTCCTTGATCTCAAACAAGATCAATTAGAACAATTGGAGAAGCGCTATGATGAATTGGCGAAAACAGCTAAATGTATACCGCGAGATAATGAAGAAGTGAAAGCGAATGTAATCAAGATTTATAAATATGATCAATCATGATTTGTGTAAAAAAGGAAACTAATAAAATATGATATTTGTTGATTTTCAACTCTCTGACAGATTCTATACATTCATCTCGTTCTAAGTCACTCGAGAGTAGAGAGAAACTCAATAATTGAATTTTCACATCAACAGATTTTGGTTCATTGGTTTTGTTATTCAGTCAATTCTTTTAGTTATTAAACATGCGCTTTTGTACAACATGAAATAAGTTTATATAGTTGCAACTTAAAGGAGCACAACATTAATACAAAGGGAAAAGGTTGGTTTCCTCGCAGGATTGAATTGTATTGCATATATCATAACTTGTGGTTCACCATTCTAATTTCGTCACGTGTACCTCGTGATTTTCTGCAAATAGTATTGTTTACAATACAATGCGGCACAATTTGTCTTTCTCTCCCTCGATAACAAGTCAGTTCCATCACTTTCACACGAAACTGCTTCATTGCCAGACACGTTACATACGGAAAACAAAATATCACATTATAGTACAGGAATTTACTGAACAGTATTGCATCGATGGCAAGAGAAGCTGGCCAACCACACTGATACGCGAAGATGACAGTCACCCACGGAAGGTTAAATAATACGTAGATAAGTGAGATCGATAGCAACTGAACTGTCATCCGCCGACTCTCTCGCCATCGATTAGCACGATGCATTCGTGCCTTTTGTCTGATAACACGGACTAGCAAAGCAACACAAAACACCACAATGACCAACGTCGGAAAAACTTGGTGAACAAGAAGATCCCAACTTGCCAGAAACGTGCGATCAAACGGACAAGGAATATAGATACCACCATGTAAAAAGCCATCGAATGAATAATCACAAGGGGTGGCAAAATAGACCATACAATAGTAAATGAGATAGTACACAATGATAATGGTTGGTGGTAGATAGTGAATAAACAGTCGCTTCTTTGCTGTCGATAGCCATTGATCGTGAAAGATGAGAATGTGTCTTTCGATGCTGGCCCAAGCGAAGAGAGCGATCTGTAGTGAGTACAATGAATAGTCGAGAAACACCCAGAAGATGTAGAAAGCAGGTGATGTCGAGAGAGGCACGCCATTGTAATCATTATACAGATGAAACAGAATATTTGTCAGCTCATAGATGAATCCGAGAATGAGGAGAACGATGATGATATGATTATAAAGTGCCTGTCGACTGGTTCGATCGAAAAGAAGAAAAGCTAGGATGAACAGTGTGGAGGTAAGAGATGTGATGTTGAAGACGAGAAAACAAGAGAAGCGAAGCAGTCGTGGAACTTGGAACATTGTTTGGTGGAATGATACGTCAATTAATGTTTCAGTTAAAGAATACTGATTCTCAGAGATACAAAAGAGAATTCTAGAAAGTGGATACAAATGTAGTTAATAGAAACCAAAATAAATATATTTCAAGTTGTGCGAACACTTCAGCTGTCTTTCCTTTCTACAAGAGGAATATCATCAAAATAGAATTCATGGTTCGATGAACAATGTAAATTGTTTGTGCATACACACGAAGGGTTTCGAATAGTTTTTCCTTTTGCATGAACAATATCAAGTGTATGCTCGAATTATTATTCGTGGGAAAGTCGTTATCTTAGCCAGTATTTTACATAATTATTATCGAGAACTTTTTCTGTGCATGAATGTGTCAGGTGCGTTTAAAAAAACTTGTGCTCGAGACGTGTCAAGTAGGATGACTTCATAAGGAAACTCCTAGTAAGATACAGAGATCAGAAGAAGAAAACCTTTTCTATTTACAATTGTAAAAAAAGTGATATAAGAATGATCATCAGTAAGTATGACAACGATGAACATCTGTTAGCTTAAAAGAATGACGTATTCGCCTACACAGATAGTAATTGTTTGTGGAAAACAATAAAACTTTCCATTAACTCGGTTATAAAAGAAACAAAACTATTCGCACTTTAATACCCAATATTCAATCGAATGAACTAAACGACATCCGAAGTGTAGGCAGTTTTTCTAATTGATAAGGCAATTCCGGCGAACCGTCCGGCTTCTCATGAAGAAAACAGCACGAAATCGAAATTCCCTAGCTCACAGTCTTTCGTTTCAATCTTCTCCAATGACTTGCTGATACCACACTGTCCTACATGTAAGTTCCAAACCGTCGGTAAAATATCAGTAGTACCCATCTTCGCCTTTCACATGCTGTTAACGATCATTTGATAATGAATTAAATATAAACAGGACACTGTCGGAAATAGATTCGATAACCTATTTGTTTTGAACAATGTCTGTCAGTAAATCCTACGAGAAGCACTTCAGCTGACTAGACATGCGGCTAATATTATTTCTATCGCGTCAACTGTCAACATCTTTCTAACTCCGATCCAATTCATTGATGCACAAGTACTTAACCTCTTCAATATTGTCTCGATCCATTTCTCTGTCACCTGCTATTAATCGCAATAAAACTAAACCAGCTATTGAATTGTGGATCTTTTTCTCGAATATGATATGAAATGATTGTTCGTGTTACAATTCAGTTCTATGATCGTTCGTTTGTCTGGTCAAAGTGAATGTCAATCGAATGATCTTAAACTTGCGCATGCTTCTTTTTAGTACACATGTGGCAGCTTACTAGCCTTCTGTTGACCTTTTAATGTAAACAGATTACATGGAACGAACATGATATTTTTCATTTGTAATGCTCGATGATAGATTAGTCGATAAATTGTTCAGAAACGACCAAGTAGCTCGCGAAGCATGATTCTTTTGAGTGAAAGTCGGAAGTTGTTTGTTGGTATTGCGGGTGAAAACAGTTTTTCAATTCACTTGGTGGAGCACTTTATCATGAATGTTTAATATGCGGGAAACAAGAATTTTTTTATGGAAAAAATTCATGCACTCAAAGTAACTTGAAAAGAATTACCTAGCGTAAAATGTCCTGTTAAGGAAGGAGGTCAATTTTTGATTGATTCATTCATCCTTGCAAAACCTTGCAAAAAATCAGAGTGTAATACTCATGAAATCTAATGACAATTTAAAAACATTGGCTCTAGATAAGATTAATCGGGACAACTGTGCAAATGTTCTCAACTTCTAAATAACAGATGATTCGAGATGATTAAGATCTAGTTAGTACTGTTAATGTTAGGTGTATTGCGTACTACTTGAAAGTGTCTTTCTTTCAAAGAAATAATTTTGGATTCGTTTAGCAAATGCTGACTACCAATTTTATTACGTGATTTATTTGCTACATATGACAAAAAAGTTCCACATCGGGATCTTTTTAGATGAATGAACGTGAATCTTTTCCCCATTTATACTTTGCTCTTTATAATAAATGGCAGTATCATGACTCAGCATAGATGAAAAACGGAAAATGAAACGTCTTATTTATGCGTCAGAGAAAAACTATTTCGATCCTCTGAAGGTACTTGTTAGTAACGCAAATTAGTAAGCTCGCATATTCTACAGGCCCAAGATGCTGCAAGTGAACGCCCCGCCAGAGACTGATTACCTCCAAATTACAGCACGTGTGCCATTACTGAGATCGGAACATACACCATAACCCTTTCGATAATTAGCCAAGTACACCCATTCTCTCATAGTATCATGCATAATACGACTTAAAGGCTGTCTTTGATTCAAGTATTTATTTATTCGAATTCATGAAATAAACTGACACCACATTATTTCGATATTCAAATCAATGCAACATATACATAAGAAAACAACAGCAATAAGCAGGGGAAACACGATTTTTTCCTTTAGGTTCAAAATGCAAGTCATAAATCCGAGCGACTGACTCAATCTTATTGTGCATGTGATAATTCCTTGTTCTCCAACAGCGTTCTACCATGTACAGCGTTTCCTATCGTACTGTTAGGTACCACTTGTCTTCCTCTCCCTCGATAACAAGTCAGTTCCATCACTTTCACACGAAACTGCTTCATTGCCAGACACGTTACATACGGAAAACAAAATATCACATTATAGCACAGGAATTTACTGAACAGTATTGCATCGATGGCAAGAGAAGCTGGCCAACCACACTGATACGCGAAGATGACAGTCACCCACGGAAGGTTAAATAATACGTAGATAAGTGAGATCGAGAGCAACTGAACTGTCATCCGCCGACTCTCTCGCCATCGATTAGCACGATGCATTCGTGCCTTTTGTCTGATAACACGGACTAGCAAAGCAACACAAAACACCACAATGACCAACGTCGGAAAAACTTGGTGAACAAGAAGATCCCAACTTGCCAGAAACGTGCGATCAAACGGACAAGGAATATAGATACCACCATGTAAAAAGCCATCGAATGAATAATCACAAGGGGTGGCAAAATAGACCATACAATAGTAAATGAGATAGTACACAATGATAATGGTTGGTGGTAGATAGTGAATAAACAGTCGCTTCTTTGCTGTCGATAGCCATTGATCGTGAAAGATGAGAATGTGTCTTTCGATGCTGGCCCAAGCGAAGAGAGCGATCTGTAGTGAGTACAATGAATAGTCGAGAAACACCCAGAAGATGTAGAAAGCAGGTGATGTCGAGAGAGGCACGCCATTGTAATCATTATACAGATGAAACAGAATGTTTGTCAACTCATAGATGAATCCGAGAATGAGGAGAACGATGATGATATGATTGTAAAGTGCCTGTCGACTGGTTCGATCCAAAAGAAGAAAAGCTAGGATGAACAGTGTGGAGGTAAGAGATGTGATGTTGAAGACGAGAAAACAAGAGAAGCGAAGCAGTCGTGGAACTTGGAACATTGTTTGGTGGAATGATACGTCGATGTAATGTTTACCAAGAGATTCAGAACGGATGTTTTATTTGGAGTGTGTTGGCTTTCAGTAAATAAAGAAAATGAGAAAAACAGTATAGCGCATCATAGAATATATACGTCCACTGATTAACTCTGCCGAGTTTGCTATTAATAGAAATCTCGTACTTTTCTTTGAAATAAATTCAGTCTCAAATTGTACAGGAAATTCTTAAGTGGAAATATGATGGTACCCTTTATTCTTTAGAATAAAAATAATGTAAGGCGTATAAAGAATTAAGTCATCGTTTGAAATCACCTGAATTCTATAATTTGTTATTCGAACTACTTAAATGTTCTTTTCATTTCATCTATCGAATCTTCACAAATGACAAATGTTTCCGCTCGCAGATTAACTTTAACGTACAGAAGGTTTATGTAAATGATACGTTCCAGTCGCATGGAAAGCACAACACAGATGAAAAGTTAAGCCTTTTATTAACACCTTTTCTATACGTGAGAAACTTATGCTTTCTGATGCCAGGTATAAATCTCTTTATATGTTTATTTGAACAAAACAATCGCAAGATATATCACTGTCTTCGGTGTCGTGCTAATCGAAGCAAATTTGATATCAGACAAGCAATTGTTACTTGTCCAACACCACCCGGCACCGGAGTTATCCATCGAGCAACACGTTGTACATCTAAAAACAGAAAATGATGAAATTGCGAATGGATATACAAATGAAACTGACCGTGAAAATCTACGTCACCCACAAATTGCTTATTTTGCGCTACAGCTTTGTCAGTCCAACTTTTGGATATTCCAACGTCAATAACAATTGCATCTTTTTTAACCATTCGTTGCGTTATAAGTTCTAAATGAAACAATCAAATGACTTTGTTAGTTTCATCGAATCGAATTTACTTGGTCGACCCACAGCTGATACGATCACATCAGCATTTTTGCAATACCATGTTAAGTTGCTTAAATGCGTATGACGATGACAAATAGTGACGGTTGCACCACTAACTAAACTATTCTTGGCAGTCGTACTGGATTGACTGAGCATTAGTGCTAGTGGCGTGCCAACATATTTTGAACGGCCAATAACGACAACATCCTTTCCCTGCAGCGGCTCTCCAATTTCCAGTAACATTTCCCTCACAGCCGCAACCACTGGTATCGTTACTAGTGGAGGCGGTGACTGTCTATATAAATAACCATTCGAACTTGTATGTGCATCAACGTCTTTATCTGCTCGGATTATATCTATGAATTGTTCAGTTTTATCAATGAGATGTAATGGTAGAGGCAATTGAAGGATTATGCCATCGACTGAATCATCATTGTTGAGAGATTGAATAGTATTGATTAATTGTGACGGAGTCGTATGCATCAATTGATTGATTACTTGAAAGTCAATGCCTAGATAGAAAAGTTCAAAGATTAATTATAAATTTGAAGTCATTTTCAAAGTTAAACAACCGACGTGTTCGGCGATACGTTGTTTATTTCGTACGTAGAGCTTGCTAGATTCATTTCCACCCACGAGCACGGTGACCAGTCGCGGACGACATTGATATTTATTCACGAATTCTGCACATTCATTTTGACATTCATTCAATATCCGTCGAGCAATTGGTTTGCCGTAGAGAATATTATTGTTTTTCTGGTGAACTGTTTGCGCAGTATCTGTAACAAGAAATCTGATTTGTGAACATTTAGATTGATAGGATCAATGAAAGAGTTGACAAGACAAACCTTGTTTGTGTGAAAAACTGTCTGATTGCTAAACGAAGCATTTGCACAATTCAGAAAGGAAAACGAACCAAATCATAGGAAGTCGATGACTGATTGATTGCAGATACCTTCGAACCAGTTATTCGAACCGGCGCGCCATCTGTCATGTGTCGCACTGTTACGATCAGGCATTTTATACGTTTATCGTTAATTTTTATTGTATTAAAATAAAACATATCGTTTTAATTAGAATTGTACACACAAAAATTTCGGAATAGAACAGCGCACCGAATATAAATACACACACACACACACACAACATCGAAAAAAGCAATCGGTAACGTTTTCACGATCACCAAAATCGAAAACGTGACTTCATGGAACGAAAACTGTCATCGATCGACGAGTCTGGTGATGAACAACGCACAAATCTTGGCAACGATGATTTGCGTCGAGGTAAAGGCGTATGATCGATAGCGGTTGTTAGCAATGATGATAAATTACTACCTGGCGAACTACTTGTTCGAAGAATAGCAGAAATTGAGCGATCTAAAGAAAATGAAGTGAGATGACTATAATAACATTGGTTTATTTCTTCGTACTTTGCTTTGTCGCCGGTGATAAAGATTTGACTGTGAACTGATTCTCATTGAGATATTGTCGAGTTTTAAGTGTTGCTAACCGTGTGTAGAGTGGAATTTCTAAACCTTTCACGAGATTTTCTTCGACGTAAGCTCGTTCGTATTCCAATGAATCCATCATTTGAATTTTATCCAACGGTGTACGATGAGCGAATAAAAATGTTTTGTTCTGTATTCGATCGTATAAACGCCAAGCACATGATATATATCCGACATTCTCATCATCTGAAAAGGAAACTGAAATAGAATCTGGAAGTGTCTACAAAACTTTTCTTCCGTTAGCATACCTTTTCTATCAGTAAGATCTTCTATTTCCGCATTGTCTAATTCAGCTCTATCAAGATAAACCAATGTATTCCGTCGATCCTAAATGAAAAGATTGTGATTCAAATGATCCCATGTGAATTCGAAACATACCTTTTTACAAATGATCAGTATGTGATCAAAAAGAAACAAAATCACAGATTCTCTCTTTTCATTTTGATACAAAAATGCATCAGCACGCCCGAGACCTTGTGTGCTCGTTTCAAGAAGATCTTTTCCCTGAAAAACGCAATATTTTCATTGTATCGCATAAGAAAATTCAACTCAATTTTACCTGCCAACCTTCGACTGTATTTTGCCATTTATGAATGATTTCCACGTATTCCATACGTCGTTTTTGTTCGTTAATAAAACTCGCCACATCGCGCATTGTATCCAATGCTTGTTGAACATTGTGATAATCTTTATGGTCGGCTGATGTGCACTTCAACAATTCATTTAACTGTAGTGGATACTGACAGATGCGCTGAATCGGAGTGAGAAGAAATCCATCTAGCTTCAATTCAATCATATTAGCTTGCAATCGACATGTCTTAAGAAACGATTGACATTTTCTACTATCATATTTTTCCATGCAAGAATTTACTTCGAAAAAGTTTCGATGGATTGGACTGTTTTCGAGTTTAGTCAACTCTAAACAAGATAAGGGATGGTTGATGCAATATTTCGAATATTTCTTAAATTGCTCCTTCTGAAAAGATATACATATATGTGTGAATGAATAATGCATTTCTCTATCTTACGTAAAGAAGAAAACATTTGCCAATCAGACTCTCATGTGGATGAAGATCGTTGATTGATAATTTTAATAATTGAAAAAAAGATTGTTGGAATGTGTAGATTTCTTCAATATTCCCCATTAATAATTCAATTTGTTTGTCACAGAATAAGTCCGTATGTAAACGCATCTTGTTTAAATAACCCTAAAATATATATTCGATAATGCAAAATAATCAACCAATCAGATTCGACACGTACGTCGACTAAATTTTTCAAATGTCCGATATAATCTGACTCTGTCCTGTAGATTTCTTTGATGATATTCGCGCGTTTGTTGACATGTTCTGTTTCATCAATCGCTGGTGATGTTGGATTACTTGACGAATGAGAGTCACTTCGAAAACCTAGAGGAATTCATATATTGTCGATTCATAAGACAGACATGTGTATCATTTTCATCATACCGGAAGACGATGACGATGGTGAGAGAAAATTAGGATTGGATAAGATTGGCAGATCTTCATCGATTAGTGTCGAAGAACATTGTTTCCGGCGTAATTGAATTGGATCAAAATGATGAGTCGTTGTTGGCTGAAGAGNATGCTTGCCTGATCTTGTTAAAGAAACGAGTCATTGCTCAATGAAGAGCTTAGACTTCCTAAGACGATTTCTCTTTTTTCTTTTTCGAAATTACATCTCCTTGTCAATATCAACGATCAATCGCATATCCTCAGGGGTCGAAGTCGGTTTGTCGACATCTGATTTTTATAATTGATAAAACAACAAAAACATCGGGTGTGAAGCCAATAAACTCTCTCTCTTGCTCTCCGTTACTTTCTCAGAAGTGATCTTCGATATAAGCGAAGACAAACACAAACTCAGCAAATCATGCAGCTACTTACGTTTTACACTGCATCGAACGGTTACAGATGTTGATTTGCCATTTTCTTTTATATAGCGAAAACGAATCTTGCGCATTGTAGATCGTTCAGTAGTTGTGCGTTGAATGATTGTACAAGTTAATGACGTGAGGGATATTCAATCTATCTGTTGAACAAGTAAACGATCGGAAGAATGAGAGAGGCAGAGAGTGAGAAGAGAAAAAAAGGATGATGATGATGATTAAATAACACGAGCCAATACAAAAATGAATGTGATCAACGCATGAACGAGAGAGATAGAGGAGTGGAGAGAAAAGGAAAGGAAAAAAACGAATTTTTCGTTCGATTCTGTTCCAGTAGACAGACGAGAACGATGATGAGTTTCTTTTTCCAAGCGAATGAACATGATACCTCATGCTGAGAGAGTCGAAAAATCAACAATCAACTTCATCAAATCAATCGAAAGCGAACGAGACGAGAAGCAGCATTCTCAGGTGACCACTTTATCGAATAAACGGTATTCGTTCTCTTGCAAACAAACCTCATTTCCGTGTGTACGAGTGCAGACGGAGTTTTTTTCAATATGCATCAACACCTTTCCATTGTTTTCAAGTGGAACTTGTAATATGAGAGCTCGAGGGAAGAGCATAAAGTTTTGCGAAATGGAGTTTTGATTCTATTTCTTCGTTAGGCCGAGATATGATCACTGAGCAATATTGAACGACTCCACTGAGATTTCCTGCTAGTTTAACAGATGGTCACATGTATGAAACATTTAAAACAACAATCTGATCGTATCAATGCACAACTGAACATGATTTGGATTGTTCAGGTTAAATGATTGATCATTAGAGAATTTAACCTACTGGAAAATTAGGTTATCACGTGGAATTTCTTGTTTCAGTAGATAAAGAAAAGTCGTTATTTCAAATAAGAAAAAAAAACCTAGCAGCGATTACTCTAACGAAGAAGTGATTTTTTAGAGTCTTCTCTCCTATGATGTTTTATATCAGTCAGCACGCACTGCTTTGAGGGTGTGATATCTATCTTTATATCTTCGTGCATGTGTCAATCAAATTTAGCTGATGTCGTTCTTGTTCTCTGAGATTCAATCTATTTCGAAAGTGTGCCATTTATTAATGTATTTGAATCACGTTTGTTCCAGCTAAATACTCTGTCATGCTATACTCAGACAATTTCCGAAGCCATATCGATTTAACTGATTGATCTGGGTAGAATATTAAACATTCAACATCAAAGATGAAATCGCAAACGTTGTCGATTCTGTCCAATTATTAAAATGTGAAGAAGGCACATCTCAACTGTCACACATCGAATATTGACCAATCAGAAGGGATCAAAGACTTGTTGTATAATATTTTTAGTGAAGAGTGCTTGTATGAGTTCGAAGACAGCGAATATACTGTGATTGAATCGAGTGATTTTTGTGTAAACGATCAAAAACAAGTGCACACAAGTGTACGCATTCGATAGCATTTTGATCAGTGAACGACACTGGAAATTAGCTTGTGCAATAATGTTGTGAATGCGATATGAAATCATATACCAATGACATTTTGGTATTCGAATTGGCAAGAAAAGAGATACCATACAGATAATTCATTATCAGTGTTGAAGATGATTGTTTGATAAGCATTGTCAACACGTTCGATCCTTTAGCACAGTGTAATTACTTTTCTCTAATAATATCATGACGCAGTATCATTAGATCCATTTGCGTCGTATCGTAGATGAAAAGAACACCTCTGAAAGTGTTAAGCTTTGAAAAAGAATATCCAGAAAGCATCGTGTTGTCTTGTGATGAGTTTTTCAATCACAGTTTTTGACATATTTTACTTCGGAAAAAAGGAAAGCAAAGCGAATATAGAAATTATCGTTCGTTTGCATTACATTTTCTTTATTCTTTGACGGTCAATGTGAAAGCATCTTTACGTGCATAATGCCCACATACATCAAAATCCATTTTGCCTTTAATACATTCATCGGTATCGATTTCAGCAACCAGAACACCTTCTTTCCCAAACAAAGGTCCTGCAAGAATTTTACCGAACGGATCAATGATGACACTTCCACCATTCGTTAATACACTTTCAGAGTTCGAGAATTCTTTAGGCAACACATACCCACTCGGCATATCTTTCGTTTGAACAAATTGATTTGCACTTAATACATAAGTTCGCCCTTCGATTGCAATATGTTGCATACTGGATGCCCACGTATCACGTCCATCGGCTGTTGGTGCTAGATAGATCTGAATATTTTGTGAATACATGTGATAACGAAGTAATGGCATATAGCTCTCCCAACAAATAGCTGCGCCTAATAAAATATCTTTATTGAATGGTACTGCTTTAACATCTTTAACATCACCAAAACCCCAAACGACTCGTTCAGTTCCAGTTGGCATCAATTTTCTTCGCGAATGAATTAGACCATGTTCAGGATGAATATAAATCACAGCACAATAGAGAGTACTTCCTCCGCGTTCAATAATGCCAATAACAAGAAAAAGATTTTCCTCACGAGCGACTTGTTCTATGCGTTGTAATTCAGTGGATTTGTCATTTCCATCTGTGAGCGATATCGCTGCTTGATGATATTCGAGGAATTCTTGCCGTCCAGCATCACTACGATTACCTATGACAGCACCAAAATGCGAATATCGAGGATATCCGCCTATAAATGCTTCCGGAAACAAAGCAAGTTGTGCACCTTTTGCAGCAGCTTCTTTAGAGTATTTCTGTAGATGAAGTAATGTTTTTTCGAAGTCAAATCGTTGACAAGCACATTGGCAAACAGCAACAGTAAGTTTCGTCATCATGGACTAATGGAAAGAGTGTGCACATTCAAGATGGTTTCAACTACTGATAACAAAAGTATACAAATGATAAGTCATTGGATGGTAGGAGTAAAAAGTACGAATATCGGATCAAAGTTCAACGAGATTTTACAATTAGGTTGAGAAGCAAATAACTAATTTAAGTATGTAGCACTTCAAAATTCGATACTATCAATGGTCAGTATAACATACTAATAAATTCATGATGTGTTAATCTTTTGAAGTTCAGCTGGTCTGAGGATCTCAATTTCATGAGCAAAGTATGAGCTCTAAAACTATCATAGTTCGAATTTATCCTTGCCATTATTCAGTATTTCAGACAGAATTTAGACACTTATATGCGTTAATTATGGCAACCTCGCTACTCCAGCTCCTACATCTTCAAGACGCGCTTTAGTATCGTTGAACGCATAGACTATGAGCTTCTTCTTATATGTTAGATGTCACTAGTGTTCGGGAAACTAAAAAGACTAGTGAGGTAGCGCTATTTGCTTGCTGGTTGATCACTTGAATTGACTTCTGAAACTATAATCTTGCTTGTCGGTATTGTATTCGATCGCAAGATCGGATAAACGATGCATCGATATCGACATTTTGATGATGTAATCGACACAAACACTTCGCATACCGCTGCCATTTTACCAGACATCGATGTTGATGAACCATTTCAAGTGCAATTTACTCCGCAATTGGACAGTTATCCTTCGAACTTTCAGAAATTCAAATATCACTTTTCACGACGCACTCGCCTTGAGCGTTCTCTTATTTTTCTGATTCTTATTTTGCTCAGCGTTTTATTTATTGTAATTCTCATATCTCTCTTTCATTCGAAACCTCAACCGAAATCCGACGAGACAGTATGCTTGACTCCATCGTGTGTTCAAGTATCGTATATTTTATCATCGAGCATGAATCAATCCGTTGATCCATGCGAAGATTTCCATCAGTTCGCATGTGGTAACTGGATTCGACAGAATCTCATACCGAAAGGTCATTCATCATGGTCAACAACGCACGAATTAATGCAAAAGAATATGATTCTATCGAAAAATATTCTTGAACAATCGTCGATTTCATCGCTGAATACCGCTCAACAAGAAAGCATCAAATTCTATCGATCGTGTATGAACATCACTGAAATCGAACGATTAAATTTGCAACCAGTCGAAAATTTTTTCGAGAAAAACTTAACGTTCAGTCTGAAGCAGTGGATCGATATCAATAAAACTCAAACTTGGCAGCAATTATTTGTCTCTTTAACAAATATTCTTTCGGCAACCTACGGTTTCTTCGATGTTTTACCGATCAAAATCAGCTCCGACGAGAAAAATTCCACCTGGAATAACATCCATGTAAATTCTCTAATCACAATTTGTTCGTTAAATTAATTCTCATTTGTTTCTGCAGATTGATCAACCAAAGCTTGGATTGGTTAGTCGGGATTATTATGTCGATTCACCAAGTGATAGTCAATCAAACGCACGAAATCAAAAGGTAAATTTCCTTGTCGAGATCTCTGCAAACGCTATTAACATACTGTTTAGATTCGAGAAACTTACGGCAAAGTAGCTTCAGATATTTTGCAATTATTTGGCTTTGAAAAGAACGACTCAATCAAACGTGTGAACGATATCATTCAATTCGAAACTGAACTAGCCGCAGTCAGCTGTAAGTCCTCTTGATATTTCCTCGACAAAATACTCATTTACCTCAATTGTCCATTCCACAAGAGTAAATGATTTCCGAAGTTGCACTAATGCATTCGGGAAATATAGGTACAAAGAAGCGTTATGAATGAACATCCTCTCGAGTTATTTAATCTATAGGCATGTTTGATTATGCGTCGGAAATGTCATTCGGAACTGCTGTTTGATTTCTATAATAATAATCAAGTTACGAAGGAATTGTTCTTTTTAAACGAATGATTTTCAAATGAAGAGAATTACATTGGATATAATATCATTGAAACCTTTCTTACTTTTGTTTTTCCATTTAAAATAGAAAAAAATAAGCAAAGTATGAAGAAAGTTTTTGTATGATTGGTGATGGGTTTATAGATTTTCACGGTAGACGTTAGTGTTTCTATAGATCGAGTCTTTATTAGAAAATAGATATAGCTTCGACTGAATTACGTCGAATATCTGTAGAAACACATTGTGTTACCTCTACACATTATTTGGTGATCTGGTATTTCTTAGCGATAAGACAGAAAACATGCGGAATGTTTTTTTTTTCATTCAGTGCCTATGGAAATTCTTCAGAAACCTAATGAAACATATCATTTAATGACAGTCAAACAACTTCAAGACCAATATAAATCTATCGGCTGGAATATAAAGTCTTATCTGAATGATATGTTCAATCTGAACGCATCGAACCCGATTAAACTTGATGATGACGATCAAGTTATTGTTTTATCATATGATCTCATGTCCAATGTTTCGCAAATTGTTACGAAATATCTATCGACGCCAAATAAGAGTCATGTTGTTATCGATTTCATCTTATTTTCGTTAATCGGAGATATGACTTCACATCTACCGTTGATTTTTGAACAAACTGTATTACCATTGAAGAAAGTGCTACTTGGAACTGATTCCAATCCTGATCGTTGGGAAACCTGTGTGAGAAAAACAGACAAAGCGCTTGGTTTCGGACTTGGTAAGATTGAAACGAGAGAAGAAGTCAGATTTATCGAAACGAAACGTTTTAGGCGCTTTATATGTCAATACTGCGTTTGGTGAACGTGATCGGTTGAAAGCGAATGAGCTAATAAAAAATATTCGTGAAATCTTCGGAGAAAATCTCAATAAACTTCAGTGGATTGATGAACAGTCGAAAAGTGAAGCAAGGAAAAAACTCGATAAAATCTATGAAAAGATTGGTTATCCCGATTTTATCAAAAATGACACCAAACTAAATGAACGGTTAGTTCCCTGGTTAAATATAGTTAAAAGAAATGTTCACTTTTTTAAGTTATGCTGATTATTCGATGTCTGAAAGTGAATTTTTCAGCAATGAACTCAAAGTTCGCAGTCGAGAACGTCGATGGTCATTATTACAGTATCGACAGAAAGTTGATCGCACTGAGTAAGCAGTTTTCACTGAACGAATAAACGTTGCATTTACTTGTCTAGATGGGATATGACACCAGAAACAGTGAATGCTTATTACAATCCTTCCGAGAACGAAATCGTCTTTCCAGCGGGAATTTTGCAGCCACCGTTTTTTCATAAAGACTTCCCGATTGCGATCAACTATGGTGGGATTGGATCTGTAATCGGACACGAAATAACACATGGTTTCGACAATCAAGGTCGAGAATTTGATGCCGATGGAATGATGCGTTCGTGGTGGACGAAATTCTCAGCGGATAATTTTCAAGAAAAAACCAAATGTTTCGTCGATCAATATGGACGTTTCTCATTAGACGGACAAAATGAAAATGGTCAAAGAACATTAGGTCAGTAGATGAGTTTGACACGAAGATACTACTATGTTTGCATTTCAGGTGAAAATATCGCTGATAATGGTGGGATCAAAATCTCATACTTAGCTTACCAAAAGTTGAAAGGACATCTGACACAATCGGATCATAATCTTCGCCTTCCCGGCTTGGATTATACCAATGATCAGTTGTTTTTCCTTGCGTTTGCACACGTATGAGACGTTTCTCTCGTTGATTTTTATGCTGCTTTTTCATTTGATTAGACTTGGTGTAATATAGAGACGACGAATGCAATGCATTTTGATTTAACAAACGATCCGCATTCCCCTGCTCGATTTCGAATCAAAGGTACCTTACAAAACAGTGATGAATTTGCCAAAGCATTTGATTGTAAATCGAAAACAATGATGAATCCAAGCAGTAAATGTCAACTATGGTAATCTTCAAAAATCATTTTTATTTTTAATGTTAATTACACAAAAAAAAACACAATAATTAATTATTTATTCGATCTGTATGGTTTCTCTCTGTCTCTTTCTCTTTTGTTTTGTTTCTATAATCTTTGTTTTTTTCGGAAATAAAATTACTAACCTTTTATTTCAATTTTCAGATGATACCAAATGAGATGAATTCTAGCGGTAGTCGACAAGAATTTATAGATTTACTTTGTCGGATAACAAAATCAAATGATGAAACGTCGGCAACAACAGATGCAGGTATTGCTGCCATGGCTGACACCAGTGTTGATATTCCGACGAATGAGCCAGAAGTGACAGTCATTGACGATACAACAGCAGCCGAAGATGGTGAAATTATCACATTAGACGATGATGATGACGACGGTGAAATACTTCCTAATAAGAAGGAAGTCGAAGACGGAGAAATCACTGAATCAGAAGAATCTGATGTACGTATGACAGTCTTGAACTTCGAAGTATTCATTTGTGGTTCATTATCGTGTAGAATGATGATCTTGAGGTGCTGAATCTACGTCTAAATGCTTTACGATCATTGCCAGGTGCCAAAGAGGCACGACGACAAAAGCCTAAAAGTACAAAATCCGTTCTTCTTGTCACCTTCTTTTTCTTCTTTTTCAAATTTAGAATCCAGGCTGCGTCGCAAACAATACAGTGACAGCAATCGATATGTTACCGATGATATCGATCTGCGTTCGCCAAACAAATCTCGCTCTTTCCGTCATATAAGTCAATCGTCGAATCATGACGATCGAGAATATCTACTCGATAAAGACTATCGACATCCAAGTGTCTTCGACATGCTTGTGTCTCTTATCTCTCCTGACAATAATAATATCAACAGTAATACTAGAAGATTTCATGATAACTACGACATTCAACAAATGGATATCGATGATCAACCTATGCCAGCCCCTCTTCCATCAGGACCACCCCCACCATTGCCACTAAATCACATGCCATTCTTCGATCCATTGCCACCACTTCCACCGCCTCCACCGATGCCTGTATTTGATATGTTCGCAACAAATCAAACAATTCCTTCGACAAATTGGCCACGACCTAATTTTGTTCAACAACTTCCACCTCCAGTACCTATTCCCACAGAATTATGGCAACAAGCATTTCATAATCCTACTGATACAGATCTGCGTGTACCACCAACTATGAATCATCTGATTCATCAACAGCTTCCAGTGCCGCAGATCGTCGACCGCATACCGCATAAAAAAGCATCACCGCTACAACAAAGACGAAAGCGTACGAAGAAACCATCAAAGAAACATCGTCATCGTCATGAACCGGAACTGCAATCGTCTGTCGCTATTCCTATTACTGTCATTGATATAGATAAAGAGCGTGAACTCTCACCATCAATTGTTAATCATGTCAACGAAAATGATGAAGAAGCCGAAGATGACCTCGAGGAACGTTTATTGCGCGAACAACTTCTGCGTACACTATCAAGCAAACGCAAAGTTCTGATCGTCCAACAACCAACGCCTCAGCCAGAACGTATTGTGACCATCGAACCAATCACGTCTCCATCTCCACCACCAGTACCACAACAAACTGTGATTCAGCCTACTCCAATCGTGGTAAACAAGCCAATAGAAGTGAAATCTACATCGCAATACACTATCGATCAGCGCTATAAACGTGTCAAAGCTAATATATCATTGACAAATGTTACTAATAAAACGGAAACAACAACGACAGTTGTTCGAACGACGACTCAGCCAGTTTTTCAAACACGGAATAAAATCGTTCGTGCTGTAAGTATTCTGATGCGTTTATCTGCTCAATTTCATTCATTTGTCTAGCCGGAAGCTGATCTGGCTGACTTTCCTCAGTCGAATCCGATCATAATTACATTCGATGAACAGACCACAGATGATGAAGAGCAACAACCACAACTAATAGTGAGCAAACCAACTGAATCAACCTATGCTGTTGCCGATGAAGAACGGCAAGCTATCAAACGCTTGCAGCAAGAACAAGAAGAAGTACTTCGACGGTCTAATAACAGTGAATCATCAATGAAATTAGCACAGCCTAAAGTTCAAACACCATCGATAGAAATCGCCCAAGAAGCAATACCATCAACGGATGAATTGAGTGCTTTGCTTGAAAAGCGGTATGTAGAATTTTCTAGTCGAATGAAGTAAAAAAGATCGTTATTTATAAATCTAGTCGAATGTTACTCAACGAACGATCGAAATACCAGGAGATTCAAGAGAAAATGAAGAAGAAAAAGTTGGAAAACGGCCTTTTTGCACGTGATATCGAACGGCTCGAAGAACAGCTAACTGCTAAGAAAGCAAAAATCAATAAGAATAACCTATTTTTACAGTATTGGGAAAAACAGGTACAGATATCATCATATTTCACGAACTTATCTGATCTATTCGTTTCACATAGGCTCTAGCTATCGCTCAGAACATCAGACAACAGGAAGATTTAATTCTGCAATCTGCTGTATTCAAATCTACTCAACCAGTTCGTGTTCACCCTAAATACTCGATAGTATTCACTATCTTCTATTTCAGCCTTCCTCGTCAAGCATTAAACCTCGAACGTCAATCGAATTTGATTGTGCGAAAATTTCCAGCGTCTTCGATGAGAATATTGTGAGTACCTCTAAACACATTAGTTAAATCTCTATATCATGAACTATTCTAGACGCAACTGTTACTCTCATTACTTATTTGCCCTTTGAATCTTTATCGAAAACTTCGTTCATATCACAGCTGGCTGAATAGAATATCGAAAAGACTTCCAACGGTAATTCATGTTTTTTGTTTTATCATGCAATTTTGCTTTGGTTTCAATAGTCGCCTGTAGCCGATAATTCCTGTTTATTGCTACGCACACGTTCGTAAGTGCATCAGCAAGATTTTCTAATCATTGTCTTCTTCTGTCTTTCAGTTTTCCTACTAAAGATAATGAACAGTACTGGAAAACCTGTCTACAATCCTATTTTATCGATATCAATCAGATTATGTGTCCTTATGAACTACAAGGTTCTTGTAAAGCTCAAAGTTGTATTTAGTAAGTCAACTGTCATTTGTAATATCCATGAAGATCGTTCGTTATGTCAATTAGTCAACATCAACATCAAATATCTAGTAGAATCGAACAATTTCTCTCTTCGAAACAATTCGATGAGAAAAATAAACAAAGTTTGTTTCGAACTCGACCGCCATCATTTATTCCATCGTTTCTTCATTAGAGCTTCTCAATCAAATGACAAATCTATGTTCATTACAATCATTTGATATCGATTTTTCTTTGTTTGAGAAGAAAATCAACGAACGACAATATCAACGTTGTAAGTAATCGACTTTGACTTATGATTTCATTCTTATAACATCTCATTACTCATAAGGTCGAACGAAACTTGATCGATACCTGGCTATTTATCACGAAGATTTTCGATACTTCCGCGACCAAACGAACAATGGCAATCAATCCATCATTCATCCAATTCTACTCAGCGTTTCCAATCAACTAGATTCGTATGGCAAAATTCATATGATTAACACCGAGATATAGCGATATTCTTCTTATGTTTAGTGATGATTTTTCTGTGGAACGCGCTGTCGCAGATCTCGTTGAAGGTCTCGAATCTCAACGAACTAACGCTCAATTATGGTGCCTCTATTTGGAATTCTCTAGTTGGCATATGTCATCCACTGAACTAGAACATTTGTGTTTAGCTGCTCTGAAGAATGCTCAAAGTTATGATTTATTCTGGACGGTAAGTGAGATCAAATTTCATCGAATCTACGAGTATTCTTTCATTCTTCCTGACTTAGATCTTTTATTTATGTACAAACAACTTAGAAGAGCTGATTTCTCTTTATTTCACTTATGTACAATCGGATGAATTTGATTTTCATAGTCGATCTTATGCTCTGTGTGAACTAGCAATGTTTCACACGAGTTTAACATCAAATAACGACCAAGCCTATCACCGTATCAAGGTAAGTGCAAAAGCATAAACCATAATTCAATTGAAAGCATATCCCCTAGGATTATCTATCGAATTCTTCGTTGGAAAGTGAACACCGGATCTATCTTGTCTTGGTTGTCTTGTATATATTTGCATTCGGGTCGTTTCCCCGAACACTCTATCAACAAATGGACGAAAATCGATTCGAAAGGCCGACATATGTATGTGAACGTGTACATAACAAATGACTAGTATTTCGATTTTAGATCGAGCCGTTTATTTGTCCTTGGAATGCTCTATCAAGTTATACACGTTCACAGAGTGAAATCGACCAGCTCTTTGATGATTTCATGAATCCACTCGAACTCTCGGAGAGTAATTCCGCATTATATATCAACAGAATTCATTATTTAAATGCAACGAAAAGGTTTGGAAAATGTAATTCTGATTTCGAATGAAGTAAATAATGTGCATATAGATTCGATCAATCGAAATTGTACATTGAAACATTACTTGAAGCCTTTCCATGTTCAATTGAACTTTGGATTGAACTTTTAATTCATCCCGGAGTGTCTCAACGGATACCTGAAGTAAATAGCAAAAGATCTTCGGAACAACAACTAATGTCTGCGTTTAGATTCTCGAACGCGCAAGAAAAACAACGGGAGTTTATTTCGAGTTCATTTATTCACTGGTATTTTATTGTGATTAGTCAAGATATATGTGTCTAGCTTTCCTATATTTAGTCTTCAACGATGAATGTTCAACAGCTGTTAACCAATGGTTCCATTCCAGCGAAAACGCATCGCGAAAAATTCTTTTCTGAGCTTTGCCACTTGTTGTGCGAAATTTGACTTTGTGTCGAACGAAAGATATCATTTTGTCTATCTCGTTTACAGGTTAGATACAAACACAGAGCTAAAAGAGAAGACAATCGAACAGAATCTTTTGCGCTACACTGGTGAATTGCACGATATCTTCATTCTTCAGTAATCAACTATCTTTTCCTACAATCCATTTGATCAACTGATCTGTTTTAGTATATTTCTTCATTCATCTGATTTATCGGCCGATGCGCCACAGCGGCTGATTGTCAAAGTTTTGAATTATTTACTAGCATACGATGAACAGCAGCGAATCTTGATACTCTATTCATTTTTCCGACTGATCGAAGTTGGTCGCGTTTTGGATATAGTCATCGATTGTTTTCTCTCGCTAAACTTCGATCGATACGAATGGATTCTGAAATCGTAAGGAACGCAATGTCTTTCCATTCGACACAGCATTCGTTCTTCTTAGATTTACTTACCGTCTCTTGGAAAGTTTGAAATCAAAAGAACGAAACGATCTTATATGGATTCGTTTGGATGCATTTATTAAACCGTTGATAAACAATAGTCACTGTCAGGAGATTTATGTCACGTATGTGAAATTTATTCCAACAGGTAAGCATGAATTTCGTCTGTTTGTTTTTCTGTTGAATAGCATTCTTCAACGGCTGATTATTTCGACGGAAGACAAGACTAAGGTAATTTTTTTGGAATACTGGTGAGTTTTCTCGATTTGATTTTTATTTACAACGAATGAACGCAAGGCATTGCTCTGCGACGCTTGTATAAATCAATCAAATCGAGAAAAAACACAACAATATCATTGAAATTTGTCTCTTTCGCGGTTGCACTCTGTTATCCATTGAAGATTGTACGCTTATGTCGTCTCTTCGAAAAACAATTTCCCAATTGCGGTCTCATATCTCAACAGCTACGACAAATCATTTTCAATTCGGTCAATACTGACAATGGCACGGCGATCACTTCATAGTCGATGAGGAGAGAAAGAAAGCAGTATTCTAGTTCAACAGGGAACGATAGATTCGTAGGCCAGTTTCTTTCTTTATACGTTGTTGTTTCTCTTTCTCGCATGTCTTTCAAAATGGCTCTTGCTACCAATAGTTTATTTTCTTTTTGCTTTGTTATTGTTGATATGCACGGACGCGCATATCATCGATGTTGATTTTTTTTTGTTCTATATCTCAAGTGAAGATGAAAACAAGCTTTCCAGATGGGTGATGTTCACTCAATCATCGTTATGTCGACGTGCGCGCGTGTATGTGTATTTTCTTTTCTTGAAAAAAAGATGTCTTGTGAAAACAACTCTGAACGAATAGATTTGAATAAAATAACATCGAACAAAATTAATGATAGATACTGATTTAATTAGATGTTTCCGTGTCACGTAAGTGATTAATGACTGTTTTTCTCCGAGATGAAAAATCGAGATCTCACGGCTTTGTAAGAAAAGAAGGAGAAGAAATCATCTTATTGATATGATATATTATCGAGTACATCTGTTCAGTCGAACGGAAACCAAGGAGTTTTTTATGTGCTTCGTTGTTGAGAAGCAAAAAAAAATGCTACAAATCGGTTTTGCTCGTTGATCAAGTAAGTCGCGTTTCATCGTTTCGATTTTATCACGGTGTTCCAAAATGGAAGAAAATGAACTAACAGAAGTTAAGATTTATCTTTGATAAAATCTCGGTAGAATAAATCTTGAATGTAGAGGAGAATTGCAATCGGTTGAATTAGTATAAGTGAGATCCACACGGCAATATTCCCATAAGTTTTATTTTCATGTTTGATTCGTCGGACAACTAAACCCATCGGAAGTTGAACCATCATTGCTAGAAAGCTCCATGGCCGAAGCATACGCAGAGGCACGCTGATTAAATACTAAAAAGTCAAACATATTTTTAAATAGATAATTACATCCTTCGAAAAGTATCGACACATACTTCATGAAAAAATGCACTAATGGCGAAGACAACTAATGAGCCGATTATTTTATTGAAACCATATTGTACTACTAAGGGCTTATAAACATGTCGCTTACAGAAATCATGTACACTTGTATTCCAACGATTCCAGAATTCATATAAATCTGTTGCATTCCACCAGTCACGATAGAATAATCGATCTCCAAAACGTAAGAGTTCGGCGAGAAGGTTCAACGTTGAATGAAAATACACATAGAATAGGATCAACCAAAGCAGATGATTGGGTAGAGCAAGACGGAGCAGACGTTCGACGTTTTGTAAAGTCGAATACTGATTCAATGGTCGATCGAGTGTACGTAAAATCGGTAGGATCCATTGTTGTCCCAAACAATATTGTAAAGAGAGAAGAACAAGAATTTCTCCACAACGTCGTAGTATGAATCGTTTTCGTATACGTGGTGAGCGGGGAAAATTTAATTCGTAGCAAAGCGTTGGAGCAAACATAAAGTAATAGAGATTCGTGTAAGATAGATTGTTTGGATAGACTATTGGGCCTTTTGGGTGAGACGCTTTTTCATGCGAATCTAAATGAGAGATTTGAAATGACATGCGGAGAAGAATTTCGTATGAAACTAACCATTCTTTTTTTCGATCAGAGCTTTTCGATATCGATGGTTGACATGTATGTATGAGAATAGTTTCAAAAACACAACGGAATAAATGCAAACAGCAATGAATGCTCCAACTGGATTCGGTTGGCGCCAATAGATATAAGTTGCTGGAAAAACTAATATTATGAATAGATTAAGAAATTGAATGAACACATATTGATTTTCCACTTTTGGACATGATTGTTGCAATTGACTTAGTCTTTTTTCTAATGCGAAGTCAAATAGGATGAAACAATTCACAAGGAGAATGAGCAATACCTTGACAAAGAGAAAAACAAGAATCGTCCTTTGAAAACCTAATCGAAAGGTTTCAACTCACTGACGGCCAATTCGTTGGATCTTGAAGAAATCTTATTGGCCAATCAAACTCAACTAATAAACCATATTGAATAATATTTTCTAGTACAAGTCGACAACTTCCTATGCCCAGAATAACATAAAGAAGATTGAGAAAACCTCGATAATTTTCATAACCGCTTGAGGCTGAGAGCAATGATGGTCTTTCTAGAACCGACATTCGAATCAATAAATCGTTTTAAATAAACATAAAAGATATATACCTTGATGACATGGCGTATCAAGAACAGAAGTCATTTTCATTTGTTCGAAGGAAGAAAGTAAACTGTGCAATATTTAATGTATAGATGTCTATAGAGGTGAAAGAGAAGAACAAATGTGAGAAAGAAATAAAACGCAAAGTAAACTGCGCGTAGTGATAACGCAATCAATGACATCATATTATCTATTTTGGTGAAATTTTGGCAGTTCTATGAGTAGGAGAATAGGTTGACAAACATAATTGATATAGATATGATCGATTTGAATTTATAATTAGTTTCTTTGTGTTGCATGAGAATAGTGTTTGAACATTTTTCTCTTCGAATCATACTTTAATCAATAATTGATGAGAGAACGGGAAAAGAGTTAAACTGGTCGACCATTAGCGCAATTGCAATTAAGGAAAATATTATAGTGATTGTGAATACTTAATAGATGTATCTATTGTTCAGATAAGTGAACTTTGATTTTCATAGAAAGAGAAACAATTTTCTGTCTCACATATACTGTCTGTCTCCATCGATTTTTCTCCTTCGTGCTTCAACATGTCGTTAGAGATTGAAGTTGTTATTATGAAACGAAAGAGATTCATTGGAAATTATTTCTGCTCACATTGATCTCTTCTCGAACAACGACGACGACGACAACAACAACAACGTTAATAATAGTAGAAAAAGAAGCTGGGAGAGAGAGAGTACAGATAGTTTAGGTCTGGTCTTCTTTTTGCACAAGTGCATGTCAGTGGAAACTTTCCTTTTCTTTTTTTCACAGTCAGCGAAAAAACAACGACGATTCATTGTGAAAGGTAAACTTGTTACTAACCAAAGATATCATTGTTTTCCTACTATTTCCTCGGATTTCTTCAGGACATATCAGTCTCGATAGACGATCTCTTTTCATGTGAATTGGGATCAATCAAGCTTGCCTTTTCCGGAAAGTTGCTATGAGAATGTGAAAGTGTCTGAAATCGGAACGAATGAATAACAGAATGTTGTTGAAATCTTTTTATGTGGGTGGATGAATACCAAAGTAATGAGAAAAAAAAACGAGAATCAAATAAAAGAATAGAAAGAAATCTATTGACTATTGTTTCGAAGACAACGAGATATTACATTATTGGAATATTCTTCTTTTCACAACACAGGATTTTCATCGGATTACTTATTCAAATATGAATATACTTATACCGTTTCAATTGTTTCGTTTGAAAGACCAAGTAGGTTAAAAGTAAGTATCGATGCGGTGTTGTGCCTTGAACATGTAAGTATTTATCAGCATGTGTGAAGAGTAAGTATTCGAAGTGCGTGTATCCGTGCATGTGTTTTTTTACGCGTTAGTATCAGCTGGTGCATGTCCAAGGGCCTAAATGAGATATGCAAGGATAGGATGAAAAAAAAGACGAATAAAAGATGCCCCCACGCAGGATCGAACTACGGACCTCCAGTTTACAAGACTGGCGCTCTACCACTGAGCTATAAGGGCTATAGGAAACTGAATGGGCTATCGGAACACGCGGCGGGCTCAGGTCAAAGCATCAATATTGATTTAGTATACGTCACGAGATTAGGGGTGAACCCATTGTACTTGATATTTTGACAATTTTGTGATATTGCTTCTAGATCTGATTTTCTTAGTTAAAAAGTATTACAATGATGATGTCTTCAAATCTTATCATCTTTTCTTTATCTCTCACTGTTCTTTGTATGACAACGTTTCTGGCAACAACGCAGGCAACAGAAACTTCCCAGTCCTTTAAAGAAGAGGTTGTATAATCTGAAATGATTTACTTTTCGTTCATCTTTTTTTTTCTCTCTCCATATGTAGCCCACTCCTGCCGTTGTTCTTGCAAAATATCATCATAATGCTGATGATTTTCCTGCATCATCAAAACATCTTGCATTCGCAGAAGATGACAGTCAAAGCGATGAAGATGATGACAACGACAATGAATTCATTCCAATCTATCATTATGAAACAATTGAACCACGAATGGGTGGCAAACGTTCCGCAGATGCAGCAAGTCATTCAACTGGCACTAATGGTGAAAATCGCAACTGGGCTATTCCGTATCGATTCGGTAAACGAGGTGCGATGCCATACCGTTTTGGAAAACGAGCTGCTATGCCCTACCGATTCGGTAAACGCGCTGGCATGCATTTCCGACTTGGAAAGAAGAGCGCCGCTTTGTAAATCTCGAAATCAATTATTGTGAATTGAGCAAAAGTTTTCTGTAGAATGATAATCATAACAACGTATGACACATATATATCTTTCTCTCTCGAATAAACTAATATCGAAGTTTTAATCTATATTATAACTGACTTTTTGCATGATTCAATCAATAAACAGATCATTACTGAAATAGTATTATCTTTTGCTTTCACTTGCTGACATTTATTATCAATTTCAATTGTTGTTTTGTCACGTATCAGCACGATTTACAGGTTGTGATAAATGATTTTTATAGGCATAGATAAATTCACAGATAATTCACAAAGCGTTTTAAAACTGAAGAAAATCTAGTACGATGAACTCAGCAACCTGATAGAGAATTAAAAATAAAAGTAGAAGAGTAATGGGACTGATTATCATCACCACGGCAGTCCTACAAAAGTACATCCGATAGATTATGAATATGAAATTTCAAGAAAGATATGCGGATTTCTTTTCACAGTAAGTTATTCGAGTGTATATGCTAGAAAAAACTACCGACGAGAAACTTATTCATGCGTTTCCTATTGAGATGAATTGCAGAACGAATGCTTTACTAGCTTCCTGTTGTCCTCGCACTCACGTGTATAATCATGTAAAGCGTACATTTCCTAGGTCGAAAAGATGCGGAAGTTCTTATCGTTTGTGCTCTAATGAATTTGATTAAAACTCGCAGTAAAATCCATTTGACTTCTTTGCTTCTCACTATTGACAAGTGAACCTTCTGTCAGCTAATCGATATCATTACTCTCGAGGAACAGAACTGAAATCTACTCGATCACTTTCACCTGGAAATAATATACGCGTAGATTTACGTTTCATGTCATATATTTGAATATTTTCTTTCTTTTGCATACGTCCGCGCGAAGCACTATGCAGATTAGTATCAGATTCAAGTTCGGTCAACAAATAAAAACTTATATCACAATGTGCTGAACAATAGACTGATCATTTCGCCTAGGCTGTCGTGGAAAAGGAAAACCTTGGAAGCCATCAGCGTCTATTTTCTATTTATTTATTTTAAGCTGTTGTACGACGAAAGTTATTTCCGCGGAGAACGCAAAAGAAATAATCTTTCAGGTTACTAACTCATGCAAAAACGGAAGAGAGGAAATGCACTCATTGTAAAATCAAACTTCATTCTTTTTCTCTCGTTGCTCGATCTTCGTGAGTTTTTCTTTCAAATGAATAGTCTTTTGTTCAATGTAAGTTTTCATTCGTTATATAACCAACGTATGTTATATTGAGTCAATATTGCTACTAATCGTTTTTCTTTCGTAATACTTCCAAGACTTCTTTTCTCTCTCTCTCTCTCTCGCTCTAGAGAATTTCATGCATGATTCAAAATGTGCACGTGTGATAAACACGTTCAACGTTGTATTAACTGCAACCAATGTCGACTATTTTTTCTTGATCAGAAGCATATAACTGAGCCGTAATTACACAGGTAAAGTACATTGAAAATTCTCGTTTGTTATTCCAGAAAAAAAATGTACTTAAAGGTTGTTTTTTTTTACGATTAAAAGTAACCTGAGACGAGACGCATTCATTTCTGTGTGTCAATAAGCAATAAAATTTGACATAATTTCTTCTTGGAGATTATTTAGATTTTTTTGCTATGTTCTTTTCACTTTCTGCCAAATCAGTATTACATGTTGTAGAGCATCCAATTGCGATCTTTTCTTCTCCTGCTGAAGAATCTTTTCAATCGAGTAATAACAAGTCTATTGAGATTATTCCCCTGGGGGTCTATCATCGAACGTGCTAATCTCACTATCGATGTCTTTGTTGAGCGTTTTAGTATGAGAAGCTAGCAGACATGCTCTCGTATGTGTGTATACATGTCATCGAGGGACAACCGGCCATATGCGTGAGCATTATCGATGGTAGACAGGCGAACGAGACGCAATCATCGTAATCCGTTCGCAATCGATCGTTACAAAAAGAAGTATCTATTTATTGTCTCAGCAAAAGAAAAGACGACCACGAGTTTGACTCAGTACGAAGAGAGAACAGATGACTTTTACAATAAATCGAGTTGATGAGGAATGCAGGTGAAGAAGAATATATTAAAATGATCTGTCACGTCTGTAAAAGAGAGGTAAGACATTTATGGCAATATCTCTGCTGTCATCGATCGTATTCACTTTTTTTTCCTTTGTTGCGATAAGAATGATTTTGATTTGAATTTCACGGGTAGAAAAAAAGAGAAAAGTAATCAATCAGAATTGATCAGCAAGCCGAAAGACAACTGTTTATCCGTGACGTCGTCATTTTTTCTCGTTCTATTATTGCATTATATAGCCAGTAAGTCGACATCCGAATCAGCACATAAAAAAAAGAGAGAAATTCTTTTCTTCATCTTCATTTCTTCGTTTTTTTTTTATTATTTAAATATAAGTGTATACTAACAAAAAGCTATCGGTGATAAAAGTACGTACTCCTGGCAGGAAATTACGCCACATTGACTTTTGTATTCTCTCTCGCTCTTAAATCATACTTTGAAATTGTTTTACTTTTTCAGTTGATTAGAACAGTGTCACGCGGCATAATGAAACTTCATCGACGATTCAATTTCTACCAATATTCAACTCTTTTGCTTCCAAATCGTGTCAGATCGAGTTTAAAAACGCTTTATGTGTTAGTTAGCCTTCATGTTGCCTTATTTCTAATTGTTTATCATCGACTTATACTTATCAAATCTTCGCCGTTTCGATCATTCTATTCAGATAGAAATCAATTGTGTCCAATACCGCAATTGGATCCATGGGATCAAACGATTTCGAAATCATTACATCTGAAAGTACCGTATCGTTGTCCGATGCACAAACAAAATCTCATTAATGTCATTAATCATACACAACTATTCATTAATCAACAGGTGAATCGAACTTCGTACTCGGGTTCGATCACACATTGTGTTTATTTCAAAGTTGATCGAAATCCGAAAGAAGAATCGTTCCGAGATTGGTCATATACATTATCCAAACCGATATTAATCACAAATGGACACACGCAACCAATTCTCGATGCTGATTTTGTTCTCACGCGTTGTTACAACAATCGAACAAAGTATTTTAATGGTGAAATCTTTTGGTAAGTTGGAGAATACGAGAGTAGCTGTTCACTTTCCTATTGACACTAATAGACCGGGAGTGTTTTCTTTTCCTCTTATCAGCTCGATTGAATGAATTGAAACGGGAGCGATTTTATCAAATCAATAGTAACCTAAACTACCTGAAAATGAGTAAAAAGAACTCTTTCGTACTTGCTGTTGACAGATAGCGCAGAACGAGTTGAGAGAAAAATATTTGCACTTTCTTCTAAGCTGGTCATAAAAGAACAAGTGATCGAACACATGAGTACTTTTTACATCTCATTGCTTACAAATATGCCTTACCTGCACTTGTCTATTCAAATCAATAAATTCATTTGAAAAAAAAAATCTCAATTACCTAAAGGTAATTTAGTTAATCAATACGATCGATTCGAAAGTCATTTGATTACACATGAAGAAGTAATAAGAAAATTGTGCTTGTTTTTCAGCGGTTATAATTGTACCGACTTTCACAACATGGATGTTCATACCAAAGAGTTAACTAAGAATCAAACGCTTGTATACGAATACATTCATCCAATAATTCGTTTGAAAAAGCCAACTTTTCCAACGGAAACTTGGGCACGAAAATCATCTTTGAATAGTTCACCACCTCCTTCAGTTGTTATGATTATACTTGACGCAGTCAGCAATCTACAAGCACAACGAGCACTACCACATACTCTAGCTTATCTCAAATCCTTAGGTCTGTATACATTTGAACGCCATACAGTTGTGGGCGATGGAACATTCGAAAATATGGTTCCGATGTTATTTGGTTTACCCGGTACTGATTTACAAATTCCGAATACGAATGATAGTCGATATGAATTCGTTGCAACTGAAGTTCACATCGACAATAAAACACAACAACGTGTAGAAACGAAGAAAAAAGTTTATTATCCTGGACCTTACGATCATTATCCATTTATTATAAAAAATTTCTCCAATTTGAACTATACAACGTACTTTAGTGAAGAATGGCGTGAAAGTGCATTTTACAACTTAAAGAATGGCTTTCGTCAAGCTCCAACTGATTTTTATCTACGTCCGTATTGGTTATCACTCTATGATACCTTGTCGTATAACAAATTTGCTGGAAATTCCAATCCAAAGCCGTGCTATCTTGATAAATTATTACATTTTCTATCGTTGAATTGGTTGAAAGACTTTTTACAAGTCCATCATCAACGGGCAGATCATCCGACATTCGGAATTATGAAAATGAATGAAATGAGTCATGATTATCTAGAAAGACTGTTCTGGATTGATGATGATCTGAAGAAATTCTTCGAAGATTTAACTAAGCAACATTTATTAGATAATACAATAGTAATCTTTTGTGGTGATCATGGTCATCGACAACATCGAATACGGCTAACACGAATCGGAAGCTTTGAAGTAAAATTACCATTCTTCTCTATGCTCCTGCCGGAATCGTTCAAAAGAAATTTCCCTCAGGCAACAACTAATTTTGAGAAGAATCAAAAGGGTAAGTGCAAGCACAAATTCATAGCAAAATAATGTGTTTTTTTTTCTCTTTCGGCAGTCTTGACAACATGGTGGGATGTTTATGAAACCTTAGTAAATATTCTCAAAATGGCCGAACAACCACATCTACTCGATCCACTTCTTGTTAATTGGCAACGAACCACATCAGGTATCTCACTTTTTCATCCTATTCCCGAACGAAACTGCTCATCAGCTGGTATACCAGGTATACATACACTACCAACAAATTCTCCTTCAAATTTCATTGTTCATATGTAGATAAATATTGTCCTTGTACACATTCAGTACCCGTAGATATTGATCAACCCATCGTCAAACAGTTAGCAATAACCAGTGTTGATTATATCAACAATGTCGAACTTAAAAACCATCACCATTTATGCGTGTTCCTCCACTTAAAAGAGATCATTCGTGCAGAAGTCGAACAACTTCGAGTACCGATCATGACGAATGACACAGCCCAATCGAATTTCACACTTTCATACGTTGTACTTTTCGAAGTATTTCCGTCCAAGGGCATCTTTGAAAGTCGGTTACTTTACGATCCCATCAAGAACACAGTCCAATTACACCGTGGTATTCTTCGAATCAATCTTTACGGACAAACATCAGCATGCATACAAGACAAATATGATCTACGATCGTTTTGCTATTGCAAATCATATCACAACAGAAGTAGGACGAATGCGTTAAGGAACAAACAAGCCTTCTTGACGAATAGCATTCTGAGCTGATACGAAGTTCTACACCAATTTCCATATGTTCTATTTTATGAAATGTAATCGCTGGCGATTCATATTTTGCTATTTTTTTTCTCCTTCTATATGATAATTATAAAAATGAACATCTTAACATTCTTTTACTTTGGAATTCTTTGATAGAAAGCTCCGTTCGTTACGTTTAGACAAACGTCGAGATGTTATAAACATGATAGACATATGTTTTTTAAGGAATTTTTATTCGAAATTAGATGTTTCCATTCATTTTGTCTTTCTCATCGTTATTTCTTCCCAATACCAATTAAACCGAGTTGCATGAGAAATTCAAGATCAGGAATAGTCGATCCATCTAGCAAATACACAATTTATGAACATAATCGATTTTAATCAATCAACTTACGAATACAATTATTGTTGAGAAGAACATAACCAGAACAACATTTGTAATCTTCTGGCGCACAGAATGTATGAGAGTTAGGTACGAGATAAGTAACAACTGTATATTCGGTAGTCATACTAAAACATATGTGTGGGCACGTCGATAATTCAAAATTCAGATGAGAAGTATACGAACTAGGTTTCAGTTTTATTCACTGCAGTCCACATACATCCAGTAGTTGATTCAAGTGAACTTGGTGCTTTTGTTGGGCGGGTAGGATTGCCAGGTGTGCGTTTTGTCGTACTTGGAATTGGCACAGTTGGACCTTTCGAAATGAGAAATAGTATTTCTATATACAAACAGACAATCGATAACATACGAACTGGATTGAGATTGCCATGACAATCTTGATAACCAACGGTAATCGTATGACTTTGTGGTACTAACGTTGTCACAACTTTTGTATGCACTTCATCATTGTTGACATGTTGCCAATTTGTGCAGCAATATGCATCAGTACTATGACAAATCAAATCATCGAACGAAAAAGAAAACAGATCGTTATCTACTCTCGTTTAGCGTCGCCGGCCAGCTTCGATCTCAATTGTTCACCTAAACTTTGATACTCTTCAGGTAAAACTGACAAATCATGGTCGAGGTTGTCGATGTATTCAGGCAATCCAAAAACCTGAAATCGAGAAAGAAAATATCGAACATATTCCTCATAGACTTCATGTCAAAATATAACCTGTATAGCTAAAACAAGAAAACAAACGGCTGTAATGCGAAACATTGTCTTCAAATCACAATAATTTCCAGAATATGAAATCCAACGCGTCTTGTGTGTTTATGTTCGAATAAGAAAAAAACGGCAGGTGTTGATGATTCTCATGCATTTAGACGATTATCATTCTTGTAGGTAGAGAAAAACAAAAAGAAAACTTATCTCGTCGAATGACAAAGTGCAGATTGATGGATCCAAAGAAAAAAATTCGAACTTCATTCTGATAAAACATTTCATGAGATGTCATAGATACATCGAACTTTATTAACGATTGAAATATCATGTTAGTAAAGTGAAAAAAAAGACAAGAACAGAATGTGTATCATAAAGAGATCAATTAAAATAGGCAAGAATTGAGTAGACAATTTTTCAATGCAAGAATAGATCTTCTATGATGCCGGTAATTTCATTGTTGTTGTTTCTACATTCGGATGATCTCCATCATCTTGTTCGACTAGTTCGGTTAATTCAGTATCATTATGAATCACTGACACTGTACGAGATAAATTTGCTTTTTCTAACAGATCGAGTAGGAGATCAACGACAGTTTCAGCAAATTGATTTTTATCCACTGTTTGATTTCGACTGACGGCTGTTGCATTATCATTATTGTATATTACAAGTGGTTGACTAGGTTCGGTTTCATTAAGATCTGTTCAAAAAAGAAGCAAACGAACGAAATGAACAATTCAATTCTAAAGACGTCCAACTTACTTGCTGACGAGTTTAATGACGGAATTAAACCTGAATGTATATGAGAAGCTAGCGCAAAAAGTAAGAAGATGAGGATGATCATAGTGTACGAAATTTTGTATGAAAACTGTTAAACTATATTGAATCTTTCATTTGTTCTCTTATCGAAATGATTCTCTCCTCCTCCTCCTCCTCCTGCTCGTCTTCTTCTTCTTCTTCTCTTTTCATTCGCATCCTTATCTCAACAACGGACTATTAAATGATAGAACTGTTTATATAATCACCTTGATCGTTCGATTAAAATAACACTTATTTCAATTGCATGTACATACATATATCTCTCACTATATCGATTACACCACATCGTATATCCTAATGTCAATTCTTTCCGAAAGATAACATTAAAAACCATCTATTACATCATGATAAACACATTTACAGTTGAGATCTGTGAATCTTAATTATGTGTCTCATCGATACACTATATTTCAAGGTCGTAATAAGTCGAAATTTTCGTCCAGAAAAAGAGATAGCAACAAGTTGGTAACAGCTGCATGCTATGTCATAAAAAAAGACAAAAAGTACGACGTCATCCTTTCTATTCACTAGGAAGTATATATATATATATACACGTCGGATGTATTCATCAATGATAATTCTGAATTGTCATATTCAAAAGACGAAGAAAATCACAGCTTGTTGTTAATCAATTTGATTTTCAATGTCTGATACAAGGAACGTGCGTGTTCGACATAATAAGGTAATCAGGATATTCTATACCAAAGAAGAAAGTACACGATGATTTATTCTAGTCAAATTCACCAGCAGACTCATTTAACTATCCTGCGCATTTTGTTCTCAGTACTGGTGATTTTCAATCGAATGAAAAAGACAACGATACTCGTCTGGTTGGACGAAACAAACATAACACGATACAAATTATTTTTCTGATTTTCACAGCTCTAGCGTATCTTATACATACTCTAAGAGCGTACATACCGGAAACACTGCAGAGCCAATCTCGTAAGTTGGCATATTCAGCTCGTTCGAAATAACGTTTTCTTTGTAGAATTTTGGTCAAATCTTGCAGTACGGCCGATAACTCGCGTCTACACAACGGATCTACGACCGAATGTGGTGATCGAAAGCTTAGTCTATCGTTTAGCTGAAAATTGGCAGGTAAATGAATGTTGAAGGTGAATAAACCAAATAGAATCGTCGGTTATTTGCAGACATTTTGGTTAATTTATATCTTATCCTACATTCCACGTCGTACTCATTTCGGATACCTCTACCGCAATCCGAACATCTTCAATTCTCTTCTGTGTTTTCTTTTTATCGGTGCACTTGCATTACAGTCAGTCAGTCACTCGTCACCATCATCCGAAGTGAGTCAATTCTTAGAAGCTTACAGGAGAGTTTGTTCGATTTTGTTTAGCTCTCATGCGGATGTTTAGTCGCAAGTTTCATTCTTCTTACCATCACTTGTCGACTTGTTGCCGTGAAAGTCTATCGATATGATCATAAATACAGAGCCGCTGACTTGTAAGTTGATCTTTTAATGAACTCATCTTTACTCATTCAGTGCTTTTCGATTTAGAACAATTGATTCAATTATTTTACGTTATTTTGTATTGAATAGTCTCTTTCTTTACACAACTTCAGTGGCGTACTCGATAGTCTGTGCCATTGTTGAATATATCGGTATTTATCTAGATCCAAATGCGGTATCATCGACATCAATTAGTTTTTGTACAACAATTGGCTTGATAGTCATGTTTTTTCTTCTTCTCATTTATTTTCTTCTCGATCTCTTTGTTTATGAACAAGAATTTCGATCAATTTGGACACCGTACTTGTTTACCGGATACGTTTTTATCTGTCCACCATTACGGGAAACCGTTCTGTTCGAGCCTGAAACAATTTCAAACAATGTCAACTATTATCTCTTTTGGTTAGTATTCAGTAGTGCAATGTTAATGTTATTGATACGATTGTATCGACAAATATCATTGAAATGTGGCAAATCGAAGAAGCGAATACGTATTAGTTCGAATATTGAACAAATAAGTTCCTAAACTCGATGTGTAGTTTTCCTTTTATTTGCAATTCTTATGGGTATTAGAAGTTTAAACATGATATAATTTATTTTGAAGATGAAATATAACGAACAAATAAAGATATTCGATTTTCTGTCTTGTTTATCTGCCAGAAGCCGTTGTTGACGATTCATTGATGTTACTGTTAGTACTATTGCCTCCTAACGAAGACGATCGTGTGTAGAATAAGAATAATCCACCGCACAAACATCGATTGTTTAAGCGATAGTTCAGAAATGGATATGGTTTAGTTTTGAATATTCGAGAGAAATTCGAACAACGTAAGCATCGACGAAATGTTGTATTTGATGACAACGACATCTTATTCAAAGTGATTATATCGAATTTGATGTCTTGTAGATTGTCGTCATTTAAAAGTGTACTACTGTACGATGATGCTTGATTAGTTCCAGCTGCAGCTAACGTGTCCGCTGTCATGGGACTTCCATAGAGATGTGCAGCAAATGCTGGTGCTTGACCACGAACGAATGTTTGTGGTAAACGAGAATTTTGTATGAGAAATGAATACGATTTGGGAAACATGCCGTCGGCTTTCGATTGTAGGGTTTCAATATCTAAGACTGAAAAATCTTCGAGCAGAGATTCATCCAGGGTGCCTGATTTTTGACCTGAATAGAAAAGAATCGATTAGAAATCGAAACACATTCGATAATTACTTTCGATTTTCTGTGTAAGTCTTGATAAACTGTTGTAAATATCTTTTAGAACATCTTTCTGTGGACTTGTATTTGCCGTTGTTGTCTGAGCATCAGGTGCTGTCTGAACTGTTTGTGATACCGGTTGTATATGTGCAATTTTAGTGTATGGAATTTTGTTCATCTTATTTAAGACATAGAAATAGACAAGGAATTCTCTTAACCATTGGATTTGTCTGTAATCATTAAAAAATTGTTTGCACGTTAACCATTGTGGTATCTGTTGCAATTGTAAATAACCGATCAGATAGAAAATAATGTCTGATATCCAATTGACTAGTGACGTAAAGGATATTAATTGATAATGTCGCGGATCGATTGTTGTTAGTTCGGGAGGTAATGGTTGATCACCGAGATACTTTATACGTTTTGCATCAATATTTTGAATAAACGATGGTTGTTGAAGAATTTCTTGAACTGAATCAACAAAGTCTCGATTGGTCGGTTCGTAGATGAATAACCGTAAATAATCACGAACGATCAAGAGAATATGGTAGACGAGTAGGCTGGTTAAGTGTTCACAACTTTCAGTTGAGAAAGGTGCGGCAAGACGGTGTAAATGATAAAGGCATTGTTTGAATCGAACGAAGTAACTTCGTTTTAATTCGATCGATAATTCATCATATCGTGCAACTAATTGATCAACAAGTTCATTGATGATGACGTTATCATAGTTAGAATTGGAGACCAAACATAGAATATCCCATATGTCACATGGATGAGGAAGTTGAACAATGTATTGTTCAAATAAATGAACGAGAACATTTAACATGGACGGTGTCGATGCTTGATCCAGATTCATTGTGCGAAGAAGAATAATAATACCGTTTCCAGTAAAACCAAGACAACACGAACCTGAACGAGAGATATAAAACTAGACAAATGTAGTGTTTTGTTTACCTGAAGATGTATGTTGGAGACGAATAAAGTGTTCTGATTGATTTCCATCGGACGGTGTAAACAATTCTGTGTTGTTCATCGGATAGCATTGCTCTTTGCATTTTAAATTCAATTTATCATAAATTAATATTGATCCGTCACTCAGTGCAACAAGTAGCTGCCGTCCGAACTGACCATGAAACTCAGAATCTTTCATCAATAATTGACTTGGTGATAGAGCAATAGACGTAATACGTGCGTGAGGAGAATTCAATAGTGTTATCGATATCCATTCTTCTTGTTCAAGATTGTATTCATAGAGATCGAGTAAATCACCAGTTGATGAGGTCATTCGTGTTAAAACACAATCATTACCATTACGTTGAAAGTAAACTAAGGATTCTAGTTGTCCGTAGCATGATGGAATACGGAAACCACGACGACGACATGAAATGTAAGAAACTTTCGGTTCGAGTGCTTCGTAATGAACAATAAAGAAATGAACAAGAGCACCTTGTGCACGTTCACCGAGAATAACATTGAAACCTTTATCTGTTGCAAATATGTCGCACAAGGAGACACCTAATGGTTCGTATTGGGAAAGAATATAACGATAGGGTGGTGGTGAACGATTGAGTGGTAATGTATGAATCTATTTATTATTTGTTCAATGCTAGTCAAAAGATATTCCGAACAAATCAATCTTACCGCTCCCGATGTTGTTATACAGACGAAATTGCCCGAATTCAATGCGTATGGTAGCATTGGTGATTGAGTATCTTCTTTTCCATAAAATATAGAATCTTTTCTTTCAAGATTAACAATGACCTGCGTAAAGAAGATATTCAATGAAAAATCCATTATTCACAAGAAAACAATGAAAATAACTAACAGGATCTTTATGAAATATATATTTGGCGATCAGAATATCTTCATTGGTTTCATATTGATATATATTATCCATTGTGTTAATACACCCATTCTAAACACAGAAGCTAAACACTATCGTTGTGAAAATACAACAAACCTTCATTTTAAATATTCGACAAATACCAGTTTGATTACATACAAGTAAATGTGTCCCGTCCAAACTCCAAGTGAGATGAACAATAGGTACATTGGAGGTTGCGACCAGACCAAAATGCCATGGTTGTTCAAGTGAGCATATATACACGCAAAATGATGATTTGGCGGCTTGTTGTAAAGGTCTACGAAGTCATGAAAAGTTAACTAAGTACCAAACATCTCTTGAAACATACGTCGAAACAAGATGTGGACTGTATTTTAATTTACTCGAAGCAAACAGATAGCTGCATGAGCAAGCAAGAATATTCATGCAGGATACGTCCATAGCTAAGACACGTTCGAAATCTTCACCATCATTTGTTATTTTAATGTCAGTCGCGTAGATAATCTCCATGTTCAGTTAATTATTTCTGCGTTTTTCCGAGTACAAGTTAGTATTTCTGAACAAAGTTTTCATTTCATTCATTGAGGTTTGTTCATTTCGATATTTCATTTGTCTAAACGGATAACAAATAGTTTTTGTGTCACTAGTTGTCGATGCCGAGAAAAACAAGAGGATAGACTATATCATGTTGCGTACAAAACATTCTCAGATGTTTCAATCCTAATCCAAACACAAAAGAATCACGTCATTCTATTCGATCACATACATAATGTAATCAAAAACTCTTCTATGAAATATTCTTTCCTACTTCGGACTCGCATTCGTTTGTACATCAAACTGCATCAGCTAGAAATACTTCGATTAGAAATCTCTTGGCTAGTAGAAGTACATTCAGTTCAAACTTAATTCATCATCTTTCGTGATCAATAATGAAATGTCTATATATTTGCATACATATAAATTAGATGAGACAAACTCTTCGTATAAACGGAAGACAAAATAAATCACGTTGGTTCAATCTAATCGACATTTTCATTTAGGACATATGGTTGATGAGGCAATATGTCGATCATAAATGTTAAAGGACAAAAAAAACTCAATGTGGCATAAACTACAAATGATGACACCAGATTTCGTTCAACTGAAAATAATCTCAAAAAAAATTATTGTCTACATTTATTCTATAAATATATTCACACTAATGGAATTCTAAGCAGCTAGTATAGAAGTCAAGTTCCTGTTTTGTAAGAGAAAAGGGAGTTTGATTTATCTTGGAATTTAATACAATAAATCTCGTGTTGCATTGAATCTTTCCGACTATCGCTAAATTTCCTTCGGAAGTTCACCATACACTTGTAGACGTCATCAGGGTTAGATAGTATGATCTATCCTATTCGGCACACGCCTACTTATAGAAAAATTGGTTTGAACGAACAATAACATAAAATAGGTGATAAATATGTGGTTAATTGTTCGCGTCTATGGAGAAATGTGACCGGAAAGGACTAATGATTGATGATCTACTTCCTCGATCTCATCATTGTAAACAATCAACTCCCGTGACGTTTCACACGTTGTCAGAAAGCAGAAACGATCGTTTTCTTTATCAATTTGTTTACTAGTGGTATACGTGTCAGTCGCACAATGTTTAGTATCTCGAAGAAAGCAACAAAAGGAGAAATCCTTTGCGTTAAGCATTCTTATAATGTTAGTTATTTGAAAGGGGGAGAGAGAGAGAGAGAGAGAGAACTGAGAGTAAGAAATGTCAAGAGAGACCACTGAAATAAACGTTTTCAACATGCGTAATTTGATAATGACAAGATGAATATACATGGAATTATTTATAACAAGAAAGAAAATGTTCTGATCTCTGATCTCATGACATAAACAACATCGAATGACAACGATTAAGAAAACAATATTTATAACATTGCAATTGATTTCATATTCATTGTTGTACTTTCACCACCGATAACAAGACTTCCAATAAAAAATCGGGATGACTTTCTTCGGGATGATCTACGCTCCGAGACGGACGGACGTGGTTTACAACCATGTCTTAACATGTACAGACGATTTCGAAATTCCTCTCGATAGATTCGAGATAGTAAACAATTGGTGTAAAATCTCGAGGCCGATATTAAATACCACAAGAGATAGATAAGAATGATGATCGAACGTGCAACAGTTGACTGGTCGACGAAAGAGGAGTATTTTTCGAATAGATAGGCAATTTCTGTGATAATATGTACAAGAATGAAAGGTGCAACATTAATAGAGATGAGAATCACCATTTGAGCATCCATACGTGAACGACGTCGATTTGAATAAGCGATTCGATTGGATTTGTTTAGATGTTGAGATGATGTTGGATTGGTATTTGTAGTTGTCGACGAGGGTGAACTGACAAACGAACTCGATAGACGACTTGTAATTGTTGTCGAATGGCAACGAACAACACTTTCTAATTGGAGTGATGTTGACAAATCGGTAAGCGGCTGTTGCTGTTGTTGTTGTTGCTGATCGGACGATGATGTTGATCGTCGAATTCGTTTCTTAAGATTGATTGTTATTAAACATGTACGACTTATTGATATAAGAATAATTGCGATCGGTACCGTCATATACAGAATTATATAAATCACATGAATAAATATTTCACAAGTCAGATTCTTCTGTCCGCATTTATCGTCAATACATAGGAATGTGTAAAAGATATTCTGAACTAGACTACATAACAGTGTGAATAAACACAAATAGATGAAATTGGTTCGAGTGCATAAGCGTTGACTTCGTGTTGGCCATTCGACCTTGATCCATCGATCGACAGAAATGAACACGAAGATCCACGAGAATCCGAAATAAAGTTCATAGTTGAATCTAGAACGAAACGTATCGTTAGGATTCGAGATTGGGAGAGAGAGGAAATTTACATGGTAAAGAATCGACACCAGTGAATGGAGATTGCGAAGACATTGATTTGGTAAATCACATCAAGGAAGTATTGTAGACTTGCAAATAAATTGAATATATCCACAAAAGCCATGATCAGAAAAAGAAAACCGGTCGAATGATGACGAAGTTTTCTTGAACTGAACGTAATGATTGATAATAAGCAACCGGTATAACCAAATAAATACAATATGACACAAGAAAATGCGATAAGAAAACGTAAACCGGGAATATGAACAGGTATCAGTGATGTAACCGAAGTTGTATTATTCATCCCGATGCTCATTATGAATGATTCTTCTTATTTGAGAGCAAATCTTTACATAAAGAAAGAGAGAGAGAGAGAGACAGACAGACAGACAGACAGAGAAAAGAGAACGGATGCTGTAAAGGAGAAAAAAGGCGGAAAAACAGAGATAGAGATCTTGGTCTTTCTTTCTTCCTTTCTTCGTTGTCTCGCTTCTTTTTTAAAACATCAATTAGTCTCGTGAGAATTGAAAACGTAAGGCAAATACAATTTATCACAATTTAACACCCACATTTTAAGAAAACATCGCTCTTCGATAGTTTTTCAACTTTGCCTACTTACTGTCGTACATCTTATGTCGTTGTTACTTTGATCAAACAACTAAAAATAACCGTAACTCGACGGCACGCGATTTCAATGTCAAGAAAAATACAAAAAGAGAAAAACAGACAGAGTCTAGAAATATACAATGACACTATTGGCTCGTCAATCAGATATAAAAGACGATCTATCTGAGGTATTCCAACCAGACAAGAATGTATTATTCATTCAACTCTCATATCATCTTATTTCTTTTTTTGTCTTCAATCAATCGACTTATGGCATGTTCTTTTCCACCACGTCTGTCACTTCACATCACACCATAGACGTACTTCTTCAAGTGACCTTTTCCGAAATCTTTCAAAGATATTCCCATCGAACCGAATGGAGCTTTATCGGTCGGCATTTGATCTTACAGAGTTGTCATTAAATATTCAATGCAAGTATATTTTCGACGTTAATTGTCTATAATAACGTCATTGTTAAGAAACTTATTGAAAGTATAAAAAGCCGCTATGAATAAATAACTGTTTCCTTTTAGATTTATATATGAGACTCAATATTACTTTTCAAAGTACCGATTAAGTAGAAGCAGATCATCATCATCATCATGATGTGTGCATTGCACTCATGAGCCGCGAAACAAAAGTAGCATCTTTCTGTCTATCGGTTGATTATGACTGTCACTCACACATGTTTGTCGTCATCATCATCGCCTAAAGCGAGAGGAAAACTGGAGAATATAGTGATAAAAGTTTCTTTGAGAGCATGTCTCTCCTGCTAATATTTCAAGGCGATATTATTCGAAGCTATTTATTTGAGTGCTAGCGATCACGTCATGTCGAATGATATTACGAAAGATTGTTTCATCCGTTTCTTATCAAATATCTCCAGGCGACTTGGTCTTCATACATTGCTTCTCTTGTTTTTATCGATAAGATCATGATTCCCGTACGACGAGCAAATATCTTTAATGTTTTATTATTTATAGAGCAACAAAGGAGAAAACAACATTTCATGGTTCAGTTTTGATGTGTCGCACGGTGTCGTAGAATTTCAATACTTGTCAACTTTATTGTCTGTGCACATATTTCACAATAATAGTCTTTTGCTGTTGGAACAGGCGTTGATGTTGTACGAGTTAATGCTGTCAAATTACTCAAAAGGTCATCTTTTCCTGCTTTGGACCCAGATGATTTCAAGATGGGATTGTCGTCATTGCGTAAAGCTGAAACAAAATGAATCGCTTTCAAAATTGAATCGCAATAAGTGTTCATCTACATTAATATTACACAGAAGACAGCTCATATGGTATTTACTAGAGAATATCTGAGGATAAAGAAGGGAAATTAATGAACGAGCATCTCTCGAGGTAAATAAAAGGATTGGAATAGAAATGCTAATTTTATTGCAACAAAACCCATGCACCGAATGTCTGTTTACGGAAAAATTAGGAGAAACATGCAATTATGGAAAATATTCCCACCTGGGAATGTAATCACATCGGTAGACACATATTTGTCTCGCCCTTTTCCGTGAATATTTTTAAACCTCGCGCAAACAGATATTTAGTCAGTCTTGAGAAAATAAACATGTACGAAGTCGTCAAACGCAACAAATTTGATTATTACAATCTTCAGATGTATACTTATCTTCTAACCCACTAGGTATGTCAATCATCTTAGACACATATTTCTCTATCTTTATTAACTTGAGCAATCCTCCTCTCTCTTCTAGAACTTCAATCTGTCCTGTAGGGTATCTCAGCTTCCTATTCATAGAATTCTAATCTGTCAGTACGAGACTTATCCTCGAATACTCTGCAAAAAGGTACTTACAATTTAATTGGCATTGATTCTCATGCGCAATACGTTCGGCAACAGTGACGAGAATGTCTTCATTGCAGTAAGGGCACGTCCAATGTTTTTGCATCGTTGCACCGGCATACTCAGACCAGAATGATTCTTGATCATCATGCGATCGGAGACTAAATGAGAAATCGCCCTTTTTTCATTCATAAATTCAATCAAATGTTCCTACCAATTATAAGTTAAATATTCATTAATTTTAGTACTTTCTTGTATGGCATCTTTATCGTCATCATCATCATTTTCTTGAGAACTACGTCGATAGATTGTCTCTAATTCAGCTAAAGTAGAAAAGGTAATTAGATTCTTTCATGATTGACTAAATCGATAATTACCGGTTAAGACTCGACGTATTGCATACAGACAGGAATTGTCAAGAAATTCCGTCATCTTTCTGGAAAGTAAATGTTGTAATTCGTATGTGCGTGGTCTTGACACAAGTTCTATATCGGCTGATTTATTTATGTCTACAAGAAATTAAATCTAATGATGAGTTATACAACTATAATTACGATTTCTGTTTTACCTTGTAAAGTTAATTGAAGTAAAAGTTCTCGAGCATTTCGCAATAGTAAAACCGATGAAATTATACTTTGTGCTGCTTCTGAACTTTCAAAAGTGATTTCGAGCCATTGATCACAGAGCACCTGAGTGAAATCATTGTTCGTTTCCAACGTCGAAGCGTAGAGAAACAATGTTTGCATCGCTGGTGTGCGCATGACATTCATTATGTAGGGCTTGTTCGTTTCGATCAATGTACTAAATTAATGAAGGAGTACTTTATCAGAATAAAACGGATTGACGTCAACATTTTGATCCCACCTATCTAATAAGTCTTCTACTTGAAAAGATAATATCAAGACCGAGATCAGACAGGCAAGATTTATCATTCATTAATAATGTCAATTAGAAGCTTAATAGAAATCATTAAAATGTCTGACGAATAGAAACGAACAGAGGTCAAAAGGAAATGACTATCTCTTGTTTAGTTTCTAAGAATGTCATAGTGTTCATGATGGAAATGTTAATTCTACTTACACATAAACGAGAAGTTCATGTTGATTACTTAAAGTTTGTTTTTTGTTATTAGAACTTGTGACTGTTTTCGACGGAGTAGGTGGGAGGAGAGTGTCGGGATCATAGGTAAACACGCTTGTGGGATGAAGAACTACGAATTGTTTTGTCTATAAGATAGAAAAGAATGAAATGAAGCCATTCTCGAATGATTGTGTCTACTTTTGTATGGAAGAATTGATCACAATCTCGTTTGTAATTATTGAATTCGTCGGCAATAGCAACTTGTGGATACAGACCAGAGCAAAGGATTAACTTCAGCATATTGATATCTTTTGTACGATAGTTTTGACTGTCTGTGGACATTTCCTTCAGTGCGGTTATATCATTGATTAATCGAAATTCAATATCACGAATTTTATCACTTGTTTTTATGACTTCCTTTTTCGTATAATCATCGCCATGATCATCATTCATTGAACTTGTTATTGAAGAATCCTACAGAAGAAGGCATACGATTGTGGGTTTCTTTTTATGACATCTTCGACTTACTTCTAATTTCAAAACTTTTCGATATTTCGATTCTTTATCCTGCTGAGATTTGAGGTCTTTCAATTCTTGCGTTTTTCTCCAATGTTCACGTTTTTCTAATGTTGTGCGTGTTTTCGTTTGTCGATAGTCAATTTCCAGATTGTAATCCTAAATTAATATAATCGAGATACATTTTTTTCGAACTGAATAAATTCATACGCGAAGAATATCTTGAAATTGGCGACGAAGCTTCGTAATATCATACAGACGTTGTTCTTCCACGCCTCGTCGTTTGCACCACGTACGCGTATTCTGTCCGTCAGACTTGACCTATCAAAAACAAATTCAGATTTGGAATACAAAGGAATAACACTTCAGTGCTCATACATGAATCCATTCATCGAATAGATTGAGCAGAGTAAATGGATCGCCGTGACTCGACATCATCGGCCGACGCCGTGTATTTGTCTCCGGATCACATTGAAGGAAACTGAGAAATGGTGATTGAATACTCAATGCTGACGCCATGATTAACATTGAATTTACATACTAAACAACATAAAAACGATTCGTGATCAGATTTTTTTCACATGTTTAGTCATACTTGAAAGATACACGCGAAAATAAGCATTTTCCCGATCGATACATCCACAGGTAATCGGGCGAGCATGGAACCGATCGCAGTCAATGAACAATCAATCGTTGATAGAGCTGCTTGTTCTTGCAGACGAAGTAAAGCACTATCAATAGCTACCATATCTGGTGGCTCAACAAATGGAAACTTTCTTGGATCTTTCAGACCCATGGAAATCATTTGTAACATCAATGAATCAAGTGGTACTCGACGTATTTCTGGTGTTGAGTATTCTTGAAAAGTCAAATAATCTTGCTCGCTATATAAGCGAAAACACACGCCAGGTCCTGTACGTCCAGCACGACCTTTGCGCTGTTCAGCACTGGCACGACTAATATTAAATTCTTGTAGACGTTGCATTTTGTATTTAGCATCGTATGACATTTCCTTCACTTTTCCCGAATCGATGATAAAACGCACACCATCGATGGTAACTGATGTCTCAGCTATATTTGTAGCTATAATACATTTGCGAACACCTTCCGGTGGCATATCGAATACCTGTGAAAGAAAGGTGTATTAAATGGAATGAAAGAGAAGTTTCAACGTACTTTGTCTTGTTCTTCAAGTGAAAGTGCACTATGCAAGGGAAGGACAATCCAGCGTTGAGTTTCCTGTGCATAGGATTGAGCGGCTTCCATTACTCCTTGAATTTCAGCCATACCACTCAGAAATATGAGCATATCACCGCGATCAGTTGATGAATACTGTAGAAAACAAGCTAGAAAAGCTGAACGAAATGGAGCGCGTGTTTTTACCTTTGCATCGATTTGTTCTATAATACGCAGATAAGGTTTTGCGTCAATTTTCGAGCTTTTACTAGCAGATTCTTCGACTTTGATCGGATGATAATTAACTTGAATTTTGTACAGACGTCCAGGAACTTTAACCACTGGACAATTGTCGAAGTAAGTTGAGAATAATCCAATGTTAATTGTGGCCGACATTAGGATAATTTTCAAGTCTCTTCTCTGTGTAATTAAACATTTCAGAATACCCATGATGAAATCAGTAAATAAATGTCGTTCGTGCACTTCATCGATAACCAATATATCATAATCAGATAATGATGAATCACCCTGGAGCTGTCGTAGCAGAATACCTTCAGTCATGAAGATGATCCGAGTTGATTTCTGTCGCGTTTTCTCGAAACGAACCTATACAAAGAAGACTTTCCTATTTTAGTTCAAATAAAAGCACATGAATTGTATTACCTGGTATCCAACTTGATTATCGTATTCATTCAATGTTTCATAACTAACGCGTTTTGCTAATGAAATGCAGGCAATTCGTCGTGGTTGTGTACAGGCTATTTTATCAAACCCTGCTTCGAGTAGAAATCTCGGAATCTAAAACTCTAGAATACCAGTCTAGTTTTGATCTAAAATATCGGATTTCGTCTAACCTGTGTTGACTTTCCACAACCAGTGTCACCAGCTACTAAAATGACTTGATGAACTTTCAATTGTTCAAGAATTTCTCGACGATGATTTGCAATAGGCAAATGTCCTTGATCATGTCGAAGTTTGTGAATACGTTTGAACTATTTCGTTATGCGGATAATTAGAAAAGGTCGATGGTAGAAATCTTACCTTTTCTTTTTGATTCAGATCGAAATAATATTCGATTATCGTTTTAAACTCTGCTAATCGAACTGAAGATAGGCGACGATGTTCAACAACTCTTTCACCGGTCATGTCATAACGTGGATCAAGATGTGTAACTGACTTATTGAAAGATATCGTAGCATTCAAACGATGGCGTTTTTCATAGACTAAAGGTAAATTCAATATGCTTGAGCGCTGTTGATCAGCATCTAAATAAATCGAAGTATGATGTCTATCGGACAGAAAAACAAGATTTCATTACCAGACGGTATGGGCTTAGGCGGTTGTTGTCGCCGTTGCTGGAATAATTGATATTTTTGTACAAATTTCCAGAAGTCGTCGACGTTCGCAGGAGAGCTATTCGATACAAAAGGAGATATACATGATTTATGAGAAATTTATTGAATTTACTCGAACATCGCATTGTTAACAAGATATGATTCAGTGAGATAATCTCGTCGACCAAGCCAATCAAACGATGGATCAATGGCAGGCTCTTCAATAGTTTGATCGGTAGTTTTGGATCGATGATGTTTGCAAAGTTTCTCTTCTTCCTCGTCATCCGAGTGATCTAAGCAAAATCATCAGCTATTGAAAGATCCTTTCATAGAAATCTCTGATACATACGATGATGCCGTTTGTGCTTCTTCTTAGTATTAGTATGGCTCATATTATCAATTCAAAAATCAAACTAAAGTCTTTTCTCTCCCTCTCTCTCTCATCTCGTCTTGCACAAGTACTATTCAAAAGAAAACGAACCATTCTCGTTCTTCATCCATAGATGTCAGATGTACATTTATTTCAAAAGCAATTTCATTCAAACTTGGATAATATCACTTCTTCGAAATGGAAAAATCTTCAAGCATTCAATACTAATCACAAATATGAAGACATTTAGAACAGCAAGAAGATGAGCAGCCATGCTTTCACGCGTATGTATCAGACATATGTCAGTGTTTAATAAAATTGAATTAGATTCATTGTGCGCATATGGAATTGAGATAACTGGTTGAATAGATGCCATTTTTAGATTGATCAATGTATTGGTAGTACAAAGCACGACGGAAACCAAGGCGAATGTGAATTTCATCAGAGTATAAAATCGATAGAGTTGAAAAGAGGATTTTCGGATCGCTTCGATTGAAAGTATAAGAGTAAGAAAGGAGAAATAAAAAATGTATAAACTCATTTGCGATATATGAAATGATAAATATTCTTCCATGGGCAATTTACAAAGCGAAATTGCAATTGATTTTGACGGTGAAATGGCATGGAATGATTGATAGATCTGATCAGACAGACCTAATTCAATTGCAATTGTGTAATGTAGAAGAAAATCGAGAATGGAAATCAAATAAACAAAATTTGTAATTATCTGAATTCGACGAGATTTCGTACATGAATGTTGAAGTGTTGAAATTGAGCAATCTTTAACATCAGACATGTTTTTATATCGAAATAATGACGACAACAAATACAATCGAACGAAGAGAATCTTGGCGCATCACGAAAAGAAATTTTTATTAATCAAATCACTTTTTTTGTCTCGAATAAAAACAAAGTTATTCATTAAATGCAAAGAATCATTAGAGGTCAGCCCCAAAACGCGAGAATGCTGCCAAAGCGAGCAAACCACAAATAACTAAAATGATACAAAATACACCCAAACATTTGCACCACGAGCATGATTCACAGCAGTCGCAACAGCAACAGCATTTCTTTTCGCGTCGTTGAGATTCTGCTAATTTTGTATCCATGGTCCGATCACGCACTAACTACAAATCTAGAAAATATGATACACTGCGAAAAAAAAATGAATTAAGAAGAGAATGAAAGCTATCGTTTAATAAGCGTAGCCTTTTTATCAATACACAGAATGAAAAAACTTCGTCATATGTATGATACATAGCGTCAAAATAGTTTCTTCGAGTGACACGACATATTTTCTAACCTAAGATTGAATAATGATTGTTCGTGCTCAACACCACATAAATTACACGTTCTTTTTCGAGAACACCTTAGTAACGTATAGAGAAAACGATTGACCTGCATAAAAACCAATAAATAAGGAAGAAACAATTTTTCTTTTCTCATACTATGGTTAAAGCAATTGCCGCTACTCTCCTCTTATTTTATCTAAACTTCAAACATAATTAGCATGTAATGTTATGCATTCGATGTACTCTCTTCATATTCTTTAAAAAATAGAGTTTCTTCAAAGATGATGTTTTACTGGAGAAACAAACTTACAATATACATAAGAAAATGGATAAACATGTAGTTGATTAACGAACATAAAACTTGGATTAATGATGTATCTAGATAGTTTCGTTAGGATAGTGAGGACGTCAGAAAATTCATCTTAGATTTATGCTTAACTCTTAGTAAAACTTTTGTATACGAAAGTTTTTCATCTATCTCGAATTGGTCTCGGATCAACAGATAAAAGATGGCTTGAATAGAATCATTGAACATGTTTTGACAACGTTGATCAGTTCAAAGCACCAAATTTGCTCTGTGTCTGATTAACTTCATTTTGACTGATAATCCATACGAAATGTATTTCATCAACATAAGATATATCGAAGTCATGATTAGTTCATTACCGTCTACGTTCCATTCCGCATCTAATCTTCCTTTTGAGGAACAGTCGTATTTCGGTTAATTGCAAAATAGATTAAAAGCTTGATTTCACCTGAAAAAAAGGCAAATATAATGTAAACGCTAATTTTCAGAAGAGAATATCTGCCTCAATCCCGATTGTGAACTTCTAATGTCTTCGCCGTATTTTCACTAGAGTAGAGAGCATAGGCAAGCGTTGTTTGCCGTTTGTTAATTAGTCCATTTCAGTTTGTTTCCTGTAATCCATGTTTTCCTTCTTACACTCTATCGAATATCAGCAAGATCGTTCTACGAGAAGAAAATTAAAGAAATTCGTAGAAAGTAATCGTTATATTTAACAGTAGTTTATACAGAAGTATTTTTTTCACTATTGACTGTAGAGTCTTTGATATCTCGTTGGTCAAAATCGATAGGTTTGATCATTGATCGCTCCTGTTATCCATATCGGTTTTTTCGCTAACATTTTTTTGTACGATCAATGCCAAGTGCCTAGAACGGCGGTTTCGAAAGTAGTATTTGGATGAAAAGTACATAGGAAAATGTTATTTCTTTTACTGGAACTCCTTGGAAAATCCAGAATCCAATGTGAAGATCAATGGATCATGTCCGACTGTTCTATTCTTTCATACAATGTGAAAGCATCAACACTTTGCCTTTATTATTTAAATTCGATTGTCTGAAGTGTGAGTTTGATGTATGGTGTAGAAATGTATATTTTTGTACCTGTATTGGTCTTTATTTATTTGCTCAAGGGAGAATTTGTAAACGTATGAATATACTAAAAATTTAGAAAACAATTGTCAAACAACAGTTTAAGCTATTCGAATACAAGAAATAGTTCAACTTTTATGGCAAAACAATGTTTTTCGGATTCGAAATCTTCGATCTACACATTATATATTAAGAAGAGAAATAACTGACCCTACAGTGCCACTACTAGAGCTGTTGTATCGCAGTCTTCGGTAGATTTGAGTTTTAACATCGTAGAATCATTTATTTTTATATATTTCGTGTGTAGATCATAAACTTATGCGTTGGAAAAGATTGCTTCTACATTTTATCACATGAACTCTACTCCGTGTACATTTCTAACGGATAAAATGCTAGAAGTTTTCCTCACAAGTAGAGACTAAAGTAACTACCGATAATCTTCTCTTATTTTTTCCAGATCATCGTCATACAACATGAAAGTTCGTATGAGCATGAAAAGATTGATCTACCTGAACTCAAGAGCCTCAATTCCACTTTCATTATGTAATAATTTATAACTCAGTATAAGGAAAGAAAGGTATTTGACCTCGCTCGTCGTTGAACATATGTATGTATATACTATTAAAAACTACTAGCAAATACAATTAGGCAAAATATATGAGTGAATATTGAACATCTAAATGGAAAAAAAAAGATTAGATGATGCCATTTTTATTCAATTGTTCTTTTAATATTGCATCTTCATCATCGTATGGCTTTCCATTGATTTCATTATGCGTGGATGATTTCGATCGACGACATGGCCTTAATGAAACACAAGCAAATGTTATTCTTTCAATCGCTTTTCATTGATGAAAAGTCAATCATACCATGTAAGACCAACAAGTTCAACGTCTTCACTTGTTTGTGGCAATGGTCGGTTCGCTGTTTCAGGACAAATGGTTGCAAATGCAACGGCGATCAGAGAAGTTGTACCAAAGAATACGATTGGAAAATGAATCCACGCTCGAGCCTAGGAAAAGCAATCGAATATATTAGAATAACGCTTTACAATCATACTAAGAGATCATTTGATAACGTTCCAATAATGGCACCAAAACGAGCAACCATTGAGCATACACCCATACATGTGTTTCGTCCTTGTGTTGGAAATAATTCATTCGCATAGATATAGATGATTGCGTAAGAGCCTGATGCCAGAAATTTCAAAATTACATTAATACAGAACATAACTACCACTTGTGCTAAAAATGAAGACCTTTCGTAATAGTGCCACGATGAAAATTGATATTTTACCTTGACCGTCTTTCACCATAAACATTTGAATGGGCACAACTAAATATGCAACAATGCCGAAGAAGAACACAAATCCACAAAATGTTAATTTTCGACCCCATCGGTCCAGTACGAGATGAATTATAAAATAAGCGACGATTTCAACTAGTGCGCCTGCAGCAAATGCAACGTAAGGATTTGATAACCATCTTCCTGAAAAAAAGGATACTTTTTTCTTTCTATTTTCGAGAATCATCTACTCACCCGTATTTTGCGAAACGCCGTAAAAGACCAGATTTTGAACGAACCTATTCTCAATAGAACATAGACGAATGAGAAAATAGAACTATCTTATTACCATTGAAATGACATATTGATACCGATAATAATCATTACTTTCGATTGAAATATACGCCATAAACCATGTGCCACATGTGGACCTGATAGTTTTCGCTAAAAAAAAATCGCCTAAAATGTGTGCTGAAAAGTACTCCAAGATTCATTACTTTTCTTTCGCCGACAACTAAACGTTCATAAGCATCTGGATCAAAATGTCTTTTATTTTGTGATGCAATTCGTCGAAGAATTCGTTCCGCATGTTCATAATGTCCTTTAGAAAGAAGCCAACGAGGACTTTCCGGAAGTATCCTGTATATCGTACGATAATAATCAATGGAACTACGACAGACTTTTTTTGATTCTTACAGGTAAAAGAAGAGAAATGGTATAGATAATATAGCCAATGCTATATTTAATAATCGCCATGTTCTTATCAGATAGGCAAGTGCTAAAAGAATCAATTCACCTCCGGCAAAAAAGTATTCAATCACAATTCCTGTGAATAACCGTTGTTTCGGACCGACTATTGAAATAGAGTGAAAGATATGAGAACGTTCAAATCAAATATCAACTAACCAATTTCCGCGCCTAAAACAAAAAAAGAAACAATCAACTCAATTTCATTCAACTTCTTATTCAAGTATTTCCACTAAGCACCAAACAAACTTTGAACCGCGATAAGGTCGCTTGATTATGACCTTTATTACTGAGGTCATCGACTACATAACGCTCTAATCTGCAGGTAATCAGCCTCTTTGATCTCTCATTTCGTTTATATTTTCTGATTAGTATCAGTAAAATATACGTACCAATGACAAAACCGGTAAGAGCAACTCCACGTGTCGCACATGCTAATAAAAATCTGCCCAGTACAAAGAATGCATAACTTATTTCAAAGCCGAGTTTTCGATTTGGTGCCAATGCACACATAAAAGCAGCTAAGGTGATGACAATGAACGAAACGCCCATAATTGGCCGTCGACCAAATCTGTATTGAAGAAACAGATGAATATCACCGCGACCTTTATGGTCTTATTCGTACTTACTTATCGGATAAAACACCGAAGACAAGTGAACCAACCATATAACCAAAGAAGAAAACGATTTGAACAAAACTTTTCAGAGATGTTCGATCACAAACCATCACCCACTAGAGTGACGAAAATCTGCTTAGAATTAATTTCATTTCTAAGAAAAAAAAAAGTCATTCACTTCTTCAACAAGTGTTGATTGATAATAAGCTCGGCTAAAAACGAAATTTGTACACGTTCTCATCGGTTCATCGCTGGTGTTCGACCATCGGAAACATTGCTGACACTCAGACAGTGATAACTGACTTTTATATTGACGACATTGAGATTCACTTGGTATAGAATTATGACGCATATCATCGGTTGATGGCTGACACTCGAAAGAAGGTGTTGCTGCTGTGAATGACCAAGTATAGACCATGATTGGCGGAAACATGTAAGTTAAACATATTAGAAAATATTTTGCTTTTTGATATCGACCAAATGGATTGATAGTTGCATAGAAATCATCAAAATGCATTGTTTCGGGTATTCTAGTAGACGAACGAGATATGTTAACAACTAACCACACGTCTTTCAAAGGTAGTTAATAAAGTTTTATTTCGTCTTAACTCATATGTTACCTTTTTCTTTTTCTCTCATTCTCTTTCTGCTACTTTCTTTTCGTTCCTTCTCTTGTTTTTTTTTGTACGTTGCACATATCAGATTCGACTTTTTATCATAAAAGTACAAACATCAGTTTTATTGTGATTATGTTGTTGACAGACTGTTTATTATATAGTTCGAGTAGATGTTTCCATGTCTTGTTTGTCCCCTCGATAAAATGTGATGTTCTTTTCTTTCTCTCATTTATGTTACATTTGCACTTTAGAAGAAAAGATCTTTCTTTTTCGTTATGTTGTGTATCATTACTGATAACAGCATGTGATTATGAAGAGCAAAAACATATCTAGATAATAAAAAAAAAGATGAAAAATAAACTTGTTTCTCTTTTGTAAAGTTCTTCAAACACCAGCTGACTCGTTAGGAGTCGTGACAAGGCGTTTGCCGCCTTGAATGCATGTTTTGAATTGCTCAGCAATAGGATACTCTTTGTATTCACCATCACCAGTTGGAATATTGATACTCATTTCCGAAGATTTGGATGTAATAAATTCTGTATCAAGCGAGGTTGGCGATAGATACACGTGACAGCCGTCAGTTTTTTCGATTTGAATCGTTGGTACTTGTTCAATCACTTGTGCCTTCATGCTTTTACAATTGACAAATTCAATTAAGGAGACAACAGATGTAAATTGTATGCCAACTTTAGTGCATTGATCAAGTACAATCGAATTCACTTTACCTTCGATAGTGATGGTGCAATTGGTACACCGATAGATGTAAACGCAGTGTTTCATTTCAGTTTGAGTTACGCGTAAATTCGATTGATTTGTTTGATTTTCGACAATCCATTTATTACCTTCGAGAGCGAGTTTTGGTGTTCCTTTTGTAGTTGCTGTTGTTGTTGCTTCAGTCTGTTGAATAGAAATGTATAAATTGTTTTGAGAGAAGAAAAAAAGATTTACCGATGATGTCGTAGGCTTTTTCCCTCGCGGTGGCACAGCAGGTTTACTATTATCAACTAATTGGCTGTCTAGAAAAGAGCTGGATGGAATTACTTTTCGCATATGTATGTCACTTACCAGCTTGTTGCCGTAATTGTGGATTTTTATGTGTTTTAAGTTCATCGGGCACTTTTTTTAAGCGAGCGGTCACTCCTTGACCCAATGAGTTAATAGAACTCATCAATTCGTTACGACTGTTATCCGCTTCAGTATTCGTATTTAAATCCAATGCCATCGGTGGTGGAGGAGGAGGAAGAGGAGGTGCTGGGGGCGGTGGGCCACCAGCAGTAGTCGCAACAGGTTTAATTGTTGATGTACTAACGGTGCTAAAATCACGTTTACCTTGTGAAGCCCATGCTAAACCAGTTGTATGATATTTTCTAACATAGCTATAGAGATCATTTAAAACTTTAGCCCATAATTTAACCCATTCAGCATGTGTTGGGTCTTTTTCTTTGAATTCTTTCAATACACGATTGGAATAGAACTGAGCGGCATCGGACATGTCTTTGACATGTGGACCAGGTGTTGGAGAGACAAGAATCCAGCCAAGAGCTGGTGTACCTTCAGAAATAGCCGAAAGATGATTGAACAACGGTGATTTTCGATTTTTGTTTGTAAATGCTAGAAGAAACAGAACGCGTGTTTTTCTCGATCAAATATCGCTTTTATCGTGACACTACCTGTTATTGCTTCCATTTCACTTGATTGAGGTTTGATAGCATCTACTATTTGATTATCATTCGGTTTTTTACTTTGCACGGCTTGTCGTATGAATTGTTGTTGAGCTTGGAAAAGAAGAGAAACGTGTTCACTTATCTTACTCAAATCGCCACCAATTTTTTGCGACACAACAAGAAAAGGTTTGACAGCATCATTGATTAATGCTTCATAATCTTGTATAACAGGTAAACGATTGATACTATCCGCTGATTCATCATCGCCGACGGACGGACCCGATGTCGGAGAAGAATTCGTTCCAAGTTGTCTAGCGATCGCTTCTAGACGATCTGTAACAGTTTGTAAGCGTTTAATTTGCTCATCCATTTGTCTTTTGGCAAGAAAATGAAATATAACTACAGTCGAAATCTACTGATGATACTATTGTGCTTCTTTTCTTTCTCACTTTCCGTCGGATAAGATAAGTTTATTTGAACTAAACAAGAACAAACAGAAGTAGTCTTATACTTCAGTTTGAAATGTAATGTTTAACCAACCATATTTGGTAAAATAAGATAAAGAAAAAAGTAATTCTATATGATGACACTGTATGCTTATCGCATCGCCTTTTTTTTTCTCTTGATTTTCATTTACCGCAATGACATCAATTTCAAGCGAAAAACACCACAGGGGATTATTTAGTTTTCAGTATTTTGTCACATGCATTCTTGTAAACTTCCTTCGAATAGCGTTTCCATTCTTCGTTCATGTGATAGGTGTTGTAGAAAACTGAATCTGACGGGAACGGAATTTCTGTTCGACGTATATTGTGTTTATATTGATCCGAGGCAATTCGAACGAATGATGATTTGCGTAAAAGAAGACATTCACATTCGTTGCTGACCAATGTAAACGTTGGTTGATTTGGAAACAGCATATCGGTTAATCCCTATGACGAAGAATTAAATGAAAAAGATGAAATCAAACAGGAAATTGAATGCGGACGTACAAACGATTGACCTTCATTTATTGTTTTTATGTGTAAATATAACATTTTGCTTGGAAGAATTAAGTTCGACTTTGAATTTGCCGCTCGTTGACTATGTTTCGACAATGTACTTGGCAATGGTACTTTTGGAGCACGATCAAATGATAGTTGATCATAATCGATCAGTTGTAATCGATCACGTTTATCTACTATGCCAGGAAAATGCTGAGTAGAAAAGAAAACAATGAAAGTCAATCAGAAACAAGACATGTTCGTTCTACTTTTTCGAGATCAGCGACATCCTCAGATACAGATGATAAACCCGATGTTTTTCTTTCGTTAGCCGCTGTTGAATGTTGCAAACGAGTCAAACGCAAGTCTATATCCAATGCTGTTTCATGCAATGACGATGGTTCTGTGTCTCCACTGAGTTGAATTTCAGAAAATAAAGTTTTATTATCCGCTGTTCCTTCTTCGTCTTGATCATCATCACCATCAATCACTAAAACATAACAATCATTTTCTTTCCTATCGTTGAAGATATATCCGTTCGAACAAACTCTTCTCGCTTTGTAGCTGCTCGAGATCATGTTTACTGGACTTTCGTATATGGCCGTCAGGATCCAAACGTTTCCAAACAGCAAAAGATCCTTTCTTGACAACAAGAATGTGTTTCATTCGACGACTGTCACGAGCAATAACTTCTGATAGACTAAAGAAAAAGATCACATACCACAAGCTATACTCGATAGCAGCTTTCCATACCCAAATTTACAAAATTGAATCGCATGTGGAAATTCATACAGACGATCAATTGGAAAGCCACGCAAGAACGATACATTCGTCCTATTAGACATCCATCGAGAGAAACATGTCATTCGAAGCTTCGTTTTCTTACTTGAGAAATTTCAAATCTTCCGAACTACAATATCGATCGTCAGCCATGTAGATTGCTTTGAAATCCTATGAGAAGAAAAACGCACACTTCTACCTTTGTCTGAAATAAATTAATCACGCAAACATATTTACATCTTTCCAAAGGACCAATAATTCCAGCTGTGTATTTGATTTTACCGTAAAAATTTGTCGCCCATTTGTCATTAATCCTTTTTCCTTTCGTTACAAAAATTCATACAACTTATTGGCTATGCAAATAAAACTCTTACACCGAATGTACATCCACGTTCCAGAACAGTCAACGTTTGTGTATGATTATCCGTGACTCGTTTATACGTAATCACTGCTGTACCAGATAAAATCATATAGAAACAAGCAGCACGATCACCTTGCCGAATAATTGTCCGTTGTTCCGCATAACTAACAATAATCTCAATTTAATCGACCTATCAACCAAGAATACTTACCATTCATACCATGCTTCTTGTAATATTTGATTTTGTAGCTGTACTGACAAACGAGAAAATGGCTTTATGTCCGCTAAACACCGGCGAATCTTGAAATAGAAGCAATGCATTTTCATCATGATAGTACGAAAGATCTTTGTTTTTTTTGTCGATCATACTTCATCCACATTGCACAGGTCTCGTTCGCCTGTTGGTTGTTTGAAGAACTGTCGGACATTGGGTAAAATATTAAACTAGAACTAATCTTTATCGAAGTGGAAATTAAAGGTCATCTTCTTACTGATTTGATTCTAAAATTCGATTCATCAAACAAAGTCATATGTGCAAGACTGTTATCAAATGCAATTGTGCGGGTAATTTGATCTTTCCTCTCGCATTTGCTCAATTGGCAAGATGCCTTTCTAACAGGAAGAAGAATATTACACTCATAGATAGAGAGAGAGAAAAAATCGCGCCAGTGAAATGACTCGTTCGGCAGCGTCGAATGTGTTAAAAGTAAATAAATCAATATTTGTTGAAGAAATAGTTCAACAACTTTTTGAGAAAAATATTTTGCTTACTAACTTAAAGAAAAATTTTACCGAGAATTCCTTTTTCCCCCTCTATACAAAGAAGAATACACTTGAACTGAAGAACGATAAGTCATGCATTGATAATTAATTTTAACTTAACGAACCATAACAATAATCGTCTCTATCGATTTCATTGATTTATTTCTGCATATATAGTTGTATTATATCTTAATTAAAAACAAATGAGTTCATAATGTTAAAAAAAGGAACTTCACTATTTCAAACATAGTTGAGCTAACACACAGACACAAATGAAGAAAAAAAGAAGAAGACGAAAAGAAAATGAGCACGTATACAATGTCAAAAGTAGATTTTGTACAATTATACTCTTTTACATACGGAAGAAGAATATAGCGAGGAATGAACATAATAGAATGAAATACGATGTCATCAAACGATGACCATCATTGTAATAATAAGGTGAATTCGGATTGGTAAGTGCGTTAATATTATTATTATTCGTTTGATCTCGATTTTGCATCCATGTATTACCAGTGTTAGCACCGTATTGACCGCTCATCCAAGTATTTGTATTACCTGCAGCCACTTGTCCACCATACGTGTTGCTATTCGGATACAAATTCGCATTGTAACCATATTGATTGTTGTTTGCGTTGACTCCTTGATTATATACATTCTTATTATCTATAGCTTGATTTGGATTTGGTTGATAGCCCATCTGTGGATTTGAAGATTGATATTGCGACGAAGGAGATTGACCTAGAAGGTTAAAAATGCAATTCGAAGAAGCAAAATCGTGCGAATTTTAGTTACCTGATGGTATAAGATAACCATTACTATCAACTAAATTTGTATTTCGTAAAAGTGGATTTGTTCCTGATTGTACGTTGACTCCATACATTTGCGATTGTTGTGACTGTTGTTGTTGTTGCTGTTGTTGAAATTGTTGCTGTTGTTGCTGAAGCTGTTGTTGCTGAAGTTGTTGTTGCTGTTGTAAATTGTTCATACCCATCGTATTGCTTGGATTTTGCTGTCCAAATGCATTACCATACTGATCCTTGCTTATTTGAGTATTCAAACCTGTACCATACAAATTCGCATTCTGTCCGTAGTTGTATGCAGAGGGTACACTTCCAGCAGGATATTGATTTCCATACAACGATGCCGATGATTGCTGTTGCTGTTGGGGTTGTTGTTGTTGCTGTCGTCGATGACGAATTCTGTATCCATTGGTACCTTCAATGAACAGACATATCATGATTATCTTGACTCGAAAAGCAAAACCATCTGCTGTTTTTCTTGCGTCCAGACACAAGAAATTGAATTAGTTAGATAAGATATAAACTTACCAGCAAGGAGGAATGTTTGTAGAAAAAGTGAGACGATGATTACATGAATCCAAGAAATGGTATTCATTTAGTTGATGAGATGTTTTTCTTGAGAAAATCGAAAGGTTATGATTGATTTTAGCCTTAAATGAACGCAGATGATGAGGTGACACTGCTTACACACAATGAGAGGTCAGCGAGACGGTAGCCTAGACTTTTTTCTCTCTCTGTTTCAGGTGACACGACGCGATGTTGAACGAAAATTTTTCTTCTCTACTCAGACACGAGACATAGGTATAACAACAGTGAGGTCTTTTTTATTCTCGTTCTTTTCTTTCTCTCTGCATAGCTAGTAGATATGCATACACTCTCTCGAATTTTTATCAACTATCGTCAACCTTTTCCTTTCTCCCTCTCTCCCCCTCCCTTTCGTGTCCTCGGCCTCCTTCTCTTCTAGATGGTCATACGTACAGAACGAGCAATCGCAGCAGTAAACATAATCATGTCAGCTCTATTTGTCTGTACAGTTACCGTCGTCATCGCGTCCTCCTCTCCTGTTCGATTTGCTCTCTCTTTTTTCTTTATATTCAATGGCATTTTTTTTTCTTGCGTCGTCTCTCTATTCATACAAAAGACTACAATTCGATTGTATTGAATCACTACATTGACGATGACGGTGACCGTTGTATGTAGGTGAGAGAGAATAAGTGAACGAGTTCTCTTTCTTTGCATCTCACTTTGTGGATAATGAGAAAAAATATATATGCTTTGAAATTAACAGATACAGCCGATTGAAACGGATATTGTTTTGTGATACACGATCGTAAATGAAATTCTTCAATTTATCATCAACAAGTTTTGTTGGCACATAACACAAGGGTATCAATATTCAAACAGCTTGAATTTAATTTCAAATAAAAAAAAAAAGAAAAGACAGAACAAAAGAGAAAAAGAAAGAACTTTTACATTTTGATAAGCAAATAGATAGTAATTGCATGTAGTATTATTATTTAAAGATGAAATAAACTTTTGTTCATACAAATAAACTAAGTCCGTGAATGTGAAGGTCAACGTATTGTATGCATGTGAGAGAGAGAGAGATGAAGATGTTGCTGAATTTCTCACTTGCGTGTTGAGCCACTTGCTACAGGCTTGTTAAGGGGTACAGATGGATTAGATCCAGAAGGATTACCATTTCCGTTGCCTTCCGGGATGCCACCTGATCGTCCTTGAACAGCAGCACCGCTTCGTGATTGCCGATACCAAGGATTACCTATATTTAATAAGATACCATCTATATTGCACATATCACATTAAACGTTATTACCCGTGCCGTAGGTTCCATACGAGCCATATTGATTTGTATTTCCATATCCATATAAATTTGATCCGTACGAACCATACATAGAACTACCTAAGTTAGGGTATTGATAGCCGGATGATCCGTATGGATATTGTGTATTGTAACCGTACACTACAAAAAAGAAGTCAATACTACTCGAGAGACGACTTTAATCACTTACTGTTATTGTATTGATTGTAAGGATATCCTGTTCCATACTGACCATACTGACCATATTGACCGTATTGGCCACCATACTGTCCTATACCGGAGTACAGACCTGAACCATAGTTGTTAGTACCGTACGTGTTGTAAGGATATGATCCACTATAAGTCGGATTATAGGTTCCAGTGTATGAACCCGAATAAGGATACGAAGATTGGCCATAATAACTTGCCGACAATTGTCGACGTTTACGACGAGCTCGACCATCGACAACTATTGATAAAAGTCATTTGTTTTAGTTTCTATTCATAAAAGTCAGATCGCAAAACTTACAAGTCGAAGAGATAATCAAAAGAAGCACAATCACTTTAATCATCGCCATTGCGTTACGAGTAGAAATATATGAATGCTATGTGTCTGATTGCGGATGTATGTGTAGAAATGATTGCAGTATGTGTACAGTTACGTTATAGTTTATACAAATAATATTCTCGATTGGTTCGATTTTTCTCCTTCCCTCTCGCTCTCTCTCTCTCTCTTTTGCTTCCGGCACCTCGTAGATCAATCACTACAACTTTTCTATACGTCTTTTTTCTCCTTGTTCTTACTGTGTGAGCGCTTTCTCTTAGTGCACATTTGGCCATGCCCTTTTGCATGTAAAAATTGTAACTTGGCACTCGCATGATTAGTATCGATTGTAGAAATCAAATTGATTTTTTTTTGTAAACCCAGTCATAAAAACGTATAAAGCTACAACAATATATTCATACAAAAAAAAACGAGAATTATAATTAATCGAACAAGATTTGCATTTAAAATATTTGTATGCTGCATTGAAGGAGATTACGCTTGATGGTCAGAAGTAATAGAAAAGAGAATCTGCATCTATCGGAAGAATAGATGTGCGCAGTTTGATCTTTATCAATAAGTCAATTTCGAGGAAAAACTGATAAGAAATCGTGTTTCAATCAAATAACGACCGGATCATTCCAGTGCGTATTCGATTTCATTCGAGATATGTTTGACCTTTCCAACACTGATTACTAAGTCATTACATTCGAAACCTAGAGCACATTTTCCTTCCGATTCGATGATGACCTGCTAAATACGTAGATTTAAGATTCTCATCTGATTATATCCTCGTGTTCCTTCATCATCCCATTGAGAAAAAAACTGCATAATATGCATGCGTCTTGTTATTTTTGAAACACAAATGTTTGTTTTTTCTTTATCAAAAGTTGATTCTTTTATTAACTTTCTCTTTGGAATATATATAATGTATATGTATATATGTAAATAGACACCCGTTCAGTGAAACGAAGACAAGACCATGGATGACATATTTCCCTAATACTCCATCACCTGATCTGGATTTGTATCAATGGATTTTGTCTAAATGAATCCATTGGATGAGAGAAACAAAGATGAACGTACAAACAAAAATATGAAGAAATCACATAGGATAAAAGGAAACAGCAACAGTATGAACAGAAATCTACTACAGAGAAACAAAAGAATGAACGAAAAAACTTCTTTCCTCTTTGACCAAAACGAAAATGAAAGAAAGTTTGATGTTTTCTGCTTCAAATGAAGATGAGAGGGAGCTAATACAGAATAGAAAAGAAAACAAGAGAGAGAGTGTGTGTGTGTATGTGTGGGAGGGAGAAGTATATCTGACTGTAATGCACACAATAAAATAAAAACAGCTCCATCATAGACGTGTATTCGTTCAAAGATGCTGTTAACTTTGTCGAATAATTATGTACACACAAAACTAAGATAATCGATATGATGCCGACGAATTTCTTAGATGAACACTAACATAACCTTGATTTCAAATGTGGCATCGTTGGATTTTTCGAAATCATTCATAATCATTACCTCAATTGTCTTCTATCCCCTGTTTTTCGTCTTCTGAAAATCAATGTCCATCTGTTCTAGTATCATCAACATCATCATTTTTCAAAAATCGCCCGACTTGCTTTGCAGTCTATAGAAGCACCTGCTGATGGCTCATCGATCAATATAAGACCCAATGAACTGAGATGCTTTTGACAGACATCATATGACTCATATGCCAACATCTGCATGACAGCTTCAATTGGAATGGTCGGAGCAAATCTGAATAAAACCCATTGTTAGACAGTTAAGCAGATTTCTTATCTACGTTATTACTTACCCCCAGATTAAACATTTGAGCATCTGTTTCCGATAAATATCAACGAAAAGATTAACTAAACGACGAGCAAGTTCGGGTAAGGACCTATAGGTAATGAAGAAACGAAGGTAATTTTTCCGGCGGACGGCCGAGCAAAGTTCTAGAGCAAGATCGAGATGTTCAATATGTTGGGTTGTGCTCTTCCCGTTGGCTGCTGAGATTTTTTTCACTGTATCAATATCCATTAAGATTCGATTTGTTTCTAAAACGAAAAGTACAGATTCCATGCAAAAACATCATTTAAACATACTCTTATAATCATTTAGCAGCAACGAGTAGAGCAAACGATAAACAAGAAATTCATTCAGATGTACACGACTGCAGCCATTATCATACAGAGTTTCTAGTTGGGTTTGACATTGATTGAACTGTTCCCGATCACCCTAGCACGAGGAAAAAAGTAGATTTAAAACGAAAATAAAACATCTTCATACCTTTTCAAGTGCTATACGAGCATTTTCTTCATAAACTAACACTGTAAAATCATTGCGAATCGCTTGCACCATCAGATCTTGCCGAATACTCTTCAATTGATCACTTATATACGACCAATCTTTAGTTGATCTATATTTATTCATAACAAAAGAAAAAGCACGTTCAAGAATGGCTAATGGGCGAATTGTTGCCGGATCTGCTTCCTAAAATCGCTCATTCTATGAACATAGATACATGAACAAAGAGAACTACTTACACTTGTCAGACGTAAATAATTTTTTTCCAATTTTTGACATGTGCCTACCAAGGCTTTGTCATTATCACTTACTGTATTGTATGCACTAGGCGCTTGGATCTGAAATGTATGATTAGCAGTGAAAAAGAATGAGAGAAGTAAAAGATGACTTACTGGTTTAATAATAGTTGATGCAGTTTCATTAGTAAATCGACTGCGTCGTTTTTCCAATCGTTCACAATGTTCTGGTTTTGGTCTGAAGAAAGAAAACTATGAGTTATTCTTGATGGCATGCGTAAAATTTTACTCGTCAAGTTGGATCTTCTTATTTGGCTTCTTTGCTCGTCGACCTTTTCTTGAGCGTTTGAAACCAGTAGTAAACGGCGATGGATTTGTCATGTTTCTAAATCAATCGAATGGTAGATATACCGCATAGAGTCTTCTCTTACTTCTGTCGGTCATTGACAACACCACCAATTGGTGAAGATGAGGAGGATGATGACGATGATGACGAAGACGACGACGATGATGATGACGAACGTTTTCGCGTTGATGTATTAGTTGTTTCATCATCGTCATCACCATCATCATCAGCGAAAGCGCGTTGAACTGACTCGGATGCAACTGCTCGAAGTTTGTTTAAACGTATTAATTCTTCGCGTTGTTTATTTTCACTATATGAAGATTTAGCTAATTGAAGTAAAGTTGAATTTGTTGAATCAAAAGTGTTTGCACGTACATTTGATGACGTATCAGGACGAAGGAGAAATCTGAACGAGAAAAATAAGCTTTGTGAAATGATAATCATGCTTAACTTACTCAGGAATAGGTTTATTAAACCAATCAATAGTTTTAACTAGATTTCTTTGAAATGCGTCAATGAGAATACCCTGAAACCATTCATCGGCTTGAGAACGTAATAGGTTTGTGGTACATCGACTTTCAATCGATTGCCAGTATTTCCTAAAAGAAAAAAAGATCGTTGATCTGATTGATACATAGCGAAGGTTTATTTACTTTAATGGTTCAGGCCATTTTTGTCTATCACAGGCTAATTTGAAAGCCTCAACAGCACTCATGACTGTTGGTGGCTCGTTAGTGTTTGTAGTATCCATCATCATATCTTCTTGACGATTTTCCGGTGGAGTAGCCATTGGCGTTGGAAATGACGATAATGCCGAAGTAGGTGTTGGCAGTTGTTGTTGCTGCTGCTGCTTTGGTGGTGATGAAAATCGTGAACGTCTGCCTGCTTTATTCGATGGATTTTGAGGACGAGTATTTAATTGGAAACGTATACCGGATTGTTGTGGTTTTGTTGGTGGTCCGAGGTTGGCGGGTGGTGGAACATTGTTATACGATGTGAATTGCTGCTGATTGTTATTTTTAGTGTTACCATTGTTTGCTGGAAATCGATTACGATAGGAAGATTGTGTTTGTCTCGGTCGAAACGTTGTCGATGAATCTAAATGTAGATAGAAATGAATGATTTCTGAACAAAGGCATAGTTCTAGCAATCTTACTTGGTGGCTGCCATTTCGATGATGTTGTATTCGTATTTTGCTGCTGAGAAATATAATTATTGGAGTTTGTATTATTCACCGGAGGTATAGGCATTGCCATTGAATTTTGCTGTTGATTAGCAAACGACTGATAGAGGTGATTCTGATATAAAGCTTGTTGATATAGGGTCCATTGCAATGTCCAGTCTTGATACGCCTCGGAAGTAGAGGCAATGGGAGGAGGAACACTCATATCAAATTTTGGTAAGTTTGTCATATTAGGAGGTGGAGGAGGAACTGGTGGTAGTGGTGGAACAGACGTGTCATTGTTCTAAATTTTCAAAATCGACAAAGATGATTTTAATTGAGGGCGAACGCGAAATTATCAACTTACCAGACCGGACATGGAGGAAAGAGGGGGAGGTGGTGGTGGTAATTGAAGAGAATCTGATGGTGGTAGTGGTGGTGGCGGCGGCGGAACAGCCGTTGTATTCATTTGAAACACTGGTGATGGATTGTTACCATTCGTATTGAAAGAATCTGAAAAGAAGTTGGAATTAGGCGCAGTTGTTGTTGTTGTTTGAGACATTGGTCAAACAAAAATGGATCTGTACAGTACTAGTCGTATGTGAGAAGAGAAGACAATGTATCGCTATTTTAGACGTTATGAAATCAACGAATTCTTCAGTTTATATAGAAATAATGTCGAATGTTAGAAGAGAAAAAGGCGAATACAAGTGATCAATGGCGTACATTCGTCGATAGATGTCAGGTAGAACAAGAGAAACACATGATTAGTTTAGCATTATTTCCAATAAAGTCGAAGTTATTGCTACACATACATATATATTTGGTTCTGATAAATAAAAAAACGCGTTCTTTTCAGTCTTTAACATTTGATCAACCAACTGAATTACTATTATAAAATGCGCCAATCAAGCTTTGTATTTCTATCTGAGAAAATGAATTTAAAGTTATTTCCGGGAAATTATCTTCTACTTCAATAAAATGAACCGCTTATCGAATTTCTAGTAGTTTTGATAGGCAACTTGCAAAATTCTCTTCCTCGTCAAAAAAAAAAACAGACGAGCATCTGTTTTACATGATGACTACTGAGTATACATGTCTGTCGATAAAAGAGAAGAAACATTATGACAATTAGCTTTTCTCATGTATTTCTCTTTGGTTACTTGTGCTATCTACATAGATAATTATTTCTCTTACAATCTTTTTTTTGTTCCTTCTTTTTCTATTTGATCGTATAACGAACGTCGAAAGAGGCGAACGTACTTTTTTTTTCTTCTTCTGTCATTGTCTATACTGTTATTACAGAAAAATATCGGAAAGAACGAACATCGCTATCGACGACGATAAAGACCAGTCGACAATAAGAAAGAAAGCCTTTTTTTTTCATATTTACTCAGTTCGTTTGCATGTTATGATCGTTTCGTTTTTATTCTGTTCTTATAGAGAAAAAAAAACGGTTAACTCTTTTTTCTTCCTCGTTCTTTTCAAATCAAATATATCCGCATAGGTATTTATACTCACATAGCAAAAAATTAATGATGACAGATTGAAACAACAGTATGAATAAATGTCAAGGTCTTTCAGTCTCTCTCTTTCTATTTGATATGTAGGGTATGTTTTTCAGCTCTCTCAGATAATTGAAATAATTAATTTCACGAAAGAAGTTTTCTTTAATGATTAATTTATTCTGATACGTAATTTTCTGTTATATTATTGTCAAACCAGTCGATTTTCGCGCAATTGTACAATTTCTTGGCGGCACGTTTATTATATTTTCTCACGATTTCTTTCTAGATATTATCGATCAGGTGACCGTATACGCACGAGTTATTCCGTATAGTTTTATTTTTTTAGTCTAAATTTTCGTGTCTTTGGTTTCAATATAACCATCAATTACTCATTATTCACAATTATTTTGACAATTCTCGATAATATCGACACTTATCTGAGCACATCCGTGTGTGAACTAGCAGTTAGTGATGCTTGCCTTTGTCAGAAGAATGAATCTTCATCCTCATCCAACAAAAGCAGGTGCAACAATGAACACCGATGAACATATCTCACCATCGTCGTCATCATCAGTCGTTCAGCCAGATAAAATGCTTCTTTTAAATGCAAATCTATCTCAAGAACCGACTACACCATGTATACTTAACACGCCGAATACTTGTACAAAAAATTCGACATTTTTCTATGAGATTCCAACTTCTATGCAAACAACAATATTATCGGGTAAGATAAAGTGTTAGGAATTTGATTTCAATACGATGAAAAGGAATGACAGAATTTTAAAATTATTCTAATATTTGCATACATAAACAGTTTCTCATACACCCCCGTCATTCCGGTTCAGGCATGCCATGTCTACGCTTTTTTTCTAATCACACAAAGCATGTCAGTTATTCCTGGACTGTTTTTTCCTTTATTGAAATTGAAAAAAAAATCATCTATATATAGAGAGAGAGCCAACAGAAGCCGTATGATTATTAGCACATTTTTGCAGGTAAAGCGTTTTCTTGAAAAGGAAGAAGTAGTTCTTTCGTGCAATCCTAGAGTGTACAGGAGTACAACATGAGTTGCACTTAGCGGCCGGATCAAAAAGAACTCAACTGTTGACTGATAGTGTTATCCACTGTATATAATTGTTAAGACAGTCGGCCGCTAGTTGTCGTATAGAAATGTCAAATGTCGTTATGGCTAATTTGTGTTATCTAAGTTATAACTATCGTTCCATTAAACGAACTACGAGTCGTCAAGTGTGTATGTGTATGTCTGTCATATTCAAGGTTTTCCTATCTTCTTTGATTTGTACATACGCTCGCATGATTTCATCAAGACCATTCATTTTGCTTATATAGATATGTGTACATGGAGAGAAAGACACAGTTATTTTTCTGGAAGTAGAAGGAAAGTTAGTTTCCCGACATTGCTACCTGTCACTCATCGAATTTTGGAGAGAAGATTTGTTACCATAAGATATCTCCCAATATAACTTATTTCTATATATGTACGTATAAATAAAACAGAAGATCATCAGAAGTAATGAATATCTATATCGAGGCATGAATTTTTTTTAATCTATATTTGTTCTATTAGACAAAGAAAGTAGCCTTGACAGAAATAGTAATTTAACAACGCCGACTAATAATGATATTCAGTTAGCTAGTTATTATCGTTAGAGTTCTAGTGTCAGCAATGTCTAGCATATTGACTGTTTCGTTGTGACGAGTGTTATTCATATGGACGAAAAAATCCTTATTTGACAATGGTAATTATCTTAAAATTCATTCCTCTCTCTCTCTCTTTTAGCTTTTTCTTTTGCACATCAAGATCCTCGAACTTTACTCCTTCATTTTTTTTTGTCTTCGTTGAACTATTGTTCTTCTACGAAGTGTATCTAATCCACGTTTACGAAAGAGATAAAAGAAAGAATTGTATAAAGGGCGTATTTGCGCGAAGCTTGTTTCATTTATTGACATGAAGTCTTAGCGCAACGAGAACAATCCGTTCGTTTTAATTGATGTTATTCGATAGAAAATAGATATATCACTTGTAAAAGAACAGGAGACAAAAGATGATTATTAGTGTTATTTCTTTTATATTTAGATACACAATCATCTACTATCCAAACATTACCTCAAGTAGCCACGTCATCTAGTGAAACTGAAAGTTGTTCAACAAAACAACTACTAACATCCACATCTTCACCACCTGTGCCATCAGTTAACGTTTCTACATCTTCATATTTAACCGATATTGCCAATGTACCACCAACACAGACATCTGACAATATCAATGACGATACAGCGATGCAACTACCGCGTAGTTTAATTAATGATAATAAGCCGTATTCATTGAATTTACAATTGAAAAGTCCTCTAACACATATCACAGCGTCATCATCACCGCCGTCGCTGCCACGTTCGTCATCATCCACAAATTCCTTGATTGATAATTCAAATATTGATGATAGTACTAGCAACACTAATCCTACCAATGGCGCACTGAATGTCAATGAACAAATTCGTACTCTGTTAACGTCTAATCCAGTTGGAACTGATTATAGTATTAATCCGTCGACTAGCACACCACCACCATCATCAGCACCAAATTCCACATCATCATCTGTACCAAGTGAATCAAATATGAATTACGTTGAGCAATCTCATTATGTTCCGTATGGAACACCGCAACCAACTGTTTCGCAACAGATTTCCTCGTCCTACCATGATCCAATGGGTAAATCAAACTCAGTATCAAACAATTTCATGTCGACAATCAATATGAACAGTACGGATTGGCCAGCAAATTCCACAGCAAACAACTACCCTCTACAACCATCAATAACTTCAACACCATGTGTCAAAAATGAACCACAGGATTATGCAATGACCATCATCAATGATCAACCAGCTCGCTTTTCGAAACCGAAGACTTATACAAATAGACCATCGAAAACGCCTCTACATGAACGGCCATTCTCGTGTCCGATTGACTCTTGCCCACGAAGGTTTTCTCGATCAGATGAGTTAACAAGGTAAGAGAGAACAATTGGATGATCAAATCATATGACATTTTCCATGTAATTAGACATATTCGAATACATACGGGTGATAAACCATTTCAATGTAAAATCTGTGCTCGAGCATTTTCAAGATCTGATCATTTAACAACACACATTCGAACGCATACCGGAGGTAAAGAAGATGTCGACGAAACATAGATTTTCACATTGTCGTGATGTTTAGAAAAACCATTTTTATGTGAGACGTGTGGACGTCGATTTGCTCGATCCGATGAACGTAAACGTCATGGAAAAGTTCATCAGAAACTACGGAATACTAATTTAATTCAACATTCGTTACCAAAAGGATCTCAACAACTGAATAATCTATCGGTTTTATCAAATAATCTCTTAAGTAACATGGATGGCGACGGCGAAGATAGTTCGTCTCAGCATAGTATTACGGATTCATCGGACCGGCATCAACAGTTTCATTTACCTACTCATTGGGGTTGAAGATGATATTTCATTGTTTTTCTTTAATTTGTGTCTTATATTTCAAACGTTTTTTTTTTAAATAATTATCTTTATGATCATTCAGCTAGAGAATCTTCTATGAGTGAACAGTGACATGTATTTTCATTTCTGTGAGTGTGTAAAAACTAGTGATACGATCAAAAACCACGTGTTCGTTTTCTTTTGTTTTGGTCGAGAAAAGCCTTGTTTCGAATACTAACAGTACATCTCGCAGTGAGTCTCTTTTTTGTCAATTTCTTGCTTAAATTTTCTCGTTGTTCTCAGTGTATATTGTTGTTGTTGTTTTTTATGAATTCTCTGCCCTCTCTCTCTCTCACACACAGTCATAAGCATCATTCTCGTTAAAAGTTTCTAAACATACGCAGCATATATCTACACTTATTTATGATTATGTGGAAATTTGAAGATAATGAAATGAAATGAAATGAACTGAAATTTATTTTTACGTTTGTTTTCTTTTCTCAGACAGATAGATGTTGCCGGCTGCATCACGTCGACTTGCATTGTTGCTCTTGCTCATATTCATTATCGTTTTGGTTCGATCATCGATCAATCCACATGATCCATTTGTGTGGTTTTTAGAAATCTTTCCCGCAGTTGCAGGTGTACTGGTCATGATACTTGTTTCACCGACATTTCGTTTTACAAATCTCGTTACTATACTTGTGTTTATTCATTGCTTGATTTTACTACTTGGAGCTCATTATACTTATGCTGAAGTTCCATTCTTCAATCAACTTCGAGATATATTTCATTTCAAACGAAATAATTATGACAAAGTCGGCCATTTCGCACAAGGTTTTATTCCCGTTCTTATTGTACGTGAAGTTCTTATACGATTACGAATTCTTGCAACGAATATTAACAAATTTTGGTTACCATATATCTGTGTGTCGGTTACACTGAGCTACTCAGCCTTATACGAATTAATTGAATGGGCTGTGGCGAAAGCAACTGGTACAGCAGCTGATGCGTTCCTTGGCTCTCAAGGTGATGTTTGGGATACACAAAGTGACATGTTTTGCTGTCTAATTGGATCGATTACTGCTTTGATATTGTTGACAAAACGACATGACAGATCTATTGCACGCGTCGAACAACGAGAGAAAAAGAAAATGAAATAATTATTCAATTACTCGAACATTTTTTATTTTCCTAATAGTTAGATATTCCCATTCATGAACAAATAAAATTACGTAGTATAGAGATAGAGATCTCTCGCGTGGTATATATCAATTCTAGGGTATGAATATTAAGTATGCTCAATTTTTCCTAGATCAGAAAACGAGCGGAAGTAAGTGAACGTGTCTCATTACATTGACATTGTACACCTAGATACTGTGATTATTGACGATCTTGAAGTGTTTTCCTATTTTTATACTTCAAATGAACTGAATGTCCGATTGCCATCGGATTCGACATATGACAATTAGTTTAATCGTCAGTTCTCCTTCAAGCAAACTCGATCTACTCTTCATCGGAACTATATTGAATTAGCAAATTTCATCATCGAGTCTGCAGAGGTCCTTATCTATCAGTACAATAGCACTCACGTTTACCAACCACGTGATTGACTGCTAAGAAAATCCTATATAAATAGGGCACATAACCGTCTACTCTGTACTCTTCGTCTGTCTGACTAGTGCAAAAATGACCTCCGAAAGTAATGATCTTCATGGAATGGTTCCTGATCATCATGATACTGCTGTCCTATTGATTGATGTTATCAATCATTTGGATTTTGAAGGCAACGAAGGTTGGAGCAGTGTACATTCGAAGGGAATGTTTCTTTTATTAAGACGAGAGAATTTTATTTTAGAATTATTAAAAATCGCGGAAAAACTTGGCAAACAGATTGCGTCGTTGAAAGAAGCCGCACGAAAACTTGGGATACCCATTGTTTATGTAAACGACAATTTCGGTAAATGGAAATCAGATTTTCGTAATGTTATTGAAAATGTCATCGAAGAAAATAAACCAGGTAAAAGCAAGGTTCGAAAAAGAAACTTTCATTGATCTATTTTCTCCAGGCAAACCTCTGGCAAAGTTGCTACTACCAACCGAAGATGATTGTACGCTCAATTGTATTATACAACAGTCTTCTCGTATTCGTTTGTCTTTAGATTTTGTTCTCAAACCCAAACATTCAGCATTTTACTGTACACCACTCGATATCCTATTGAATCATCTGGGTACTGAAACATTAATTCTCGCTGGTATTGCTGGCAATATCTGTGTGTTGTTCACTGCTAACGATGCGTATATGCGAAATTACAAAATAATCGTTCCGAAAGATTGCATTGGTTCAAATACATCTGCAGTAAATTACTTTCGAATACTTGAAATGATGTGTTCATTTTTCTCTTCAAGGAAAACAATGCTGCCTTGGAACAAATGGAAAATATACTTAAAGCAGATATTCGACCGGTCGCCGAGATAATCAAAGATTTGAAACGAAGTGCACTTCGCAAGAATTCGAACCAAGAAAAACCAGATGAGATCATAAGAAAATGATGGACTGTTTCTGTTCGATATATGTAGTCTAGCCATACAGTTAATTTTGACTTTTTTGTAAAATGCACTCCGTACCCGACATCTTTTTTTCATGTTGTTTGATACATGATGCACAGATAGTAATCTCGCGATTTCAAAATAAACGTAAAGAACGCATGAATCTCAGTGATTCAAAGACAAATATAGTGGGAACTACATAGTTTTCATATTCTTTGTATTTGTTGTGTGACCAAAAGCAAGAGTATGCCATGTTGTCACTTTTATAACCCTACTTTCCTATTGGTTATCTGTTTCCAACAATCAAATTTGATCAGTATTTCACACACTATAAGTCAGTCACAAGTAACACGTTTATTATTTCATTCATATTTATATTCTCATAAGCATGGATGCTATTTTAATTCTTGCCATTGGACTTTTAATTGTCTTCGTCGGAGCTCTTTTCTACGCCAAGAGACGTCAGCCAGGTTTGAGGAGATCTTTTCTGCTGATCTCAAACTTGTTATTGATAATATTATAGAGCCGGAAAATGGTCGCGAACAACCTGCTGCTCCACGACGTTTAGGTCCAGTTGATGGCAATCTACCACGAGCTGCACAAATTCGTCGCCGAAGAGGGTTCAATCCAGCACATGGATACGAGGGTGGAGCGCAAAATAACGATGATGACAATGACAGTTAGTGTTGAGAAATATTCTTTCAATCGTTTTCATGGAGAGCGTCTTTTTTTTGTCTTCATAGATGATTTCGATCCGACGACAATGGACGATACCGTAGAACTTGATTCTAAAATGGGCACGAAGAAACGATTGAAAATGGAGGCTAAAGCTGAAAAGCAACGGCAACGTGAAGTAAAGAAAAAGCAATTTTAGAGATAAAGTATTGAAGTCTATTTTCTAGCAAGACGCAATTGAACGTCAAGAAAGAAGAGAACGTGAGGAGCAAAGAGCTGAAGAACGGCGACAGAAAGAATTAGAAGAAGAACGTCGTGAAAAAGAACAAGTAATAAAGAATTTAACATAAATTAGTTTTACACTATTGTTTTAGGAAGAAGAAGAACGACGAAAAAAAGAGGAACGTGAACGAAAAGAATATGAAGAGTACCTCGAATTGAAAAAAGCGTTCACCATCGAAGAGGAAGGGCACGATCAAAATCCAGATGATGCCGACGTAAGCCAAAGCAGTTCAACGCTTCATTCACGAGCAGTTTTCGCTTTAGAACGAATCGGCTTTGAATCAATTTGTTGAATACATCAAATCAGCAAAATTTATGTATCTGGATGAACTAGCTGCTCAATTCAAACTTCGAACCCAAGTAAAATTCGCCTATAGACGAACCTATCGTACCAATTCCTTCTAGGATGTTATTGATCGTTTGAAATACCTTCAAGACTCAGGTGCAATCACTGGATTGTTCGACGATCGTGGCAAATATATTTATTTAACACGTGATGAAATGGATCATGTAACTAAGGCGATTCGTCAACGTGGTCGAATATCGTTTAGTGACCTATCGAAAATAAGTAATCAATTGATTGATTTTAGCGGCACGCGGACTGTCAATGAAAACTTATTGGAAACTGATGAAACCACCAGTTCTTGAACATTGAAAAAATAAAATATCTTGTTCTCACCCGTTTAAATTTACATATTTATTTGTTCTCGGAAAAAAATGTACTCAAGAATTCGATCGTTTTTGACCTTGATGTATAAACAAGAAGCCTAAAAAAGATTGTCTCTTTTATCATTTGTAAACAGCGACGCATCATCTTGTATTGAAAGTCGTTTTATCATGAAGATCGCTATAGGTCAAATAATGTTTTTTCAGATCATTGAAATAATGGAACATACGACCACATCTTAGAAGCATTTTATTACGCAGCTATGGTTTATTGTTTGACGCATTTGTCTAACCAATTCAAAAATTACCTTGTGCGATGCACCATGACATAGTTCGTACGCATCTTACGTTCTCATCAAATCATTCGAATGCAAAGAAAAACATATTTTTCGTCTATCTTACCATGAGTCATTATAACTTACGCACCTTTTTCATATTCGATCGATATTCACAAGTTTGTTCGACGTAAGAATAGACATATGTTATTTCTCTTTCTTACAAGTTAAATATTTTGTAAAAAGATCCTTGGATCAATACGCTTTTCTTACATACATGTCATACTGAATATCGACGGTAATCGCGAATAATATGACTAATTTTTGAATCTTTAGACAAAGCATTCCATTGGTCATCATATTCAATCGAATTCAATGACAAAAGGTAAGCAATAGAAAGCTTTGTGTATCTATCCTATTTTCTACATAGACGTCGAAAATGAAATCGCTTCTGACTGGTTCAATTCCCAAATTGAAGTATGTCATTGATTTCAAGTATTTGTCTGAGTTGTAATTGATTTCGTTCAGCAAATTCAATTGAATTTCGCATCTGCCTTACAGCGAGTGGAAAGTGATATGAACGCTCAGTTGAGTTCATTAAAGAATGAGTTAGAAATACGTGGACCAAAGTCACCGGAAAATCCGCCTAAAAAGTCAGTCGTATTCATTCTTTTTCTGCTATTTGTTGTAAACATCAGCGGTAACATTTAGAACGTCCAATCGTGAAATAAAAGAATCTCGTGTATATGTTCCTCGCAATTCAATTCTGACTGATCTCTTCGAAATCTCACATATTCAAAGCGTGCGCAATGTCTTTGCAGCTATATTAATCATATTAGTTATACAAGGAACACTCCATGACCTTATCAACGAAGGAAGGTATACAACAAAAGAACAAGGGAAAAAATCAACCAATTGTTCTTCTCATTGATTTTTGCCTAGGATCAATTTGGACTTCAAGATCGTTTTCGAATGTTTCGCACATCTACATATCTCGCTTTTCATTTGGTTAATTATGCAATTAACTACAGCAATTGCTGTATACATGGGATTTTATCTCTGGGCATGTCAACGACGGAGTTTCAAACAAAACTTAAGTAAAAACTAACATTAACATTTGCAGAGAAAAATGAAAACATTGCATTTAGAAATCTATGATTCTATATGGTTGTCTGCATACGCTGTTTATATAATGTTATTTTTAATTCTACCATGTCGTCAAATTGTGAAACATGATTTAGCCATAGCTTCTGCATTGATTGTTTTACTCGAACAAGTCAGATTGATTTTCAATCATCGAAAATCTTTCTTATTAAGCACGTTTAGATTCGACAATTGATGAAAGTGCATTCATTCATTCGTGAAAATGTGCCTCGGAATCTTTCATTAATCGGTTTGTCATAAAATAAACCTTGCTATTTAAACTCTGCTAACAACTTTAAATGCCTTGCTAATGTATGCTCTGATTGGTGTTCAAGCGCACAGTCTTCCATTTCATGTCTAGGCTCCGACAACGCCACGTTTGTTTGTCCTGATTATTCGAAATATTTGTATTTTCTATTCGCCCCAACGCTGATTTATCGTGATGAATATCCACGAAATGCCACTATCCGTTGGAATTATGTGGTGCAAATGTTCGGACAAGTTTTGGCGTCAATGTTTTATGTTTATTGTGTAGCCGTGCGATTCTGTGTACCAACATTTTCTAATTTAAATCGAAATGAAATTACCTTACCAATCTTCATATCGGTTTTATTTAATTCGATCATGCCCGGAAGTCTCTTTCTCCTATTAGGTAGGCACTTCCAGAGAGAGAGTAGAATAGAACGATGAAACCTTTACATAATGTAACAGGCTTTTATGGATTTTTACACTGTTGGCTGAATGCATTTGCTGAAATGCTTCGATTTGCTGATCGAATGTTTTATAAAGTAAAGAAAAGATTGAAAAATTGTTCATGTTCCATTGATTAATTAGGATTGGTGGAATTCGACATCGTTCGCAAATTATTATCGAACATGGAATGTCGTTGTTCATGATTGGCTTCATACGTATGTCTATAGGGAAATTTATGTGGTAAAGAAATTTTGTATTAGAAATCGATAACTGATTTCGAATCGATGCTTTTGTTATTGTTTTGTAGTTAATTGGTAAGAAGAATCGAGCATTTCCATCCATTTGCGTCGTGTTGTTATCAGCTGTCTTTCATGAATATGTGATGATGTTTGCACTTGGTTTCTTCTATCCAGTAATGTTCCTTCTCTTTGGAGTCGCAGGTTGTAAGTATTCTGTATGATAGTCAAACAATGCTCAAATTCTACACATATGTGCGTTCCGTTTCAGTGGCTTTCCTCTTTTTGCTTCCGCGGCATCCAGGCGTTGTGTTTAATATACTTATTTGGTTATTTCTCTTCGTTGGCGTTGGATTACAATCGTGTTTCTATTTCATGGAAGCTTACGCAAGACGATCATGTCCGGCAAATGTTAGTTTATTCTATTTCTTTGTATATCAAGTCTTTTCTTTCGTCTTTAGAACACAATTTGGGATAAAGTTGTACCTCGATCCTTTGTTTGTCGCGTTTCATTGCCGAGTGGAAATCTCCTACATATAGACTTATAGTTTTCGTTAGAATTTTTTGCTAATATTTTTATTTAATAAAAAAAACGAACTACGCTCAAAAGTCGGATACTTTTCTACGAATTTTTATTGAATTATTTCAGAAGGACAGTTTCTTATGACAACATCGATTGATTGTCAAGAACTTCAGGTAGAACTGCGTGATATGCCAATGCGAACTTTACACAGCATTGTAGAGAGAAGAAATCGAATCGTTAGAAACCATCTTCGGTTCGGCATGGTCAAAATATGATGAAAATAGTGAAACATATCGAGTCGCTCTTGAAAGAAATCCAGATCAACGCATTGAATTGCAAGTGAGTTCAATCGAAGGCATTTTTTCAGACATAACCGACCCTATCAAGGTCACTTTTATCGATGGGTATCCTCTACGGGCTCCAATCAAGTATTCTCTCTTTGCCCCTTGGCTTAAAGGAGACAAACGACAGAAGTTAATGGAGGAACTGCATGAAACTATTCAGTGAGTTGCGACTTTCATTCGTAAGAAACATACAAATGTAAAATCTAGACAACACAGCAATGAATCAGTGGTTTATTGTTTAACGCAGACGATATATGACTTTCTTGATGAAAAATTTCTATTTTTAACTGACGAACAGTATGAGCATTCGGAGAAAAGTGGTGAGCTTGTCCTCTCTTGTTTTCATTGACAAAAAACTCCGTATTTTTAGACGTCAGTCATGAAAACGAAGGTAATGATCACGTAAAATATGCCAAGCGATTACCCATTCCTAAGCTATCACCAGAAGGTAGCATACGCTTGATAAATTACTCTGCAATGATTAAACTAAGATTTCTTCTCCAGAAAAGTATACTTGTCCAGAAATCTTTACCGGTGAGCCCATGGAAGAAGATCGTGCTAGTGTTTTTCAGGCACATTGCGCGCGCATTGATCATGAATGCCAAGTATCGTACTGATCAGTTACTAATCTACGAGTAAAGTCATTCGATCTAGGTTCAAATGGTGTTAGACGAATTGAAAAAGCATAAAAAGATTGCAACTGCGAAACATAATGTCTATGCTTACAGGTACAATGATGAAAATTGGTCTCAACTTAAAAAATAATAATCATTCCAGAGTCACTGCGGAAAATGGTAAACTTCTTAGTGAGTGTAATGATGATGGCGAAAATCGCGCTGGTGAATGGGTTTTAGAGCCGTTGATAGTAACGTTCCACCTTTCTCAGCTGTTTTGAAGATAAAGAAGGTTTGAGTTTATGCTTTTAGCATAACAATTTGAGCAATGTCATGGTTGTCGTTACACGTTGGCATCGTGATTACTCAATTCATATGGGCGCCGGACGTTTTACAGCTTACAAACAATGTTGTGCGGATATAATAAAGAACTTTTTGAAATAGAATCAAACGAGATTATTTTGTTGTACTGAGGATTATTTTCGTACATTTTAGATGACTGAAGAATGGGTGCAATTGCAAGCGGAGGAAATTGAAGCTTTAAATAGTATTTTTGATCCGAAACAATGGAAACGTGATGAGAACGATAGTCGAAGAACATATATATTAACTGTCGATCATCGACCGGAAAGAGCGATTAGTTTAGAAGTGACGTTTGTTGATGGCTATCCCATTGATGTACCAATGGTTTACAATATCCGGTGAGATTTCCTTTACGAAAGCTGAAGATTAACTTCTCGATGTGCTAGAGGACCATGGCTACGAGGTGAAGAGCGAAAGCAACTAACAGCTGTCCTAGAAGATGTTTACATGTATGTTTACAGCGTTTCGTTATTCGGAATGAACGTTTTTGATAGGGATAATATTGGTAAGCCGATAGTATTCTTATGGGCTGATGCATTGCGAGATTTTGTTGATAGAACATCTGATAAACACGAAAGTAAGATATAATTGTGGCAAATCATCCTATAATTCTCTTTTTCCTTAGATGATACTAGTCAGATAAGTGAACTAATCGATACTCAATCTGTTTCAACAGTCGATAAATCATCATCGGAAAAAGAAATCGTCGTGCCACCCATCTATAGTGACGAATCATTCGAAGATCGAAAAAGTGTCTTTCAAGCTCACTTAAGTCCAGTGCATAGTAAAGAGGAGGTTCATTTGGTTCTCAATAAATTAAAAGAAAACAAGAAAATCGCGAACGCTACACACAATATCTATGCATATCGGTAATGAGATCTCTACAATTTGAAGATTTTAAACGTGACTGGTGTTTCTACGTAGGATTTGGGATGACAAACGTAATATTATTATGGCTGATTGTGATGATGATGGAGAAACAGCTGCATCAAGTCGAATGCTTCATCTGATGGATGTAAATAGTCGATGGGATGAGTTAAAGATCTTTTATCAATGAACAGTTTTAGATTTCCGAAGTCAGGAATGTATTAGTCGTTGTTTCAAGATGGTACGGAGGCATTCAATTGCATAATGATCGATTCAAGCATATAAATAATGCATGCCGAACAATTCTACTTAATCATGGTTATATAAAAAAAGTAAATGATTCACGGAAGTTCCTTCATACTGACCATACATATATTTTCTTAAATATCCCATTCATATATTTCAGACATCGGACGGAACAAAGTGCAAATCAAATAAATAACAGTTAAAATAGTTTTATTACACACAGAGAGAAAGAAGACAGTAGTTCACATCGATCTTTTTGAAAACTCTAAAAGATACTTTATTATAAGTTGATTCGCTCCACAATAAACAGCTACGTGAATTGGTAACCATCCATATTTATTGACTGCATAAACCGATGCACCACATTCCAGTAATAGATGAACAGCATCAGCTTGATTGCGAAGAATATACCGATGAAGTAAAGTGTTATTATCGTTGTCGAATTTATCGAAAAGATTCATTCGTTTGACGCCATTCTCATGTTTCAGTAATGAACGGACTTCCTCGAGATCGTTTGTATCGAGGAGATACATGAGTTGTTGAAAATCACATGTAGAATTTGTCGTCATGCGACATTGCGGATACAATGAACGGGAATTGTATTGGTGAATGATTGAGACTGATAGAAGTGCAAGAGGTCATTCGTCTTTTGTATTTTTCTTTTCCTTCTTCTTTCGAATTCAAGGTGAAAGCGAAGAGGAAGAGAAATGTGACAATTTTTTCTTTCTTCGTTTTCTCAACTGTTCATCATTCTTTTTCGATGTACCTAGATTGATACAATTGTTAACTACAAAAAGAGATAATTATATTAGAAAAACTACGAAGATGAGAGTATATAGAGAGTTACAACACAGGCAGCGAACAATGTTTTTCAATACTAGAACAAGATTTCATCCGATGGTTTCGAAGAACATCGCTTGTTAGAATAGTTGTTGTCGTATTTCACGGAAGTTTTCGTTCTACGTAAGTGATTTGCGATGACCATTCAATTTGCACCACATTGCCCTAATTTGGCTGTGAGATTTGACTAAATTAGGATGATCTGGAGGCAGTACTTGCTGTCGGATTTCAAGAGCCTTTTTATGGTATGTAAGTGCTTTGGAATAGTCGCCCATTCGGTTATACACTATACCAATTCGATTGTACGATGCAGATAAATCAAGATGAGTTGGAGGAAGTGTCTCTTGTTGGATTGTGAGCGCTTTTTCATAATACGTAAGCGCATTGGAATAGTTGCCCACTCGATCAAATGCTACGCCGGTGCTGATGTAAGATAAGATTAAATCAGGATGATTTGGAGGAAGTGCCTGTTGTTGGATTGCAAGAGCTCTTTGATTATGTGAAAGTGCTTTGGAATATTCACCCATTCTATCATGCACAATACCAATACTAACGTAAGACGTGGCTAAATCTGGATGGCTCGAAGGAAGTGTTTTCAATTGAATTGCGAGCGCTTTTTCAAAATTTGCTAGTGCTTGGGGATAGTTGCCCATTCTGTCACAAACTAAGCCGATATTGTTATAAGTCAAGGCTAAATCAGAATCACCTGAAGGAAGTGTTTGTTGTTGGATTGCGAGAGCTTTCTCATAGTATGAAAGTGCTTTGGTATAGTTGTTCATTCTAGAATGCACTAAGCCGATGCTATTATAAGACAAGGCTAGACCTGGATGATTTGAAGGAAATGTGTGTCGCTCGATGGCGAGAATTTTTTTATAGTATGCAAGTGCTTTTCGATTGTTGCCCATGTTATGGTACGTAGAGCCAATGTTGACAAAGGAACGAATGAGCTGTAAACGCTGAGGGACAAGAGTTTTCTTTTCAATGTGTAGTGCCTTCTTGAAGCATTTCATTGCCTCTTGAAAATTTCCGCTGTTAGTTTTCGTCGAACCGATCATGCGATAAATTGGTGTCTTGTCACCTTCATTTTCGGTTTGATCAAGCAAATTTCGATAGATCGACTCAGCTGTTTCGTTTTGATTCAGTTTCATCAGTACTGAGCCTAATCTATACCATCCCTTTTCATCGGGAAAAGTCTCATTTCGCATGTATTCAGTAAGTGCACTCAGCTCGTTGTCGTTGTCATTGGTCAATGTCAAACTAACTTCGTACAATCTATTAGTTTCATCCATTGGTTGGATATCACGTATACGAAATACACTATGCATGGAAAACAAGACCTCATCTTCGTGTGAATAACAGCTGAAGTCACGAATTGAGGCAAATGGAGTTGATGATAGCTTCGGATCAATTTGCATCACGAAGAGGACTCCAACCAGATCAGAATTTGCTGCAGTTCGTTGAGCAAAATGAAGTGAAATTTCGCGAACCTTGCTAGTTGACAGGAAATTGTTAAACGACATCAACCCACCATTCGTTTCCTGCAACCGCTGAAAATCTTTTGTTGATAAACCTCGTCCACGATAGAGTGTGAAGGCTTCCGAATAAGACTGCTCTCTATGTAATCTCTCAATATGACGATGAAGATCACTAATAAAGAAGCCCATTCGTGTCACAATATTACCATCGATCGCCCGTATTCCGCGATTGAGCATCCGATACAGGAAACAGTCACGCGTGTACCACCATATCGGCGTTTCTTGATAATATGTACTTTCTAATTGAGTAATGTTGTTCAGTTCTTTTTCATTATCAGCAAATAGCTCACGGCAATATTTTACATAATCGCATAGGTGCTTGTCATTGAAATCAATAGTCAACAATATTTCTTTAATAATTTGCGTATACATGAATGATGGATCTAATTGATCCAGTTTTTTACCCGAGGGTACGAAACTGATGGCTATGGCCTTTTGTTCACATTGCTGTGTTGCCTGTGTTGAAGCTTCGCAGATGGGCTCTATTTCTGTGAATACTCCTTTGATCTTCGACCATTCTTTTGCCAACTGTTCGTATCGGATCTTCTTCCGGCAGAATAGAAAGATTAGATTTACTTGAAACAAATCATGCACGCAAGATATAACATGCTGTCCCAATGAGCCTGACATAATAATAGAGACCTTGCGATCTTTGATTGTCTCAATAAATTGAATGCACTCTTCGCTGTCCGTGTACGTGTTGACATCACACACTTCTTTCAGTTTAGTAATGGTATTTTGGTTATCTCTGCTATTATTATCGATATTTTTGTCCAACCATATGAGCAAAACATTTTCAGGTTTTCGAGCAACACGAAGTCTACGCTGGAGAGCTTCTTCCGCGATGTTATCCGTTTGTATGCTGCTTGACATGGATCACGTTGAGGCTTCAATTATCTAAAACAGTCAATGTATAATTATAGTGTATTGTTCTAAGTGTATAGATAATTCATTTTGAACGAAGAAAAGTATTCAGTCCAAAAGCATGTATAATCGCTTTTCTAGCAATGCGCAGAATCGGTCTCAACTCTAAATGAAGGCAGACTAAGTTTTGTATCGTTTCCCGTTCAAAAACTGTTTCCAAAAAGCATTATATTTGATCATTGTCTATTGGTTTCTGATGATATTACAACGCAATTTGGGGACATGTCGAAATCGGAAAGCAATATATGGATAAAGACGCCTACTTATAATGAGTCAAACGTCAGTGTCTAACAAAAATATTTTTTATTCATTTCAAAAGAAAGCCACTTCATATATTTATATACAATGAAGTATAGGAGGTTTTTTTCCAAGCAATTTTTACCCAAATCAGTAACCTGTACTATTTTATGCATTGCATGATCGGATATACATGAATGGGGACTTTAACACAGTTGTTTTTCTCCTTTGAAGTAGACACAACGACTTGTTTCTTTTTCTCGTCACTTTTTCCTTTTTCTACGTGCGAAAAAGCCAACATGCATACATTGACGACATACAATTCACTTCCTAGCACTCTTTGCTTTAATGAATTTCTGTATATTTTCATAAATTTAGTTCACTTAGCTGTTGAGCATAACGACAAACCCTAGAACTAATCAAAACTTCACACTATTGTTCATTTGAACATGCCAGCGTTGGAATTCGTTCTTAGTGAGACGATAACCTACGAACATGCATAGAAGAATACCGCATTACTCATCGAGTTTTTCAGTGCCAAAAAACTAGAATTTTACTAAAAGGGGAAACTCGACAACGAAAGTTCGTTGTCTGCGCTTGATGGAGGTGTTCTTTTTAACATATTGAAAAGGTAATGGAGAAATAACAATGCAATACGAAGACGTATTACGCAATTCACCTTAGTCATCGTGAAGATTTCACAACTAAATGTAACAGAGCCTGTTTATATAAATGAATGGTTGATGTCCTAGTTAACACTATACAAAAAGAATAGTTCAATGTGACACTAATGTCATCTTCGTCGGAATCGCTTGAAGTGGACAAAATGTCGACCAAAGACGCTCTTCGTCTTTGTCGTGAAACTGAAGATATAAAGACAATTGTAGCGTTAACAGCTCATACTGACCCTGCTGTACGACAACGAGCATTGAAGGAGATCTGTCCGTGCCGTGTCAAAGAAGATATCGATCAATTTTGGGAACGCGTTCTCCAAATGATCAATGATCCAGCAGATAACGTTCGAGAACAAGTGAGTGTTATACACTATACTATATTATCAGTTTAATAAATCCTATTTCAAGGTATTGCATACACTCTGTGATGGTTCGCCTGATCACATGGAACTGAAAGTCTTAGATGCACTCGAAATATTCAATCGAGATCGAAATCAATATATTCGACGACGAGCACATAAAGTTCTTTCATCTTACCGACGATCGGGCAAGTGGAACGTTCTCTAAGACATCTCTTTTAATCAATTCTTTATTCCAAAAAAATAAAATTTCATATTTTCTGATTGATCCATAAATTCAAATTGTGCGACTCATTTTCCCTTATGAGAAAAGATAAACGCATTTCTAAAGAACGTTATTATCCAGGTCTTATCTAGTTCGCTTGTCAATCAGTAGAACGAAAAAACAAATAACACTTCAAGTACATTCTTCTTTGTGCTTTCTCAACACGTTATACTACGTCGAAGATTATGAATTAAGTGCAAAATGAGACCTATGTCAACTTCGAATAGAAAACTGAGCGATGTCATTCATTAGACGAAGTGATTCAAGAAATCTGTATTCGATAGATTGACCTGATTTAAAGAATACTAGAAATCTTGCTTTTGTGATCGATTTTTCGACGTGCATCGCACGATGAATGTAGTCTTTCGGTAGATGTCAGTGGACGTATGTCATTGGTGTCGCTCTACCTTTCTAAATTAATTGGTCCATCCACATAATATCTCAATATCCTTTCTAACGTGTAACTTATTTATTTATTTTCAATTGATCTCATTGTCTGATAATTTTTATTTTTCCTCATGTATTCTTGCGACGCCCTGTGTCGTCATATTCATTCACTTATCGACTGATAAGTAGTTCATGTGAATCATCCATTCACCTAAATAAAATTCATCCTTTCGTTGCATCAGTTTCTTTAAGATCAGTGATATCGTTATGCAAGAGGACAAGAGCTCAAAAACGTTTGGTCGCATTCTTCTTGGTATCTGTGGAGGAATTGGTCTTGGCAAGTTGAACTAAAAACAATTGTTCTTTACTTAATTATCTCATCCTACACGCGCAGGTCTTACTGTGCTAGCTGCACCTTTTCTAACACCAGCACTTCGACGTCATGCACTTCCATACGTTCCCGCAACAAGAGAACAATTGGATAATATATTTCATTTATTACGACAATATTCTACCAAGCAACGTCGACATTTAATCGATCTCGGTAGTGGAGACGGACGGATTGTTAGTAAAGATGAAAAACGTTACATGACGTCATAATTTTCTTCGAATACGTTTCCTTTTAGGTTTTCGAAGCTGTGCAACAAGGTTTTCCTTGTGCCACTGGAATTGAAATCAATCGTGTGTTAGTTTATTATGCAAGATTAAAAGCATATGTCTCAGGTCAAAGCAAGATTTGTCATTTTAAACGAGCAAATCTCTGGAAGGTAGAATCCCGCAAAAAACCAGTGGTTCGTGGTTATCGTGATATAGAATTCTGCATTTTTATTTAGTATGATTTATCAAAATATGATACAATTGTTCTTTTTGGTGTTGATACCATGGTAAGACGCATGTCATTGGTGTATATTAGCTTAGTAATACATTCGTAATTTCACATTCATTTGAAATGATGTTTCAAATGGACGGCGGCTAATTTTTCTACAGGAATGACCTATACCCTCTCTCTGTGTCATCCCAGGCCGTCGTATAACTGTGTTCGGCTAATGTTGAATGATATTTATCAAATGTTGATTTTGATTTCTTTAGATGGAGCCATTATTAAAAAAGCTCTCGAAAGAAATAGCGGACGAGAGTGTTGTGATTACTTGTCGTTATCAATTTCCGATCAATTATGATCGTACTCATGGTGAAGGTATCGATGCTGTTTGGTTATATAATTCCCAAACGATCAGAAATCAGCTTTCGGGAAAGCCCACTTTTTCATGAAATCTTAGATGTGAATTTTAGAATCATTGCACTCTCTTTGTTCTTTTTTTTTCAGATATTCACTTCCGTATTTATTTTAAGGATAATATAGAATTTAACAGACAACGAACGATGTCGTCATCGAGTATGGGTGATGCTGAATGTTATCAACAGCAAGGAACTCAAGCCTCTCAAACGACTGTAACAGCATTTTTAGCAAAATTATGGGCGTTAGTGAACGATCCGTCTTGTAATGATCTGATCGCCTGGGATCCATCTGGTGGATCATTTCACGTTTATGATCAATCGCGTTTTGCTCGAGAAATTCTTCCACGTTATTTCAAACACAATAATTTCGCTTCGTTTATTCGTCAATTGAATATGTATGGTTTTCGTAAGATGTCAACAATCGAACACGGTTCATTGAAAACAGAACGTGATGATATTGAGTTCGCTCATCCAAGTTTTATTCGTGGACACGATAATTTATTAGAATTAATCAAACGCCGTGCTCCGGATAATCAACAACAAAAGGTGAGTATTCAGCCGACTAAAACCGAATCACAAACACCGTTACCCACGTTGCCTTCGTCGATTTTGCCCCCATCTGATGTTACATCAACAACGATTTTGACTGATGCAAAAACATCAGTACGCCCAGTTGAACTTTCACAAGTTCTCGATGATGTAAGAACTTTACAGACGAAACAAACATCCTTGAGTGATAAACTATTCCATGTGCAAGACGAAAATCAAGCTTTATGGCGTGAAATGAGTATATTAAAGCAAAAGCATGCTAAACAACAACAAATCGTCTCAAAATTAATGGAATTTCTCTTACACTTCTTGACTAGTTCAACGCAAGGACATCGACCATCTGTCGAACAGCCATCAAGTAACTCCTCTCAACAAGAACAAACCCCACACCATCCGATTATCAATCAACAAATATCCAGTAATAGTCTCAAACGAAAACAAGCTGCTATTATGCTCGGTGAAGAACCTAAAAAACGTACGACAATCCAACAGCCTCAACGTCACAATATCATTTCCCAACCAATCAACATCGGACGACCACACGGTATCACAATTAATGAATTATCCGACAATGATTCTGGCGGGTGGATTCACACAACGAATACATCACCTTTAGTTGACCTTGTTCCGTCTCCACCACCAATACAAACATTGGAGGATGGTTATCAACAACAACAACAACAACAGCAACCTCAGCAAACATTGAATAATTATGACTGGACAGTTCCGACGGGTGACATTCGGAATTCTTTAGGCAAAACGTTCAAAACCATTGGAAATGGTCATGACGAAAATAATAGTTATATACCTGATTTTTTCCTAACTACAGATGAACCCAATGGTGCAAAATCGACTCTTGGACAAGTGGACGAACCCAACTTATCAGGCATCAATACGGTAAACATGGATGCAGATTTCTTTTTCGATATGATTTAATCTTGAAAATATATACCAATGCTTGTTTTGACCTCAAATAAATATACGTTCTACTGCTTTTTTATTTAACTCAGATCATATTATCCTCTAAATACATTTTTCTCAGAAGAGCGAGACACGAATACACGTCTTAGTCAGTTTCAGCAATTAGTGCTACTTCTAGTTCTTCTCAGCTCAAAATCGAATTCTCTGTTAATAACATTCACATTCTCTTGTGTGTTCTAGTCCGCTGCATCGATCGTTCCATTTCTCAAAGAAGAACAAATTGAATTTTCCAATAACTTTGATCCACATGCATCTGACTCATCGATCTACTCTGATGGCAAACATTCTAAACTTCTTCAACCCAACAACGTTTCATTTTCTCTTGATGATATAACTGGCGATGTCGATCATATTCAATCATCATTGGACAACATTCGTGAATTAATGTTCGATCATCTCCCCGAGCACGCATCAATTGAGGATTTATTTTGCGATGATCATGTTTTATTATCTCCACTATTGACGAATAACGGACAAACGACAAACATCTTAACAGATACGACGAGCGAAGAATCAAAATTAACGAATAATAATAATAATATTACCAATCCGAATCATTTTATTTATTCAAATTCCAATGATATTAATCATACATCTCCATGTAAACAGATCATTCTTCATAAGAGCGAAGTTCCATTAGCTAATCCGACAGATGTGAATAATCAATTATTGGAACAGTTAATAAATGAAACGGCTAAAGTTGAGGAACAACGGCAAACAATAAATCAATTAGAACGTGAAAAGATCAACTTAGAAGGAAAAATCCACCAACTTGAACAACAACAACAGCAGCAGCATCAACATCCAAATATAAGAAAAAAACAATGATATCTCTCCTTCTTTCCTTTACAATCTTGTACAGTTTCTCTATTCGCATGATTTTCTTTCTTTCTTTTTTTTGTTTTGTCTTCTTCCTTCCTCGCTTATTTGTAAGACAAGAGAAGTTTTCTCACATATAACCATTTTCTGCTTTGTTCACCTTCGTTCACTCCTAGCATAGCAGCGACTTTTCCATTAATTCTGTCTGTGTTCTTTTGATCATTCAATGGAAGTTTATTATCTACCGTCATAGCCGGTAATCACACTCTGTGTTGTCTCTCTTTCGTTTTCTTTCATTCAAATAAACATTACAAAAGATTTATTAAATATATATATACATACATATAAAGTTGGAAAAGACTATCAAGGATTTAATAATATCCGTTTCGTAACAACCGTTGACTGGGAGAAAGAAAACAAAGGCATGTTGTTGCCGTGTTGTTTTGTTTTTGATAAACAAGAGTACAGTTGTTTTCGTTATGGGAGAAGGTCATTGTCGTGTCATCGAAAATGCGTTTCTTTCGATAAAATCAAAATAAGAAGTTCAAAGTCCAGAGTATCGTATTTATTAGAATATAGATTATGAAGAGTTGTGTTTTTCTTCTTTGTACACCGAGAGAAAAAAATGTTTACTAAATACATATATATTAACAAACACATAATACAAAAACAGAAATAGACATGCTGGTAGTTCAATGTTTTTTTTTTGGTTTGTCTACTTCCTTTATCTGATTTACATGACGAATAGTAACCACGTTGGATTCGACTGACGAAAAGTTCATTTAGAATAGATTTTCATCCATATCAGCAAAGCCAGCAGCTTTGACAGCAAATGGATTGCTGAGTGTTGATGATGATGCTGGCGGTGACGAACCGAATGAAAAGAAACGCCCAAAAAAATAAGCACCAGGTGTGCTTGGTGAAGCTGAGTGAGGTGTATCAACGGCTGTTGACGTGTTCGAATGCGTTTCTTGTTGAACTTTTTCATCAGTTGCACGACACACTGTAAAACAATAGTTCATTGACGCCATTTTGATTGTATCGATTTAGATATGAAACAGTTTAACGACGACGTAAGTTGCCGTAAAAATGTACGAGCTGAGGCGATCGAGTTTATATATATAGTTTTATTCAGAGTACAAGGTACACAATTGCATTTACGTCTTGGAAAAAAGGAATGTGCACGTCGTCAGGAGCTGATTGTCGAGTGATTATTTATAAGAGAGACACACACAAGGGGTATGGCCGATGGAATAGTATGCGAGAAGACATGCCTACTGTTTTTTCTTTCTTTCTCCTCTACCAACGAAAGAGGACGGCTAAACAACGAGCATGGAAAGAGAACAACGCTATATAAAACAATGTGAGATGCGCAAAACGAATAGAAATAGAAATCTACAAAAAAACAATCTATTCGATCGATATTTATTTGCGTAGACAAAATTTCATAGTGGGTAAAAAACAAGCCTCCTACTAAAAATAACTTGAAAAAGCAGCTGACGAAACGAAAACCTATACGACACGAAGAAAAGCAACATTTCTATGCTCTTCATTTCAATTCCATGCCATGCACCGCCTGACTTGAATTTATAAATAGACTGTCAAGTTTTGATTTGAATATTGCGCATCGAGTTGATCCGAACAACAACAGATAATCATTGATAAATATAACGGTAGCGGACAATGGTAGTAGTTATTTTCGTTGCCAATTAGACATGGCAGGAAGTCTTTAGGGTTTTACACATACGGTTAATCACGAAGACAAGATTTAGATTAGTCGTGTTGTTATTACCGAAGTAAATCTGCGCTTCATGATGGTGACTGGTGTTGATTGGGTAGACTTGGCTTGATGTTTGGTTTGAAAATATAGGACAAAGACCTGCTTTTCATGTTCTTAGCACATAAATCCGATTAACTTTCTAATTTATTCGACTGGAATTAGCTACGGGCCAGGAAAAGGCACACGAGAAAGAGAAACAGAAAGCGAGAAGAAGAAAAAGAAAAACTCAGCAAGTTTTTCTTGATCAAATCATCATTGAGATGGAAAAATGAGATTCATCAAAATGAAAACATACTGGTTTTTGCCGACGTCAACATTCATAATTAAGGAGGAGCGTAATTCGAGTATTGTTGTTTGATTTGACCTTGGTCTCGCCAAGAACAATGAGCCGTCCTATTACTAATAATCTGTATGCATCTGCTCAATTTCTGGGACAGATCTTCTCGAAAGAGCGATTCTTAAGCCTTAACTAAATCTTCATATGTTATTCATTGATGTGTAAGTTCTCTTTCTGTCACCATTCATTCGCTTTTCTTCATTTTACAAAAGTTGATGATATCAATAAAGTCATGATTTTAGTTGTAGAGAGTGAGAGTTGCAAACGTACATGAAAGGGAAGGAGAGGCAGAGAGAGAGAGAGGGAAGAAAAAAATATATATAATTATGTGGAAAAGACTTTCGAGGGAGTAGAAAATACACGAAGATGTTGAAAAGAGAATGATTACCATCATCTTTCTGTATGCACGTTCTTTTGAATATGATCCGAGAAAAAACATCGTAGAAGAGAAAGCTCTTTTTATTTCGTTCGGAAACTGATCCTGTTAACAATTGTTGTAATAGCAGTTCATGTTCATCGGTCATATTTGTGTTAGATATTAGACGATGTAAACACGTTCGGGTCTCTCCGGAGGAAAGTACTTTTCGTTTCAGTGAACATTCTAGATTGAAAATCGCTATGGCAAACAATACTCGACGTCGTCTAAGTTTTATTGATATGTCGCACCCGCAAGTGTGGAATAAACTACTTCAATACACTGAAGTAACGATTGCTCTGACAAAATTAAGTTCGTAAACTATTCTTTGAAAACTTCGTTCATTCGAAGATCTTTCTCTTTAGTTGCAGATTTTACAAATCAATGGACGAAGATTTGCCTATTGGCCTCATCTCAATTGCATCAACTAGTCGCCGACTTTCGCAAAAAGACCGAAAGCGAAATTCGTGCAAAGTAAACTTGATACCAAAAGCAAACAAGTTGAAGAATGAAATAAATTCCTTTGTTTTTCTCCTCATAGGTGTCATGTGGGTGGAATGATGTATGACCTGTGGGAATCACTTTTGTTAGAAACTGATATAGAATCACAAGTAAATAGAAAGTTTAAGATCAAACCTTTTTTCAAGGTTGTTCTCCTTTGATGTTTTAGTCTTTGAAGAAAGTCGCCTGCGTTTTAGAGAAGAATATCTATACGCCTTTGACAAGTTTTATAATTAACAAAACACTTCAATTAAATATTCATAAGGAACATCGACGTGATTTCCACCAAATCCTTGAATATGGTCATCAAAGCGTGGAACAGGTGAAGACTTTTTTATTACATTAATTTGTTTCCGTAAGAAACATTCGACCATGTTTAGATTCGAAATGAGTATACCGATATATACAATAAGGAAGGTGTTACGCCGGGCTTCGATCTCCTTCATAATGAATACATTCTTGAGCTAACGGCAGTGAACAGTCTCTATTCGAAATATCAACAAAGTATTTCACCACAACTTCTTCAGGTAAATAATGCAAAGGTGTGAAAAGAATCACTTTCGCCTTTTGAACTTAGAGTATGGAGCAATCGCAACTAACGATAATTGATACGATTTGTCAAAATATGCAATTAATGGCTTCCATTTTACAAGACTATGTAAGAAAAGAAAACATATTTGCGATAATCAAAATATTTCTCCTAATGATGAATATGACTTTGTGTAAACTGTCTTCGGTCTTATTTTGACAAGAGCATGCTTCAAAGAATTGTTATTCTAGGAAAAGTGACTAGACTTCGGCCAATATCATCTGTTTTCTTTTCAGATCAAATTTCACAATTAGTTCAATGAGTAGCACACGCTTTAAGTGCAAATCCGTGACCGAGGTTGAATTCTTTTAATCAATTGATTTGGATACTGTTGTCAAAGTTTGACATATGATTATTCTAAGAATAAAATTCGATGACGTTATTCGCCTCCATTCTTTCCAGGATTTCTTAATCGTTGCCCGTAAAAGAATATCAAGGGGAGATTCTTGTATTTGTTTTCTTTATCTGCCATATTTCCCTCAATAACCCAATCTGTTGTCTGCCTTTCGCGATGACTTCTACTTGCTCTTTTCATATCGAAAAGAAGGCAAGATATACAATTGGTAATTTTTCTTGTGTGTTCCGTACCTAGAGAACAAGTAATTTGAAATTAATTAGAAGTTAATTCTAGCAGTTCTGACCTTTGGCGAGAGACAAAGAAAGACAAAGAACAAAAAAAAAAGAAGAAGATATCATCAGTTCACTTTTGCTAATAGGTTAAGAGAGATGCGTCTAGTTTTTATTTGATTCTCATGTTCCGAGCAAGTACGTATTTGTTTATTTGCGTAGCTGCATGTTATACGATGAAGATATTGCTTTGTAAAAGACTTTTTCCTCTAATAGATGTAAAGTGGCACAGATATATTGTCGTTGTTGTTGTTGTTTTTGTTCGTGTTGTTCTTACTTGACATACCATTATTATCCATCAAACAATGGGCAATCGGCAGACGGTAGTGTATTCTATCTATTTAAATAACTTTAACCGTTTATTAGATAAAACACAAACAGATCCCCTTGATTATACAGCTGTTTGTTTTTCGTTTCTTAGCACGAACGCCGTCATTCAAGTTATGCATCATTTGTGGTCACAAGTTCGTCAACAAATCCCAATGAAGAGCTCGAGAATTACATCTGTGCAGTCAATGAATCGAACGATGGATCATCAACACCTTCGGTTCGTCTCGAATTCGAATCATTTATATCGCCAATCGTTAACAATTCCCGTTTACATTCAATTTCATCACCTAATAATGAGCAGTTAATTGTTTATGCAGCGCCGGTTATTCAAATGCAATTATCATCACGTTGCAAAGAAACCATTGAACGATTGAAAGAAATCAAAAAAGAAAAATCAATATTATTAGCAATAATTAATCCTCCAATACCCAAAACGCCTGCAAGACAGTACGATGATCAGCAACAGTAAATATCTTTTCTTCTTTTGTCTCTTCCGCATTGGAATTTCTCCTAAACTTGGCCACATATGCTATTCTATTTATAGATCGGAAAAGAAGCTACTTAACCAAATGAGTGATTTGATGAAAAGAAAACACCAATTGAGATTAATTGAACTTGAAGAATCAGTATTGCTTGCTCAGGTATGTTACAATCGATGTGACTCTCAATCAGACGGTACAATTCCCTAGATACTACCCTTAGTCTCTTTGACTAAGGAAAACACGTTCTGATGCAAAAGATTTCTTTTGGGATTACACATACACGACACTCTGTTTAATTATATTGAAAGTACCTAAAGACAAAAACTTATCGGATTTTCTTTCTTTCTTTCTGTTTTCTTTTTTGTAATATCCATCTGTCATATGTCTATATCGACAAAGATGTTTTTGTCAAATGTCGCGACGAGTGTTTGAGCGTGAGATGAGCAAACGAGCGAACGCGCGTGTATGTACGATTAGAAAACAGATCGATCTAATGCGACCGAGCGGGACAAACAATAACAGCTTATACCATACACTTATGACGACAGCGCAAGGCAAAAACTTTTCTTCGAGTCCATCAGCCTGATTAATCGACAGTTTCCTTTCGTTTATTTGCTCTGCTCGTGCCTTCCTCTACTTCCTATTAGCCCATTCACAATCCGTTTTCTTTTCTCGTTTGCCAATACACATACATAGATATTCGGCATTATCTCCTAATAAAAGCATGCATCGACATTAAAGCAATTACACTCGAATTAGAAGCAAAACTACACAATATTATTGCGAGCAAGTAAATTCATGCGAAACAATTCTTTTTTTCATGCTATTAACTTTATATGGAGACAAATAATTGTCATTCTTGTCTATATATGTCATCGACTTCAGAAGATATCAGAAAACATTTTCAGTCGAAAGAAATTTTCGCGTTCTTTTTCGGAGCAGATGTGCGATGATGTTGTTGACTTTTTTAAGTTTACATTAACCATAATAGTTCGATGTGTTGACAATACTTTCTTTCGCCGGCAGCTTGAGTATAGTCATGGAAATCTGATACATCATCAGAGTTGCAACATAAAGCGTACGTTTTTGACAGGATCATCGATAACGCAATACGATATACTTCATTGAAAATACAGGTCATTTATCAATAATACAGCACTTCTGTTAGAAAAACAGATAATTGGTAATAACAAAGTGGGTAAGATTCTTCTTCTTTTTTTTTTATAAATAGATAGATAAAGAGAAAGAGATGTATCCTGTTAGTTTCTTCATTAATGTCTATTTCCACTTCTTTAAGCTTTGATAAATAGCAACTGCAAGTGAAGATAATAAGGAAATATCAAATAGTTGAGTTTTGTTTTGTTCTGTAGTGTAGATATGTGTATGCTCAAGCATGCGGAAAGAACAATCAATCGATATAAAAAGAAGAAGAAGCGAGGGAGAGAGAGAGAGAGCGTGTGAGAGAAAAATGATTATTCTCTGTTCTCGAGGGGAATGTCTCGAGGATTCATTGTTTTCCCACATTTTGTTTCGCTGCTATTGAAAGACAAGTTAGGTAAATCTCGCAAAGAACTTCTTTTCGTTCTCAATGATAAATATCAGCCCGAATACTTCTGTTTCTCCCTTTACTAGTACTACTGACATATAGTTTCATGGATATATACGTGCTACGTGTGCAAGCGTTAATAACACAACAAAGAGTATTAATAGAAGAGTTTGTAGGGTTGACTTCCGTTTATTTTTAGCAAGATTTGCTCAAATCTCCTTCACCGTCAATGAATACTGCTGTTGATAATGAACCAGAGACGCAGAAGCGCAACGGAAATAATAGCAAAGGCCTTTGGCGTGATGCATTTCGAGCGTTGAAAACTTCAACAGTTACAAGTGCAACATCCGCTACTGCCAATGAAAATCGTCCAGTAAGTTGAATGAACAAATTTCTTAACATGAATATCCTATTTTTCATTCTTCTCGATCTAATCGAGTCATTCGAACGAGAGACAAACATCGAATTTCCATAAATTTCCTTTGAAATTCAATTAGAAATCATGCTAATTTATTTTGCGTCTATGAAAGCAATTAAGATTTTTTACCTATTGATTACCAGGCATATTACTTATTAGTTTTTAAACGTTATTAATTAACACTCTCTTTATTCATTATCTTATCTTGTGTCGTAGATACAACTTTTCTTTCTTATCAGTATAATTTTATAAAAGTTCTGTCTCCTCTTGTTATTGTTCAACTTGTTTCCTGCTGACATGCTTTATTGTTATGCTTTTCTGCTATTTTCTTTTTTTTTTCTCCAGCAGAAATTCTATTACTACTTCTCAACTCTGAGTATTCAGAGATCAAGTGCCGTGCTACTAAAGAGAAAAAACAGACGCGTAGGTTAGTATGAGATCTAGTCGAGAGTCACCCAATCGATCTCTTCATGTTCCATCAGTTCGTCAACGATCGCATTCATTAGGAACTGAACACTCGAAAGCAGCATATCTTCAACATAGAACTATTGCTGAGACATCACGTTTATCCATACCAGGAAGTGATAGTCAATTCGAAAGATCGACCAAATCTTCATCGTCATGGTTCCAACAACGTTTTACATGGTTTGCGGCTGATCCATCACCAACTACAAGTTCACCACGACAAATAACTGCGACACGTTCTTCCATCTATAACGACGAATCCTATTCTGCTCTTCTAGGACGAAAACGTTCGAGTGTGATAGGACATATGATGGAGGTACATTAAGATCTTCTATTCGAAAGTTTATTGCGACCTTTGACATCTATAATATTGTTTGTAGTTGTAAAAGTGTAATATTCTGTTTCTGTTTAGTCATTTGTTCGACGACTATCGTCGCGGAAGAAGAAGTCGAGTGTCGATCGTGAACGTGAGCGGGAAAAAGAAGAAGGTATATCGTTTCTCATTTAGATGTTTTCATCTCTCATTCATTCAATATTTGGTTCATAGAGAAACCAGTCACTATTGATCCAGTCTATGAAACCCTACGAATAGCAGCTGAGACGCGTAAACGTACATTAGCAAACTATCTTCAACAGCGACAACAAACTCTCAATAAGCAAACATCTCTCAATAGTCAAGGCTCATCTGAAGTTGATACTCAACCATCGCCCAGAGTCGTGCGCCATAGTGACCAGATGTCATCTTCGCAAACGCCGACGACGACCACCACGGTTACCACATCATCTCTATCATCAGGTAAATCGAACTAGTTGTCATTACATATTTTTCAATGATTATCATTTCCGATGTTTATAGATAACGGACGTATGTCTAATTATTGATATTTACATCAAATAATACCATGACAGCTCCTGGTGAGATATATGTACGTGTACAAAGTAGAAAAAACAAATCTCAAAATCCAATTCATTCAATGTACTGTATGTGTCGTTATATTATTTTGATGTATATTATGCATAGAGAGTGAATATCATGTTTCCTTTGTTTTCCGAGTGTATTTTCGTTGTATTTGATGGTCTTTGAATGTTTTTCTTTCTTCACTCTTTCTTGTTTATAAAAGAAAGAAAGAATATTTTTCTTTGTCAAATCAATTTGTTTTCTCGTCGATGCTGTCAGATTTGAGACGTGAAAAGAGGAAAGTGGGGGAGAGAAAGTCTTCTCAAGATATGATTATCACTGGTGACAATGCCTCGATTAATGACAGACATTTCTTGTGGTTTTGAAATATTGACGAAGATGCAAGTAATTAGAATTATTTATGATTTAGTAATCTGCTGTTGATTGATGTATGCTTGTATCCACATGCTACACAGTATGCAGGGTGATCAAAATAGAAACTTCAGGAAAAAAAACAATTTTCTAGTAATTGAATTATCACTACTAGTTCGAGAGATAGACCATGGTACTACGACGCGAAGTAATGACAATAATTGTATTCAACATGACCTGTAAACGTCGCAACACAATAGGTCATTACTATTTCTTCGAAAGCTACGGAGTAGCATTGTATATACATGAATTAACTCGACTCGACCATGTCTAGCAGTAGTAAAATATTACTATGCTATATATTGTGCACTCGATTATTCACGTTTCACAAGGGATTTTAATACGTAGTATTCACTCCATCTGTAGATTGTTTATCTGATTTGCTCGAACATCATTCGAAGAAGACTTCAAAAAGAAATGAATTCTAAGAGTGGTCTGATTCACCTGGTTTTCAATGCAGGACAATCAAATTCGATTTACATGACATACAATAATACCAAACATGCGTGTCGTTCAGAATGCATACTCCTGCGAAGATACTAATGCTTCGGTTGTTATATTTTTTAGATGTCGAATAAAAATGCGAGTCAACGTCTTTATCTTGGGCTCGATTTGAGTACTCAGCAGTTGAAAGGTATTGTAATTGACGAACAATTACAAACCATTGCTGAATACGCTATAAGTTTTAATGATAAATCTACGCTTGTTCATCACGTTCAACCAAATGGTTTCATTGTCGACAAAGATGATAATCGTTGCGTGACTACACCAGTTTACGTATTTCTTGAAGCAATCGGTAGTGTAAAAATAGATGAAATCTTGAAAGAAAACAAGACTAATCAATAATCTACGCTCTTTAGATGTTTTATTTCAAAAGTTACGCGATCAGAAAAAGTTCGATCTGTCGAATATTGTCGGTGTATCAGGTAAATTGATAAACAGACAGGTTAAAATTCAGTCCTACATCGTTAATCTCTCAAGGCTGTGGACAACAGCATGGAAGTGTTTATTGGAAGACGAGCAGTGAATTAGAAAAGATCAAGAATTTTCACGCAGGAGAAGAAAATGTATCGTTGGTTGATCTTTTACAATCGTCATTTTCACGCATTGATTGCCCAATATGGATGGATTCGTCTACGACAGAAGAATGTCAAATATTGGAAAAAACAGTCGGAAATGCTGAAAATCTTTTTCAAATAACTGGTTCGAAAGCGTATGAGAGATTTACTGGTAGTCAAATAATGAAAGTTGCTCGGAAAACACCCGAAATCTATGCACAAACAGAACGAATTCAATTGATAAGTAATTTTCTCGCCACTATTTTACTCGGTGAATATGCACCTATTGATTTATCCGATGGTTCCGGAATGAATTTACTCGATATTCGACAGCATCAATGGTCAAACGAATGCTTGAATGCATGTGGAAAAGAGTTGGAGAAAAAACTATCGACGAAACTTGTGTATCCGAGAACAGCACTGGGACCAATTGCAAGTTACTTTGTTGAACGATACGGTCTGAATAAACAATGTCAAGTTGTATCATGCACAGGTGATAATCCATCATCGTACTATGCATTAGCATCCGATCCGAAGACGGTTGTTATTAGTTTGGGTACAAGTGACACGGTTATGGCGTCAATACCTGCAAGTGCTATGCCAAAAGAAGCGTTTGCTGGTCATTTGCTGGTTAATCCGCTGAAGGCGTATCCAGAGAGTAATCTGTTGATGCTATTGCTTTGCTTTAAAAATGGGTCACTTGTTCGGGAACGTACGTAATGAACATTAGTCTTTAGGAAGGACGTTGAAGATGCGTTTTGTTTAGGTGTACGTGAAGAAACAGGTACGAAAGATTGGAAAGGCATGAGTGAACTGCTCGGTCAAACACCTTCGGCAAATAAAGGTGTTATTGGGTTTTTCTATGATGATCATGAAATTTTACCACACAATGTTCAAGGAAGATTCTATTTCAATGCTGACGGTGAACAAGTCAATGATTTGGAAGCGGCATCGAAAGTCAGAGCTTTAGTGGAAGGTCAATTGCTTGCTAAACGCCTCTACCTTCAACGAGCAAATGTTGATTTAAATAATAACGTCGATCAAATTGTTGTTACCGGTGAGTTTTGCTCAAACGCAGACTCATTCGATCGACTCGTCTCCTTGATTTAGGTGGTGCATCTGTTAATACTGACCTATTACAAATATTAGCAGATATCTTCGCTAAGCCGGTATATACTGCTTCAGCACCTAATTCGGGCGCTTTAGGTGGTGCTTTACGTGCAGTTGATGTTATCAATCAAAAACCAAATACAGTTTCTTCCACTGTTGAATGTGTCGTTGCTGCTAAGCCACGCGGTGAATATACATCATTATACGACGATATGCTCAATCGTTATGCTAAATTAGAAGATAAAATTGTCCAAGAGAAAAAACAGTGATCATGCATAATCAGTTCATTTGATTCGCTTATCTTCCTTTTTAGTTTATCTACATTGATTATTTTTCATATAGAAGTGATAGTCATTCGTTTTGCAGTAACTAGCACATCTAACATGTGATTCGTTTTAGATGTAATATAATTTACATCTATGGCTGCACGATATGAACCAACACCAACTCCTAATCTGCCTGGATACGCATTGGGAGAAAAACTAGGCGCTGGATCTTATGGTAGAACACTTTTTCAAAAGATATTACGAATATGTTTGGTTCTTTTAGGTACTGTGTATAAAGCACGACTGATACCCGTATGTACACTTCTTGAGAGATTAATTAGGACTTAATCTATCTTTTGTAATGAAAGGCAAACCAATCTCGTCCAAGTTCCGCATTAGCTACTCGTCCAACGTTTTATGCGGTCAAATGTATCAGTCGTAAGGCTCTCACTAAAACTACTCCTGATATTCTTATCAACGAAATCAAATTATTGAAACAGATTAAACATGAAAACATTGTCGAAATGTATGATTTCTCGGTAAAAGACATCTACTCAAACATATATGATTGATCATTTTTGATTTGTAGTGGGATGAAAATTATATCTATATTGTAATGGAATACTGCGCTGGTGGCGATATGTCTATGTTTATACGTTCACGTCAAAGACTGTCAGAAGCTCGTGTTCGACCATTCGTACAACAAATTGGTAAGATTGTGTAAGTGCCGGATGATGAGATTGATTTCTGTTTTTTATTCGTTATCTTCAAAGCTCGCGTACTAAGATTTCTCTATGAAAAACGCATCAGTCATATGGATTTAAAACCTGAAAATATCCTTTTAACATCCACCGATAGGCCAGTACTAAAAGTTGCAGGTAAGCTTAAACTTTTCATTGAGTTTTCATTTTGTCTAATTATGTAATAGATTTTGGTGTGGCACAACATATTGGCAAACGCGGCAGTCGAAGTATTCGTGGAACTTTACTGTACATGGCACCGGAAATCTTATCTTCTCGACCATATGATAATCGTGTTGATCTTTGGTCTATTGGTGTTATACTCCATGGTAACAAAAATGATGAAAGAAGAGAAACCGTTATGATTTTAGTCTTTTCTAGAATGTTTGTTTGGTCGTCCACCGTTCACGAGTTCATCTGTTGATGAGCTAATTGCAGAAATTAAATCAGATAATCCAATCGAAGTATGTTTATCATTTTCTACAGTTCTATTTTACAAGAAGAATAGTTTCGAATTAGATTCCAGACGATGTCAAAATATCTTCCGATTGTCGAAATCTGCTCGAAGGTTTATTACAACGTGATCCTGATAGGCGAATTAGCTTCCGAAATTTCTTTCGTCATCCGTTCATTTGCATTGATTTATCTTCTCAGATACTTCGCGCAGTGAGTTTCATGCAGATTTCATTATTTCGAAGTTCTTTTGAAATTCTATTAGGACGAATATGTTCAAAGATCACTGCATCATGAACAATTAGGTAATCTTAAGAAAGCGTTGGATTACCAAGTGAAAGCGCTGGATGAATACGTGGCTATTATTAAAGGTAAGAGGAATTGAAACATTCATTCAGTGTATAAGTCGTTGTTCATCAGTCGATGAAGATGATAATCGCAGGCGAACAATAAGAACAAAAGTGAAACAAGGCTTAGCCGCTGCTGAAGTACTGAAACGACGAATAAGAGAAATGAATTCTCCTCCGGTGACAACGGTAACTGTACCAACACCGCCATCCGAAAATCGTAAGTGAAGTGTCGTTTGGGATTGCTACCTTCGATAATATATTTGATTTTAGTTGATTTGAGAAATGATAAAGAACTTTCTGAAGCTTACCAACGTTGTTTAAATGGCAATCAGCTTGTATGTGCTTTGCTAGTTCTTACATATTGTTATCAGATTTATTTTTCAACTAGATGAACGTTCACCGATATGGTCAGGCGTGTGAAGAATACCAAATGGGTTTAAGTGTGATGCTTCGTGCTAGAAAAAGTTAGTTTACATTTACGCATTTCATGAGAAAAATTGTAATATCTCTATAGCGGAAACAGATCCTGATAAAAGTAAAATTCTCCACAATGTGGTAAATATAATTTTCATTGGTTTTCGTTCTTTGTTACTTCTTCGTTTTGTTTAGATCTCATTTTATTTAAGTAAAGCCGAACAATGTAAAGCGAAAAACGAAGCTCAACAGCTAGATATTGATATGGCGAAGATCCAAGAAGATAGTGCACTAGATAATACAATGTTAGACGACTCTCGCACAAAATCAGCGACTCAACAAAATTGTTGCTTACAGTGATCTATATCGATTTTCTTTTCTTTTTTCAATATTTTTTTTATCGTGAGAATTCAGAAATAAAAACAACGAATATTCGTATAAATAGTCTGCTCGAAAGTGAAAATGAAGGGAAATGTGGTTGATGAATGAATCTGAAGTTAAGAATTAATCTCATTGACATAAACGGCTTAGACAAATTTTTGTAACGCAGCACATTTTCATAATCGTGACGGTTATTGACCTGTGTACTTCACCTATATATTCTCCTCAGAGAGTACTGATCTCTTCTATCTTTCTTCCGTTTCATGTGACTACTTCGATGTAAATCATGTGCAATATAGGAAGAGATTTCATTTGGATTGACATCACGATCAGCTGCTTGGAGAAGACGATCTGATGAATCACCTACAATACTCTTTCTTTACACAATGAACCATTTTTGTCAAGTATCTGTTCAGCACTCAGATGATCTAATCTTCCATGTATTAGTCAGTTGAGGGAAAGTTTGTGTTTCTTCATCGTACTGACAAGAGATACTTGTGCAAGGATTCGATCCCTTCTTCTTCAACTCTTTTACCCATTCAATCAATCTTACCTAATAGATTCACCGCATATTTGATCCAGCAAGTAGCACAGTCCGCTCCTTTGTTCTTGATGATATTCTATGCGAACTTTTCTACCAATTATTTTTTATTTGTAAGAAAGCAAGAACTTTCAAATGTTCGTATGCTCATATTGCGAATGTGATCAAGTGCTCGATGGCGTAAGCATCGACCAAAATAGACCAACTGTAATTTGTTCGAGTGCTATAGTTTTGTAACGGTTTTGAGTAAATGCCACACAACGCTCAAATTGATTGAGCTCATTAAGAAATTCAAATTTGGTTGTTGTTTTTGTCCACTAGATGTCTTTGAAGCAACATCCTATCCCAGGTCGACCAATCCCGCACTCGAATCCTAACGAATTTAAACGGATCATAAGCTGTAATATATAAAAATCTTAGAGCTTCCTTCTGACGCCATACAAGATTCTAGTCTACGTTTTCGATTGCGATGAATCTGCAACGTAGCCGTTAAACAATAGTCAGACTGAAGTTTAGTATTGACTGAAAGATGACTTATTTCATAAAATTCGTTATAACGATCCCGGAGAAATTGTATAACCTTAAAGACTAGAACACACATTTCCGAGAATTGAATTTGATTATAGAATACATTCAACTACTCACGCTATCAAGCTGGAAAACTTTCTATTATAGTCATTACGGAGACAGTATATGAAGTGACTCATATTGTTAGTATGGATATGACAAAACTGAATTTCCTGAGAAGCGCTTTAATGCATCACATGAAAAATGAAACTAAGCAGTCAGATATTGACATAGCAAAGATCTAAGAAGATAGTGCATTGGATAACACCATGTTTGATGATTCTCGCACAGCAAAATTGTTGTCTACAGTGATCTATGTCGATTTTGACGATGTGACAATACGGTTCGAACTTTTGAAGATACTTTTCATTACCAATCCCTTAAGTTTATTAGAAAAAGGGAAACAAACAATAACAAAAAAACAAGAGATGAATACATTTTTTTATTTCTTTGATCGGGCTTTTTGACGAGCATTTTTGCCAGGTCGAGACTGCTTTTGTTTACCCTAAAATACATATTCAAATAGAGTAAGAAATACGGCAAGATTACTCTTACTTTTTTGCCTTTCTGAGCATGAAATGATGGTCGTTGTCCTTTACCAGATTTCTTGTTGAATGTACCAGCTGAACTCTCAGCTGTATTCTTCTTCGAATTCTTCTTTTTGCCACCAAAGCCGAATTTCTTATTTTTATATTCGACTTTACGATTCTTTTTAGAACTAAATCAAGCAACATTTTTGTTCTGAACATCCAGACTAAAATGTTGATCTTACATTCGTTTATTGTCAGTTCCATTTGGTTTTCCAAAACGATTCTTTCGATCGCCAAGAGATTCTTCTAGTTCTTGCATACCACCTTGTTTACCTTAACACACAAAAGACAAAATCGAACTTTATCATTCGATTGAATAGTTCTGCTTACCCTTTCGAACTTTCTTCATTGTTTTCAGTAGTTTTGATTTATCATCTTGTCGCTTTTGTAGAACTTCTTGTTGAACTTTCTTACCATACAATCTCTGTTCACGTAATTTACGTAATTTCTCACGTTTTTCAATATCGGATTTACGATTAACAAGGTATTCTCGAATCTAAGCGGAGAATCGAGTCAGATAAATGTATAGAAATCTATCTTACTTTCTTCATATGCTCATCGGATTTGGCCATTTGAGCATAATAATCTTCAGGTCGTTTGGTAGCTATATTTTCAGCTTTCAAACGAGGAACTGCTTCGAGAACTGTTGCCTGTGCTTGACGGTAACTAGAAAAAAAGAACAAGATGTATTTTTCAAATATGTCTCGCAGCTTACAAAAGCATTTCTCTTTTAAAGTCATTGTCGGCCAATGCATCATCTTCATTGGTTGGCACTTCAATCTCACTGGTAAGTAGTGGTGCACTGGAAACATCAAGTCGCTCAGTCCACGGTAAATCCAGATAAATATCTGCATATTTAGCAAGAAGTGCTTCCTAAAACTAGAAGAATAACAAGTCATCTTCAATAAACGCTGTTTTACTTTGTTGTTAATCAATGGCCGTTTAGGTTTTTGTTCAATATTCAAACCAGGTTGTAGTCGACCTTCTTTGAACGCTTTTTGCAACTAAAATAGCAAGAACATTCGTTTCGAGGTCACGCTATCACTCTTGGACCTATTCGCTCTAATTTTCATCGAAGATAAGGTAAATACTGAAAAGTTATTCTCAGCCTTTTCGTGATATTTATCTTCTTTCTTAAGTAATTTCCTCTCTTGTCATAGCACATCTGTTTTATTCTTGCATGTGCGTATTCGATACATGTAATCCTTATGTAAATCAATCCAAGTTGACCTTATCATTACAATGTCGACTTTGACATATCGATTGACGAGTTTTTCGGCTTCGAACATGACTTACTTCAGCATCGTCTAATTCACTATCCATATCGTCTTCCATGCCATTTTCCAATTCATTATCTGATTCGCTCGACATCGTAATTTGCAAATAGTGAAATCTAAAATGCCGTGAAAACACAAAAAAAAAACGTTAGTCTCACTTCACCGTAGAAAACCTGTCTCAACTGTATGCACACGTATATTTACAGAGTAAAAAAGAGAGAACACAATTGTGAATTTTCATTCTTTTTCGATTTGATCAATAATTTGATCGAGAACACTCTTTATCACTGTATTCAAAAGCCGTGCGACGGCAGTACTATTTGTTGGTTGTTCGGATTTTTTAATTTCGGTGGATTTCTTCACCGGTTGTTGCTTTTGTTTGGCTTTGACAAGGCTAGTATCTTGCTGTTGAAGTTTATCCATTAATGTTTGATAAAGGTTTACTAAACGATCGATATCGTTCTCCGATTCATGCTCGTATAAAATGTTCTTCACAGCAATTGCTGCATTTGTCGTATCTGTTATGTACCAAATAAAACCATTTCGTGCAACGCGAATGCGAAAATTTTTCACAAGACGATTCAAATGATGAATTAATTGTGAGTGTTGTAATTTATCGCGTAATGCTAATGAACAACGAATGATGTTTCCTTGACTAATATGACCAAAATCGGATTTCTTCTTTGTTCGATCGATCGATTGACAGGAGAGTTCCGTTTGTGTCCATGGATCTGTGCGCACAACACGAGCATAAACAACACTCAAACGGTTCATTGTTTGACGAGAAGGTAGTCGACCTTCATCGAAGGATGTGATGGGTAATATAGCCGATTCGGGACTGTTGATATCGACAAGAAATAGATCGGGTGCGCGAACAATGATAATACCAATCACAAGATCCGATTCTTTCGGTTCAAAGATACGCGGAATGGAGAGAAAATTGTCCTGGATTGTTTGTTTTGACGAAATGGATGACGAACCTGCTCGTCTAATGCCATGGTTGTGAATGATAGACAATGATGAACCATCACGCTCACCAGGTAACAGATAGGTCGATGTCGAACTCATAGGAATCAATCTAGAACAGAATAAAAAGTTCGGAAAAAGCTGTTCTTTAGTCGCATTTCGATCGACTCAATTTTATTTCATTTGTCGTAATTTCTCAATTTTCATCGGTAATAACTCAATCATTTCTTTACAAATCGGATATTCTTGTTCGACATATTCACAAGTGTTTGGATGTTTTTCCACGTAATCAACAATAGTTTTATATTGATTCAAACTTTGCTGGAGGTTCTCTGGACGATCATTGACGAATTTCGAATAGAATCTGGCGAGATAAAAGTGTGCTAGTAGAACTGGACGAACATATTCGTCGGCATAAGTGTCCGGCATCTTTTTCGTTTTCTTATCATTCATTGTCGAAAGAAAACGTTCGAATGTTTCTATTCCCAGTTGGGTTAAATGCGTAAGTTTATCTGCAGTTTTCGACGAGTTCATTTCATGCTTTTGTTCGATTTTCAGATCGAGTAAAGCAGAATAACATTCGCCTAATTCAAATAACAATTGTCGCATCAAATATAAATAATGTTCTTCACTAATTTCCTTGCACAGTGATGATAATAAGTCAATTCGACGCTTGTGCATTTTACATTTGCGGTCGATATTCGATTCGAAAAAGATCAATTTGGCAAATAGTTGACTAGTGTCTTGGCATAGTTCCGCATGATCAGTAACGAAACCATCGAGAACATAATACGATTTTGAGGCATTGATTTGGTCCATAGCGAAGAGGAAAACTTGTCGAGCTTGATCATAATCAAGAATGTAGGAACATGTAATGGGCGGTGATGAAAGTGACAGTTGGAATTGAAATTTTGGAACTGAACACGAACGAACGATCTCGTTCGGATTGACATCACGGTCAGCTGCTTGGAGAAGACGATCTGATGAATCACCTACAATACTCTTTCTTTACACAATGAACCATTTTTGTCAAGTATCTGTTCAGCACTCAGATGATCTAATCTTCCATGTATTAGTCAGTTGAGGGAAAGTTTGTGTTTCTTCATCGTACTGACAAGAGATACTTGTGCAAGGATTCGATCCCTTCTTCTTCAACTCTTTTACCCATTCAATCAATCTTACCTAATAGATTCACCGCATATTTGATCCAACAGCGTTTGAAACTGGCCACTCGCTCGGCCAGTTTGTCGTTATCAGCGGTTTGAACATTGCCTAACATTTTATCAGCACACATGAGACAATGTCTTGCCGTGGCATAGTCATGATTTGTCATATAATACTGAGACAGTGTCGCGCAATTAGTTGCCCAGTCGAATGGATCAAAATGTTTACTATGCGCTATATTAAACATCGATAATTGACGTTCAAGCGTCAGACGACAATAGTCAGCCGATAGATTTTTCTGATTTAGTTTACCATAGATTTGTGCCAAGTAAAATAAAGTATGAGTGTAAACTTGCTCGAACTCGTCACGACGATCATTGGGTTGAAGCGACGAATCAATGTGAATAATCTCTCGCAAAAGATATGGCACAGTCGAAGTTGTGTTGTTATACAGATCTTCAGCTCGTTTGGCTATTTCGATAGCATCAGTGTACTGTTCGAAGGATGTCCGAATAAGAATTAATTGATTGAGTAGATTCAAATTGAGAGATGAAAGTAGCGGGTGAGTGGAAGCTGATTCGATGGATGTTAAAACTTGTCGTAGACGAGATTCACCCTCCGCTTTTTCTTCAGTATCACTGTAAATGGTGCCAACATGATAGTCAAGTAGTAGACGGATCAAAAAACGATGTTTCTCGGAAACTAATATATTCGAGAGAGAAGATCAAATTGCGTTCATTGAACTTCTAGATTTACCTGATGTTTCTTTACATTCTTCATCAGGTTTGATAAGGATAAATTTATGTCTGCCATTTTCTTCAATTAAATCTAAGTTGTACAATTCTTTTTCTAAAATATCTGATTGTTCATCGACATTCGCGTCATACAGTTCGTCGAATAGTTTTCTCGCTTCATATTTCGATTTGTACGGTTCTGTTTCAGGATCGTTCAAGCTTTGTACATAACACTTATCGGTAGCAGTTAAATATCGTTCGACGAATGTCATCTGAAATGAAACCAAAATTTCACATTTCTCATTTGCCGATGGTAAATATTGGAACTGTTCTTTTTTTTTTCAAATGTACGTATTCAGATAATAAATGAAGTGAGCTCATTTCGATTTGGAGAAACGATGAACTGTCACTTAAGTGGATACCTTATCAATTGAAATGAATGAGTTATGTTCGAAAGTGATCGGTAAGAAGTAAAATCACGAATCACATAATTTATACACTAGCGCCATCTATAGAAAACAGCTATTCAAATCTGCTTCAGACAATTATTTCATGCTTATTCTTCACACAATTTTCAAATTATTCAAGAAAATTCAACTGCAAAATCTTTCATCAAATCAAATAGTTTCCCAATATCAACCAATCATTCCATCGTGGATATTGATTACCACTTTCAAGCAAAATCTTCCTATCAATCATGTTTACTCGTATACTATTATCACCGCTAAAGACTTCATCAATTCAGATTCGTTTAACATCAACGAAACCTGGTCCAGTATGCCAACTGATCAAAGAAACGATTGAGAAGTCCGATTTAAAACCCTATCATGTGGAGCTGATCAACGAAAGCTACAAACACAATGGTTATAAACCGGGAAAAGAAACTCATTTACAATTAACTGTTATAACACATGCATTTGAAGGGATGCCGATGGTCGAACGACATCGCCGTTTGAATGATCTAGTCAAAAACATCGTTAAAGAACACAAAATTCATGCATTAAGTCTCTACACACCGAACCCAACCTTGTGGTATGATAGTTTCCGTCGTGGTCTTAAATTAGATGAAAAATTTCGTACACCACCATGTATGGGCGGTCGAGTTAAAGAACTGAGTGAACAAACCGATCAACTCATACAACAAAAGACTTCAACTCAAACAAAATCCAACGAAAACGTGTAGAGTTTTATATTGAATAAACTAAGAAAGAGAAGACTACAGCATTATTCTAATCTTTACCTTAAATTTGTACGATTTGTATTGATCTCTTATTCACGAACGGTGTTCAACTTGAAAATCTTGAATGAACGAATGAAAAAATTGTTTCGTTTCTAATGAAGAACAATAATTTTTTGTTTTTAATAATGACAAACAAATAGAATATACGTATAGACAAATAATAATGCACGAAGACGAAAGAAAACAAACGAACACAGTGACAGACAGAGCGAAGGTACATGCAAAGGTCTATTTAGTTTTCTCTAACATTCATTTTCTCCGAAGGATTTATTGTGAAGATGGAGGATGGGTAAGACATGCTTGATATATGATATCAAGGAAATGCTCATCATTTTGAACGAGATGAAGAAGAACATTACGAAAATGTTCTCGAGATATAATTGGATTCAGTTGAGTCGATAGACGGTGTTTAACACGTTCGGCACCAATAGCAACAACTGGTGAAGGTGGAGTAGCTGCAATTGGTTCAAATGCGGATGGTGGCATGAGGTCGAGCAGATTTTGTGGTGTGGTTTGTTTAGGCAATACGGGCCCATCGTCGAGTGAAAGATTTTCTAATCCACTTTGACCGCGAATATTGAGAAGTCGTTTGAGTGATGATGTTGGATCTTCCGAATTATTATTATTACCATTTGTAAGTGGGATAGGTGAAGGAGGAAATTGAATTTGTTCGATTGGTTTGGGTACTTCGACGGGAGCCATCGTAGTTACAGGAGTTGTCGGAGTTAAACGCATTAAATTCGTATTCATTAAATCGATTGGTATTTGAGAGGGGAAGGAATTGATGTGATTCTGCTGCTGCTGCTGTTGTTGTGCAGCGAGAATGGACGAAGCAGTTAATCGAGTGGGTGTTTGATTATGATTAACATGAGACGGCGCAAATTGAGGGGTTGTCGCAATTGTTGAATTTGATATCTAGAATATTCAATTGATAACGCCATATAAAAATATCATCTCCACTATTTTTAATAAACTCACTATAGAGTGTTGCTGCTGCGGAATTTGTTGTCGATAGACATTTGTTGGCGTTTGTTGCATAGCTACAGTCGATGTTATTTGTCCGTTCAATTGCGAATGAGACTGGAGTGAAGCCACAGGTGCAATTACAGGGGCTGATTGTTGTTGTTCTTGAAGGGTTTTCAGAGCTTGAATACATCGAGTGAGAAATCCATGTAACCGAAGACATTCAGCCTCTGTCAAGAAATGTAAGCAAAATACTTCCCGTCGACCATTGCGAGCAACTTCATAGAATAAACGCAACTTGTCGGCATGCTGTGCCATATCCGAGGTAATAGGCTGTATAAGACTTTTATCTCCATTAATGATTGCAAATGCATAAGAAGGAGATATTTTATTGTTGACTACTTGTTGCCGCTCGTATGCACATAGGTTACCTTCGATATTAGGTGAATTTTCCCAGCGCAGATCTGTTGAATTGTAAGAAAAGACTTTCACTTGACCGATACAATCGTATAAGCGAGACGCGTCCGGATCATGTTTACGAATCATAAGACCCATCTCAATGAGAGCTTGTTGAGATGTTCGATTGTGGCTATTATTGGTCATTGCTGCTGACGACGATGTTGTTGACTGAGTATTAGGTGGCAAAACCGGCGTAAACATTGGAGGTACAGCTTTGGGACGGATTATTGACGATTGTTTATCGTCTAACATGAGCAAAAAGAAGAAACAGAGAAGTAAATCAACAATTTTATCTAGTTATTTATATGTAAGAAGAAAATTGAGTATACGATTCTCACAAGTAAAAAAACGAAGAAAGAAAGGGGGAGTGGAAGAAAGAGAGGAAACGAATGAAATAAAATGTAACATAATAAGTTCTTTGTTCCATTCCATTGGTTATTCTCAGATCATTAGATTGAACATATTATCGACCAATGGAACGACATAATGTACTAGATGTCGCTCCTACGTAATGAGAGTCATGCCTCTGCTGATTCAGTCTATGGAATTGGCAGTCGATATTCATATTTGCATGACATATATGATCTTCAATAGCCGTTGGGATAATAAAGCTGATGTGAAAAATTGTTTATTCTGAATTCAAAGAAAAATCGAAGCTCAACGTACAAGAAAATATCAAACAAACAAGAAAATAGAAGGTTATGTCGCACAACAAGGACATGAAGCATTTTCACATTCATATAAGAAAATGATAAGCAAATCAAGGCACATCATTTCAATAATCTATATTATATTTTGACTTCAGGTAAGGCCATTTGTTCCAAACGTTTACTCAAGTTACTCATAAATGGCATCTTATAGTCCTGAAAGTCGACTTCCCAACCTAAGCGGTCACGGGTGACAGCTTTTTCGTGTACAAGCTCCTTCGTCGTTGGCAATTCAGTCCATTTAGTTTTCGGATGAAAAGCAATCGAGTCCGTCTTTTCATATGATTTGGCCAATTCAGCAGCAGCACGTAATAGTGAACCACGTCGTGGTTGATCGACAGGCGGTGGTTGTTCAGGCTATTAAACATATGCTATAATGGAAGACTTTGAATTCAATTGTTTTACTATACCTCTTCGACTCCGCCACCCTTCTTTCCTTTGGCTGGTTTCTTCGCTGGCGGTTTCTTTTTCGAACCACCTTTCTTATTCTTCTCGTTTCCTGTAAGAAGAATGACTTTTTCATTGATCAAATGATAGATACGTGGATCAGCAAATTCAACTGCGACAGTTAATGGTTCAATTCCCGAGCAGGTTTCATGCATGACTTTCGCTCCTTTGCTCATAAGATATTCACAGACTGGAAATGATGAACTTTCAATGGCACGCATCAAAGGCGTAGCTTTGGTTAGGGATTCGGCATTGATCGCTCCACCAGCATCAACAATTGCTTCGACAACATCGAGAACACCACTATGAGCTGCATGATGAAGTGGTGTCCATTTAAAATTATCGAACCGGTTAACTTGCGCTCTAAAAACAGAGTTTTGCTAAACTTAACTCGATTCATTGTCATGCTTGATAACATACCCGCATGTAAGAAGAAATTGAACAGTTTTTATATCGCCATGTGCGCATGCTATAATGGAAAAGGAACGCTCGTATGAAAAAGCAATTAGATACTTAACGCTTCAATAGACACTTACCAACCATTAACGGTGTTTTCATGAACTTATCGGTAATATCAACAGGTACACCTCGTTTAAAGGCATCTAACATTGTCTGTAGATCGCCTCGATACGCTATACATGGACAACAACGATGGGTATAAATAATTTCTATTCATAGATATTTATCTTACCAGCATCGCATAAGTTAATGTAACCTTTGTCAGGCTTGTCTAAATACCATGGCGAATCATCTTCCAACGGATTTCTTGGTAGGTTATCTCTTGAGAATCGTGTATGATCTGTAAGATGCACATGTTGGGGTGCATAGATCATTGGTGGATTGCCATTGGATGTTCTAGGGCCGTCATCTCGAACGACGACTTAAACAAAGAAACAAGCGAAACCTTTCTCGTAACGATTTTAAGAATTCGTTCCGGTTTACTTGGTAGAAGTGGTTTGGATTTCTTTCCTTTCTTTTGTTTCTTCTTCTTCTTCTTCTTACCAGCAAAAGCAGCCATTAAGTAAGGTTTCGTTAAATATTTCTTTCCAGTTAGGAATGCTTTATAATCGAATTCATGACGTTCTTTTTCATGTTTATCACAGATTTCTTTCAAATCCTCCGCTTTGATATACGACAATAGACCTTCGTCTTCGATAATCTTTTGAAAGCTTTCTGTCGATATAACGCCTGTTTTCGGTTCGGCGACATCGAGCTCTTCAAACATTTTCTCCAATCTTTCCTGATTTTCATAAACATAGTCGTAGAGTACCAGCTTCCAATCGCGAAATTCGCCTGGACGTAAAAATAGGGTCATCTCATCATAACCTTTGGTTGCTTTTCGAATGTTTTTCTTTGCATCTTTTGCTTTGTTCTGCTCGGCGATTTTCTTTGGCAGCAGGCCTTCGAGATTTTTCACTTTTGGATTACAGCCTGTAGGAAAAAGAAAATTGAGAGAAGAGAATCTAGTTTTTAGCTCATACCTCGTTGACCCAAAAATCGCAGAGCAGTACCAGCATTGGATGATGCTGCATAATGAATCGGATTGTTGCCGAGTACATCGAGTACATCAAACTTGGCAATAAAACCGGATAAGACTCTGATAGGCTAAGGACACAAAACGATTCATTTTGGATAAGTCATCATTATGAAACAGGTAATTACCTCGAAGTTACCACCTTTAGCTGCTTCGTGTACGGGCGCAGCTTGTGTATTATCGAGAGCGTCTGGATCAGCTTTAGCTCGTAGAAGTTCTCGAACAACGTTTTCACTCCCAGATAAACAAGCATTATGTAAAGCCGTACGATTGGTTGTCTAGCGAATAGGTCGATAGTTGACGAATAGACGGAAGTAATGAGCTTACTTCATCGACAAGTCGAACGTCTGCACCGGCTCGAATAAGATCAATACAAAATTCTTCTTGTTCTTTTGAATTCAAGCAAGCATGAACTAAATTTGGCACACCACTTCGCGATCGATTGTTAACGTCAGCACCCATCTCAAGTAACACTTTCAGACATGCTTTATGACGTTGAGTAGGTTCAGTGAAACAATAATAAACAGCATCTATAGTTTCATTCAATATGAGATTGTATTTTCTCTCGATATTTCGATACACAAACCTCTTCCCTCGAGATCCTGAATTTTCGGATTAGCTTTTGCTTCTCGTAGTAATTGCAAAGCATTGATGTGACCATATTCAGCAGCATGCATCAGCGCTGTTCGACCAGCAAAGTCAATCACATCGGGATGTGCACCGAGTTGTAAAAGATATTTGATCATTTTCTCATTATTCTGTGTTACAGCCGCTCTAAACAGAAAGAATTCGTTGAACTAACATCACATAGGCCAGAGAGTTAAGTACATAAGCGCAGTCATGCCATTTTGAGGGTCATTGTAGTTAATTAAGTGTTCCACGCCTTTCTCACATAGTTTTTTGATTTGGTCAACATCTTCTGTCCGTACAACATAGATAAGCTTTTGTACTTGTAATTGTTCAACGCGATCTCTGGCAATAGGCATTTTATAAAGTAATTTACATAATAGTTCAACGGATAAAAATAAGGCACCAGAATATCAAGCAAAATAAATAAGGTCTAAAATAAGTCAATTCTTAGGAATGAAGAAGAAAAACAGTTGCGTCGTTTGATTTTTTTTCTCTAATTTGTAAATACAAATGGAAGAATGACAAATGAAAGGCAACATTCGAAAGTTTTTTGTCCTTTACGCCATATTCATGTTCGTCGCTATGGTAATGTTTCACTCCAAACTGATGAATCACTAATGCATCAATGTGTTTTTACTACGCATAAAATATGTGGAGGAGAAAAATATCGAATCAGTTTCTCGTTGGCAAAAACTGGAACTTGGTGAATTTTCTAGAAAAATCTCGACCATTGTGAAATATACAAAACAAAAGCTAGTTTTTTCCTTTCAGATTTATCCCTTTCTATCAACACAAGTCATCCCATGGCTTCACAAGTGAGTGTTCTTAGTTTGAAGATTGTACTTAATTGAACATTGGACGTTCGCTAGGTCGAAGAACTCAAAAGCAAAGCAAACGCTGCATTCTCTGCTGGAAAAAATGATGAGGCAATTAGTTTATACAGTCAAGCGATAGGAATTGATGAAAACAACCACGTTCTCTACAGTAATCGATCAGCTGCATATGCGAAAGGATCAAAATACGACGAAGCATTAAAAGACGCTGAAAAATGCATTGCACTTAAACCGGATTTTGCCAAGGTATGCTAATTTAACTCCAAGAGGTTATGTTGAGTAGGAACTGATTAATTTTATGTAGGGCTACTCTCGGAAAGGAGCGGCATTATCGTTTTTGAAGCGTTATGATGATGCCATCAAAACGTATGAAGAAGGTTTGAAAATAGATCCAAGTAATCAACAAATGTTAACTGACCTTGAAAATGCACGAAGAGATGCGGCCGGACCAGCAGCTGGTGGAATGAATTTCTTCTCTGATCCACAATTTTTAGCTCAATTAATGACCAATCCAAAAGCACGAGAACTGATGAACGATCCCGAAACAGCCATGTTGATGAGGATGATGCAACAACAGCCGAATAACACTGCGTAAGCTGTTCCGAAGAATTCTATTGATTGTTTCTATAGCAAATTCATTATTTCAGACTTTTGAGCAATCCGAAACTTATGAAATTACTCGGTTGTGTCCTTGGTTTCGAATTGGGCAATGAAAGCGACCTTAGTTCACAAATGGAAACAGATAGTAAAGCAAGTTCAGCGAAAAAAGAACCGAGCACAACCACATCAAAACCAACAACAAATCCAACCACTTCCACTGCCAAACCAACTGAACAAAGCAAAAATATGACATCAGAACAAAGTTCAGTAAGCAAAGCATAATAACAATAATTCGTTTCTCCAATGAGTGTTTCTCTAGGCTGAAGCAGAAAAAGAAAAGGGAAACGAAGCCTACAAGAAGAAAGATTTCGAAACAGCTCTCGCTCATTACAATAAAGCAATTGAATTGGATCCAATAAATATGACTTATTATACGAATCGAGCCGGTGAGTTTTCCTTTTGCATGTTCTTCATTCGTTGATTCGTATGGCTTTTGTTTAGCTGTGTATTTCGAACAAAAACAATGGGATAACTGTATGAAAGAATGTGAAAAAGCTATCGAAGTTGGTCGTGAAAATAAAGCCGATTACAAACTAATTGCTAAGTAAGTTCATTACTGTTCACTCTCATTGTTACCAATGAAAATTCGTTTGCAGAGCTTATGCTCGTATGGCGAATGTTCGAACACAAGAACAAGATTATACAGGCGCTTTGAAGTATTACAATCATTCACTATCCGAGCACCGAAATCCTGATGTATTGAAGAAGAAACAGGAGATTGAGAAACTACTCAAAGAACAAGAACAACTTGCGTACATTAATCCCGCATTAGCTGAAGAAGAGAAAGCCAAAGGTAATGAATATTTCCAAAAAGCTGATTATCCAACAGCACTCAAACATTACAGGTAGATTTCACTTATGATAAAACGTTTCTAGGGCATTTTTCATAAAATGTTATATCTTTAGCGAAGCTATTAAACGAAATCCATCCGATGCGAAGCTGTACTCTAATCGAGCAGCTTGTTATACCAAATTAATGGAATTCCGATTGGCATTGAAAGATAGTGAGGAAGGTATCAGACTTGATCCTAATTTTCGTAAGTGTCTTTGTCAATCAATACACTCGATTAAGATTCTCTTCGAAATTTATAGTCAAGTGTTACCTTCGTAAGGGTCATGCATTAGCGGCAATGAAAGATCTAGGTCAAGCTATGGCCGCTTTCGGTAAAGCTCTTGAAATCGATCCAAATTGTCAAGTGAGTAGCTTTTATAGCAATCCGAATTATTCAATCTGCCTTGTTTAGGAAGCAATTGAGGGTTATCGACAATGTTCAGTCAAGTCCAGTGATGACCCTGAAGAAGTTCGCAAACGTGCTGCAAACGATCCTGAAATTCAACAGATTCTCAGTGATCCTGGTATGCGATTAATACTCGAACAAATGCAAAATGAACCACAAGCATTACGCGATCATTTACGAAATCCTGCAATTGCACAAAAAATTCAAAAATTAATCGATGCTGGTATTATTGGTATTCGACATGGGTAATTATCCCATTTTGTTTCAATGACGTTTGATCTCGTCCGTCGTCTCTGTGTGAGTGTGCGTGTGTGTGTGTAGCCAAGATATCATTGAAGTTTCCTCTTTTCTTCTCTTTTTTTTCTGTTACAGTTTTCTTATTTCGTGCTTTCTTTTCTTTCATTTTTCTCTTCAATGTTCCTGTTACACCCGTGACTGCTACGTTTTAGCAAAAAAAAGCGGCAGAAATCAGCGTCGATTGTCCAAAAACTATTATACGTTATTTTTCAAGTTAATAAAAAAAGACGTTCAAAGTAATCTATTTTTCTTCCTCACTACGTCCCCCAAGATCGCTGTGATGACACTAATATCGAAACGAGATCATGACATACCAACATCGCCTTGATTGAACCTTTATTAGTTACAAAAAAGTATACAAAAATAATCACGAAAAAGAAGGAACACGTGGCAAAATTTCTATGTTCGTGCCTTTGGTCGAAACTTGTTTGTCTGTGTTCGACACTAATGTTAGATTTTTGCCCACATGTCTGTGGCAAAATGTTGACAGTTCTTGGTAAGGCTATTGTAGTCGCTTGCTGTAGCATGCGGCCAGGTCCGTAAAAAGATATTGTATAGGTCTTCAAGTGTCATCTCTCGACTGGATGACTTCAAACGGCTAATGTTTTCATATCGACCACAACGCGATTCTTTGCCTAAAACATGCACAGTATTGTAAATTTATTCTGATTTGTCATTTCTACATACCTGCTCCTGAAAACTCGAACGTGTAATAATCAACATCGCCACACTGCGAACAACGATATATACATTCGATTGCCAAATGAGCGACAACGTTGAGTGTGGGGGTAGTTGGTGAAAATAATAGTTTAGATGCAAGTACTACAGGTGCAAACGGTATTGCGAGTACGGCAGAAGCTCCTCTCACGACAGGATGAGCCACTGGTACTTCGATTAACCAGAGTTCTGTAAGTTTCTTTCTGCTAAAAGGACATTTGCAACCGGTATGCGGTCGCCAATCACCATGTTCTTCAGCACTGAAGGCCATTTCTTGTACTTTCAGTAATCTGTTGAAGTCTAAATGAAGCAATTCACATTCGATCATTATTCAGCATACGTCTGTAGGCATCCAGTAGTTGCGTGCTAACCTATACGAACTTTCAAGATTCCACTAAAAAGAACTCTCATCTCAGCTGAAGAAATTTTTCAAAAAAACTAATCCATTTCTTTCGTACACTACGCATGTTCACAAAATCTTTCCACACCAAAATAATAACTATCAGTTTTCTATAAAAAGCTATAGAATAGTTGAGAAGTCATCAGATAACAATCGTAGGGCTTTATCACTGAACAAAACACTAATTCTTATATTATACGCTGCTATTCAAACATAATCGATATACTATCGATCTGAGAATCAAGTCGAAAACAGTTATTCATATGAAGGGATATTCTACAAGTCACTCTACGCACAAAAGAACTGATATAGACTCTGCGCAAAGTCGACAATACCATATCGCTGCTGCTATAGTACATATATAAATATATTTGATACATACCTGTCGAAGAATATAAATATATATGCTTGTTGCGCTGCTTGTCTGCTTCGATAAAAGTGTTATTTTGTCGGGGGAAGATGATATATATATATATATATATAGGGGAGATGTTGTCGCATAATTAACTTATACATGGGATATTTCACATTGATTGTATAGATATCTTCAATATTTTTTCCATCCGAACGTCATAACTATGTCAGATGACTCACTCTCTTCATAGAGAACGCATTGGATTAATCCTTTCTGTTTCCTCTCGAAAACAGAAGAACAAGACATGTAAGAAGAATCTATTATCTTCACTCTTTCGAAAATTCCCTTGAAATATTCTTTATCAGTATTTCACCTGTTCTAGTAACAATGTTATAAGTAAGAGTGCAAGCATGGCTTTTTCCTCATTGAATGAAAGCAAACGAATGAGTCGTTTCTCGAGAAAGTGACAGGTAAAAGACAAGTTTCTCATCCGTTGAAATTGTGAAAGCATAATGTTCTTTTATAATACCCCATGTTCTAATTGTTTTGACTGAAGGTATTACTTGACTTATGTACTGTGAGCAGACTAATGCATATTCTCGTAACTGTGATACCGAAATCGGACACAAAATGATGTTTTCTTGCATCTTCGCATATTTCATTCTAAGTCAAATGTCTACATATACTGCTAAAATCATCATAGAGAGACGTTTCGAGACATAAAGATGATAACTGCACAAAAATTTGAGAAATCAGTGGATGCTGGTATCCTTGGTATTCGACATGGTTAATGATTCTATTTGGTCTCAACGAAGTTTGCTGTTTTTTTTTACAATTTTCTTATTTCGCGCTTTCTTTTGTTTCACTTTTTCTCTTCAATGTTGCTGTTACACGCATGACCACTCCGTTTCCGCAAAAGGAGGGACAGATATCAGTGCTAGTAGTCGAAAAATTAGGGTGCATTTTTTTCCAGCTAATAAAAAAGATGTTCAAAGTAATATGATGCTTGTTAGTGACAGGCAGATCTCTGTCTTTCTTCTCCACTACGTCTTCAAAATCAGTTTGAAGATCCTCACCTCGAAATGAGATCATGAAGTGCCAGTTTCGGCTTGATTGCAATCAACTGTGATTGTTTTTAATCTGATCTTTGTTAATTACAAAAAGGAACATGAAAATAATCACAAAAAGGAGGAAAGCAACTAACACGAGTTTCTATGTTCTTTCGTTTAACTTGAACTTCTTTTTTGTGTGTTTGACATTCACGCTCTAAATTTCTGCCCACATCTCCCTGGCAAAATGTTGGCAGTTATGGTTCACAGTATCATAGTCGCTGCCTTTTGCATTTGGCCACGTCGATAAATAGATCTGGTACAGTTCTTCTAGTGTCATCCCTCGATCGCAGGATCTTAAGCATTTCCCGTTTTTATATTCACCACAACGTGCTTCTTTGCCTAAAATATTCATAGTATTGAAGTTCCATTTTGATGCGTCATTTCTACATACCTTCTTTTGAGAACTCGAATGTGTAATAATCAACATCGCCACATTGAGAGCAACGATATATACATTGAATTGCCATATGAAATACGGGATGGGGAGCAAGGGGTGACAATATATTGAGCGCTAATGTAACGATACCATGAGTCACTGGTGTTTCGATCAACCAGAGTTGTGTGAGTTTCTTTTTGCTAAAAGGGCATTTGCAACCAGTGTGGAGTTTCCAACCACCATGTTCTTCAGCACTAGACGACGACGACATTTTCGTGCTTCGAATAATCTTCTAGAATCTAAATGAAGGAATTCACATTCAAGCTGTATTCGGCATAGGTCTTTTTCTTTCTTCTAGAACGTTTACCCTAACAATGTAGTTTTTTCAAACGTCAACTCACTTTTATATTCGTCAAATGTTCGCATGCTAACCTCCGCTAAAAAGGACTCTTATCGCTGCTAAACAAATGAATGGCATTAGACTGTTCCATTTCTTTTGTAGAGAAAATATATTGAATAAATCTTTTTATGTACAAAAACGATGGTGAGACCTTTTCTATAGATCACTATGGGACAGCTTAGAAATTATGAAATGACAATCATTAGGTATTATCTCTGAGTAGATCAGTGAACCTTTAGTATTTGTCTACTGCGCTGTCTTTTTTTATATATAGCGTAATTGAAACATAATCGATATACTATCGATCTGAGAATCAAGTCGAAAACAATTATTCATATGAAGGGATATTCTACAAGTCACTCCACACTAAAGCGTCTATGCACAAAAGAACTGATATAGACTCTGCGCAAAGTCGACAACACCATATCGCTCCTGCTATAGTACATATATAAATATATTTGATACATACCTGTCGAAGAATATAAATATATATGCTTGTTGCGCTGCTTGTCTGCTTCGATAGAAGTGTTATTTTGTCGACTGAAGACGATTTATATATATCGGGAGATGTTGTCGTATAATTAACTTATACATGGGATATTTCACATTGATTGTGTAGATATCTTCAATATTTTTTCCATCCGAACGTCATAACTATGTCAGATGACTCACTCTCTCCATAGAGAACGCATTGGATTAATCCTTTCTGTTTCCTCTCGAAAACAGAAGAACAAGACATGTAAGAAGAATCTATTATCTTCACTCTTTCGAAAATTCCCTTGAAATATTCTTTATTACTATTTCACCTGTTCTAGTAACAATGTTATAAGTAAGAGTGCAAACATGGCTTTTTCCTCATTGAATGAAAGTAAAGAAATCGTGGATTCACGTTTTTCTTATGTAATACTGCATGTCCCAATTGTTTTGACTGAAAATGATCCTTGACTTACATAGTGCGTAGTTCCGGCTATGAAATATTTTCATTAAGGCGTCTATTAGAAAGAACGAAAGCATATTCTCGTAACTGTGATGCCGAAATCGGACATAAAATGATGTTTTCTTGCATCTTCACATATTTTATTTCAATTCAAATGTCTACATAAACTGTTGAAATCATCATAGAGAGATGCTTACAAACATAAAGATAATAATTGCACTAAAAAGAGAACAAAACCAAGCTCAAAACAAAACAAACTTGTTCACAAATAGTTAGACACTAACATAGAACTAAAGTTACAGGAAGAAACAAAAATGTTGGAACACCACCAAGATTAAATAAAGAGAGATTACATAATGGAGAAAAACACTTATTCTCTTCACATTAGAAAAATCCACTAAATGAGAAGGGGCAAAAAACACACAACAATAAATGAGAAGTAGAAATTTTCTTTTGCGAGAATATGGTTTGATAACCCAAGTCGGTTGAATTTAAGCTGAACTAGCAGCATTTCCACTAGATGCAGCTGCGGCTTTCTTTGACGTTGAAGAGGATGTATGAAATTTAGCAGGTGCAGAGACACTCTTGGTGGCAAGTGCTGAAGGTGTTCGTGGTGCGGAAGCAACATTTGAACGAGATGAATCCTGCTATGAACGACGATGATTTTAATAAAGGAATCTATTTGACATCGGAAAGAAATTTACTTTAGATGGAGACGCAGTTGTTGTTTCACCGCTTCCTTTAGTCTTGAATAAGAATTGATTGATATGTGGCAATACACCACCTAAAAAGATATACCTTTATCGCCAGCCGTTCGATACAACCTTCAACTTACCTTGGGGAATTGTCACACCATTGAGAAGCTAAAAATGATTGATATTTACTGTCAAGTTATATCGAGATAAAAAGAAATGCGAACCTTTTTGAGTTCCTCATCGATGCTGACAGCCAAGAAGATATGTCGAGCGTTGATACGTTGTTTTTTATGATCCTTCGCTGCGTTACCTGACAGTTCCAAAACTTCAGCAGTTAAATATTCAATCTAAGTTCAAGGACACATGCGAAGTCGTACGCGACGATTTCTTTTATCACATACCACAGCAGCTGTATAAACAGCGGCAGCCATAGTTACACGGCTTTTGGGTGTGCTCTTTTTAATATAACGATGGAAACGAGGTACCGAAAAAAGAACACCTAGAGAAACGTTTGTATTCGAACTGATATATGAAGATGTACGAAGCGGAAAACCGACCTGCACGGGCTGATTTGGATTTTCGATCACCACCTTTACGGCCACCTCGTGGAGCTGTTGTTGATCCAGCCATTTTCTATTGGTTTTCTAGTAGAAATTAGTTTTTCGATAGAATCTGGAATAGAAATTGTTATTGAACAGTATTCAATGTGTTCTCTTGATGTTTATCTACGCGTATATATATTTATATCTATCGAGGAGACATAACCATCAGATACGAGCCTTTAAAAAGAGGGTGTTCATTTATATTTACATTACTTGCGTTCTATACTCATCACATAGACAAACAAGCATATCAAGTCTCGTAATAGAGTATTGAAGAGAAAAGAGAAGAGTAGAATGTTGAAAAAGAGAACAAACTTGTGCTCGAGAGATGTATTGAAATAGGTAAGGAAAGAAAAAAAGAACTATGTCAGTTGAATTTGATAGTCGATTCGACCTTTTTAACTATTTTTAATAAACTGAACTTATGCCTCTATAATGAAATGTGGTTTCTATCGGCCAAGTTGGTTCTAGCGCCACTAGCGCTGTTAGTTCTGACGTTAATCAGGCGTTTCTGCAATTTATATTTCATAATCTAAATAACCATCATTAGAAAAATCTGTAAGATCTTTGTTTTTGGATTCGAAAATAATACCTGACCTGCTGTATCCAATTGACGCGGGAAATACCTTTCTAGATTGATTAACTTCCTCCCGTAAATATTTGCTACTGAACTGTGTCAAAGAATATTTGTATTGTCAAAGTGACCACATATAAACGACATCTGTGGGTAATGAACAAAATAGTAATATGTAATCGTTGAACAGATCGAAACGAACAGTAACAATTCTCGATCAGCTCTGTTGTTCTTCAATCCAATATAGGTTTTATCACTACTGATAGATATGATTTCGACATTCCCTCGGTGATCAATAAACAAATAGTTCTGCAATTAGGTAGTTTGATAAACCTTTAAAGAAAAGTACTATAAAAGACGATGATTTAATTCACACAATAGGTTAATCCGCCGTATAACATATCGTAGAATAATGATCTGTTGTTTTCTATACCATCGGGAGAATACACATGCGACAATAAGCTTTCTCATAATTCTTCAACTTCCGTTCTTTAGATGGCATCAATACATTACGATAGTCTAGCTTGTGAACATGTCTACAAACGATCCATAGTTAACATTGATTTCGTAGAATGCTTCATTTGTCACGAGATCCTGTAGAAACCTATTGTATGTCGAGCATCACTCAATGGTTTGTTAACATGTCCAAATCAATGTACTTCGTTCGTCGAACGAAATATCCTCCAATTGTCGCAAAAATACTTGGGCATCTGCAAATGTATTGTTTTTATCGATCAAATAGCTGTGAAGAAGTGAGAACATATGCTTGAAGTTTTTGGCAACGTTGAACATTGTCTTCCTGATTTGATTCTAGATTCTTCCATACGATGCACTGGATAAGCACGAAACTGAATGTTCGGGTTGCTAAATAGATGTATTAAAGAACGACTTGATCGATCATGAGAATGCTTGTGCATCAATTGCATTAACCTGCGAAGACCGTAAACTTGTACAATTTGTGTGAAGAGGCAACTCCAAGCCTTTCGAGAAGAAACTGAGAACAATAAACTTAAAGTGCAAGAACTAACTCGTCAACTAAATGAGATTCGTTTTATGAGTAAGTTGATTATGTAACTTGATCATGTAAAAAATTCGGAATGTGTGCAAAGGTAAAACCTCGGATAAGTAGATATGCTACAAGTTTTACAGCTAACAGTAGCTTCCATATGACTCTCTTCAATGGGAAAAGTGCAATCAGCGTAGCTCGCCCCGGCCAAACCTTCACTCTCATATCTCTTTCAATAGGTGCTACTTGGATGAATAACCTACAAGTAACAATCAAACGCTGTCGACAAGCACAAGAGATTTATTATCACAAATTGCTTCTTCTTTTCGTTGTTATACAAGACAAAGTCAACTTCTTCTCTGCAGGTGAAGTACTAAGTCTCAAAAACGAATACTAGTACTACGAGTAGATGTATCATCATAAATGAAATAATCCTTCGCAATTGAACTATGTAAATAATTTTTACAAAGTTGTTGTATATTAATTCTCGTTTTTATTTATTTTCTAAGAATAAAATTAGTAATTTTATCGCAGCACGATCTTTACATCAATGGTCCTCTTGCTACAGATAAATACAATTATAGTAAAGTACGAAGAATAACATGCAGGTATCGATATCACATAACGCATAGTCTCTTCTCGATATGACAAACATTCAAAATCGCCTTTTTGGCATGTATACCTTAGAAATATGTGTTTCCCTACAATCAGTCATTGTACACATCACATATTGTAATGATTTTCTTTGTTTTTCTGTAAACATGACACGCTTGACTAATTCTTTTTCTTACGTGCATTGTTACTATCCGCAATTCATTTTCTTCAACAACCTCTTTTTCGATATGGTTATTGGCCGTTGTTTTCATGATTTATTACTGATAAAGTAAGTTCATATGTAGATTGCTGTACTGACGTTAATTCGATAAATGCATGTTGAGTGCAAAAGACGAGCATATACTTAATCATGTAGATAAACGAAATCTACTCGTAGCGTTGGGTTGACGAATTCGTATATTCACATCACGGTACATCGCGTAATATTGAAAAACATTTGTTTATCATTGAATCAAGGTAGAATTCAATGTTGTTATCAATTATTATAACTACACCGTGTATCTTTCCAAGGCTCTCTCGAGATGTTTACATTCGATTAGAAAGGAGAAATTATATATGAGAAATGTCGTTTTTCTAATTGATCTCTTCTTCGTTTTCTCTGTCTAGATGACATCTACGCAACAGAAAGGTATTTCAACTGAGCGCGTTTGCAATCCAACCGCTGTGAATTTTATCGATCTTGAATGCGCAATTTGTCATGATATTCTCTGGAAACCCGTCGCTTGTCAATCATGTGAAACGCCTTTTTGTTCACCGTGTATTCAACAATGGTTGAAAGGTACTTCGAAGTGTCCGAATGGCTGTAAAACCTATTCGGAGCGCAAGTGTCCTCCATTTATCGCCAGATTACTTGCTCGTTTGCAAATTTCTTGTTTTTATAAATCAAAGGGCTGCACCCAAGTAATTTCATGCTAGATTCAGTGTCTGACCGGTAATCATTTCTTCTTTTGTTTCCAGATTTGCTACTACGAAGCCTTGGACAAACACGAGCTCGTATGCAGTCATCAATCAATGCAGTGTGCCGGGTGTGAACTAAGCATTCTGAAAAAAGATCTAGTTACTCACAAGCGAACTTGTGCCGCTGTCCGAGTGTCATGTAAAGATTGTAAAGCGACTTATAAACGGGGTGATTTCGCGAAAAAACATAATAACAGTACATGTTTGAAACAACAGATGCGACAGCTTCGAGATCAAACTACGGAAAATAAGCTCACTATTCAAATGTTGACGAACCAACTTCATGATTTATTAACATGGAGAGGTACACTTCAAGATCACATCAAAACTTTCCACTGCTTGATTATTTACAGGTCGCCTAAGCCAAGAGAAGCCAATCATATTCGATGACTTGACAGAGGACGCGCAAGAGACACATTGGATGCCTGCTCACTACAAATCACTGAAATGGTCGAAGTTAGTCTACATGTCACGACCGTATGCGGCTGCAACATATCCAACAAGTGGCTATATGGCAGCGTTTATAGCTTCAGGCAATCAAAATCTAGCATTTTTCAATGAGGAAGCAACGATTAGCGGTGAGACAGCTACTCCATCATTCGACCTTGATTCGCTGTCAGTGTGTGCTGCGTGGAACGAGAATTTGAAATTAATCTTAACAGGCTACCGCAAATCTGTCGAAGTAAGCACTTTCACAACTTTACTTCAATTCGGTAAACCACAAAACATCTCTCTCAAATGGCAAAATATCGATAAACTTGTTCTACAACCAGTTGGCGAAAGTGCACTTATAGAAAATCAAGAAACACCAAGTGATACACATTGTATTATAACTCAATTGAAAGTACATGAGGCATCATCTCATTAGGAGGCCTTCTTCCTTTTTTCCTTTTATTCTAATCGTATCTTAGACTAACCGAAAGAGATATATTTGTTCACGAATTAATTTATATATATATATATATATTCAATTAAACGAATAGACAATCGTGTCCGATCAAAATATACGCATACATATGCAAAATCAATCTTATTCACCTCATATGTAGAAAATCATATAAAAAACAATGAATATTTTATCATAAAAATCAAAATTGAATTACTGAAATAGATTACGCAGCGTTGTCCGTAGTAGATGATATACCGTCGATCGTTTGTGCTATATACTTTCGTAGCGATTCGAGAAGTTCGAGTTGAATGCTCGCCAACGTAGCATTGATTATGTATTGCGGAATCCAACCCTTTAAATTCACGTTAAGTATCCATGTAAATTTACATGTTGCTTCATCGATCTCTTCAATGATGTACGCCGTTGGTCCGTTTTCCGCGCTTCGAAAAGATAGAGCTCAGCTAAAACGAATGAACAACGAAGTGTACCTACCGAACATGATTGTCTTTCGGTGGCATCTCGGAATGCATACAAGCCTGTGCAGCTAAGATAACCGTATCATCAATAAATCGACGAATGGTTAAATTCACAAAGTCACGTTTAGCAATGAAACCTTGCGCTTGTTCACTGGTCAACTGATAACTAAACTCATATCGAAAGATTATGAAAACGAACGAAACTCGCTGCGATCTACGAACGTTATATATAAATTATCATGAAGAACTTGCAATATCTACAAAGTAAATAGTGTATGTTTTGTTTTCGAAACCTTGAGATAGTAGTCAGTTGACATACTCGGCAATCAATAACAGAAGGACTCCATTTGGGGAAATCTTCTTGTTGTTCATATAACATTTTCATAAGCAAAGAACGAGGTCCTGGAACTGTACCCTAAGTCAATCAGAAAAACAAATGACTTTCGCACTCAATAGCATGTCTTACTGTTAATCGAAAGACTTTGCCCCATTTTGGAAAACTCTTTGATACAACCACATCACAACCATCTTTACTTTTCGATTCGTCACTCCAACCTGTTTCGTCTTTGAAAATTTTCCAAATTTCATCGATAATTTCATCGGCTTGTTTGTTATAATCTTCTTTCTGAGTATCATTTTCATCATTACTATCATCAGTCGACGAACATGATGACGGTGTTTCGTTTGTTTCGCGATCGGTCTTTTGTTCTTGTGTCTTTTCAGTTTCACTACCTAAAACATGAATAATTCATAGCTTTATTTATTCTTAGTTTCGAATTAATTAAACAAATACTTAGATCAATCCCTGGAAGAGCGAAAGTCGTCTCTGTCGATGTCATTCACTGATTTTTACGCGTCACAGAACAGATGATTCGAAAAAAATATTTTGATGTTTTCTTTTACAAGACGATATCGCGAAATACATCTGTTATAATGGTAATTACCATGCGGAGAGAAGCGTCGTGTTCTCTTTTTTTCTCGCTCTTTTTCTTCGAGTCTAAAAAAATGGGCTGAGTATGGCGTGAGCCATTCTTCAGCATATCAGCAAAAGAATATATAATAGCATAGAACGATGAATGCCGTTCATTCCAAGCTATTATCGTTCGATGATTTGATGATGAGTACATCGAAACAATTCTTTATGAAGTTTTCAATAACCGTCGTTCTCCTTGATTTACTAGAGAGTAGTAATGAATATTAGTATAGAACGAAGAATAATTTAATGCATGACTAGTTTTACATACTTCTATCAAACAACACCTATGCGGAGCTACACAATAACTGAAGAGCAGACCATATACCAATTCGATCTAGTCAATGCAACGAAACAGATTTCAATATATACAACAGTCAGAATGGCGCGATCTGGTTTACTAACCTATTTTTGAACGAAAACTAGAACAATCGATTATTTCAACGTTGGAAATTCGAGATGAACAAAGATTAAATCGAACGTAATCATCAAATAGAAACGTTCCATCCACTAGACGTTTTCTCGTCGTATCCAGTACAGGGGTATAATGCGATATCAAACGTAAAAGTTATACAATCATTTGTCGAACAGATAACAATATGTTACATGGAAGAACAGGACCCAGTGTGCTGTATAATTAACTAAAGTAAATTTATTTTCATCGTGTCGTACATGTGTGAAACATCATTTGTCGATCAAGATGTTTATTTATAGAAAAATAATTACTGAGTAAAATATAGTGTAAGAATTAGAATATGATTGGAACCTGATGACCTATTCACTACAAACAAGACTACGAAGGATAAACATGTTTAAATAAAGATTAGTAAGGCAGACGGGAATGTTTTTCTTATTTGTGAGTTCGAGGAACAAATTACAGGAGAAATTTGTTGAATATTGTTATGCGTTGTTCATCACATTCACCGACTGATGATTAGTAGAAAAAAAAAACAGAAAAAGTAGAAGATACATCAAGTTGAGCTCTCAATCACAAAGCAAACGATAAAATGAAGTGGATGAGCCGAACAAGAAAGAAAATCAATTGTTTTTTTTTATTTATGAAAGAACTTCTGTGTCAATTGAATGTATAAAGTAATAACAGATCGATTTTGTTATCTAATCCGCTTTCTTATTGCCGCTGTTGGCATTACCATCAACGGCAGATTCCTCCGAAAGATAAACGCTTGGTTTTTCACCTGCTTTGAGTAGACGACCGACAATGTCGTATTTCTCTGCGAATGAAAAGCTAAATGAATGATACGTCGACATTCAACGGAAGTGTCTACCTCGAAAATCTTCATGCCAGTTTCGAGCGGTAGACCGTTCATTATCGGTTAGATCAGCAAGATCATCATATTCATCGGAGAACAATGATTGAGTTAATTGCATCTTTGATAATGCACGAGTCGCATCACGTCCAGCAAATAACGAATACGATCCGCCTTTGTCAAGAAAAAAGAAGAGCTGATTGTATATCGAGAGAAAAACAAGCTTGATTTACCTGGTCCGTACAGATCGCTACGGCGACTGACATCAAAAATATCTCCGTAAATAGCTGTTAGAATGCGTCCGTTGGAATCTACGCCATTGTATCCACGTAATTGTTCAACTGTTAAATCTTGTTTAGGCATTTTAGGTAGCTGTGGTGGCATTTTCACTGAACTTGGGTAATCATTTGGTTTACGTCTTAATCGTAATAATTTCACGAGTAAAAAGACGATCAATATCACGAGAATCAAATTGATTGGACTAGTGACGATGTCATAGATAAGACGTTGAAATAATCCAATAATTTTCCCTATGAAACTGCCGTTCGACTCGCTGTCCATGGTTTTGATTGATGGAAGTTAATGAAAGAAATAGGCTAAATAACAAATGTGTGTGCACAGTTCAAAAGTAAGATGAAAATATCCAGATACGTCTTTTTAATATTCAACCAATCAAATGAATGCACGTTTAGATTGGTCAAAATAAATGCCACTCGGTATTCTTCAGATTAGAACCAAAATAGAAAAGCAAAGCTGCATCTTTTAATAAAAACAGACGCATTTTTAATCAGCTTAAAGTCTCTTGTTTTTCCTCTATGCAACGAAGAATGCGTAGTAACTCAGATGATTTGTATAGTATATTAGTTTTCGTTGATAACGTGTACATATTTATTTTCTAAGTGAAACAAAAAGAAAAATCAAAAACGATTGTAAACATCTTTGAATAACGATGGGTTTAAGATATGTGGACCAACATTCAGAGGTACTTGTTCTTCTTCAGCATCGGGTTCGACGTCTTGTTCATCAAATTCATGTTCTGGATCAGGCACTTGAAGATCTGTGTTGATAATATGTTGCTTAGCGACTAAGCTTAAACATTCGAATGTTCGTGGTTCATAAATAGCAAGATCAGCAAGAATAGCTGGTGACAGCTGAATATTCTGTCGAGCTAGACTTGCTCGTAGGGTATGTTGACGTAAACCATGTTCGCGTGCTGCAGCATCAACTCGTGTATCGTGTAGATCGGCTTCGAAGATGGGTTTAAACAGACGATTACGTGTTGCCAGACGCCAACGGTTTCTGAGATAAGGATATGCTACTTTGAAACAGCGTCGTCGACGACCGTCGCTTTGAAATGTAAATCGAAACGTTTCTAAACGCCACCATTTGTTGTCTGTTCGTTTGCCTGGAATTGTATCTTTCAATAACCATTGTGGTGTCGGTAGTTTTCGAAGTAGAGATGTAAGAAATACCATACTAGGTTTGAAATCAGGATCTGAAAATAAATGAATGTATTGAGTGGAAGTAGACGAACATAGAGTATGTATTGGTTGCATGATGCTATCTAGCCTATCGATACGATTCAGAGAGTCGAAAGATGACGCACGGTGCTGGCTTGTTTAGCGATATGAATTCACAAATGAGCTTCGCTGGATTTATTGTACAAAAGTAACATGCTAGTTTAACTTAAAAGCTGCGAATACACATCTGATTACTTTCATTCTGGACAAAAAGAACTGACTATTCAATTTTGAGAAAATACATAAAATGATAGTTAAACATTCATAGGAAATGTATCTGGTACATGATCTTTTTCCGCTTGAGACCATGCTGAGTGAATTTCTAGTGGACGTAGTGCACGGGTAACTCCAACATGAATAACACAATCAAATTGAGTCGATAGATTAGCTTCGAAGTAGTGAGATTGTCTCTCGGTACGTGGACGATAAATAACACCGATCGCTCGTTCGAGGCGTTTTCAATGTAATTCTGTGTGTAAGTCTTTCGAGATTTGTACAGATGGATTATTCGAACGAAATAGAAGAAGGTATTGGCCGTCATTCATCAATGTCGAATCTCTTGTTAGAGCGTCATGTAATAAATATTCCACACTTTCAGGTAGCGATGGACGGACGTGTTTAAAATCTGGATCCATATCCCAACTATCAGCTGCTGTTACCGTCCCTGTATATGTTGTAAATCCGATATTGAATGTTTTACCTAAACCAAACCGTTCACGCACTAATTGACCAATGTTCACTTCTCGTGCGCGTCGAGAATCAGTTTCACGTGCATCGCCCACATGAGAGTTATGGGCCTGAAGTAGAATAGTCGTTCTCCAATGTTAAAAGGTCGAAACTCACTTACCCAAACCACAGCTTTCGCTTCTGGTCCACAGTATTTCAGTAGATCTTGCAAGCAATCAACCATATGCGTATCGCGAATATTCCAAGTAATTTCTCCACCTTCAAACATATGTCGATAGTATTTCTCAGCTTCGCGAACAATCTTTGCATTCTCTGTCGCATAAAAACTTTCTTCAATTTCCGTTTCACTACTTCTATTATCAGCCACTATTTTCGCGTGACGTTCTAGCATTTTCTTTAAAATCTCAATTGCTTCTTTCTCACATCCACAAGAAAGCTTCGTTGCAGCACAATAACCATACTCTTGTTCATCAGAATATCTTTCGAAGCAACCATAACTTTTACGCGCCTGTTTCGCCATCTCTATCAAAGTCGCATAGATAATCAATAAGAGTCATTCGAGAGAAAAATTTAACAGACCTGGGTCGACTTTCTCTAAATATTTCAGAACTTCTTCACGCGAGGATTGTAAACTATACAGATCGATGCCAAAGAAGCCAACTTTGCTCTTGTTTTCTCTTTTGCTTTCATTGTGAGTTCGAAGCCAGTTAATGAAATCGAGTACGACAGTGTTTCGCCTAAATTCATATTTTACAAAAGCTCTCGATCAGTGACTGAACGAAGAATGAGAGAGAAATACAAACCACATCCATACGGGAAATCTTGTAAAATCCTTCAAAGCATCATTCGCATCTTGTAGTTTCGACGAAGATGACATTTCCTTCACCCAACGATTCACTCGATATGCCGGTGGCCAATCAGCTTCGCATGCGATTATTGTAAAACCCTATTCAATAGATCAGTAAAATCACTCATATTCAAATGTAGTGTCCTACTTTCTCCTGTATCAGTCGTTTTGTAATTTCCGCGCGATGCACATAGAACTCATGCGTTCCTAAACACATGTATGGCGACACTTTTTTCTCACTGGAAATTCCGCTGAAAAATTACCATGTGAAGCTTCGCCGATCATCACGACTCGCGCATCACCAATTGCCGCGAGAATCGGATCATAATCTGCAGGTGTATTCGCACGTAAACGGTGTGCACATTGTTGAATTAATTGCAGAGCTTTTGAATTTGTCTTTGATACTGCCGTCATCGTTGACTTGAAAAAGAATGAAGATGTCCGAGACAATCAAAAATTAGTAACTTATTCTACCCTTGATGAACTGTCGCTACTTTCGTCGATGTAAATTTCATCGTTGAATGTAGCGCTGCGATATAATTGGATCTACCAGCTGTTCCTTTTTTACGACGAACGAACAAACGTTCTCGTCCGGATATTGTTTATTTATACGTATTTGTTTTTTTCTTATCGTGTCATTACATCAGATGAAAGGCTTGATTGCTTTTTTGCGCTTTCTCCAACCTTGAGTATTTTCTTTTACAATTTTGATTTTATTTCTCGAAAACCGTTTTCTATAATTAAATTACCGTACGCGCAGTCAATGTTTACTTCTCTCGCAAACAGGTCATTCGATTAACTAAACAAATGAGGAGAAAAGAGAACATCGATAGACAGCAATAATCATCATAAACATCTGGTTGTCGTCCGAGTCCAAAATTGATCCCCTGCTGTTCTCGTCTACTAATGAGAGACAATCATCATCATCATCATTATATGATGAAGGTCAATAAAACTCAAACCCCACCGTGTGAAATAATCGTTCAATTGAAGTTTGACTCGTTTAGTGTACGTGAAGCGTGTCCAAGAGTGTTACGCGTATTAGTTATTCGTTTATTTAATACATATACATAACGCGTATGTGAACAAAATGGTCATTATCTTAGCTCGACAGATGGAGGCAATCATGTCGTAATGTAATAATTGTTCTACAGTACATAACATGTGATTAACTCTAATAATCTGTGAACCTGTTGGACAGCAAAAGAGAAAAGATCAATTTCATTCTTTTGTTTGAGTATGAAATTTGTTCGAATGCTCTCTTTGTCTCTCCCTTCTGCTCTCTCTCTCTCTCTAACTGCTTTGCTCTCGATATTTTAGATGCGACGACGTCGACGAACTTCATTACGACTTCTCTTCACCTTCGCATTCACTTAGCCACCGACATTCAATTGTTCACTTGCCTTGTATTCCGGTGGTGTGTGCGTGTGTGTGTTTGTTATTTATTCTTTCTCTTTTTTGCAACCTCCACTTTATGTCCCATGCGACGACGCCAACCAAAGGCCCGTCAACTGTCGATTGTGAAGTCTTGACGGGTAAGTTGATTTCATTATAACTAACTTCTCTCTTGAAATCCAGTTAGTTTAATCGAAGTTACATGCAGATATGACACAAGTCATATACTCCTAATCTTACTCTCAGAAGGACACCAAAAGTCTTTGTTCTTCTTCGTCCCGCTATTTTATGTCATTTTGCGTAATCACATAATGCACGTTGTGTCAATATCGATTACATATAACAGAAGACAAGGTTGTTACGCCTTTTCTTAACTGTTCATTTGCAGTGCTTAGAGATCATTCATAAATGATATATACCTTAACGGTTGATTAGAGATTGTCAGGCTATGATTTGATCAGTGAATGTCTAATGAGTAACATTCTGAATCAACGTTTTCGTTTTGATTAACACGCGTGTATGAATCGAGTAAATACAGTTTCATTTCAAGGTTAGAAGTGATACAAATTTTTAATTACGATTGAAAAAGATTAAGTTTACAATTTGTGCAGAGATCATCGATGTGTGAAGTTGAACACTTCAAAGGAAAACAAATACAACGTGCAAATGAGTCGATTATTCGACTCGCTATGAAAAGAATGAATCAGTTGTCAGATGTTTGTGAATTCACATAAGATAATATGTGAATTGTGTTTTGCTCGTCTCGGAATTTCTTTTCTCTCAGAAGAATTACGATCATCTTGAAAATTTATCAATGGAGAGTTATACTGATGTCAATGAGATACTTGACTTCTCTTTTATGTCCATTGACTTGATGAATATTCATGTGTCTGATTTTTGATCATTGAACTTTTTTGATATATTTAGACATTCATACACAATCAAATTTGGCCGAAGTTGAAATAGTCAGCTTAGTACAAGAATTAATCCCACGCTATCGTCTACGTGCTGAAACCGATTTTGCTTGTTCAAACGAAGATTTCATTCAGACTCCACGTATCGACGGATCAGAATTCGAAGCTTTAACCAATACTCAAATTGGTGCTCTTCTCGATTATTACGGTAAATAATTTCGTTTGTTTTTCTGCTTGAATGATATATATCCCACGGACGATAACTGTTTGCTATTTCCGATAATATAAACAAACATTAACTGACTCATCATTTACTTTCCAAGCATGACGTCAGAAGTGATGAATATTTCGTTTTGTGATTCGAAGTGGTAGATGCGAAATGAATTGAATCTACTATGTTGAGACAGTTTTCATTGATTTTGAGTACATTGAAAGTTTCTTTTTTTTATCAGATTGGTAATAATTAGTTTTGCATGGTCGTCGTCGATGATAGGATCTGATACATACAATATCATTTCCTAGTGAGTAGTGTCTCGTGAGTTAATTAATTTGTTAGACGAACTAGACATTCAATTGATCTTCTCTGTGAGAGAAAAAAAACTTCTATTTACATTAGCGAGGAATGGTATCTCATCTCGAGAGTATCAGATTTCATCTTAGGACAAATAAGAATTCCAGATGCAAAGATCGATTTCATTGTTGATGTTTGAAAATAACTTTGATAAATCTCGATGAAAAATATGCATTAGTTTCTTTTTCGTTTAATTTCAGCCTCATCTAGCAATCGAATCAGTCAAATGACCAAAACATACCATGATATAAGTGCTGTTACTCGCATGTTAGAAGAACGCGAGAATGATTTGCAAATGGCCGTTACGTTAGGCCATACACTACTCGAGAGTAATGATTCACTTCGTAATCAAGTGGCCTTATTAGAACAAGATATTGTTCAGACGACGGAAATTGTTAAACAACTCAAACATGATTTGGTTCTCAAAGAACGTGTTATTCGATTTTACACTGATATGGAAGAAAGTGAGCTGGAAGCCGCTGAAACAAAGTAAGTTCAAAAGAAGTGAATGGAAGTTGCTTTGTATTCAAGTACGTTTTCGTCTTTAGTCACTTGGATGTTCGACAGTATGAACAAAAAATCCGACATCTCGAAGAAGAAAATGAAGATCTCCGTACTGAAGTATGTCGAACTAAATACTGTTTAAGAGTCATGGAACGAATTGTTTTTAGACTTTACAGTTAAAAGTCGACGCGGAAAATTACGAGCATCAAGAACAAGCAATTGTTGACAATTTTGTTAATACGCTAGGTAAATGAAGGTTGACGAAGGAATTTTATATTGATTTCGTTTATTAGCCAATGCAAATGCGGAAATAGACAATCTACAACAAGAACTGATTAAGAAAACCAGCGAAAATGCTCAACAGCAGGACGAAATTGTTCGTCTATCTTACGAAGTAAGAGTTCACTTGCAATTTAGATGAATAATCGAATTGTTTGGTATTAGATGCGAGAAATTCGTCGAAGATTAGCTGAATTGAAGAAAGAAAACGAAGAATTGAGAAATCTTCTTGCCATTAGTGGCAAAAATCGCCATGATTACGAAACTAAAGTAAGCCGATTTGAAATCGATGAACTGCAAAGTGAAATTCTTTCTTGTAGATCGAAGAATTGGAAAGAAATTACAGTGAATGTTTAGAAAAACTTCATCAATCTCAATCCGAAGTGAATTCTCTACAGCAGAGATTATTGGAAACATCTCCGTCATCATCAATGACTGATTTATCCTCGAATCGTCATACAGTTTTCTTATCACCTGTCGAATATGCGAATTTTATGGGAACTGAACATTCTCTCAAATCAGAACTTGAAGAAGTTCTCGAAGATCCAAGTCAACTATGTACAACAACGGTGACGAATGATGAACCAATGACTTCAATCAAAAAGTTCTATCGAACAAGATCAAAACGCGATCAAAGCGATACTGATGGTGAATCAACAATGAATGATTCAGCATTCAGCGATACCGAAAGTTTAAGCAGGTTTGTGAATGTGCACGCTTGTAGAAATTTTTTGTTTTCAATGTGAAAGAACGATTTGTCTTGAAACGCTTCTACTCTTTCCTGCTTGCTTAGTGCTTCGTCTTGTCCTTATTGCCATCGATGTTCACCTATATCATCCTCTTTCGATCCTAAGTATGCATAGTAGACATGTGTCGATCTTGAAATAAATATTTGCTGTCAATCACTAGATCGTCGTCTACATACCAGTTCGAACGTCGAATGCCAACAGGAATCTCTTCGCGATTGAAACTTGTCAAACGATTGGAAGGTTGGTTTTATACAGAAAATTTCTTTAGTAGAAAATTGCGTTTGTTCCTAGGATCAAATATGTTAAAACGTTGGCAAGAATTAGCTGAACCTAGTCTTTCATCGTGTCTTCAAACAATACCCGGTGTTTACACACGTGCCGAAATTTTACATGAAGTAAAAGAAGAAGATGATGATGATGAACAATATTCATCAACGCCACACAATGAACTAGATTTCCTATCAAATATTCCTACCCCTGTTCCCTCCACACAGTAAGTGTTCATTTTAATTAACGTTTCTGAACACACCAACACGGAATGTCCACATTTCAGATCAACGACATCTGCGTCAAAATCTCGAATGAATCTTGTTGAATTACTGACCCAACAAGGTTTAACCGCTCGAACACTGGAATCAGCTGCACCAGATCCAGATGACAGTAACGATCTGGCGACTCCACCATCGTCACCGATACATGGTGCGCAACTTCAAACGAATGCTCTTCTTCATCAAGTTATGCAACGTCTTGTTAGCATGTCCTTACGTACGTTCGAAACCATTGCTTCATCTGTCACTGAATCGCTACCAGATGAACAAGATAAACTCGAAGAGCGATCTAAGAAAACAACGACCGTTACTCCTCCATCATCGCCAAAATTCGAAGGTCTCACTGCGCCTACTCCGAACACAGCTATGCGTGCAATCAAATCCAGTACATTCTTACGTGTTTCCTCATTGAATCCGTTAACAAAGGCATTTGCCACACGTTCACCTGGCGAAGTGCCATCCATGGTCTCCGACTTTCTTCGCGGCTATCGTCCATAACTAGATATTTAATGAGAAACAAAGATATTTCTTTCTCATCTAGATTAATTTTGAGCTTCTTTTGTATTTGTGTGTATGTATATCTATATTTTTCATGAAGCTATGTATTTATTCGACTTCTGATCTGATTTTTTTCTCTTCCTTGATAGCTAGAGCATACCTGTGTATTTGTACTCGTGGGTTTTCTTAACCTTTCTTTCATTCAAAGTCACGGTTTTCCTTTTTCTTCTATTCTTTCGATTTCGAAGTTTTTTTTTACAGAAAAAAACAATTTCGTCTGTGTACGCTTTTTGTGTTGTGTGCCGTTACTTTTCTTTTCTTTTGATAAATAGAGATACAAAGCGGAGGAGACAGAGCCATTTAAAATCTATTTTAATTTAGATGTCGAAATCTACCAAACGACAGCGAAAACTGGAGGATATGTTTGCCGATAGTTCGACAAAAAGGATAAAAGAAAATGATGGAAATACACCAAACAGTGATAAGCACACTGTTGTACATACTACTAGTGAGTCACTTAGTCGAAGGTTGATCGAACCTTCCACTCAATGCGTGATTTTCTCATAGGAACAGCTTCAACTGTGAAAAAGATTCCAGAGGACGATTTGGAGATTTTACGACAATTTGATCTCGATATGAGTTTTGGGCCTTGCACTGGTATGTTGAGCGACGAGAATCGCGATGAGGATTTCAATTGGGATTTATTTCATAGGCATTTCGCGTTTGGATCGATACGAACGAGCTGTACGTCACGAATTGGATCCTCCTGTTCGTGTTTTGGAATTAATCAATTTGTATCCAAATGATCGACAAATAACTCATAGGTATATAGATATATGTTCATTTTTCGGAACTTAATCTAAGGTTCGGTCTCTTTAGTATCTGGCGCGACTATACTTTGTAATGCAGTGCTTTTTCGACGTGATCTTTTTTGTATATGTATTCAATATTTTTGTTTTTTTTTGAATATTTTTAGTCAATAATTCCGAATAAAATTAATATTTCAGATAATGCCTTCTTTTTCCTGGTTACGCACTCTTTTCCTCTCACGTCAGAGATATCAGGTAGACATCTGACATCATATGACTGATTTTCTTCAACGATTTTGTTATAGTTATGGCGTCTCGTTCAATCATTTAACAAACGCACTGTATTTTATCAGGTCATACATCATCGCAAACCTCTGTTGACATTGACAGCAACGTTACCATTATGGTTAAAGGTGAAAGCCGCAACCCAAACTGAAGATGCCAACGAATCGAATCGACCAACAAGTCTCTTTCTGATCGAGTTTTCTGTTGAAATATTTCACTTCTTTGATTAGATCTGAGTGCTATCGTTCAACAATTGGATGTCATGTTCGATAAAGAAGAATACCAGAAAGCATATGAATATATTGAACAAAATAAGAATAACGAATTATTCCACAGTCATTATATACGCTGGCGAATTGCTCGGTACGTCCGAGCACTGCACAAATCATTGAATTTCAATTGTTTCGTTTCTATTCTATTTAGGATCTTCTATAAACTTTCCTTAGTAACAAAAGATAAGCAATTGAAAAAGAAATTAGTTGAAGAAGGTTACGAACAAGCTAAACTAGCACTTAATGCAGGAAATCATATCTATTCTGTTCATAAATGGTACGGCATCTTACTCAATGAACGCTGTCAATACATCAGCACCGATGAACAAATTCGTAGTGCTTATGAAGTTCTTGACCATTTTGAAGAGGCAGTACGATTAAATCCTCAGGATCCTACCTGTTATTATCTGTTAGGTTCATGGTCAGTTTTCATGAGTTGTGTCTTTACAATTCGTTTATGTTCTTGTAACAGGTATTGGGAAGTGTCACAATTGTCCGGTTGGAAACGGCGCATAGCAAAAATGATCTACGGTGAATTACCTAAAGGAACTGTTCATGACGCATTGTCAAAATTTCTTCTGGCTGAGCAGATATCTCCTGGATTTTATAGTAAAAATTTGTTAATGTTGATCAAGTGTTATACTGAATTGAACGCAAAGCCAGCAGCCGCAGAATTTGCAAAGATTTTATTAAATCGTGAACGGAAAACTCAAGAAGATGAAGAGGTTCATCAAGAACTACTTAAACTCATTCCAAAAATTGAACGACTCTTACCATTCGCGCCACAAGCAAGCTTTAGTAAACATGTTTGACATTTGCAGTATTTTGTTACTAAGTAACATCCTCTTTTTCTCTTCTCAGGCTACTAACGCCATCTGAAAATAAACATGCTATTGACTTTTACAATTTCTAACTGTTGATCACGATGAAAGGCAACGCGTACGGTTGCTAACTAACGAATTCATATTTGTTTCTAGATGTTAAAAAGTCTTTCTTACCGGCAAACTAGTCTTCGTCTACTTGTAAAGTCATCTCGAGTGACTTTATCTACACTACCCTATCCGAAATCGAGTCAAACCCAAGCCTCACCTGATGGTACTTCAATTAATTACCCAACAACAACACAAACGCTATCGAAAGATGAAAACGTACCATCCATTTCTCCAAACGATTTGCTAGCGGCAAAACAATCACAGAAATCATCGGACATACCCGCTGGTCATTCATTATCATCAGTACCTCAAACTGACGTTCGACTCTCACAAGATAGTAAAGTTTCAAGTACGCTTGTCTTGCCTGGTGAACCCTTACGTCCCGCAGCGCCACCATTAGCTACGGAACAACAACGTGTAACCATCAATGAATACGAACGATTGCCTTCATCACGTTTTTCAGCATTTCTTCGAAGTATTCGATCTGGTTTACCGTTCTTTTCATCCAAGAGCAGTTCCGCATCACCTATAAACATTACAACAACTCGGGAACATTTTCTTCCGGTAAGAACTATACTCGGCTAACTCTATGTTATCATCTGCTATTCAGATAACACGGCCTTCATTGATACGATTATTGGCTACAGATTTTCAACTACTCGAAGACAATGAAGAACGTCTTTTATTTCATGAATTATGCGAGGGTTTTGACAGTGCGGTTGTTCAACGTTACCACCCGATATTGAATGAACTGAAAAATCTGTTCAATCCATTAAATCCCGACCACGAAGCAGTTGTTCAGCATAAATCATCCGATAGGAATCATTTGGATAATGAATATTGGTTATTACAAAAAGTCGACGATTTACTTCATCGATCGAACTTTACTGAGCTGCCTCGAAATCTTCTCGTCGAAAAGTTCATTATTCAGAGCGATTCGAAATCGTCGAATGTCAATGTAAAAATCAACGGTGAGGATTACGATGTTTTGAAATTCTGGATCTTAGGACGTGAAACAATCCCAAGTATTGAACTTTCGCGATGGAAGAGGTTATTTCGAAGATCGAATACAGCCGTATCGGGTGATTATTTCAAACGTGTGATTCTAGCCGTACGACTCAAAGGCCAAGATCGTTTATATCTAAAAGCCTTTCGCGATATTCCATTACAACATCTTCCACAGTTATTACCTGTTGGTAAATTGCAAATTGGCCATTTCGAACAACGGTTAATTTGGTCAACCTTTTTCGTTGCAACGAGCACTGCGGTAACACATCTAATCACAACTATGGCGAATTTTCATATCCCCGGTTTAGTGGAGGGTGGAAGTGGTTTGACATTATTGTTAACATTGTGGTCGATAAGAAGTGCCTACCGGTCGAAAATTACCTATCTGGCGAATATGAATCGAGTTTTATTTTACAAAAATATAGCGTCGAATAAGCAATTATTAGCGATGATTATCGATCGAGCTGAAGATGAATTGAGTAAGGAAATGTAAGTAGATTTTGATTCGTTCGACATTCTCGACACTGTGATACGTGTTTGATTTTAGTTTACTTGTTTATATGCTTATCTTATGGCGACAACGACATAATTCAGATTTAACTAAAAAGGTCCTTGAATTAGAAGTGGAAAATTGGATTCGTTCGAAAACAAATGCGAATATTAATTTCCATGGTGATCAAGCATTGGAATTTCTGCGTAAATTAGGCATTCTTTTACCGGAAGATCCTGCGCGACCTAATCGCTTGCAAGTAATTCCTGTTAGACAAGTCGTCGGCATTCTTCCCAAAGTTTCACGAGCTTTAAGTGAAAAGAATGAAGAATGGGATCTAATTGAAGGTTATGATAAGAAATACTTTGAAGTTGATTGGAAAACTGTTCTCAACGAAGATAAACTTCTTCAAAAAGGTGGATGGTACTAACTGTTTTCAATGGCATATGGGAAGATTCATGATAGATTAGTGTGCAATCGTTTTCCTCAGCCATTAAAGTGTTTTTTTTTCATCAGACATTTATTTAACTCTATTTGCGTGTGTGTGTGTATAGAAAACTTTGCTGCAACAGCAGAAAAATCTCTTTTTATGATTATTCAAGACAGAACATCATGCTTTTCTATTTCTAGATAGATATGATTAATAGTGAGACACCTGCAGCAGGAAAGAGTGTCGCCGGATCAGCCAAACCAGGTAACATGTGACTTAGAACGAGTGTTTACGCTGATTTCATTTTGTAGGTCTTGGTTCTCGTGCCACGTCTAGAGTAACATTTCGTGATGGAGATGGTAACCAACACACACGTGCATCCAGTCATCCAACTGAAGGTGGTGAACATAGTGCTAATAGTGCGGTGCCATCGTTACATTCCCAACGTGCCCAACAACAAAGTCCTGAGTTGAAGAAGAAAGATGAGATTAATCCATTTAAATTCTCACCTGACGTCGATTTCTGTGCGTTGAGTCAACTTGATAAGCGTGAAAAAGCTCGAGTAAAGGAATTTGCCATTCTGCCAACTCCTATAACTATTTATTGACATTCCAAGGAACGTGAACGTATGCAACATTTGAAAGTCCATGAAAAATTATCGAAATCTCAACAATTGATGAAGGGCAGACGATTTCGTGTATTGAAAGAAATTGATAAAGAAATCGAAGAAGAAGTAAGAGAATCATTTGATTGCTATGGTCAAATCCGCATTCGAAATTTTGTTGTTTAGCGACTTGAAAATAAAGAAACGCGTGTTCCATCAACACGTGATAATAAATCATGGTTGGTCGCCATTACTCGTAATCGGCGAGTAGAAAACGAAAGTCTGCAAGATTTCATTGGCAAAAAACGTAGTATGTTTGTTTTGCAAGTAAGTCGAATGATGTTAGTGATATTTCTCGATTGAAATTCATCTCCGTTCAGTATGAACTGACTGTGAAACGCACAGAAATGCGTAAACTGGAAGAAATTACTGCTGCAGAAGAACAACGTATTGAAAAGGCTGAAAAAGATCTCGAAGAAGATGCTGTATGTACTCATCTTTCATACACTCGTATTCATGTTTTCTCTATTAGCAAATGTTCGATCAATTTCTCGTGGCAAATAATAAGAATGCTAACGATGCTGCTCGTTTGTAAGGAGTTGAATCTTTTCGTACATCAAGTCTAAACTCGTTCTTTTTGTCTCTTCGTAGGGCTGATGAAGAAGCAAAAAAGAAGATCGATAAAGTCGAAGAAATTAAGCGTCTACATACTCAAATCAACGCATTGAAGAGCGAACTCGCACGCCGAGAAGAGGAATTAAAAGACTTGAAAGAGTACAAGAAATTTCTCGATCAAGTAACACCATCGGTATGAGTATTCATCTAACTTCACAAGAATATTTGCCATGTCTCATTTAGGAATGGAAAGAAGAACGTCGACAGAAATTGCGACAGGAGCGTGCTGCAAATCAAAAAGTCGAAACGCGTTCGACTGTTTCCGATGACAATTCGAGCAAATCCGGCAGTCGACCACATAGTCGCGTAACTGAATCTCGAGCTGTTAAACGCGGTGCAGGTGCAGCAGCACATAAAACGTCCGCTATTCAACGGCGAACATCGAATACGACACACGATACTGACTCATCAGTAGCCAAGTCAACCAATGAAGTCGAAGGCAATGAATTAGACAACGATTTCGAACTATTCTTCACCGATCCTCAACAGTTATTGGATATCTTCACTGAGTTAGAAGAGCAAAATTTATCTCTGATTCAAAACAGTCAAGACCATGAAGAGCAATTGGAGGAAATCACGCGGGACCTTAAAAAAACTATGGAAAACAAAAATGCGGAAACAGAAGAGTTACAGCGGCAAGTGACTGAACTGGAACACGCGATTGCATCAGAAGAATATAAAGAAAAAGAATTAATGGCGAAAGTTGGGTGAGCATGGGTCTTCTTACTTTGATTTTGTACTTCTTCTTTTCGTAAACTATTTCAGAGCTCACTCGCTGGTGAATACTGAGAGCAAACAAGAAGAGTATCTGAGTCAATTATCGACTGTTATCGGTGATGTTTATAAGAAGATTTTCAATGAAAATCCTGTCACAAGTGATCCTTTGAAAAATTTAGCATCGATAGAAAATCGTCTTGAAGAATTATTTCAAGAAATCGATCTTCTCAATCCTGATCGTTTGCAAGAAGCTGAGAAAGCGAAAGAGAAAGAACGTCGTATACGTTTACGCGAACAGAAGAAACTCGAAGAAGAACGAATTAACGAAGAGAAGAAACGTAAAGCTGCTCTTCGAGCAAAGGAACCACCAAAGAAACATCTCGGTCGGCCAATAGCCGAACGATCACGACCGCCCGACATGAAAAAAATCGATCAAGATACAATCAACAAAACAAACGAAGAAGAAGAGGAACTTGCTTATTATTTTACCTGAATATATACATAGATATCTCATTTCAGTGATACTTGTTTTTACTCCGTCCAGTCTACTTTCGATTCATTGGAATGAATTTTTACTTAAAACTTTTTTCTTTTCTTTTTCTCAAGAATTTACAATAAATATTACATCAGTTTATAGAAAGCATTTGTGTAATAGCATCGAATGTAAGATATTTTCGTGTGGGACACGTATTTGAAATGCTAAAGTGGCAACAACTGGAATGAGAAGACCGATGGCATTGAAAAATGCTCCTCAGAACGAAGACACCTTTTGTTGAACAACCAAGGTACCAGCAAATGTACCGAAATTATTTGCTACGGCAGCTAATAGGGCTAAATAAGCTGAATACTTTGTATATGAGGGAAATAGTTGCTGACGCAGAAGGATACTACTTGGTCCACAATAGACATAATGCCATTGAAGCAAGGTCGAGAGCGAAAATATCGCGGTGAGTGTAACAGTGAAGACAACAGCTGCTGACGAGGGAGTCACTGTAACTTCTTGTAGTTTCGGATGAGAAGTTCTGAGAGGAAATTTTAGAAAGACCTCCCATAATTTATAAGACTGATGTTTCAATCCGACTTGATGCGGTCGTTTCGGTGGTTTGAAATATTCCAAATCGAGTTGAGTAGCGTAATACGGATTTGTTTGGTTTGTATAAATATGTTGAATAGAATCGTTCCAAGCCAAAATACAGGTAAGGAAACTGTACAATGCGCAAGCATATCCGAAAGGTGCAAACCAGGACTCGCCGCCGAAGTACCAACTCAATGACCAGCCAACAAAAGACAAACCGAGTGTGACACCAACACCGAATGCTCGAATTGTCGGAATATCGAAACTCGAAATTCGTTGTGGTATGAGAAGAGCGCCAAATATGCAATTGAATACAATGCATACAACTGCTAAAGCGTAGAGATAACTTGGAGGATGCTCATCTGTCCATGAATTGTACACAATTAGACACATCGGTAATAGGAGAGAAAGAATACCGGATAAGCGATGAACAATTGACGTCAGAGCTTTCCAACTTCCAATACGCGTTAAAGGAAGTGACCATGTCAATATAACCAGGTAAGGCACGAGTGTAAGAAAGAAGAATGTTTTCCATGACTCAATAGCAGAGAATAGGATAGCACAGGCTAAACATAAGATACCAAGACCAATTAACCAAACATTGAATGCACCTATAGCATGGTAGGATTTATGAAATACACGTGTCAGAGATGATAGGCTATGCGCTTTATCATTCGATGTTATCTTCTCATTGATATAATTTTTAACATATTGAATAGAAGTTAAGTCTTGAAATAAGAGTGACCATGTCAAATCAGCGGTATTCGCATTCATTTTACAATGCGAAAAGTAAAAGTAATCAGAGAGGTGACATGATTATATATAGGTAACTCAGACTTGTTGACATTATATTCAGTTCTGTTTATAATATCGTAACAGTAGTGAAATTACATTGAAATTTCAAGTTCTTGTCACTGTGAATCATACATCTGTAAGATATCCACGTCATATCAATCTAGGAAGTCATTTATGACTCACTTCGTAGTTTCTGAAAAAGTGTTTTTCATAATCTAGTAATCAAAGCCTTAATTTATCACTACATGGTTGTTCGAATTTCGATTTGTATTCACTCACTATTCTCCTGAAAGAACATACCACTCGCGTGATTGTATAGCAATCATTTGCGATTGTGAGGTTTCCACCTGAATTGCCAAATTAATTTCTGATCAAAGTATGGGATCAAGCGACATCTAGTAAAATTTTTCAAATGGCTCTTTTCATATGTAACCTATCTACACGTGTCTGTCATAGACTGATTTCCAATACTTACCTGAAGAACTTTGCACACAGATGAACGCTCAGGCATGATGATTATTCTGTAGCGTTCGCCTTGCTTTTTACAAATTTTCAATGCAGTAGTATTAGCGCGGTTAGTTTTTTTCCCAAAAATCAGATGTGTGAAAGATCACCATTATTTCTCTTCGAAGTTAAATCGATTCTCCTCGATCTACTCACTCGTACTCTCGAACTGTTCGATTTATCTCGACGATTACTCGAACACTATCGTCTAACACAATTTCTTTTGACACGCGAACATCAATGTGATTATCGACATTTTTCTCTCGAAAAATCATGCCGACTGAATTACAATATAATGTCAGATTTGAGTACTTATCTTCAACGTTTATATACGACATGCCGAATCACGAAAAGCAGTTTACGTTCATTGCATGCTGCTCGAGTCACTGCGACGAATGATTATATCGTAATCGATGACGAAGTCTATGAATTAATCAAATGTTTCAAATCCAAATTGAACAGCGTTCATTCAGGATCAACTACCGAACGAAAAAAATCGATTAAAACATCGGATAGAAGATACTATTCTCAACGGCTCGTGCACAATTCTTATACTACTCAATCATTTCAATTCCATCCAACTTCTGCCAACTCGAAAAATAACTCGCACACATTGGAATCCAATGAATCGCGTCAAATACTTCAATCATTCCATAAAATCTCTCGATTCTTTTATTTTCTTCTAAAACAATTCTACGGTGTTCATAACGTTCAAGTTTCCGACGTTCTTCAACCGATTGTCATTAGTATAATTCGGTTGCTCCTATTTATTACCGATGAATTAAAACGAAAGCTTCAGGTGCTTTCACCGATCAAGGTTCACCATAATCGATTTCGAGTTCAAAAAAAAGAAGAAATTTGCCAGGAGCAGAGTACACTCGGTTCGAGCAAATCAGAATTTGACATCATCGAAACAGTCAAACCCGAACAGGAGTATAAAAGTCGAAACGAGAATCATGAAGAGAATTTGCCCGAGTTCGATGAAGAAGAATTTTATCGTTTAGCAAACCTTCCGCGAGATGATTGACGAAACATTTCATTCTAGATGTTATTTATTGTTTTTATAATCTTAATTAGCGTTTCCTTCAACGATTGTCAAACAACAACAATTGACAATGATACAAATCAACAGCATCATTTTCAAGCTTGTATCCTTTTTCTTTCTGTTTGTTTTCTAGCGCGAGTTTTTTTTTCATACCGTCCTAGTTTCCCTTCTTGTATGTATTATGTCAAACCCAGTTCAGTTCGTGCCATTTCTTGATCAAAATTATGAAGATATTCAACGTGAATGTTTACGTAACAAAACTCTTTTTGTTGATACGAAATTTCCTCATGATCAAACCTTTCTCAGTGATGAACAAGTGAAGAAGAATATCATCTGGCGACGACCGTACGAAGTTACCGATACACCGAAATTCTTTCTGAACACTCCACATCGTCGTGATCCGGGACAAGGTGATCTATCCGATTGCTGGTTTGTCGTTGCAGTGGCTAATTTAACGCTTCACAAGCAAATCTTCGAACGTGTCGTACCGGCAAACCAAACCTTTAATAAACAGAATGGCTACGTTGGTCTCTTTCATTTTCGTTTCTGGCAATTTGGTCTATGGTACGACATTGTCATCGATGATTATCTACCATTTAATAAGAAAACTCTCGAACCATGGTGTTCATGGAATCGGCAAGAGCGAAACGAGTTCTGGGTGGCATTAATAGAAAAAGCTTATGCGAAACTGAACGGTGGATATCGAAATCTTATTGGTGGTGCACCGATCGAAGCATTTACTGATTTAACGGCAGGCGTCGAACAACGTTTCAAACTAAATGAATCAATTAAAGAACGAAAGCAATTCTTCAATTTTATTATCGATAGTTTGAAACATTCGTGTCTTATGGCTTGTTCGATTAATCCGAGAGCAGATGGATCCGATTTGGAAGAAATCAAACCAAATGGTCTGGTCGTTGGCCATTCATACTCGGTCACGGCAGCAAGATATTTAAAATATAAGAAACAAATATTATCGATGATTCGTCTACGGAATCCATGGGCTAATGAAATCGAATGGGCGGGTGCCTGGCATGACCGTGATGCGAGATGGAATCATTTAGATGGCGAAGAAAAGAAAAGGATGTCATGGCAAGATTCAGATGATGGAGAGGTATTATATCTTGTCTCGACGAATTTTACTGTCATCTCATGACTACTATTGCAGTTTTGGATGACATTTCAAGACTTTTTTGTTGAATTCGATATTCTGGAAATTTGCCATCTGTCTCCGGATACATTCCAAGAAGAAATACATCTCGACACAAACATTCAATCAGCTTCAAATTCAGATCCAATGACATCGTCAATTTTCAAAAATCATCGTGCATCTCTACGCATGTCAATTCCAACATCTCTAATAGCAGATTATCTTCCATTCCAACGAAAAACATGGTCATGTTTAGCATTTGAAGGAGAATGGATCGAAAATGTATCCAGTGGTGGTCGATGCATCACTGCGTGCGAACATGGATGCGATTTCTGGAAAAATCCACAATACGAAATCGAAACTAATGCTGAAGATTCAACTATTAAATGCGCCATCGTTATCTCCCTCATGCAAAAGTACAATCGCCTTCGATTCACGAACAATCCGATTGATCGTTATGATTACATCCAAGTAATCGAACATTTTCTCTCTTTTCATCCATTTTCATCAACGTCTCATCCAAGGCGCGGATCTATAGAGTAAAACTAGCGCCGACAACACCCATTAGGAGGTCTCATGGTCGTCGTTTGGAGAGAAAGACGTACGAAAACGATGATCTCGAATTCATTGGATATACAGGATCGTACATTAATCGACGAGAAGTTACTTTATACTTGCGGATCACATCGGGCAAATATGTCATCGTTCCGAGTCTTTATGAAGTAATGATTCACATGACTTCTTGACAAACTTGTTCATGTTGTACTTTGTAGCCGAACAAAGCTGGCCATTTCCTTCTACGAGTCTTTGTGGAAACCAATTATTCAGTTCAACGTTCATCTATTTCATTCCCGTCATCAATTAACCATCAATTGACACGTTTAACAATTGCAACTCCTGTCACTTCGTCGCCGAAATCGATGTCAACTCCAATAAACCTTTGTAGTTGTTTATGTCCTTCTGACAAACAGAAAGAGAAAAACGAAATACATTTTTTTCCAACAACTTAATTTTCCTTAACTTAGCTTTTTCTGCCTTTTTCCTATTTTGAATCTCACAGATCAAGCAATGTTCAGAACCAAACGTAAAGAACATCATCAAATTGTTCAAACATTAGGACAAATGCAAACTGATGTCAAACGATACAAAGCTGTACAAATCCTCATGGACCAAATCTTTAAGGTTCGACCCAAATCTTAGTAGAAAAATCAGACCTTATCTTTAATTCTCAGGTGCTCAATGAAAGTCGCATTACTCTTACAAGCGCTGGTTTTGTCCCATCGATTTCTCCTTTCCCAACAGAAGAAACGACTCGTGAACGTATGTTTTGAAGTTTTCCTCGTAGAAAATTCTATGTATATTTTCATTGTTTTAGAATTATCATTACTCCTTGAAAATGTTCTTTTTCTCGGTGATCTTGCCCTTTTCTTCCCTGACGTATTCCACCGTTTCTACGACAAAGATCAACAACGTCGAACGCTGACATCATGGTCGTATTCATTCGCTGCTGAGACTGAGTTTTACGATGAAAAGTCTTTAGAAATTTTATCATTAGTAAGTATACATGTGATGTTTCTCGTTTCCGATTAATCATTCTCTTATTCAGATGGCTCAAGAACTCAATTTAATCGAGCGATCACCTTCATTTCATAATCCATATGTTTTCAATGGAAATCATGCAGTAGAAAGAGTCGCGACTAATAATTAATGAATGACTACTTTCTCCTTTTTTCTTTCAATAGAAAAAACCAGCTGTAACCGTTGACGATCTACCAGAACAAACGTTGAAGAAAAAATCAAAGGAAAAAATCAAGAAGAAACGAGGTATGAATAACGAGAAGAAAAATAAATGCATCGGGTTAGTTTTGTTTGATGATTCATTGATCATTTCAGGCCCTGGTCTGTCCGGTAGCCGTATTGAATTATGATTTTCAAGATAATTTGCTTTTTCATACATTAAACTGTCATTTTTTTGTGGAAAAACGCTTGTTCTCCAGTGCTGATAAAATGTTTAATAAACGAGACTAGAAAATTCAACATTTCTCTGATGGAAATCGTGCACTTGATTAGGTGAGCCCGTCCATTATAAATGACTTGACTATAAATTAATGAAAAGAGATGACTTTGAAAAACTAACACAACGACGATGTTTCCTGTCGATATACGCATTCGAACATGGCGCTGAACGAAAAAAAAAGAGAGAAAAAAGCATGTCGACAATCAGATGCAACAACTGATTTTTTTCTCTTCTCTTCTTACCGACAACCGGTGGAATTCAATATCAGAACGAGAAAAAAAAAGAGAACGCCTTTTTCAGCACTACTAAATAGCTTCTTTCTATTCTCGGAAAACCTATTAAACATCATGCAATAATGAACTACTTCAATTGTGTATATAACTAAACGACTTCTTTCGAGATGAGCAAACCGAGTAAGATTAGCAGCAATTGAAATCAACGAATTGTCTTTCATCAAATCTATTTAGATATATCCACCCAACGACGGCCGAGCATGATGACTCGAAGTACCTTATGCGGTGTTGTCGAAAGCTTAGATGAACGTTGCATGTTACAAGCGAGTGATGTGGTTGTTGTAGCTCTCTGCGATATAACACTTTGGGATTGGACTCGTATCGATTGTCCGCATATACCTCAAAACTTCGTTATATCCAAAGTCAAGCTGGACAATTGTAATTATTTTCCTATACCATTTACGATTTATTACGACGAAGACGAAATCGATTACAATCTTTGCTACGGTGTTCGATGTGATATCTTCGATAAAAATCAAGAATTGAAATACAGTTCCGGACGATTCATTGATGTCTTGACGGAAAAGAATCCGAAAACAAATGTACATATCACCATTGTACCATGTGACATCCCTTCAACAACGGACCAATAGACAAATGACTAGCTAGATCAGAACTAATACATAAGAAGCACCAACAACAGCGATGAAACAACAAAAAGAAACATATATACATATATATATAATTTGCTTGTTTTAAGTAAAAAGTTTTCCAGATAAACGAGATTTCTCTTCTTTATATTTGTCTTGTTCAGCTTGATGTAATTGTTGTAATTCGTTCTGAACTAATGCGCGAAGATTATTGTCATCCTTGATATTTGCAAGAAGATAGTTATAATCTTTCTTTGCTTCTTCGACATTCCACACACCCACGTGTGCTGTTGCACGACGATATCGTGCTTTGACATTCGATGGGTCACTATCGAGAATCGTTGTTGCATGCTCAATAGCTGAATAGAAATTGCCTAGCTTCAGTTGACATTGAACAAAATTGAGTAGTAACGGACGACGTTGAGTATCTAGTTCACGCCAATCGTCATCGTTAGGTTTTTCTCTATTCATAAGCGAAAGTCAATTTTCAACAGGAGTGTCTCAATAGTTACTTGAGCATGAGATCTTCGAAGAACTGTAAGGCTTGTCCATATTTACTGGCTGCTTCGGCAAACTGTCCGGCATTGTAGAGGTTGTTTCCGGCTAATTTCAACTCGGGTATTTGTCGTTTTTTTTCTTCGTCATTTAACAAATAAGTGTCCTTTTCAAATTCACCCGGCCGTAAAACTTTGATTAATTCTAAATCGATGAATCAGATGTAATAGAAATGTTGTTCACTGATCGATTCGGTTGACATACCAAATGTGAAGTCTAGCGATTGTGGCTGTCGCATGATCTTATCTAAGTCTTCATGGCCAAGGCCTTGCTCAAGTGCCATAAAACCACAACAATGATGGTGTTCATGATGATCATCATCATGTTTGTGGTCTGACATTTGATTTCTGTAATAATCTCGGATTTGTTTAGCAACCGCTGGATAAACGCTGACAAGCTAAAGAAGAGATCAAATCATAATAATTTAGGCCATAGAGGAAATTCCGTACGTCTTTGTCCACGGAGAACTTGGCAATTTCACCAAGGCGCATCGTCTTTAAACATGTTTCCCAACATTCGAGTTTAAATTTGTGACCCAAGGTGATTTCCATTGGTTTTTTATACTTTCGAGAATCATCGATCACTGTTCCGTCTTCAGTCGTTGTTAAAAAATGGAAGAACACTTTCATTTCGTCACAAAACTCGATTAGCGGCTCTTTGCCCGCATTGATCACTGTCTTCTTTATCGGACATTTGGCTGCGTCCGGACCGTAGATCATTGTCTTTTTTCAGATCTTTGACAACAGTCTGTCTTCCTGAATTGAGCATCGTGATGGATGAGATTAGTTCATCCAATCAAATGTTGATCATATCTAGCGCCCTCTAGATTATTTGTTTATTTTGATTAGTACAACGGAGAAAGTTAGTAAATGAAAAGGATAAATTAATTAAGTCTTTAGATAATAAATGGTACGCATAATACCAAAATGCGATTTGTTCGATGTTTTATTGGATTATATTAATGAGTCATCGACGTGTTCTGCATACATACATACATCGATGCGAACGAAAAAGTCTCAGTAATTTTCTGGCTCGGTTTTCTTTTTTCTTTGACAGACACTCCGATGTCTTGTGTTCTGTTCTTTGCTTGCCATGATGAGTAATAAATATGTGCATTGAGACACTTGTATTCATTGGAATTTTCGTCTAAACCATAATTGATCGAGTAAGCAGGAAGTCCTTGACCTCCCTCTATTTGATTGACTGTCTGATTTGCATTCGAATAGTTACACCTGAACTATAAGCATGTATTCCGATCTGAACAAATGATAAAGATAACAATTAGAAAATGCCAAATAATCGAGAACAATGCCCTTTGTATTTTGACACATCTTGTCATTTTGACGATAAACAAACCAGATGCAGAATTGTCTTTGATTTAGCTCAAATAATAAAGCGATTGATAACACAGAGAATAAGGTCAGCTTCAGATATCTCCTCTTTGCTTTTTTATATTCACTTTGCGTGTTTCACGTGTTTATTGATTAATATTTCTCTTCACTATTGTTTTCCTATGATTGATATTTTTCCTCAAACTGGATCCAGACATTCTTTTCTTTTTTGTTATTGATATTTTCACACACAAAATCTCCCAGCTGGTGCCATTGCAGTTTGAAAAGATAGCTTGATATTAAAAAAGAAGAATAAGACATCAGTTCTTTTCTTTCTCCCAATAAGCACATCGATTCTCTTTTCCATCAAGGAAAAACCGCAATAATACTTATATGACTCGACGAATTATATAATAAAACATAGCACAGACCACCATCTTCTGTGCGAGCAATTTACATTATGTATATAGTGCATGTGACCTTTATAGAATTTTTCTCTCCCTCTCTCGTTTTTCAGAATAGAAATAGAGATATGTATTGAATGGATATTGTCGATTTCCAAGTAATTATTTTGTATATAAAAGAATGAGTCAAGACGATATACTTCAATCGACTAAATCGGTTATTCAGGGTCTGGACGCTCTGAAGAATGAACATGGGAAAATGCTGGAGAATATTCTTGGTTCGACGCAAAAGTTTTCCGCCATGGAAACCAACAAATTGGAGGAAAAGGTTGGCCTATTGAGAAAATCGATGGATATGATTGAATTAGGTGAGTTGACAAGAATCAGTTCGATTTGTTTACTCTCGTGCTGATTATTGAATAGGAATTGGTGAAGCGCAAGTAATGATGCAATTAGGAAATCATCTACAAAATTTAGAAGCCGAAAAACATAAACTACGTACACAAGTCAAACGCTTATGCCAAGAAAACGCTTGGTTGCGTGACGAGCTTGCTTCATCGCAAAAGAAACTACACGAGTGCGAACAAACCAACGTTGCCTATGCCGTAGAAATCGAGCATTTGAAGTTTCTCAAAGATGTTAAACAGTTCGATGTCGATAACGAAAACTTATCGTCTCAAACAACATCAGGAACGAATGGCAATCAGCCGAATAGCAATCAAGATCTGGTCAATGATCTATTTCCATCCGATGATAATGATAATGGACAAGACATTTATGGTGATCAACAGGACATGAATGGTGGTAATCAATCTGATCATTCGAAAAAGTTTGGTTCATATGCCGATCTACTAATGTCACATTCACAATCAGCAACCGGATCATTCATTTCAACAACTGGCTACGAAATTCCTGCGAGACTGAAAACACTACACAATCTGGTGATTCAATATGCGTCTCAAGGTCGCTACGAAGTTGCTGTACCTCTATGTCGACAAGCACTCGAAGATCTCGAGAAGACATCTGGACATCAACGTATGTAGATTGAACTTTGAGATGAGACACTCGATATGACTTGTCGATTGGTGTGATTCTCTTTTTCAGATCCTGATGTTGCCACTATGCTGAACATTCTTGCACTTGTTTATCGAGATCAATCGAAATTCAAAGAGGCAAGTTCGTTACTGAACGATGCACTTGCTATTCGAGAGAAGACACTTGGACCTGATCATCCAGCTGTAGCAGCTACATTAAACAATCTTGCTGTTCTCTATGGTATGTCACTATCTTTAATTAAGTGGAGATTTCATCTAATTTTTTATTACTTTTAGGTAAACGAAATAAGTTCAAAGAAGCAGAACCGCTTTGTAAACGTGCATTGGAAATTCGAGAGAAGTTCCTTGGTCCTTCTCATCCTGATGTTGCTAAACAGCTCAACAACTTAGCATTACTCTGTCAAAATCAGGGCAAATACGAGGAAGTTGAAACCTACTATAAGCGCGCAATAGATATCTATACGAAAAGCTTGGGCCCCGACGATCCAAACGTTGCTAAAACAAAGAATAATTTGGCGTCAGCTTATCTAAAACAACAGAAATACAAAGAAGCTGAGCAACTCTACAAAGATGTGTTAACTCGCGCCCATGAAAAAGAGTTTGGCGCGTCTCCTCAAGATTTGTCGTCATCAACAAATGCAAGCGGTGGACCCTACGATGCACAAGGCGGATGGTACAAAACGATACGTGCAGATACACCAACAGTAACGACAACATTGAAAAATCTGAGTTTGCTGTATCGACGACAAGGGCGATATGAAGCAGCTGATACTTTAGAAAATTGTGCGTCACGCGCACGAAAAGATCCTCAAGCTCTTACTCAAGCGTTGCAACTAATAAAACAAAGCAATAGTCTATCATAATTATCAATCTTCTCTTCTAATCTATTTTCTTCTCTTTCGACAGTGAAATGCTTATTATAATCTCGATTTACTTCGTTTCTCTGTTCTCTCTGGATGTTTTTTTTTGTTGTTATAGTCATGCCAGTTTTGTTTGGTTTTTCTTCATGTTGTAGTCGTTTTCGGATGATCTCATTGAGAAGCTGTAAGCTGTGGATTTGCAAAAGTCACAAAAGAACAAATTTCAATTTCAAACTATTTACAAATATAAATAAATAAATAAATATATATGTCAATGTATAAATCGTCATTCCGTTTTAGATTGATAGTCAAACACGAAGTCAGAGAAAAGGTGTAGGTATTAAGGCAAGGAAAATCGAACCTACTGAATTGTTTGCAGGCAATCAGAAAACATGGGTGATGATTATTGGAATTCATCTTCGGTGACAAAAAAAGTCAGCCAACAAGGAATCTTCGACATGGATGGAGGCAATGCACTTGACGTAAGTTATTTTTCAAAGTTTTCCGAAGAGATTTCATGTTATAAACATAACGTAGCGATTTAAAAATCAATCGGATCCATTGATCGTAAGTTTTGTATATCTATTCGTTTGTCCGTATGTCTACTCACGGTTGTGGCGTCTCATTCTTTTCTAAAAACAACGGAAGCAATTGCTTTTCTCTAATATGAACTAACATTGTCTTTACTTGTTTTTTGTTTGATGTAACGCGATTTTGTTTGTAGGAAAGTATTCTTGACTCCAGCCGTCTAACAACAACAACAACAGGAGCAGTATCAACTCGCTTTCGTGCAACACCCGCACCAACATCGACTCCTTCGCCGGCAGTGATCACAACATCCAAGCCGGTACCGACTCCTCAACCAAAGTTTACTGTTCCAACGCCAACGCCAACACCAGCGCCAATGATGCATGTTCCACGTCCTTTTAGTCAGCCCACTGAATGTGAGTAGAAACTATGTGTAAAGGCGATGCGAGTCGATAAAAGAACATGAGAATATTTTTCTTTCATTCTTTCTAACCTTTTTTCTTGATACGAAAAAGAATGCCATAAACCAGAGAGAACAGCATATAGCAACTGACGTTTTATTGTCTATTCGAACAACGATACATCAAACAGGCAGTGTTAGTCAAACGAAAAGATGAATCAATCACAATGAATAGTCCGAGCCCGAAAGCACTGAAAAAATCCCAGAACATATTACGGAAAGTTGGCCAGAAAGTTGAACAAAAATTTCACCTGACGAATTCCAATGTTTTCCACGGTTCATTATCATCCCTAACCGATCTACCTGACAGTTCTTACCATAAACAATTAGGAGATCAGAAGTTACATCACGATGATACAGTTTCTTTGCAAAATTTGCCTGAATATTTTCCTGATTCACCAAAAATAAAACTTCGCAAAAAACATGGTAAATCTTCCTTCACATCTTTCATTCTCTCCAAATTCTTTTAGCCGCTCGCTTTGGTCGATCACCCGTACCATCGACTTCTAATGATACCCATTCAAATTCGCAATGGTTACCAAACGCTGAAGAGTACCGTATGTATTTGAACACAAATTTTACCAAATTATACGAACATTTCGTCTTTGTTTCAGCTGATCTGCCGACAAAAGACCGAAGCACGCAGTATGATCCCGAGATGGAGCTGCGCTGTAAAGGATTACTGGAAAATAAGGTTGAGCTCAACATTAAAATATATTCGATTCAGTGGAAGACACACTTTGCATTTTCAGCCTGTCAAATTAGATGATATACGTGATTATGATCAAAAAGCTTCTTTATTGCGTCAAGCTGTTTCATTCAATACACCTAGTGTTACTGTGCCTGTATGCTTTCATTTTGTTGCTAGATGTCATTTCGTCTGTTCTGTTTTGCAGGTGATGATTTTTCTAGAAAATACTTTGTCGAGACCTTTATTTTACGAATTAGTCAAACAACATCCATCAGCTGTCAATAACTACATCAACATGGCAAAATTACGATTCGAAAATGAGTATCATGTTGCTATGTTAAAGTAAATTACCAAGAATGATTGTTTATATTACTATTTAATTCATTTTTATAGACAATTCGATCGAAATGAAGATGTTGCAGTACGAAAACAAACGGAATTGAATAGAACTCCTTTTGATACTCTCTTACATTATAGATGATACGCTTACGGCAAGTAACTCAAACAAATGACGCGAACACCAAAATGGCATTGCTGGATCAAGCAGCAACGTATGTTCTTATTTCGATTATGAACACAGAAATCCAACGAAGTTTTGTTTCAGCGAGCTCGCATCGCATTCTTGGTGGCGTTTACAAGTTGCTGAGTACAAACTTCTCCTTAGAAAACAACGGGAGTTACAGACAGTAAGACAATTTTGCATTGCTGGCATATTCTGTACCCATGTTTTGCTTAGCCTGCAAGTGAACGCACAGTACTTGACACGTACAAGATAATCTATGATGGTGATTTTCGTAAACATAGACAGAGCCGAATGATGGATAAATCAGTAAGAGACTCATTGTTGATTTATGGAGATTGTATTTGTCTCCATAGACTGTCGACCGAAGCAAGGAATTCGAAACAACATTCAATGTAAGTGGTATTCTTATTGAGAACACTCGAGCTCAATTTGGTTTTCATCCTTTCAAAGATGTCTCCGGAATTGATTATGTGTGGTAAACTGTCTGTGATAACGAAATGCGATATACGAACACATTATGATGATTTCGTACATCAAGCAATCCATCAAGTAGATAGAAAAATTGAATCGAAATGCAATTTTGACTTTCTGTTGTTATTAGGGAATCTTCGGGAAGAAGTATATCGTTGCTCCGGAATATCTAGCTGATATGGTGTTTAGTTGGGCACTCGCAAATGGCGAAGGGCAAGAAAAAGCGAGTGAAAAAGCAGAAAAATTTCTCACAATGATTCCCGAACCGACTAAACGAATATTTTTCGCAGAAAAATTTCAAAATTTTGATGTAGCAATGGATGTAAGTAGTGAATTTCAAGTTGAGAAGTTTGTACTTATCTACGTCATTTTAGACTATTGTTAATAATCTCCGTGACCGAGTACAGTTAGAACTTTTACGTCGTCGTATGCCAGCTGATCATCGATCGTACAATCGTGCCACATCGCTCTTAGAAGTAACAAGATACACACTGCTACAATCATGATTTCATGTTTCTTTTAGAATACTAAATGGCGCAACTGAAATAATACGATTCCGAATGCGTACACTAACCGTCGTTTTGCTGTCAGATGATGGTTTTCCTATTATTTTATTTTCTTCTTTAACATTTTCCTCTGCACTTAATTTAATCCAAGCAAAATCATTCCTTTTCTTACAGAAAATAAAAACCAAAATTAATGCAATACATTAAAACGACTTAATCGATGAAAATAAAAATAATCAAAAAGAGAAATTGAGTTCAGTCAAGTTAAAGACACTGTCATTGGCTAAGTCTTACGCTTCATTATGCGAAACTCTGCTAGCTGAGCCAATGCGTTGAATTGTATGATTTGTTTCATATGATGAATTGTCATCACATAAACGAGGAGAAATGGAGTCTATAATAGTAGCTCCAACATTGGATTTGTCGGTAGCGAGGGTTTTCACTGCTGAAGGTGGACGTCCAATAATTGGTTGTGTGACATCAGATTCACTGCCATTGAAGAGAACTGAATTAGTATGTACTTCTGAACTGATGCCGTAGGAATTCGTATCAGTCGTTCGTTGCGTTGATGACGACGGTCTTGAATTCTTGATAGCCGAAGAAGGTCTGGATCCAACCTGTGAACCAGAATTTGGATCGATTGCTGTAGATTGTCTGGCTGACGGAGGTCTTGAACCAGCTTGCGGAACAGTGTTGAGGTCATTCGTTGTCGCCTGTTTTGCTGATGAAGGTCTGGATCCAATCTGTGAAGTAGAATTCGAGTCACTTGGTTGTGTCTGTTTCGCTGATGAGGGTCTGGATGTAACCTGTGAAGCAGAGTTTGGGTCGATTGTTGTAGTTTGTCTAGCTGACGGAGGTCTTGAACTAGTTTGCGGAACAGAGTTCAGGTCATTCGTTGTCGCCTGTTTTGCTGATGAAGGTCTTGAAGTACCCTCAAGAGCAGAATTCGAGTCACTTGGTGGTGTCTGTTTCGCTGATGAGGGTCTGGATGTAACCTGTGAAGCAGAGTTTGGGTCGATTGTTGTAGTTTGTCTAGCTGACGGAGGTCTTGAACTAGTTTGCGGAACAGAGTTCAGGTCATTCGTTGTCGCCTGTTTTGCTGATGAAGGTCTGGATCCAGCCTGCGAAGCAGAGTTTGGATCGTTCGCTGTAGATTGTCTTGTTGATGAAGGTCTTGAAGTACCCTCAAGAGCAGAATTCGAGTCACTTGATGGTGTCTGTTTCGCTGATGAGGGTCTGGATCCAACCTGTGAAGCAGAATTTGGATCGATTGCTGTAGATTGTCTAGCTGACGGAGGTCTTGAACCAGCTTGCGGAACAGTGTCCAGGTCATTCGTTGTCGCCTGTTTTGCTGATGAAGGTCGCGAAATGGCTTGTGGAGAAGAGTTCAGATCATTGACTGTCGTTTGCTTTGCTGACGAAGGCCTTGAACTAGTTTGTGGAACGGAGACTGAATCATTCGTCTCTACTTGTCTCGCTGATGAAGGTCTAAAGCTAGTCTGGGGAGCAGAGCTCAGATCAGTCGTTATTGCCTGTTTAGCTGATGAAGGTCGAGAATTTGTTGTTAACGCACTATTCAACGTTTCACTTAAGGTCGTTATGTCTGTCGTTTGACTAGCTGATGATGGTCTCGAGCTCGTTGTGTTCAAAGTATATCCGTGTACGCGTAGTTGATCGGTTTTTACACTAGCTGATGGTGGTCTTGATCCTGTTTGAGCTGAAGTTGTCGACTCATCTAGAATTACAGCATCTGCTGGCTGTCTGGCCGATGGTGGTCGTGAACTTTTCGCAGTACTGGCTATTGAATTCAAACTAGGATCAGTTGGTGGTGCAGAAGGTTCTTGGTCAACAGTCTCTTGGATTACATCGTGCTGTGGTGCATCCGCTGGTGAAGTTATTGTTGATAAATCGAGTTCTTGTTGTCCAGGAGCGGGCGCAGGCACATTCGCTGAAATACCAGAATCGATAGCTGCTGCCGTTTTCTGTGCAGCCGAAGATGGTCGAGATGATGGTTTTGCTGTTGCTTGTTCATCATTTTCCTTCTTGTTAGCAGATGGAATTCGTGATGATGTCTCGACGTTAGTAGAAGATACGAACGACATACTAAGCAAAGAAGGCAGTTCTGAAATAAAAAGAGAACCTAAAACACAAAATTTGTTGAAAAAGGTGCTTTCTCCCTGAAAAGAAAATCTTTGATGGCTTCAATCTGCATAAAACACATATACATCACTACAATTCCAATCAATTCCTCTTCTCTATTTACAATGATCGATTTTGTATACACGTAAAATAAATTAGACTATTTCAAGTAATCTATACACAAACCTCAAGGTTCTCTCTGTCTTACTCTGACATCAATTAAAACTATGCGCGATAGTTTACCTTCTCCTCGTCGCCCTAGACAAACAAAGTTGTGTTCTAACTGATTTGATGGACGGATACTATTCTCATACAATGATTTCTACCGTTGATATTCTAATTTCTACGTCGAACAATAATGAAAAACAGAGCACGAAAGAAAGAAAAGTTATTTTCACTGACTATACTTCACTCTGCTTGCATGCGTCTACATTTATTCAATCGTTATTCGCGATAAAAAGTAATCTCTAGTGATAATCAGGTATTTACGACAATCATGGAGACCCTTGTGTCCTGCACAAAATATACCAACTGATTTATAGAGATTTTCATGATAAAAGTTCGTCTCGAAGGAACGTAAAGAAGCAATAATCCTGTGTGTTTGCAAATGATTGAAATATCTAAAGGTATATAAGCTAGAAACAAGCAAACACCATCCTCTTCACAATATGAAATAAGAAATTCAATATAAACATTTTTCCACAATAGGCATGTAACTCTATCCTTTCTAACACTCGTTGTTTTGTCATATTACTCCTATAATCTGTTGGAAAAAGATTTTATTCTTAGTGACATGAAATATCCTAAAGATGATGTTTCCAGAAATGAATAGTGCGTTGTACTGACAATCTATACCTGTTTGATGAATATTGATGTTCTTACATTGTTACTGGATGCAAAAATTTACCTTTAAATCCTCGTGAAACTGTTGTAAAACGACCAGGGCGTTTGTCAATTCCAGCTCGTAAAACTTTATTATCGGTAATCAAATCGATCGTTATCTTAAAATCTATTTTTACGAAAAAAGTCACAGAAAACTGAGTGAAATGAATCATTCGCTCAGTCGGCGACTTCACTAGAAGATCAAATTACTTTCTCTAGCCTGATTAGTAAACTGTCTCTTAACCTCTAGCTTGCAATTTTCATTAAAATTATAGGAGAATTTCCTGCAGAAATGGATTAACGCGTTCATTAGTTTTAATAATTATCATCGAGAAAATTCATGCATAGAAACGTCACGTATTTAACGACAGGCCACTATTTCTACTCTGTCATTCATGTGAAAAACCGTTAAAAAAAGTTCTATCTCGAAAATAACCTGAAGATGTGAGAATATATCCAATATAAACAAGCATGTCGTGTTTTTTTTTTCTACTACGCAGAGATTCTAGATACTCATCCAACGATAAGGATGCTTGCCGGTGAGTACTAGAGCTGCATGAGAAATTTGCGTAGAAATGATTTCTTTCTCTCTCTCTTGAGTTCATCGTGGAATTCTACATGACCTCTTCGTTTAATTAACATGTTCTTTTTTTAATGTGGATATGATGTTTAAAATTGAGGTATTTATAGTAACGAAAATCATACATATGACAACATTGAACAAGTAAAATACAATAGTTAGAGTATGTGTTTGCATCGACTGTGAAGGGCTTTTCGAGAAGCATACGTGTAGGTATATGTATATATGCGATGTGTGAGCGAAGAAGAAAAGAAGAACTGAACAGAACGCATAATGATGTTCATTTTGGTAGACGAAATAAAAAGAAATACGAAATTGAGAATTGAAAAAAATATATTTTGGTTATTTTGTCCCGTGTTTACAGTTTTTCGTGATTAAACCAATGTACGTTTGTCATTGGACAGATGCGCATCTTCAGTTTCTACGACCACATATGCAGTACCATCTGGTGCATGTACAGCGTGATAATGATCATCTTCGGTTGGTGCTGGTTGATAGCTTGGATCACAAATTGGTACTTTTGACTAGAACAACAATTCATAATCAACATAGAATGAAAGCGTCATTTGACTTACTCCTGATCGATGTTTCATACGTCGACGGCAAGTCTACAAACAAATGGAAGATAGAGTGATGAACTGATATCGAAGGAAAGAAAACTCACATGGATATACATTATTCCGATGAGTACAGTTCCGATAAGTAGAAGTACAAGGGTACCGATGGTGAATTTGATGCTCTTAGAGGTAAAGTTCTTGAATTTGTCAGCGAAACGGTTAAGTGGTGTAGGTAGCGGGTATATTTGTTGATCTGGTTCGATGGTATTCGTAACCGCTGGTAATACTGAACGGAATTCATATGAATTCAACTAGAAAATTATAAAAAATTTGTCAGAATGAAATTTTCTTCCAAAGAACGTACGTCAATATCGATTTGATCCATTTTCTTCTGAAATTCGATCATGTTCTCGGCGAAGAATGGTAGAATTTGAAAGGCAGTTAAGCCATTCTGTTCAACTGATGAAACAGTTATTTGCGTGGGTTCTAAACCATATTTTTGTGCAACATTGTTGATGAAACCACTAGATACAGAAGAAATCAATCTTGCTCGAAGTAAACACATTCATCGCATCTTACTTCTTGAACGCTTGCACGAATCGTGGATCTTGGAATAGATCGGATTTGACATCAAAATCAAAAACGAACCAGTTAATACTGTCCGGGTTCACTATAAAATTATGTCAATAATGAACTAAGGTTAAAAAAAAGATACTAGAGAAAAGAATTCAAGTACCTGCTTCACACAGTTTCAAATTCAAATTACAAACACGCGCTCCTTGACATGGAAATCTCTAGAAGAACGACATCCAGTTGTATGGAAAAGGAAATAAATCAAGGAAATTTTACCTCACTGCATTGAATCTTCTCAGCAACAGGTGTCCAGTCACATTCACACACTTCACAACCTTCTTCGTTTCGTCGAAAACCATACATACAGAACATACGGCACATTTGTAATGGACAACGATTGCATGAACATAATCGACAACCGTTTTCATCTCGTTGTAAACCATGTTGGCAATCCAAACTGCAGTCTAATACTGGACATCTGTCGACATTCTTATCCTGTTGATCATCACATACACAGGTGGTACACCCATCGGCATCTTTTTTGTAGTTTGAACAAGATTGATTGGTACTCGGGCAAATCAATGGTGGACAATCACAGTCACATGTTGGACAACCTGCGAAGTCGAATCATTCTTTTCTAATACGCACATGAATAGAAATTGCCACCTACCGCTGTAATCTTTTCGATAACCTTTGCTGCACGAACGTTGGCAGCTCAGTGCAGGACATTGCTGAGGTTGTATATTACATGCACAATATTCACATCCATTTTCATCACGTTTAAAACCATATTGGCAGAACATTCGGCACATGACACGTGAGCATTGTACATTGGCTTTTTTAACGCATTTACATGTTTGACAACCGTTTTCATCCATTTGATATCCATCGGTGCCGCAGTTGGCACGACATTTGATTTGCGGACAGGACTCAACTCGCTTTTGTTCGCTCGGCATACAAGCACACATTGGACAACCTTTGTCGTCAAGTAAATAATTGCCATTTGGACACTGTACATTACACGTTTTTGTGAAATCATTTGGACATCCGGTATTGTATGCCGATACTAAATAAGAAAAAGAAAAGAATGAATATTAGATTTCCAATGAGAAGTTCATTGGGGATCGAACCGAGTCCTTGTTGAAGATCGCCGTAGACTTTTGTATGAGTGAAAATGAGCAATAAGCCCGTCAGTATGAAATTTACACGATTAATCATCCCAATATCGAAAAATCTGTTCGTTATAATGAAGGAAAAAACAACGTAGAAACGTCAATGACAAAGGGCGACAATGTAATAAACTACGTTTATATGCAGTGACAGAATAAAAAAAAAGTAGAAAAAAAAACGACTGTTTGGCAATACTCTCCGTTTTTTTATTTTTTTTCATGCAGACTCTCTCTCCTCCTTTCTCTTTCTCTTCCGTTTTACCCCGTCATGTCGCAGCGAAACATATCATCGTTCACTCACTTTTTTCTTCTTTCGTTCTCCCGCATACATATTACAAAAGAGCGGAGAACATTCTGACTTAGAAATCGAATATTGAATAGAAATAAAAAGGTGAATATTGACGACGATATTTTTGTTTTTCTATACCTCTGCCATTTAAATACTTTCAGTTGTCATACAGTCGACGAAAGAATTCTATCGACTTTTTCTTTTTGTTGAGTACTAATACTGCAATGTACTTTTTCTTTTCGCTTGACGGAATAATGTATAGGTTTTCTTTTTCTTTCACTTGCACTACAAAATGATGATGTAAAAAGAAAGAGAAGAGGAAAAAAAGAAGTAGGAACTGACGTGCTATACAAACATACAGCATGACTCGGTAATTGTCTACGCAAAAGAGAACGGTCAACAAGATGAAGAAAGAGTAATACCTGCTTGACACATAGGCACATTGCGTGCATCGTTTAAACATCGGAAACCGGGTGGACAATGAACATCCTCCTAATCAAGAAAATTGAATTGGAAAAAAAGGAATTTCTTGAGATGGAAATGAACTATACTTCACATGATGATGATGATGATGTGAAATTCGATTTGGCTATGGCACATTGACAGAACGGACAGCCATTGTCTGATTGAACGTAATCAACATTTGGTGGACAAATAATATCGCAAGTGAATGGCGGACATCGATCACTACATTCACATGTGTCACAACCGAAAAGATCTTTGAGATAACCAGCTGGACAGTTTTTATTACACTGATCCATTGTTGGACATGATTGACATTCACATAGCAGACAACCATGGGAATCCGTTCGGTATCCCAAACGGCAATTTAGCGAACATTCAAACGATGTTGGACATACCGATGTCGTAGCTAAGTTAAATAAAAATGAAATTTTCCATTCAGTGAAGGTTATAAAGTTCAAATAGACATTGCGTGGTACAATGAACAAATATTTGCCCGAAAGGAAATCGATTTTGATGAACGGAACTACGCCTAAGATTCATCCTTGAGATCGTGTCCAACATAGAGAATACAAATAATGTCAAGTTATTTGTCCTTCGATGCTTTTCTCAGAAATCAGACGAAAGTAATCTAAATGCTTGCCTACTGACTTCTGACTTGTCTTTGATGTACAAGTCGTCATTAGCTACATTCATGGTGCAAATCAATTACATAATTTAATTTACATGTCCTTAATAAGACCATTGACTATGTTAATAGTCATTACTCTCTCAAGTATGATCAGATAACCTTGCTTAATAGACTCGTTTCTCTCGTTAATAATGGAACAATATGTGAAGCATTATCTGAGAGAACAAGACAATTTAGTTGACTTACGTTTCATAGGTATGCTGCAAACACGTCGTCCACAAGCTGCTTCACAGCATTTGAAATCGCCCGGACAGTCCGTGTCGAATCGGCATTCGGGTGGAATTAGTTTTTCTGTATCACATTTACCAATGGCTTCGACAACTTTCGGACATGTGCCTAATTTACGAAGTGGAGGTGTACGATCGATCATATCATCTAATGATTCAACATAGTCATCCAGATATTCATTATCGTCGTCATCATCCACGCTCGGACTATTCTTATCTGATGTTTCATCATCGTCATATTCATAATATTCATCGTACGAAGCATCATCATACGTCGCATTCGGTACGGAACCATCGTTATCGATTACAAGCTTAGAATCATTCGATTTTCTCGACGATTGTTGCGAAAATGTGACATTCGTTTTCAAAAGACAATAAACGCATTTTAATATATCATCTTGTTTACAATCTGGATTGACATAACAAAATTCTGTTGTTGAATTACATTGCAAAGTCTAAACAACAAACAATCGAGCGCACAAAATCAACGATTACCGTCGTACCTGGCATTGTTTGTTCACTTTCACGTCTAATTCATCAGCATATACACAAACTGCAATGATGACCAGAAGAATTACAAGGAAAACTTTAACCAGGAAATTCATTGTAACGAATAATTTTTAACTAAAATGAAAATGACAAGTTTTACTTCGTACACTGATGACCCTCACCATGCATCACTGTTCAATAGAATAATTGCTCGTAAAAAAACGAATCTCCTTCGCTCTTCACATTACCTGTCAATACGATTCATCCTCTCCTTTGGATTACTAGACTCATATGCATATCGAAACAATGATACAGATATGTGTATGCATGTATGTGCACTCAATGTAATGTGCACTGATCGAAAATGAAGCTCAAGTTTTACATATTTTTCTCTTCTCACCAACGTGAACGATGATATCAAGCGTAATAGAATTGCAAAGGAAACGAATTCTGATGGCATTGAGTCTTTGGAGGAATTACTAGACACGTACATGTCTACGCAAATCTAATTGGTATACGAAAGGTGTGATTAATTCATAAAACTGGCAGTATTACTCGTTTTATCGAAGGAAAGAAGAAAAATCGAAAGTAGATGTATATTACAAGCACCACTTCATTGAATTTATATCAAACATATGTTAATAAACTTATTGAGAATCTCTCTCAAATCATTGAAAGCAATTCTTGATTCTTTTCTTATCCGATCGATGCGAACACACTCCGGTTTTTTTACATTTCCTTTTGTAACACGGTTGTCTGTGTCATATCATTATAATACAAGGGATGTATATCAATATCATAAACTATATTGTCATACGGCAAGGCTATTTGACTGTATGAGACATTACTCGTGAAAGAGCAAAATTTTGTTGACCTTCTTACTGTGATGAAAGATAGAAATGGCGATAAATAGTTAGTTCAGTTCGAAGAAGTTTAACTACATCTAGCTGATAACGGTTGGCTAATCGGATTACGTCATCTTGTCAGCTATGTATAGAGTGTTTGGTTTCTCTTGCCATCCGTTAGATAAACCCACGAAGAACTCTACTCGGATGACTTGAAAAAGATTTCTCTCTTATCTTCTCTGCAACTTACATCATTTTTTTCCATCAACGGCACAAAAAACACCTACCTTTCTCTTCAATTTGTATGTCGAAATGAAAAAAACCCGCATACACCTAGGACCTATCACATTCAAATTTAATCGACTGACAACGACGAACCTATGCCGACAGATTCATGCAGCACGTCAGAATATAAAGCAAAAGGATAGTGTTGTACTAGCAGACTACTCGAATGATTTCTTCCCTATACATATTTGCCATTCGGAAGCGTACAAAATGGAAGGGAGAGAGAGAGAGAAACAAGCGAAGAACAGAAGGAAGTACTAGTGTAGTACAAGAATACAGATATATCATATTCAATAATCAATGATATTCTTTGATTGTTTAACTGCTATTCAAGATGTGTATGCGTCTGCCTAGAGAATAGAGATATTGAACAAACACAAGACTGGTTCCTCCTGATTATATCTGAGATATTTATTGTTTTTGTATTATATCCGCTAGATATTCATTATTTGTCTGTTCCGTGCAAAGAACGTCAAAGTAGCGAGAAAATTTACATAACTCGACATATTTCAATGTAGACAATTGCTGGCGTGTCGAATGCTTTTCTGAGGCGATTAAAAACTGGATGTCGCTTGCTCACGCGACCTCGATTTTGAACATCGTCAAAGGGAATTTCTTGGAGGACTTACTTAATTCATGTCTAGTTTGAATACAACATATGCGCGATTCTTCTGTTCATGATGGGAAAGAAGAAAAAAAAGAAGAGAATGAATGAATGAATGAACGAACATCGGACATAGATATTAAATTAGAATGGTTGAACGAGCAACGCATAGAAGAAAAAGTATGCATCTACGTCAACTTGTCATGATCATGAGAAATAAATTGATGTTAAAAAAAGATAGATTCGACTTTTTTCTTCTCGCTCTTCTTTCTTTATTTTTGTTGTCGTCAACACATCCGCTCTAATTTGTATTTCAAGTGGTTTTTCTGCTGTTTATTGTTTGCGGTTGTGGAAAATCACGCTATATGTTGCTACATTTACAGCACTTATACATCGAATGACTTTTGTGCCTAGATCTCGTCGATATCACACTTTCCTACATCCGAATTTTAAAAACACATGCATGTCGAACGTTTTGCGCACGAGCGATTCCAATAAAAACCTTAGAAATTGCCCTGATTCGATGAATAAAATCATATTCAACAAAAAATATTACTTTTTTGCTCTCCCTATGAATAATCATCAAATATGCTATAGGGCAAGTATGCTATGAATATGAGTTTATGATGGCTTGACAGAATCTAGTCGATTAATAAAACATTAACTTTTCACGATATAAACATTCTAATGACTCCTTTGGATTATGAGAACAAACGCGAAGCTAATCAGATGTGAATGTTCTCTCAACCTACTTGCCTTCTATTTCTCAAATAGTAAATCATTCGACTACGTTGACAAGATCTCATAAACAACAAATGACCGTGAACAAGCGAGTTATTGATGTGCCGAAACAGAAAACTCAACTCTCTCGAGATATTTACATCGTTCATGAAAAAATGATTAATTAAACGAACCTTCTCTCTATGTAAATCACACAAATATTCAAATGCAAAAAAACACTCTCTTCCTCTACAACTTCACACGTTGTCTGAAATTTGAGCAAATTCAATTATTCTCACACATTTGGCTAATCGAACTGCGCAGTTTTTCAAGCCCGCAGCTATGTTGAGATTTATAAAAACAGTTGACATCGACGTCCTTGAAATTTCGAATAACGTTTAGCGACCTCTTCGATTTGAGATTTCTAACTTTTCATATGTTAAACCAATGAGCAAACGAATTCCAGTTGTTTATTTTATTACTTTTATTCTATTTCTGGACGTGTTCAGTTTGCCTATCGAATTTGAAGAGAAAGAGAAAGCAAATGTATGTGTCTTCTTTAGATTTGATCAAATTTTGCTCTCGATATTTTATACAATTGAACAAATGACTGATTCAAAATATTTCTCAAGTCAACGTAAAGGTGAGTCGCATATCAAACCGTTCTCATCATCATTATATGTGAAAGGGAGATACGATAGGTAGATTAGACATAAATATCATTGGTTACCTATTTTTTTTCTCTGTGCTAAATATTACACGTTTCTTCTCTTTTCATTCTTCTGCTATGAGTTAGGTGATAAAAAATGCGAGAAAAATAGTCTAGCTGTTAGTTTTTCTTCTTTTCTTTTGACTCGGATAGAGAAATTAATAACAAAAACGGCTCGTTGCTTCTTCTTGATATAAAAAAAGAAAACTTCCATCAGTTGATTAACGACACTACCTAAAGATGTACGAAGGCGAAGGCAAAAAAGGTATTGAGAAAAGAAGGAAAATCATATACAATTGAATCTTTATTTTGTATTTTTCAGGCGAAATTTACGAACTGAAAGCTGAATTGAATAGCGATAAACGCGACCGTAAGAAGGAAGCGGTGAAAAAAGTAATGAAATTACTCTCTGCTCAATGAAACAATCATATTTATTCGTAGGTTATCGCGAGCATGACTGTAGGCAAAGATGTCAGTCAATTATTTCCTGATGTCGTCAATTGTATGCAAACAGATAATCTCGAGTTGAAAAAGCTTGTCTACCTTTATCTAATGAACTATGCAAAAACTCAACCTGAAATGGCCATTTTAGCGGTGAACACATTTGCCAAAGTACGAGAAGGACATTGCGAGAAGGATTTGTATGGAATTTATTACCTCTTCTAGGATTGTAATGATCCAAATCCGTTGATTCGAGCTTTAGCTGTGCGTACGATGGGTTGTATCCGGGTGGATAAGATTACGGAACATTTATGCGAACCATTACGGAAATGTTTAAAAGATGAAGATCCTTATGTACGAAAAACAGCGGCAGTTTGTGTTGCGAAATTGTATGATATCAATCAACAATTGGTTGACGATCAAGGCTTTCTTGACATGCTAAGAGATTTGTTATCGGATTCAAATCCTATGGTATGAAGAAAACAAGAAAATATTGATTGCTTTCTTAATCATCCAGTCATTTAGGTCGTTGCAAATGCTGTTGCAGCACTGAGTGAAATTTCGGAACAATCACCACAAATTAAAATCTTTGATTTGAATGGTCCGACAGTGAATAAACTGTTGACAGCGTTGAACGAATGTACAGAATGGGGACAAGTTTTCATTCTTGATGCTATTGCCAATTATGCACCTCGGGTTCGAAGTTTACAACAAGTTGGCAAGTTGCTTTTTGAAAATCATTTCACATTTTAGGATGATAAAGAAGCTCAAAGTATTTGTGAACGTATTACACCACGCCTCGCTCATGCCAATTCAGCGGTTGTGCTTTCCGCCGTGAAAGTTTTAATGAAATTTTTAGAATTAATCGATCAAAATAGTGAATTTGCTCAAAATTTATTCCGTAAATTAGCACCACCATTGGTTACACTCTTGTCAACAGAACCAGAAATTCAATACGTTGCTCTACGAAATATCAACTTAATCGTACAAAAACGGTAAATTGATATAACAAGATTTCCTTTTCGAACTTATCATTCATCCCATGTAGATCGGACATTCTTAAAAATGAAATGAAAGTGTTCTTCGTGAAATACAATGATCCAATCTACGTCAAACTTGAAAAGCTTGATATTATGATTCGTTTAACTAATGCAACTAACATTGCTCAAGTTTTGGCGGAATTGAAAGAATATGCTACGGAAGTCGATGTGGATTTCGTTCGTAAAGCAGTTCGTGCTATCGGCCGGTGCGCAATCAAAGTCGAGCAAGCAGCGGAGCGATGTGTCAGCACATTAATTGATTTGATTCAAACCAAAGTCAACTATGTCGTTCAAGAAGCGATCATCGTCATTAAAGTAAGCTCGATTGTTTTTATATCGAAAGGCCTGAGCAGTGTGTGCGTATTTTTCAGGATATATTCCGGAAATATCCGAATAAATATGAAAGTATCATTGCAACTTTGTGTGAAAATCTTGATTCACTCGATGAACCGGAAGCTCGGTAAGCGCCGAAACGAGAGATATTGATGAAAATTGAAATTCTCTTTCTAGTGCATCGATGATCTGGATTGTTGGTGAATACGCTGAACGTATCGACAATGCTGATGAATTGCTTGAAGGTTTCCTTGATGGATTCAAAGATGAAAACAATCAAGTTCAACTGCAATTATTAACAGCAATTGTGAAATTATTTCTGAAGAAGCCAACAGAAACTCCTCAAGAGTTGGTCACACGCGTCTTAACTGTAGTTACACAAGTAAGTCAATTATTGGCTTCATATTGAATGTAAATCATTTTTGTTGAGCAGGAAACTGACAATCCAGATTTACGTGACCGGGGTTATATCTATTGGCGACTTTTATCCACAGATCCCAAGGCAGCAAAAGAAGTGATTCTTGCAGAGAAACCACTTATTTCCGAAGAAACCGATCTACTTGAACCAACACTACTCGGTGAACTTATCTGTCATATTGGTACATTGGCGTCGGTATATCATAAACCGCCAAATACATTCGTCGAAGGACGATTTATGACGAAAAAGAATTTACCACTCCGCTCTGGATTTAGCAATAACGATGGTGAAAGCATGGGTAATGGTGCAGTGCCAAGCAATTACCAAGAATCTGTCGTTATCAGCAGTAATGTTGGCTCATTAATAGATGATTTCGACATTTTGGGTCCTATGCCAAATGCTCCGACAACGACGACAGATATGCTCTATGGTCAATCACAACAACGCGCACCATCAGCTATACCGAATCTACTCGACGATGAACTCTCATCTATTCTTGGCACGGATATCAATATGGGCGGTGTTCAAACAACGCCAACAACAACGATGACAAATACATCAGCGCCAGCAAGTCGTCCAACAACAACGGCCACAAGTGGTGGAAATCTACTCGATGATCTATTCGGTGATTTAAATCTCAGCTCAGGTGCACCAGGTATTTCGTTCTCGTCGGCGAATACATTTGCTCTACCAAAAGAAGTAAGAAAGTTGTCAAAGAATTTAAACGGAATCATTCATCTTTCTTTTGCCTAGATTTGGTTATCTGCTCAAAAAGGCAAAGGTATGGAAATCTCCGGCACATTCGCTCGTCGCAACAATCAAATTGTTATGGAAATGGATTTTATCAACAAAGCCTTGCAACCCATCAGTGACTTCGCCTTACAGATCAATCGCAATAGTTTCGGTTTAATACCAACGCAACCATTACACGTTACCAGTCCATTATTTCCCAATCAAACAGTTTCTGCAACTTTAGCATTGAATACAACAGGATCGATAGCAAAATCAGATCCATTAACAAACCTCCAGATCGCTGTGAAAAACAACATTGATGTTTTTTATTTCAACGCTATTGTTCCCATTCATGTTTTCTTTGTCAGCGATGGTGAAATGGATAAAATGACATTTTTACAAACTTGGCAAGACATTCCTGAGAGTAACGAAGTCAAACATCAATTGCAAAACTCTAATAATCTATCGATTGATGATTTACAAAATAAATTGCGTTTGAATAATGTTCATACGATCACGCGAACAACAATTGAACAAAATGAAATGCTTTATCAAACAATTAAACTGACAAATGGCATTTTCGTTCTAATTGAATTGAAGACATCACCGGGCAATCGAACGATCGCTGTAAGATTTGAATGAATGACTAAAATTTCTATTTCATATGATTTCTTTTAGTTTTCATTGAAAACAAGGGTTCCCGAGATCGCCAATTTAATTGTTCAATCTTATGAACTGATTCTTAGTAGTAACTAAATAAACTAACATTCTTCTCTTTCTCTCTCGCTTTTTTTTTTACATATTTATCAATAAATTTTACCGTTCGACATATGCATTCATTCTTATCTTCTTTTTGTAGATCTTTTTTTTCGCTCCGGACTAATGCAGGTGTGTGGGTTGATAGTCATATTTTCATATGAGAATAACTGTATCGTATATTATTCATAGCTTGAACGGAAATTTCCAGCTGCTCAAGGAGCTATTCGTTGCGTACGGTATAATATCGATGGAAACTACTGTTTAACATCAGGCAGTGATCGAACGATTAAACTATGGAAGCCAGATAGCAATCTAACGATTAAAACATACACAGGACATAGTCAAGAAGTTCTCGATGTACATAGCTCGTATGACAACAGTCGAATATGTTCCGGTATTGGCTTTATTTTGGCAAATTGAAGATTTTGAAAGGAATTGTTCGTATTCTAGGTGGTGGAGATAAACGTGTCTTGTATATAGATGTAATGAGTGGGAAAATTGTGAAAAAATATCAAGCACATGCAGGTCCGATTGCAAGATGCTCGGGAAGAATGTCAAAATATTGTTTTTGTAGGTCGTGTACAAGCCGTTCGTTTCAATGAAGAAGGAACATTGATCTTTTCTGCTTCAATCGATGGTACCGTGAAAATCTGGGATGTAAAATCTCGTGAATACGATCCTATTCAAGTCCTAGACGATGCAAAAGACAGTGTTACCAGTATTTCACTTAGTGGTCACGAAATCTTAACGACTTCACTCGATCAACGTGTACGAACGTATGATATTCGTTTTGGTAAACTAACTGAAGATTTTATCGGGCATAATTTAACGTATATTAACATTTCACATGATCAACAATGTTTTCTTGTTGGAACATTATCCAGCCAACTGATGCTGTTCGATAAAATTAATGGTAAACTACTACAAACATTTGTTGACTATACGAACAACACGTATATGATTGAAAATGCTCTGTCCAATGATGATCAATTTATCTACAGTGGATCTGAAGATGGTCGTTTGATATGTTGGAATTTGCTAACAGCCAAGCAAGTTTGTGCAGTGGAACACGAAGCAAACAATCGTAAATCAGTGAATACATTATCACATCATCCCAAGGAAGACAAACTACTCACTGCACAGGAGGGAAATATCTATATATGGTCTAAAACAGACAAAGTCGAAGAGAAAGAAGAGATTAAAAAGCCTATAGTTACGGAAAAGAAATTTGTTGCACCGAAATTTGTTAGTGCAGGTTTTGAATGAAAGATAAAATCATATGTTTATTCCAGATACTCTTTCATAAATATTCTTATCAATGAGTGGTAAACCTTTCCTCATTGGCGTTGCTGGTGGCCCTTGTTCAGGTAAATCAACTGTCTGTCAGAAGATAGTCGATGATCTTCAAACAACTGCTGGAGTTGATCATGCCAATCGTGTAACAGTAATTCCGATGGAAAACTTCTACAAACCGAAGACTCCTGAACAACGGGATATGGCCTTGCGTGGAAACTACAATCTTGATCATCCGGATGCATTTGACGAGAAACTTCTCGTTCGAACTCTACAAGATTTACTCGATCGTAAGACGGTGAAAGTAGGTAAAGATTAACTTGAAACGAAAAACATCTGGAAAGTATTCTAGATTGCTCGGTATGATCCAGGAAAGTATGAACATGTCGAGGGTGTTATGGATACCATCGAGCCAACACCGGTAATCATCATTGAAGGAATTTTGGTTTTCTATTTCCCTGAAATTCGAGTAAAGATTGAGTTTAATTTCGAAGCGAGAAAAAGCATCATTGTTTTCTTATTAGAATCTCTTTCAAATGAAATTATTCGTCGATACCGATGCCGATACTCGTCTTGCTCGTCGGGTGTTACGTGATATGAAAGAGCACGGAAGAAATCTCGAACACGTATTAAACGGTTACACAAACTACGTAAAGCCCTCATTCGAAGATTTTTGTTTACCAACGAAAAAATATGCCGATGTCATTATACCCCGTGGTGCTGATAATCATGTTGCTGTCGATCTTATCGTTCAACATATACGAGATTACCTCAAGCCGAAACCGGAGAAACTCGATAGTCAACAATCGAACGAACATACAACACGATCAAGACCACATTAATCTGCGTCAGATGAAGTTTTCCTTTGTTCTTTTGATCTTCAGCGAACAGTCAGAAAAAGAAAGCACGTTTTTGGTTTTCGTTATATCTATTTAGTGTTCTGTCATAGAAATAATTCATGCTTGCAAAACATATTGTTATTGTTTCTTTCGTAGAAAATAGGCAATTTCGTTTTAGAAATATGTCTACCATACCAGCAATACATTCGTGGAATTTAACCAATTACGCTCGACGAATTAATCCGAAATGTGTCGCAAAGAATGAATATTTCTGGTCGTGTTTGAATACCGATCAATCATCGTTAAAAATGATGATTACTCCAACATTACAGTTGATCATAGTTTCATCCGAGCAATGTATCGAGGAATTGCTTGGTAATGAGCAAGTAGATGATGACATAGACTCAATCTTTCTCTTCTCGTAGATATTTGGTTATTATTTAACTCAACACACGTGCACGTTCATTGTAAAAGTGTTTTATTTAATTATACATGGCCTCCATCATGCACTGGAACACGTTCGTTTCGTGTGAAATTTGTCAATGATAAAGATCTGAAGCAGTGTTTGCAGATCTTGAGTGATTATTTTCCGATTCATACGTATTCTCCGACTGATTGCAATGTTCAGATTAGTTCAAGCCAGCCAATGAAGCTTCATTCGTTGTTTTTCAATGAAACAAAAGATGCATTAGCGTTAGAACAGTCAACAAACATGAACATTCGAACAGATTTTATTCGTCAATACTTATCCACGTGTCTCATGGATCCGATGTTTTGCATTTTTGTCGATCGAAATGAACAAATGTTAAAAAGCTTGTTATCAGATAAATAAAAAATGAATAATTTGTACCTAAACACCTTTTCTATTTTGTACCGTTTGCAACCGACGTAGAATGAAGTTTGAACGAAGAGAAGCTTCTATTTTGTTAACAAGTTCGTTCAGTAAGAAGTTATTTTTAAAATGAAAACTGTTTAAACAAGAAAGAAAGAAAGTACACTTAAAGAACTTTCTTTTGTTACTCACCTTCTGTCGTTCACCCTGGAGACGAACGATAGAATTGCCTCTAATCAACGAGAATTTCTTTTTGTACTCAGTCACTTTTGAGGAAGAAAGAAAGAGAATTACATTTATTCCTCGGGTATAAAAGGAACAGTTTAACGTTGAATTCATAACTATCGTACAAATATTCTTCAAAAAATGGGTAAAAATCATTCCAAAGAAAAGTTCAGTCAATGGGACTTAGACCGTTTCAGTAACATAACTAGTAAGCATTGCTTATTCTTTGTCTTTTCTATGCAATTATTTGCTAATATATAGAAATTCCTCGAGATAAAGTTGCGGCGCTTTACCAGGAATTCGTCGCATCTTCGGGCAAAGATAATCGAATGGATAAGAAAGAATTTCGTCGTCTGTACAAAGAGCTATATATAAGTCGTCAACCGACAGGAACTCAAGATGGTCCGTCAGCGCCCGCGATGTGGAGTGATCATGATTTGAATAAAATGGCTGATCATGTATTCAAAGCTTTCGACCGAGGTTCTGGTAAGATTTTCATACATTAAAAACTGTCCTTTCATGCGTCTTTCTTTTGCAGGAAAATTATCCTTCGAAGGTATGCGATAGTACAATGCTTTCGTTCAAAGATATACTTTTGAAATCATTTGATAGATTTTGTTAATGCTTATCTGTTACTGGATAACAGTCCAGGTATTGCGTCGACAGGTGTTTCACCTCAGGAACGATTCGCTTATATTTTGGAAAATAACTATCCAGAATCAAGTAAGATAACGGATCGTCTGTTATTTTCAGTGGTTATATCGCGATTGATTTCAGGTGAGATTTCGCGTGAACAAGGTGAAGACATGTTCAATAAACTCAATGTATGCTATACGTAAGGATTTCTTTGCATTCACCTTTTCATCTCTCTTTTCCAATCTTTCGATTTGCATAGTGGTGATTCCGAGCTATCAGGTGATGGTAAAACATGGGAACACCATTGGACTCAGATCAACGACGGCAATAATACGTAAGTGTTTTTCAATTTTTCATGCTCAATACTTTATTTGTAATCTTCTCGTAGTGTCACACAAGAGAAATTTGTCCAATATTTCACTCTTTCGGATGCATTCTCACCAAAACTACGACCAACTACAGCATAGACAGATACACACTCACGCTATTTATAATCTCGCTATAATGTGTGTGTGTGTTTTTTTTTATTTGTATTTTTAAATCTTGATGATAATAAATAGTGCTACTGATTAAGTAGAAGAAAAATAATTTTGCTCGATCATGTAATCAATCGATTTGTGAAAGTCTTGTTCAGAAACATGAAACCATGGCAAGTGGCATTGTTCTTGTAGGAACAATTTTGTTCTTTCAATCGGTACTCCGACATTGGCCTGTTCTTCTTCGTTCTGAATGAATCGTATTGATGCAATTCGATCTCTTATCGAGCGAAATCGACTGTTTTCCGAAAGATTATTCGTGATGAAATCTTTCCATTGACTCTGTTTGATTTTCTTTATATTCATCTGTGATAATTTCTCGAATAGAATTCGGTAAATACGTCCTATATCCAATGCATTTCCATACAAATTGAAACATTTACCTTGACTATTTGAACACAGAGCCAAAGCCACGATCACCTTTGCACAATAGTCAACAGGAACAAAATGTAATTTCATATTTGCGTTTTCAACAATCGTCTTCAATTCGATTTGCACACGCAGTAAAATATTGATAAAATCGTTCAAATTGGTAAAACCAGAAGTTCTATCAGCAGAGATTGAACAAGGTCTGATTACAGTGATATTAGCACCAAGATCCGATGCTCGTTTCAATAATCCTTCTACCACAACTTTTGTTTGTCCGTACCCGTCTTTTTCGTTGATTTCTTGCGATGATAATTGAACCCATCCGTCGGAATCTTCTTTCGAATCACTACTACGCGGTAATGCCGCGACAGAACTTGTATAGATCAATTTCCCGTGACATTTTAAGGCAAATTCAAGAATATTCAATGTACCTTGAACATTCGCATGTTTCAGTGCTTTGTATGGCATTTCTAAGTGGACATAGGATGCATTGTGATAGATAAAACCGATTTCGTCAATCAATTTCGTGTACAAATCTATTGATAAGCCGAGATTTTCCTTGGCAATATCACCAGCGAGACAGTGAACTCGATCCCACTTCATTGAGTTCAACCGTTGACATTTACTTAGGTCATCTTGTAGGCGTTGTTTTGCATGTTGATCATCTGTCGCACGAATCAGACAATAAATCATCACGTCGTCATTGGTTTGTTGGACGATCTCGGCGATTAACAGAGGTCCGAGAAATCCGACTGCGCCTGTCACAAAAATATTTTTCTTCGATGAAGCTTTGAGATTTGTGATCAACGTTTTGAAATGAGGCGGGAGTCGGCACTGTTGATTCCAATTAATATCTTGAACAACCTGGTCGGAAATCACATGTTTCTTTGTGAGAATTTGGTTTAGATGATTCAACTGATGATTATAAACAATAGTTGGTGTCAGAGAGATTCCTTGATCATTGAAAATCTTACAAAGTAAATTAATGGCTAACGAATCAGCACCGATTTCAATCATCGTATTCTCACCATTGATTTGTCCTTTCAACGAGCGGTTCAGAACACCTTCTAGAATTTTGATAAATTCATCTGTTAATTGTTCGTTTTCGTTTGTTTGATTGGTTAGCTCTTCGTGAAAGATTTGTGTTTTCAAATGTGAATAATATTGTAGCAAGGCATGTCGACATTTTTTCTCTTTCATTAAGCCATTTTGTTCGTTCCAAGTTAGATTTCGTTCGATGAAAACAGCCTGAGGTATTTCCGGACCGGTCAGACCGCAATGAACAGCATGAAATCGAATCAATTGTAACATATCAATATCATTCAATGTCGAACCCGATTGCGACGGACACACAATCGCAATCAGATACGAATATTTCGAATGGCCAAGTATAAACGACGTCGAAATTTCTGCTAGTTGTTCCAAAATATTCTCTATATGAACAGGTGATATCCATTCACCCATGTTATTCTTAATCATTGTTCCGGATCGATCAAGTAGTTTAATCGAATCTCCTTCTAAGTGTCCGACATCGCCTGTTCGGTAGTATGTTTTGCCGTCGATTTCAATGAAGGAGGAGTGATGATCAATACCCCAATAGCCTTGAATCATTTTTGGTGAATGAATACATATTTCACCTTGATGAATTCCATCGAATTCAGGCATATCCTTCACCGGAAGTAATTTTACAGATACTCCTGGATAAATAACTCCATTTTTAGAAATATTTCCACATTCTCGACAGCCATACATATTAACCAGATCAATCTTTAGCTTATTTCGAACAAAGGCTAATACCGTCGCGGAAATGGCTCCTCCACCTGTTGTTCCCACATGTACTCTTCCGCCTAAATCTTCGCGCATTTGCTTGATGACTTCTTCCTTATCCTTGCCATTACATTTACTCAGATAATCTTTGTAAATGATATTCCATAGGGACGGTGTTAAGCCGAGACTCGTTGGTTTAATTAATTTAATATCTGCCCACATGTTAGCCAGGTTTGTCAAGCCTCGCGAACTTCCATAGCGAATAGTACTTATTAATGATAGTAGAAGAACAGGATCAAATGGCTGATAATCTATGCGTATGAATGGAGATATCAACGTGAAATTATCGTTTGGTACGAGTAAATCTTCAGTGAAAATAGCTCCTTTGGGATAGCCAGTGCTGCCAGATGTGGACAGAATAGCTGATACTGTTTTGCTTGACAGTTGACAGGATGGTGTCGTATCAATCGAACTCTTCTCTCCTAGTTCAAGTGCTCTAGTTAGGGAAACGAAATTCGATTCATTAACTTTTGCTTGAAATCGATCTTCAGTTTTGTAGATGATCATCAATGACTTTTGTTGTTCGGATGTTAATAATGGATAGATTTTCTCTTGAAATTCTTCGTCAATCACAATGAACGATGGCTGGATTTTTGATAGCGTATTCTGAATTGCATCCGTATGCAATGAGCCGTTAATGGGAACAACTACTGCTTGTGATAGAAGTCCAGTTAATAAACAACAGACATAAGCAGGAGATGTCGAGCAGATCAATAAGATCTTCGGTCGACTATTATCATCGGGATTGCCAAGAAATTCTTTCCAGTATTTTCCCAGCTGGACGCATTTGGAAGCCATTTCGCCATAAGTCAGACGAACAAATTGATCGGTTTGTTGATCTTTATAAATCAGTAATGGTGACGACTGAAATAATTGAAATGATTGCTCAATTAATTCTTTCGAAGTTTTTCCAATCGCAAGCTTCTGACAAGGCAGTATATCGATATGTAAGGAATGTGGATGGCTCTGAGCTAATGAATTCAGATGACACCCAAAACACGTACTAAAATGACACTGGAAACAGCACCAACGAGTATCGCCGGGATAGATTACATTTCCACAGACTTCACAAATACATATATCAAGTTTATATGTAATCGAAGGATTCAATTGGTAGCGTTCAGCGACGAACGAACCATAACTTCCAGCTAATGGATTTGACCAACGCCCTTGAAATTGAAAGTTTTCATTGAATTTTCCTCGATATTCAACAAAATATTCTGTTCCGACATATTTCTTCAGAATTTTCATGTCATCTAACGTTCCGTGACCATTTAAGGTAAAAAACAGCAGAGGTTGATTTGGGATATCAGCTGAATCATTAAAATACCCACTACCGAATAGTCTCCACGCTTGTTCATCAGATTGATAAAGAGTCATACACCATCGAATCGGATTGATAGGAAGTAAGAAGTCGCGAAGTTCGTCATCGGGATCAGACTGTCCAACCCAAATTCCTGAAATCAATCTCGATGTTGAATCATTCTCTTGAACCATAGCGAATTCTCCAAATAAGTTCGAATCAACCAACGATTTCCATGTTCCGCGCAAATGACTTTTCCCGTTTGTTCTTTCTTCCCATAACTTGTAGTGATAAAAATATGTTGGTATACCATTGATCATTTCTGTCATTGATCCTTTGTGATTAGTTCCATCATAACTTCCATGAATAATACTCACGTCAGACCCATACAACGCTCCTCCAAAGACCGATGGATACTCTTTTGTTGGCGTGAAACATAGACTAAAAGTTAGTTGACCATCATCAGTTTGAGAATTCGAACTCGATGGATTAAATATACGTTGGCCATTAAACGTACTACTGCAATACATATCAGTCGACATTTTCCTACGAATGAAACAGATCAGAAACGTGTGCACGCTTGTTATTACATTTGAGTGTTGAAAGAAAAAAACACGTCACTTGATGCACGTCTTCTGTCGACTTTCACCGAAAGCAAAACTTGCGTGTCGCGTTTAATCGAATCTTGAAAGTACATTATGAGATTAGAATACTTTTGTGCAATGATGCATCTGCGTCATCCAGCAGCGTGACAAAAACGGAAACATTTAACATGTATCAAGAATCTAATACATTTATTTAATTAAAAATAAAGGTTACATCATGACTAGAAACACACATTCATGTTTATTCATGAAAGCATCAGAGAAAATCTACTGTGATAAATACAAATATATTGACTAGAAAAATCTTGACAGAAGCCAACTGGAATAAAGCTGTCGCGGACGAAAAGACAGTTTCGTCGAAGGTAAAACAATCACTTGTGACAACATTGAAATTATTTGCCTCACAAAAGTGTAAACCTGATTTATATACAACATCTAAGCAAACAAAGAATATTCATACCGAAAAATCACAAATCATCATTACATACCGATAATATTCCCATTGAACTCCGCGCCCTTACAATTCGTATAAAGTTCGTCGCAAAATGTTTTGCAAATTTTGACACGTCTGAAAGATTTGCTTGACTTTAACCAATGTTTATTTGAATGATTCGAACTTACTTTCTGATATACCACAAATATTGATCGGGTGCACAGAAGAAACACATGAGATAATTCATCATATTTTGACATAATAATGAACCTTTGTGCAGAGTATACATCGACTCGAAAACACTGGCAACTTCAGTTCGTCTGCAACATGCATTCTCTTCGTACCATGAACAATTTGCTAAGCCCTTTTCTACTTTCGGACGACGGTCATCGGCTAAATGTTGGAGAAGAGATGAGTTGTACTCTTTGAATACAAATCGTTACTTACAGAAGAATCGACATGGTCGTGTTGAATCGAAATTGAGTTTGATTAGTTCGACATCATCCTCGTATTCTTCTAATGTCAACGCATCTGTGAAACCGATATTTGACTTAACAGAATTTGCATTTGGAATAATCGATGAAATCAGAAAGAAAATGATCAGACGAGAAACCATTATCAATTATAAACATCACAAATAAAACGGAAGTTCAAATACAATTATCTAAAAACACATTCGAATTTGAATTTCATTAACAATATGATTGTATCAAAAACAGCACTGCAAATAAACAAGTAAGATTATGTGTAAATGCTAGAAAAAACAATGACTAAGAAAGATATGACGAGTAAGAAATAGCACCCTGGTAAATCAAGTTGGTTTTTGTTAACCTATGGGTCAATGAATGAGACCATAATATATCGTACACCTTTCGTAACGGGTAAACCTTCATGCAAATGAGTTAAACGACCTGGCTGCATCAATGCCCAACCGCGACGAGTTCCTAATACCGAACAGTTTTGACGAACGAATCGACAGCCACCACCCTAGATAAAAATTTTTCAAAGAAAACATTATCAAGTGTTACATTCGTCTTTATTTTACTTCAAAATCTTTTCCTGCATCATTCAACGCTAGATTGATCGTGTATGTTGATGCATCATGATGAGGTCGTAAGCTTCGTTGTCGTTCCGGCATGTAACGAACAACGAAATTGAGTACTGCTTTCGGTGGCTAGAAATAACCCGAGAAGTAAAATTTGATTTCTATTTGAATTTTCCATGAACTTACATCACTGAAATAACCAGTGAATACTTTCTGTTGAATCGGCTGAACAATATCTCTCAAGATGAATAACCAATGTTCTTGAAAATCGACTTGGGTCATGTGTATGTCATCCGTTGGAACATTCTCGTAACCTCCAGCTAATCGTGCGTCCTGAAAAAGAAGCATTGCGTTCAATGTTTCTACTATAAAATACACCCGATCTTACATCGTGCGATGCGCCGGACCATTTATTATATGTTTCCATGATATTAACTAAACTTTTAGTGAATTCTTCGGAGAGAAATGGAAACCAGTAAACATCAGGACATGGCTAAAAATACGAAGAGAAAATACTAGTATTTTAGATAATAAGAACGATCTACCTGTGCAATAATTGCATTAGGTTCCAATGATTGATGATAATCAGGATGGAGATAACGCGCTTTCCAATCCTATGAAATGCAAAGCAAATTATTCAGTGAGATTGACTGGTAACAGGCAATCAGTACTTTAACATTGTTGAATATTTCATAGATTTCAGGTTGTGTTAACGAAATATTAAAGTTTTCCGGATCGATCAAATGTCCGTAATTCATATCATTATCAATATACATGAAATATCCCTGAAATGAAAAATCAACTAATCTCCATCGAACTTTCTTATCTCAACTTACCGCATCCCGCACTGATTGACAAAATTTCACATCTGGGTCAACCTTTTCTTCGATATAACTCGGAGTAAAACGTTGGAGAAATGTTCCATTGATTAAATAAGCATGAGCAATATGAGGAACATTGAACAAACCCCTAAACCACAAAATTCCAATACCATTACAAGACCAAAGTTCTTCCCTACATTTTCTTGTAATTGACGAAATCCATGTAATCTGGTGATCGTTGATAGAATCCTTCATCGGAAAAATCACCCCAGAAATTACTCCATGTCTGTCCTGGTCGAAGTAACATTGGTGCGACGATGGTTCGATTTCGTATAATCAATTCAATTAAGGTATCCGGATGATCAATATGAGCGATTGAGTCAAGCGCGAATACGTAGTCACATTTATCTTTTTGGCATTCACGACTGAAAGAGGAAATTTGAGATGATAATCCTAGTTGCTTTCTCGTTTAATCTTGATTTACATACATCAGTTGTTGTCGTGCTTCGCCTTCGGTCATATCAACGCTAACGTTCAAATATTTGACGAACTTGTATTCGTCTTTTTTGAACTTTTCGAAATGTTGCTCCGTAATATTCTTATGATACTCAACCTAGAGGGAAGTAACCGAGAATGTCTTTTGTGAATTTAAATGCAACTCTCACTTGATTGTGAATCAAAATACCCATACGTTGTTTGGGATAGGTGATTTTCATGATTTTTTCGAAATATTCACGAAGGAATGGTGTTGGATATTCGATAAATAAGCCGACATAAACCATTGGCCACGATACGAGCTAAAGAAACGTTCGATATCAACATCAAATTTGTCAAACACCCTATTCTTACGTCTTTATTTTCTGTGATATCATATTGCTGCTCCTTGTTCTGTAAACATCCATTAGTTGATGACCATGTTCGAGCAATGTAATTGCTCAGGTAGTTTAAACTTTTCTAGAAATCAGACCGAAATGAATGTTGACACAAGCAGAAATATCTACCTTTCCCGAGCCGAAACCTTGGATAACAGTTGGAACTGAATCTGTCCAGGTGTTATGGACATAAATTTCGTCATTATTTGCTGGCAATTCGATTTCATCGATAGCACCATCCAAATTCATGAAAATATCAGCACGTGTATCAAGTACAATGGACCATTTATTCTAAAAATCAAAGGATCATTGTAATGCATAGTTCTTCTATGCTGGACCTCACTCGAGTCGTTTCGTCGAGAAAAATTCGAGTAAAAAACAATTGTTGGTCCTTGATATCATCCTCATTCGAAATCATTTCATAAATATCCGATGCGTAACCCATGAATCCGCCTGAGTTCAAAAAACGTTTTTCATGCTTATCGACCAACGGATAATCAAACTAAACCGAAAAATCAAATTGTATTGATCAAAGCACTCTATCCGTGGATCTCACTTGTAATTTTTCATCAGGCCAGCACTTATCTTCTGCACCGAAGACAATTCGAGCTGGTTGAAATGCTTGAAATTTATCTAAGACAAAGTCCGGTCCTTGATTGAAGATGACATTGTACGCTTCTGTGTAGAGCAGAATTTTGTTCTTATCATTCTTATAGCGAAGAAGATTCTCTCGTAAAATCTTCACAGGTTGAATTTCCCCGTCGTTTCCACTTGAATCATAAATCTAAATGTGTTCAGGTTACGACTATATTACAGTACATAGGTGTAGTCAGAGCTATAGACCTTCTCTTCAATGAAGAGTAAATAGAAAGAGAGAGAAGGGGGAAGACGATTACCTCGTATTTGTAACCATAAATATTCAATGATCGAATGAAACGGTGATAATTATCAGTCTGATTAGTTGCAATTGCAATGACAAGCAAATCGTCTAGATAACAATTTGTATTCTTTCATAATCAAACAAGATCTCTCTCTGTACCTTTATTAATTGTTTGAGCGGATGAAGCGAAACTAATTAAAACGATGAAAATCAGCAGCCGGTACATTGTCCTCTGATTCATAACAGAAATGATCGGTCAATGGGACAAAGATAAGTGCCTGGATGATGATAGGCGAATGATCTATTTTTGGCAACACTTCCTGGAGCGCTACAATCCATTCCTATTCAATCCGTACACAATTTTCTTTCGTATTTTTTAAATAAATCTTTAATTTCATTTCTTGAAAAAATCTCTTAGAAAATTCTCTGTTCGCAAGTCAATGCAGAAGTGCATAGATGTGTTATTACATAATCACTATAGAGAATACTCCATTCATTTTCTTGTCGTTGTTATTCATTCATTGAGGAACGTAAAAATAATAATAATAATGATAATATTTTTTTTCTCTCATCGTATTTATTCTTTTCGTGCCAAATAGGTTTTGATTCGTCTTTAGATCGACACTAAATTAGTGATCGTTTTCTTTTCCGTTTAATCATGTCAACATCCAATGGAGATGAGCAGCAGAATGTACTATCTTCGTCGATTTCCCAAGAATCGATTGACAGTCCAAATGAAAAGCCCTATACTGATCAAGGAATCAATGAAAAAATTGTACAAAAAATCCGTTCTCTTATCGAAATAGGTAAATTAACTTCGAGCGATATCGATAATCGTGTATGTGAACAACTACGATCGATTCCTGATGATGCCACCACTATTGATTCATTATTTGCTGAATTTAATAATTCCGATTTAACCGGTGTAGTCAACAAAGGGCCGTTTTTATGTAATTTTATCAAAAAATGGAAAGTAGACAATCCACAGCAAGCCAAATCAACTGCGGCTGACTCGCAATCAGGGCAAGACTTGAGTGACAGTGCACGTGCACATAAACCAGGACCAGACGAAGCGAAATTGAAAGTAAATCCACAAAACAGCGTTAACCAAACGTGCATACATAAGAAATGTTCCGTTTTTTTTCTCTGTTTAGCAAATCCTCGATCGAACAGGATACAAAATTGAGATTACCGCTGGACAACGTAAATATGGCGGACCACCACCAGATGGACCTGAACGAGCCGCACAACACAGTGAAGTACGTACATAACAAATATTAGAAGGTCTTCTATGCTTTCTAGAATATTAGTTAATTTCCTTCCTTTTTTCATCATTTGAATAATAGTGGAACATTTGTTTCATTTCTAAATGAATTCTTTTTTTATGTAGGTTTTTATTGGTAAACTGCCGCGTGAGATATTTGAAGATGAGTTAATTCCACTTTGTGAGAAAGCTGGCAAAATCTGGGATTTACGTTTAATGATTGATCCTGCAGCAGGTTTCAACAAAGGTTACTGTTTTGTTACTTTTTGTTCTCCCGGAGAGTCAGCGAAAGCATGCGAACTGGTAAACGCCTTCATTTTTCTCAATTCGATCATTACACCTTGTCTTCCTTAAGCTCAATGGTCACGAAATTCGTCCAGGAAAACCAATTAAAGCAAATAGCAGTGTAGCTAATCTTCGTTTATTTATTGGCAATATTCCGAAAACAAAATCAAAAGAAGAGATCAAAGATGAACTGTCTAAAGCTGTTGAGGGTGTTACAGATGTAATCATTTACGCTCCTGCCGATGAAGCTGATAAGAAGAAGAATCGCGGTTTTTGCTTCGTTGATTTCGACACGCACAAAAATGCATCAGCTGCAAAGAGAAAATTAGCAAATGGTCGCGCTCGAGTAAGCCGTACTTGTATTTGTCTCGGAAACGCTGGCATGACGAGACTTTTTTGTAGGTATTCAATCGTGATATAGCTGTTGATTGGGCAGATCCGGACGAAGATCCTGATGAGGATACGATGGCTCAAGTGAAAGTTTTGTACGTCCGAAATTTAACATCCGAGGTATCAGAAAATGATGTCAAAGATTTCTTTTTGCCATACGGTAATATCGAACGTGTGCGCAAAGTTCGAGTAAGTCCAACATTTCCACTTGAAATACATATATTTCCGATGTGCGATAAATAGGACTATGCATTTGTTCACTTTGATAAACGAGAAGATGCTTTAAATGCTATGCGGGCACTTAATGGAAAGGTAAAACGAATCATTAGAACTAAACCATGGCTAATGTCTTTTCTCTTTCAAATTGTTGCAGATGCTTGGTCGTAATCAAATTGAAGTTAATCTAGCTAAGCCTTTGAGTGATAAGCGAAAGCAAGCACAAGCCAAACGTGAACAGCGCAAACCGTTCGACACACGAGATAGTTTTGCCGATTATCCACCTCCAAGACCAGCAGGAAACACGAGAGGATACCATCAGAACAATTCAGTACGCGGAAATGGACGATCCAATGGTTCGTTCAGTGAGTATTTCACTTCTCATGGATCTTTCGACTGAAACATTTGATTTGAACGTTGTAGATAGCAATAATTTTGGTGCTTTTGGTGGAGATAATTCCATGGGTGGTGGTGGCAATGGTAGCAATCCACCACCACTACCACCACCATCACGCGGTGGATCATCTTACCGGGGCAGTCGCGGAGGAGTAAGTAGATAGTTAATGATGACGAAATTGCGTTGAATCAAGTCTTTTCGTTAACAGCGCCACAATGGACCATCCGGTAGTGAACGAAGCGGTTTTACAGGTAATCGAGGAAGTGTAGGCGGATATAATTCAGGTAATCGTGGTGGAAATAACAATTTCAACCAAAACAATCGGGGCAGTTATAATAATAACAATTATCGAGGTGGATACGGGGAATCATCACAAAATGTAAAGAACGCAAACAAAGAACGAAGAATTTCGTCTTATAATATCGATATTCTATGTTTATTCTAGCATAATGCAGGTGGCTATAACAATAACAGTAATTTCAATCAGATGGGAAATAGCGGTTTTAACAACCAAGGTTTGATTATCTGTGCGGGAGATTTATGTTCTTGTTATACTCGATTCTCTTTCAGGAAATTTCGGAGCATTCAGTGGGCCAACATCGAACAATAATCAATCGTTTGGTCGATCATCGAATCAAATGGGCATGGGTAATAGTGGCTTTGGCATGAATCCAATGCAACAAAATCAACCATATGGAGGTATGAAACGACCACCGAACCAGATGAACGATGGTAATATGTCGAAACGATCCCGTCCTGATACAGGATCGTGGGGCGCCATGGGTGGCGATGGAAGTGATAATTCCAATAGTGGTCCACAACAGCAGAATGCCGGTGGAAATTGGTACCAAGATCAGGGCTACAACAATTCCCAGCAACAGTCCAGCTATAGCTGGAACTGAGCTATGTCTATAGATAATCCAGTGTGTGTGAGAGGTGAACTTTTCGAAAACAGACAGTGGGTGAAAAACGAATTTTCTTTCTCTCTCTCTCTTGCGCGCGCGCTGACTCTCCTACTGCCCTAGCCTTGAACAAAGACCGACTTCATAAATACGTACACATACAATACTTAAAATAACTTCTTTTTCTTGTTTTTCTTTTTGTTTTCTCATCAATGTTCATAAAAATTTATTTACCAAAAACATCAAGAAAAAAATCAGACACTAAAAAACAAGGAAAATTTAGCTTTTTTTGTATAGTAAAAAAACACAAAAACTTTTTCTTAATCAATTTGTTTATGTCTGTGTCATTGAATCTTTCTCTGTTCTGTGCTTTTTGCTTTTTGAACCAAAAGTGTTTCTCGTCATTTCTCTAATTCCTCATAAAAAACACGAGGATCTTGTTTTTGACAAATAACCAATATTTTGGAAAAGTTTTCAAAAATCAAAATCAGTGAGAGAGGTTAAAAAAACACGCACACAGTCTATTCCTGGTTATGGCAGCTTTAAAATCATTCCAACGATTGATGGGGAAAAAGAAAGTTTAAATCCAACTATGTGTATATCTGCATTGGAAGGTCGAGGGATAAAAGAAGGTTAAGAAAGGATTGGTTTTTCCAGTGTGAATTCATGTTTTTACGTTTAAACTATTCGCTCGCCTAGGGAGATAGGAATAGATAACACTGCACTGATCGTTTTATTTCAGGCTATATCGTTTTCCATCATTCACCATATGCGATCGGTCCGGTTTTGGCTTGTTATACAACAACACCAACAGCACAAATGACACCATCGTACCTGCATCCAGCTATGTCAGATATTCCAAAACGACTTCAACTTGAGCCAACTAGCAACGAAATCGAGGACAAAAGTAATCCCACGATTCGTTCGCCATCTCGTTGTGCTCACCTATCACTTTTAGATCGAAGACAAATAATCATTTGCAATAATGAAGCAATGTGGTCCGAACAATAAGCGATTTTTCAATGTACATAAAACGATTGAATAACCTTTGTTCGTATATGACTCGGTGCCTTGTTTTCATTCATCTTTTTGTTAGTGTTTATACAACACCGGCAATCAATTGTTGTATGACTATGATATAAAAAGCCAACTCGATCTTATCGTGCTCTCTTATGTCAGATACTTTTGTATCGATATTTTTTTAATCCAGAGATTTTCTTTTCTTTCGCTTTTTAACTTTTTTTTATGTTATCGATACGTATTTAATATATACATACATAGACTAGTTTTTATTGAAAAATTCGTTTGAATTCATCGTATTATTCAATCTCGACAGCGTTGTAAAATGAGTTATTGTCAAAGCGTAAAATATTGACAACTGTCTCGAATCATTCATGCAGAGTAAAGATATTCATCTTGGTTGTGCAATAGTAATACATGTATTTCAATGAGTCAACTAGATAAATAAGAATGATTCACTTGATCTTCGATAGGACAAGAAGACTGGTTTGACTGAACAGATTTGTGTTGCAAATGTACATTTTGTTACGTTTAACTATTCACTAAAGATTTTTCTTTCTTAGAAATTGTATCAATCAATAGCATTTGAAATAGCAAGGACAAGTCCGCCAGGGAAACAATTTCTTGAATGTAACACTCAAACAAAACATGCACTGCAAATAACAAAGGCTTTCCAGATACCAAATGTACTGATATGTTGAAAACTAGTCTTCAAAATTTGTGAAATCTTTCTATGTTCTCTATTTCAATAAATATACGGATCTCAGATGTAGGAGAGCAAAGAAAAATCAATCGAAAAGCGATTCATTCATTTTTCCTTTAACTCCACTCTGAATTCATCATTGAATGTACATCCGTTGCCTACGTGTAAACAACTTTCTTTTCAAAATTTTCTTCCAGTCGAGGTAATAAGAATGAAAATCGACTTACTTTTCGACTCCGAACCGAGACTTTGCACTTGTTCCTCAAGAACATTCAATGGGATGTATTGAATACAAACAAAACTAACAATCATCAACAACAAACTCAAGCTAGAAGAGAATGGGAGATGTTTTTAAAGAAAGATTTGCTCGTCGTACTTAAGTCAAAACGACAGTTTGTTTACATTTGAGCGTCATTCAGCACGCCTCACTCCCAAAGAAGAAAAACGTGTAGTTTCCGGCTTGAATTACATCAGGAAATGAATCTTTATATGAAAACTAAATGTATATCACTTGAGGTGAACCAGAACAGGAAATATATTGTGACGGCGTCGGTCACATTGAATACTCGAACTATTCAGCAAATGTGAGAATCAAAGATTTCAATGCTTTTCTGTCGAAATAAATTCAATACATTTCGACGCATTATCGAAAAACAACATCATGCACTTAGCCCGAACAAACGCTGATGAAACCTTTCAAACTTAATCTTTCGCAAAACAGAAAACAACGAGTAAACTGATTTGCAAAATTCACTGTAGTTGCTTACTTTTTCTTCACACTTTTTTATCAACATCCGTTATTGCTATAGTTTTCTTCTCACTAAAATTCTAATTATAGTATGCGACCATTATATTCTCGAAAAATTCTCTTATACTGTCATTATATCAAGCGAACGGAAATCAAGTAGCACTTCGGATATTTTTCTCGTTTCATTTACATTTGACTCTAACCTTGTCCTTTCGGCACGTGATTGAGACAACTTCTCGATTTTCTCTTCTTCTAATCGTCCTCTTTTGAAATTTCGTCAAAACAAATCTCGCTTCTCTTTGTGCACATGCCAGGCAACATGCAGATTTGAATCATTCCTTTTTTTCGATTATAATCTATGCACCGTTTGTCCTTATAGATCAACCTAATGGTGCATTCGAAACGTGAGATCTTAGAACAATATAGTACATTTCTTGAACGTAATATCGTCCTAACCGATGGCTTATTGCAATGGATAAAAGACGAAAAAATGCTTTCTAATCGTGTTCTTACTAATATTCAAGTATGAAATTTTTCTATTCGCTTTTCCGGTCTATATGTGTTTAAGGATAGGCGATATCTTCGTCAATTGAAAAGAATAGAATATTTCTGTCGAATATATCCGATTATGGCGATGCGGGCTTTACGAAATTAGTCGAAGGATTGATTGCAAACGGTCAACCATTCATTGGCGAGCTGTTAGAAAACGAAGGTAACTTGCTGTTGATTTTCTTCAATGATAAAATTCTGCTTTTGTCAGATAAAAAAGCATCGGAATCGACCGATGATGATATTTCGAAAAAAGTGAAAATCGATGACGAGATGTTAAAACAATGTCCAGGTGTTGATAAATTACGCGCAGATACAAGAGACAAACTTAAGACATATCTTCAGGAACAAGTAATACATCATTATTCGACTTGATAAGTCATGTTTATTTTAAGTTATTCCGAGCTTATATACGTGACAAATGGAGTAATCAAAATCAGGGCAAATCAGTGGAAATGATCAATCTGAAAAGACAGCATTATGAAAAACAACGGCGATTATCGATTTCGGTCGAAGGGTAAAGATCTGGTACTCAGCTCGATAGGATTTCTCATCTGTTTGTAGAGATAAACAAATCATTATCAATTTAAGAGAAGCACTCCGTGACGAACAAATTGCTCGCCAAGAGAAAGTAAAACTATGTTTAAAGTATGCGCCAGTTAACCTGAGACTTTTAGGAAGATGAAGTAAAAGATCTTCGAAACGAAATTGCGCGATTGAAGGTCGATATCGAACAAAAATGGTCGAGTCAAATCAAAATGGTACTGATACATTCGCTTGACTGACAAGAAAAGAAAACCATCTTTCATTCAGGTCGATGCGAATACTCGAACAGTTTTCAAAATGCACGACAAAATGGTTATGCTAGCTGATTGGCTTTCTTCATTAGGTATTTAATCGCTGTATTTCTCGGAGAGACAAACAGAAATCTATTTAGATGAAATTCTCGGGACGAATATAAATGGAAGTGGAATCGATTCGGATACATTGGATCACTTAGAAAACAAACTCAAGCGATACAGATCAGAAATTGAATCACTTCGTAAACGAGGAATCGGTAAAATAATGAGTTCAATAAACTGAAATCTGTATTCATCTTCTTTTCCTTTTTCCAACAGGTACGGATAAACTGAAAGAGGAACTGTACGATGCTATTTACAGTAGTCGATCTTTATCAATCGAAGATCGAAACAATAAATCGTTCTACGAACTTCTCCTCCGTCTCTACGGATTGAACCAGGTGACTGAGCTAGCCAAAATCTGTGTGAAAGATGTTTTACAGTTGAAGCAAGATCGTGAATATGTCCATGACATCAAATGGCGAGATGAAAAAATCGATCGACTTACTCGTGAGAACGAAGAATTGACGATCGAAAATGAGCAACTCAGATCGACAATTGATTCAACGAAAAAAGTACCGTGGCGTCCTGCAAATTCCTCGAATCCGATCGAAAAACGTGACCTAGGCCGACACCGAGACGTACTCAAACCATCCAATGTTCAGCTCGGAGCAAAACCTGGAAGCAGTTGAACGCTCGCTCAATTCAATATTTGAACAACTCTCTCTGTTTCCTCTGAACGTAAATAAGATAAAAAATTCACATTTTTCAAGTATTGTGTTTTCTATGTTTCGGTCTTAATCACGGTGAACACACCCACATTCTTCTCTGCTCTTTTAATTGCTTTGAACGAATTCCTTGTGCAGATTAATCAGTTGTCATTGAATGTCGAATTAAATATTTATTGATAAATAAAAGCAAACTTTCGTTCATTATTCTAAGCATTGAATAATAGATATACGTGCTCGGTTATCTGAATATTCCATCGATCAAAATCCTAATTAGTTCTTTGCATAAATGAGTCAGAATAAACTTGTTATATTTTGATGAAGAGAGGAAAACGGACGAGAGAGAGGAAGAGAGAGAGAGACCGAGGGAGGAAAGATGGTTCCTAGAACAGGGAAATCATTAATAAAAGACGACGAAATAAGTGGGAAGAGAGAAGGGGAAGAAAATAATGAAGACTATTTTTTTTTATTGAGGAAACATCGGTAAACAATAACAATTGTATATCTACGAGCGTTTCGAAACAATAAGAAACGCAGACAATCTACGAAACAATTCAAGTGCATTTCTTCGACATCAATCCAGGTAATGAAAAATGACAATATGTGAGGAGTTTCACTGCAAATGAACTTCACATTTATCGAGAAAAGATGAGATCTGGCATTGACAGTGATTTAATTTTCTACTAGCAGAGATCGTACGAATACTCAACAGTTTCTTTTCTTCTCGTAGCCTTCGACTTATAAATCCAACGATCATGAATTCAACAACTCTCTTCGCCGGTGTTCTCAGTTGTGTTTTACTCATGGTGATTATAAACTTCACTCTCGTTTTCATCTCGTTTCTATTTCTATTTTATCTTCTAGTTAGCTCTCACTCATTCATTCGCATTATCAGACCAGACATCCGATGGCGAACAACACCACCTACTCTTCGAACAATCACCGATTCTTTTACCGAATAAATTGATTTCAATTTATCAAGATGATAGTGCCAGCAATGAAGATTCCAGTGTTCATGAATTCGAAAAGCGCCGATTCAACGCCTGGGCCGGTAAACGCAGTACATTCGGCAAACGACGTTTCAATGCGTGGGCTGGTCGACGATAGATGTTCGTCATCTAAATACATTTGCTTTCTTTCTCTCTCTCTCATTTCTGATCAATAAAATCTAACATCTGATACCAGCAAGATTAAATATAAATGAAATGATAAAGAAAATTTTAATAAATACAAACAACTTTGTCTTTTTATTTATATTAATTATTAATTTAAAAAAAAACACGCCCTTCTCTCGTCTCATGCTTTTGTATCGCTGTTATACGTTTTGTGGAAGGTTAAAAGATAAGAATGTATACAAAGCAGAAAAAACACATCAAGGCACAATTACTGAGAAAGAACTAAACAAGAAATCCCATACAAACAAATACACACACACGTACACAGATATTTGTATATAAACTCGAAGCGATTCGCAGTGAGCAATGCATACTACGAATGCTTATAGAAGGAGACTAAGAATGATTAAAAAAAGTACATGCGATTTGTACAAGAGCACGAAAAAATAACTTGTTATTATAGCCAAAAAGGAAGAAAGAGAAGGAGAGGCAAGCAAACAAAGGATTAGGTCACCGTTGTTGAGCAGATCTATCGAAAAAGAGAATGTGTATGCGTACATGGTAAAGTAAAAAATCATGAGATTCATTAGTAACATCCTTCATTCCATGATGATGTTGGCGACACGGTATCCGGAATCTGTGGTCGTGTGACTGATGCAGGAGCTCGAACGTTCCGGGTTGTCATCATACTATCTGATGAGTGAGACGAAGGAATTGAGTTCGACGTTGCCGGTCTAAGCGAAACAAAAGAAAGATGAAATAGATTGGGCTTCAGTGGACAAAACCATGCAATTAGTAGCTCTAAGTTAATTAGCTCCTGATATACTCATGCCTATTCAAAGTCCATTGATGGTTGTCCGTCGAGATGAAAGAGAATGATGGCTGAAAAGCAACCATCCATGAGAACACGAAGCAAGCAAAGCAAAACAAAAAAGAAAGAACTCTCAGACAGTTCGACATACCGTGAGGGCGTCGGAATACTAGGCCGCCCTTGTTTACCAATGGTCGGTATTCCGCTTTTGCGGCCTTGACTTAAGGTAGATGAGCTGCGTGGTATCGAGCTTTGACTGTTTGTTGGAGTAATTGCTGTTTGTGTGACATCGACCGATGACGCAGGAGGAATTTGTTCGGCAGAGGTTTGAGTTACCGGACGTCGTAACGTTGTCATTTGTGTTCGAGGTTTGTTGCTGACGTCATTGAGAAGATTATTCTCGGTTGATGTAAATTGTTTAGCAGTAAATGTTGATCCTAGATCATTTGCTGACTTCTTCGCAGTTTTCGGTGCAGTAGCCGATGGTGTCGGTGGTGTTGATTGTGTTTTTGGGTTATTATTGTACGATGTCTGTGAGCCACGATAGTTCTGTAGTGGTCGAGATACAGGGGGCCGTGTTCGGTTTGCTCCATTTGCTGAAGTAGGCAATGCTACACCCGTACGGTTTGTTCCTGGTGCTGCTATCGGTGGGTTTGTATCTGAAGCATCAGGTAAATCATAACTATTGGAAACATTGGTACTAATTGTTTGTGTATTTGATCGACGATGGTTGTTTGGTTTAACGCCATTTCTACACCATACAAAAGTATATCAATATTGATTTGAAGATTTATGTATGTGTTTACAAACCTTGGTGTTAATGATTTTGGTACAACTGGAGGCTTAGTCCCAGATTGATCTAAGAAAGAGAGACAACAATAAGAATTTGAAGAACAAAATGACACAATTCAAACGTTCGTTAGTTAGTGTTCGAACAAACATACAAATAAATAAAGTTACAAGCGCATCAGTAGTGCAATTGTTTTGATCACTTCGAGGTAACTATGATATTTTCATCTAATGGGAGATATGCATATGTTTTCTCGACACTCGCTAAGAATTCTCTATTCTCCTCGTGAGGGAGGCAAACATTGTCGTTGTCAAAATTCGACGTAATAATGATTTGATAGTTTAAGATAAGCAAGAAACAGGTATGATAAGGCCTCGTGAGGGTCATCAGTTGAAATATAAAAACTGACGGATATTTTATTTGACTACACTATTTCGAGTCAACATCGACCATGGGTAAAAAGAAACTCATAAAATATCTAATCAAGAAGAAAAAAAGTACGTCATCGAACAAAGAGGCCGAGTTCAATGATTTCATGTATCTCTAATTTAGATAAACCTCAACCTCAAGCGAATCCGACTAAGCCGTCCGAGCAAGAAGTGAAATCTTCTTTTGCTTTCGATAATCTAGCTTATGGTTCTAACGTTAATCTAAAACCATAGAATTCCTTCGTTTTTGTCTGTATAGAAAATAAAACGAGCACATCATTCAAAGCATTTTTTTTTTCATGAGGGTGAGAAAGATAAGCGCTCTACTTTGGTCAACCTTGCGATATCAATCAATGTATCTATTAAACTGGCACTCGTGGCACTGTAGATAGCAGAGAGAGCGTGAGCAAAGCAATAGCGCAAGCAGATTGAGAAGCAGACAAGACAAACACGTTAGTAGAGCATTCTAGGTGCAGTGTAGTTAGTTGAAAACAAATCAAAAAAAGAAGAAGAATACGTATTAGTATTCTATCAAGAACCTGATGCACTATCGGCAGAGGTAGTATCGGCAATATTAGGCAACACAAGAGATTGCAAAGGATTATTTGATGAAATGAAGGATGTTTCCATACAGGTTTCAAGTGCAGATGGTGTCACACGTCCACTCCATTGACCTGATCGTATTGCTGGCGATTGTGATCGTGGTGAGACCGATGGTAGAACATGTGAATATTGCGATTCTGTTACCACAAACGAATTCTTTCGGATTGGTAAACGCCGAGGTGTCATGTAGCCACTATTACTAACGGGGCTTGTGTTACGTGTTGCACCAAATACAGGTGATGCATCACGTGAATCTGTACTCATCAATGTATTGGAACTGCCTCCTGAAAATGTATAGATTAACAACGAACACCACAACGATAAATGTGCAATATATAAATAGCAAACATCGAACATTAGACAATGATCTTTTTCTTTGGACACTAACTGTACATGTTTAGATCGTATGAGCGAATATCATGCATCTATTTGTCTACAAACAAACCTACCGAAACGTTTGGATAATGGACCTTGTCGTTCTGCTAGACGTAGTTCTAATAAGAAGGAGAAAATGAATGTTTTCTTCGGAAGATAATCGAATATCTTACTTTCTAATTGTACTTTTGCCATGACTAAATACCAGAGAAATTAGATTTGAAGAAATTCGATTGAACTCTTACCCTCGAGATCAGTATAATCCAATGGTTCCCTTTCACGTTCTCGAGAACCTTCCCGAGAACGTACAGTACCACTCGTTGTTGCAATGGTATGTCGAAGTGGTGATGAACTAATAGGCGATGTTGGTCGAGTGTTTCCATTCCCATTCAACAATGGAGTCGCAGATCTTAACGGAGAGATCATTCGACCATTACCAACAGGTTCTATAAAAGAAAAAATATAGATTAATGTTCCATTCTATCAAAGACCGTCACACTAGTTAAACAAAAAAAAAGAAAAGCCAAAAGGAGCATAACCAACGAAAAAATATCTTTTAGCATGCTCTTCTAATACTTAGAAAAAAAAGAAATCCGTTCGTTTCGTGCTCAGATCATGCTAAACATCTTACTACGCGATGATAATATCTGATCATTATTATCAAGACTATCCAGTGATGAACAACGACGTGTTAATTGTTCAATTAGTTGACGTTCATTAACAATGGTTTGCAAGAGATTTGTATCATTATTTGAACAATCGTAAAACTGTTCTTTATCATCATCTGATGATTCATCATTCAGTGAATCATAAAGAAACAGATCGAACTGCTCATGATTATCTTTTTCAATGCTATCCAAACTTAATGTTGATATGCGTAACGTTTTTGATGACGACGATGGCAAAGTCAAAAATTCCGTTAGATAAAGTGCATTTTCAAGTAGATCAGATGAAGAAATTTTTGAATGAAGAATAAAACTTTGTATACCTGGATTCACTTGTTGTTCAGTTGAACTACGTTTCACACTATCCGATCGTTGATTGCCAGCAAAATTATGGCATGAAATACTTCGAATTGTTCGTGCTACAAAAGAAAACATGTAAGAATATTTCCGTTGTTTATATTAGTTAATTCTCTGTATCTGCCCAACGAGAAATCATAGCTTTTATCGACACATTTCTGGTATTGGCTTTTCAGATAGATATCGAATATTTGCTCGTTAAATACTCGAAGACATATACTCTGAACGAAACTATTGAATACGATAAAAGCTATGAAGTGTTTAGTTGTCCTTATACTCAAGGATAACTTCTTCGTGTTCTCCCATTGTATTCGATTGATGAAAAAATAATACTATGAACTATTTTATCCTTGGATGTTTGGATACATGTTCACAATCGATAGAACTCACCATGTGACATATCGTCAAGTTTGCAAAGAAGTCTATGTTTAGTTGCATTAATATCATTTTCTTTGAATTCTTTGTGTACCCAAGAGAATATATTCTCGGATGTCGGATTAGTTCGATTACCATTGTTGGGCATTTGAAATAACCTATAGGATGAAAATGACAAAATTATCATGAGAAAAAATGAAAGAATTTGTTTTACCAGGAATCGTCAGTTTCATTTTGTTCGTCGATTGCATTCACGGGTTCGATTTTATCAAGCGATATGCCATCAGTAGATGCATCGTATTGTGCTTTACGTGAACGACGTTTTTTCTGTGCATTAGTTGCATTTTTCTTTTCAAGACTTCGAAGAGATGCATCTGGATGAAGGCCATTAGTACTGTTGACTAATACCGCATCGTCCTGTCCGGCGACCGAACAAAAACTTTCAGTCATCGACTCACACATACCAACGCCGTCGAGAATAAAACTCGTCGGTCGTCCACCACCGCCACCACCGGAATCGGATATTCCCGACGTTGTTAAATCCGGAAAGTGAAGATTGTTTATTGTTGATGTTGTCAATAGCGCCGATGGGTCGAATGAAATACTTTGATTCATGTCTGTGATTGACGAGAGAAGTTTTTCGGTCATTGTTGTCAATTGAATGTTTTTTACGTATTTACGTATATCAATATCTATCAATCAATTGAGAAAAGAAAATACTAATCCTTCATCTGTCTGTTTCTGCGTCGCGCTCGCGAGTAGAGAATGTCATAAATAACTTGACCAATCAAACGGTCTTTCAAAAGAACAGCGACATCTATATGAATAAAATTAGCCGATTCAATTCGATTTCTCATGAAATTTTCTCGGAAAAATCCAAGAAATATTTTGATTTAACATACAATGAAAACTCCATACGATTGGTGAAATCGATGAGTCACGTTACTTACTATCAATCAGACAGTCAAATAAATTTAACCATTACTAGAAAGAACAGAAAAAATGCAAACGGCAGAGAGTGTATGTTTATGGAATTACCAATTTAAAAACAATTCTCCACCTTCACCGATCAGTAATATGTCATCGAAAAAAATTTCGATGGAAAAAACGCCATATTTAGCATGTACAGAACGGTACTCATGTCAAAATGAAATGTCATCGAAAGCTATTTTTTATTGTCTCGAATGTAAAAACCTACAATGTCTCCTATGCGAAAAAGAAATTCACGATCACGTTGGTAATAGCCAACATGGACGATTAACACTCGATGAAATCGACGATGAATGCTGCTCAATTGATCGACGACATCATGCTGTCTTTTACTGTACAACATGTGCAGCGATGTTTTGCTACAGTTGTTACGAAAATCAACATCAACATTCAGACGGACGACAGCATAATTTGCAAAAGTATCGCGATGGGCAAAAGCCTACAACTAAGAAGACACATGAACAATCCCGAACATCAACTCAACCGATTAAGATTATTCCGTCTTCTAATGTGAACAATAAGCCAATCAAACCATCAGCATCTTCATTCGAAGATGTTCAAGTCGATGATACTGACGAGAATCTCATCTCACCACCGAATCGAAAGCAACATGCAAATCATATACCAAAGCGACATAATTTCAATCAAGAGATGTTACTCGAATCGATGATAGATGACAGAGAAAATGATCAAGTCGATACTCATCATCTTCCGAGTAAGTCTGTACAACAATCCAATTCTGAGTCAACACTAGGATTTTTATTACTCGATGCAAATGAACATTTAACTGTAAGATTGATTCTTGTCCACTCCATCGGTTCACAACGATTTCTCTCTGTAGGTAAATACTGAATCGGAATTTCTACGCCGTCTGAGAGTTGATAAAGATCTCAGTGTTAAGTGTGTGTCCATTATTGGAAATACTGGAGATGGAAAATCTCATACGCTCAATCAGGTATTTTTCAATGGTCGAGAGATCTTCAATACCTCACCAACGGCAGACTCCTGTACGATGGGCGTATGGTCAGCTCTTGATGATAGTCATCAAACGCTCGTTCTCGATACCGAAGGCCGTCTAGGTCTAACAGAGAATGATAACACGCGCAACAGATTGTTATTGAAGATTCTGTGTATTAGTGATATTGTGATTTATCGTACGCGAGCGTCAAAACTGCCGAACGATATGTTTCAATTCCTATCCGATGCGTCAAATGCATTTTTGAAATATTTTCGAAAAGAATTAGAAAACGTGATGAAGAATTGTAAGGCAGATGGACCTGTATCGACGATGGGACCCACATTGATTGTATTTCATGAGACACAGCATACAGGAATTCTAAAAGGTATAATATTCAGTTCAATAATAAAAAACATTCGAAGATTTCCATTGTTTTCAAGGCTCAAAAACAGCAGTTGAACAGTTGAAAGAACGATTTGAAACAATGAAATTATCCTATGACGCCTACAGGTTAGCTAGAATTGAATCTGTTTTCCCATAGATGATTGTTTTCTTTCGTTTTAGTTCAATGGAATATGTTGGCATTCAAACAGTCGGGAGTAAATCATCGAATTTCAGTGAAATCAAAGCAATGATTGCTGCAACATTAAACAATAATAACATTCGTTCTCGTCGACGTTTATCGATTATTTTCAAAGCCTTAAAAGTAAGGATCAATATCGGTTTGAATGTGAAGGATCAAATCTGTACTCTTCTAGGCACTAAATGAGAAATTCATTCATGCCATTCCTCCATCGATACCATCGACATTACCCGATGCTTTTTTCGCTTGCTGCGTTAAATGTCTATCATGCCGGTACGAATTTCTCTTGATTCTATTCTCGTCTTCTTATCCTTGCGAACAATTGTTCTAGAACGAAATGTACAGCGGTCGCTAATCATAAGAAAGATGATATTCCTCACGAATGTGAGCCGCGTTGTTTATACAACAAAGATCTAGACAATGAAGTCTGGAAATGTTTGCAATGCCATCGTGAAGGTCGAGATATGATTGTGTACGGCAAGTTAATCACGAAGAACGATGGTCTTGTTCAAGGACTATTGAAATATGTTTGGTATGGTTGTGTGATTGAATGTCCGCGTCACGGGGAGATCTATCGTTCGCGCAAGCATTGGTACGGAAATAATGAACCTAAAGATGTTACACTCGTAGAAATTATCCATGTTTGGCCCGATGATGATAATAGTCGATTAGCGAGCGATGTTACGCCGAGAAAATTTATGGAATTGATTGTATATGCGAGCAGGTAGGAACAAACATTCATTGGAAATGGATTCAACGCGTTTGCTTCTAGTTATTTGTCAGCACCAACGAAGATGATATCGGAATTAGTTGCCGATCAAGTCGCACCATCGTATTGGGTTCCAAATAAAGATGTTATTGTAAGATTCTACTTTATATTTCGTTATTCTCTTACAGATGATAAGACTATCTTGACAGTTACTCGAGAGATAGGTCGAATAATACACCGGTTATCAGCAAGAGTGTCGCTGTGTAATCGAAATGAATAGTAACTCAGGATATTTGTTCTAGGCGTGTTCATCATGTAAACTTCTTTTCGGCTCGGAATATTCGAAACATCACTGTCGAGGTAAAAGAAAATATTTACCTTGTCGTTGTCAAATTTCTAATACATTGATTCTTCTCCTAGCGTGTGGGCATGTGTTTTGTGATACATGCACGGCTAACCGTCGTATCGTGTCATGGATTGACACGGAAAAGCCAGTTCGTGTGTGCAATAATTGTAACGACAGTCCAAAATCTCGCGCACCATCATGTGCCATACCGTCGACAGCCTCATCCGAAATTAATAAACAGTACAATCAAAAAACATCGGAAAATAGTGGTAGTAGTGGCGATTCGGCAAGTACAGTGTCATCTGGTGAACATTTGAATGATCTATGTTTATCTCCAACTGATATATTCGATATTGATCAACCGAGTGCAGGTAGAATTTCTCTTTCAAACAATTCATTGACAAACATTCTGCGTGAAATTTAGGTCCAATTATTGTTGATATTCCAACAACCAGACGCGTTTATGAAACAGTAATCAGTGGCTTAGAAAAGATCGGAGTGAACTATCCTATTGGTGAGTTTTTTTTAATCAGGGAAAGAGAGAAAAGTTTCACTTTGCTTTGTGATTTAGAATTAATCAAAGAAAGTACTCGGCCAAGCTATTGGAAGCCAGATAGTGAGTGTCATGCGTGTTATATTTGTAAACGACCATTCAATAGTACGACAAATCGGCTACATCATTGGTAAATGTTCTTCTCGATTCGAAGAATAACCTTGAAAACAAATCATTTTTTGTCTTTAGTCGAAGTTGTGGTGATGGTGTTTGTGAGACTTGCTCTCCTAATCAACGATCAGTACCGGAGAGAGATTGGTTGTCACCTGTTCGCGTATGTAAACTATGTGACAAAGCCATGGGTGGAATGAATGCAAAATCATGATCTTTTATTTTTTTTTAAATATCTCTATATATAATTGTAACTTCTCTCTCGTTTCTTATTATTTAACTGTGCACTGATAGTTAACAATGTCTCTACATGTGTGTGAACTATTGCTAATAATTCTCGAGAGAAAAGAAGACGTGTTTATATGTGTATATGTTTGTAATGGATGTTTTCTTTTCTTTTTCATATTGAAATGAACGAGCGGGTGTTATTGCTTCTTTCTTTCTCGATATTACATTCTACTCAACTGAGACTGCGAGGCTATACATTTATGTGCAATAATAGAAGTCTATCTAATCCCAATTCCCTCGAATAACCTTGAGAATAAATGAGAAGACGCGATTTTCTCTGCCAGTATCGTCTATATCTAAGAAGAGAAATTTGTCTACTTTTTAGATGTTCATGTACAATGGTTATGCTTCGTATGATGAGGAAATTCAACGACATATTGTATCTAACTCGTCCTTATCATCCATTGTACCATTACCCGTTGCCGAAGAAATTGCTCTACCGTTTCTAACATATATCTACGAATCCATAATCAGTAATCGACCATTTTCTATTACGATCGATAAGGATCTCAAATGGGCATTGGAAGTTTTTGCATTTGGCTTCACATGTGAACAAAGTTCAATTTATCAATTATGTGCAAATATTTATGTCGAATGGTTGAAAGTATTCGAGAATACATCGGTGAATTTAACTTCGATTCCGTCAATTCTTCGGGAAAAAACCGAGTTCTATTGGTCACAAATGTTTTGGCATTTATATCATCTCTTCGTCACTCACAATGGTATTGGATGCAATCTATTGAAACTGATTTTATACTTGAGTTTTCTCTTCTCTCTCGCTAGAAAAATCAGCGGATCTCTTGACGAAAAGTATGTATACTCATAAAGTTCTCCGGCAATTACAAACAATGATCAGTCAAACGGAATTAAGTGTTGATCTATGGCACATTCTACTTCAAGTATTTCTAGCGATTGGCAATGCTGTTCTATCACCAGCATATCGGAGTACGTTGTTCGTTTAATGATGTATGTATTCATTTAGTTTCTCATTCATTTCTAGCAAATGAAGAGGGTGGTGCAGTGATGAGTCATCGACTTGTTCCATCCATTTATCAAGTATTTATGGTTGCTGTTGACAAGGTACACATTCCACCTGGACTATGGAGAACATTTCGAGATTACGCTGCTACTTGGCGTCATCGACCAGCTGTAGTTTACGGTAGGATGAAACTTCTTTTTTTTCGATGTAATTGCCCTATAGGAACAGAAGCGAATGTCACTCGTTCTTTAGACAACTCTAACACAAGACTTCGGTTCTACTCTGATAAAGTAAACTATATAAGGATATCGATACCAGGAAGTTCCTACTAAGCTCTTCATTTGTCTAATATGATCAATAGGTGCAATGTCACTCTAACCTCTTTTCTACGCTTTACTTCATCGTATTTAATAGAATGATTGTATATGAATTCAATTTAGATTGGGCTCAACTTACGTGTGTCCTTGCATCGACTGTTGTGCATAAATTATGGTGGCCAGATTTAGTTCCACTTCAGTATGTTTGTAAGTAATTGAGATGAATTGTACTTCATTTCTTTTGCTGTCTATTCTCCTTCTCTCATAGGTACTGAAACTGATCAAGGAGAATATGTGCAAAAGATAATCGATTCTCTTTCGTTGAGTCGATTAGTTATAACATGGATACAATTTCTTACCATTTTACAAAATCCATCGGAATGTGGCGATGTTTCGGTAGATTGAAAAAACATCAATTGATATTCGAGAAGATAAGATTAATGATTGTTCTCTTCGTCTAGGTGTTTCTTCGCATGCCAACGTATGCTGGACAATTTCAAATTAATTCAAATACAAAATTGAAAGATTTTCCATCTTTACAAGAACTTCCACGAGTATTCGTCAATGTCACGAAAGCAATCGGCATGTTCGTTGACATATGGCTAGGAAAAGACGTTGATCCGACGCCTTTATACAGTCCCAAACCTTCGACTACTCCAACACCGTTAAGCATGGCTGAAAATATTGCAGCGAGCAATGCTACAAGCTCACAATCGCGTGCGTTTACTCAATCTGTTCGTGGTCATCCAACAACCTCGCAACAACAACCTTCGACAGTAGGAACATTGAAAGCTACAAAGTCTCAAGCTGATACACGACGAGGTATGAATAAATTACTCTCCTACTGTTTGACACATCCTATATCATTTCAGTTAGTGCTAAAAAGACAGGTATCATACTTTGAAAACTATCTCGTTTGAACTTCTACATAATTTCAAATGACATATTCTATCTCTTCATTGCTTCATTAAAATTTATTTTAATTAGTTATATTGCATTGTATTGTTCACATTTATCGATTCTTTTCTTATTTAGTGAGTGTTCCATCTGGCCAAACTGTTTCACCAGTACATACAAATGTCGCGTTGACAAATCTGCAACTAACTCGTGCTGAACAAAGTCCTAAACATTTACGAACAAACCGTCCAACGGTGAACAGTTTAATGCATCTCTACGGTCCATGGATATTAGATGCTTGTTTATTACAAATCAAAGATCGTTTTACTCGCTCAACAACAATCGTCAATGTGAATGATGGTGAGTTATCTTTGGTCGTAATCATTTCATTCAACAATCACATTCTTTGTAGCTACTCGAATGATTGAAATAGATAAAATGCTAGATATACAGGTATGTTCTTTCTTATTCTTGTCGTCGAAATCCATTCAACATCGAAAATTTGCGTTTTTGTTCTGATAGAATGAACGTTTAATGGATGAAGCTTTTGCAAAATCATTTGCAACTATATGTACAATATTTAATAGTGCACAGTGTGATGAATATATCCATCCGGAATACTTAAGTCGATTTTATTTTGTTCTACAACAAGGTTTACGATTCTATCACGGCGATGAGGTAAACTTAAAGCCATATTTACTTTTTTCTTCTTGTAATAGTTCACTTTAGCAACGCTCTTTTACAATAATTGAATCGATCCTCCTGCATAGTGCTGATTTATTTCGTATTAATTTACGTGGAATTAACATTCTATTACCACTCTATCTGGATGCAATTGAATATTATATCCATCATGACTCTCAAGTACTGACGAATTCGCAATCCCATGTGAAAGGCACGCCGACTTATGAGCGTTTAACACGTATTCGTTCAAAATGTATACAAATTCTGATGTCAATTGTTAGTCTACCATTCCATTATGAACATTTACAGCAGCATCTCTTCGAGGATTACTTAGAAAAATCACATGATGTGCAAACGACCATGAAAACGTTCTCACAATATCGATTGAAAATCTTTCCTTTGTTATTAACTGCCCTACAATCTGAACAAGACACAGCTAATGCACAACTATTATTCGGTAATGTAGACAAGGAATCGAAACTTCGATTGAGTATGATGTCTTGTTTTCCGTTTGTATAGGTACGATTCGTCTAGCTTGTTCATTGGCGGCACATTACGAACGACAACATGAAACAGTTGAGGAGAAAAGTTTAAAAGGTAAAGTGACATTCGAAGATGATTTCCTTCCTTGTCTAATCTCGTTTGTTTTTAATAGATCGAACATCGGACGATCTCAGTGATGCAGTCATCTTGATTTGTGAAAAAGGCACAAATGATTCTCAGCTGTTTCTCGCTGCCCTTGATACCTTAATTTCAATTGTTACCGATCCGATATGTCAACTACGTATGTAATTCAAATCATGAAAAGCAAACCTTCACCTTTCATTTCGTCTAGCGATTGATATTTGGAAAAAAGTTCTGAAACGTTTATGTACATTCATTGATACGCAACTACATCTTGGTCACACGCACCATACACGTGAAATGCATTCGACATGTGTAGCTACGTATAATACACTGATAACTCTAATTATCGAACGACCAACATTACTGGATGATCCAGACAATCTCTTTCAATTATGTGAAATCATTGAACTAGGAATATCGGGTGAAAAAGCTCAAGTAAAAACAGGAACATCTTGTTCTTCATCTACAGACGACCAATTTTCTTTTCCTGTTTAGTCAGCAGAAAAAATTGTCTACAAGAAGTACAAAGAACAACATCCGGCGTCGCAACGTGTTGCTGAAGCTGCGGAATATCTCATGTGTGTCCTATTCGAACACAAAGTAAGAGACAAACACGTCAACACCGAGAATCATCAATTCCCCGTATAGACCATAAAGCGTCTAACCAATATTTCTCAGCGTTCAGTAACAGCAGCATGTCTACATGCCGAATTAACTGGTGATATCATAAACGAAGAGGTTTTTAGCATACACAACAAAAAACATGCTGCTCTAGTTTTTCGATGCGATTTCTTAGTATACACACATATTGATTGATCTGATTACGCTTACATGTTGTTTAATAACCGCTTGTCTTTCCATAGTGATCCTTATTTCATTATCTTGTTATGGTTGTAGGCGGTGTTGCATTTGAAGAATGATATCTGTCGAAATTGGTTGGATGAAACCACGTTTGCTAACCTAATGACATCGACACGATTCAAATATTTTGCTGTGAATGACAATACATTATTCGCAATTAATGAACTACCAATCAGTGTTAATAACAGTTAGTTCTTCTGAACGATCGTTTCGTTTCGATATTTGACCTTTTGACAGGTATGCCAGCAATCATTCTTCTTTGTCGTGGACTATTTGGTAAAAATGTTTGGACACTAAATTTTCGTCATGATCCAATGTCAAGTGCATCGATACAAAGAAATCGAGTAAGAATACTCGCAGTCGCATCCATTCGGAAACATAATCAGCATATTTCTAGTCACATGAACGAACATTCAATGAAAGTGACAAAAGTAGCACAACATCAGTTGCAACATCGTCGATCGATCACAAAGAAAAACATCATACATCACATAGTTCACGAAATGAACGTGCGAAAAGGTATAGTTCACAAGTCGTATTTTGAGTATTGTCATCCAAAAGTCCAACCCGGATGTCCCATCATTTTCTAGTGATTCTTCTCGTCATAGCAGGTTGGTTAAATACTACCACACTCACTTTCTCAATTTTCTCTACCTAACATACGCTAAAACCTCTTTTATCTCATTCCTTTCAGTTTTTACCATCCACCGTAAGTAGAACATGATAGAAAAATCAATCAAACCACTAACTAACTGCTTTATTTGTTGTTTGGTGAAAAGGGTCTCTTCATATTGCCTTGAAAATTAATATATCATAAAACTAATTCATTATATTCGATTCGAACATGACTTTGTCTCTCGATTAAACTATTTTCTCTTTAGTGAATTGAGTATTCCGACGATGAACTCGATTGTCAAGCGTGAAGAGGATAAACTCAACATGTTTCGAACTTTGAAAACCAAACAAATCAAAATTGAAGAACATGCCATACAACGTGCTCATGTCGCTGAAGAAATTCCAACACCGGAATGCAAACCACCTGAGTAAAGCACTTCTCGTTGCCTGCTATCAACCATTGTCACTGTTGATTGTATCTAGATGTCAAAAACATTTCGAAGCTATACGATTATTTCTCTCACATTATGGATTTTGTTCATTGGATTCAATGAATCATCTATTACATGGCAAACAATGGGTAAAAGAAGTTATTGACAAAGTTGATTTTCGTTTCTTATCAACAAATTTTGTAGAGCCAATCAAATCCTCTGGATCAACTTCATCCAAGAATTAAATTACTCGACTCGAGTGTACCATCATTCATGGAGGATATCAAAACATTAGATAAAATATCGCCTACACTGTACTGTACAGGACAAATCTTTTATCTGAAGCGTGATCAACGTTCGCTCAACGAATCGTTTTTGAATGCGGTAAATTTTCTTTTTCTTGTGAATATTTTATCGAATATGGATCTGTTTAGAAAACACCAGAACAATTGAATCCTGCATTTTTAACACTCGTTTCACAATTTGGTTCGGTTGTGGAAACAAAACGTCATTGTGGTTGGACGGGAAATGTTGAAACAAGTTGGAAAACAGTTTCCGCTGCTCAGGCAAACACGAGTCCCAAATCAAAAACATTGTATGAGATCGACGGTGACGATAGCATATTATATTGGGTTGATCTAACTACTGAAATGGCTTTTTATCTCCCACATCAATTTCCTCGTGAGTAACTTGATCTACTTATACTTTTGCGTCATATTTCTCCATTTTAGCTGACAATCAAGGCACGGAAATGCGAATACTAATCGTTTGGTTCGAAGAATTTCGTGATGATCTCGATCCGATACTACCCGGTAGGCTGGAGAAGCATTCGTCCTGTTTTAATATAATGTATTGCTTTAGCTCCTGAATCACAATCGAAAACTCGCGATATCTCGATCATTGGCATTCATCCATTGAAAAATCATTTACTTCGCATTTCACTGAATTCCAACGCTCAACGGTGCGTATCAAATGTTGTTTCTTACTGTTCATTTATTTCGGCATACATTTAGATTACAATCAGCATGCGCGAGTATTCCTTTAATCGATGGTATGGTCATCCCGTTGCATATCTTGCCGTTCTTTCTTCGGCAAGCTGTACATAACTTAAGTCGTCGCAAACGATTAGAAGATAGTCAAATGTTAGTGAAATTCTTCGATAATTTTCAAATATTATTTCGAATTATATCGTTTTAGTTCGCAAACAGCCTATTCAGTTCGTAAAAGTCGTATTACAAAAATCATTGATCGATATCAAAATCGAACACGACAAAATCTGGATGATTTCTTTCAAAATATCTTCTTTTCCTCAGTAACACCGGCAGCTAAACAACAACCACCTACGATTCCTTCACCATCACGCCCCAATTCAATGATCGTTGTGCAATCGTAGAATGTCAGATGCGTACCATGCATGAAACAAGAAACTCGGTGGATGCACACATGGTCTTTTTGAGCAAATAATAACAGTGATTTGTGCGTTTTTCGTGAATGCTTGTTTTGACGTAATTTAGAAATTTTCTTTCATTACAGTTTGTTTTTTTTTGGTCTTTTTCTCTTTTTTTCCCAATAAATAATATTAATAATGAAACATGAGATTATCGTACGAGTAATCAATTTGATAAAGTTCAAACTGCATCAAATCGAAAATGGCATTACCCATGAAAAGCAAAACTTCGTAGATATATATATATATATATATATATATCAATAAATCGAAACGCCATTCGGAATGATTCGTTCGAAAATGTCAGGATATGTTAGTGAAGAAAGAATCAATCGCATATCGATGGTTGAATCGTTTTACTAGCTGATTGGATTTCATCGTTCCGCCGTTGAACACAAGTTCATCAAATGATAAAGTGTAATAGCTACACCTGTCTCCGACGGATGTATAAATACGCGTGTACCGATCGCATCGACATTACAGTTTGAGTGCGATGCAACGAAAGGTTTGTGAAGTAGAGAAGAGAGCTCTTCTTGATAATTAAATTATATTTTTAAGATAAATTGTCATGGGGATTGCTCTCTTCTCTCGTCCTTTCATGTCAACAGTGAATATTAAGGTAATTATGAAACGAATGTTGTCGACTGGCGGGATAATAAAGGAAGAGCTATTCAATGAGCAGCAGATTATCTCGAGAAAGCTGTCATGGAATTGCTCTCCTCTATCGACCGCATCTACGATCGAATATTTATTAAATTTCACTGGAAAAAACTTAGCGCACAAATAATTAATAACAAACTGATTTGATTTCTTCTCGCTGAATTACAATAGTCTGTGTTGCAACAATCCACCGATGGTCCTTGACTGAAGAAATTCATCGAACTTTGTGTGCACGTTTCAACGCAACCTTTGACGATGTGCGCTTGTCGGCCAAGTACTCGAATGGTATTTTTCTTTCGGAATAGAAATTGAAATTTCGCTAGTTGCAATTTCGTTTCAACTTACTACACAAACAACTTGCGACACGGAACAAGTGATGGACGAAATTGACGATGAAGTGTTACTATGTTGAATAGGACATGGATCACAGCTCCAACATTGTAGTTGACTTGAACCTAGACTTAGATTGTTAGAATTTGTCATTTATAACTGAGAATGAACTACGTACTGAGAGTGAAGAAACAAGCGAACGAAAGAAAAGTAACGAAGAATTTTATCGACATCGTGCTTACTTCATAAATGTATGAATGATTTGAAAGTTTTTCATCGAGAATTGTTTATTGCAAATTAAAACAGAACGTTTCGTGTTTACATTAGACAACATGAAAAGAAACGAACAAAATCATCACTCGTAACGCATCGAAACATTCCATTGAATAATCTTTACGAGAGAAATCTAACAGTAGCCTCCAGAAAAGGTTGGCAAAGCATCTATTCTAATTGATTTCTAGCGATCAAATGGGCCGAATGACGTATCTTCAAAGATTTCCCGTATATCTTTATCTTGGATTGAAGAAAAAAAGTAATTATCTTGTCTGCACGAACGTTAACATACACCAAAGATGATGTAAAGAATGTATTTCATCAAAAACAAAGTTTAAAGCCATACGGAATTGATTATGGATGGATGAGTTCGAATCAAATACTAGATTTTTAATCTATGGATGATAGCTAAAAGTAAAATAGGCTAACCATTAGCAATGATTAGTTTTCTCCCTCACAGGGTCGAATGGTATAATGTATATTAGAAAAAGCTCTCATTATTTGTAGGGGGCATGTTTTCGGTAGAAAAAAAGGCAAAGCTTATTAACAGGTGAGAGTGGGTTCAAGTTGATCTTGTGAAAAATCTTCTGTCAATGCAAGGATACCCTTCTCACTAAATCGGCAATGGGTCTAGAGAATCCTGCTTCGAGGGTAATCTTTCGTTACTAATACTATATCACATATTTTTTCTCGTTAATCCTTCTACGCCGATGTGATAGCGAAAGAAATACATTTCAAATTGAGAACATCATAATATAGGTTAGTGTGTCTCGAGATGGCATAGTTGTGTTCACATTTCCTTTATTTGACTTGGCACGCGAGAAGAAATCGTGTGACTACATCATTTTTTTCATCATTCTTCTTCTCACATCGAAGAGGACACAAATATATTTCAGTTTGTCTTCTGACAATTATGGGACTCAATTCAATGAATGGTAATTGCATTTGTCGATAAATGAAATCAGAAGTTTTCGATCCTTTCGACTAATGTACAACAGGCTGAAGCTGTTTCCACAATACCGATGTATTCGATACTAAATGACAAATTGAATAGGTAATATAACAGCTAGATAATCATTTTTCTATTCAACCAAATCGGAAGTATGTGGGTTTGTCATAAAAATCCACGCTAATCAAGAGAAACATGCTGACTGCTTTGTTTTTGTAGATAAATTTTTGCAAGAAATCGATATCTTTACTTGGTGAAGGAAGCCACTACGTCGATTAGCACAACATGTGGTTGTTATCTTTAATAATCGTGAAGCATAATCAAATGTCATCCAGGTGAAAATCGGTACATTTCGGATGTGTCTTTGCGCTTCCGACTTTGTCAGTCGGAAAAAATAAACTCTATTCGTAGAAGATTTTCTATAAATATTCAATGAAGATAAAATATTTGCATGATCAGTTCTTTGCTCTAGATAAAAAAAAAACATCAAGTACACGATTCGAATGGAAATCAAGATCTTGTTCGATTGCATCATCGTCACTCTTCTTTCAATTGCCTTTCTTGTTTCGCTTGGAATATTGGTATTAATTTTCATTCGTCTTCGCCCGTTGTCGAACAATGTTCCTATTTTACTGGTCATCAACACTTACACAACATTACTGTTGGCTTGTACCGCGATGTTGATCGTGTACATATACAATCTATCGGGTGATCTTCATTCATTCGTTTCAATCAACAATCCTTGGTGTCAATTGCGTACTTATTTCGTAAATATTTCATTCTGTTCTCTGTATTACTCCTGCGTTCTTCAATCGATCTTTCGACTATTTCGAGTAGTTTTCTATAATATCAAAATATTGCAATCAAGTGAATTTTTTCTGCTGACAATTGTTATCCAATGGTTTATTTCCTTCGTTCTTATCTCGGTTAATCTAGTCAACGATGATTATCAACATTTGCCTTTTATCTATCGCTGTTGGATAACATTCGAAAATACTCGCGGACTTCTGTTTACAGCATTGATCATCTATGGCATACCTTTAATTACCATCATTTCGATATACACCTACATCGTTCGACACATTAGTCAACATACTCAACTGCAACAGAAACGAGAAAAAATCATCCAGAGAGATTTATTGATTTTAAAGCGCATCACTATCTTCGTTTTTGTTATCACGACGATCGGCTTACCGACCATGTTGATTTTATTCATTTGGATCGGGAGTAAAGTTTTAATACCGATGGCTTATTATATCCAAGGATTAAGTATGTCGATTGGCTTGCTGATTGCATCGGTATGTTTCGCATTTATCTCTCCGCAGATACGAAATATATTCACTAAGAAGCAAGCAATGAATATGCGTTCATCGATGACTATCAGAAGTAATCGACTTTCAAAATTAAGCCAAAAAGAAACACACGAGACCATTTAAGAAATCTGTTTTTTTTTCTTCTTTTTATTGTTCAAGATCTAAAAGAGACATTGCGTGTGTCGATTGATTTAAATCATATTGAAAATTCAGCATGTCACTAGCACGTATTTGTCGATAATCGAATTGATTGTTTATATAATGTTCACTGTTCATCAATCGTCCAAAGGCAAATTCAGAAAATGGAATTTGTGTGTCTTTGTTCTTACTATTCCGTCGAATTGACCTTTCATCGCGTTTACCAATAAGTCGGTCAAACATGGGTGTGTCGATATCGAGATGCTCAACTAAAACACACGAGAGTTTATACTTGGGAATCAAATGGCAAAGTATGGTATGCCATTGAATAGTCAAAAGTTTGTTTTCTTCGATGGGCATAACATGTGAAGGTGTTGTTGAGATGAAGTAATCATTGATTGGCACCTGAATGAGAAAATTCGAAGGAAAAAAGTTAAATTTCTCTCATATATTTACTTGTGTACTCGAATCAATGATCAATACGAATCGTTGGGTAGGATTTGAAATAAAACATGATTGTTCAAGACGAAGTAATGTACTGATTAGATCAGTTGATGTTTGACAGTCGTACCTAAAAGTTTTTCATCGATTGAGAAAACCAGTCCATTCGTGAGACTAACCATTGAACGTAATCACTGATGAACGGACATTCTTTGTATTCCGTGTCAATGTAGAGAAAAATAATCGATTCATCGTAATCAAGTTTCATTTGTAATGGTGGTTTTTCTGACCTAAGAGAATCTTTATTCGCTTGAGGTGAATTAAAATTAATCTCTTCGGATTTGAATGGTAACTGTAAGAGCTCATTTCGATAGTTCATATATTCAATGGAATTGAATATGAAATCATGAAGAAAGGTTTTGGTCATCGTTCGATTTTGATCTAAGACTTCGGTTAAACAAGCGTGTTTCTGTGCATAAGTTGGAAATAATAGTTGATGGCATCGATTGAGACGATCGATGAGGAGTTGTTGTTTGGTGTCATCTTGACTGGTCAACCGTTGAAACAGATCTAACGCTGTTTCGTGTTCAATCATATAGAATGAAGAAGAAAAAAACGAAAACTTATTCATATTTTTAGTTTTAGAAGATCTATTCTGTCTTCTTTTATTTAATATCACAAAGTAAGGCAACACCACGCAGAATCCAATGTTCTGGAATGTCATTGGATGCTAACTTAAGCATGGTGATAAAATTCAGATCAGTACGCATTGGTTTCTTGTACACAGGGCACATGTAAACATAAGGTGCGAGCGATATTTGATCATTTCGTTTTCCTCGAAATGATATTTGATTCAATCGAACTTTCTTATTGTTGATCACTACGTTCTTTTGACCTGTTGCTATCGATGGATTAACGGCAAATATATGAACAACCGGAATTTGGACGTAGACAACTTTATTTTGCGATTCATGCAGACGAATATTTTTTCGATCCCAACCAGCGCCTTCTAAGTAAAGACCGTAAACATAAACGCCCTAGAATGTAGAAACGATAAAAATGGTACACAAAGTAGATTGATTTCAGAATAGATTACTTCAGTGGGCGCCTCATGAATGTCATCTTTGTGTAGACGGAGAACAGTGTTATCGATAATAACGGTATCCAGTGACCAGCCTTTATGCATTCGAGTGACTTCCTGACGCATAGCAGTGAGGAAACCTGCAAATGTTTCTTCTAACAACATTTATTGAGTTAAAACGAAAACTTTACCATTTGGATTGAAGAATCCAGTCATCCAAAAACATTTTGGTCGACCTATTCGAACAAAAACGATCCATCCCGATAAAGCACTACTGCTGTCAACAGACCATAATTTAACCAATTGTTATATTGTGTATATCGATCAAGTAATTCCGAAAACCAAAAGCCAAGTGTGCTGCTTTCCCATGAAGATCTTATCCAATCGTTTGGTACTCGACCATCGTAAATCGAGTCAAGAATGTGCCTCAGAGACTAAAGTTCAATTCTCATCTATTCATATTCATTCTAATCCTTCAACTTACATCATTCAATATGATAATTCCATCAATAGCTAACTGCAAGTCGTTCAACGAATTTCTCACAGTGCGTAAAACCCGATCAATACGGTGAATTTCTTGTCGTAAAAAGATAATCATTGGATTTAAGATGCCCATCGCACGTAGCTTCTCTCGAACCTATCGATCACGAGATAATTACGGTTCTAAACAAATCTTGCTTTAATCATTTACTTCATGTTGAACGAAATTTGCGGGCAGTTTCGATAACATATCGCTGGCAATATTATGAACAATTTTATCGCGTGTTTCGCCGCCTGTTGTGTTGGTATTGGCTTCCTTCGGTTGGATACTAACGATCTTTTCCAACATAGACTTTGCTCGATTTGTTGAATATGTGATATTAGCATTCGAATGAAGACCGAAGATCTGGGGTGAATCAACTAATGGAAGTTTGTCAATATGATCAAGATAATCTTCGAGCCGTTTAACGTTTGGAATGAGATAATTATCGTAAAATTTAAAATTTGTTAAAAATAACGAATCGGAGAACCATTTCTATCAGAAGGAATCGCAATCATTCATTTCGATTCAATTCCGAATTTAGTAGTTACTTTAGCATAGGTTATCATCTGACGACGATCGCGATCGTCGGTAATCCTACCGCCGTACTGAATTTCAGAGATCATATATCGAATTGCTTTCCAAGAGATGCCCTTCGATAGGAAAAAGTAATAATTCCAACTATTGAATAGGTAAGATATCATACTATTTTTGGATTGATATCATCCAGGTGATTTTGAATGTACTGCACAGAGGCTTCCCAATCAGCTTGATTGAATTCTAACGTAAATGGACAGGATATGTCTGTAGTATGATGATGTAACATTACTTACCGTAAGGTATATTCCATCCTAGTGGACCAAATTTTCGACGTTCCTGCAGAAGAAAACACTAGCTTTCGTCAAAGAAGGAATGACTTTATTTTCTTCAAAGTAACCTGCACGATACTATGAAGAAATGATGTTGCGTATAACATCGGTCGCCAGTGTATTGTTTCGATATATTCCAGTTTATCTTGAGTAATTAATCGATAAGTACGCTTAAGACCAGCTCGTACACCTTGTGGTGGCTCATTGGTAAATTTAATAGACGATTGCAAAATTTGAATTGGAAAGTGCGGATGAGTCTCCGTTGTCAACCAGCTAGAAAGTAAATCAGTCATCTGATGATTTTAAATGAAAGATTACATACACGCGAAATGATGGATCGACTATTTCAGTGCCATTGACAGCTAAATAATCATCAAGTCTAGATTTCGAAAAAATAAGAAAAACTTAGATATACTTTCGTAAAATTCTTCAAGATAATCCAGTCCCAAATGTGCATTTTGCAACAGAAGCCATCCGCCAGATGCGATGGCATGTTGAAGATACCGTCGAGCAAGAATTTCTTGCCCTTGTCCCATCGATACAACAAATAAATCCACATTTTTCTTCTTTGCTAACACTTGAATGTTCGATGTCGGATCAGCGCCTGATGAAAGTAAGCCAAGCAACGATGTTTTACAATCCCTTTCTTCTCCAATTAATTCTAAACTGAGCACGGGAATTTCGATGTATTTCTGTCCGAGACTCTCTTGAATGTAATTGCATGCTTCAGATATTGTTCGATCAGGTGATATACATCGAGCAAATAGAAATCGATGAAAGACGTTCAAGTTGTCATATGTTTCGGGCAGTGCCGAGAGGTCAGTGGATTCTTTTTCGAACCAATCTTTAAATGCACGTTCGTTCTTTTGTAACTAAGAAAGAAAGAGAACAATCAAATTCGAATGATTCATCGCTGGAATTCTGATCTACTCGATCGATGACGTCGTGAAATTCTTTTATACGACTTAATTCTAATAAGTTTAACCACGAGACGTCATTCAGCCATCGAAATGGTTTCGTTGGACATGTGTTTAAGTCTAACGACGCACCACCTTTGATTAATACTTCAAATTCATCGTAGCGTATTTTCCCTCGACGTAAGTCGATTCTCAATGTCATCAATAACGTAAACATCAATCGATCTTCTTCGTATAAACCACGTGTCGTATAGAACCATGTCCGATATGTTAGATAGTCGTTGATATTCTGTATACGTTTCTGTGTTGCTGCTATTTTCGTCGATCTTCATCGAGATAAAATTGGATTTAATTAGAAACTTTCTGATGAGATCTACTTTATCATTGATTCATGGAAGAGACCAAGGAATTGTTGTAAAGATATTTGGTACATACGATTGACGAGCTTGAAGAAAAAAGTAGGCAGATCATGTAGAATTCATTTACATACTGCAACTTCCGACATAAGAAAATAGATGATTGAGCCGCGTACTGCCACAGGTCGATATTCTTCTCGTGCCGCACCGATTTTCAACTTCGTTTCTTCCGCAATCGAAACCTTTTCTTTTACATCGATAGCGATGCGTTTATTGGCATTGAGAACTTCGACAACAGATGGATCATCCAATACAGAACCCTAAGCAATGCTTAGGGAACGTTCTCAAAAGGAATGACTGTTTACTTCGATACTAGTCAATTTGAGTAACAGATTGTCTTCCAACTCTTTCAACATTCGTTTGTTTTTCGTTGTTTCGCGTGCTAATGTCACTCGTTCACGTTCCAGTTCCTGAAAATTCTCGTTTAGAAATCTGTCTATATCAGTACTGCAGAGCAAACGTACAGTACGTTCATTTGCAATCACAAGGCTAAGTAGCTGATCTTCTAATCCACGTTGGGTAACGGTAAAGTCAATAATCGATACACGTGCACAGATTTCTGGTGAATAATTCGGATTCGCTAGTTTTGTTGCTACATACAACCGAAACACGTGATTAACATCCTATGAGGCAACGAAAACCTCATTCCAGCTAATCAATAGTTGTATTCATACAGACCACTTCACGATCGCCAACTTTCACCTGTAGAGAATTATTTGACATTTAGATTTTGATACAAAGAATAGGATACATACACGTGGAGTTAAGCCGAGCTTGACATAGTTTCTTTCTAAGATATGATCCAGTATCGGATCGAGTTCTTCCTCAACATCTTCGATTAATAGTGGTCGCCCAAGGGAAATGCAGTCCTCTAATTGTTGTCGAAATAGTCTCGAGTTCAATGTCGTCGTTAAAAGATCATTTTCTCGTTCCATGTTTTTTATCCACGATTTACCTTGCAGTTGTCTATGAAAGAAACCAGACGCTCATTCATTCATTCATCGATCAATTAATTCCAATTTCTTACGGATCAATCAAAAGTGGATAACGGTAGTTCGATGTTGCTATAATACCATTCTGAATTGAGAGATCATCGTTAGGTAAACCTTGCAAATTCCATTCACCGATCTCGATAGGAGGAATGAAACCAAATGCTTCAAAGAAAATAGACTCTTACTGTTGCTTCATCATTCAGTTGTTCGATGATATTGTAAGTTTCGGAGAATGGTATAAGTCTCTGTTGGATTTCTTTTTGCCATTCATTGATCATTCGTTGTCGAAATTCTTGATTAAATGGACCGCAATAGGAGAGAAACGCAGTAGCCAATATTGCATTTCCAATCAATCTGAGACATATTTCTCCACGAATCCATGTCAATACTTAAATCTTCTTACTTCTCAATACTCTGTTCAAACGCTTTATTTTGCTCATTCCATCGGGCTTTTTCTCCCGTTAAACCGGATATTAATGTATTTGCATCATCACGGCGTTTCAGCAATGCATCGTAATCCATTTGATATGTCTGAATGTCATGATTAAATCATTGAGTTCGTATCAACTACAGCTACCTTTTTCTTTTCCATCGCTGCATCGAAATCCTGTTGACATTTTGCTAAATCTGTTTCCGTTCGTTCGAGTTCTCGTTCAGCACGTGCTAGTTTTTTCGAAGCTTTTCGCAAAGAGTTCTCTGCCTTTTGAACTTTATCCTTTTCAATGCAAATAGACAATCAAACAATCATTCGTAATTTTCATCGTACTTTTATCGGAATAACTTCTTTGTTGATGGCATGATATGACTGTATTTTATCTAGAAAATGTTGGAATGAACATGAGGAGAGTCGGACGAAAACAAATCACCAGTCCACGTTTTCAATGTCGCTAGATCTTTATAGGCTTTGCGAGCTTTTTCTGAGAGATCTTTAATTTCCGAATAAGGTGCAAGTAATTCAATGATTTCGTCATTAAGCTCTCGTATGGTTAGTAGTGTCGTGAGCAAACCAGTATAATTCAACAGTCGTAAAATTTCTGCCTTTGATGAAGCATAGAATGGTTCATCAAGATTATGATCAATTCGGATTGGATCGAGACGCCTCTTCATCAAAATCAATGCCATGTCAAGAACGATCATGATCGCTTCAGGAGGTTTCGCTAACTTCCGAAGATTACTAATCGTATTGCCTTTAATTTGCTAGAAGATAATAATAAACATTCGAGAAAGATCTTTCTTCAAACGCAAAAGTTCTTTATCAAATTGACGCAGTTTGAAAAAAAAACAGATAATGTTATCTGTCTTAGTTATATATATATATAAAGCTTGAGCGAACCGTGAGATATCTCAGTTCGCTATTCATATTTAAACAATGTTGAAAATTACAGCTGTACTCTTGGCAACTTTACTAATCGTTGCGGCTCAAAGTTCGATTATTGGAGGCGTTGGTGGTTATATCGATCGACCTGAATTGCTAGAAAGTTCAGAGGCGAACGCTCTTGTCCGTTATGCTGCTGAACAAATAGCAATGAAAGACAATCGTATTCTCGACCAAATTAAACTAACGCGAATTCAAACACAAGTTGTTGCTGGTATTAACTACAAATTAGATTTCACTGCTCGGCCTATCAATGGTATCAGCGCGAAATTGACAACATGTCAAGCAGTTATTTACGTACGATTTGACTCCACGAGAAAACTCCTCAGTGCTCAATGTGAATAAATGTAAACATGTATTTTATTTTCCAAATAAACGTTCACTTACTTTGACTGCTTCTTCGGCTTCTTTGAGAATGACTTCCGCTGCGGACAGTTCGTCTTCAGCGATAGCTTTTTCTTCGTTGACTTGTTTTACAAGTATCTCAGCCGTTTCTTTCGATTCGTGAACTTCTTTTGTTTTGATCTCTGCGGCACTTCGTAAGACTTCCATTTCAGCAACTTGCTGGAAAAGAGAACGGATAGCTCACCATAAAAACTGAAAGTTCGAAATACTTTTGCTGCTTCGGCATTGGCAATAACCATATGTTTCTCCTTCACTACTAATTCTCGTGTAATCTCTTGAACTTGCTCGGCAGCTTCGAATAACTTCTGAACACCCGTTTTCATCTTCTGTTTTTCTTTCTCGAAATATTCACGTTGCTTTTGATAGTATTGTTTAAATGCATTGATATATCTAAACCAAAAAATGTTTCCAACGAATCATTTCACTCAGCTTTGTCATCTTTACGATAGGAACGATTTTGGTGTCACATAAGTTCGCCGACGGAATTTCTCGTAATAGCTTTCACACATTCGACTGACATCATCATGAATATCGGCCATTAGTTCGATCACGCTCTTTTTTACTGTATTCGAAGTCACAAGGATATCAAAACGATTCAAATAAACATTCGAAACGGCGACCAATGCATCCAATGGCCAACGATGAAACCAGTCGATGGTACAGCCGGAAACTAAGGCCGGAAATTTCAGTGCACGTTCGCGAAATTTACGGTTGTCAGGAGAGAAACATAGAATAACATGAAGATTTTTGCGTAAGCGCTCGCGATAGTAATTGAGCAGATTTTCATTGGTTAACGCTCGTTTGGGATATTCTTTTTTCATTTTAACGGATAATTCCGAAAGAGTCTCATCCATTTCTTCCCGTGTTATCAATCCGGATACCTTCAACTTATGAATAAGTTCATCATTTTCGAAAACATCGTCAATTACTTCTCCGGAACTTAGAACATTATTCAGATATTCGAGAAATTGATCGTCTTTTATATCATTATCTGTGAATATGAAAACAATGCCTTGGCCAAGACGACCTGCGCGACGATAAACATTTCGTAAATCGTCCAAGAAATTGTTCAACGTATACGTTCTTCGAATAGAAATTGTTTACGTCGTTATCGTCCCGTCGTAGCGAAGACTCACCTCGACACACTGATCTGAAAATATTTGTAACCTAGAACGAGAACAATTATCAAGAACTCAGCTTTCCAACAAGAGCACCGGTTTACTTACCAGCGATATAAGCAGCCAATTTCGTTAAAGATTGTTTCCCACTTCCGCCGACCCCGACCTAAAAACACATAATTTCTTTATCGTCGTAACAAAAATGACCTCTGACCAATAGTAAATGTCCTTTAGGCATGTTAATAACACGTGAAATCTAAAATAGAACGATGTCGTTCCCTAACGTTCACAAGTACATATTCGTACTCGTAAAAGATGAATCATGGCATCTTTGAAGAATACCAGATCCATATTACTACCACGAATTTCTCCATTCATCTTGTTCATACTATTCATTAATTTCGTTTGCAACGCTTCCCACAATACAACAGGTTCATAGATTTTCGGCACTAGATCAGCAAGATCGATATCATCACCCATCTCATCGGTGACTTCCAACTCTTCTCGAAGAAAACTATAAACAATATTGTTAAGCAGAATATCTGTATGTAAAGAAATGTCTTACTTGGCAAAGTAAACTTCGGATTCTTCTTCAACTGGAAGTTTATAAACATCGCCAAATGTTTGCTTAGCAACTCGATACAATTCCTTTCTGAACCATTCTTTTTCCATAGGTAATATCAATCGATCGGCCAAGACTCTTGTACATTCATGTTTCCATAACTGAAAATAGTCCTCGAGTCCATTTTGGCATTGTTCCGATTCGATTTGTAAAATTCCTTCCCAAATACGAGAAAGATCGCGAAGATTGAATATATAATGAAATTTCGCAGGTGTCGGTAGGAACTTTCCTTTCACTGCTTGCCAAAGAATTCTCGTAGTCGACACTGATTTCTGAATAGTCTGAACGAGATCACTGGAGAAATTTCGTTCCGGACAGAAATATTTTGCGATGGAACCAAAAATATGATCCACTGCAGTGTTTGATGGTAGTGTGCAGTTCAAAATAAAGAAATGTCGTTTTAACCGTTCAGGTATGTCATTTCGACCGCCGCCAGGATGACACATTGCTGCCAGAAATTGTAAGTCGTTGATATTGAGAAAATCGCCTGGTTTACTTAATGAATAAAAACCTTTTTGTTCTATCAACTGTCGGAGAATTTCATTCGCTTCTTGGTCACCCCATGAATTAATCATGGGCATATTGATATCATCGATAAATATTGTCATCTTACGTCCAAATGATGGTCCGAATGTATTCGCTACGCGTTTATCCACGAAATTTTCGATTGTCTTCTGAATAAAAGCACTGGTAGTAATCGAGGAGAAATTCATTATCCGAGTGAGATGTTTTTCGCTATCGAAATTCTTCAAATAACTTGTAATAATCACCGTTTTTGCAGTACCAGGCTCACCGATCAATAGAACGGCTTTTTCTTGTTTGGAAAGAATATTTATTAGATAAGTTATACGAACATTATCAATGTTCGGGACCAATATCGATGCAAAATCGATTGTTTCATCTTTTGGGTATTCCCAAGATTCAACACGAGTCGACCAATGTTCTAAAAATTCTCAACATTAGTTGTTACTCTCGAAATGTTCATTACCCCATTGTCCACTATCGTTCACCAAATAATCAAAGATCGAACCACCTTGGAGAACATTTTTCGAAATGTCACTGTCGCCTGAATTAATAAAGTATTGTTCTAATTTCGATCGATCATTCAATTCTAATAGAGCACCCATGCTAAAAATGAACATCTGTAAGTTGTTACGAAAAGAAAAAGACTTTATCTACCTCCACATTATTGCAAATATTGTCAATCGTTCTAGATAAATCCGACTATAGTCTAATTCTTTGTTCAGTAATCCATCTAGGAGATCGGCTATCTACCAAATAGAACGTAGCCTCAAGCAATATTCAAGCTAACAAAAAAATCTAATTTACTTGTTTGATATAATTGCATTCATAAACTTTCATCTTCGGTGAACATTTCGTAATCAGTAATTTAAATATTTCATCAAAATGTTTCTCAACAACTTCAAATATGACGCTACCAATGTTTTTCGACTGCTTATTTGACCATGCTTGGAATATCGGTCGCCAAGGAAGAACAGTCGATGACATGAATATCATTCCACATCGCGAAACAGTCGCCGGTGAGGCATTATCGATATTGTGCACTTCGAAGACGAGTTTAACATTTGCTGCCATCAGGATCCGATCACCATTGGCAAGTGTTAGTAATTTATTATCATCTAAGACCGAATTAAGGTTCTCAATCCAAATAGCGTCGACAGGACCATCCAGAATAATCCACCATGCCTCTTCTATAGAGAAAAGTGAGATTACGAACAATGCGGACATACACATACGAATGCCTGTGTTAGATGAGACTTCGTAAGCTTTCAACGTACGACGCCAAAGTGTGGAGAATATTCCATCTGTCCAGTCATTCGTAGCAACATCGAGAATACCGAACATTTGAGAAGCTGTGATCGATTTATCAAGAAGAAGACGATCGAGAAAACGCTGTTGACTATAGACAAGTTCATGCGTAACATGTTTGGCACGTTTGAGAAGGCGTTCGTGAGTACTGCGAAGCATTTCAATGGCGGTTTGCTCTTCTAAAGGAATATCGATTGAGTAACGCTTGAAGAGATTGTAGACTTCCTGAAAGAAATCGATAAGATATTAGAGAGTATTCACAGAATGTTTACTTCTAACGGATAGATCGTATGATCAATGAGAACGAAGTTGTCTTTTAATGTATCTAGTGTATTGATGACAAATCGAACATCATCCAGGTCTCTCAACTGTCGATTCAAACGTGGTTCGTTTTTCTTCAAGAAATCATTGATGCTGAGAAATTTCATTCGATAATGCATTCGAATGTATTTAGCGAAGATCAATTCAAGTTGTCGAACTTCGTCGAAAAGCGTCTGCTTAAACTTCGTTGTCACGTATCGAAATGTTTCCACATCTTTCGATTCGGCTACACGTTTAATCGCATCTCGGATGTTATCGAAATCAGCAAATAACGCTCGAATGGATGCATAGCTAGGATCAGATACGATGAATTTCTTTGCTTGATGAACTTTATTCATTTCCCATAGGTCACGAAATACGTAATATTCTTCTAATTCTTTGTTTAATCTTCAGTGAAAAGAATCAGAACGCAATTGAACTAGTGACTCGGCCTTACCGAATGCCGTTTTCCAGAAAGAAGTTGCCGATAATTTGATATAGTTTCAATAGTTCCTTGTTGTTAGCAATTAGATTATAATACGTTTTCGCTTGAAAAACGAAAGCATCGATACAGTCAAAATCTCGGTGATCTTTTACCTTGTGGTTTTCGGTTCCATTCTTCCTCTTCGTTTCCGTTCTCGAACATCTTTTCAGTTTCTAAATTGTCATGTCCGGACGATAATTCCGAGAGGGTATTCATCGAAAAATTATGTATGAGTTTATAATCAATACTTCGCACTTCGCCCCATTTGCGCACACCGTGAAAAATATTCAAAACATAGTGAATCAATTGATTCATTAGTTGTTGGATTTCGTCAATGCTCGGATTGAGAGTAATAGTTGACGACTGTAATTCGACGTATGTTTGAATTAATGGATGATGAACATGATCGGCTCGAGTGGCATTAGCATCGATTGTATCTAACGGATATAATCGAAGTTTCTTCAATCGAGGTTTTATTTGAACGCTGAAAAGAAAACGATGGCAGTAAGAAGCTAATTTGAAGACCTACATGATTGGATTCGCTCGGTTTTTGATCACTTCGAATGCGTTCTTAGCACAGAGAGTCAGTGCTTTGATAAAACGAGTTTCGAATGAACTTAGAAACTCGTTACCTACGACAGATGAAGAGTCCTGTGTTTAGAAAAACGATTCTCTTATTAATATACATAGTTCGTTAAATCGCTCCCATTCATTCGATGATTGTAACATAAAATGAGTTGGATTTCTCGCTTTTCGCTCCAGTTTCGAGAAATCTTGTACAAACATTTGTATGGCTAATTTCTGCATTGTCGAAAGTTGCATAATATCTACAAAGCATCCATAATCTTGCCTGTAAATTCTGACGTCGCTCTTACCCATATCACCGAGTTTCTGCTCAAATGGTTTCGATTTATAGCCGGCTTTGTCGAAAAACATTCGAACGACTTGGAGAACAGCCGATTCGATTTGCATCGATAGCGAATTGAGTTTTTCTGCTTTGGAGATGATCTGTTGACGAACTTCTTGCACAAATTGTTTGAAGTCAATTGAATCGTCAGGAAATTCCAACATTTCGAAACGAGATACTTCATGGATGGGCTCCTCGATGCGATGAATGATCAACGAAGATATTTGACCAAGAAAATCCGACATCGAAGCAATGTTTTCTTCAGCAGGCAGAAATAATTCATCGAGGTTTTTCGACAGCCAATTGAGACGATTCAAACCAATAGCAAGTGTATTATCAACCTAATCATAACGAGTTTAAACAAGGAATTTCGATGCTTCTTACTTGTGTCATGACTTTTTCAACCAATTCATAACTTGTTGGGTGTGCTTTTGCTAGTAAAACCGAAAGATCTTTCAGTAATTTCTACAACATAATCATTATCCTATCGTATCTCTTTACTGTTTTCATGTTACTTTCAATCTCTCATAGGATAACTGAATTCGATCTTTTTCTAATAGTAGATTGTATCCCAAATCCGGTACTGTAATTGATGATCGTACTAGTAATTCGCAATCATGGAGAATAACATCAATCAACGGATCGTAGTTGATATACAATTGTCGGAGGAGATTTTGTCGAACGAGAACAGGATTACACATGACATTGACAATATCAGGCAGTGAGTTGTACCTAAAATCTTTCTTCAATCTCTATACGTCGTGCATCAACTCGAAGATCACGAACCAGTGACGATGATAGAGAAGTTCGTAGATCGAAAATCCATTTGCGACAGTCATAAAGTTCTTCGTGAGATTTGTCATCAGGGAATGTTCTTTCAATTCTGATCGTTTGAGAAATTCAACATAAGGATTTTGGATACGTTTGTACATTCGTCTTGCCCATAAAATTCGACCTAAAATTAGTTTTGTTCAAAATATCATCTTCTTTCCGCCGTACCAATAATCGGAGAGTGGTCTCGTTCGATGGTCGGTGTACTTCGACACTTATTATAAATGTTTTTCACTTTCTATGGAAAAGAAAGGTTCTAGTTGCAAAATATCGAATTAGATGTTTGTGTTACTTGAAGCTCCTCTTTTTCGTACCAGTGAAGAAGATCGATTAGAAATTCACTGGAATCAAAGAAAGGTATATGAAGATTCTCGTAGCGTATCAAGAATTTTAATGCATTCGAAGAATTATGGGATGGTGAACGAAGTATACGATAAAGATCTTTATGAAAAGTTTGATATAGCCTTTGCTAAACGGGAAACTATTTCACATAAGAAAACGGTGGACAATTTGATCTTACATCAACGTCTGAGAGGATTTGGTTTAATTTATTGTAAAATGTATCGAATTGTCGATCATCCGGATTGAAGAAATCGAGTTTTAGAGCTAAAAATTCTGCTTGCGCTTTCTTGTACATGTGAGCAATCTGTTCAAGACCATCGATTCGTGATTGGGATAGCAACGAATAGATATCAAACGATGCGATAATTTCTCGAAGCTAAATAAACATGTTTGATAACGAGAACATCGAATGACATTCAAGTCCTATACTTTAGACAAACGTTGATCAAGAAATGCTAGTTTACCAAGGACATGACGTTCAGATAGATGGTTGGAACTTTGATCAGCATATTGATTTTCAATTCTTTGCTTCGTTTTCAGGAAAACCTCTTGATAGGTGATATATAAATTATGAACATTCTCAATACGTTGTAACAACTCTTTTGTATTCAGTAGACGAAGGTCGATTGTATGATTATTGGTGAGATAGTTTTTGCTGCTGATTACAATTTGATTGGTAATCTGTTGCGAGAGTTGTGTGAGGGAAAGAAAGCATAGTCTACTGAACTTACAGTCACAAGTAGAGCAGCTATTTTATCTGGTTTCGAATAAATCTCGGAACATGAGTTGATAAGCACGGTGGTATTTAGAAGACTGGGCAGACTTTCTTGAATTACATACTGAAATCAGTGAAAGTGTAAAAGAAAATCCGTATTGCATGAATGTTATATTACGGGTTCAGTTGAATAGAGTGGACCAATGTATTTCGCCAGAATCATCAAGTATTTATAATGGTCACGTGCTTCGTTCATACTCTCCGTTAATTTCTTATCAATTTCTCTCCATTCCTAAAGAAAACAGAGCTCTTCTCTTCTAACAAACGTATTTTCTTCTACGAACAATTGAACGAGGACTAGCAACGATATTCAATAGATAAATAACTGCACGATTAGGAGGTAATCGAAGTTGACTGATGAGAGAATGTAACTGGAGCATTTGCTTCCTCCAATATGCTAGTTCGTTCAATGGGCCCGTAGTCGAATTCATTTGTCGAATGGATACACTCTTTCGATAGAACTAACAAAACAGACAAGAAATTCTATCAAAATAAATGAACGAACTTCTGCACCTGCTGAATCTCTCTTATCCAATCCAGCATTGTCTCTTCCGCTTGTTGAACCAATTCTGTGTCCTGAGCAAAACGTAACAATGAATTCGGATGAATGATCTCTTGTGTATCATGTTGTAAGCGCATGGGTACATTTGATAATTGTATACGATCTATCAATGACGTATGAACTGTTCGAAGGAAATCGACATTTTGCTCCATCTGATAGATTAGGTTAAATTTAATTCGATGCGTATTTTCATTGACGAGATTCAATCGTTTCCATTCATCCGCTCTCTTTATCGATGGTAGATAACTAGATAATTGAACTTCGAGATTGGTCATGAGATCAAAATTTGGCAAATCAAAGTTCATCGAGAAAACAATCAATTCCTAAAGAAAGAAATCGAATCAAATTCGAAAACGTTTTCCTATACTACATTCTTATAGTTCTTCTCTGTTAATTTCACGGTATTTGGTTTAAGAAATATCACACCACCATCTTCGAATGGCTTATCAATTCCTATCTAGCATTACATGGACAATAAACAAGAGAATGTATCGATACGATCAACATACTTCTATGCAAGCTTCTTCAATTTTCGTAGCTCGATTGAAATTCGATAGAACTAATTGAAGCTGAGTATTTATGATTTGTACTACCACAAGAGATTATATTTACCAATGGTTGATCCTTTACTAAGACGATTTCGTTCTTGAAGATCACAGAAAAAGATAGGCAAGATATGTGTGCTTTCATCGTTTATAAATCGTTGAATGGGAGTCCACTGAAATCAACTAGCAACCTCTCTAGTCGACGTCAACATATTTTTCACATACATTTTGTGTTTCTTGACAGTACTCTACAATTAGATTTGTTTGAGAATTAAAAAAGAATGCTAAGATATCAAAAAGAAATGTATGAACACTATTGATTGTTGTATTTGCAAGAGTTTCTTCTTCTTGAACTTTTCGTTCATCAGTCGATCGAATATCTGTATTCATGATAAATAATTTTGGCGATTTATTAAAAAGCGCTCTTTTCTCATCATTTGACTGAAATTATGCACAAAAGTTAAGCTAGTTACGGTTGAGTGCATCACACATTCGACTATTTTTTTTCTTTAATCATTTACTCTCCATCGAATAATAGATCACATGTCTTTATTTCGGAGGGTGTGTTCTGTTTGCGCAGGTATTTTAGTCGTCATTAGCTCGACCTATAAAAGGATCAAAATTACGCATTTGTTTTTGTTTCAGATGGCGAGTGAAATCCTTAGAAAACTTTGCGCAGGATTACCATTGGATCCTTTACCACCGCCAAAGAAATCTCGTAGTACAGATGTTCCACATGCACCCTACAGAAAATCATCGTTATCCAACGAAGAACGCAAAGTAACGTAATCGAATTTTTCGAATCTGAAAATGGAAATCATTGACTTTTAGTTAGCGATTAAAAATGCACTTCGTTATTTTCCGGCCAAAGTTCAAGTACATTTGGTCGATGAATTCAAATACGAATTGGATACGTATGGGCATATATACATGTATCGATTTCAACCCGATATTGATATGCGTGCGTACCCTATTGATGAGTATACATGTAAATGTAAAGCAGCTGCCGCAATTATGTTAATGATAATGAATAATTTGGATAAAAGAGTGGCACAATTTCCTGATGAATTGGTCACATACGGTGGAAATGGGCAAATCTTTTCGAATTGGGCTCAAGTAAAATATCGCAGTCGCTTATTGACTTGAAAAGGAAAATCAATGATGTTTGTTTTAGTTTTTATTAGTGATGAATTATTTGAGTATTATGACAGATGAACAAGTACTTGTAATGTATTCAGGACATCCGATGGGTTTGTTTCCAACGAGAACGGAATTTTCTCCACGTGTTGTCATTACAAATGGTCTGGTACGTTCATGAACTTTGAAATCTAGTATGAAAAAAGTATTTATCATAATTTAGGTCATTCCGAATTATTCGTCAATAAGTGATTACGAACGTATGTTTGCACTTGGCTGTACTATGTATGGTCAGATGACAGCGGGATCGTACTGTTACATTGGTCCACAAGGAATCGTACATGGCACATTCGTACGTATCAAAATCTCATTTTGGATTTAGTAAACTTAGGATATTTCTGTAAGATTACAATCATGAACGCTGTGCGAAAGAAATTCGATTCAAATGATCTCGGTGGAAAAGTATTCGTTTCGTCGGGCATGGGTGGCATGTCTGGTGCTCAACCAAAAGCATGTCAACTTCTCGGATGCGTTGGTGTAATTGCAGAAGTGAGCGAAGATGCAGCGAAAAAACGACACGCACAAGGCTGGTGTCAAGAATTGATCTATGATCTTAATCAATTGATTGATCGTATTCGAGTGTGTCGAGAAAAGAAACTTTCGACTTCAATTGGCTATGTTGGAAATGTCGTCGATTTGTGGTAAGAACATATTTTCTTGTAGTTTGTCATATGAAAACAATCGTGTTTAGGGAACGTTTAGCACAAGAAGAAGACAATTTAGTGGATCTTGGATCTGATCAAACATCATGTCACGATCCATATATTGGAGGATATTATCCAGTTCAAGTAAATAAATAGTCTTTACCGCTTAGCTCCTTTATTTTACAAGATTATAGTTGTCCTATGATGAAGCTCGACGATGCATGAAAAGTGATCCCGAAAAATTCAAGGAGCTTGTTCACGAAAGGTTGCCTTACTCTGTATATCAATTCTGCTTTGACTTTCTTCTGCCTTATCACACTTAGCATTCGACGACAAATTGCAGCTATTGATAAACTACATGAACGTGGAATGTACTTTTTCGACTACGGAAATGCATTCTTGCTCACAGCTAAACGTGCAGGTAGAATTCAAATTCTCTGATGAAGGTCAGTATGAAAATTGTATTTCTGTTGGAAAGGTGCGCCGGTTGGTGGTAGTGGTGAACAGCATTGTATTCGTTTCAAATATCCATCATATGTCCAAGATATTATGGGAGATATATTCTCACTTGGCTTCGGTCCATTTCGGTTAGATTGTACTTTATATGAAACACTGTTTATCTTTAGTTTAGATGGGTGTGTGCATCTGGCTTAGAAAGTGATCTTCAACAAACGGATAAAATTGCTGGAGATGTCATTGAAAAACTCATGTTGGCAGAAAATAGTAAGTGTAGCATCATATATGTTTTCCAAATGTAAATTCTTGTTTGTATAGCTCCAACTAATGTCTTGGAGCAATATGACAATAATTTAAAATGGATTCGACAAGCAAATGAAGCTAAATTAGTCGTTGGCTCGCAAGCACGAATTCTCTATTCAGATCAAATAGGTCGAATCAATATTGGCTTGGCATTCAACCAAGCGATCCGAGAAGGCCGCTTGAAAGGTCCAGTTATTCTCTCTCGAGATCATCATGATGTGTCTGGAACAGATTCGCCTTTTCGTGAAACATCCAATGTGGAAGATGGATCTGCATTCTGTGCTGGTATGTCAAAATGAATCAAGTCGACTTCATTCCAAATTCACTTTCTTTCAGATATGTCAGTACAGAATATCATCGGGGATGCGTTTCGTGGTGCAACTTGGGTAGCACTGCATAACGGTGGCGGTGTAGGTTTTGGCGAAGTTATGAATGGTAAAGAACGTCTCATTCTGTGACAAAATATACAACTGATATTCTCTATTTAGGTGGTTTCGGCATGTTTCTTGATGGAAGTACAAAATCGGATGAGAATATTCGACAAATGTTATACTGGGATGTTATCAATGGTGTTAGTCGACGTTCATGGTCAGGAAATAAGAATGCTCGTCAAACAGTGGAACGCGCGATGGGCAAAGAATCTAAATTGAAAGTAACATTACCCAATGACATAACGAAAGAATGTTTGAAGAAATTATCCATGTGACATTGATAATCGCAAAGCGAAAGTTCTAATTTCATTTAAAAAAGACTGATCTAGCATAGTTACTAAACTTTCTTTACTAAATATTACATTTGGAATTATTCGATTAAATATACTACTTCACTGTAGGTACAGGTTCACCGCTCATCACCTAATATATAGTATACTCAGATCGTTTTGAATAGAATATGAGTTCCACTGTCATCGATAACATTGACTGACGCAGAGTTGACAATCCATGACCGATGAACAGAGATAAAAATGAGCAGAATTCAATTTAAAATATGCAAGACAAGGTATCTGGTATTACTCAACAAAACCAGCTAATTGAATCGATCTTCTTTCAAACATGACAAATCATGTAATTACTAGAAGAAATGTGATCAATAGAAGACACATACCAGATGAATTGTCCGCCTTGAATCTTTAAATGCTAGTCTTTTCTCTCCGTTCACCATATATATATATATATATATGCTCGTTCTTATGGCATTCTCTGAAACCATTCCCATAGATATATATACATACATTTCAAGTCAGTTCTGATCCTTATCTGTTAGCAAGCAAAGATTATCAATCATGTTTCGTTTATCGCTCGTTTGTTTATCATTTCTACTGGCTATTTTATCAATATCGATGGCAAATCCATGTCCATGTGAATTGATTGTCAATGAATCAGTACCGAACAATGCTCCAACTTCTACGACGGATTCAATCAACAATCCGCTAGCCGATATTGATACGCTCGACGAGTATCTCAGTCAATTGACTGAACAGTCTCATCCAGAAATTTTTGCCGATACATCGTCACTGTATCCGTTGCTTCGACAAACGAAAAGTTTAGATGTCAATGCTCAACGTCTAAAACGACCAAGTTGGGCAGCGGTGGGAAAACGAGCAGCCGCTTTCCGCAACAAACGACCATCATGGGCTCAAGTTGGTTAAATGGAAAAAGACACGCATATTGTTCAATAAACCTTTCGATAAAATGAAAAATAGAAAATCTTTAAAGCAAAACGTTACAGTTATTTTCGAATGTGAAAAAACAACATCATGATGAATAAAACTTGTAACGTGTTTGTTTGTTTAGTATGACAATCGAAATTGATATATGATTTATGTAAACAACAACAATAGCGTCATTTGATCAGATTCTCTTTTCTCATCGAGCTCGTATGACAATCAGTTCATTTCTAATTTGTAAAGCGTCAGCACAGGACGCAAATCGTCAATATCTATGTATATGTGTCAAATTAGCAAAGTGAGATTAATAGAAAGAGTGACTGGTAACTCTAACAAGGTCAATTGATTCAATACAAAAAGAAAACGCCTCTTGAAGATGAAAGAGAAAGAGAAGGCCAGAATACATCGACATATCCAACAATAACAGCAACTTTCTTTGACATTATTATTTTGATCTTCTTCTATACGCAAAAAAAAGAAATCTGATCACTTGTATTTCGCCTCCTACTCAGCGATCGACGTCAGCGGTTGACAAACATGTATCATATCAAGTGGTAAAGAGAATCATTCCTGTTTATATCAAAAAAGAAATCGAAAACTAATAGGAAACAGAACGAAAAGAAGAGAGATATTGAAAATCTAACACACAACACGCATACATATGTTTTTGACTGTTCAGAAGTGAAATACCGCCATTTCTTTTTTATTGTCGTCGACTCTTTTTCTTAAGTACTTCAGTAGATTTACCGTATGTTGCAATAACGGTTTCTTGAATTTCACATTCACCAAAACCAATATGAAAATATCCATTATTACCCCAGCCTGTACCCCAAGAATTTGCTACAATCCAATAATGGTCTTTTGGTTGTCCTTGTTGATCATAATTTGCGCCCCAGCCAAGTAAACGAATCGAATGGTAAGCAGCTAAATTGGCATACCGAGGATTTTGTCGTTCAAAATTGGAACCACCACAACGATATACACCAGAATCATATAAGAAAAATTCGGGTGTAACACGCATAGTCGCTTGAACAGGGCCACGAAAACGAATTTCATATTTAATCGAACGAACTTCATCGCGGACACGATAGGCAGGTCCAAAATTAAAATGTTCGCCGTCTTTCGTATTTGACGGACATTGAATATTGCTGACTTTTCGATGTTGAGCAATGCTCTGTAGATCAGCATCGGACAAATGAAGTTTACATTCATCAATACGACCTGTCTGACCGCTTTCATAAGGATAACAATTTTCTGTTACAACACCACGATCTTTGATGAAACCCCAGGCGTAAGCAACCCGTCCACCTTGACAGTCATCTTTCGCTGCTTTATCTGTACACGAAAGAATATTTTGCACACTTAAAGGTTCCTTCGGTGATTTGATGTTGTGTACGAGTGACAGTCGATCAGCAGCAACATCGACTGTTGACAATGCCCATGAAATACCACATTTGCCTTGGTCACGTACGCCGCGAATTTTGCCGACAAGTGAAGCATTCGAACGAATATCATAAGCATGAACATCATCCATATGATAGTAATCGGTTGGATTGTCAGGTGCATTGTCGACCATGGTACGTAAACTTCGATCAGGTATTGTACCCAAATAATGATTTAATGCATCTTTAACTTTCACGCCATTAAATTTATCATATTTTCGTACTTTGTAACCTAAATATTGCTGTTGTTGATTAATATGTGAAATAAGTTCATCACTATTGACACATAAGTCTTCTTCGCATGACAATATTGTTTGAAATCCAAGTGTAGTGCAACGGCATAAATTACAATCACGTAGAAATGATTCACCGAATGAGTATTGTCGATTTGTTGATGGGTCATAACATTTACCGGTTGGTTGAGGTGCAGGTGTTGTTGGTAATGAGACATTTTCACCTTTACAAACGGAATCATGATCAGGACAGCAATCATGATTATCAATGCCACGAAAACAAAATGCATCGCAATAGCATCGCGAATCATAATAAGGCATGAAACAATCATCATCTCGACTAGCACAACATTGAGGATGTGGACGTACAGAACAGTATGGTTTGATTTCTTCCCATTCAGCGTAACGAGAATTCGTTGTATTCAATAATAAAATTAGAATATTTACGAAGAAAAATATCCATGTCATCTTTAAACAAGGAAATATAGAGATTCCTGTTGAAGACTAAAGTAGAACCCGTTAGTCACCGTTGCCAACACTATAATAACAGAGAGAGAGAGAGAGTAAAGCGTAGAAAACAACCGGATAGTCTGTATGAGAAAGAGAGACAAAGAGAAACAAAACTAGAAAATAAAAAAAAATACCTACAAAAGATAGATAGACAGGAGGAAGACAAGCGAGAGAGAAAGCGATGGAGACGACACACAAAAAAAACTGTTATCGATAGTGATCGTTTTTTCGCATGCGTATGTGTGTGTCTGTCTACGTACGACCGACAAAGCGGTGTATATATTTCAATAGTGTCTCACCCTCCAAACCGACTCTGAAATTAATCTCTCTTTTTTTTCTTGAAAAGAAAAAACATATTCATACCAAGGTCAACCTTTGATTGTGTGAAGTATAAATGAAGAAGCATCTGTCAAAAACTTCAACATCTAATTATCGAGTCATGAAAAAAAAGAACTTGCCAGCATTCGACCATCTCTTTCGAATTCAAATATGATTGGCACATGAACGAATTATCACTAGTATACTTTAGGTAAATATCAAAAACTGGAAGAATAGATCAACCGCAAGCACGTAAATCTTTATGTATATAGAATTATGTTTTTATGCAGGTGTTTCATTCCGAGTTTTTTTCTTTTTCTTCTTAAGCACTGATTAATTATCAATAACAACTACCACGAACACACACACACAGTTCTTTTCTTGATTTTATTTTAAGATCGTGAAGTAATAGGCGTTGTTTTTTTCTCCTACACACCGATATATATATATATGAAAATAATTGCTTGACGTTTATTTCAATTAATATTCTACTATATACACAGGATATATTTCAAAACGACGAAAGAATATGATTTACATCTCGTTGTGCTTTGTGTGCCGTGTTGTTATTATGATGATTATATGCAATCTTAGAAGATGCATGAAGGAGAAAGGAGAGAAAAGAATGAAGCAAAAGCAACGATATTTTTGTATTCCAATAAACATACGCATTTGTTATTAATATGTAACAAGTTCTTTCAATCGAAATGTCATTAGCTAATAAATAGAAAACAAGAAGAGATTTTTCTATTTTTTTTTCTATATGTATGTCCTATTTGAAGGATGTTAACAAGTAGATAAGTATCTTCAAGCAGACATTCTGGCATTTTCTTGGTCTTTGAGGAAAACTATTTTAATAATTGATAATAGAATCGTCAAGGTTATGCATGTCATCTATCACTAAGGTTAGATTTCAATCGACATGTGTGTCACCTTGGTTAGGTAAAATATTTAGATCGATGTGATATATTGTCTGTTACTTCCAGGAATAAAATCATTCCATTGTTACTGATAAGACATTCAACGAACTGATACTCTTGGTGTTTACAAATGAAAATCAGATGTGACGATTGAATCGATCTCGATCGAGCAAATGCTGACTAAAGCTTTGAGGAGAAAGACCTTAAGAATATTGACAATCTCAATCATACGTATCGGCATATGGAAGAGAAAGAGAAAGATTGCATTGATTCATTCAGGTCTTCTTTCGATAGACAGAGGACATATTAGTTGATAAATGTTAACTATCACATTTTCAACACCTTTTCCTGTCTCTCTCGCTATTCGATATACCATCCATGCTATTTGCCAATTAATAATATAGATATCGATATAATAATCTATCCATGTTCTCATTTTCTCAGCAGTAGTATCAAGGTTATCAATAAGATAAAATGATTGAATGACAATCTTCGTAGGACTACATATAGCAGCTGTGAAAGATAAAAATAAGCATTTATTCATATTAAGGAATCAACAAGTTCAATTTTTCGTTCAATGTTTAAATTGAATTTTTCTTGCAACAGTTTCTCTACTTCCTTGTCATCAATCGATGATGGTGCACTTTTACGGATCGCGTGTCCATCTTCGAAAATCCATTCAGAATACTTTTTACCATTTAAACTATAAGCACCAACTGTTGGTTGGTACGTATGTATATGACAAATCGATTGATGATTGAGTATAATATCGGGCGAATGAACAATGGACGGACATTTGAACTTGTAATCGTCTAATGTCAATGTTTTCTGGTCGAAATCAATCGGAAATCGATAACTCATACGCCATGCAATACGCTCCGGATCGATATCAACAATTGAAGTTTCCAATGAAGATGATGTGAGAGAAAACTGATCGTTTTTATTTTTCAGACAACCATTTCTAAGTTGATAATACAATTGATCCTCGGATTTGATTATTTGATAAAAGCCATTTAAAGCATATTGAACACAATCCGTTTGAAAATATAATGGTGTAAGCGGATCCATTGAGAAACCAACATCACATAGATACTTTGTACCATTTTTCGTTGTGATACGCATGGCAATGTGCGTATAAAGATCAGAATAACTTTCTGTCTCTGTTGCATAAACTCCACATGGAATGAGTTCAATTTTATAGTTAAAATTCTGCAAAATAAACGCAAAGAGACCATTCATTTCGCAACAAACTCCACCACGCTTTTCTTGTACGAGTTTGCGAAAGATTTGATCTTGTTCAATATTCAATTGTTTAATGTCGATCAAATCAAACGTTTCGAATGGTATGTGTGTTAAATGGCCCACATGCAATTGAGCCAGATATTCTTCATCCGATACATCTTTCGGGCGATTGACTTCTATTCGTTTCAAATATTCATCAACACGATCATCGTTTTCCATCTGAAATTTAACATAATATATCTTGTTCTATGGGTATGGATGAGAGTGAGAGTCAGAGTAAAGGCAAAAATGTGAACGAGAGTAACGATTTGGGTAAATGTTGGATATCCACAGCCATCATCACGAACCGACTCTAAAATGATGAAATCAAAGCTAAAAATATGGCTTTATTGTACTGATCGATGAGTCGATTCGTCTTCGTTAACCGCTTCTATTTCATTTTTATTACATAGCAGTATTGCCATGTGTGTTAGGCATAGACGAGTAAGCTGGGAAACGTGAGCAATTGTTCCGATGGAAAACTTTTTTGATTAAAATACTAGGAAGAACACGGGATTATTATTTTCACGACAGAAATTGTTCGATCTGTAATACATACATGTACAGAAAAAGAATCACATTCTGTAATATGTGAAATGTTTGACCATCAATGTCAAAATTTTAGATAACGCGAGAATGCAGCCATTCTTGCTGTGATGCATAGCTAATAATGATTGATAGCTCTTCACATCGCGTATTATTAGCTCATGGTTTGTGTCATATGTAAAACTTTTCGCTATTTAGTCTTTAGTCCTTTAAAACATGTTAGTCATGTAGTGCGGTAATTTCTGAAAATGAAGAAAATTTGAACATTGCAAGATTTCGTCGTCTTCTTTGATCTAAATAAAATTTGCGTTAGTTTGTTGTAGGAAGAACTTTATTGTTTATTCAGTCATTTTTCGACATTTAACGACAAGCGTGTATTAACTGTCACATTAGTGATAAGTAACATTTATTTTAGCCTGTATACTATCACGTGATTGCTGTCAAAAACACAGAGAGAGCATGATCAGAATAATCAGTCAATACAGTGCTATATACTTTGTCCTTTATCAGTACACATGATTGGATGTTATCGAAATCTCCTAGCTATTAATTATTTCTTTCAAACAAATATTATAAAGAATTTATAAAACGTTCTTTTAATTAAAATTGTTTTGTCTCTTTATTTCTTAAAATATATCCCAAAACCATACTTTATATATAAATATTCGATGGTAATTTTATTTTTTCATTGAAGAAAAGTTAAACGTTTATTGCGCTTCATCCGTATCCGTTGAAAACGATGCAAATGACATGTTTTCTTTCGCACTTAAACCTAACTTTTTAATGAACTCAATTCTGTCGGTGGACAACGGTGCAGCTGCAGCGCCTGTTGTGGATTGTTGGATGACATAATCTGCGCAAAGAACACTGTACTCTTATAAAATACGAAAGAAATGCTTACCTTGCATTTCATGTAAACGTTGATTAACATTAGTTGGGAGTGCTTTCGATAAATATTTGATCAATGCTGGCACAGCTTTACCTGGAGCATGAATAAATCGGCCCGTGGTAACAGCATAGAAGATCAAAGTCACGGTGAGATGAAGAATCATTGCTGGATCTTGTTCATCTGTTAGCTTCGCTTTGAGTTTTTCGCGAATATCCAATGCAATATCTCTAGAATAATCCAACATGCTTTACACCTACGACAAAAGTTCAAAGCGTACTTTTCGTTCTTCTTATTCGGACGTTTCAATGATAGTTGAAGTAGATCATTGGCTGCATCTTCAAGTCGAGTTAAAGTTGTCTCAACATTCTTCAATAATTAAAACTAGATTCGGAGGAGAAAACACAATCGAATTTACTTTGCCGTTGAGAGATTCATTGACTTTCGATAGGAAACTACGATTGGGTTCGGACATTTTTTGTATGAGTTTGTTTCGTTCCTTGGAAAAGATGAGAGTTCATCAGGTTGGAAATGGTGTATGTACACGTGAGAATGAACCTTACTTCGATAGTTAGTTGTCCTGTTTTCGAATTTGCAGATGGATCGAGTTCTCGTAAGATGTTATCGCACATGTCGGAGCAGAGCGAACGGATTAAATGTCGCTGTAGAGTTTCAGCTAAAATTGCATTTTTTATTTAGTTCGATGAAACGGGTCATTCTATATAGGAAATTTACCAAGACCGGTTTCGTTTTCTGCTATTAACTGTTCAATTGCACGTGAAAATATACAAATGTTTGCATGCATTTGTTTAATCGATTCTTGTACATTTTTTATTTCATTCTTCCGTGTTGTATCACTACCTGCCTCAGATTCTTTCGCGACAAAACTTTCCTTCACGCGTTGAATAAATTGATCCAGATATTGACGACTTTTGACGCTAGAATTTGAAAACGAATAATGAAGAACCCGCTGTTTTGACTCAATTTTTCTTACCTATAAAGATTATCGGTTAGTAAATCGAGAATTTCATCAGGTAATTCATCGTTGATGGATCGAATTTGAGATTTGATTTCATCTTTACCAACGAATGGAATCGTTTCTTGATTTGTACTTGTTTCCTCAGAAACTTTCGATGCGCCTTTACGTTTGCCAGCGGATGCGGCAGGTTTTTTCGCTACTGCACCTTTGGCAGTTGCTGATGATGACGATGAAGCTAATGCAATATTTCCTTGAAGGGCGGCGGCATACAATTGCGGAGTACAATGAGCTGATTCCTTCAAAGCAAAACAAATCGATTCGTCTTCATTCTGTTGAATTGGTTCTTACCTTCTCTGCGTATTCTTGACAAATTTCATTCAGTTTCTTGTCGATTTTGTCTTGCAATTCTTTACTGATAACAAATGTATTCGAAAGAAGTTCGCCACCTGATGACTTGATCACTTCTTTGATTGATCCTTCAGATTTTAATAACTTTTCAATATCGTTATCAGTAAAACTGTTCGGTATTAAAGTTGTCAAATCCACATATTCATTCGAAACTAATCCTTGTTCAATATTCATTTCCAATTGAGGAAGAAATTTTGGCAGATCAACACAACCAGAAATTAAATACAAAGTCTGTTGACGATCTTTTAACACTAACTTTGTTTGCCCTTCAGGATCAGTAACACCAAGATTACGTACAAGTGAATATTCAATATAGCCATTCTGGGTAAAAAACGAGTCAATATATTTCGCTTGAGCATCGGTGTAGACTTTTGGATTAAAAATTGAACTCTCTCTTGTTGTGCCAATCAGAGTCCCGTTGATTCGATTCTCACGAATTAGATTGACGATCAGACCTGAAAATTGAAGAGATCGATTTTATCAGTAAGTTCATGCTAGTTTACCTTGGATAAGATTTTCATTAACACGAGTATTTTTTATTATTTCATTTACACGTACAGGTAAAAGTGCTGCTTGAAGATAGCCAATAAGGATATTTTGTTGTAAACGAACATAATTTTCGGTATATAATGTTCCTGATTCGTACTTAATACCATTTAATGCCGAGCCAATAATTCGGTTCGTAACAATTGAATTCAAATATTCTGTCGGCAAATCAAATTGACGGATCAAGTCACTAAATGGAATTAAACCACGTTCGACCAGCATATCATTGATTTCCTCCACCAAACGATTGGTATAATTGCTTAAAAGACAAAAGTAAATAGACAATTTTCATTTGTCTTTCAATGCAACTCACGCAGAAATAAATTGTCCCAAAATAAATTGTAAAGTCGGATCTTCTTTACAGACGTCGCCGACTTTACCTTCAATGTAAGTTAAATCAATGCGAAGATGCTGTGCCAAATCGACAATATTAATACGACCTGTAGATGGATATTTCGAGAATACGAAAAGTCAACAAAATGCCGAAGTACATACCTCCATTCGCATAGATTTCGTCGAGAATTTCTCGGATCAGTCGCTGTTCAGTTATAATATCCTTACCATCGGTAGTATATATAACATTCAGTAAACCTTCTTTTACCAATAATCCAATCAATTCGACACAATTTCGCTCGGATAGTCTAGATAATGAAATATTACACGGAGAAAAAAATCGACAATCGTTGATAGATTACTTATTGGCCGTTTCGGATAATTGTAAATTGAGAAAATCAGCTCGTAAACTACGAATTTCATCCCATGAAACGTCAGCCATCACTCCTTATTTTGCGTGTTTAGAAGTAAATATACTATTGAAACGTAACAGCGTTACGTTAGATAGACACATACTACAAGCAACCAATCCGATTAGTGTTTAACACCCGATGACTCATACATTGTATTAGTAGATATATACAATACATCAACAACGCACAGAAAATGGATGTAACATTTTCATGAAACTTTAGTGCCAAAAGATTTATAACTCATAAGGAAATTGTCAAAGATGAAAACGGAGAACATTTGGTATGTGCAGCCATCTATAGCATTCAGCATATTACAGGCTTGGCACAAACAGCAAAGGCCTGTTTTGAGCATTTTCCTCAAAATAATCTCTTTGATCATATACTATTAACTTATAAATCACAATGTTCTTATCAGTGGAATATCATACAAGCGTGCAAAATATTTGCTAGATTTTCTTGATCTACTCGTAAAAATATGATCGCCACTAGTGAAACGTGCATCTGGTGTCAAGTGCATAAAAGAAACGGCCTTTCGCGCCTCTGAGAATGAGAACATACCCATATTTACCACAAGTACCGCTCATCCGATGGATCCGCTGACCCTTTTCTGAAAGAATTTTCTCAGTGCTCAGCACATTCAAACGCTTTGAAAACCAAATCAGGAACGGTGATTGCTATTGATTCTCAGCTGAACGATGGCACTGCAGTAGCATATACTAGAGTTAATAAAAGGTAAAGAGCGATCCGTTTCCATGAATCGAACCAACTAACCATTTGTCAGCGAGCAGTTTTCGCGTACAAGCTGTGTTTACTCAAAACTCCATCGCTTAATGGCTAGCCGTTGATACATACGTAATCAATTTACGCCTACCTATAATTCGCTGTAGGACGCGAGAAAATGTCCGAGGAGATAAATATCTGCTGTTGTTTCTAGATAAATGTTCGCAGTAATTCTTAGATGAAACTTAGCGAACTATGAGAACATTTTTTCGGCGAATTGAAGATGATGTTTGTATAACACAGCTATCACTCATTCAGTTTTCGAAAACACATTTTGATCTGGAAAACACACTGTTTGCTTTCTGCTTTAGCTCGTATTAAACACATAAAATGCTCTGTTTTGAAAAGTGGGAATTCGGGAAAAAATAAATTTTCGATAAATGGCGATTTTGTAAAGAAAATGTAGCTTTCCAGCAGACTGCGGTTTTCCTTATTGTTATGACTTGTGTTATAGCAAATATTATACACCAAGAATACTATCTGGTTTAGGGTGCCGTACAATGCAAATGCTATAAATTGAGAATTGAATAAAAGTCTTGAAATACGTTGTACAAATACGATTTTCGTGCCTCCAAAAAAAGTTCTTGTTTACTAAGGTAACGTTCGAACAAAATGTTGAACGTATGCCTCGAAGCAGCGTCAAATTCTATTCATAGTAGACTATTCTATACACTGATTAGTTGCTTTGAGGTAATTGAAAGACTCGACGACATTTTGTACGAAGAATTTCGCACTATAGATTACTGTGATCTGAAGCACAAATTTTATTATTTTCTCCACTTGTAGAAATCGATAATCGAGCAATTTCGTTCTGTAAAAGGCATCAATTTGGACGTAAGATATCTTAGCGCATGATTCGAGTCCTTGCACGATTTATGCGTTCAGATATGCGTGCCCAACATCGGCTCCAATAATAAAAGTTTTCATCTCCACCCGTACCCAGGTCGTCCAATCATAGAGTCGGATGCCATGCCATAGGCTTTGATCGAAAGCTGTCGGATTTTATCGTAGAACGGGGAACGGAATCGCATTGAGTTCCGACGACTTATTGGATCCTATTAACTAGAATCGACAAAATCCGATAGTGAAATAATTTTTTATAGCAAATGTACAAAGTACAATGACAAACAACTGAAACAAAACTAAATGGAAATTGTCTCAATTCATTTTTGTTTGTATATATAAGTTTCCACAACAAATAAGCGTCATATTCTCGATCGAATCGATAGATATAATAAACTTTACTAATTCATTGCCGTTGGCTTGCACAGCATCTTTGAAGTTCCTCAAAATTTCCTTTATTCAATAAAACAATCGTGCACCTAGTAAACAAGCTACTATATGTGTCTCACTTGAGGTACACCGAACTAATTATATCCAATGGATGTGAATTTCATTCTGTCACTCGCCACAGTAACTCATACATCTCCAGATACCTGTGAAGGTTTATATTCATACCTGTAATTACAGGAAAACTTTCTGTTTGCTTCCTAATTCTCCTCTGAACAAGAGATTCAGTTATTGAGCTGAATACACCAGTGACGAACAACTGTTATTTCAGCGAGATTCTAACATTATACAAATGCGTAAGACCATTGGCTGGACAACTATCTACTCAAAAAAACCTTACGCATAGTATCATTCACTCACGATAGTTTAACACCTACCTCAGCACATTCACAATCGGCACAGTGAAGCGATTCAGAACTTAACGTATTTTTTACCGTTTTCGGAAATTTCACTCTCCTTCTCACTAAATTCTAAATAGATGCAGCCTGAATTCTGCCTATATGAACTGACACGAAACAAGTAGAGAACTTGGAACCCGGATAAAGTTGCAGAAATATCTTCGGGGTGGGAATTGCAGATAGAGAGAGTAGAGGTGAATTTATTTTTGAGTGAACTCAGAAATGGAAGTGATGAGAAATGGAACTTACGAAGTTTTAGTATTATTTAATGTTTCCTAGTAGGACACTATGAATCGAAAATTTCATCAATAGATGTATGTTCGTGGAGGTGTATATATGAGTAATTTAATCTGGTTCCAATGGAAATTACTGTATCGGTCGCTCATTTAATACCAACGAATGATACTGCTCAATGGCTATTCATGTTCTAAGATAACGACATAAAAGACGCTGAATAAAATCATTATGTAAAAAACAGCTAAAAACTTGGGGGAATCAACGAATTAAAAAAAATTTCTGAACATCACCAATTATTTCAAAAAGCGTTCGATTGGTGAGTTTCAAGTCGTTCTCACAACGACACATTGGCAGTATCATGTCGCAAGGTAATCTACGACTTATTTGTTCTTGACATAAACAATCAACACTGGTTTTTGTCTAAATTACAATGTTTAACCTTTAAAAGAGTATTCTCTTAGAATTTCTACGGAGATATTCGTATTTAGATGCGATTCGAGTAATTTGAAATGAAGAATCCATTTATACTATAACACAGTTTGCCCATAATGATATAGATAGTGGAATTGGATAAAACTTACAAGCGCAGAAAAGTGTAAGAGTGACGAATGCTTACAACAATGAGATATGATAATAAACAAACGCGTTTTGAAAAGACAAAAAATTCAAGACGTTAAACTCTACAAGAGGAGAACCTGGACTGGCAGAGCGTTGAATTAGTTTCCAACAGTAAGATAAACATGTTAGTATCCATAAAATATCAGTTCAGAATACAGAACACTGTTTGACGTTGATCGTTTTCCAGACACAAGAAATCGATAACTCTTATACGAAATCGTGTTGTCTGTTTGCTGTATCGAGCCGCCGCTATTAGGACCCGGATAGGTTGCTAATCCACTATTGCCATTATAAATAAGAGTCCAACTGCTACCAAGTGCCAGATTTGATCCTGATTGATTACTTCCTTCTAACGACACGATTAGCGGATCACGTTCAGAATGATCACTGCCTGTGTACAATTGAAACGCCGTCACTACAGTTGAACCACGTTGTAATTCAAGATAGAAGCCAGTGTTCAAACCACACTGATTATTATTATCAGACGATGTACATGATCCAAAATTTATATACACAGTTGATCTATCATTATCCCACGCCGCCTCTGGTGATTGAGACGGTGGGTACTGACCAATACCGGTGCCGGGTGTTGATGCTGTACTATCACCGCCCACAAATGTATTGTAAACAGCTTGAATTATTCCATTCACAGCGGCAAGTGAAATTTGATCTACAATGTGAGAGTGAGTAGAATTACTTAGATACACGATCAAAGTGTCATTTATATAGATCTCTTTCCATATCTCACTAATCAATCATCTTCTCAGGCTACAAATATTACGTAACGGNTGACCAATACCGGTGCCGGGTGTTGATGCTGTACTATCACCGCCCACAAATGTATTGTAAACAGCTTGAATTATTCCATTCACAGCGGCAAGTGAAATTTGATCTACAATGTGAGAGTGAGTAGAATTACTTAGATACACGATCAAAGTGTCATTTATATAGATCTCTTTCCATATCTCACTAATCAATCATCTTCTCAGGCTACAAATATTACGTAACGGAAGTTAGCAGCGGATTCAAGTATATCCTGCAGATGTTCGCTCATGGACTTGTGATGAATGTGAGACTCTTAGGATAGATACCTCTCGACATTCTGCATCGAGTGGTGTTTTTGCTAGTATTTACTGGTATTATTCGAGTTGTTGTGGATGGATTTCCATCTAAATAACACTACTCGATGCAGAATGTCGAGAGCTATCTATCCCAGGAGTCTCACATTCATCACAAGTCCATGAGCGGATGTCCGCAGGATATGCTAACTTCCATTACTTCTTGACAACACCCTTAGCCCTAGGAGACTGGAAAGCCGATAACCGATTCGATCGGTCGAAAACAAAACTTCATGTATCCAGTTGTAATAATTCTATTGAATCATTGGTTATTAGAAAATATAATACCCCATTAACAAAAACATAATTATATGGTAAAGCTATCTATCTATGGATAGTCTGAACTTAAGCTGCTTTGACATTCGACTCTGTGGCGGTGTTGGAACTGTCTTTCATAATTAAAGCATAGAAACATTCTACAATTGAAATATTCGTCTCACACGAGTCACTAAATTGATACATAACGTGATCACAGTCCTGCCTCCTATGCGCAGCCGCATCGCGACACTATCCTTAACAGTTACACACTAACCTACCACTCTATAATCACTCCGAACACGTTCAAAACATGCATGAGAAACTGAATAACTAAAAACTGACAATAGAAATCAATAAATAAGAGACGGTTTTTTCATTGCTTTGTCTAATATTGCCATAATATCCAAGAAAGATTCATCTATCCCCCAGATGAAGCAAAATACAAAGAAACTAAACTTTTATTTTTATAACTCAAATACGGGTGCCTCCCCAGAAGATTAGACCTTTCTTTTCGTCCGCTATTAGACAATTCGGATTCGTTGCCATGGTTCGAATACAAGTCGTATTTTTCAGCACCTCGTGGCGTCCTTAGTCGTAAGCAGTTTCAATTCTCAAATGTAATCCGAAAATATGACTTCACTCAATTTATGGGCAGACTCAGAATACATTCCTAAAAAATATAGAACACACTGCATGTGTTTCAAGCTTCATAGCTTCCGTGAAAGCCAAATTCTACCGTTACGTAGTCGTTGAGCTTTTCGAGTGTCCTATTCACTCAAAGAACAATAGATCCAAAATAAACTGCGTCTATTCCTAAGCAACATCGCTTATCTACGCATCCATCGATGTTTAAGCAATGAAAAAACGTCTACCGAATACTTTGCAATTTCCTCGTCACACTACAGATTATTTGGCTCATAACAGAACTCAATCATAGGCGTAACGGTCTTTCTTATCAAAGAACCTAATCAATTTTAATAAAATTTATAACTGACCTATACAAGTTCCACTATCACACATTCCACTTGTACAATCGGTACTACTACCACAGCCTAAGCCAGTGTCACATGTCTTGCTTTGTGATACACAATCAGCGCCACCACAATCGACACTTGTCTCCAGTCCATTCTTAACACCGTCGGTGCATGTCGGTGCTAAAAATCAAAGCGTTTGGCACACGTAATCTTTCACTGCATAATCGCTTACCTTGACAAGTTCCACTAGTACACACTCCACTTGTACAATCGGTACTACTACCACAGCCTAAGCCAGTGCCACATGTCTTGCTTTGTGATACACAAGTAACACCGCCACAATCGACGCTTGTCTCCAGCCCATTCTTAACACCGTCAGTGCATGTCGGTGCTAAAAATCAAAGCGTTTGGCAGTTCTAATCTTTCACTGCATAATCACTTACCTTGACAAGTTCCACTAGTACACACTCCACTTGTACAATCGGTACTACTACCACAACCTAAGCCAGTGCCACATGTCTTGCTTTGTGATACACAAGCAGCGCCACCACAATCGGCACTTGTCTCCAGTCCATTCTTAACACCGTCAGTGCATGTCGGTGCTAAAAATCAAAGCGTTTGGCACACGTAATCTTTCACTGCATAATCGCTTACCTTGACAAGTTCCACTAGTACACACTCCACTTGTACAATCGGTACTACTACCACAGCCTAAGCCAGTGCCACATGTCTTGCTTTGTGATACACAAGTAACACCGCCACAATCGACGCTTGTCTCCAGCCCATTCTTAACACCGTCAGTGCATGTCGGTGCTAATAATCAAAGCGTTTGGCAGTTCTAATCTTTCACTGCATAATCGCTTACCTTGACAGGTTCCACTGGTACACACTCCACTCGTACAATCGGTACTACTACCACAGCCTAAGCCAGTGCCACATGTCTTGCCTTGTGATAAACAATCAGCGCCACCACAATCGGCACCTGTCTCCAGCCCATTCTTAACACCGTCAGTGCATGTCGGTGCTAAAACCAATGGATATGGCAGGCATAATCTTCTATTACATAATCACTTACCTTGACAAGTGCCACTAGTACACACTCCACTCGTACAATCGGTACTACTACCACAGCCGAAGCCAGTGCCACATGTCTTGCTTTGTGATACACAAGCAGCGCCACCACAATCGGCACCTGTCTCCAGCCCATTCTTAACACCGTCAGTGCAAGTTGGTGCTAAAACCAATGGATATGGCAGGCATAATCTTCTATTACATAATCACTTACCTTGACACGTTCCACTGGTACACACTCCACTCGTACAATCGGTACTACTACCACAGCCTAAGCCAGTGCCACATGTCTTGCCTTGTGATACACAAGCAGCGCCACCACAATCGGCACCTGTCTCCAGTCCATTCTTAACACCGTCAGTGCATGTCGGTGCTAATAATCAAAGCGTTTGGCAGTTCTAATCTTTCACTGCATAATCACTTACCTTGACAAGTTCCGTTAGTACACACTCTACTTGTACAATCTCTACTGCTACCACAAACCAAACCAGTGCCACATGTCTTGCTTTGTGATACACAAGCTGCGCCACCGCAATCTACATCTGTTTCAAACCCATTTTTAACACCGTCAATGCACGTCGAACCTACAAGAGTAAACTACTAAAACTTCTGTGCCAGCGGGCTGATCACGGCGACTACTCTGATTTCAGCTTTCTATCAGAGAGTATAGTATTTAGATGCAGTCGAATGGAACATATGTGATCCATGCGGTGCAGCTTATTTAACAGACTAAAGATGATGAAAGTAAAAAGTTGTGAGCGCAATCCTTTACGGAATAGAATTGCGAAACGCGAAGAAACTATTTTGACTGTTTTTGTAAGTTCGTTCTCAGAAAGCACGATTTAGTTCAACAATGTTTAGTTGGGAAAATATGTATACAAACGAACTAGACAAGAGCTGTGGAATGGTGTTTTCTGAGAAATGGGAAAGTAGCGTTGAAAGCAAATTAGCTAGATTCTTATATTGAGTTTCAATTAATAATGACATCGCAAGAAAACTCTACACTTGACAAGAGGTTTGTGGGAAATGTTGTCTACGACCCATTTATATCCTGTCTTCAACCTGGCTATGCTATATAAATTTGTGTAGAGTTAAATCCGTAGTATCCTTTTGTATGCGCTAGTGTATCATTTGACGTTTAGGAGTTTTCTAGAATATTGCTTTCGATAATGACGTTTTCCATCTGTCGGTCATGGTCTATGAGGAGGGGTCTAAATTTCTACCCTTAATCCTTGAACACTCTTTTGTAGGTCGTGTTTCACAGAGCCAGAACTATTTACCTGAACTGATGCTGCCAAACTGACAAAATCTACAAGAAGTTTTGATAGTTTGTCCGTCGGTAGTTTGAAAAGTTAATGACAGGTGGGTTGAGCCAAACACTGATAATAGGCTGGATTTGATTTCGGCCAAGCAGTTCTGAATGCATTGATTTGTGACACATCGTGTTCTTGGGCAGTTGTTGACAATAATGGACATGCCCATAGCAGAGCCATTTGCCGTACTGTAGTTTATTCCATTGTTAACATTACAAGAGATGCCAGAACTAGACACGATAGAATTTATCAAACAGACTACAGTCAATGAAAACTATAATCGAATAGCTCACCCCGTGTCCCGCTTCTTTCTTTCACCAACACCGCTGAAGGTAATTAATCGCACACTAAGGGTGTTCCTACTGTAGCCCAAATATTCGTTTATCTATAGCATGTAAATAGTCGAATGATGGCACTTCACTAAGAAATATAAACATACCTGTTGCGCGACTGCTGCGTAGTTTGTTATCCCAGATGACGTGTTACCAGTATAGTCGGTAGCAAATGCAATCGCGATCATTTTGTCTGCTCAAACATAGAAAGTGAGAACAAGAAATGTTAGTAGCACTAATTTCAATACCATTATTGTTGCTCTCCGCTGGAGAGCTAGTGTCCTTTGTAGAAAGGTATATGGGGATTATCGACAAGACAATCACCGCAGCGATCACGAACAAACCACAGAATGCCAACAATATAGCTGTGATTATTGGCCATCTTTTCAGAAGCCTTCGAAACAGGAGTATAAACAATAAAGATTTACAATTTAGGTGTTCGTACCGTGGGCTCGCCGCTAGCTGTGCTTCTTCGCTGCGGTCATTACCACGAAACCAATTGTTCATCACTATGTTAAATAGAAGCAAAGGTTGTTGACTAGTAGCTCCGAGTCATCAAAAATGTCAGCAAATTCAATAAGTCTACCAGCAATCGAACCTATACGTATTTTATTAACATTTGAAGCAAACTGCCGCAATTGTTCTGTTTCTACTTGTGTTTACGCTACATTTACTCTCCATCACAAGGCAAGATCATTACCCAAATGAGAAAAGGTATAAAAAAAACTGAAAACTGTAACTATATAGCACTCATCACATAGATTCTTTGCAGATGGCGTTGATTTTCTAAAGTATCATCTAATCCTTTCTCCATTTACAGTGATATAAATATACTGACACTAGTAATTGCTATCTACTATTGCTGACAGTACTGTGTCCATATTAGAACTATCTACAGTGCATGTTATTCTGCTCCGTCCTCTCTTATCGTGAAGAGTAAAACGGGATAGGAAGGCATATGATAACATCTTAGGGCAAGACGGGACGGGATCGAGCAAGATGGTCATGTTCTGTAGACAACTATGATCCATATTTGCATAAAATATGAGTCGGTGTCACCGTACAGTGTTTGTGTAATCGAATTCCTAATCTTCAAGGGTTGTCCAGTAGACAAGCTGTATATCATCATCTTTTTCTATATAAAAGAGCTCAATGTGTCTTCAGGCCAAAAACATATAGACCTCGTTGATATTGAAGCATCTGTAGACGCTAGAAGATAAAGCCTAGGAGTGTAACGATACCAATACTAATAGTATTTATCGATATTGGTATTGTTAATTCCTAATGAAGATTCAGGGCAATGGTTCCGACTCCCGGATCCTACGAGTGGATTTGCCTGTTTTCTTTCAGTTCCGGAGAGAACCGGATGATACCGTGACCTGGATCCGCTCGAAGGATTCCTGCTTCCACTTTCCGTTAATTTCCAGTGTCTTTCTTCTGGATCCAGCCCGTACTTTTCGACATGGAGTCTAGAAAAAAGCATTCACGTACTTACTGCTTCTAATGAAACCCAGTGTGACCATGCCTTGTTGCTGCGATGAAGTTGCTTCCTTTCGAATAAGAAAATATTAATGTTGTAGCGGCTTATAAACAAGTGGAGATGGCGTACATTTTTATTTTTTGTCTCTTTCATTTGCCCACATTTTCGTCCCTTTTCTCCATTAAACTAACCCCGTTTTCCTTTAATATTAGCACGGTACGGGTGAGTGAGTAATTAGCACTGTTAATTTAACAGTGTTTACGCCTTGCTTTCAATAACCGTTAACGATAGTTAAAGATACGAATGACTGATCTTTTTTTCGTACGGACGTCTGACCCTTTTTCTGTACGAATGACTGATCTTTTTTTCGTACGAATGACTGATCTTTTTTGCGTACAGACGTCTGATCCTTTTTTCTGTACGAATGACTGATCTTTTTTGCGTACAGACGACTGATCCTTTTTCTGTACGAATGACTGATCTTTTTTTCGTACGAATGACTGATCTTTTTTTCGTACGGACGTCTGATCCTTTTTTCTGTACGAATGACTGATCTTTTTTTCGTACGAATGACTGATCTTTTTTGCGTACGGACGTCTGATCCTTTTTCTGTACGAATGACTGATCTCTATGCTGACTTCATATAAAAATACTTCTTTAGGTCGCAATGTGTTCAAAACTCAAAATCACCAAAACAAAAATCATCCTACAATGTGTTAATATATTTTCTCTATTACAATTCACATTAAAGATCGAAATTTTTCTTCGATTTCTATTGATATCGTATTCTTTTGGAATATTCTAACAATTTATCATATCAACTTCGACTAGAGTCTAATAACTGATTACGATTCCTCTTGAAAAATTGTCGATTCATAACTATAAAACGTTGATTTCCTGATATTTGTGAAGAATGGTCTAAACTAATCAATTTATTCCCTTTTCTGTGAAAAAGGTTTATAGCCGCGTTAAAACCACTTAAAGTTTGTCTGTCCAAGCCAATCAGATTGCAGCATTTCATAAATCAATGAAAACTTAACGACGTTCCTTACGAAGTTATTATTGCAAGGTAATCGACGTCAAGGATCCCGAATCCGATGTTAGTTTTCGCAAATACTAACTATTTAATTAGTTAATTAGCTAATGATTAGTGCTTATATTGTCAAATAAGGGTTGACCGAAGGGTAATCAGTTCCCGAGATCTGTAATCTGTTGTTAGTTTTTCAATAGAAAATCCTGTTCTGTTTTTTAGACAAAGGTCGATTTTTGCAAAGAAGTTTTTTTAGGCGATAGTGTTTGAAGCAGCAATATGGAGAACTGAAACGAAATAGCTGATTAACATCAGACTGTTGGATATTCATACACATCAGCACATTGATAACATCACAATTATACAAACAGTTATATTACACAAACATTATCTGATGCTAACCACTCAAAGTAATATTTCCTCTGACAAATGCTGTTTTGGACAGTCAGAACGGCACAAAGTTAGTGATTCTTCAGCAGGGAATGGAAAGAAACGGTTTGATTCATTCTGAAGGGAATTCTAAACTAGATGAAAGAATGAAAGTTGGACATTAACGGCTAGCGGTGAGTGGCCGACGAACAACTAGACGCTTATTTGAATTGCTTAGAGGAGATAAAATAAATGAAAATAAATTGATTTTTTATTCAGAGTAGTCTGAAGAGAGTCGATGAATAAATTTTTATAAACGGTGTTCGTTTTGTTTACGTCTTTGGATAAATGAATTGAAAGTAATCTGACATGAGTGAAGAAAGAATGAGCATAAAAGTGACTTCAGTTCGATGCCAATTAGATTGAGGTCTAAGTGAGAGCGTTTATCTACTAGTTTTCTAATACTTTCAGAAAAGGGTCAGCAAATCCAACGGATGAGCTCTACTTTTTTAGCATAAGATGTTCCTTGGAATATCAACGTGCTCTCTAATTTCTTGTTAAGAATATCAGATAGAATAAGCATTAGTTAATTTAAACGTCATTTTCTCTTTCGATAATGAAAATACACGTCATAGTTTTGGTTGACCCTATTCTATTTTATCTGTTGTATGTATTTCTTACGCATAAGCTGATTGAAAGCCGAGGAAAAACAAACATGAACTTTTACAAAAGAGAAAATTGAAAATATACAATTCTGAGATAAGAAGAATGACTAATATTAGGATAGAAAAGACAAGGTTACTCCACACGTAGTTTTCTAAAAACCAAACGATCAATCAATCAAATCACACATCAGAGTTGATCACGAGAAAACGACTGAAAAAAAAAACAAATCAAATATGATCAAATGCTGGTAAATATGTTGATGGTCGTTGTAAAGATGTTGAACGTATTGTACGATCAGATTTTATTTCCATACGATCGTCTCGTTCCGTGGATGGCGTTCGATACCATCTACTCGGTGCAAACGGTAGCCGCGAATGTTGCTTAGCACTTGGCATTGTACGGTTATTTACAATGTTGTACTAAAGTAGACAAAAAGAATTCATAATAATAGATTTTGTCAGTAGAAATGATTCACCTTGGCTTGATAAACAAATACATTCGTGCATAAGCGAGTGACAGCATTCATTAGATCTCGTGCCTCACATATAACTGTATCAACCTGAACAAACAGAAATTTGTCAATTTCATCAAAGAGTCATGTTTAAACATTTTACTTTTGCAAATGTTGAACTCTTTCCTGATACCGGAGATTTTAATTTTAGTTTCAATTGGTGGCACATTAAAGGTATTCTTTCTAATTGAATCAGCATATCCTGTCGCGTACTCTTACTAGGTATCTGTAATACAAATGTTTGTAAATATTCTTCTTATAAGCGTAAGAAATTACTTGATGAATGAATTCATGTATGATTGCTGAAAGACGAGTTCCTTCCTCAACAAAATAATAAGCTTGTGTGAATAAATCTTGTGTTGTACGTAAAGTTCCTTCGCCTCGAGTAAAAAGATACATTGAATAGGCCATCGATGACATATTCTTTGCTCGCTGAAACGAAGACCGTATGATGTTTTTACAATAAGGTACACAACAAACCTTAGCTATTTCGTTTTGTGGTTCATCCCATTTTTCAGCTTCCGCATCCATTTCCGATGTGACCAATTTCATTTCTAAACCTGCTTTGGCTATTTTAGCTTGCTCTTCGGAATCAAGTTTCGTAGGTTTGAAACCGGCTAAAGCAAATCAACTTGTAAAATACAGCAAATATATTAATCATACCTTTCGATGTCGTTCCATGTTTACCGGGTCTTGGTAATGATAAATAAACTGTCTTTTCGCCGCGACCTTCAATGTAATCTTGGATTTCTTTTACCAGAACGGAAAAATCATTGATTTCTTGTTCCCAAAATCGACATAGAACATCAAGGTTTTCCTTCGGTACTCGACTCGTTGGATGTACCGCCACTGATTGTGCCGATGCAATGATCTGAAAAAAGCCACAAGCTGTAATTATACATCTCGCTACTTTCTCCCTTACCATATTCGATAAATTCTCTAGTAACATATCATGATATTCACTGGATACTTGCAGTTGATCACAGGAACTGATATGTTTCAGAAGTTTACTCAATTCGATGGCGATTTCAGCTTGCTCTCGGAAACGATCAATGGCTTCTTGTAGGAAATCGAATCGACTGGTTAATGAGAATGTTTTTAGCTCATTCAACAAAACTGTTTCATCATGTGTACGGAAAAATTCTGACGCACGAAGCATAGCTATTTGTTCCAACTGGAAATACAAGAACGTGTGAACTTGTCAGAAAAAAAACAATAACCGTGACTTACATCTTTTCGAAAGTCATGTCCGATATGCTGAATTGTTTGTATCGCTAATGGCAGAACATCGCTTTTTATTGTAAAGCCAATTTCATTGTTATTAGTAATAAAAGTAATGATTTCTGCCAATTGCTCTTGTAGCTTTTTATGATAATCTAAAACTTTTTCTCGTTGCTCGATACTGATGTAAACTGAGTCGGTGAAATCTTGACTATTATCAATGGCCTTGTTACACAAGTCTTCGAGTTGTTCTTTCGTTGAAGATGTTACTGAAACATTTAACATTTCTAGTGCGTACTACAAACATAAAGTTAGCAGATCCGATGAAAATTAGCATCTGTTTTACTTCAAATTGTCGTAGTGATTTAACGAAATTAATCTCATCTTTCGTCAACTGAAGTATCAGCGTCGGATTTAGTGTTGCTGTTGTCGAGCCCGAATCATAGACGATTAAACCTACTAATTCTAGGGCACGACGGACTTGATCGTACACCAGATCTCGGCATTGACGAGAATGAACACATTCAATGTGACGAAGATACGACTAAAATAGAATTCGAATGTTTTCTTTTTCGAGCTCATTGGAAAATTCGTTACCTTCGACGAAGTCAAAATCAGCATCGTCGATTTTTCGAGAATGGTTCGCGAAGCGGAAAGTTGTGATCGACGACGTTCGTCTTTCAGATCCTAAATAAACAAAGTACTTGTTATTGTTTTCAATCGAGAAACCCAAAATTACATTCTGTCGATCGCCGGTTAGATGTGCCAGTTCCACCATTTGACTGCCATAGACTCCAAATAGTTTAACAAACTCAGAGAATGACGAGACTGATTCTAATCGATTTAAAGTCGATATGACCTATAGTAAACAAGAGCGATATTTTCTTCCTTACAAAAATCAAGAAGAGATATAACCTTTTTCTTAATAGAGATGATTTGTTTAACAACAATCATATCAGCAAGTAGTAGAACACGGGTTACAGCACTTAGCAAACCACGCGCTGCTTGTACCATGCATTGTCTATCAGTAACACAAATTGGTTTGCCGGTTGCATCGTATTCTGCACATGTTATCCTTTTAATGGAATCACCTATGAAAAGAAAAGGCAGCAATAACTGTTAAAACAAGTGTAGTAGAAGAAAAAACAAACCAGCTAGTCGAGCTTCTTGACAGGCATCGATTAAATCTGATCGAATTTCAGCATTTTCGTTAGCAATCGATTCTCCCACAGAGACAAATCGTTCCACAGCCATGTGTACAGCATCCCCCACTCGATTGATGGCTTGCAACGTCTTCTCATTGATAGCTGACGACGACGATCGTGGTCGTTCTTTAAAATTGACTAAGGTAGAGATTTGCGTCACCAGTGGTACTAAAGTTGTTTCAATCGATTTCGTTTTAATTTCAAGCGATTTTGGCAATGAAGCTTTATTTGCTGATGCCATATCCGCAAAAATGTCCTTACTCTCGTTTTACATCATCTAGAATAGAGAAAACAGCAATGTTTATTTCTCATAAGATCACCGTAGACAAGAAAGAAAAAATAACAAATCATTTTCGGTAATATAAAAAAAGGAAACTTTATCTTGACAAATTCGCTCATGAACGCTCAAGATCATTGTCTTCGGCACTGTATAGTTCGCTAACAATTCGATAAACATACGATGGAGCATTACCCATGCCGCTGCCAATAATCAATGTAACTAATTCCGGTGGAACATAATCATGCATGGGCACAACGATATCTAACGATGACTGATAGCTCGATTGATATGAAAGAATATTTTCGGGCGATGGAAAACTATTGCACATAACTGGATCGAATGATGGAAGATAAGTTGGAGAGAATTTATACGTTGGTGCACAGACAAGCAATGGAACATTGAAGTTTTTTGCAGCTAATGCCAAACTGTATGTGCCAGACTTCGCGGTTAAACCTCCATTTGCCAGAAGACTTCGTGTACCGATAAGAATTTTGTTAACACGAGCCATGATTGCATAGACAGCTGAATCAGTAACAACCGTCACAGGAATATTTGCTTGTGATAAGTTGACTGCCATTTTATGTCCGGTGAAGAACGGCGCATGTTCGAGAATGAAAACATGAAATTGCCGTTTTTTGCTCGCTGCATACTTAAAGAATTGTTCCACAGTGTAAGAATAGCCTAATGTTAGGATGATCTCATTGGCGTGAATGTGTGCTAAGGCTTGTTGAGCAAGATTCTTTACACTTAAGTCTATTTCGTTCGAATACCAATTCAAATCGTCCATGATGTCAGGTCGAAGACGTTGAACAGACACACTGCCTTCGACATTGCTCATTGGAAGCGATTCCGTCAGATCCGCTTGAATTTGTTGTTTTTTTAATTGGAAATTTTCATCGAGATTATCGCTTTCATCTTCATTCGTCGTTGACATCGTTGCGCGATCATTTAGTACAGCTTGAAGTGTCAAGGATATATCGCTACCTTCATTTCGACCGTGAATAATCCGAACGGATACTTCACGAATTAATTTTAGAATATGTCTAAAGACGAGAAAGACAGAGAGCTTGAATGAAGACGATCTTTTACATCAGCAACATTTCATAAGCCGATAGATTGTATTTTGCCTTACTCTACACAAGTGCTCATTAATGTTTTCTGTTATTTGACATTCAAATGTCATTATCTTTCTGAGCATAATTCTGACCTTTGACATCGCAGAGTTTCTATCCGAGTGACATACCTGATAATATTAAATGTGATACTATCAACAGGTTGTCCTTCATTGATTCGATGTGCATACGAACGAATTAAAGTTATCAATTCGCTTGCATTTGCCCATTTGGATTCTCCGATCAGTTTCTTTAGTATCAATATAGTTGCCAAGGCTAGATCACGTGAATGGGTGTAGGTTGATTGTTTCACATTATTACAAAATCGGTCGATTTCGTTTTCAACTTCAATTGGTATACGTGCCATCGTAAATGAAATTTGTCTATGGTCTAAAACAGTACGATGAACATCCGTTGGATTCGCAATCATATGTTGAGGCTGATGCAACATGCAGAAGAATGATTTCGAAATATCTCATTAGAAGAAATGGTATCGAATCAAATGATGTTGTTAAAAAGCAAAAAAGGTCATGAACGATCTCCTACAGAAATATAAATGTCAGTTTGGTAATGTTTACTGATTTATTGATTACAATTCTAATCGGTTAATTTCACTGAACTAATCAGATCTTCTCATCCGCCCTCTATAGTCGAGAGAGCAACGGGCAGGAGCATCAGTGGAAGACTTAAATTGCATGTGGCGACATGACATCGACTTCATCATTATACTTATCGTAACCTGACACTTTTCTATTAAAAACTAATTAGAAAAAATGGTTCAGCTCATCTACACTATCGGGCATTCTTCGCATGATTTCGAAACATTTTCCTCTCTATTAAAACGTTATGATATTGAACTCATCATTGATATACGTCGTTCGCCTCGATCAACTCGCTATCCACATTTCAATATTGATCGTCTCGAACGTACATGTTTATTTCGATATTCATTTCAAGGTGATATACTCGGTGGACGTCGTCGTCGACGGAAATCTTTAGGTGATCTTAATGATGGTTTAATCGATTCCGATTTGCATGCTTATGCTGATCATATGCAACGCAAGGAATTTCAGCAAGCCGTAAATGATTTAGTTTCACAATGTTCGTCTTCTACACTGGTTCTCATGTGTTCGGAAAATAATCCCGAAGAATGTCATCGTTTATTGCTCGCTGATTGTTTATGTCTTGTTCATCATGTTCAGGTACTTCATATTCTTTTCAACGGTGAAACACGCGAGCATCAAATCAATTCCATGGCAAAACTTAATGAACACAGTAACACGAATATTTACCCGAGTAATAATTCAGTAATATGATTACAAACTTTATTCACACATCTGAGTATGTCATGAAAATCTCATCTAAATATAGTGATGATGATGATAGATAGATAGATGGAAAATGAAACAAAAAAGACCGGAAGCAAACAATCGTAATTAATCTGTAAAACAACTCAATAATGTATACAATCAGGGCCGTTTTTCTGACAGTTCTTTCTTTTTCTTTTTCTCCTTCTCTCTCTCTCTCTCTCTCTCTCTCTTCATCTTTCGTTACTAGGAAAAGAACGCAGCGAGGTCTCACTACAAGACAGAACAGGGTGAAGAAAGAAGAAGACGAGAATATTCAAGCTATCGTCAGCTCTATAATTGTCTATCTTCTTCTTTTTTCAACATTTCATTTATTTATACTTTTTCTTCCTTGTGATGAAGTGCACTTAGTTTATCATCAAGTGACAAACATCTGCTTTTCTTTTAGATGTAAAATCAGCAATCGAAACCAAAGTCATGTCGTCAAATCTAACTAATAGTGAAGAACATGATCCGGTTGCTAATTTAAACATGCTACCAGCACGAAGCATACTCAAGACAACGAAAAGTCTCGATGAAAATCGATTAGATAATCGTCAAGATGTCACGACATATCCAACAACCGGGATGAAACGATCCGAAAGTCGAAGGTAAACATCGATTAAGTCGACACACGGAGAGAATCTTTGTATTTTTAGTAATAAAATACCTCATTTTGATGAAATGAATATAATTGCAACTTATCATCCAATTGACAAAGATTATGGCCATATGAAAATCGAAGAACCGAAAACACCGTATGCTCCGAGTGATAATATTGATGAAGACATGGATACTGGATTTAATAATAATGAAGCGATATCTTCAGGCGTTGATCCTAATGCGCTTGCCGACAGGTTTCTTTCTTTGTTGTGACTTTATTCCTGGTTGCAGACTTTCTCTCTCTTTATTTTGTAGATTAAATGAATCGTCATGTGGTTCATCGCGGATATCGACGGATCATTCGGCAAAAGCATCAACTCAGGATCATAGTCCAACGTTAGGTACTTCGTTCTACTGTTTACTGTAAGGAACAAAAATGTATACAGAAGAGTTGCTTTTTCAGAACAGCGAAAACAATTTGAACAACATCGAAAAGAACATTATAACGAATTTGAAATCGTTCGTTTACATAAAAAACAAATCGAAGCTGAACTACGAGCACTTGAACAGGAAGAAGCATCTGGATCTGAAGGAGCATCATCTATTAAACCGATTCTGATACATTCTCCTTCATCACTATCCCGTCATCATAATCAAGCGCATCATGTGCATGTTCAAGATGACGAACAACATGAGGTCGACGAGCACTCCTTGTCTCCCGAAGAGCGCGGTTTGTTTTTCAAAATGATTTGACTATTATTCGATTCATCTCTGTTTCGTAGAACGAAGAAAACAATTCGAATCAAAACGAAAGCAACATTACAACGAATTTCACGTTGCTCATTCAGCAAACAACACTGAACACAGTTGACTGATTTTTCTTCTGTACATATATTCTCTCTTTCCGTTTGTTTCTTTTTCTAAACATTTACGGATGCTACGAATACTTTGTCAGTATTGCTTTCTTCAAGATAAACATCTCATTGTAGTTTTCATTTCTAACAAAACTATGTAATTTTATTCGGAATATATTCGCTCATGTGAAATATTTATAGTACTCGAACGTGCGTTTGTCAATCGAACGGAAATTAGAGCTTTCACCATTCTTCCGATGTTAATATGAGACTTTAATTAAACCTTTTTTCTCGTAAAAATCGATAATAAACAAGCGGATATTTTGACAATCAAGATTATTATATTTAACGTACTTTTTCCTTGCATACACACATTTATACAGAAAGAAAAGAAAAACAAGAACAATAGCATCTACAGATGAAATTATATAATTATCAACTTCTTTTTAAAAGATCAGGCAAATGCCGAATGGCATCTAAAACAACTCGAAATGAATAAACTTATCGAGAGTTTTAACGTATTAACAAGCGACGTAGATTATTTCGTGTTTTATTGGAAAATATTGGAGATATCGATGAACGTTGGCGCCATGGAGACTTTATTGGACCAATAGTTGTTTTACATGGACTCGATGGATGATATGGACCCGAACAATATTGGCAAAAGCTATTCTGACATAACGGATTTGTGCAAATGCTAAAATAAACAAACGTCAAGAATCTGTACATGAAAAGAAACAATCCTACCCGTGCTGATCGTTTGTATCGACAACGGAAACAAAGCCACAGAGCGGACACCGTTTTGTAACTGTTGGGCCATGCAAATATTTCAGATATCCATAACGAAATGTCATGGAACTAGCTGTAAGATGATTATCATTTTCCTTCGATGCCAGTTTCACGCGCTGAGTTGTCGGTGAATTCAGATTGGTTATCGGATGCATTGGTGCGTTGATTATTTTGACATCTTGATCGTTGAAAAGGTTTCGTTTGACAGTTTTCGTTTGTTTCCGTCGAAGGTAGTCGGAGACGATAATAGACCAAGTTTTACAAACATTCAAACTCTGATTGAGATCAACGGTCGACAAATATTTTAAGACTTCATCGATTAAATGATATGCATTACGATGAGAGAGTTGCGTTAAGATATCGAAGTGCTTTCTTGTTGTTCGATAGTTTTCGTAATCGATGATTGAAAGAAATTTTACATCAATGGGATTTGTATATTGTTCAGCAAATGGAGAATCGATCTGATTGAAGGTGACATGTGACGGCGAGAGACGCGTGGGAGATGTTAAATACGACAAGGAGGTACACGATGAATTAAATGTTAAGTAACCGGAATCTAGTTGACTATCAAGAGAATCATTGTAACTATCGATATTCTCGTCATTATCGTAACTCGACATGATTGCTCAATGTCGAATTAGAAAAAAATCTAGAAGAAATAAATGTACAGCAGTTCACATCTGACATACCGACGTGAACAGGGAATAAAAGAGATACACTGAATCAATAATAAGCTACGTACTAATCTCCAACCGATTGATGTGCAGCACGGTACGCCTCGAAAAGTTCAACTTCACAAAGGTGTACTTCCTTTTACTTTACTTTTCGTTCGCTCTTTGTTTCCGGTGGACAATGAACTTGTTGTTCACGACATGCGTCTATCGGAAATAAAATATTTTTTACAAGAAAATTCGCTTTTTCAATTTGATTTTCTCGAAATATTTTTTCCGACAAAATATACCGATAGGGGCTGTCCAAATGAATCTGATTGGTCCGCCTTTGTCTATCGCCTTGATCTGTCAGATGTATATGTACATATCTGTGTCTTTCTTCGATTAGAAAGCGAAACATGTCTATGACAACTAATATGTTGAATCTCGTCGAAAAAGATGTAGATAAAGCCATCGAATCTGTTCAAGAATATTATAGCAACATCGAAAACAATCTCGATCATGTTATTGAACAATTACAACGTGCGCTCTCTCAGCCAATGAGTGATTCTCATTTAGTGAAAACATCTCTTCAAAATACAATTAAACCATTAGCGAAGCAGTATAGTGATAAGCATAAAGAGCTGCACGGCTCGATATCAAAGATCGGTAAAACAATTGATAAATGCTTCCAATCAGACTTTGGTAATGTTCCGATAACGGAATTATTCGATACGCCCGAAAAATACAAATTAATTTATATGATTATTTGTGAAGATCTTTATCGGCAAGGACGCATGGCGATAGCTGATAAATTAATCGAAGAAACGAAATTAAACGATAATGACTTATTCAATCTCGAAAAGAATTTTCTCGAAGAGATTAATACAATTTTAGAGAACATCCGAGAAAGGAATCTTCTGCCAGCTATCGATTGGTGTCTCCGCCATCGAAATCAACTAAATCAAACGGGCAGTCTTTTGGAATTCCATTTGCATAAAATGCGTTTTGTACAACTATTACAAACCGAAAATTTTCAACAAGCAAAGACTTATTTGGCAAATCTACGACAATATTCTATCAGCAAAGGACAATGTGAACAAGAAGTGAATCAATTAATGGGTGCATTAGTTTTCGCACAGCGTGATTTAGCTAAATCGCCTTATAAGTATCTTCTTGAACCTCATCTATGGTTACAATTATCCGAACTTTTCATGCAACAAGCTTTTCAACAAGTCGGATTAGCTCAAGACAGTCCATTGTATGTCGTGATGAAAATCGGGTTTCAAGCTTTGCCAGCATTGATGAGGTAAGAATCAAATTTCCATCACCTGCTAATGTTCGGTCGATTGTTTGCTTTGATTTTAGTATTGTAAATGCGATGCAAAATACTCAAGTATGCCATATTTTATCGAAAGATGAATTACCAATCGAAATCGACGTTGGCCAAGAACATCGATATCACAGTGTGTTTGCTTGTCCGATTCTTCGGCAGCAAACCACTGATCAAAATCCTCCTATGAAACTCGTTTGTGGTCATGTTATATCGAAAGATGCATTGAATAAACTATCAATCCAGAATAAGTTGAAATGTCCATACTGTCCATTAGGTAACCGTTGAATGTTCATTTTCGGTATGATAATTGTATTTTATCATTATAGAGCAGAGTCCGTCGGATGCGCGACAGCTGTTCTTTTGAACGCCATCAATCCGGTTTTCTTTCTTTTATTGTATTATAGCGTATTTTTTCGTCGTCATTTTTGTTTGTCTGTGTCAATAATGAAGATCAGTGGATACTTTCGTTTTAATTATGTAAATTTTCTTATTTGTTCATGATCTTCTAGATAAAGCACATCGCATACTGAAATGTATAGAAAATATTTTGATCCATTGGATTATAATCTATCGGCTGATTTTCGTTTAACGAAACTGTCCGATCTTAAAGGTTGAGGATGTAAAGTTCCTCGAGATGTGCTCCACCGGCTGCTCGAGGGACTTCAAACAGCCGATAAAAACNAATCTTTGTATTTTTAGTAATAAAATACCTCATTTTGATGAAATGAATATAATTGCAACTTATCATCCAATTGACAAAGATTATGGCCATATGAAAATCGAAGAACCGAAAACACCGTATGCTCCGAGTGATAATATTGATGAAGACATGGATACTGGATTTAATAATAATGAAGCAATATTTTCAGGCGTTGATCCTGATGCACTTGCCAACAGGTTTTTCCTTCGCTGTGACTTTATTTCTGGTTGCAGACTTTCTCTCTTTCTCTTTCTCTTTCTCTTTTGTAGATTAAATGAATCTTCATGTGGTCCATCGCGGATATCGACGGATAGCTCGGCAAAAGCATCGGCTCAGGATCATAGTCCAACGTCAGGTACTTCATTCTACTGTTTACCGTAGGGAACAAAAATGTATATAGAAGAGTTGCTTTTTCAGAACAGCGAAAACAATTTGAACAACATCGAAAAGAGCATTATAACGAGTTTGAAATCGTTCGTTTACATAAAAAACAAATCGAAGCTGAACTACGAGCACTCGAACAGGAAGAAGCATCCGGATCTGAAGGAGCATCATCTATTAGACCGATTCTTATACATTCTCCTTCATCACTATCCCGTCACCATAATCAAGCGCATCATGTGCATGTTCAAGATGACGAACAGCATGAGATCGACAAGCAGTCCTTGTCTCCCGAAGAGCACGGTTTGTTTTTCAAAATGATTTAACTATTAGTGGATTCATCTCTGTTTCGTAGAACGAAGAAAACAATTCGAATCAAAACGAAAACAACATTACAACGAATTTCACGTTGCTCATTCAGCAAACAACACTGAACACAGTTGACTGACTTTTCTTCTGTACATATATTCTCTCTCTCTCCGTTTGTTTCTTTTTCTCAACATTTACGGATGCTACGAATACTTTATCAGTATTGCTCTCTTCAAGATAAACATCTCATTGTAGTTTTCATTTCTAACAAAACTATGTAATTTTATTCGGAATATATTCGCACATGTGAAATATTTATAGTACTCGAACTTGCGTTTGTCAATCGAACGGAAATTGGAGCTTTACCATTCTTCCGATGTTAATATGAAACTTTAATTAAACCTTTTTTCTCGTAAAAATCGATAATAAACAAGCGGATATTTTGACAATCAATATTATTATATTTAACGTACTTTTTCGTTGCACACACGTACACACACACATTTATACAGAAAGAAAAGAAAAACAAGAACAATAGCATCTACAGATGAAATTAAATAATTATCAACTTCTTTTTAAAAGATCAGGCAAATGCCGAATGGCATCTAAAACAACTCGAAATGAATAAACTTATCGAGAGTTTTAACGTATTAACAAACGACGTAGATTATTTCGTGTTTTATTGGAAAATATTGGAGATATCGATGAACGTTGGCGCCATGGAGACTTTATTGGACCAATAGTTGTTTTACATGGACTCGATGGATGATATGGACCCGAGCAATATTGGCAAAAACTATTCTGACATAGTGGATTTGTGCAAATACTGAAAATAAACAAACATCAATAATCTGCACATGAAAAGAGAAAGCCATACCCGTGCTGATCGTTTGTATCGACAACGGAAACAAAGCCACAAAGTGGACATCGTTTTGTAACTGTTGGCCCATGTAAATATTTCAGATATCCATAGCGAAATGTCATGGAACTAGCTGTAAGACAATTATCATTTTCCTTCGATGTTAGTTTCACGCGCTGACTTGTCGATAGATTCAGATTGGTTATCGAATGCATTGGTGCGTTGTTTACTTTGGCATCTTGATCGTTGAAAAGGTTTCGTTTGACAGTTTTCGTTTGTTTCCGTCGAAGATAGTCGGAGACGATAATAGACCAAGTTTTACAAACATTCAAACTCTGATTGAGATCAACGGCCGACAAATGTTTTAAGACTTCATCGATTAAATGATATGCATTACGATGAGAGAGTTGCGTTAAGATATCGAAATGCTTTCTTGTTGTCCGATAGTTTTCGTAATCGATGATTGAAAGAAATTTTACATTAATGGGATTTGTGTATTGTTCAGCAAATGGAGAATCGATCTGATTGAAGGTGACATGTGATGGCGAGAGTCGCGTGGGAGATGTTAAATACGAGGAGGAGGTACAAGATGAATTAAATGTTAAGTAACCGGAATCTAGTTGACTATCAAGAGAATCATTGTAACTATCGATATTCTCATCATTATCGTAACTCGACATGATTGCTCAATGCCGAATTAGAAAAAAAATCTAGAAGAAATAAATGTACAGCAGTTCACATCTGACCTACCGACGTGGACAGAGAATAAAAGAGATATACTGAATCAATAATAAGTTACGTACTAATCTCCAACCGATTGATGTGCAGCGCGGTACGCCTTGAAAAGTTCAGCTTCACAAAGGTGTACTTTCTTTTACTTTACTTTTCGTTCGCTCTTTGTTTTCGGTGAACAATGAACTTGTTGTTCTTGACATGCATCTATCGGGAACAAAATATTTTTTACAAGAAAATTCGTTTTTTCAATTTGATTTTCTCGAAATATTTTTTCCGACAAAATATTCCGATAGGGGCTCTTCAAATGAATCTGATTGGTTCGCCTTTGTCTATCGCCTTGATCTGTCAGATGTATATGTACATATCTGTGTCTTTCTTCGACTAGAAAGCGAAACATGTCTATGACAACTAATATGTTAAATCTCGTCGAAAAAGATGTAGATAAAGCCATCGAATCTGTTCAAGAATATTATAGCAACATCGAAAGCAATGTCGATCATGTTATTGAACAATTGCAACGTGCGCTCTCTCAGCCAATGAGTGATTCTCATTTAATTAAAACATCGCTTCAAAATACAATTAAACCATTAGCGAAGCAGTACAGTGATAAGCATAAAGAACTGCACGGTTCGATATCAAAGATCGGTAAAACAATTGATAAATGCTTCCAATCAGACTTTGGTAATGTTCCGATAACGGAATTATTCGATACGCCCGAAAAATACAAATTAATTTATATGATTATTTGCGAAGATCTTTATCGGCAAGGACGCATGGCGATAGCTGATAAATTAATCGAAGAAACGAAATTAAACGATAATGACTTATTCAATCTCGAAAAGAATTTTCTCGAAGAGATTAATATGATTTTAGAGAACATCCGAGAAAGGAATCTTCTGCCAGCTATCGATTGGTGTCTCCGTCATCGAAATCAACTAAATCAAACGGGCAGTCTTTTGGAATTCAATTTGCATAAAATGCGTTTTGTACAACTATTACAAACCGAAAATTTTCAACAAGCAAAGACCTATTTAGCAAATCTGCGACAATATTCTATCAGCAAAGGACAATGTGAACAAGAAGTGAATCAATTAATGGGTGCATTAGTTTTCGCACAGCGTGATTTAGCTAAATCTCCTTATAAGTACCTTCTTGAGCCCCATCTATGGTTACAATTATCCGAACTTTTCATGCAACAAGCTTTTCAACAAGTCGGATTAGCTCAAGACAGTCCATTGTATGTCGTGATGAAAATCGGGTTTCAAGCTTTGCCAGCATTGATGAGGTAAGAATAAAATTTCTATCATTTGCTAATGTTCGGTTGATTGTTTGCTTTGATTTTAGTATTGTAAATGCGATGCAAAATACTCAGGTGTGCCATATTTTATCGAAAGATGAATTACCAATCGAAATCGACGTTGGCCAAGAACATCGATATCACAGTGTGTTTGCTTGTCCAATTCTTCGGCAGCAAACCACTGATCAAAATCCTCCTATGAAACTCGTTTGCGGTCATGTTATATCGAAAGATGCATTGAATAAATTGTCGATCCAGAATAAGTTGAAATGTCCATACTGTCCATTAGGTAACCGTTGAATGTTCATTTTCGATATGATAATTGTATTTTGTCATTATAGAGCAGAGTCCGTCGGATGCGCGACAGCTGTTCTTTTGAACACCATCAATCCGGTTTTCTTCCTTTTATTGTATTATAACGTATTTTTTCGTCGTCATTTTTGTTTGTCTGTGTCAATAATGAAGATCAGTGGATACTTTCGTTTTAATTATGTAAATTTTCTTATTTGCTCATGATCTTCTAGATAAAACACATCGCATACTGAAATGTATAGAAAATATTTTGATCCATTGGATTATAATCTATCGGCTGATTTTCGTTTAACGAAACTGTCCGATCTTAAAGGTTGAGGATGTAAAGTTCCTCGAGATGTGCTCCACCGGCTGCTCGAGGGACTTCAAACAGCCGATAAAAACGGCTACGGTGATGGACAACATCACCAAGGACTTATGCTTGAGTCCAAACCTACACCGGTGGTCGGTATGTTCAGATTTTTCTTTTTATTCTTAAGTTCATGAGAACATCGATTGTTTTCGAGTGCCATTTCGTAGGAATTGGTCTTGATTCATGCGTTATACCAATACGGCATGGCGGACTTTTTCTGGTACAATCAACTGCATTCTTCTATCCACTAGTCGATGATCCGTACGTCATGGGCAAAATCGCATGTGCCAACGTTCTAAGCGATGTATATGCAATGGGAGCTGTAGAAGTAGATAATATGTTAATGCTCTTGAGTACGAGCAATAAAATGACTGAGAAAGAACGTGATACTATCATGCCATTGATCCTTCAAGGATTTAAAGTACGTCGAGAACGGAACGAGTGGCGGTGTTTTTCTAGCGCTTGAATATGTTCTGTTTAGGATTGTGCTGAAGAAGCTGGCACGGCTGTTCAAGGTGGTCAAACAGTCATTAATCCATGGTTAATTGTGGGTGGCGTAGCCACATCTGTTTGTACACAAAATGAAATCATCATTCCAGAGAATGCCATTGTCGGTGATGTATTAGTCTTGACTAAACCATTAGGTACACAAGTTGCTGTCAATGCTCATCAATGGTTGGAAAATCCCGATCGATGGAATCGTATTAAATCTGTGATAAGTGAAGATGATGTTCGAAAAGCCTATCAACGTGCAATGAATTCTATGGCGAGATTGAATAAAATCGGTATGATTCATATTCAAAGAATCACCTTATCAGTGAACAAATTTTATTTGGATTTCTTCTAGGCGCATCCCTCATGCATAAGTACAATGCACATGCATGTACAGATGTAACTGGTTTCGGTCTACTAGGACATGCTCAAAATTTAGCTAAACATCAAAAACATGACGTTTCCTTTGTGATACATAATTTGCCAATAATTGCTAAAATGGCAACGATAAGTAAAGCTTGTGGCAATGCATTTGGTTTATTACAAGGTACGAGCTCGGAAACATCTGGCGGTTTACTTGTTGTTTTACCGCGTGAACAAGCAGCTGCTTATTGTAAAGACATCCAAGCGCAAGAAGGTTATCAAGCATGGATCATTGGAGTAGTAGAAAAAGGTGGCCGAACGGCGAAGATCATCGAGAAGCCGAGAATTATTGAAGTACCTGCGAAGGATACCGAAGGTGAATTATGGTAGATACAAATGAAAGAAAAGCACATTTTTCTATATGGCATTTTCAATTTCTTGTTTATCTCTATGTTCATGGATTTGAATGATGTATTAATAACGAATATATCAGGATATTTTCTGTTATAGTTATTAATCTGATTGTTCCGATGGAGATTAACTTAAATTGATCGATTTTCTTTGTTTGTACTGTAACTATGTGAAAAATAAAATCTCTAAGAGAAGAGAAAACTCAACATTCTATTTCATCGAAAGCTACTCAAGATTAGTTACAAGGACATTTGATTTTATTGATGAATAAAATATCGTATAAAAGTTAAATTTATCAAGTAAAATTCTTATCGAGTACAACAATATGTTCTGGGATGTAACCTTGCTTTCCGTCGCCTCGTCGAATCAATTTCCAATTGCCGATAGATTCGATCGTATTGACAGGCACCACAACTTCAGATTCCAATACACTTATGTCACCAACAAATTGCTTCTGATAACTTTCGATCACGCGCAAACGTTGATTGCGACGAAGTATAACTGGCTCACGATCAACAATACTAAAGGATAAATTTCTGCATCGTGTGGTATTCAATGTTCCATAAGCGTCATATTCATGAAGTGATACATTTGAAATTTGTCGTGATAAAGTCGATTCATCTTTTGCTAATTGCCGCGTGAAAGTACTCGTTTTCAACGAACGCGGACATGTTGAGACTTGTGATTCATTATTTAATTGACATGGTCCGATTGTTGAAATAAAGCGACCAGGGGGTGGTGTTGAAACATCATAGGAGCGATTATTCATAATTGACAAACGTGAATAACGTGGTTTCTCATAGACACTGACATTCAGTAGACTAATATTGTTCTGCGATGGTGAGTCGAATGATGTTGCGAGAGTTTCAGGTAAGCTAAGACAATAGATCGGTATCAAGCCAGTTTCACCAGTCTTAGGATTTTCAATAAAGACCCAATTGGATATTTTATACAAAGCTTTGACATGTGTACCTAAAGACACAAAGAACTAATCGTTTTCTTTTGAACGAAATTCAATATCTGTGTCATTCACGCCCTAGCTATGTTCTATTTGTTTCCAATTAGGTAGTCAAGTCGAGATGGAGAAGAAGAAAAAACATCTGTATCGCATCTTTCATTATTGATCTGCACGAACGTGAAGATTAACAATCCATATTGACGTAGATACCGTCAATGAGACGAAACGATAGGTGTTAAAAAAGCAATTAAATGCTAGTTCGACTGTCTTCCATCGATCACTTCGATTGCCTAATGCTTTTAAATCAGACACTCGAAATGAGTGTGTTCAAGCAGAACAAAGTGGCTGTATGCACGTTTAATACCTTTCGTTACGGCAATAGTCTTCCTATTGAATTGTGTTGATTTGGCATGTAACGGTTTATACGACTGAGAAATAACCATAGACAGATTGGCTGGTGACGTAGGTGTTGCATTAGACAGATGTTCATCACTAGAACCATTGGCGAACGGCTCGTCGGCATGTTCCGTCGGTTGACATTCCTTTGGTGTTAATGAATGACATGAACTTTTAGTTCTATCTTTTCTTGAATGCTAAGATGAAAGCACTATTAGTCATGAATTTAGGTAACCAATTAATCATACCCTTTCTAAAGAATCGGCTTTCGACTTGTTCGGAACAAATTCACAACGTCGTTCCTTATTGATACGCTTACAAGCACTTGTCAGTTCTAAAATAACAAAGCAATAACATATAAGTTTTTTTCCGACATTTCATCTGAGTTCATTCGACTAAACAAAAAACGAACTTCCCGCTTACTTAGAATATTACACGAATCCCACATTTCTACGAGTGATTAATATGTAAGAAAAAGGGACGAAATGGAAAGGGTTTTATAATCTATAGAAGGAGTATAATTATCCGTCGTTTTTTCAATACCATTCAAAAGAAAATTCGTAATATTCGTTTGAATAAGTTTTACCTTTCACATGCTTTCGAAATTGAAGGATACGTAGCAATCTGGCGAATGTTTTTGATTCTTCCATGGAGCTAAACAAGGCAATCGATGTTGAAAATCAACGGCATTATAATTAGGATGATGTCTATGAATGAGAGGAACGAAATGAAGAGTGGTCACACCTGCTTCTCTTGTCAGCCAATGAACGAAGACCAAGAGAGAGCGAGAGAGAGAGAGAAGAAGAAAAGCAGAATGACCTTCAATAGAGTTCATCCAACGAACCCCATTCGTCTTTTTCAAGTTGCTCATAGGCGATAATCGAATATCAATATCTATCATTATCACATATAACGGTTCAGATTGATTGATCTCATGGGAATAAGATCGCTCGAAAGATTTAGTTTATATGCAATCACACTGGAGATTTATTATACAGTAACATCAAGAATTTCTTTTGAAAAAGATGACTTTCGTCGGTTCAGATCTTGCTCAGACCGAATTCGTTTTATCCATATCTGCTCGTTAATTTGTTTTTTATCAGACAATGAGCGATACGAATAAAACTTCGGATGAAATCTCGACTTTAAAACGGTTCGATCAACTTCAGAAAAAGAGAACGAGACTTGTTTCGATGGAATGAGTGGCGATTGCTTGTCTGCGAATCTCGAATCAGGTTCCGTGCGATCAATGAGCACTTTTAATGTTCGATTCGAAGCGACAGACGGAAAATGAAATGTTGGTATTTGGCGAACGATATGAGCGGGACTTTTTATCGAACTAATCGTTGAAGTTCTCTGTAAATAGAAGAACAGATTTGTTTTTTTGAATTCAATGAAAAAAGTCTTCTCCTTACCGATCCTGGTTTTGGAAAGAATTGCGTGTCTTTTGATTCCGAACTCTGTCGTGATTTTTTGATTTTCGGCGTACAAAGCGAAAATCGTAAACACCAGATTTGTTCATTTTCTTCGAACGATTGACTCTGATACGAGTTGAAGCGAGCCATATGTTTGAGATGAATGTCGCCGCTCAAATTCGATACGCGTGTATGTAATTGAGGACCAGGGCTTGAGTTGCCTACTTGAGAAATATCATCAAATGAATTTCGACATGGATATCCACGAGTAGTAGACTTCGACCATTCCGGTTTGATGTATTGTGCACAGTGTTTACTAAGAAAGGTAAAGTTCGAACGAAACGTCACACGAAATCGTTCGGAGAAGCAACAATATAGAACAAAGTTGATCGATGCATTGACGGCCACTAAACAATTGGCGAAGTTATTAAATATTAAAACTCGAGACGTTCGAGCCAATGTTGGAAAGATCGACAGAACGGTTAGCGAAATCGCTTGGGGAATTTGACAAACGGTAAAGACAATGACAACAGCAACTAGAAAAGACAAGAATTGGAAATTGTTTGGATCGATTGTATGAACTTACTCAACATAATCGTTGTTTTCCGTTGTTCACTTTGACTACTTCGATTATGTCGACGCAGTTCAATACCATCTTGATTCTGTTGCAGTTTTCGTTTCGAACGACGTACATAAGAAATAAGGATTGTATTAAATATCAGAAGTAACACGAGTGGAATCCATATAATGGCAAAACTAAAGAGAAAAACGAACCAAATAGAAATGATGAAATAAGACTAGGCAATGTAAATTATTACTGAAGATTCCTGGATGTAATTGAAGAAGCTAAGATAAAGTTCTGTCCTCCACCTTTATTTAATACTGATGTCTCAGAAGGACCTATTTATTCTACTGTGAAGAAATCATGAGTTTGTAAATCGACATAGTTTTAGAAATCAGGCAAGACAAGATTCTCCTCAATTGTGTTTTTTCAGTATAAAATTAATTATCTTCAATCTCCCACAAGCTGAACTATCAAATTAGTAATTATCGTTTGTCTTCACACAAAATCATAGTCTTCATCTTGCATTTCTTTTTGAAATTCTAGATGTCTCCCACCAGTTTCTACTGTAGCAGGACTAAAAACAGATTTCAATCTGTAATTCAATACACGTACGTGACGAAGTTGAAGTAAATCTGATGATACAGCACACTATTCCCTAGAGTCGTTGGCCTTGCACCAATACGGCTAACAAGAGTTGTCCTATTGGCGATGATTTTTCTTTCAATGATTCGTACGAGCTTCATTTCGAATGCCGACGGTAACGTGCAAAGAAATGCGGCGCACATAACACTGAAGATGATCTTTCGTGCGCGATGTACGGTACACCATGTACGACTTTGCAATGGGTATGTAATAGCTACCCAGCGTTCAACGGTAAATGTCACTGTTAGCCAAACACTCGTATTCGAAGAAAAGTCAGCTATTGGCCGGCAGATTGTTAGAAGAATTTGAGCGAAAGATCGATCAGTAAAACAAGGATTTTGCAATGTATTTAATATTAATGTCAAGAACAAATAAGCGGCGTCAACAAGTGCTAAAGCAATGAGATAGTTGTTCGTCGATGATACTATCATACGTCGTTTTGTAAGTACAATAACTGCTAAAATATTACCGGTGACACCTAGAAGAAAAACAATCAATTTCTTGTTTATCAACAAGAAATAACTAGTGCATGTCATTTCGAACCTATATCGGAAGCTCACGACATATGCAAATACTGTTGTATCTTTAATTATACGGTTTGCTTTGGAATGAACTGACATGGTCTCCATGACATTTGAAGATGTATACTTACCGAAAAAAGTTATGATCGGCCAGAGCCAGTCTTTGACTAATAGCCGAACGAAGAGCAGAGTAGGATCAGTATTTTGTCGAGCTAATATTGAAGCATTACAATGGACCAAACCAAACATATCTTTCTCTTGAAGAGCTGATTTGTCATGTGAAATTAATCAGACGCAACACACATCAACGATTTGATAGTCTTTTTGTTCTAATATACTGCTAACACGACGACTTTGGGTTGTTATCTGAAAAAGAAGTGAAAGAAAAGTACGAATCATAATTAGCAAGCAAGAATGCAAAGAAAGCTACACAAAAGAAGAAAAAAAAACGAGAGATCGACTCGTTCTTTCATATACTATAAGTTGCTAAACGTGAAACGAACAAATGATAATAAAGAAGAAAATAATGTTTCGTATTTTGCTCCTTCTGTCAATTGCTATCAAAGAGATATTCATCACAATGACAAATTTTGACTTTCCCATTATAAATTACTCTCGAACTTGCCACATAATCAAGAAAACTAATGTACCATGCTGAATTTCCTGTATTCATCGAACAGTTTCTATCTCAATAGAAACATGACATATTTACCCTCGGTTCGAACTACTAATTGTATATCATGGTTTTTTTTTGGCTATTGATTTCACAAGTCGGAGAAAGACAATGTTGATTCTTATCGATACGATAATGCTTGGCTAGGAAAAGTTGTTTTTGTCTGCAGAATTAAGTACACTCAACTAAGAACTAATTCAGTGGCATGAAGTTTTACCTCGCCTTTGTTCGGTTTTCTAAAGAATAATATAAATAAATTATCGCAAAGGCCGTTCTCTTGCGCTTGTTTTCTTATTCAAACAATGTTAATTGAAAAAGACGAAAAACAAAATCAATAACCTTTTCGTATTTATAATCAACAATAATGATTTTTCCGTAAATAACTTCTGCTAATAGGCTTATCTGTCTTATTTCTTACTCAGAAAAGAAACTATTCATTCTGGTCTATTGAAAACTATCGCAGACCATACGTGTTTTTGTTTTATTAATAATGAAAACTCGTATATACATGTTTACCCAGGAATGACTTGCCTGTCTATGTCGATAATTGTATTTTTACGTGTCCACTATGTGGATCAGACTATAATCAAAGCCATCGAGTACAAGTTTTATTCGCATTGTGATAGTCTGCTATGTTATGTGAATAGGTAATGTCTATGCGTAAGTATTCTGGTTAGATGAGAAATTGTTATAGGGTGTGGATTTAAGGATAGATGATTCAAAAGAATAAATGATCAAGGAAGATTTTCTCCGCAGGTTTGATTTAGTCATGCGTGTAATGAAAAATACGCTCGGTTTGAGTTATTTTTGTCTTTCATGGGATAATATCAGCAGGTATTAATGCGGCTGTATAGTGTAAATAAGAAACGAAATGGCAAATTGGATAAATGTGCGCGTTATGATATGAGAGAAAAGAGAGAATAAGGATTAAGACTTTTTTTTTCAAGGTTCTCGCCTACTGGACACTTGAATGCGCGACTTAAGATCCATATTGCATAACTTAATACGCAAATGCTCTATCCTAAAGAATATCTACTGTTCGAACTTGATATTCTGCAAGATTTAAAAGTACTTTGTTAACACGCTTAATAAGATTATGTTTTGAAGAAAATATCTTCGCCTTGTCGATCGCACATATTTTGGAGTATTATATAACCTCAACCTCATTCGTCTTCAATTATAGATAACCAGAACTTAACATGACAACTGTCTCCTGAGTAGATGATGTGTGAATACTGTATTTTTATGAATAATTCACGCCTATTGAATGAATATTTTATGGGTTTTCATCCCTGAATTGAATATCTTTCATCTCAACATACGAGAAAACTTGATATCACGAGCTGTGCTGGGTCATTGCGGTAAATGGTTTATTATTCAACAGAATCAATTACTAGTCATACGAAAGGAAAATCTCATTCCGTGTTTGAGTTATTGATAGGCATACTAATGTTTGATGAATATTTTATTAATTCATAGAATATTCTATAATATTCGTATCTATATTAATAAGGGGGACAATAGTCTGTGGAGAGAGTACTTTTTAAAATGACATACTCCAGATCGTCACGTCATTGTTGTGCAGTTCAGGTCAGTCTCATTATGGTACAATTGTTGTTGCATAAGTTGTGTGATCGTACCTTGCGGTGCACGAGTCACGTATCGTTGCATACTGTTGCCTGTCTCTAAATTACGGTTGTGATTCCGTGATGTAATTGTAATAACACACGGAAAACAGTGAAAGAACTGTTTTCGAAATAGATTTGATGTTAACGAATGCAAATAGAAGTTTAATGAATAATTTATTGTTGTTATTAAGCCAAATATGGATGCTAAGAGAAGACTAAACGAGAATGATTGTTGAATATTAAATATTGAGAAAGTCAGACGGAATAGTGCCACTGGAATTGTTGTTAGAAAGAAAAGAATTAATGTCGCAAACATCAGTATTAACATTTGACGATGAAGATAATGTGCGCGACGCCGTTCATGTGGATTGGCGGCTGTTGAACCTATTGGTTGAACTCGATTCCGTCGAGTTTTGATCGTGTGAGCAATTGATATAAGAAAATAAATCATGATACATGCAGGAACGATTGTCACAGAAAGAGTGACTATAATTGGCCAAAAGTATGTATAAAAGTATGTGTAAGTTGGATATGATCGATTAGCACCACAATTTGTTGTTACTCCTGGTGCTATTTGACCGAACATTGGTGTTAGTAGATGAAAATTTAGAACAAAATCGAAGGTCAATGCCACTATGATGGCATAAACTGCTATTCGCGGTCTACAAATCTGTTTGGCTTTGATGGGATATCGTGAACGTATCCATCGATCACATGTGACTACAATCAGAACGAATGATTTGTTGAGATATTTATAGAAAGATGACATACTTGTTGTGAGCATCCATGCGCTGAAGTTAGTTGATAAATAATTCATGAAGTGCCGAAACTGGCATGTTTGACCGTAATTGGACCTGTCGGAAATTTTGAATCCATAAACAATCACAACGTATAAACATTGTAATATATATATTGTGTCAGATATACTCATTGCCAGGAATAAGATACCTGTGCTTAAGCTCTGCATGAACTTCTGTGAAAATGTTATAATTTGACAGATGTTACCAATCAATCCGATGAACATAACCAAGGTATATCCGTAGAGATAGATATCCATCGAAGCAGAGATGTAGGTAAGGTCCAATGGTGTTAGAACCGAAAACAAGGAACTCGAATTGCTCATATGTGTTATACTATTGGCGTAAACAACAATGGGTTATTTCTAAAATCGAAATACTATAGAATTAGTGAATGGTGTCAATTATGCGGAAGATTTAGATACGCAAACACATCGACACCATATATGATGTTCTAATAGTTAATCAGTTCATTTTAATCTGTCACCAATTAGCCAGGTTGTACTGAAAAAACGATTCAACACACACCCAACTATGAAGTGTTCATGCGCGAAAAATAATGAACTGCCGTTTTGAAGTTTAAAAATATAATGCCTGACTTTTACTTCTGGAGAGACATTTTATAGAATGAATTAAAGTGTCGATCACACGGAATGAAACGTCACATGAGAGGCGGATCGAGCAAAAAAATTATATAGAATTAATTAATCAGATGCTCGTAGTATCTTATAATTCATGTTTGTGACATGTGGATATAAATAGAACCCATCATTATGAAGATTGAACCAGTAGTTATGAATTACAAGTAGAATTTTTAACAACGGAGAAATGAAGTCAAATACGTTCATTAAAAATAAACGAACATGTCACTGACAGTTGTGCACATGATGCTCAGATCAAAGTAGAAACTCCCGAGAAGTTCTACATAAGTCCTCAAAAAGTTGAACATGATTCGGAAAAGTTTAATATCAAAGTGGCTACCGAGATCTGGTCGGAAGCAATGAGATTTTATTTGATAATATTACTCGTGATCGAATACAGACTAATCTTTTGATTTCTATGCTAAATTTCGATGTTTTCTAATTGAAAATCTTGATTGATTGTTTCAAAACTTTCGCTTGGTGTACAATATCGTCGCTGATTCGGATTGCCTACATGAAAGTCATCCGAAGGCGTTAAATGTTCAGCTGCACGTGCACGATATTCGAAATTTTGATGCAATGCATGAATAGACGCTTGACGATTCAAAATGTCAAAGCCAATATACGCAACTTCAAGCATGCTAAGTACGACATAAGTAAAAAGATTTTCCGCACGTACTAATCGACTCTCACGACTACACTGATAAATATTTAAATAATCTCTTTCATACAAGATAACCATCAAAAGTGTATGTAATGCCAATGTTAACAGAACGAGTAATTGTATAGCACCATACCATGTGATGCCGAGATCTTTTCGAACTTTGCTATTTTCCCATTTACGTAGAATAATAACGAACAGAGATAAGTAGCATAAAACAATAATTGAGATGAATACAATGTGAATCGTTTTCAAAAAACGTAGTTGTTTATGTTCGTATATACAATGATTGACTTTGGCAAAACACGAGTAGGTTTGAGAGGAAATATTGTATGTGAACGGAAGTTGGTTATAAGCATTGTAAAGATAAATTTCAGGTGCACGAACATGAAGACTATTGAAAAATAACGCACCAGCTTCGACGCAAAATAGAACGACAATAAATTTCGGATCCATCGTTTTCTGCTGGATCATTGGGAGACTGTGTTGACTATGTTTTGTGTACGAAAACGGTCGATGATACTCCATGCTGTGAAATTCTTTCTAAAAGTAAAAGGAAGAAAGAAAATATACATTCAAATGGAGCCAATGGGATCTGCATTTCGAGCGGTTGTACACTGCATCACGTAGCTGTCAAACAACGAAAATGTTATTTTTGAAAGAGAAAAAGAACTGTGTATGCATAAGACTTCTTTACGAATACATTCGTTTTCTTTCACTTATAAGCATTCGGAACGTGTAGAACAAAATTGTGAATCAAAATTTCGTAACATTGACACATGAGATACTAAAAAAAGAACAAACGGTCGCTCGATTAACACTGATGAGCGAAGCCGGTACGGGACAGATAAGTTACATATATGTAATCAATACATATCAATGAGAAACATGACGGAACAAAGAACTTCCAGTCAATGAAGTATATGTCTGAAGTGGTAGAGTTTGATCGTAAAGCAATTTCTCATTCACTTCTTTTCATTAGAACATCAATCAACTCGACGTTACTTCGTGTACAATGAAAGCTACCGAATGTAATGATGATTCATCATCAGACTGAAATTCTCTTTAATAGTTACTATACATTGAAATAAATAAAACCGAAAACATGTATGTCTTTATTACATGTGTTCTCTCCTTTTTTTGTTCTTTTTTAAAGTAAATAGTCAATATTTCATTACATATTACCGAAAGGAGAGAGAAACGCGTCGTCTTTCGCATCGATAGACAAAAAAAACGCGGCAATAACAAGTTTTATTTTGACATTATGCCAAAACATCGATTACCAGCTACATCAGAATATCGGTACTGATGATGAAGACATCAGAATTTCAATCAACTAATTATTTTCTATTCTTTAGTATTTTAGTCGTAGGTGAAACGTGTGTTGGAAAATCATCGTTTATTACTCGCTACGTTCGAAATGAATTTCCTTCTCATCGACGGGCAAATGACGAATCAACAACTCGTTATCAAACAATTATCGATGGATACGATTACACATTACTCTTTCGCGAGATCACCACCACGTATGAACTCGATAAATTGACGTTGTCCGACGCAATTCCAACGGCTTGTTTAATTCTATTCTCAATTACTGACGAAGAAAGTTTTTTGAACCTCAAATTTTTCTATGAAACTATTCGTTTGAAACTTTCGTATCAATCGAAACATTTGCCAATTCTAATCGTTGCGAACAAAATCGATCTCGAACACGAACGTGCCGTCAGTCAAGCCGCGATCGATCAATTCAAATCGACTGGCATCGATGTATATGAGATCAGTGTGAAGGGAAATGTTGGTATTGGTGATGTTGTCTGTGGTGCTATAAAACATTTGCAGTATGATAATTTAGAAAAAATCAAACCACCCAATGCATGTGCTTGTATAATAACGTAAAAAAAAACGCTTTTTGTTTTCTATTGAGTAAAATAGGATGAGTGAAAGATATGATACACAAGAGAAAAAAAACGATGTATTATTTCTTTGTATTCATGTCAGTTGCTTTTCTTTTGTTAATGATTGCCAGCTTGGGTGGCAGCGGCTCGCGCTGCCATGGCCTGAGGCATCATAACGAAATGTTTATAAAGTGATTGAATGTATGTGAAAACACACTTCCAGTCGGGTTTATCACCCATTTCGATCATATCGTTCACGTCAAGTAATGGTGCACAACCGTTGTCTCTATTTTTTAATAAAATATCTTCTTAATGTTTAGGAAAACAAACCGGTACTCACTCGGCAGCTTTGAAGGCGATCTCAAAATTTCTCCGTCTATCTTTAGGATTAAGTGCATCGTAGTTAATTGAATTCGGTAAATAATGATGGACTAACGCACAAAATGCCATGCCATCAGCCCATGAAGAGGAAAAGTTTGTTACATTAACATACTTTATACAGAAGGAGAAATTCGTCAACATGAGTAATTCTGTGGATGAAAATAACAAGAAAAACAACTTACTTTGTAACCTTGCGTTGCTTGCTGACACCAACCAAGAAGACGTTCTTTGATACTTGCTGGATTAGCTGCAGCACCGGCCCCACTAGCAGCTGTAGCTCCTCCTGAATACGAATGAAACGTAGTTTACTCTCATCCAAAAGCGATCTAGTTATTCATACCACGAGCTAAATGACAATGAAATTTATAGAAATCATCGCGGAAAATTCCGTCGGTTCTTACCGGCTCGGCTATGCATTCTTAATGTATTATTTAGTGAAAGATAAGTGATTTGTGTCTAGTGAATGAGAAAAGAAAATAGTAGAAGATACTTGAATGCTATCAGAAGTGATGCGTAAAACAATATGAAAGAAAAACACATTTATCCAGTTCCGCGATCTTCGATAAACAGTTTTTCATAATCATCTTTTTTCTCTTGTTTTGCTCTCTTTGAATTATCTACAAAAGCAAACTTACTGATCTAACTTAGTCGAGTATGTATCAAACTGTGCGATGCACAAGTAATTTATATGTATGTATACCGTTGATAGATATAGAAAGGAATTGTATATTTATTTTTCCTCGAAGAGAGGCGGAGATACTTTGCGATCTAACTGTCCTCTGTTGTTTTTCCTTCGTTCTTGGGTGACATGTCTTCGAACAACAGTTCTTCTTGTGCTTCGCCTTCGTCATTCAAGAGAAGTTGTGTTCCATCCATTTCCATTATGTTTTTCTTCCTCAGTTATGTTGTTGATGAGAAAAACATCCAAATAGTACGGCAATATCCCCTTTGATGATTGTACATTTCCTTCTCGAAGATGATACTTGCTTGCGAAAGAAAGGCAAGGCAAGGCAAGGCATGCTTGTCATTTATTCGCCTACGCTTTCTATTAGTGCAACGACAGCGAGAATACATCTGTTGTTCTAGTCGATGCTCGATTAGTGATACAACAATCAATTATTCATATATCCGTAACCAATTGTTTTTATTACTTGAAATAAGCGTTTGTTTCAAAACAATCTTTCAATATGTATATACAAGTTCGTATTGCTCGGTGGTACAAGAGAGAAAATTCCATCAAAGCAACAAAAGGCAGAGAAAAAAAACGAAGACAGAGTGTATGGAAAATATAACTATATCATATCATATCATATCATATCATATCCCATCGATTAAAATATACAACAAAGAATGATTTTGAAAAATATACGTAATACTAAGATGAAGCTTGGTCTAGATCCATTTATTGGATGGTTGGTCCGGGTGGATCTCGATCATTACGAGATGGGCCCTGCGATAAGGAAAGAAGTCAGATTGGAGTGGACATTTTCGTGGATCTTACTTGATTCGAGGGTTTACCGAGATTGTCACGGTTATTTCGGAGAGTACGTGGTCGAAAAAGAAAGAGTAAGAACGCAATAGCAAACCATATTGCTAGCATTATGTACATATTTGTCATTCCTGTATTACCACCACCAGTATTTTGTAGGCCTGGTACTAGAAAAGGAGGAATCGGTCATTTTTCTCAAAGGCAAATCTGCAGTTAGTCGCAACGTACATGGTCCAGTAAAACATTCCGTGTCTGTACATGTCGTTTGTGCATTACGAAGCATATCAGTTAAACGATTCATAGCTCGTTCATGATTCATTTGAAACATATTCTTCATAAAATAAAACAAGCAAACTAGATTCGAAGACGTTCGAGAAGTCAAACTTACAATGCATTCGCAAGGATCAAAATCACCATTGCCAAGGTTACCACCAGCACCGTCCATTATCTATTCGAATCCGAAAATAGCAACGAAAGAATTTGTTTACATCGAACTATTTACCGTAAATAATATTGGAATGGAGAATAAATGATAATAAGAATACTAACGATAGAAGTTTTTCCGAAAAGGAAACTAATCTAAAACATATAAGGCGTTCGATCATATGATAAAACAGCGAATAATGCATCGATTACTAATCTGTCGCCGTGCTCTCTCACGTAGGTATTCGTGATCGAAGCTCTATTTAAAGTGCAGGGCATATGATGACGAAAAAGAACATCATACACTCAAATTTTATTTTAACCAATCGATAAAAGACATGAATTTAGCTTCCTGCAGCAAATAGCAATCTAAAATGTATTCGTGATATTCACTGTAGATATCGCTATGTATCGAAGACTCATCGTGTCGCTCATGAAGCTTACAAAAAAAAGTGTCTACAGTTATTTCGTTTCATCTAAATACCGCGTCCATTCGATTAGATTCATCCACTCTCGAGTCATATAATGAAAACTAATTGATTGCGTCGAACAACAATCAAAACCAGGATAGGTTTTCAATGTGTTATAATCCAAATACCATTGCGGATACTCCATATAATACAGTGATAGTAATTCCAGTGGAAAGAATCGATGATGCAAACCGTCTATAGCACCATCCAAGGTTACATTGAGATGTTGTAAACAACGACTGACATAGACATCTTCCATTCCTGGGACATACCATTGGGAGCAAGTCGTCTGTAAATTAGGTAACATTCGTTTCAACGCTACGGTATTTATGACATAACCCGCACCACCGCTCAAATGAACAGGTGCGCCGTTGTTCGGTGCGAAGACATGCCCGAATGCCAATGGTTCTGATGTTTCGTACAATAATTGACGTAAATTCTCCATAATTATATATGTATCGTCGTCAGCCATTAGTAACCAATCGAAATCGTAGGGTTGAGGTTGTTGAATAATAAGATTAATTGCATCAAATACTTTTATACTTAATTCGACATAATTATCCCCCACGTCGAAAAGGTTTAAAATAGGTAAAATGGTATTATTCCATTTTGTAAGATTAGTTGCTATTAGAAAAACATGTTTATCACATCGGTTCGCCCACGTTTGATGTACAGTCAATGCTCGTGTTGCTAAATTTTGACCGAACGTTTTGATCACACAATAGATACGTTGATGAGAGGAAATGAAATGAATGCACGAAACAAAAAGAAGGAAACTAGCGAGTTGGAGGTTGACCATCATTTTCAAAACGAAAACTACATGTGCATTACATGCTGTTACTTCAGTTACATGTAAATGTCAATAAACTGTACATTTTTCCTTTTCTTTCTCTTAAAACTTGCAGAGGAAAAGAATTTATTATTGAAGAAAAAAAAGGCGGCGACGGACACAGATTAAACAATCGTTTGTTTCAAAATCGATGATAACGGCTTCTTTTTCTGATTTTGTTCTAACGATTTTCGAATATCCGATGGTAGTTTGCCGTAACATGGTTTGCAAACCGGTGTGGCATCAACATCGTAAAATTTACTTTTCTCATTCATTTGTGTTTCGCATGTTGAGCAAGCAAAATGATCCACACAATACTTTTTATTACACGCAACATAAGCTAAAACAGAAAAAGATTCCGTTGATGATCTAAAAAGTGAGAGAAGAAAAAGAGTTTCTGTGTTACCTCCATCGACAAGCACTCGACTGCAAATAAAACATGACGAACCGAAAAGAAAGTGATAATCTGTTTCACAATAAGCTAAACCTTTGTGTTCGAAATGTTTATTGCCGAGAAACGCTTGACCACAGCGTGCACAACAGAAATGCTATGAAGAACTCATCAATCATGATTCATGTTAAGGTGTATATATAAATCAAACCTCGACGTGCCATTGTTTTCCCAGAGCACTGACAACTCGATCATCAATTAAACGTCGACATGCCGCACACACAGGTAAATCAAGTTTATTATAACATGCTTGACAATACAATAAACCACGTACGTCTTGAGCATTTTCATCCAATTCCACACTAAACAATCAATACGTGAAAATCTTTCTCATCCGTTCTTAAATGAGACTAACCGGCAAGTTGTGCATTGAAAATGATAGGCGTGGTAACATTCACCTCTGTATTTGATATATTTACTTTCGATGACTTGCCTCGAAAAAGAAAAACGAGCGAGTTTGAATCGATAGATTCCATTTCGGTTTTACTCACTGACATGTTGAACAGATCGGTTGAGAAAAGGTCGGATCTTTCTGTTTTTCTTTCAGATGACATTCCCGACACAAAGCTCTAGAGAATTTCGAGGTGTTCTTTATCTTTCTGATTATTCGCTTACTTTCCATTGTTTTTCGAGAAGCCAATCTCAAGTAACGGTATGTGACATACATGACAGCGAAAACAATCGGGATGAAAACATTTTTGGATGGCTCGGATAACTCGACCGACAATTGGATGTGCTAAGAAGTCTTAAAAATAGGAACAAACAGATTTTCCGAGAAAAGTTCTTACCACATTCAGCACAGCATGGTGCGAATAGCATTTGAAAATCTCGTTCACAATATTTACGACCATCGTGCTTAAAAAAAAGAAACTGTACATCAAAGAAAAACGTCAAGATCTTCAAAAGAATTACTTCGAAATATAATCCATTTTCGAAAGGTTGAAAACATTGAGCACACCTACAAATTGATAATCAACGCTTTATTTATCACAAAATTTCAATTCATACTTACACAAAGCATTGTGTATGCCAAATTTGGCCAGCGGCATTAATAATTTGTTCGTTTATCGCAAACGACTGTTTACAATTTGCGCATACATTATCCGATGTCATAAAACTAAAACATAATTTCATTTCATACTTATTTTTCAATGTCTCCTCTCAAACCAAAACTTATTGTTCGCTTTCGTGGAATCGACATTGGTTTTCTTCGATAGTTGACTTTTATATCCTTCATTGTCTAATTCAAATGTTTCCAGTAGATTGTTTAACAGAGCAATGCTTGATGATATACTATTGCTGTTATCATTCACACTCGAAGCTCGCCGTTGTTGCGACATATTTGCTAATGATCGCGATGACGAAGACACAGACGAGGATGTATTCGCATCATTAGATAATGATATTAAATCAGCTAGAGCATTATTGAGCTCCGTTTCTTTGTTAAGTACTTCACTAAAACATCGATTTTGTCGTTTGGAATTTGCGGACTCTTGACTTCGAGTACGTGTTAACATCGCTACCGGCTGCTGAGCACTTTGAATGCTGTAATACGATGACGAGGTGGATGACGTTTGCTCGCGTTTATTATAACGATCGTTATCCAATGTTTGATGTATTTGTTCTTTCTTTGTTGCCTCTTGTTCTCTATCTCCAGTGACTTGATCTTGATGTATTTTTTCTGTAAGTGTTTGATTATTATTGTTAGAAGTAGAAGGCGGAGAAGAAGAAGAAGAAATATTGTCGTCGTTATTATTAACCTTGATATTTTTTGTAGGATGGCCACAATTAGATTCTACTCGGTCGGTAGCAACAATATTATCTATCGGTAGAAAGTCTTGAGCGCTTACATAAGGCGTTGAACTCGCACGTGCTTCGTAGCCTTTAATTAATTCCGAAACTGACGGAACAGTTAACGTTTCCACTGAACATAACGATACAGTTGATGATGGTGATGAGACATTCAAGAGATTCGTATGTGTCGCACGTCGTGCTGGTTTCATCCGAGCAATTGCTTCGGTGAGATCTTGTTGACTTACACAAAACCGTTCTTGCTGCTGTTGTTTCAATCGTTGCTGTTGCAAGCGTTTTCGTTCCATTGTTATGTTTTTTTCCTATTCAGAATGTATATATATATATACTTGTACTCTGATAGGTTTGATTACATGATCAATCAAACTATTTTTCTTCTCGTTGATCATTAAAAAAATCAATTTACCAAAACTTCCGAGTTGAAGAAAGAAAATTGAATGGAGATGAAATTCGATATGATAACAGAATGATGCTGTTGTGCATTGGTGAAACACACTGAATGAAGATAGTCGAGTTCAATCAAATCAAATTCCTGCATAGACAAAGTTTATTGTAGTTTCAAACAAAAGCACACATGATAAGAGAAATGAGAAAGCAGACGATTATCACAGTTGAAAAGAAAATAACGACTAAAAGGTTTCTTGTTTTGCGTTAAGCCGTTTGCGTTGGTTTGCGCTTGGCTGTTTGCGATTGGTCATCAAATTTCATGTCAGACGTAAAAATGTTTGGAATAGCATTTCCGAAATAGATTTTTGCATTTTGAGCGATGGCTTGATACATGGACCATTGAAGATATGCTGGTGTTAATTTCACCTTGTTCGATTCTGCTTCTGTATCGCTCTTGTATTTATTTGCATCGGCTAGCGAACGTTCCCGAGCTAAATGCATTTCAGCTTCGATTTCGGCAATCTTCTTTTCACTTTCTTTGCCCAGAATTTTTTGTTCGTATTGAATCTTAGCTACTTGAGCTACTTTCTCAGCTTCGATCACAGCACGACGACGATCCGTTTCCGCTTCCTTTTCCACAACTTTCTGATGTGCAGTTGTAATCATATATCTGAGTTAAATATCAATAAAACAGTTCGAACAGATCATCGATTGTACTTACTGTGTCTTTTCTTGTTCCATTGTTTCATAATTTCGACGAATAGCTTCGGGAATTTTCGGTTTCGTGACTATAGAGAAAGATATATGCATAGCATCATTTCATGTTTGATCAACTTTTTGTTACCTCGAACAGAACTTATGTAAAGTCCCGGCGCTAAATTATTTAAATCCGATTGTAATGTTCGTTTGAGATGATCATCAATACTGGAGAAAAGATCAATGTAGACCTCTTGAAGTGTATGCACCGAGCAAAATTGATTAACTTCATGATGAATTTTATCGAAAATCAATGTTCGATCATAGTAGACAGTGTAATTTCGTACGATATCAATCACAGCATCACGGTTTAATATATTTACCACTTCGATTTTATCGAAGTAAATCATTGTACCGCCGCTCGTACCACACGGGATGTTTTTCACTAAAAACAACTGAGAATTTCTCACCCTCAACCTTTCTGATTCGATGTTCTACCTTCATCGGTTTGTAAAGTTGTTTGAACAATCTTGACTGTGGTGAGAAAGGGTATCATAACATGATAGCCCGGTGCTGTCATCGATGTAAGAAGTGCCCCACCCCTAAGATCTAATCATGATTTGTGGTTGATAAGATGGAATATCACTTGCCTGTAATAAATACCAACATGTCCTTCTGGTATTTGATGAATACCCAAAGGAATCATGGCTGCAACGACGCCAAATGCAACTAACCACTTTAAAACCATAGTTAATGGGAAAAACGTTTATGCAAAAAGATATATAGACATAACATAAAAGGGAACAAAACAGTGATGAGTCATTATTTTTGTTACGGATCAATAAATAGTATTGCTCAAATGAACGTTTATCATGTTAAATTACATTTTAGTCAATCATGTGAATAATTTTCATTAATTTAGTGTGATCGACAAAAATTTTTTACCGAATTCAATAAAATTGTTCAAGCATCGATGACATCTACAGGAGCTATTCACAATCATCCACGTAGAAGCAGAACGTAAATAGGAAAAAACACATTTGTTTTTATTTTAAAGTATAAAACGCATCGAAAAAAGGCACACATATTACAAAAAAATTATTTTTTTATCACTGATATCACGAAAAAATGAAGTCACATCCAATCCGTATCGTTCTTGGTCATGAATATTCTGAGTGAATAAGAAGTAAATAGCATGTGAATTTTCAAAAATGATTCACTATTACTTTTTGAGCTTTTCTGTCGAATCTGTATAGATTCGTTCAGTAAGATTATCTACAAGAGAATCGACAGATTCATCGTTGTCTTCACATTCGGATGTTGTTTCGTTGGTCACGGTTGATAGAGCTGAGCCCATGATATCTTTTGTTATTTGATTGGACAAGTTTTCAACGTCTGACGAATGAATCGATGTTATCATTTGTTGGATAAGAGAAGATACCATATCACCGAGATATAAATTGAGCGTTTGAAGAGTTTCGGACGAACACGCTGGTTCGTCTTCCTGGATCTATTCTGTCATTTAGAAAAAAGCTCGTGTAGATATGAGATGACAAACCTGATATAAAGCAGATTCGATCGATTGTTCAACTAGTTCATCAGCAAAGCTTCGTATTCCCGTCAGATGTTGCTGTTGTTGATCATGTGCTTTCGTGAAGAATGGTTGATATAAACTGAAAGAATATTGAATATCAGCTAATCTTTTAGTTTTCTGATTGTTCGGCAAAGACAGCGGTTCATATTGAACGAACTCGTTGTTGATCAACGGATCCGAACAACGTGAAATCGTTTTGTGAAAAGGCGTTTGTGGGCTGCTACTCAATGATCGGCATCGTGGTGAATCCGATAGTTGATTTAATAGAAGTTGATGAGTCGATAAATAAGTTAACGCATTTTGAACTGCTTGTTGAATTTCGTTGTTCACCACAGTTAATAGTTCCTGTTCCATCTAGAAGAACAAACAGAGGTCTAATCTACGACGAAGATTTATTTGTCAATTCAATAAAACGATGTAATCTATCTTGTTGTTTTAATTCTTCAATCATCGCATGTAGACGATGAGTACCGTGGAGAAATTCGCTGACGTGATGCACATTTTCTTCCAAACGTTCGTCAGAAATACGATTTTGGGGAATATTGTATGTTCGAATTTTTTCATTACGATTTCCACTACCAGTTTGCTGCTTTCGAGTTCGTTGTAATAGAGCTTGCTGTTCATCGTACTGCATTTGATAAAGTCTAGAAAGAAAACAATTGATGGGAAATGACGGAGTTCGATGTTTACTTGTTTTTCATAGCTTTGATGGCAAGATTTTTATTCAAATTGAAAAAGCGTTCATCTTGTCGTTCGAGAACAGTACCTAGATATGTAAAATTGAACTTAACCGAATTGTCGACCATTCCAATTGTTCTTACCCGTAGGCAAATGAGTCAATCGACAACCGGATTCACTTTTATTCACATGTTGACCACCGGGGCCTCGCGCTCGAATAGGTTCAGCTAGTAAATCTTTAGCAGGAAGTTCAATTTTGATCTACAAGGAAACATCCATTTCGAACTCGTAATTTATTTACTCGTAGTTATTCTCCTTCTGTCAAGTATATGCTTGCCTATTTATAACTACTAACTCGACAACGTGATATAGAAATACGTCAATACAACACTCTTAATTTTAATCAACCGTATCATCAAAGAAAAGTGCGTCAAATTGCTTTTGAAAAGAAGGTAATCGAGTATGACAAAGTCAAGCTTACATCTTTCGGTTGAGGTAAAACGGCAACCGTTACCGTACTCGTGTGAATTCTTCCGCTTTTTTCTGTCTGTGGAACACGCTGCACTCGATGAACACCACATTCGTATTTCAAACTTTTGAATACGTCCAAACCGTTAAGAAACGCTTTTCCTTGTCGTAAACCACCTAGACTATAAATCATTAATAATAACATTGATTCTGTTTGTTCTCCTACCGATATCTGTTTGATCGTATTCAATTACTTCGAAAGACCATTTACGAAAACCGGCGTAGTTTTCATACATGTGAAACAACTCTTTGGCAAATAGCATTGCTTCTTGTCCACCAACACCTGCGGTTACTTCGAGTTCGGCGTCGTCATTATCCGCTAGTTCGTGCGGTAGGACTTGATCGAAAATCTAGGAATAGTCATGAGCTTAGTCATCGCATAGAACAAGTCTTATTCACTTCATTATCGATCGCAGTTAAGTTTGATTGTAAACGAATGAGTTCATCGACTGCCATCTTCGACATGTCATCATCTTGGTCATTTTCTATAGAAATAGAAAAACGTTTATCTGAATGATCGTAAAACGATGTTCTCTTTTTACGACTGTTGATTACCATTCGAGAGTTTCTTCGTTTCATTAATGTCTTGTAGAATGTGTTCTCGCTTTTTCGTCTTCTGTAGAATTGTTTTTAAGTATTGAATTCGTTCGAACGAATTTTCATTTTCATGTTTTTGCAATTGATCGAATTCTTTTTGGTAATTTATCGCTAGATGTTTTATTGCGTTATCAATAATTGAATTCCTACTCGTCGTTGACATTCGTCGACAAACTAACATGACTGAAAAACGTTTCAAACAAAGCTTCCACATGCTTATTGTTTTCTAGAAAGATAACACTAGATAAACAAGTCGATTGTCAGATGGATCAGTTGAGTCACATCGCGTGGTACTGCATGCATGAATATGATTTTTATTAGTATTTTGCATGTAAAAAGCAAAATGATGCACGAAAAGTAAAAGAAAGAGAGTTTTTTTTAAATACAAAGATACATTTGAGTTCGTTTTTGTATAACTGTTCTTTTGAAAAACAAAACAATTGAAGGCCGTAGATAACAATAGAATACTGCACAATTAATAAGACAGGAACAACTCGGACTTTAAAATATACATTCACACGATCGATGCAGAAAGAAAAGCACAAAACGTTGTGCAGAATATCAATCTGACTGGCAAAAATATTTTCGATGCATGACAACAGATCCGATTCCTTTCACCAGGCATCTGTATATCGTATATCGCATTCTTGAAGAGCAGGTAGTTTTTCCTAAAAAGAAATTTCTTAGTCATGAATGCAAACACAAGCATGAACATACTTTCAAAGTTTCAAATGTCAACGGAGATAAATGTGTTGAATTCAGATTGAGTTTTCTCAACATTTTCATACCTAGAAAATCAGGTCTCACTTAGTGAAACACGGGAATGTCGGTAAATAGAACTTACATGTTAAATATGCTAATCCTTTATCAGTAACTGGTGTTTCACATAGATTAAGTACTTGCAATCGGTTTAGATGTTCGGAGATTAGTTCTAAACCAGCATCACCGAATTGTGTCGACCAGAGATTCAGATATCTCAATGCGGGCAGTTTTATCAATTGTTCAGCACATGCACTGGTGACATTAGTGAACGCTAAGCTCAAACATTCCAAATTTCCGAACGAGCCACTCGAGAGAAGTTTAGTTAAATCGCTATCAGTCGAACGTGATGGCAGTGTTAGTTTCCGTGGGCCACCTTTTTGTTGTAATTCGCGTAATGCAATTTGTCTCTCGCATACTTTTGCATACATTTTCAAGCCTGTTGATGTTGATTGTAATGTGGATATTAATTGCAGTTTATTATCACGATTCTCCACAGCATCCAAATCGAGCATTGCACAGAGAGTCTAAATGAAGAAGATCAACCAATGGCGAGTTTCTTGGTTTCCATCAAAATACTCACTTCTAGTGAACTATGATTTTCACGTAGTGCAAGCAACATCAACGCCGGTAATAATTTATTGATGCTTAGTAAGAATCGTTTCTTTCGACAACAACAAGAGATTAGTTTACTAAGCTAAATATATATATATATATATTTTTAGGAGTAACTTTCATTCACACGAACTTACCATGAGAGAAAACATTTCTCCGTCGTCATCACAGGCAATGCCACCCAAACAGAACATTTCAAACCAACCTTCTTTACCTTCGCGAATTCCAAGAACGGTCTGATGAACCTCACATCGCGTATCTTCAACCACATATTTAACCACGTTTTTGAATATTCTATATAATAGAAACAGATCGATTTGCTTGCTGTGGTATTCTTTTTCTCATTACTCAATAAATCGATCATGTGTTAAAGCCTCATCGGGAAATGGAATCGATTGAAGTAGTAAACCAAGATGAGGTCTCCAATCATCGAACGTCGACCTAAATTAAATATACCGATCAATCATTTGAAAGTGTTCATCTATTAATCGATATACTGAACGCATTGAAAACGAGAAAATGGTAATTTATCATTTATGCATATGACAGTAACTTTTCGCAACAATAGTGTTGATAACGTCAGAGTTTGATTGACTCGGTTTATTTGGCTTTTTCCCGATCAGAATTTATTTATTTATTCATGAGGTAGTAATTATAAAGTCTCTTGTGCAGGCGTATTTATTGATACAAAGAGCGCATTGGCCTGTTTCCCACTGACAGAGTATCACAGAAGGGAAAAATCGACTTTGTCATGGAAAAGGAATTCTACTAATCTTTGATAACTAGTATACTTTCATTTCTGGTAGGTAGTATTTAGGATAGGAGAATTTTGTAATTAATACTCTCAATTCTAGTCTATGATTAGAAATTCATTGAGATTTACTTACATAGTTTCTAACATTTTTGTATAGCAAACTAGTTGACATTCAGTTTCCTCTTCATATGCCCGACAGCTTTGTTTATCTTCGAATTTGAAGCTAAACAGAAGAACGAGAAGGAATTCATTGAGAACCAGCCACTCGACAAAAAATCACTCGTTCGTACTTTTTTCGATCTTCGAAAAAGTTGTAAATAGCTGCAAGACATACAGATACAAAATTGGATAGAACGCGTGGGAATGGACAGATCATTGTTGGACCATGTATTCTGGAAGAAAACAACGAATAATAATTGGATGCTGATAATTGTCAGGCATACTTTTTAATAAATTCTTGTACGACACGTAGCCCATCATTTTGTGAATTAAGTGCTAGTAAGTATTCTTGAACAAATATTCGCATACGTGGATATTTACCGAAATCCTATTAAGATCATGTTCTGCTGTTTGTTAAGACGAGAAAAGGCTTTCCGATGATATCTTACGGTATTATGTTTTAAAATCCTTTGCACGACTGGTGTGAACATTTCGATAACAATGTGTGAGCGAGGACTATCACGGCAATGCTAAATAAAGAAGAGATTGGAGCATACTTTTACGTGATGAGAAAACGCCTACTCGACTGAAGAAATCACATATTTCAGGCGATGGATAATTCTTCTCGAGTAAAGGCGCTAATGCTACAATCACATTTTCGTGGACGTATCGAGGTAGATTGAATTGCTGCTAAACGATCGAGTCAATGCGTAAAAGAGAGAGACGAACGATAAAAGAAGGTTAAGTACCTGTTGAAGAATTTCGGAGATAATTTCCAAGGGAAAATGATGAATTTCAGGATTTTCAATGGGAGTTGTTAGTGCAAAATCAATCATATTCTAAAGACGAGATTATGTTAATCAATTGATTCATTGAATCATGTGAATATTACTGTCATTTCTCTTAATAGTATTTCCGGACGATTAGCTGTTCGTAGAATTCGTTCGAATTTTAATTTATTTCTCTAGAAAGACATCAGATGGTCTCCTGTGGCACCAAAATATCTCACATACTTTCCAAAGAATTGAATGAAACCATTGATCTCTCAAATTCATTGAATTCATCTAAATAAATCTCGTTAGTTCCGTCTGACGATTGACAATCCGGTAAACTTCTTACTTGAAAGAAATAGACACATTCGTTCGTAACAATTCGGATACAGAAATGACAATCAGTCTCGATCATTTTTGCTTTAGACCATATGGCAATGTCTTCAATCGAAGAGTAAAGTATCGGCCGGTCCAAGTAACCTTCGGGCTAGAATATACGTACAAACGCTTTCATTAAATATTCATCTTGGAAATGTGATGAACACAGACTGTTTTAGATAAGATTTCATTGTGTGCAAGACTTATGTCGTGATCTTCCCATCGGCGGAGGAAACGGGAGAAACGGATTTTTTCTATGATGTTTTTCGCATGAGGAACTCGACACACTTGCACAGGACCGGCAGTTAACAATTCATAGCGTTGTTGGATACGACGTCCATTAACTAGCACACAAAGCGCACTGTTTGTTGTTGTTTTTGTTGTTGGAATTGTCATGGCCATGGCCGAGTTGTCCCCAGCACGCAGATAGTTTTGGGTTGTATCGATCTCATTCAATGATAAAGAACTTCCCGTCGTTCCTAATCGATCTTCCATAAGTCAATGAAATCTGGCAAATGTAAAGCTAAATCAATTGTGCGATAATTTGTTGTGAATTTCTCGTGATTTAATTCATCTAAAAATAGGCGCATCAGCGTAAAGCAAAGGATAGAAGAAAAACTAAAACAATGATTCATTCAGGAAGTATTCTTTATCTATTCGATTGACGTCAAACGCATCAAATGCAGTTTTTTTTATTATTCATCTGATCTGCTATGTCTGCCTGTTAATATTCAAGATGGAAGACATAAGCGATCGACTTTGAACAAACGAAGAGCAAAAAGTTTAAGTGAAACAGAAACTGCCTCACACTTCTCGGCTACATTGGAGAAAAAATTCTTAGGAAACGTTGATATTTCGGCTAAATTTACATTTGTCGAGATTTTATCTTGTATAAAAACAAAGGATGAGAAAGTTGACAGAAGGGCGACTATTTATGATAATACGAAAGCAAAAGAATCGGCTTGAGAGAAAAAAAAATGAAGGAAATGATGTTAACTCGACGTCTCAGTCTGTTTTATTGAAATAAAGCAGCAATGGCTTGGGCAAAAGCGGAGAGGAGAAAAATAGAGAAAAAGGAGGATGAAGAAGAAAAAGAAAGAGAAATATCGACGAGTAGCGAATAAAACCCGAGCTTGGCCCATACGCACGCACACTCATTAACACAACGACAGAGAGATAGACGAAGGAAAACTGTCATTCGATGACGTACGGATAAAAAAGAACACAAAAAAATAACATCAGACAGAAAGACTAGTTAGTTATTTGTGTCTATTACATCGATAAAAATCTCTTGACGTAGACAAGCTCTATCATTATGTATTCTACTAACGCATCTATTTTCCTGTTTCTCATAAAAAAACCAGTTACGAGCATGTTTTATTCTAAAGTGCTGTTTTCATTAAACTTTCAAACTCGTGTACTCTCTTGAAGTCATGACTATTCGGTGTCAATAGATTATCCTGAGTCAGAATTTGCATTTGGAGAAGAGGAAAGAGATGCCGTCATCCACGACGCATTACCAATGTAGTTTCAAATCATAAATTATATTTCAAAATCGAAAGAAATGTGCAAATATTAGTTTAACAACAGGCAAGATTAGTAGCAATTAATACTTGCCAGTTATCTTAATAGGACATCAAATGATTCTTTGAATAATCTAAAATAAAACAAAACAGATGGATAATTCTGTGAAGATCTCTCTTCCTGTTCTCTAGGACATATATGTTCATCAATAAATATGCGACGAAAAAAAAAAGAACGAGGAGTTCACCGGATGTGTACTTGAGACTCACAGGAACACAGAAAACACGTAAGCATGATTTATTCCTCATACACGATATCATGAACAACTAAGTACATCGATAATAAAATGAAATAAAATAAAAATGTCGTGGGAAAATCAGCGGACATCTTCTTGTTTTTCATCGAGATTCATATGACTTGTTCTTGAGTAGGTAGTTTTGCTTTGTAAACCTTAAATGACAAAAAAAAAGAGGAAAAGATGCTTTTTAATCAAAACGAACTACTTGAAAAGGGAATTTACCTCGCACTCGAGCAATAAGCAAAAAGACAAATGTTATAAACATAAGTACTATTAATAAGCCGAGAATCGGAAATAGAATAAGGACTTTTATTGTTTGTTTTCTATTCGGTAATTTGATTGTCGATAATAATATATCTTCATCGCGCATAGTTTTGATTGTTGCTGGATTGACAACTAAACCATTGAGACAGTCGGAATTGCAGCTGACTTTTTCAATTGCATGCGGCGTATGGAAATAGTTCGAAGACATCCGACTCGAAAACTCGTCGTCATCACATTTTCGATATGAATGGCAATTCTAGACAAAAAAAAACAATAAAAATCGTTATGATTAGATCTTTCGATTCTGAACATCTTACGCTATGACAGCGACGAATGATAAATTCAACACGTTTTATCGAAACATCATCGACGATAAACACGATTTGACGAGCGGTTCTCTCCAGGATTTCAACAACTGGATCGACACATCTGAACAATAGATAGAATGATTCGATTCTCTAGGTACCGAACAATATCCTCTTACTCTTGAAAAAACCAATAGTTCAGCGAGTATCGAATATGACTGGAACGTTTTGCCCATATAATTTCGAATGATTCACCATCACCTAGAATACAACACATAGTAGCTGAGTGTATTTGTCTCCCCATTTATTTACCTAATCTATCTGCAGTCAAATTAAATGTGTAGAAAGAATGAACATCGTTATTCGATTGAGTGACTGTGATCATTGGTGCAACTGGTCGATACTAAATCGCATCCGTTCAAGCTAATCTTTCTTCTGAAAGAACAATCCTACTCACATTGGTATGACAGTAAATACAGGCTGATTCACCGAGATCTAATGATCTCTAGAAAGAAAAGTATAGCCATCGTCGAATATTTCCAAGAAGATACTGAACTTACAACTGGAACTTTTAGGAATTTCGGACCGAGTCGTGTTATGTTGCACTGACGAACAAAACCTTGGTGTTGGCAAAAGGGACTTGGATTAGCAAATTTCCAATTCGAAGTGTTACTCTATAAACACATCGACAGAGATTACAATAGAATAATCAAATGTTTGTCTGTAAAACTTACATTGATTTCATTGAAGGCTAAATAAGAATTATTACATTTAACATCGATATCTGAATCGAATGAAACTGTTTCAATCGACGGACAATACGAGCGTTCTTCCACATTTCGCTCTAAGGGTAAAGAAAATGATTGTTTCGACTGACTTCATTTGACTTGACAATTACGCTTACCGTCACATGCGATTATCACTGCACTGATGAATATGACGAAGAACCGTATGAGAACGTGTCGAAGGCGAAAAGAACAGGTTAACATCGAGAATCGTCATCAGCAAATGTTTCTTAGCTAAATACGAAGGAAAAAACATCTTACTCAATATTTTCTGCTTCTAATCAAGTACAAAACGTTGCTTAAGTCATGCATATGATTGTCGTAGTCTACGATAACGTACATCTCCCTAATGATCAGATGTACTTACCTAGACTTAATCATTCTTTTATGTTTGAACGTGTACAACTGAATGAATGAATGAATGAATGCGAAACATCTCTGAAACTAAGCTGGGTTTCTACTGAAAAGAGAATTATCTTAGCGAGTCAATTTATAGATTCTTAAAACAAAAAACTTATATATAATGAGGAAAAGTATTAAAAGATGCATCTCATTCTATTTTTCTTCTTTTATAAGGATACTGTGACACGAGAGTTGCCTGAAAACGAGATCAAGATGTGATTTTCCGAAAAGAAGAAGAAGTAGAAGATGATGATGATGATGATGAAAAAAGAGATTTCCGTGTGAATTCATGTGTGCATGATTTCAATTTACTTTCAATAAATGACATATGAGAAAAATTACGTGAATAGATTTTACAGTCTGCAAAACAAAATGCAATTATGGAAAGTGTATGGCTATCGTATCTTGTCATGTTTTATCTAAAAATATCACTTTTCTCTGATGCATTACGTCATTATTTGAGCTAAACACATATGGAAATCCGTATGTCAACTGGTAGAATGCGTAGGTTTATTAGAAATGACAATATGTTGACTAATTATAGTCAAAGATATTTGTCTGAAAATCACTTGGTCTATTTTGGATTCAGGAATTCTATCAGCTGTGAATAATAGCCTCTTTCAATGCAATAATAACAGATTCCATTAGAGAAAAAGAAATATTACTTTATATCCTTACATATGAAAACAGAAGAATCTTTTTAGCAAGCTAATGATTAAGAAAAGTAAATAAGCAAGTAGATGAAGACGTCAAAAAAGTCTTGAGCTATTTCAATCCATCATCAGATCCGTAGTTTACACAAATTATCCTGTCGATAATATTTGCTTGGAAAAATCTCGGATATCATGGAGAATAGGTATCAAAAAATTAGTTCTTATTTACATTTCTCTTGCTGATTATTTTGTCATTTTTGCTCAAGAACGACATCTATGACGCAAGCCATGTTTTTTTTTCTTTCGTAATGTGTTATGGAGAACGCCAAAACTTCTTATCGGTAGTTTGGCTTGCTTGTTGTTTTTTCTCTCTCGACTCTCAAATACCACATATGGCATCTTTAGTCCGTTTAACACTAGCGAAACCATCGGCTCTCTGTCGGCTTGGTCAGCTAATCGCAAATCGGCAATTGCCAGCATTAGCTTCAGCTACCATCTCATCGCATCGTACTATCTCTACCTCGACTGTTCGTCATGACATTGACTCGGCTGCAAAATATATCGGGGCCGGTGCAGCAACTGTCGGTGTAGCTGGTGCTGGTGCAGGTTAGTCACTCTCTCGTAGAAAAATCTCGATTATCTATCAGTTGTTTTTCATAGGTATTGGAACAGTATTCGGTTCATTAGTCGTTGCTTATGCACGCAATCCAAGCTTGAAACAACAATTGTTTTCATACGCTATTCTTGGTTTTGCTTTGTCCGAAGCTATGGGGCTCTTTTGCCTGATGATGGCTTTCATGTAAGTTTATTCAATTGGAAATCTTTTTCATCATGTATATATCATTGTTTTTCTTCTCTTAGGCTCCTGTTTGCGTTCTGAAAACACATTAGAATCCATTATGAACGTACTTTATTGACTGTCTTTAGCATAATTCTTCTCATGAATGTGTGATGGAACTTTAGTTTCTAGTTCTATATTCCTTCCAGATGGTTTGTCTCGTATTTTAATAACAACTTGTAACAGTTTCTTGTTTTTGAAGCCGAGTATGAATAGACAGATGTTAAAGATAAGCCACATTGATCTAGTTGTAAATTCCAATTGAATTTTCTAAGCGGATGATCGACCAAATGTGTCCTCTTTCTCAAGTAAATGTGATTGGTCCTATTCAAATTAGTGGCGTTGAGCTTCTCTTTTCTATCATTTCATCACCGATCATCATGGATTTAGAACGACTAAATGTTAATCTATTTAAAAAGTTATCTTTAGCGATAGCTATCATCCGCAATACACCGTCGGGTATTAAACCGGATGTGTTCACACGTAGTTTGGCCAAACGATTATACCCTCGCTCAAATCGTTCGAATGAACTAGTTTCTCTTCTTGATGAGCATTTGATTCTTCGACAACAAAATCTTCTATCACGTTTCGTATCGAATCATTCGACATTAACTTCAAGCATTTCTCTGATGGATATCACAAATGCCGACACTGATCATGAACAGTCGAATAAGACGACAATGAATGAATATGAATACGGCGAATTCGCCGAAAAAGTCTTGAAAATCAAAAACAGAACTTATCACATGAAAATCAATGATATTGAATTCCTACTGAATACTTTAACGAAATGGATCACCATGAGCGACATTGACCATCGAACGATGCCAATCGATGCATGTCTTTATACGATACAAATAGTTGCCAACTGCTTAAAAACAGACAACGATAAACCTTATCACATTATTCTTGATCTCCTGCCAATGATTGACAAATTTATCCACAGCGTGTTTGATCTACTTGAGCATACTATGGATGATAATGTGAATTACCTTCATCAAATAATCATTTCACTAGGTTAGTATGACCTATGGCGATAGAATTGGGGATGAAAACGAAGTTCTTTGATTTAGCATCATCGAATTCATGTGTGTCCCGTATCTTGGATAAACTTTGTGCACGGCTTAGTCAAAACTGTGAAAATTCAGAAATTTCAATAACGCTGTCCAATGTTGATCTGATCGATCGACTATTCAATATTCTTCACGAAATCATTCATAACCGAAGTATATTTCAACGTCGTCTATCACAACGTTCGATTGACAAACTGTACACGTTCATTAATCAAGTTTCCTCTTTACTCGATGGAAAAGTCAACTACACTCATTTACTTAGATTAGAAGGCCAACTACAAGCAGGCAATTACAAACGAACAAGAATGACCGAGAAGGTCTTTCGAACTTACACAAGCTCGAGTAGTAGCGAACATTCGCAATATCAGCAACAGAAACATCATACAACGAAAGCACTGTCGATGCCATTGAGAAATAACAGTTTGGATTATTCCTTCAGTCAACAATCTCAGTCGCAGTACTTTTAAAATCGGATGTTTGTTAGGTTAATTGCAAATAAAATTAGGACAGTTCATTCGCGACTAATCGTTCGAGTTCAACGAACATTCTCGAGAACGAAAAAACAACAAACGAAATACTCTTTTCTCGATCATTTTTTTTCCTCCCCATATGCATTGACGTCTGTCTGGTGACTTCAGCTAAAAGCAAATACATTACTGAATACTGATGAGAGAGAAAGCTAACGAAACGCCAAAGAAGAATGACGACAGCAACGTAGAAGTTTTTTTTCTTTAACTATTTATTCTTCGTATATTTAATCGTGTGGAGTATTGCATGCTTGGAAAGCAAGAAGAGAAAGAAAGAGAAAAGAAATGGAGGGAGGAGAGAAAAACAAGTTGACACAAGAGGAATAGAGAATTAAAGAAAAATATCGTTTTTACAAAGAAAAAAAAGCAAGATATAAAAAGCATCAGCCTTACGTTGATCTTTCTGCATTGAAGTTATTGTTATTAAAACTTAAACATGAGTAAGTTGATGTTCGTTTTCCTCGACAATAGTGCATTGTGTAGGATAAAGTACTAGATGGACGGTGCCTTGCGACATAAATACAAGAATATCCGTAATCAAAGAAATTGAAAGTCTTTTTCTCTGTTTAGACTTTATAACTAAGCAAATTGAAAAGAAGATAGGAATGGATCTGAATGGCGACGGTGTCGTCGGATCAGGTGAGTGATTGTGTTTATATTGAAGAGAATGTGTGTCAAGATATGTTTTTTTGTATCAAAAGGTCGTGGTCATGGTCATGCACAGGGACATGGAAGCGGCGGTGCCGCTGGAGGTGTGATAAACCAAGTAGAAAGAGCTACCGGTATGGATCTCAATGGCGACGGACGTATCGGTGGAGGTGCTAGTATGGGCCACGGTCCACAATATGGAGCACAAGGATACGGACCTAGTCCAAATTCGTACGGTGCACCGGGATATCAACAGAATCCTAATGCATACGGTGGACCAGGTTATGGACAAATGCCAAATCAGTTCGGTGGACCTGGTTACGGACAGATGCCAAACCAATACGGTGGGCCTGGTGGTTACGGACCACCGCCAAATCAATTCGGTGGACCTGGCTACGGACCACCGCCAAACCAGTTTGGCGGACCAGGTTACGGGCAGAATCCAAACCAATTTGGTGGACCTGGATATGGAGGAAATCCGAATCAATTCGGTGGACCTGGTGGTTATGGTCCTCACCATTAAATTTCTACGGATCTTCTATAGGAAAACAGTGTTTATTTTGTAAAATTCTATTTCGGTTCTTATGAAATCTTTTTTATTTGTACTACAACAATACATAAGACAAGAATCAATCTCATTGTCAATTGTACAAAGTTTCGATGACAGAGAATCTATAAGAGACTGAGCTGTTTTTCAAGAATCAAACGATGATCATCGACAGACTGTCTTTTGTCGATATCAATCAATTTGAAATCATGCGAAATCAAAAATAGAAGCATTGATTTAAAGCGATTACGTGTTCTTACATTCAACGAACTAAGATTTAATTTGTTTGCCCATTGTTCTGTTTGCTTCACTAATCGACCGAGTATTCCGTGTCGCCGATGACTTGGAAGAACACCAGCCAACCAAACGTAAAATGATCCTTGATACCGTTCGTAACCCATCAGATAACCAACCGGCTGATCATCAGCATAGGCAACAAGTACCAATGGATGTTTAGCCTTGTTGATTCTTACTGATAATTCATCGTAAGTCGACGATTGGTTTTGAAATTCTGGTATCTGTTGATGAATAGAATGCGCTTGGTCAAATAAGCTTAAACTTTCTTTTATTTCTATTGACATGATCTGAAAAATTTGCTGTAGAATAGTCATGTGTTTCCTAGATACAAAATCGCGTCGATGACATTCGGGTGAAGCTTCAGGGCACGAACAGCTGTGTTTCGATCAACTTTCAATTGATGCATTATACATTCAATGTCTTTTATGTCCACATTTGTGTCATCTTCCTGTTGTTCTCCAATGCCCAAGAAGTTCATGTTCGATGCAAGCGTCAATTCATGCCAATTTTCTTTCGTGTATCGTTTGCCTTTATGGATCAGTTTTAAGCCATTAACTGGTATATGAATATAGCTGGCGATCATATTGAATTGTTCAGATCTGGAAAGCTCAGGTGAATCAACAAGGTGCATGTGATATGTAGTGCCACCATATTTAATAGATATTGGAATCGTAGTCATTGTTTGTATCTCGTTTTCAATTCTTCATTCAAAGGTAAGTTATTCTTTTCAATGGTATAGTATCACCATTGCAACGTATTCGATTCTACCTCTTCAAGAAGAAAGAGGGCGGTCGTTGCCAATGAAACAACTTGTAAATGGAAAAAAATTCGATCGAACGAAGATGAAACTTTCGAGTGTATTGAAACGAATACATTCTATAACGTCGCTACACGATGATGAGTGTAATACAGAAACATTTGATTAGTTATTATATCTTTGATTTTATTGGTGCCTATTGCAATCATTTCGAACGAACGACCACAACGTACTTTTAATAGTGAGAGATAGTTTGTTTGAAAAGAAAAGCATGTCGATTCCTACGAAAATGAAAGCGGTCCTATTGCAAGATTTTGGTGATTTTGAGAAAATGTATATTGGTGAAACTGCTGTACCGAAGATAAAAGATGATGAAGTGTTAGTTAAAGTTCATGCGTTTGGTGTGAATCGAGCCGATACAATGCAACGCAAAGGTCAATATCCGCCACCACCCGGTGTGACTGATATCATGGGATTAGAAGCTTCGGGAGAAATTGTCGAGGTTGGTAGTGAAGCAACAGGAAAATGGCAGAATGGTGACAAAGTTATGGTTTTAGTAGCTGGTGGCGGCTACGCAGAATATGTTGCTGTACACACAGGTTCAGTGATGAAAATTCCTGACGGAATATCAATGATCGACGCTGCTGGTATTCCTGAAACGTTTCTAACTGCCTACCAAGGTTTACGATTTGTTGGTCATATTAAAAAGCATGACCTTGTGTTGATCCATGCCGGTGCAAGCGGTGTTGGCACCGCAGCCATTCAGCTGGCAAAATTCTTCGGTGCAAAAGTAGCAACCACAGCTGGTACGAATGAAAAGATTGCTTATTGTAAAAAACTCGGTGCAGATAAAGCCGTCAATTATAAACACGGACCGTGGGCTGGCACAATGAAAGAATTCGCACGAGAGCTTAATAAAAATGGATTTGATCTTATTTATGAAAGTATTGGCAAAGATTATATCGAAGCAAATCAGGACGTAATTGGTACAGATGGACGCTGGGTTGTGTACAGTGCTCAAAGTGGAGCGAGTGCAGATAAACTATCATTGGCAGTATTAATGAGAAAACGTTTAACGCTCTCCGGAACTGTTTTACGGGCTCGACCAATTGAGTATAAGACAAGTTTAGTCAAAGAATTCGAAGTCGAAGCGCTGCCGGCTTTTGTGGACGGAAGATTAAAAGTTATTATCGATAAAACATGGCCGATGGAGAAGATTATAGATGCACATAAATACATGGAAGACAACTTAACCATGGGAAAAATAGTTATAACAGTTATCAGCGACAAATAAGAAAACTTCGTATTTTTACTTTTTACCGAAACGATAATAAATAGATAGTTTCTACAGACATTTAATGAATAAGTGTACATTTCAGTGCAAAAAATTAGAAATCTTACTTTTCGGTACATAATTAGAACGGCCTATGGGAAATTAATGCGTGCTATATTGATCTCTATTAACAACTGAGCGAGTCCCTGTCTGTGCAATTCAGATGTCATTTTGTCTTCTGGCCTTTGTCTGCTACTCTTAACGTAATTTGTTGTTCAAGGTGCATTTTACATTGATTTTGCGAGATTGCGGACAGAGTTCAAGTTTATCATGTTTATACTAGACTTTGTTAAAGTCTGTTGATCTTGCTTTGTCTCGAAAGATAAACTACCAAGTGTGTAGTTCTACTTGAGTGTTTCCTGCACTTCACCTTACGCTCTGTTCTCCCTATTCGACATCTGGCGGTCTCTATGAATGATTGTATCCGATGGATTGTTCTCTACTCACTTCGACCATTCTCAAAGAAAACATTCTCGTGTGCTACTGCTGCTTGCTTGAGAAAAGAAGAACGACCGAGATAGATAGAGAGAGGGAGAAAATTTCCCTTCTAACGCTTCTGATTTTTTTCTTCTTTCTTTCCTTTGTTCGCTTTAGTAACGGAATAGTATATAAATTCATTCGTTTGCGTGACATTTGACATCATCGGTCGGTCTAGTTTAATATGTAGTACGTGAAATGTTGATTTTGTGAGCATTTCATTTCAAATGAATTGAAAGACAAGTGAGTAACCCTATTTCTTCGAGTAACATGAAACGATCCAATAGAATTATTTCGTTTCAGTGGGAACTTATGCGGTTGAATATGATTACACAGCCAAATCATCGGATGAGTTAACGATACGAAAAGGAGATATTATCATCGGTGCAGTTCCAGCTGAAGATGGTTGGTTGAAAGGAGAATGTCGAGGCATCGTAGGGTAAAGTGAAAAGAGTTTCATGCCAAAGTCACTTGTGATTCTCAATTTTAGACTTTTCCCCGATAATTTCGTTACAGTAAGTAACATCGTTTTGATTAGATTCATTTGAGTATTTTCTTTCTCCCTCGATAAAGTTACTGAAAAAGGAAAAAGCCAAAACACGAACGTTTGCAACCAATCAAACTAACACGAAAAATGATACACTTCGAAGACGAGCGTTTACTACCAGCGATACTCGTATGTTCGACCTTTTCTTATCAGCTCGTTCATCTTCATTTTCAATGCCATTTTAGCTTCTCAAAACGGAACTCTCTTCCAAGTCAGAGCAGTCTATACGTATCTACCACTTCACGATGATGAATTGTCCATTGAACCAAACGATATTATTAATGTAACACGAACAGTATGTGAAATATGTGTAATAGCTGTTTTGATTAAGAATGACGTTGACTTATAGGTCGAAGAGGGTTGGTATGAAGGTCGATTGAATGGGAAACTTGGTCTATTTCCGTCGAATTACGTGACACGTATTCATGATGAGCAAAAACTGAAAACGAACAAATCCAAACAGGTCAATGGTTTGAACGAATTGGTCAGAAATGAAGCGGCGAAGAAAAACAGTCCGATCAAAGCTCGAGTTCTGTACGATTACAAAGCGACAGCTGATGACGAGCTAACATTAGCAGCGGACGATATTGTAACAGTGCTCGACAAAAATTTAGAAGACGAAGGATGGTGGAAGGTAGCATTCGTGAAATTCAAAACTAATTGTTTAACTTCTTTTCTTTTCAGGGCGAAATTAATGGACGTATTGGGGTGTTTCCAGGTTAGATTTTGAACTTGTATTTCATCTTAATTAGCTTTTATGACTTCTTACAGATAATTACGTTGAGGAAATTCCATCATCAATGGTTTGTTATTTTGTATTTTGAAGACATGCAACGAAGCAATCTCTCTTTTTTAGACTCTCAAACATCGACCTAATACACCTGAAAATCGAACCAAACATCCGTCTCGGATATTATCAAAAGCGACACCAACCAATGGTAAGAAGGATTTCTTCTCCGCACATCAGAAAAAAGAACTTATATGGGTTTTTTTTTCTAAATAGGTTCATCGCATGATTATTCTAATGAAGCTCATCATTCGACTAAGTCATCAATAATCAGCGAAGACGAAGGTAATTAACTCGACGAAAACAAGGGATATTTTTAGAAGATCTTTTTAGACAATTTGTCACGAAATCGCCCAGTTGACACAGATTTCAAAGAGAAACAAAATGATATGAATAAACAAAAGTCTATATCTGTCAAACGACCGCCCTCAACTACACTAAGAAAAATCGTTCGTTTCTATGCGCAATCAAATTCCTTTGAGATTTCGATTTCCTCTAGGATCACGATGCCAACAAATCAACAGACGAAGCAAATTATTTGCAATCGACTGATACGAAGGTGACTTGTTCATTCGAATAAAAGTTCTTATTTACCTTCCTGAAATCTATTTAGAATGAACATAAAATGCACACACCATCGCCTCCTCCATATCAACGAGGTAAGTCTTATCTGTCATGAAGAACATTCATTAATTTGATGTTGTAGAACCAGGTCAACTGGAATCACCTCGTTATTCAAATCGCTCACATTCGTTAACTAGTACCGCAACTTCACTTTTAAATGGAACCGCTGATTCGCATTCACCAGTAACAACAGTAGAGCAAATGCATAAAGATTTCCTTAAGTTGAAGCATTCGATGGATGAAATGAAGTCTCATTTTACTGAACAAATTCGAGACTTAATCACTGAATTAGATGAGGAGAAGAAAGCTCGTGCTACTTTACAAATCGAAATCGAACGCCTACAAAAACTTCTTCAAAAATCATCAACGTCGTCGATCAATTCTTAAGAAAAATGTAATTTTCACTCACGTGAATGTTGTTGTCTTCCTCATCTTCACATTCCTTGTCTTCTCCCATGAAGTCAAGCTGTCCAAAACACATTTGTATTTGCTTTTGTCAATGTATATTTTTTTTTCTGAATATGTAGAATATCAAATATAGATTCATACTGACGTCATCATTCCCAATATGTTGTGCGAATCCTCTCCGTAATGAGATTGTGCATCAAGATATTCAATTACTCAACGGATTTCGCTTTTGACGTCAATGTTTATCCTAAAATCTCACTATTTAATAGGAATCGACAGTTTCTTTCATGTCTCTAGTATTCGGTAATGGATGGCATTAGTTTAATTTCACTCAACATCGTCAGAAATCAACGTAATTTCTCGCACTCTTATGTTTTATTCAAATGATCAGGAAGCGAAGAAAAGCGAGTGATAACAACACATGCAAAAGAAAAACAAAGAGCACACAGAAGAAAAATTCAACGTTTACGTATTTTTTTTGTGCTATGAATTGTAATAGTATGAAAACACTGGATGGAAGGGATTATATGATATTATAGCATATAACAATAGTATGAAAAAGAAAAAATGGATCGCCATGTTTGTGTTTTTTATCTGTCTCTATTATTAAACCACGGTTTGAGAAGAAGAAAATCATATATGTGTGTCATTGAATGATCAGAAAGAAACGTAAAGATATAAATGAACAAGCTCGAAAGAAGAATAAGGAAATGAACAAACAAACAAGATTTTTTTAATATTTATATACATGATTAAATGTATCGAGCTGTTGATGGCTTGCTTATTTTTTGCCAGTTTTCGGTTGAGTTTGAGGCGGAGCTGTCGGGGCACGTGGAGGAGTCATTGGTCGACTGGTATTGAGACCGCCATACTGATATTTCGGTTTCTTCTCGCTCGGTTTCAAAATCTAAACATCGCAAAATGTGTCATTCGCACGAACAATACACAAAAGTAGAGTATTACTTGAAAAGAACACATCAATGTTTCATCGACAGACATCATACCACCCGCATTATCGAATTCGCCACAGTAGTTAGGTGCGGAAAACAATGTTACTAATTGTCGTTTGGCAAAAAATTCATATCCATCTTCAACAACCTAAACTCTCCGAGAAAATACATGAAATGTGATTAAAACTCGCGAGAAACTGACTTGATGTGCGCGACATATTAAATCCATATCATGTCGATTTAGAAACTGGAATAAAAAGGATGATTCGGAAAAATTAGTACATTCGATCGATCCTACTTTCGCTACAACATCAGCACCAAATGTGAATGAAACACCTCGGTCGTTTTCACCCCAGCCTTGAGTGTCTTTATCAGGATCAGACCTGAAACAAACTCATTTTCTAAAATATTAACAAACATAATTCCCCACGTACCATAATAAATCACATAATAAACCTAGAAGCAACAGAAAGAGCGTGCTGTGTCAGGTCAAAGATTTGCTCGTTCACTTACCAGTATCAGGTACATCTGTTGGTCGCATGATTCGTCTGATTTGTTCCATTGTTTGCAAATCAGGTGATAACCCTAAAGTTACACAACATTTTCTCTATTTAAAGAATCTAGGTCATTTTTTTCCAAAAAGAAAGCCGTCAAGGCTTTCAGTGAAGCAAATATCGGGGGTAATTTACCTCCATGGCAACAGAAGATCTTTTCATCGATGATAGCAGCAATTGGCAAACAGTTAAAACAATCTGTAAATGTTTTCCATAATTTAATATTGTACCGACGTTTACCTAAAGCCGAAGAAAGTTCAAGTCAATTTGTGCAAATTCATTTTTAACTAACATTCGTCGTAAAAACCGTAGATACGATTGATCGAAGCGCATTCATGATTTCCACGAAGTAGAAAAAAATTCTCGGGATATTTTATCTAAATGCAGAACATATCGAACAAAATTGAACGCAAAAAATGCTTCTATACTTTGTAAGCAAGCAATAAACAGATCGTTTCTAATGACTGTTTGCCACGATCGACGTAATCTCCAAGAAATAGATAATTGGATTCAGGTGGAAAGCCACCATATTCGAAAAGACGCAATAAATCCGTATATTGTCCATGAATGTCACCTATTTGAGTGTAAATTTTCATGTCAGTTATAGGGTTTTCCTTTGATTTCCTACCACAAATTTTCAATGGTGCTTCAAGCTCTAACAGAATTGGTTGACTAAGGAATATTTCACGTGATTTCAAACATAACCCCCGCACTTCACCTTCGCTCATTTGAACAATCTTGCCCGGTCGACATCCACGTACTACAAGCAAGCAAATATGTTATATTGAATGTGAAATCAATCGTAATGAATGCTGCTCACCTTCGAGTAAACGTGCTATGAGACTATCCACATTAAGTTCAGCATCGCCGGACATGTTTCGCTCGTATATTTGTCTAGAAAAAGAAAAACAACAAAAGGCGTGCCTATCGAGAAAAGTGTGTACAAATACATCTATATTATGTTTGTTTCCTCTTGTTCTTTTACTCGTGCTTTCTATTGGCGACTATGGTTACGTCTGAAATATACAAAAATAATCGATTGGTAAGAAAGAAAGAATAAACGACGTTGCAGAAGATGTCGTGACAAATGCGAAGAAAATAATTAGATCGAGAAATTACAAAACAAAAATCAGATTAAATCGAGTTTTTTTCGATATTGAAAAAAATTCGCAACGTTGATAGACATTTCCATGAATCATCAAGCGTTTGTCCTGTCGTGGGACATTCACGTGTTGCGTTGTGTTGTTCGAAATGTAACGATATCGAGCTGATCTGATTTGGCTTCGAAAGGAGGACAAAGAAATCTGGAAGGTAATTCTATTGGCATATGCTAACAATCTTCAGAGACGATTATATACCATGTAACCATATCTCCTCAGCTTTCGATCAACATGGATATCTTGAGACAATAATGTATGAATAATGCTGTTTTTGAAAGAAGTAAAGACGAAAGCCGGCGGAAAAAGTCTTCTGAAATTAGTAAATTCATTGTTTTAATCAGTAGCTCCTATATTTCCTATCGAACTGATAACGAGACGATTATTCGTTTTGGATCGCATTATTTGATCTTACACAATTCTTTCTCTTGATACTTCGAGCAAGGTACTAATTGATATGATGCCGCTGTATCTGTGTGAAAGATGATATCTGAAGAAAGAAAAATAAATATTTATTCATGGAAGAATTATTTATATATTAGCAGCCATTGAGAATGGCTGATAACTAGTCAATAGAAACATTTTCGTCGATGGTTAATCAAGATAAAGTTTCACTTATCAATACAAAATCGAACGCTTACGATTCGTTTAACATACATTTTTTTGTTATAGAATGACACAGAATTTTACACGGATTAGAAAAGGATATAATTTTATGAAAATTAACTACTTGAACTTATCAAAAATACGGATTTTACTGTGTACAATTGAAATATTTCACGTATTGATCATATCTTATCATTGCCAACCCTCGACGATCGAGCGTTTCACTCAAACGCTAAATAGCGTCGTTAATATCTTGACTCACACGAATATTCTCACACTGGGCGTATATATAGCCAAAAGGTCACGCTTTTTAGTACCAGAGTTGTACGAAAAAGAACGATATTGTACACTTCCTCCTTCGCAGAAATTGACGCTATCGTTATATAAATAATTACGCCTTTTTCTAAATGAGTTGCAATCAACTTTTACCTTACTCAGTTGCATTTTGGCGACATCTTACGTACATCGAAAATGAAAGCGTATTCCAAGTCTATGAACGATTGGCTTAAGACCTACTGCAGACATACAGACCCTATCCCAGGGATTGATTGACAATAGAGCACATACTATTAATTTCCATTAATATACTTTCAACAACGAAATCGCGTCGTCTATTCAATGTGATAATATGTATTAGAACAACCACATTCATTTCGTTGTAATGTTAATAAATTAATCATGGCATCATTATTGACAGCCGAAGATTATACAATTATTTCTCGTCTTTTATTATTCTTTTCCACTTCGTACGGACCTAATGGTCGGCTGAAATTAATTCAAACGCTGGATCGTTCGATGAGTACCTGTACTTCCATGAGTACCCGTATACAGCGTCAATTAAAGTGTCGCTCGCTTATCTCACGTTTATTATCAGCTGCTATTAATAAACAAATATCCACCTATCACGATGGTGGGCTTTACTTTAGCATTCTCTTCTGTAGTTTTCTCAAGCAGTTTCGTGATTTGACATCAGAGACGAACAGATCACCTGTAGTCTTATTCGAGCAGTGTTTAAATTTACTCGACCAATTCGTTCTTCCAATCGAAACAGTAACATTCAGTTCTATTGATCAATTACTGGCTATTGCTCGATCTATTCTTTGTAAACCATTGATTTACGGCCATTCCGATGTGTTAAGAGAACAGCTATGTCTCCTATCAGTGAAATCATTTCTCGAAAATATGACTATGGTTAATTCATCTATGCAACAGTTAACTCTAACTGTCGAAGGTTTGCCTATCGAAGAATCAACTTTAATCAATGGTTTACTTTTTCAAACATCCACGTCGTTACTCTTACCTTCGAAAACAACGCGCACGTGTCTTTATTTCACTACGTCTCTCGCTGGAGATTATACGATCGATGATGTGGATCATATCGAAATGGAAACACAAATGTTTGAATGGATTCAAAATACTGCTGATCAGATATCAAAACAAATCATTGCGCATGCTCGTTTACATCATAATGGATTGATTCTTTGTCAAAAAGTGATACATCCTTCTGTTAAAGTCAAACTAAAACAGTATGGTATTGATACTATTGATCGACTCGGTCGGCAATATACACCTTATTTATGTTATTTAACTGGTAACAGTCTTTTTTTACGAGATTTCGCAAACAAATGAATTGAGTTTAGGTTGTCGACCAATTGAAACATTGAATTTACGAACAGTGGACGAACGATACTTTGGTACATTAACAGAAATCAAACAAGTTCAGATTGAAAGCAAACAATTCTTGCAATTTTTCAATCAAACTCATCCGTTCCATACACTTTTACTCTGTGCAAACACAGAACAATCTCTGCTCGAACTCAAAGTAACAAGATATTCTCCTCCAGACAGGTTTTTCTTGAAATCTTATTTTCCAAAAAACAGGAATGTATGGATGCAATTCATCACAGTCTGACGAATATTTTACAAACCAAACAAACATTATACGGCGGTGGTTGTTCAGAAAGTATGCAGATTTTCTATTTGAAATCTCAACCGCGGACACAATACTTATCAAGCGTTATACGAAACGTTCTCCGTGCTCAATTCGATCAAGACTATGTTATCGATCGCATTCATGGCCATATGTGGTTGTTATCAGATAGTGACAGAATAAGCGATAGATGTGCTTGCGAATTGTACAAAGCAACAGACGATTTTTGCTTAAGTGAATGGAAGAATTTAACATTTAACTTGAACGATGATACAAACCAGGAAGTGAAAATCATCGTGCATGATGAGAGAAAGTATTTCATTCGAGAAAAATGTCCAAAATATCTGGACAATTTCCATATGAGAAGCAGTGCTTTTCATACAGCCATTGAAACTGCGATGAATCTCTGTTTGACTAATATATATTTATAATCTTTGTTCTAGATTAGCATTATCTTTGTATATCTATTTGTCGCCTATGCCTCAGGTAGAAATGATTCTTGTACATTTCTTAAAAAAATAGAAAACGGATCTTGTTATTTTCATCAAGACAATCGTCGAACGATCTGTGAGTCAATATGACGAGATTCCAAAAGCACGTAAGATTCTCCCATTAAGAGAAAAAACAAACGAAGATAGTGTCATTTGAATAGGAAGCAGTCATACATTAACAGCGATCGATAATAATTTGTACGTATTCGGTGGCGAACATGAACCACGTGTGCCAATTGACAACGATGTGTGGCAGTTCAGCATCTCCGATAATCATTGGAAACGATTATTGGTCAATAGCGGAGATCGACCAGCAGCGAGACTAGGCCATGCAGCAGCAGCTGTTGAACATAAGTGAGAAGATTTGATTTGATTCGTTCGGTAAACGATTTTCTTCTCGAATAGATTATTTATTTTCGGTGGACGTCTTTCTGTCGACATGAAAGACAGTACACTGAACGAGTTATATTCATTTGACGTTGATTTAAATGAATGGACACAGTATAAAAAAACGTCGGATGCTGAGCCGTGGCCAGCAAAACGAAGTTATCATTCGATGGTTAGCAGTGTTGACCAGTTATTCATATTCGGTGGATGTGGCGAAGAAGATCGTCTGAACGATTTATGGCAGTATGACACTTGTGATAAACAATGGAGACAATTACCTTCACCTGATCCTCAAAAATTGGTAGCTCGCGGTGGCTGTGGATTTGTTTATCTGAATAATGCACTTTGGGTATTTGGCGGCTTCTGTGGTCACGAATTGGATGATATAGCTAGTTTTGATTTAGTAACACAATCGTGGACATATTTAACGGATGCAAAGATTTCTCCACGTAGCGTGTTTGCTTATGGAAGTTTGAATGGCGTCATAATTGGACATGGCGGCGAGCAAAATCCGTCGCAGTTAGGTCATGCTGGCGCTGGTGAATTTGCTAATGATGTTATTCTTATTGAACCAACAAAAGAAAATGGCGATCGGGTTCAAACGCAACGGCTTGAATTTCCTTCGCCAGTTGGTGGCAACCGTGGATGGCATGCCGGTGCTGTATTAAAAAATATTTTCTACGTTTTTGGTGGTAATACATCGGAAAATGAACGTGACAATTCATTGCTTGCCATTGAGTTTAAGTAATATTTTTCTATTTATTTCCCATAGTGACAAGTTACGCAGGTAGTACTCAAGCATATGTATGAACAGTGAACGTCTCGTTATTTTCTCTTCCTCTGTTTGTCGATGATATAATAAAAAAGTGACATCGTTTCATTCAAATAATTTGAGTTATTTTACAATTATCATGCACAGGAAAGTTATTTACCTGCGCTATCGTGATATCATATATAGCTTCTCTTGTATTCAACACACCAGTTACCTACGTGAGTCGTAAATAAAACGAAAAAGAAGAGAACAAATTTCGATAAAGTTGTTAAATACGTGTCTCATGTTAGTATTGTTTTCGAAATCATGGGTTGTATAATTCGACGTTTTCTATCGGCTAGTTCTTTTGAAACGTTGAGATACCCTGTAGACGATAAACCTAGCCAACTTGATAGTGCCAAAGCACCACGTCGACAAGAATATGATGACGATCCAGTGCCATTGCGAGCGCCTCGTGCTCCACCTGTGCCTCATAAACCTCTACCGAAACCAGCATCTCAGATGGACTCATCGCGCGTACAACTTCATACTCCCATCTATATTGGTATACAGGAGTATCAGAAAGAGAACCTTAACGAAATATCGTTTGAGAAAGATGACGAGATGGAACTGATCGAACAGGTCAATTCTAATGAATTACGTGTTAATCATCTTCGTTCTGGCTCGTCTGGAATCATTCCCAAAACGCACGTTCGCATTGATGTTGACACACCGCTTCGCCTAGCTGTCAAAGAATCTGGTGTCATTCAACGTTGTCTTCTGCATTACAATATACCCGGTACTTATCTCATTCGACGCAGTACAAATACTCCAAATGCGTTCGTTCTAAGTATTTCACAAATTAACGAAAGTTATAATACTTTGACATGGCATTATTTAATTTCTATCAATCCATCGAATAACTGTTTCTATTTTTCTCAAGAAGCTCAACTTCAAACACTCACTTTCACGTCATTTCAACACTTGATCGCTGACGAACGTATCCGTGCTGTTATTCCTCTCACTGAGATTATTCCATATTCGATTGAATTCGACGAGGAAGTTTGGAATATACCATATAGGGAGCTAGAAATTGAAGACAAAATCGGCGAAGGTCAATTTGGTGAAGTATATCGTGCACATTGGCATAAAGGTCAAACTATTACTCCTATCGCTGTCAAAAAATTGCACATCTCGGGAATTACGAGTACGATCAAACGAGAAATCGAAGCAATGAAAACGTTAACGAATCTGTACATTGTCACATTGTATGGTATTTCTCAGAATCCGACTACAAATGAACTTCTTATTGTGACTCAACTAATGGAGAATGGCGATCTAAAAACATGGCTGAAAAATTTACAAACTCTACCGAAATATTCGACGCTCGTACACTTTGCGAAAGATATCTCGTGTGGAATGAACTATTTGGAGGTTCGGAACTATGTACATCGTGATCTTGCTTGTCGAAATATTCTTCTCGGACCTTGCGGAAAAAAGATCAAGATCGCTGACTTTGGTTTATCAACGATTGTCAGTCCAACTGATGCCGCTCTACGCCAAGAAGCACATTCACAAAAGTTGCCAACACGTTGGTTAGCACCAGAATTGCTTCATAATCAAGCAGCTTATTCGATCAAATCAGATGTCTGGGCGTTCGGAATAGTTTTAATTGAACTTTGGTTAAAGGGAGGTGATCCGTATGGAAATGAACATCGAGCATGGATTCAGAGCGCAGTGAGTACAGGTCATGTCCATGAAAAACCAACAGACTGTCCGGATGATTTCTACGAATCAGTTATACATAAATGCTTGCAATTTCAGGCCAATGATCGACCGAGTTTTTCAGCTCTCAGACAATTATTAGAAAAATGGCAATGTCATTAAGCGATTCTCAAAATTAAAAGTTATGCGTGAAGTACCGTATTGATAAATTGTTTAAGTTTTGAAAAAACTATGCCCGTAGTATGAGAATCGATCAGAACGAGATCATTATTTTCACGTTTTTTTGTTCACCTTTGTTTCTACAATAAATTACTGGTATTCGCGGCAATTGCTGAAAAATATTTGATTGATTCGCTAGCATAGATTATTGATTTGTCTGTGGTACGAGTAGAGTTGCTTTGTCTTTGAACTTATAGCCATTTCAGTTTTGATCGATCATGCAAGAAAATATCAGCATAATATAGAACTTGATTTTATTACATTTATTATTCTACACACATTGAAACATAAAATCAAGTCGCTTTTCGAAAACGATGGCGATGATGCAATCGTTCGTTGTATACCTACGCACCAAAATACAGGTTAATCATTTATCTCAATCATTTCTGCTCATTTTTCTATTTTACATTGTGATAACCTTAGTCTATCGAATAAGTATGCAAATTGTTATTTTGATGAAATGCTAATTCTCCAATAGTAAACCAAGAGACCATTGAAAATCCTTATTATCAAGAAGAGTGGTTAAATAACCCTTGAATGAAAATAGTAATCATTGCCTCGAGTTATGTTTCTATTTGAATTTCCAGTCACATGCTCAGGCTACCTCTTCAATCCTATGAAAAGTATTGGAAAAATAGCAATGTTTACGGGAAAGATCCTCAGCGACGAAATTATATTCGAGATGTAATGAGCTTTTGAAGAGCACTATTTTTTCCGTCTAATGATGGGTCCGTCGAATCGTTGCGTATTCATTCAGATAGAATAGATGACAATCATAGTTTACATAGAAATCATGTCACCAACGACACTAATAATTATCGCCGTTTCTCTCTCTCATGCTTATAATTATCAAGAGAAATAAAAATATTCTGGTATGTCTAAACGCATCGTTATGTTTGGAGACTTTTCAGTAGAGCCTACACGAAGAAATACGCAAATATCCTCAAGATAGACTTGTATCATTTATTGATACACGCATATCTAGTAATAAATCAAGCGCAGCATGGATCTGTTCGAGATGAAATGTGTGAAAAAAGTTATCCATAGATTGATTAACTCGATTATTCTTGTATCACATATACGAAGACATGAGAGAATAAATAAGTAAAGGGCATTGGTATCTATTGCTGTTAGTCAATATTATTTTTGTTTACAGGAGGTTTTTCTAATAGGGAAGCAAGCAGAAAAAAGACACAACAATTGTGTTCATTATTTTTCGCGAAGTACATCGAAAGTAATGATAACCCAGAGAGAGAGGGAGAGAGAGGAAAGCGGAAAGAGAACTGAGTTGGACTTTCATTTCTCGATACTTCATTTAGATATGAATGCAACGATATCATTGCCACAGAATAATACAACTTTGGAAAGTATTACTCTCTTCCATCATCCTGTTCTATACGCTTTAGCTCTCTATGCTCTATTTTTAATTATCGTTGGCACTGTTGGTAAGTAGATTTCTTCACGTCATTGAAAGTCGTCGTGTCTTTCCATTCAAGGTAATCTTTTAACTATTATTATACTCTTTCGGCCGAATTTGAGAAAACATGCCACGATGCGTTATCTAATCGCAGTTGCTGTAGCTGATCTTTGTTCATTATATTCGTGGAACTTTAATTTGTTCTATAAACATCTAATCAATCCGTATCAAAACGATTTGGAAGATGCATCAATTGCATCTTGTCGCTTCGTGTCATTCTTTGCGTTTGTTAGTTTACAACTTTCGTCCTGGTATTTAACTTTGGTTAGTTTCGATCGCTGTCTCAATATCCATTTCTTATTCTGGCATCGAAAATTCGGTCAACCAAAATATGTTATCTTCATTCTTCTCCTTGTAACTGTCGTCATCGTACTGATCAATAGCCATCTGCTTTTCCTCAATGGTTATCAACAATCGAATTGTATACCGTTTGAAAAACGTACTTGTGTTGTTTGTTATGCGCGTGTTAATGATCCTTATTACATCTTTCCAAAATGGGAAAAGATACACGTATTAATCTATAATCTTATACCTTTTTCGATCATGTTCCTATCGAATTGTTTTATTATTCGTCGTTCGATTTTGTCAACCATTGTGCGAACTTCGTCATTGGACACTAAACAACGACTACGTCGAAGTTATCGCCAACGAAAACAACGACAATTGACATACCTGCTTCTCATTGTGACTATTTTGTTTGTATTATTAACAACTCCAGTCATGATTTACAATGTCTTTCTGAGAAATCATCTCGTTGCTCGAAAACCATTGAAATACATTGTGCACGGCGTACTTTTATCCATGCAATTCACCAGTCATGCTGTAAGCTAAATACTACGAATAAAGAGAGTGTTGTCTATGGTAAATGCTTTTAGATCAATTTCTTTGTCTATTGTTATGGTGCGTCGAAATTTCGTCTCGAATTGAACGAATTCTTCACCAATTCGATACGCAAAAGACCTCAATGAATCGCTATATGTATATGTTGTCAATGTGTTTACGCAGATCTCAGATGTTTTTGCTATTTCATGGCACATTGTTTTTCACGGTTGATTTAGTCGATATTTTGATGACAAATGAAAAGTGCGTGTCAAATAAAGAATCGAATGTTATCACAGTATATTGGATGCGGATATCATGTAGATAGTAGAAAATGTTTTAGTGCTTATGCGTATTTTTCTTGCATAATCCTAGTTAAAGCAGTTTTCGGTATAGCTAAAGTTCTTGTTTATATTATGATATTTGAATACCGCCATGACAGAAAAGTAAATGTCATTCTGAATATGCTTAACAGAGGTGATGTATTATCTAAGTAGACTTTCTTCTTCGCCGGCTTTCAGTTGAGTTCGAACAGTTGCATGAAATCGAATTCAAGTTCATTACGACGAATTATTTACAAATCAATGATAAGAAGAAAAAAAAATACACACACACAGCGATTGAATCATTGCCAGCATTCTCACACGGATAATTGAAATGCGTTTTTTTTGCCTAACACGAATTATTCTAGAATAGGTAGACCATCGAAAATAAAAGAAAAGATGTCAAAGAAATGTTCATGCATATGGTGAACCCGTTCTTTCCAATAAATCAATTGCTTGTTGCACCGTCTGTTGGAACAAAGGACACCAAATAGGTTGTTCAAGTGAGTAGAAGGGATTCTTCAAAGCGTAATCGCTATGTAGTTCGTAGGACCGTCTCAACAATGCGTCGACATTCGTCTGTTTGAGATCTGTTAACGCAACGAATTTTATTCCGGTTATGGATTGGAAACAGTAGAGTTTGTATTGATCAGTTTCTAATTCACGAATGCCACTGGAATTGAGTTCGGGCGATAATTGACAAGCGATTGCATACATGGAATGGAAGATTGATGAAAGGATTAGTTTTTCATTTCCAGCTAATCGTGTTCGGCCAAATTTGATAGCAACTATGAAAACAACGTCATTTATCTACCTGAAATCGATCTAGAATCTTACCAGGATAATGCGATGGATCGGAAAGATATTCAATAATGTCATAGCTGTTTGTCAATGACGATGTTGGAGGTTCGTCATCGTTAGCTGTTGCTGTTGGTGGTGCTGACGAAAAGTCAATGTTGTTTCGTCGCGCTGGTACTCCATTGATCGCAATAATCGTATGACCAACTTTGATTCCATCACGCTGGCCAAATTGAACTACGACGCCCTTATCACCTGGCGTCAGAACAAAACCAAGTGGATAACTGAACGTTTTTTCCAATTCGATTTTCGGTATGGAATGTTCATAGGAGAAAATCAAACCGCCACTACGGTTGATGACATAAAAACTGTATACTACCATGTTCGAAGATTTATCTGTAATAAAATGACAATCGAATAAAAATATTTGTTTTATTGCTTTTTTTCGTCTACTAATCATGTTCGACAGATACAAAAACACAAGAGAAGAAAACGAAAAAATAGACATAGCAATTAGATTTGAGACGGTGAGCAGATCAAATGATATTTTGATTTTAGTGATTGATCGAAGGAGGTTGAGCACGTGGAAGATGTGCGGAGTCTTGCGGTGGGATTTGATTACCAGATGCACCGGCACCTTGATGAGGCGCACTCGGCTAAAACAACAGCAAAGTCAAATACGTTGAAAAAAAACCAACGATTTAATGTATTACGGTAGGTGCATGATCTAAATTCTCAGAGAATTTGTTAAATTCTTGTTCAGAATAAATGGTACTGTCTTCAATTGACTAAAAGTAAACAGAAAAAGCAGATGATTTGATACACGAATATTCAGTTCCTACCTGCCAACCTTGATCGTTCTTAGCACCAGTTCCATTGATACCTAATTCGAATTCGTTGAACGAAAGCATACGATCGTTATCTCGGTCGAATTCTTTCATCACATGTTCACGCATGCGATCCATTTCCTCTTGTTTTTCGATTGGATCAGCTTCGGGATTGTTTTCATGAATCTTTTCTGCCTGAAATACATCGAACATCATCGTTCATCCTATTTGAAACTCTCAAACATACTTACCTCTTTGAGCATCAATGCTTCGATTTCAGCTTCATCCAAGAAACCATCGCCGTTAATGTCATGAAGTTTGAAAAATGCTTTCGGGTTAAACTGATTGGCTTCGAGATGGTCGACATTTTCCCAAACTTCTTCCATTTGGTCAACACTACCTGGATGATTGACTTTGGGATGGTGTTTCTTATCTTCTGCTGCTTTTTCATGTAACGCTTCCGCTTTTTTCCGCTCTTCTTCGGTCATTTGCTACAACCCAAACGCGATGATTTCCAAAAAATTATTTCAGTCACTTACTGCAAGTTTGTGACGACGTTCGTACTCCTTCTGCATTTCGTACTCTTTGAACTGTCGTTCACGTTCTCGATCTAATTGATCTAAGTCTTTGGATGCATGTTGAATTAAGCGTTCGAGATCTTTTTCATTGAAACCATCGACATTTTGGTGATCGATATGTTGAGGAATGAATTGTTTCACATGTGGTGCATCGGGGTGTGCTCGAGCGAGTTCAAGACGTTCTTTTTCTAGAAATGAAATCGAGTCTTTACATTAAATAGTCATATTTTGAAAGATTATGTACGAACCACTTAAGTTACGTATTTTCTTCGCGACCAATTCTCGTAATCGAATCATTTCACGTTGCTTCGCTTCGTCAAGTTTTGTACGAACATTGTGTTGAACAAGACTAAGATGTTGAGCAATATTTCCTGACTAGAACACATTTGACATATGAAAATTCAAGACGTGATCACTATTCGGTACTTTGATATCGTCGATCGAAGCATTTTCGATTTTGCGTTTGAATTCAGGATCATTCTCGAGAATTTCGACCACTTCTTTCAAATAGCGACCATATTCAAGGTTATTTAACTAAAACAAATAGAGAAAGAGATAACACTAACACAAACAAATCTTACTTACCACTTCGTCCGACTCATCTCCCTTTGTATCAACTGGTGCTTTATCATTATTTACTTTTTCCAGCACAGGCGGAGCACCAATCGTGAAAATCAAAAGGAAGACACTAATTATAGTTAAAGTTACCTTCATAGCGGTAAAATCTGCAAGTAAAAATATTCTTTTTCTTCCTATTGTATCAAATAAATGATAATCCCTGTCATCAAACAACTCGATTCGTTTACCCTGCTTGGTAAATTGTAGTCGAACGTGGATGTTATTGGAAACTGAGAGAGTGATCCAATAAAGACTAGCGCTAAGAGAGGTCGCTCGAAAAATCAACTTTCTATGTACGAGACTGACTATAAGATTTGAATAGGCAGAACTGATTATGTAACAAAGGATTCTTAGCTTATAAAAGTCAAAGTAACACGTCGAAAATGTTCATAAATCCACCATTTTACTGATAATTATCTTATCTTCAAATCTACTGTTATTACAACCAAAGGTTCGTCTTTTGTTTTTCGTATTACTATGATCTACTGTATTTGTGTATCAGATGGTTCGCTTCTTTACTCCAGTATTACTTCTCATCGTCTTCGTCTGCATTTATCAAAGTATACTCTCTAATAATCATGAAAATTAATTTACATCTTTATTATTTAGGCGATGCACTATCCACTTTCGGAAAAAAACAAAGCCGATGCGCACCTATGAGATGCGAAGGAAAAATGAAGCAATGTCAATACGGCTTTCAGAAGCGAGACGGTTGTGAAATCTGCAAATGCCACGATCCTTGCAATCCTGGAGGACAAGTCAGTCAGACGATAGCTTTGATGATTTTCATAACTTCTCATTTGAACAGGCTTTCTGTAAACGCGAAAAATGTCATGTTGAACGAACACACGCTGGAACCTTCGTTGCTCGTTGTGGTACACGACGATTCAAACGATCAGAAGGTACGTAGTTGAATCTTGAATGGGAAAAATGTTTATGTACCAATTTTCCTTGTAGATGTGTGTTTCGAAAAGCCTAAAATCGTCGGAAAATGTAAGGGTGATCATCCACGCTTTTCGTTCGTTAAAGAAACCGGAGCTTGCGAAAAATTCACTTATGGTGGATGTGGTGGTACACGAAATAACTTCAAAACCAAACATGAATGTGAATCATCTTGTCGAGTCTAATTTTCTCATGATTTAATTTATAATTTATTCTTTTTTTCATGTTATCTTTCTTAATAATAAATAAGTAGTCGAAACAAATCATCGAAAACTTCTCGATTCTTCTCTCTTTTGTTTGCGTGACTCATCTGAAATACCGAATCGAATTGAATGGTAAAAGTTTACTAAGAAATGTTTGCGTGAAACATAGATATAAAAGGAGAAGCTGAACATGGAAAACGTTAAGATTGTACTTCACAGGATCATTTTCTGTAGTACATATCGACAAAACACCCATAGCCAAAGAAGACCCAAACAACCCACGATGACGAGTGGCAGTGGTTCTTCTTGAGCGTGAAGTAGGATGAGGCTGCTCTTTTCTCGAGAGCTCGGCCTGCTTCCTTTGATGATCGCACCTTGTTGCGTCCTCGTGATGCGGCAAGGAGGGAAGTGACCACATTCAGAGTGGTTGGCTATACGTTTTTCTCTTTATTTAAAAAAAAACAAAGCAAATGAAAATATAACACGATTGGAAACAATGTTTTTAATGCACAGACAAGAAGCAACTTTGTCCATTAGAAAAGACTTATTAGTACTACCTATTATCTTTAATCATACTCTTATACTGCTAAGTGTAATTGCTACTCTAATCGCAGCAGTACAAGTAGATTAAAAGCCTCATTTGAGGGTGAAACAATCTTTCGAATCTATTTATTCGAATGACGCAACTTTTCTGTCAAATTCTCAATCAATTAATAACACTTGCGCAGATAAACTCAGCGTATTCATCAATGAACGATGGAAATGCCAGGACGATGTTTCGCTCATTTGACACATTATTAATTCAATTTTTTTATTTCACCAGTACAGTGAAAGTGAAGAAGAAATTAAATGAACCATTTAATCAGATGTCGATGTCATCAACCTTGACTTCTATTCTCTCTTTTTTTCTGTGCTACTGTAAATTTAATCATGCGGCAACGATCAACTGATTGGCTGATCGCGGTATATATCACAAAGTAGATGTGAAACGTTGTTTCTTTTCTTTCGCTGCACGTACAGATGTTCGTCTATTTCACTTTCAAAGTAAACCCATCGGCAATGTTTGTCTACATCATTCATTTTCTTCGAGAACATTAAATTACATTCCTATTCGCTATAATTATAGTGATAAATGAGTGAAGCGCGATTCCAACGAGCATAGTTAGACTAAAATAGAGGTCTTCTCATACGGGTGTATGTCTATTTGTTTCATTCAAGGCTCTTTCATTTAATCTCTCGTTACAAACGGATATGCTCATGGAGTGAAAGTCAATTAAACAAGAAAATGACACGAAACATGAAGATGATTATAATACTTGTCACCAGCAGTTCTACACGCACATGTGTTTGTCTTTTAAATCTTTTTATTCTTTAGTCGATCAAATTAAAGATAGCAGCACATCCATTCATTCATTCATTCATTCATAGAGCGATCTTCTGACAGTAGCCGTTGGATTTTTTTTCTTTCTTCTCCTGCTTTTTCTTTCTCGCTGTTCATCAATTGGACAAAAGAGAGAGAGAGAGAATGAATGGAACAAAATCGTCTGTCTGTCTGTCTTTCTTTTTTTCCCATTTTTTACTACTACAATCAAGTTTAGTTTTGTAAAATAGACACTTTGACAAGCGTACGTATATGCCATAGATATTTCTCATGAAGTAGCAGGTGTTGGAAGATGACAGTAGAATAAACAGACATCTTGATTTCTGCTTATGGAGACAACAGGTGGATTGTGTGTATGATATTTTTCTTCTCCTTTCTTTTTCAGATGAAAAATCATCATGTACAGATCCTTCGATATGCTCGCCATCGAATGGTGAAGATTGCTAATGATGAGCATCTATAGAATTCTTTGTGTAATATCGGCGTGGACGATATTGGGTGAGTTTGACCAGCAGACGAAGCGTTACTGAATAAATATACATTCAAACCGCCTATGGTTATGTGAAGGAGGAGAAAGAGCGTTTTTCAATTTCCACATTAAGCCTATATGTAAAAAGAGATATGACGACAACTTAATGGTTTCTTTTTCACACTGACCAGCACGACTGAAAAGTAATTTTTAGTTTGCGTCATGATTACACTTCAACAAGGGTTCAAGTGCTTTTTGAGACAAAGCGAAAAAGCAACTATGATATCGATATATCTTCTTTATTTCCTAGGTGTTTCATGTTCATCATCAACTTGCTCAATTCCGACACTGCTTGATGGTAGATGGATTCAACCCGGTTTGAACGATTTAGTGACGATCAACGAAACGTGGTTTTCATCGAAAGGTTCATGTTTGAGTGATCAACACGATGTTAGAAACAAATACATATATTACAATGAGTGAGTTATATCATCGATTGAATGATGTTGTGAATGCGTAAGTCTTAAAATTGTATTTTTTTTTCAGGCAAACGAGATGCAAACGTTGTATCCTTTTCATTCCGAGACATTCAAATGCATTGCAATATCGAGAAAGTAAGTAGAGAAAGAACCATGTCATGCTGATTATTAATTATCATCGATCACTATGTACACATGGTATCTTTGACTACATATACATACATGCAATGTTTCATCTACAAACGATAGACATTGACTTCCGCCAGTGATAATTGAGCGGGAGCTTCATGTCGTAGACAATACGTTTTCTTTTCTGTTGTGCTTATATCATCTCTAATAATTTGTTTCATTCTAGGTGAATGCTTTGATGCTGATGATGATAATGGTCGCATCTGTGCTTCGATTACACCGGATACAGTATTATATACACTTTTCCGGGGTAAGAAATGAAAATCGAATGTGAGCTTCTTTTGTCAAAAGAATGATACTCATTAGTAGAGAAAAAGAAAATCCGGTAGTCTATTGGGAAAAGACCTTCTATTCCCTTGCCAATGGCCGCGACATTGACCGACATGAAATGTTCATTGACCTAAATAAATAGAGGAAATGAATGCTGCTCCCGGCACCATTCATTCAAAAATGACAGATTCACTGTTGACTCGTTGTTTGTTTTCTCACATGCAGATAATGCTGAATCCATTCCATGTCCATTCAATCAGTCTTGGCATTTCCAAAAAGCGAATCAACTATCGTCATTATGCCAACCGAAAGCATTCCATCATTGTTCTTCGATTGATACATTTCAAGTATCTTATAACAAACAATGTCAATCGAAACAAGGTTAGTTTTCATTCCCTGTATTATTTTTATATATTATTTTTCGTGTGAAACTGTGCAGATGAGATCAGTACATGTTTTGCTCAATTTTCTGATGGAAATATGAATTATGTCATATCGCGAAGTACTCAAGCACAAAAATTTCTATGTTTTGTAAGTGCAATTTGATTTTCTCATTCTCGTATCTAATCCTTTGCAATTTAGTCTTATATAAAAACCAAGTCTGCTGGCCCAACTTTTCTTCCGAATGAAGTCTACTTTTCTCAGGACGAAACTTGCCGAGATTTATTGGCACGAGAATCGGCGGTTATCTTGAAAATTATTCCAAGTAAATCATACATGTTCATAAAATGGAGTGAATGATAGTCTTTTTAGATCAACTGATGGAATCGAAAGTTCAACTACCTAAATGGACTCAGGGAGTATGGTTATCTGTTGGAGCAAGTAATGTGAACTCCAATCGAGTTCATATCAACCAAACGCAACTTGTGATAACGGCGGAGAATGACGAAACGATAAAATACGATCTAAAGTTTTTTAAAGTTATGCTCAATAGAGGAAACTATGGAAATAGCGTCCGTATAAGAGCGAGATCATTAGATCAATGGTAAATATTTCGTAGAAACTCAAATGAACATATGAACGAATATTATTCTATTCTAGTTCATCAAAATACTATTGCATTAAACTAGTCCTTCGTTCGACGACAGTGATTGATCTTTCTATAGGTACGATAGACTTCATTCAAAATAATTCATACTGAAACTTGCTTATATTCTTTCAGGACTTGATCAACATCGATGCAAAGAAACTCACACGCACTACACTCTATTCAGTAAGTAATCGCATTTTGTAATGTTTCTATTCTTCTGAAAGCATCATTTTAGAACCTACTCTGCAGTCCGGCATATCATGTCCGCAAAGTGGCATCTACAAAACATCGAATACTTATCAGTCACCACTGACGGTATCGACCTGTTCTACTGGTATGTGGACATTAGCAATTGGTTGCGAAAATACCAGTTCAAGTGAATTAACATTATTTTCATCTTGCCGTCATGAAATCGTACCCGATGTACAAGTTATTACATCAATCAATGGTATTTGTCTGGCTACATGGCGCACTGATCATCGATTTCAGCGTACACTGGTCGTTTATGAGAAAAACAAAGCATTTTGTTTGGTAAAACCTAGTTTTTCTATTTCCTTTCTGAACTCTTTTTCTTAAAGATTCAACCGTTAAAATCGATGGCGGCTAGTTGGATTCTACCCGAATCCAGTTGTACAAATCTTGGTTCACTTTCAATCCACGTTGAGAATAGTTTTTCATATTCATCACCTTGTCAGGAAAAGACTCGTTTATTATTGTCGTCATCATCATCGTTGCATAGGGTCACTTACTTGTTGTTTTATTTAACCATGCAAGTATTAATACATGTCAATGTGATGAAATAAATGTAAAAAGGAGAACGAATTGCAGTGGAATGTAAGAAATCACGACAGATAAGATACAGAAGGAAAAAAAAACTTGTTTATATATATTTGAATAATTAATCTGAATCGTCGTCTTCGTCATTGCCATCGCCATTCTGTTGTGTTGGACGTGGCTTGTAATTAGTAAAAATCACTGAAAAAACATCAATCGAGTAGAAATGAAGTCGTCATCGTCGATGCTTTACCTTTATCTTCTAATAGTGATCGAATGTTCGGATCATGCGTAAGGTCAAATGGTAATTTATTATCTTTATTACGAAGTCGTTTGTCAGCACCTAAAAAAAGTATTAAAAATATTTCCCCTTTCTCTCTCTCTCTCTCTCTCTCACCATTTTCTAATAAAAGTTGAACAATACCACCATGATTTTTCCAGCTAGCCACATGTAATGGAGTATCACCAACATTATTCTAGTGCAGAAAACGTAGTTGTCTTTCAAAAAAAGGCGAAGTGCTAAGGTCTACTTTTTGATTTATAATTGATAGTGAAAGTGGTAACAATAATTTCACACAATCCATATCACCTGAATAGCATGCCCAATGGAATGGCGTATTTCCTGCCTTGTCAAGACCAATGACCGAAGCCTAGAAGAGATGAAGAATTTCAGATACGACTATCTAAGCAGCCGATTTACCTTATTTGCAAGTGACTGCTGAAGAAACTCGATGTTACCACGTTTTGCTGCGTCATGTAAAGCATTGACAAGTTTCTCTGTACTTTCCTCAACTGGACGATCAAAAGCATGTGCAAATGAAATGTATTTTGTGAAAAAAAAACATATTCCTACCATAGTTTTTTGGAATTAAACCACCTGTACGATTTTTATTTGTCGTAGCTAAGTACCAATCTTTGTATTTAACGTCATCCGTGACATAGAGAATTTCGCCTTCTTCAAACGATAATTCTTCAGGAGAGCGAGCTAAATATGCATGAAAAATTCATTGAAGACATTTATTTTCGCTCTGAAAAGTCTTTCCTACCTGTATAACTATACAAAGCTTTCACGATTGAAACGTAACCAGGTTTCTAGAATGCAACGAGTTCATGTAATTCTGTTCTCTTCGATAATCGAATACTTACTGCTGGTATTGGCGGTGGAGCTCTTGTATGTCCGATAACACTCATCTAGAATAGTAACAACAGTGTGAAATTTATTTTTCCTACGGATCCAAAACGTATCACAGAGGAAGAAAAAGAAAAGTGTCAGCAACAATCAAGAAACAATCAATGGCTGATGCATGTCAAGATTATCAAACAATAACTCTCGCTGTGTTAAACTTCCACGACTTGGATGTCTAAAACAAAGATCATACAGCAATCTTTTTTTTTCATCTATCAATTAATCGAGCTTTTACTTGTATAGTAATTGAAAGACTCCAGTACCAATACGAATTGGTATACCCATGATAATACACTCTGATACACCGCAAATTGTATCTTTTTGCCCATGATACGCAGCATCGTACAAATGATCAATTGTACGTTCAAAAGAAGCAAGCATGAGGACACTTTCTTTCATTTTAGCTAGACCATTTCGAGTCATACCGAGGACTTCACCCTAAACGAACCGTTGCAATCATTCATTTCTGATTTATGAAAGATCCGACATTCCTACTTTATATGTCATTAGATCTGCTAAAAGCATGACATGTCGAACATCTAATCCAATACCATGTGAAGCCATGGTATAAACAATTTCATTGATAACTGTTGTTCGTGCTGCTTCAATGCCCAAACAACGAAATACTTCCATCGTATTATTCGATGTTGTCTCATTTGCATTGACGCCTTGTGTACCCATAACATCTCTCATACCTTCTCCTTCAACAAAGAGCTTATGTTTCGTTCCTTCTTTCTCATCAATTGTTATCACAGCACGTTCCACAGTCGATATACCTTTGACAACGACATTTGGTAAAGTTTCCTTGTAACGTTTCATTGTGTAATACATGTTTCCTTTTAGTGTATCTGCTACTTCCAATTGTATCAGATCCGAACCAGCAATTGACAATTGATTGTATTTTACTTTTTTCATCTTCTTGTCTGCAACAATCGAATCGATGATTGACATGGGATTTATCTCAAGTTTTAGTAAACGAATACGGTCGAGATCGAGTTTGATTGAGAGATAGCAAGCGTCGCTTTCGTACACTTCTTCGATGTATTGTGAGACTTGACCGAGATAGGTTTTTTCGATGCGACCTTTGACTTTCCTTGCAAAATCTTGATCGTATTCATTGTCTAATGCAGCCGTGATCAATGGAGTTGATGGAGTTTTAACAGCGTTGATAATTTCTTTGATACGTGGGACACCGAGAGTGATATTCATAGATGCGACACCAGCAAAGTGAAAAGCTGAATGAGAGAAAGAAAGAAAATCAATTGTTCGCTGAGATTTGAATTTGATTTCTGCTAACTTTTCAGTGTCATTTGTGTTGCCGGTTCACCAATACTTTGGGCGCATAGTGCGCCGACAGCTGTTCCGGGTTCAAGTCTTGCTCGGCCATATTTATATTTACATAATTGTAGAAATTCGTAGAGTTGAGATTTCGTGCATCGTTCAATTTCATGAAGAACGTTTGAAAGGGCACGCGGTTTCTTATTCGAGCGGGCCGCTGCGGTCGATACACGTTTTCTTGTTGTTGTTGACTTCGTTTCCTGTTCGGGTTCCTCTTCAGGATTATCTTCTTTGATAATTGTGGAATCAATATGATAGCGTTGTCGATATCGATCGATAGTCGTTGCCACACCGTCGATGAAGTCCACAATCTGCTGTTTATACTCTTGTTCCATGATGGAATATTGATTCTGAGTCAGCTCTTGACAAACGTATGTTCTCATCTCTGTTCCACTCAATGGATATTCATTATCGAAGCGATATTTCGCTCGGATATGTTGATAAATTCGATCGTACTCAACCGGTTTATCTTTTCCTTCGAGAAAGATCGGATCTAATGAATCACCACCGTATGTAAATTGAACAATATCATTAGTACTAGTTCGGATAGTCATATCGTACTGACAGCACAAATCTTCTAAACATTTGACTAAACGACGTTGCATATAACCAGTTTCGGCAGTTTTGACAGCAGTATCAACCAAACCTAGATGAGGACAAAGATGACAAAGTGTCCGCAGTGTTGTGCTCAGTTTACCTTCTCGACCGCCCATGGTATGAAAGAAAAATTCCGTAGGTGTCAAACCAGAATAGAAACTATTTTCAACGAAACCTTTGGCAGCTGGAATTTTAGCTAAAAAGAGAATGATCCTCTCTAAATTAATCCGCACAAATAGTTATTGCAAGAACATACAATGTTTTTCGAAATGTGGTAATGAACGATCTTCGAAACCGTTCGGTACTCGAGAACCGCTAATAGCCTGTTGACCGACGCAAGCAACCATTTGAGAAATATTGATATTTGATCCTAAACGCATCCATCGTCCCTTTCTTTCTTTAAAAGATCAATTTACCTTTAGATCCCGAGATAGCCATAATCAACGGGCTGTTACTTGAACGTTGTAATTCTTGTAAACACAGTTTACCAGCTGACTCACGAACGTCAGAGAGTTCTTTCAAAATCAATGCCTGACAACAAGAGAAGTAATACTTACAAACATCTATTCGAAAATTACGCTTGGACATACTTCGAGTGTTTGTTCAGCTGAACAACCAGGTTGCAACTGAAGTTTTCCTTCTTGTAATTGTCGAATATAAGTATTGCATTTGTCGTATCCTTCGCTGACTAATGAACGTTTAGCTTTCATTAAATTTTCACCAGGCGTAACATCAATCAAACCGATGGAAAACCCACGATTCACTAGAAACGAAACATTTCGATCGTTCCGAAGGGAAAGCACGTGAATGCGTACTTAAATAATAACTAGTTAAACGAGCTAAACGTGCCATAGCTAATGCAGCTGCTGCCTCGGAACAATCTCGTAAAAGCATGTAGAATACATTGGTTTTTCCATTAGCACCGAGCACACTTTTATCAACACAACCAAGTATAAGTCGACTGTTGCGAATGACGATAACTAATGATGACAAAGTATTGGACTTTTTTCAAATCAATCGAGTCATCATAGCTTACATCCATCATTGACGCATAGATCCTCTCCTTTACCGCAATAAGCTTTTCCTTTCGTTCGTAAATTAATGATATCTTTCGATGAACTGTTCAGTTGAAGGATCACATTGAACAATTGTTTGCCTGACCATAGTTGACAAGGCTAAACGACAAATAGCCTCAAAATTGCATTCTCATTATACGACGTTTCCTACTTTAAGTATGGTTGGTGGTGGTAAATCGATCTTTTCTAAGCCATCTTTATTCGTCAAAATCCACGTTAGCAATTGACAAGCTTTCGATCGATCAAAAAAGGTGTCACGTTGTGTCAATAAATAAGCACCTATGTGAAAAAAAATTTATGAATCAAGTCTTATTCCGTACACAACGTTTCGAAAGGTAATCAAGTAGGACGAAACAATTCTCCTTTTTCATACCAGTTAAAAAATCTTGTGTTGACCCGATAATCATTTCTCCATTACGTGGTGTGACCAGATTTGATTTTGTCTAAACAATGAACGCTTACACATTGACAACAATACGGCCAAGATGACATACTCCCATCAATACAAGCGCTTCGGCCTTTGCTTCTTCAGTCTGTGGTAAATGTAAATTCATTTCATCCCCGTCGAAATCAGCATTGAATGGTGAACAAATACATTCATTAAAACGAAATGTTCGATGAGGCATCACTTTGGCATACAAAGCCATAATTGAAAGACGATGTAGGGACGGTTGCCGATTGAAGAGAACGACGTCGCCATCAATTAAATGTCGTTCAACAATGTCACCATACTGAAAAAAAAATGCAAAACAACATACAGAGGAGAAGAATAATCATCGACACGATTTTACGCGTAATTTTGCAGCCATATCGTTTCGATCACCATACTTGAGAAATTTCTTATGATCGTTCTTAGGATTAATAATAAAATTTGCACCGGGATGAACATCTGGCCCATTACGAACGAGTTGACGGATGAATTCGATGTTTGTTTTATTGACAATTTCGGGATAAGACATAATCTTTGCTACATGGATCGGTACCGCTACCTAGATGAATTACATGGTTAACACAAACGGAAAACATGATTTAACTGTGTCTCGCCTCGTCGATTCGTAAATTTGGATCGGGAGAAATAACTGTTCGAGCACTGAAATCTACACGTTTACCGGATAAATTTCCTCGAAAGCGACCTTGTTTGCCTTTCAATCGCTGTGCAAACGATCGTATCCATTTTTTCGGTTGCATATGCGCGGGAATACCCGAAAGGCTGCTATTGATATAAAGTGCACATTGTAATTGTAAGAAATCCCATTGTTCAACAAGTTTATCCATTTTAACTCCATTCAGTCGATTACGTTGAATAACGTCGTTTAAAAATATGATTTCACTCAATTTTATCGTAAGATCGTCTTCGTTTCTTTTCAAAAGAAGACTAGGATAGATATGCAATGAAACATTCTTCTCTACTTACGTTCCCGCGCGAAAGTCAGACTGAACGGTTGGTCGAATACAGATGGGTGGAACCAGGACTCTTGATAAAATAAAATCGCGCGGATGAATGGTAGATTCATCAATAAGAAGTAATGGTAAATCCTATCACGAAATGATTTTCCTCGTGCGAATAACATTGGCAAACTCATACCTCTGTTGGAATACGTTCAAATAATTCTAAGACTCGAACAGGATTGAGGATTTCTGTGTACGAATTGACTAATGTAGAAACTTCAGCATTTCCTTGTCGAGCGGAATGAAATAGTTCGTTGACTTCATTCAGGGCATTGTGCTGACGTTTTTGTGTCCGGTATTTATCATGTGCAATTTTCAAAAGAGCACATTTGAGTACAGCACCTATGAACCAGAAAAAGGCAAGGAGGTTGATTTGAAATCGAAGCATTGCATCTTACCGTTTAATTCTCCACAATATGGACAGATGGTTGTTTTCTTCGCTTTCTCATGAATACGTTTTCTTAGTGATTTCTTTTGTAGGTAAGTTAAAACCGGTCGACACAACTGTCTTTGAAACGTTTGTTTCATTTCTTTATTTAACATCACACGTGAACATTTCTAGAAGAACAATTTTTCGAAAGTTTGAACAACAATAAATTCTCACCACATACTTTACAAATTGTTTGTAAAACAACAGTTATAGAACGAAAAAATCCAATATGGAATACAGGTAATTGAAGATCAATATAACCATAATGACCAAGGCATTTGGTTACATCTTGATGACAAGTTTCACATTGACGTTTACCACCACAGACACCCTACATCATAATATTGTAATCATCACGAACAACTGAAGATAAGTCACTCACCAATTTCGGATCGAGCACACCAAATGCTGCTGGCGTACGTGCAGCGTCCTGAGAATACAAATTTTTACTGACAACATGAATATGTGCTTCTTTTTGCATTTCAAGTGAAGAAAAAGGAGCAAATTGAATTTGATTGCTAGAAAATAACATCGATATTACAAAACTAGCTTTCTTCAATAGAATTTCGTTTCTTACATGACTTTGCCAGTCTTAACACTTCGATACTGTGTTTTCACCATCTTGAAATCGAGATTAATCGACTATGAATCTGAAAGTATCTAATTTTGTGTGAAAGACGAATGTATAATATGAATATTTGACAGAAAAAGAATATTGAAGACGATGATGCAATATTGCATATGTACGTCATCAAATCTTTTTTGGAGTCAACGCTTTAATTGTAAAACAACCGTTTTACAGGAAAGAAAGAAAGAAAGATACAGAACTAAAGGAGAGAGAGAAGAAAACAAACAACGGACAGACTGGTTATAAAGCTGGCAGAAGAGAAAAGAGACGCATGTCTTATATCTCGTAGAGAAAGGATTAAAAAAATACAGTTGGAAAAGGTTGTGGTGTCGGCTGGGTTCGAACGCCACGTGTTGGAGGGTAGTAGTCGGTATCAGTAGTAATTTGTCGTAGGTCTGCTGTCGACATGTGAGACGACGCAGATTATCCTACAGCACTGGAGCCGGTGTTTTGTCATAGTTGGTCTACGACGTGTTGGATGTGGCTGTGTTAATAGACTTGTGGAGCAGTGCTGTTGCATATTCTTTGATTTTTCGTTATTTCGATTAACGTCATGAAAGAAAAGAAAATATCACTTAGAAGCTCTAATGCTATCGAGATGATGCCGAATCTGATAGGACGGAATATTTTGAAAGGCGATCTTCATTGACATATCTCCAAATCTACCACATCGATTGATTTAGCTAATATCCTACCGCTTCACTGAACATAGAGTATCTTTCACCTAATCTGTTATTGAAATACTTCGTTGTTTGCGGATTCTATTGAAACAATTGAAGAGCAATGCATCCATTGAAAAAACATTCAAGAGCAGACGGATGTGAGAGATTAGATTGTGTTGCGAGTTCAGTCGATGATCGAACAATTGAACTTGCACAGTAGTGACAAGAGTTGTCGAATGGCGACAAATCTTCAATGGATTTCTAAAAAGAAAAGGAATGAGATTCATCAAGGTTTTGTTAATAAATGTCATTATTTTATTGAAAGATGAGGTTATCTTGTTTAAAAACAAACGGGTATTTAAAATAAAGAAATAATTCATATCTTTCTTAGCAGAAGACTTGTTATGCAAAGAAAAGAAAACATCTTAACTTCCAAAACAATAAAAATAAGTACACTGTTAGGAGAGAGAGAGAGGGCTGAGATATATATATACACAAAAGAAACATGAAAGAGATTGTTAACTAGCACTACTACCGCAGCAACCACTTCGTCTTGTTTCACTGTTCTGAGTTATATCAATTGGTTGGTTCTGATTTGGATTGTTGGTATTCGGACCAGGTTTGACACCGTCCCATCTAAAACGATTGGATTGCATTATTAATAGATGAAATATATCAAGAACATACCCTTTTTGAACATGAATACGTCCTTCGATCAGTAGATCGTAAATCTCTCGAGCTATCATAGCGAATGCTTCTTGAACATATAAACTGGACTTGGACGATGTTTCAATGAATGATATATCATGAAAATCAGCAAACGCTTTTCCCTCTTCGGTTGACACCTATGATTCACTAGTTGAATTTGATCATAGTTTCTCAAATAGACTTACTTGTCGTTCGGATTCTCGATCGATTTTCGTCCCAACAAGTAGAAAGACACAATGGTATGGTTCAATCTGTTGGCGGGCATCATTTAACCAATTAGTTACATGAGTGAAACTAACATAGTTGGTCGTATCGTAAATGAGAAGAACACCAACTGAATTGCGATAATAAGCACGCGTGATACTTCTACAAAACATAACGATTTAAAGTAAAGAAATAGTCATTTTTAATAGCAACGTATGCGTTTTTATTCCGAAGAGAAAAATACTCTTACCTGAATCTTTCTTGACCGGCGGTGTCCCATAATTGCAATTTAACCTTCACACCTGGCTTTATCTCGACAATTCTTACATTGAAGTCCACACCAACTGTGGGATCCTACTCAATCGAGAGATATTGATCCGTTTCGTTTTTCAACGGTGTTTACTTACCGGATCTGGTGAAAACATCCCATCGCAAAATGTTCGTAATAGAGATGACTAAAGAAAAATGATCTCTTGTTTTTCTTTCTAGAACACATTCTTCACACGCAACATACTTTTCCAACAGTGGAATCTCCAACAACAATTAAACGAAATTGATAATCATAGCTATACAAATTCTCCATGGAGAAGTATTTGAATGTTCATGAAATATGTCTCTGAATCTAAAATGCAAAATTACATTGATTTACACTAAAAAAACAATCTTTTTCTTGTTCGTAGTCGAGATTCAAAACTATATAAACTGCAATATGTCTAAATGTCGAATCATGAGTGAAGAAGAAGAAGAAGAAGAGGAAGAAAAATAACACGACAGATGTTTGCATAAGAACGCGACAAAATAGGCTGTTTCATTATTGTATAATATCATATGGAGTATGTAAACCAATCCTTCGATTGGATGCTTTCGGTGCATCGTAAGTTGATGTGCAAATCTTTAAATCATCATCCAGTTTAGTAGAGATATCTGAGTTAAAATCACAGACATAAATATGGCCAGAGAGAGGATCCGAATTGAACTCATATTCGATCTGAAACGAGAGAAATGAAAGCTTCAATGATTGTATTTATCGATGATATTTACCATATCGGGACGTTTGCATAGTGGTGTTAATGCGCAGATTAAAGTTTGTTTATCAAATGAACAATGTGTTACTGGATGCGGTTGAGGATTCATATGCCATAGTGAATGAGGATGCATTCGTCGATCCCTAGAAGATTCGATTGGTTATTTGGTTTGCAAGAGAAAAATTTTCTTACCAAAGACGAACAAATCCACGCCTGTCTGAGCTTGCTAATTTCCACGTATCCATTTGCAGCGTTGTAATTGTCGCAAAGTGATTATAAAAATGCTGTACGGCTCCATCCTTTTGTCGCTGATCGAATATACTGATCTGTGCATTATCGTAAGCAACAAGAAATTCGTTTCGAGGACATTTATCAGCTTGAATTAGATGAACATTCGCTGGAAGATGTTTATAATTTGTTGCAACAATATTACAACGAGCGCTTTGTAAATCGAATAATTTGATTTCATTTTCAACACCGATTATGGCCAGTGGTGCCTCGTTGTGAATATCTAGTGGGACTTTTTGCATAGAATTGTATGCAAGTGTTGAGTAGAAGGATAAACGATGCGAGAGATTTAACAAGGAAATACACCAAAGCGATTTTTTGCCAGCGATTACTGCAATAGGTATGGCATGATGACTAGATATGCATTGAGATAGGATCGAGTCATTGAGGTCAGTGAAGAAATTAAGTTCTTGAAATTCAGGCACGACTTCGGGCTAAAGACAAACAAACGAAAGTATTGTTTTGGATGCCTGTGATTTTCATACCTTCTGGAAATTCCATACGTTGAATCTCGATTGACTGGCGGTGCACAAGAGATCATCAGTGTTAGAAATATCTACCAGTGGCAGCGATGTTAATTGCTGAGTGTACCGTGGCTGATCTCCAATATCTTTCGTCCAAACTTCCAAGAGGCCATCGTCATGTACAGCGTAGATATCATTTTTTAAAAATCCTACTGATTTGACACTGGAAATATCCGTTAATTGGTTTACATCCGTTGATTCGTAAATAATATCAGGCGTGTCCAACTGTGTATCGTTGTCACCATCATCACCATCGCAAGTATTTTCACTCAAAATAGCTTCAATTGACCATGTGCGTATGGTACCAGTTGAATAGCCAGCTACGATCGTTGTTGAATTATTACTTGCACATGTCAAAACCTTTCCCAAACGGTATGTTAATTTTGTCGTACGACATTGGTGATTTTTAAAATTCTGCACTAATTGTCGACTGAATAACACTGTTTCTTTGACACAATTTTTCCACGTATCATCCCGTTTCCTCACTGGCTTATCATCGTCTAATTGTTTGTAGATGTTGTACCATAATAATTCATCACATGATAAAGAATGCCATGCTCTGCAAACTTGTAAACATGAATAGAGATCTTTGATTGATAAATGATCGAATATTTGTAAAGCTATTTCACGTGGTAAGGATACATTAAAAAATGGGACATCTGTCGCTTCATCAATATCACGTATGAGCTCGTCAAGGAGAGTGGAATGCGCTGTTTTGAGCTTCTTCGGTACAGGCGGTTCAATACTGGATGACTTATTAACAGATAAATGAGCTGTATTCGTTGCAATAAATGTACCTATACCAATGGTAAATGAAGCATGACTCGGCGCTGTTCGTGATGACGGGCTTGATTGTGAGACGGGAGGGATTATTGTTTGATGTTCAGATGAATTCTTATAATTCGCTCCTAATCGACAAAGATCACCTGTTGATGCTTGTGAATGATCGCTAGCGACTGGAACAGAAGCTGGTTTTTCTCGAGAAATTTCCTTTTGCCAAGAATGACGAAATACATCTAGTGATTCCATTTTTGACAATCATTAGATCATCTACTCTGTCACGAGCGACTGACTGAAATATCGAGCGTTTGGCAATTAGCTGACATGGTGAGCAATGGAAATAATATTTTTAAACTTCGTATGTAAATACATAATCAAAAATATTTGATCAATTCTGGCGATGATAAATTACTTTCATTTGCATCAGATGATATTCATTTTTCGAAAAAGAAAACAATGATAGCTGGCGCTAGTGTGCGGTTCAAATTTGAATGAATTATGTTTTCACATGGAGATATGACTTTTCCGTTGCATCTGGAAAATCAGGAACGCTGCTCACACAGATTCTAGAAATGTGAAACGATGACAACCATTGTTACTTCTATTTGTCGATCTACCGTAGCCTAGATCAATGATTCCGGTGACCGGATCCCGCGGGACCCTGCAGGAATCGTGGTCCTTTCCCGCATCTTCCCACTGGAAATCACTCATCGGTGTGAAGCTAGCACGAACAAACGATACGTTAAGTGAAAAGTTTTTTACTAAATATGTCCCGTCCATGAAAAGTACGTCATTCGACTCAAAATTTAATTCTGCATCGAATGATTGTACTTTTATTCACCGGACAAATTTTGAAAACATTCTATCTGGATTTTAGATAGACCCAAAGGAAATGAACAAAAATATAGATAAAAATTTTTCCGAAGTTTGTTCGGCGAATAAAAGTGCCATCATTCGATGCAGAATTCAATTCTGAGTCGAATGGCGTACTTTTCATGGGCGGGACATATTTAGTAAAAACGTTTTTAGCCAACACATCGTTTGTTCGTGCTATCTTCATACCGATTTAATTTGTAGCATTGCGGTGGAGAACGTTTACTCGTGAGAGACTGTATGGGTTCTTATTAGCAGTTAATGATTCATATTGATCTTGGATTAATGCAAAGAAGTCTTGCGTTCTACCACTGGATGTATGCTGAAATCACTGAGCTTCCTAAAAAACCTAGAAAATTGCTCAAACATGAAAAAATCATCTTATTCTAGTTTAAATACTCGGAAAGATACAGGTCGACTAATGTCTTTCAATTGAGAATTCAAATATCACATTTGAAACACGCGCAAGGTTTAAGACGCTGGACTTCGGCTACTCTCCGCTGAGCCGGAAAGCATTGGATATGATCCGTATCAGGGAGCTCGTAAATAAAACACGGAAACGCTATCGGGATCCGCTCGGGATACGGTTTCCGAGGCCTTCTTCAGGAATTCACGAGAATTTTGACGGATCCGACCGGTTCCCGCCGTACAGCTTTGACCTGGGAGGAGACGGTTTGCTCATTCTAACTTCTTGAGAATGACAAGAATAGAAAGCAAACTTGATTGTTTAAGTCTAAAGCAGCATACACTTGTGAAAATTTGTGAGGTGAAAGTGTCTGCAGTCTTATTGAAAAATAATTATAAGGTGGCTCGTTTTAAACTTAACGGCGGCAGTACAAAATTTGCAAGTAACTGAAATGGTCGAACAATAGAAAGAGAAACGTTTAGTCAATGAACAATGCGATTCATGCTGCAATTCGTAGTTGAAAATACACGTCGATCGAAAACGTAGCAGTCATGTGGACAATAGGCAATCTCAAACATTAAATTGTTAATAGAAAGGCCATCGAAAGAAATATAAATACAGGCATCACTTCGATATCATATTGCTAGATACATATTTGTTACAAAACTATCAAGCAACAAGCAATATTAATTTCTTCATCTGCTACTGTCATAGATCATTATCATATTAATATTTCATGTATTGGAAAAGTACGTAGGGAGTCATCGTACCTACTGTATATATATTTGATTGACTAAGTTGTATGCAGGAAACCACTCAAAGAATCTTGCCATACACATCATCTCGCTATATGCCTTGATGTGTAATTAAGATCATTATTAACATAGATCTTACAGCGCTTATGGAAAATGCGAAAGACCGAGATCGTCCGATTGAAAAAGTCTGCAGGTACATGTAACGAATGAGTAGTCAGGATGTTCACAAACAATACTTCTTCGTATAAAATTTCAGAACATCTAGAATTGGGAAAACATCTCGAACAGTTGAGTGTTCCATTACTCGTCTTAGAATGTTTCGCACTTTCAGAAGGCTAGGTTTAGAACACTTCTGTCAACTTTCGTGAGGATTTAAGGATGAAGAATTCAGTGATGCTCTGCAAAACGTTTGTTCAAATAGTTGACAAATACTCTATTCGATAAAAAAGACCTCGTGAGCCATCGAAATCACTATTCGGATTTGACATAGATATTGAGCTTTGCAGAAGAATATCAAATACTTTTGTATTCAATTTATTTCTTGCTAGTGTTTTCTAGTCAATATGTACTTATATAAAGGGGTCGTATCGAATGATTGAATACGCTAAATGAACCAGATCTACGGTAGAAGAAAAAAAGAAATACACATGACTAGTAGCGTTTATCTATCGAACCGAAAGTATCTATATAATTATTCTACTGGACGATGCTCTTAGCGGACGGTTGTTGATTCTCTTGCTTGTTTCAGATTAACTTTACAGTGCCCATGAAATTGTTCCATAGCTGCTTGTCAGTGAACGATTGAAAAGTTTCTCGCATCAACGCGAAAGGTAACCTCTTTTGGGAATGAAGTGAATATCATTAATGTGATTTTTTTAATCTTAGAACACAAATCCAACGACGATCGTTGTTTCAATTCATCAAAGAATTGCTGTTCGAATGTGAATGAAGTAAATAAAGATAGAATTCATGTTGCACAGTTCAAATTGTTCTATGCAGAAAACGAAGAATCGATCGTATGGATCAAATACTACTGGTCGATATTTGGACTCATCGACCATTCATTTCGAAATAAATCAAATGAAAATATCAATAGTTTCGAATATTTTTATAGTCCGTCATAGGACAGAGCAAGGTATTTTCGCGCTTCTTGTCAACGTTCACGCTCTTTCAATGAATATAATGTAAAACGACAGAAATCAATATAGGCCATTTGACTTTCACGATCTTTTTTAATTGTAGAATCCAGGAAGTAAATCATATCATTTTTCTAGTCATCAACGACGGAAACACTCATCAGTCTCGAATGCTCGTCTGACAGTAGTTCGAAAGTGCGTAAAGGAATGATCTCATGACCCTTCAATATTTCAACGTTTGTTGTATTGGAGTCGGAAACAACAATAACATGTATAAACCGATATTTACAACCGTCCACATTGGTCGAACACATTTACTTCGTATGATTCTCAACGGGTTAATCGCACATCGATTACATCACAAGAATCGCATACATTATGCATATCTAATAAGTGGCAAACAGAAAAATAGAATTTCAAAGAATATGATGTCGAAGCACGTTCAAGCCAATGTATATATAAAAGAACGAGAAGAGGATTGTTATAGTTGCAACGAACCCTGAACATTTTTTTGTATTTTGAATAAATTTGGACACTCATTCGAAGATATCTTGGAAATTCAGATTTTTTCGAATGAACAGTGTTCTATACACTTGACTGCATGATGATTCCTGTCATGTGCTACGGACACACCATAATTACACACTGTTAAGCAAATGCGTAAGTCGGAAGTTATTCTTGAGGAAGCATCACATACTTCAAGTAACCTTGAATGCGAACTCATGGAAGACACTATTTATCAAATTGATGATTGGTTGTTTACGCATCGTACCGAGGCATTTTGAGGATGATGAGCATCGATGATATATACTTGCTTTTGAAAAGAAAAACCGAATTAAATATCAACAAAACCATTCAGTTTGTGATTTTGACACCCTTCAACTTTCGTAATTTCACACCCTCTAGAGCAGAAAGCTTTTGTATGAAAGAACGAACTCATATTGACTCTCTTTTGCGCACAAGCATAGAAAAATTCTTTAAAGAACAGAATGAAAATTTTTTCTTCTATATTTGTCACATGCTGCGATTCAGATCTGATGACATACTGTCAAAGAAGAAGTAATTTGTCATATTTGAGAGGAGTCTGCTACTTAGAAATGTCTTTTTTTTTATAGAAGTGAATATAGAAATCGATTAGTATTTTGTCACTTGGACCACAACCAACTCCTTTTTTATAACACCTGTTATTTAATAATGAGAAATATAAACTTTGAAGTTGTTTGACACATATGTCACTCGATAGACGTTTTTACGACTATTCATGCTTTCGCTCTGAAGCTTAGAACTAGTAACAATTCTTCAAGTATTGCAAAAGTAAAAATTTGTTGTTGTTGTAGAAGAGCGCGACTTCAGAAATCATTTGGGATTTCTCAGTTTCAAGCTATGATACCTTCTGGCGCTTCTTTTGATATAATCGGCGTTATTAGTTTTTATGCATTAAATAATCGTTTTCAGCAACACTTTGACACGTAAGAAAAGCAATTACCCTCTCTGCTTCTTCAGGATACGAGTAATCCTTTTGCGTTTTAATCTTCTCCTGCGAAGATGTTTGCATATACGTAGAAAATGTCTTGTACATGGTATAAATCAAATTGCGTGTAACATGAGCGAAAGTCGTTTGAAAAAAACTGCTACACAAGTTGACGTCGATTAACGCTACCACTTATCTTAACCACACATCGAACAACTGTAATACCAACACAATAACTCCCAGCAATGTAAGGTTTAGTCATACATTTACTTAACAGGTTTCACATTATTTAGGTGAATACTAATAAACGATGTATGCTTAAATGTTCCGAGCGATATTTGGAAGTCGCTGAAAGTTAGTTTTCTGACTTCTACGTATGTCTTTCGGAGGAGGTGGAGAATCTCAAATTATTACCAGTTTTCACGAATATTCTTTTCTTAAAATTTTTTACCATGATATAAACTAGGCACTCAGATCCTAATAAGATAAAAACTATACTGGTATGTTGTGTATGGAATGTTAACTTATATATGTGAAAATTTCAAACTTCTAAAATTTAGTGGATAGTCTGCAACAGGTATAGCTATATGCCTTACCTAGCTACTAGATATCCAGATATATACTTTCAAATTTGAAAACTTTCTATAACCATATGTAGAATATAAGGATTCTTTCGTGCTTCTATTCTAAAAATGTATCAGATACCAGATATCGAGATATTTGCTTTCAAATTAGGGACAAATAGTTATATACCTACAGATCGCGAAAGCCTGTGAATGTCATATACTAGAGGTTTAGTTTTAGCTGAATATGCTGATTTAGTGATGATTGGTAAGTGATATAGGTTTAAATAGTGTTTTTGGATGATGCTTCATTCACAAAAATTCTATCACTTGAAAATCTTCAGAAAAAGTGAATGTCTCACATCTGGTATCTGTCAGCTTTTTATATATACATAGATAAATATCGTTGACATCTTCAATATATTTTGAAATTTGAAATTTTCACACACGAGTAAATATCTGGATATCTGGTCAGTTTATTACTATGAAGGTCCACATATTATATTCAATATTGACTATATAAAAGAATTTGAGAAAAACACGTCGTCTTCCTATATGATGATAATTTTTAGGCTCTCACAATAGAAGTAAAACGTCACTTTGAATTTGAAACAGTTTGAAATTTTAAAAATCTTATTTTTAAAAACTGGTAATAATTTGAGATTTTCCACTCCATGAACAATTAGGAAAATGTCGCACGAGCTTGAATTTTGTAACGCTTTTCGAAATATTTTTAGAATATAGTAGACAGATCTCCAAACGCGAAAACAATTCTCAAATTTTTAAGAGGCTTCTTTGAAATAAATACAGAAAATCGTTTTTTTTATCGCTGCTTGCAGAAAATATTGAACTAGAGTGATATGGAGAATTTTATCTAAGCTTCTTTTTATTGGTCATAAAAGTCAATTTTATTGAGATAAAAAGCTACGGCTTTTGATCATTTCTTTTCTTTTTTGTATTCAGATTAAGACAATGTGCTTTTATATACAAAAGCTAATGCTATGTCCATTACACATATACTCTAGAGTGTCAAAAATCGTTCCAGACAAAGATGAAGGTATATGTGACGCTAGCAGCTCTACGGAAATTGCATTGAATATGCATTTCTGTTTGCTATGTAGCTTACGTTTGCCTTGTCCAAAAATCTTTCGGCACTTTTTATTTTTCTTATCTTCTATGAATAACACGTCGGTTAAATCTCTTAAATTTTAGTCTTTTTTGACATTCTTATCTGAAAGTAATCACAGCGAAACTTGATTTTCTTTTCTAATTATTCGCTATTCAGATACCCTAACAGACAAAAATGAATAGCGCACGTTTTAATGCGTTCAAACATCATCGAGAAAAAACGGCGAGTTTTTTTTATTCTGTCTGTCGCAGTATACTCTTCTTCTCGGTCTATACAAAAGAGTTCTACTCAGAGAAAAAATGGAGCTCCGATTACCAACCATAGTCAGCAAAGCGTAAAAAATTTACCATATCGATTCATCGAAGCGTTCGATACAATCCAAGACAATATCGTAGGTTATTTGAATATTCTTCTTGTAAATCGTATTCTTATCTTTCATAAAATTGCATCTCACGAGATCATGCTACATCACGTGAGATACAATGAATGTCTTATCGTTAGCTTGTGAGTCATTTTATGCTTGTTCTTCGTGTACTATTTGTTATAACCTTCCGCTGGCTATTTATGCTTTCACTTGGAATTATATCAGTTACACAGAATTCGAACACAACTGAAAATTATTTATTCTTTTTTCTTCCATCCTCCCACTTGAAAAATCGTATGTCGTCGTATAATAATCGTGCGCTGCTACAAGGTAAATTTTAGTTAATTCTTTTGTAAATACAAAATCATTGCAATCGATGCCTGTTTTAGGAAATATGAGCCGTAGATGTAAATACGTCTTGCATTTTACGAACGTGTTCCTTTCGCATTGGTAAAATTTTTGCTGCATTAGATGACATCAATTCTTTGTTGACTAAAGATGTGTTTGGTTTACATGCAAATAATGTCAGTTAATGAACTAACAAGAAGATGAATAACCTAATTATCTTTTGTCTCTCCCATCCCAAATACTCTTCTAACGCTAAATCAAAAAATTCTAAATGTCGCCATTTCACGTCAGAATTGTGTGCAGCCTATCGGACAAATATTTATTCAATACGTGCGGCAGTCGGTTTATTTTACGGTTTTCTTTTCAGACATGCTAACAAACATTACTAGTAGCTCTTAAATTCATGGCGTATGACAGCGATCCCAATTTGATTAACAATTTATTCCGAAGAAACAAACGTTGTTTTCTCATATTATTACTATTCAATTTTTTATTAGCTTCTATGTACTACTTCTATACACAGAATCAATCATCGATAAAAGATAATGTTGGTACATATTTGAAACGATTTGGAAAGAATTCAGATGGAACTGATCCAATTCGAACTGTTTTCGAATCTGAATATGATCATGACGATTTAGAAGTATTTTACAATTTAGTAAGCAAAGAATTTGCTTTAGGTTTACGATGCATGAGAAAACCAGATCAACCGGTAACGACATCGAATTCCAACCTAAATGATACCGATCAAATGAACAGTAATCGAACTCAAGACAGGTACGAAGCAGAACTCTTCCGATACGATTTTACTTACAGACATTACTCTTACAAAGAATGAATCAAGTCATACTGAATTACTTTGTTTAGATCAGCGGCGCTACAAAAAAATCATAACCAGTCTTCATCGATTAGCAACGCTTCACATGGATTTCGCTATTCGTTTATTATCGCAAATGCTGATGCTTGTTCGTATGAATCAGTTGATCTTCTGATTATCGTTATATCCAAGTCAGATAATTACAAAACCCGTGATGCTATTCGTCGAACATGGGGTTCGCGAAAAAAACTCGGGAAGTTTTCGGCAATATCAATCAGAATCTTATTCCTAATAGATTTCGATGAGAAACTCAATCAAAATATTCGATTAGAGAACAAGATCTTCCGCGATATCATCCAAGTTGAACTACCACAGCAATATACACTTGTCACACACCGAGAGTTAGCCTTATGGGAATGGTCACTTCGTTATTGTCATTCGGCGAAATTTCTCTTCAAAACAGACGATGATGTCTTTGTTAATCTCGTTGCACTTCTCAAATTCATGTCGCCATTACGTCATAAACCAAGGAAGAATGCGNTGGAAATTGAACAAAGCTTGGATCCAATGGTTCGTCGTCTCGAGCTAGAAATCAATTGATTGCAATGTGAAGAGATGTCTGTCAGGAATGTACTAACCTTGTATGATAACTGAACATGAGGAGAGAAGTTCAGTATTAGTTGATTTACTTTTCACTAGGGCTGAGAATACACCGGAATCTTCAGGAAATCTATTCGAAAAAGAGACAAATAAATGTGAATATATCGGATGAGTAGGTACTCACACTTCAACAACGACTCGTACTTATATTAATGTAACAAATTCATTTAGTATATTTTGCATCTATTTGCGGTGATATTTATGTTGATAATGGCTATTTGTATGGTCAAATTGATAAATATTCATCTAAGCTTTAGCAAAGAACTTTGTATTGTATCATTAGAAATACAACGAGTACAATTTCTTTTTTCAATCGTAATTCCACTTCTACTTTTGCTGATTCACAATAGGAGTAAATTAACGAAGAATATCATCTTTACCTGACATGATAGCTTTTTTTATAAACAATAATATTTTGATGGTAAAGAATTCATTTCAAGATCTTATATTCACATAGTTTTCGAGTTGTTGTCGGTTTTTAGTCTCTTCATTGAGTTGTTATCTGATAACTTAATTAATATTTTTTTTACGAAGAGACATAGCAACATCTGGATTTATTAATAGGTAATATTATAGAAATCGAGAGTAAAACTTCTTTACATAGAACTAATTCATTTTCGAAATGAAACGCACGGAATATTAAATAAATTTTTACCAATCCAAACAGAGAGTAGTCTGAACATACAGCATTGCGCCATCATCATCTACATTTCAAATAGGAACTCTTCTAATTATTTATTATTGCTGAAATAATCAAGAGAGATTTTTTTAGTTACAGATCGTTTTTTTTTCAAAATGTCGTTCGAAATAAAAGTGGTTACATTTACATTTGGTGACAAACAACTTAAATACAAATGTCCTGCAAATTTTGAAATAAGTATCATCGGCTCCACAATCCGTCGATATTTTAATCTTGAAAAGGATGATTATTATTTAGGTGGTACAACTGATCATTCTTTAATAAATCTTGAATTACTAAAACATCTCAGTTCTGAAACTTTTTCATTAAATTAGAAAATGATTTGGATTCATTTGCAAACAATTGTTGTTCGTCTACATAAGTGTTCTTTCTTGAATATTAACATGAAAAATCTCTTATATTTTAGACATTTAGTTTCCGATATTGAACAAATTCCTTTATTGAATAGCCGAGGTAAATATTTTTCTTATTTTAACTTCCATACAACTATCTTAATTTTCTTCTACTACAAGTAATTATAGTAATGGAACCAAATTAACGAAAGCTCAACAGATGAAAAAAAACTCGATAATTAAAAATATTATGCAACCAGAGGATTTACCACTTTTTGAAAAAGTATGCTAAAACAAATCCTGGTAAGTTTTTTTTTTATTTCATAGATATGATGAATGATTTTTTTTATGAATTTTTAGTTGTAACTAGTGTCGTAGCCAGAATTTGGCCAGTGATATGGCAATGCTCTATAAAAAATTTTTAAGGCCAACCATATCACTTGATGATTGAGAATCAATCTTTAGTCTCTCAAGTTTTTGTTTTTCATTGTTAACAGAAACGAAGCTTGTATTTATTTTCATTCTCTGGCAGTCTCCATGGTTTGGTGATGAGTCAAAAACGACTCTAAGGAAAATAACGATTGCATCATGTCCAAGAAATCTCTCTTTTGTTGAAATTATCTTGAATCAAAGGTTTCAGGAAAGAATCTGATACAAGTTTCGTTGTTTTTTTACGATTTTATCGCAATAAAAAGACTGTTTTTATGAGCGATGAAGTCTCGACATACTCAGCGGGCTTCGAAGTGATTTTCAAAACAGAGGCTGCGCCATAACGAACTGTGTAAAGGAGCTTCACATTTCCTATACGATATGAATTGCAAGAAGAACTAACACAGTATATCACATTTTAATTCTTTTAAGAATAAGCTCCATCTTTCAAGAATTTCGATTTGATAGCACTGTTCCCGAAGCGGATTATCGTTTCTTTACTTGACCATTACCCAGCGAATTAAAAACTGGTGTTGTGATCCTATCCAACGCTAATAGATAATAATCAATTATTAGATTAGCTGTACTGCTCAAAAGATATTACTAATTAATAGAGATTTATTCTTAAGTTACTTTCAGAACAATATAATAAACAGACAGTGTTACCAGACGAGAAACGTTTTCCTGGTGGCCTGGCAAAAAATACTGATAGTATGGCAGCGCCAGGCCATGCCAAGTCTTGGATGCGTCACAACTTGTAATCATATCGATTGTACAACAATTGAAGAAAAAACTGAATATCGAATCTTATCAATTATATAATTTTTTGAAGTCGGTCAGACGTAAAGAGAATTTCGTCTCGTTGAACTTGAACGAAACAAATGTCATTGATGCTCTTACCAATATGTATGGAACTAATTATATTCAAAATAGTTAATATTCATATTTACTCTATTCATGGATAAAAGGTTTTTTCATTATGTCGTCTTTTTAAACTATATTTAAATAGACGATTTCATTTGAGACAATCAATATTATTTGTTTGAACTCTACCAAAAAGGAAGATAAAATTTTGAAATTATTTTTGATAAATCATCTTTTTATCTCGATAAGAACGTTTTCCGTAAGTAAATCGAAATTTTATTCGATTTCTTTAATTAGTTAAAAAAAATCAAAACCTTCTGCAATCAAAATAGTTGATTCGCTGGGAAAGTCTTGTGTTCTATAACATATAAGATTGATTATAGTTGTTAAATGTGTTTGGATAATAAATTTGTTTTCTGAAAAGTAAAAAACTATCTTTGATACAAAGTATAAATGTGACAGTTTTGTCGTCATAAAGATTTGTGTTTAATATCGAAGATTGAAAACAAAATTTCTCGATAGAAATGTATCACTCTATTTATCTATATGAATGGTGTTTTTTTTCAAACAGATAATTAGTTAATTACCAATTAGGCAAAAACGAATTTCCGTTTTTTGACCACTTTTTTTCGACATGACCCTCCTTACAGTCGAGGGAATGAAAAATTTTTTTGGCTGTTGAGTAAGAGTCGCCTGAAGGGTAATCGAGGTCGAAGATATCGAATCTGATGTTAGTTTTTCTGTAGAAAAAGTCTGTTCTGTTTTTTTAGAAAAAGTACGAGTTTTTGCAAGGAAGATTTTTTGTAGGCGATAGTGTTTGAAGCAGCAATATGTAGAACAAAACGAAATAGCTGATTAACGTCCGCCTACTGGATACTCATACTCATCAGCACATTGATAACATTACAATTATATAAACAGCTATATTACACAAACATTATCTGATGCTAAACACTCGAAATAATACTTCCTCTAACAAATGTTGTTTTGGACAGTCACAATGGCACAACGTTGGTGATTCTTTAACAGGGAATGAAAGGAAATGGTTTGATTGAATTTGAAGGGGATTTTAAGCTAGATGAAAGAATGAAAGTTGGACATGTAACGGCTAGCCGCGAGTGGCCGATTGGAGGCAGACCAACGAGCGACCAGGCGTCTGTTTGGGGGGCTTAGAAGAGATCAAATAAGTGTAAGTAAACTGATTTTTGATTGTAAATAGTGAGAAGAGAGTCGATTAGTAAATCTTTAGAAACAGTGTTCTTTTCCTAGATCGAACAATCCCATACTCGGATCCAGCATCGGATTTTTTTACCTGGGTTTGCTTATATCTTTGGACAGATGAATTGAAAGCAGTTTGATATGAATAAAGTAGAAAAGGATTATAAAAGAAAAAGAATGTCATAAAAGTGGCTTTAATTCGAAGCGGATTAGAGTGAGATATACGTTAGAGTTTTTAACTAAGTCTTGTAATTCTTTCAGAAAAGGTTCAGCGAATCCAACAGATGAGCGCTATTTGTAGATATACATCTATTTATATTCGAACTGAGATTAGTCTATCAGATGTCCGTTTATAATATAAGTCGAATTAGGCAACTCATGACTTTTTCGTAACTCAACAATCGTATCTAAAGTAATGAGACAATTATAAGAACGAGACGTTTAGATTATCAAACTTGAAATTGTAAGCATTTTTCACGGCATTTTCAATTTCATCATTCTCATATATAATTATTACTACGTTTACGTGTTGTTTTCTATTGAATTACGGAAGTTTCAAAAGCTTGGTGGGTGTAATTCGTGATCAGAGCATGAGCTGCTTAATATAACTCCGGATGCACATGAATACTCACTGTTTTTGTTAACTTCAAAAATAAGTTAGAAAGATGAGAATTGTACTTTCAAAATGTATTAGAACTGAATGCAGTTCTAATCTCGTACATGCGTAGAATTATGTTTTCCTTCAGAAATAATTTTATACTTCGATTTACGTTTGAAATCTGCATTTATATTCGACTTAAACTGGAGAAACTGCTGATTCAGCTGAGAACTTCTCTGTTCGATGTGAAATTGAAAAGTTATTTAACGAATAAATCAACGATTTTGTACAATGTTCGATTTTTGTTTGACTATATGCATGAAGCTGTATAAACAAACCACAGTGTTTTGGCGGCTTTACGCTCTATTCACGAGTTTTGAAAATCAAAATGCCTTTATTTTTCTTTTTCGTCTTATATTGTCGTCAGAGATTCATTTTAAGAGTAAGAATGTTTGTCTAGGAAGAAGAAGGAATGTTTTTTCCAAGTTTCATAAAACGTGAAGGAGCACATTACTTTTATCGTTCTCTACCAAACAACCATTTCTCACATCTTACAACAACTACCTTATAAATAATCCAATCTCACAGCAATGGCAAATCAGAAACAAGGCAGTTTGGATATGTTCGAGCAGACACCAGCCACCTTTCAACAAGCAAATGAATTGAATCGTATAAGGATTGAAGAGACGCAAGATGTTTCTGTCATTTGGCTTGACACTCACATTCACAGCAGTAATCCAGATTATCAAAATGCAATCACACATCTTCAATACATTGTCAATGATATTTATACATTCAC